TTTCTAATATAGATAAATTACTTAAGTATTCTTTAATTTTTTAAACCTTAATATCTTATCTTCTATTTTCTTAATACCTTTACTATCTACTATATAGCTAGAAATAAATATTTAGATATCTAGTAAATAATTTATCTACTATAATATATAGTTATTTACTAAGTAATATCTTTAAGACCTCTTTAATATATTAGAGGTATTCTTCCTTACTATTACTAAAGATAATAATATTATTAATATATATTTAGATAAAATCTCTATTATTATAGAATAATTAGTCTATATATCTTTATATAAAAGCTAATAAGTTTTTATATTATAAATATTATATTTAATTATTCTAGACCTTATTAGCTAATTATTATTATCTTATTTTTATATTTTAAATAAACTAGTAATTAATAGAAAAATCCTTTTATATTAAAGATAATAGATATTTTCTTTCTTTATAGTTTAATAATTAGTTCCTATTAGTTTAATAATAGGTATATATCTAATAGGGATATCTAATTAAGTAGTTATAAATTAATAACTACTCTTCTTTTCTTTTTCCTACCTATTACTCTCTATATAATAAAAGCTAGATATAAAATTAAATATAATATTATTACCTACTCTATTTTCCTTTTAATATAATATATATTATAAATATTATTTAATATTTCTATTTCCTATATTCTTAATAGGTATTTCCTTACTTTCTAGGTTTAATTTTATTATCTATTAACTAATTTAATCTTTATTTTCTCTTCTTTTAGTATAAAGATAATTCCCTATCTTTAAATATATTAAATTTATTAATAACTTCTTTTAATCTCTATATAAAGGTAAGATTTATATTTATAATTAATACCCTTTAGCTAATTTTATTATTAAAATATCTTTAGGCTTATTAATTTTATATCTAGGTATATAGTAGTCTTTATCTAATAGGGCTTTTATATTTCTATTAACTTAGTATTTACTTTACTAACTTCCTATTTTACTTATTTTAAAGCTTCCTATTATTACTTTTATAGATCTTAGTTTAATAACTTCCTTAATTATAAGAATATCTATTTTATTATTATTAAATTTAATAATCCTTTTAATATATAATCTTTTCTTAATTTAGATCTAATCTAATATATTATTCTTTAATATTACTACCTTCTAGGTCTTTATATTAAAAGCTATATTATATATATTTTTATATAATAAAATAAAATAATATATTATCAATTTCTCTTCTTATTATTTTTAATAAGTTAATATAATTTATTTTAATTAAAATATCCTTTAATAGGGGAATTATAATATCCTATTTAATTATTACTTTATAGGTTACCTTTTTTAATAATAACTTTAAGATATTAATTTTACTCTCTATATATTATAAAAATCTTTAGAATTTAATTTTTTTATATTAAATTAATAGTTATACCTTTTCCTTAAGGAAATTTATATTAACTAGTAATTTTAGTTTTAAACTTTCTATTATATCTATTTCTATTATTATATATTTATATATATTTATTTTTCTAATCTTTCTAAAGATATAATAATTAAAAATTACTTTTCTATAATTATTATTTTTAATATAATCCTTTTATTATTATTAGTTTTTTAAGTTTCTTAAAATATATATTAGGTAAAAACCTTAAGATCTATTCTTTATCTACTAAGAGACTATTTATATTAATATTATAATATATTTAATAGGTTTTTACCTAATTTAAAACTAATCTTAATTTATATATATATTTTACTTACCTTTAATAAATATTTAGGTATAGATATTAGGTTAATTATTCCTCTTTCTTTAAAAGTAAGTTAGTTAGTTTTTTATTAATTTCTTAGTTTCTTATTTTATTTTTAAAAGTAAATATCTAAATAGTAATATAGCTTTTCTTATAATATAAAGATTACTTTATATTTAAAGTAAATATTTAAAATACTTTTTAAGATAGTTAATTTAAAAAAATAAGTTTCTAATATATTATCTTTATTATCTATTTATATTTAGTTAACTTATTTTTTATTATCTAAATCTCTTTCTTATTCTAAGTTACTTCCTTTTCTAATATATTAGAAACCTATTTTAACTAGATTTTATTCTTTTCCTAGATATTATCTTTATTATTATAGATTCTCTTATATTAATAAGTATTTCTTCCTCTTTATAGTTATATTTCCTATATTATCTAAATTATAGCTATCTTTTACCTTTCTTTAAAAATTAGCTTTTATTATCTTACTAATTATTATCTCTATACCTTTCCTAGTTAAAATTAAATAACTTAAAACTATTATTTTTCTAATTTAGATATCTATTTTTTTAATCTTCTTCTCTTCTTTTATTATATATTACTTCTCTATATTAACTTTATTATCCTCTAACTCTTTATTACTATATTTACTAATTTAAAATATTAAAGTTAGTTCTATATCTTTTTAATTAGATTAGTATTTTAGCTTTCTTTCTATCTTTATTATCTAGATATATATATATTTATCTATATTTAGTTATATATAAAATATTTATAGTTTAAGATTTAATCTATTATAGATAATATTTATTTACTTTTAGAGAAATATTAGCTCTTTATTCCTTTATATATTATATATATTATATAATAAAATTTATTATTAGCTTCCTTTTTATATATTTATTATAGAATAAATATTAGTTACTAGTTATATTTATATCTTATAGATCTTAATTTTAAATTTCTCTTATAATATATCCTCTTATATTTTTAAGCTTTTATCTCTAGTTCTTATTAATCTTTATCTATAGTAAACTTACTTTACTAAATAAATATCTAGCTTTTTAATAACTTTAGATTTACCTAATTATCTAATTCTCTTTAGATAGGTTATTTATTATTTCTATATAGATTATATATATAAATAAGTCTATTATCTTAAAGTATATTAATTTTCTTTAATAAATATACTTTATATATTATATTCTATTTTACTTATATCTAACTAGAAGAAACTAATATTTTTAATCTACTATTAGTTTATTTATTTTTTTAATCTTTTATTAAAAACCTCTTTATTATATCTATAAGATATATTATAGATTCCCTTTAGCTTTAGTCTTCTACTAGGTTCTCTAACTAATATATTTACTTAGAGGTTTACTAATATAGTTAGTAATCTTAGCTATCTTTTAGAAATAGTATTTTTAATAAAGGTATTCCTTCTAATAATAAAGTTCCTTTTAATTTTTAATATATATTTATATAATATCTTTCTATTAATATACTTATTAGTTAATATAAAACTAAATAGTATATTTCTAATTCCCTTTAATATTTAGATTACTATCTAGTTAGAATTAGATATTAGTAATTTTATAATCTAAAAGTTAGATATATTAGTTAATTTTATCTATAGCTCTTTATATTAATATATTTATAACTTATTCTTTTACCTTATCTATTATTTTAATATTTCTTCTAATAGATCTTATTAAAATTATTAAGATATTAATTAGCTAGCTATCTAGCCTAATTCCTAGTAGGTCTATAATTCTAAAGTTAGCTCTTCTTCTCTAGACTAGAATATCTAAAGGTTTATTTATAAGGATCTAGGTTCTTTAAGTAGTTATTTTAGCTTTTTTCCTTTTTATTAGAATATTATATTATTAAGGTTTTTAATATTCTTATATTAGTTTACTAATTAGTTTTTAAGATTTCTCTTTTCTTTTACTTAGTATATAAGGTTATTATAATATTAAGATATCTTATTTAAATTTATAAAGATAAATTAAATTTATTATTTAGTTATAATATTTTTCTAATCTATAGATCTAAGTTAAATAATATTATTATTATTATAACTTTATTAGCTATATTAGCTATTATTAGTAAATAAGGTTTATTATAGGTAGACTATTATTTAGTTTAGTTATATATTAGAGCTATTAACTAGTTATTATTAGTTCTTATAGCTATTAGATATTTAACCTATAGATTATCTAATTAACTAATTCTATAAGTATATTAATAAGTAAAAATATTTATTAATTATAAGTAGTTATATTTACCTTAGATTATATATAATAACTATATTATAATATAATATTTAAGGTTATAAAGTTTATATCTTTTCTAACTCTTATATCTATCTATCTATTATCTTTTATATCTACTTACTAGTATACCTATTAGCTACTTAGGTTACTAGTTAGTTATCTATATTAGTTAGTATCTTTACTTATTTATATACTAATAGTATTAATAGATATTAGGACTTTTCTATATAATAGTAATCTTTATAATATTAGGTATACTTAGAGTAGGTTTAGGGTATAGTTAGGGCTTACTATAGGCTAGCTCTACCCTAGATCTAAATTATTCCTTTATAAAATAATTAAAGATAAAAAGAGATATATAAGAATAAATAATTTATAAAAGATTAAGATATAAAAACTTTTAAGAGAAAAGTAATATTATTTACTATTTATAGTTTATTTTATTTTTAATCTCTATAATTTATTTTTAGTTAAATAATAAGATAATTAAAGATTATTTTATTTTTTACTATCTTTTATTTTTAAAATACCTATTTATTATTTTAGCTTTATTTATTAAATCTAAATATTATTTATAAAATAACCTTTAAAAATTATAATTTATATATATTTATATATATATTATCTATATTATTCTTTACTAATATATTTTCTATTTATTTTTATTTTATTTTATCTAAATTATTATCTTATTATTTAATATTAAATAACTTATTATATTCTATTAGTTTTATAATTAGTTTATATTAAAATAAACTAAATTTTTCTTAAATATTATATATAATAAAGTATAAATTATTAAATAAGTTAATAATATTTAATATAAACTTTAATAAGTAAATACTTTTTAAATATACTTTTTAAATAATTTAATTTCTTTCTAAAAATTAATATATATATCTAAAGATCTAAGTATTTTATATTAAAAGATAATTATATAATATAAGTATTAGCATTTATACTTATTAAATACCTAATTATTACCTTTTCGTGACATAACACGTGTAATAGCATGTCGAATCGATGTGCCAGCTTTCTCGATCTCTCGCTTGCTTAATCCTGTGGTAACGCACACCTTCAGTGCTGGTTGCATTTCCCATGAGCCAACCTTTAATCCTGTGTTGCTCAGTGTGGATGCAGTTTTCAGCCGTGTTATCAACACACCATTCGCAAGTGCCTATTTGGGAGAATTAGCTATTTTTCGTGATTGAAGGGTCGAATCAGTTACCTCATCTGTGCACTCCTGGAGAAGCTTTTCTTGATCCTCGATCGTTAACGCTCGTGCGTGGATGACTGTCGGTTTCAAAACCAGCAACAAGATCGGGTTTTCCGGAGCACTGGTGCACGTAACCCAATCGCTGCGAGGATCTAGCTGTGCCCTCATGACTTTGATATTTTCGCGACAAAGGCTTATGACATCCGGATTGGATTGAAGCATATTCAGTGTCTCGCTTGCTGTGACAGCAAGCATGGCAGGCAAGGCAGCAGAAAATGTGAAGGAGGCCGAGGAGACGCGCTGGTGTTCGACGACGTCCTTTGGACCTGCACAGAACCCGCCACCTGCGCAAAGGGGACCGGCTAGGGAGCCAATGATCATATCTACCTGAGACGGGTCTACGTGTTGTGCTTCAGTCAAGCCCCGGCCGGTACGGCCTAATACACCGAATGACCAAGTCTCATCTAAGATGATGCGAAATTTGTACTTTTCCTTGAGTTCAATCTGCAGAGGAGGGTTAAATGGATTCATTAGAATGAGGCCTCGATGAGTGTTTGCGGACGAGAAAATAGGTCCAAGGGTTTCGGTTGCTTTCATGTTTCGGACTCACAAGTTTGGGTAGGTTTGCGAGATCCCCACCGTCTCAAACAGCCCTTCTGTAACAACAAAGCGACGAGTCAGGCGTTTACCGGATTGCTCGTGCGAAACCCTTCTCATTATACGTTCTAGTTCTTCCATATCGCCGTGCTTGAACCACTTGATGGTACTTCTGGAGATCTGCAAGCCCCTTCGGATAGAAAAATTTGCGGCGCTGTCTGCCACTATAATGTCTCCGCGTTTGCAAAAGGCGGGTATGACGCTAGAGATCGTGGAAAAGGCTTGCGCATAAACGATGCAGGCTTCGGTGCCAATGTATGAGGCTATGTCTGCTTCAGTCTTCATGTGCACGTCTTGCGTCCCGTAAAATTGGGGAGGGCCGCATGGCCCTACGCCATACGTGCGCAAAGTCTGAATAGCCTTGTCTTTGATTTGCTCGTTCCCGTTGAAGTTATAGAAATTATAGGATCCAAGATTTACCACAGTTCGCCCGTTGGACAACTTAACCTTTGGGCCACTTGGGCTATCATGTCCATCCATGTTAACACAATGAATGGCCGCACACACAATGCGAGCTAAGACGGATGGGATTCTCTTACCCAACAATGATGGGCATTTTTCATGCTCCATAGTTTCAAGCGTGGTTTGTGGGGGGACAAGAGGTTCAGGCACCCATTCTTCCACAAGTTCATCAATTTCCTAAAATAGGGGTTAGCGAATGCACGACGGCAAGCGGGCAATGTGCGTACATCTTCGCGCAACTTGATGAAATTTTGTTTTTGAGTTGAATAAGAAGGAGACAGTAAGTAGCGAATGAAGAATAGTATAAGGACTAGCTCAATGGCAGATCGAATGGGATCGTTTTGATAGCTTGATCGGACGTATCGGATGAGGACAGCAGAGCCGGGGATTTTTGGAACGCGGTCGCGGTGGTGTTCAATACTCGGGAAATGAGTATTTGAACCTCGTCAAACTCCATTTTGCAGATCGGGCAGTGAGACAGAGGGCTCAAGGAACAGTGTTAGAGGGATAGGCAAAGATGACACAGGAAGCGAATAGATAATAGAAAGGATTGCGCGGGAGGTATCGGGACGCTGAAATTATTTTGGAGTGCTCGGGATATGTTGATTACTAATATTGGACATCTTGGTGTTATGGAAGTTGGTCACATTAAAGTTGGGTAAAAAAAACTACATTATTCTAAAAGCACATATGTAACCATACATTGATTATGCTAGCCCTTTCCATTCGTCCTTTCCGTTTAAGGGTGCACGCGTGGGTTAAATATAGATTTGACACGAGAGGTTGGGATGCCCACTTTGTCAGATAGTAGGAGAGCACAACAGTAGTTATTAGAGTACTCTCCTCTTCCTGACACAGATGCGAGGACTGCAACCGGGGCTCGGGCAGTTAAGCCAAACCGAAGCCCAGACCCCCTGTTCGTTAGATGACCAGGAATTTCAGCTTAGAGTCGAGATCCAGATCTTCCTCGTCTGCATTATCCTCATCAGTGGAGTCGGCAGGGCCACCAGTTGGTTCGGCCGTAGTGTCGTTGTTGTCTTGACCGGCAGGCTGCATGAGATCAAAGTCATTCAAGATGGTGATAGAGTCGGTTGGAATCTTGTCACCAGCTACAACAGGCCCAACAATTAAGGCGACAAAGACGACAAGCATGACGAAATATAGGATTGCATAGCGGAAGACACGCCGACGTCTCAGCTTGGTTTGCTTCATTGAATAGATAGGCGGACGAATTTGACGACTAAATTCTGAAGGTTAGTGGTGACATTCTGAGTGAGGCACTGCCGGAAAACAAGGGTGACAATACCTAGGGAGCAACCAGAAGAGCATCATTGAATGAACGGTGTCGATCTTGGGAATGAGAATGATTGGTAACATGATGAATAGGAGTATGTGCCCAAGAATGAAGTCAGCAGCAAACATGCTCAGTTCCGTGATTTTGCATAGGAACTCGCGGGCTGGTTGTGACACTGAGTGCCAGCCCATCGAGTACCACTTTCCGGTCCAGAAAGCAATATTTGCCTGGTCAGTCTTGAACTCGCGGGTCAGAGTTAAGCTGACTATGAGCTTGAAGACAAATCTTTGAACAGCGACGACCGCAATCATTCCTGACAGGGTCCTGGCAAAGTTGAAACTTTCTAAGAGAAACATGGCCTCGAAGAAGATTAAGAGCATCACAACAGCTACACCATGGGCAATAGCCGCCAAGACACTCCCAAATTTCTTGCAACACATGCTGAGAACAGGCCCCATGAAGCAGGCCATGAAGAAGAGAACGGCTAGGGTTCCGGCGTTGATTGCGATCGGGGCGAAAGCAACGATGCCTAGCCTGAGAAGCGAGCTTGTGGGGCCGGGTGTGTCTTCCTCACTTACACCAGTCTGGGCATTGATGTATAAGTAAGGAATTACGGTTACCGCCACGAGAAATAGCGGCACCAGGATTTCACCATAAAAGAGGTTGGTAAGGGCGGCTCGTGGAACATCGGCAGAAAGCTTCCCTGACGGATCCCCTAACGTTTTCCTCTTGTAACCAGTAATTCGGGTTCGCGAGAGACGACAGAACGCAATCCACGACGAAGCATGAGATCTTGAATTTCCTCGGGACAGCCATCGGAGGAAGTCGCGGTAATCAATGAAAAAGTCGTTCCATGCAAACTGATGAGGGTTAAACAAAAATGGTGAAATGACTAACGCCAAGATTGTGATCCAGAAATATGTTAGCGCTGCCTGCCACATAGTGACCGTGGCGAAAAGCAGCATCATGAGCAGTCTGGCGCCAAAATATATCGAAGGGCCCGCAAATCTCGAGTACAAGACACCGAACGGAATACGCGCCGTTGCGAAGCCTCTTCCGGTACCGATATAACGAGCGCCACCGAAGGACAGGTCTTGCTGCACCGAGTTGGCATAGATCTGTGTCACGAACACTTCGAAAAAGAGCGAGAACGAAAAATCTGTTTCGCGAGGCGTGTTCCGGCTCTCCAGACTCCGCGTTCCGTAGCTTCTTGGACGACCAGGGGGATGAAAGCTAGGAAAGCAACAAAAAGATCGAGAAAACACAACGGTAGACCCAGTCGGTCAATGCGTCAGTGTTCGCACAGCCAGTGGGGAGGAGAGCATCAGTGATTGGAACGTCTCTGTTATAGTTGCAAGGTATTGTCTCGTGCCGGAGAGAGCCCAAATTCAACAAGGTAATCATGAACATTTGTACCGACAGCATAATGAACATGTTATTGATGTGGAAGCCGGCGTGTGCGTAGTAGAATGAAAGGAATCTGTCAAGAGGAAGTTGGGTGCCAAGGTAATAATATTCGCGTGAGAGCATCTGTTCTCCCATACCAGTGCCAATCTTGGTCGTGAAGTTAAGGATAGAGCCAAAGCCTAGATCACGACCTTTACCGCACTGGTAATACTCGCAGTGCTTGATTCGGCCGCCTCGGAGGACTGCATTCATACCGGCATAGATATCCTCATTGAGGTGAAGACCTTTTGAGCCTTGGAGACACCGCCCCTTGTTGTCATGAAGATGCCATTTAGGAAATCCGGATGACCATAGTGGAGTTTACCGCCAATTTGGGCGAGTGTGCGCGCAAACAGGGTTCCGAATGTTTGTTCTTTTCCGGCAGCGACATCGCCGAGGATGCCAATATTCTCCGAGAAAATGTACTCGCGCGCACCAAGGATAGCGACTGGCGCTTTCGCAGGGTTCTTCACGCCTGGGGTATACGGAGACGTGTTATCAACCTTCATTTCCTCGAACTCGGCGAGGACACTTCGGATCTTCAGGCACTCCTCGAGATAGTTGTCTTGGTTGGCGTCGATGAGTTGAATGTACTCTCCGCGATAGAAAATCAAGGAATGGTTTTGATTGTCAGATTTCCCATCGCCAAGGACAGGATTCCCGGAAAGCTGGATACGGAATTTAGGTCGTCTCATGCCGTTTTCCATGATTTCAGAATGGCCATCGATTAACGCAGAGTATAAACGAGGCTCTTCTCCTTCCACGAGCGGAGGCTCTTCATCAAGGTATGCAATTTGGAGGTCAGGATACGCACGAAGCAGGAATTCGGCATTTTCCATCTCTTCCTTTTAAATTTGGCATATCGTTGCATTGAGATAACCAGTTTAAACTTGCGCCGAGCCATGCGTTCAAGCTCCCTCTCGAGCTTATCCGAGTTCCCCCGAACATCTGAACAACCTCGGGATTTTCAACCCTGTAGAGAAGCTTGATGGCACGGCTGTAATTCATGAAACCAGACACGGTGCGGTAGAGTGTCTGTGAGCGAAGAGAGGCCCAGATACGAGTGCGGAGCGTGTATTCCGGAGCAGAGGACTTGAATCCAATACAATAGAATGGAAGGTCATCGATCTTGCTTTTGGCCGAGTCTTTTTCATTTTTTCGTAGTCCCCATTGAATTGCGACGTCTCATCCGCAAGGATTTTGGTGTCCTTAACAAAACAATCCCACTCGTGCGGGTGCAATTGCTTCAAGTATTCAAGGAGCGTGACTCTAGAATATGGCTCATCCTCACGGATGATTTCACGTAGTGAAAGAAGGATCTTCTCACTGTAGTGAGGGATGAGAACTGTGAATGTTGGCATGTTGTCGACGGGAAGGGGCTCTGGAATGGGTGTCGAGAGTGACTGAGCAAAGAATGACAGCCGCCGGTCAGCCTCGCTATGTTTGGGAAAGAATTCCGTTTTGAACGAGTGATCCTCTTGAGAAACGAAGAACGTCGGAGCACGCAATGTCCGCTTTCCTTCTTGCTCCGAGGGGACCTGATGATACAAAAGCTTTTGAACGTGGTCAATAGCCAAAAGGTGCTCCCGGTACATCGAGATGATGATGGCATTCCATATTTGTGAAATGAGGACCTTCGGCTTGTACTTAATTTCCATGTCCGTCGTTGCTAGCACTTTGGAGTAGATACGCTTCGGAAGTCGTGCGTATATGTTCCGCCAAGGGGTCCAAATCGATGACCCGAGATAAAATGATCTTGCAAGTGAAAACAGTGTGTTGACCAAAACATAGAAGAGGTAAGTGTCGAGAAAGAAGAAGAGAAGGTCGGTAAAGGCCATAAGTCCAAGGAGGATCGAGGGCTGGTTACTACACAGCACATTTCCGAAAAGTTTATCGCCATGACAGTTGATCTTCATGATGGAGAGGTATCGAATAGGGTCCCGGAATGACAACGTCAGGTAGATATAGGCACCACCCAGCTTCGTTCCGAACACTAGTAGCCAAAGGCCATACGACATGGCCAGGTCATTACCTTTCAAGCGAGGATAGCTTGCAGTAAAGGTTTGACTAGCCACATATCGACGCGAATTCTTTGTCATATAGCTGCCAAACAGACCACCTAGAGGCATAACGGAGAAGAAAAGGAATGTCGCAACAGCGATGAAGAACTGCACGATACCGAGGATTTTCGCTATGTTCTCCTTGAGTATTGGTTCCTTAAAGCCAAATACGTATACACTAGGGGCGACGTTGATGATGAATATGGCGATCAGAAACAACAGTCTTTTCGTCAAGTGTTGGGCTCCCGCCCAGCGTCGAGGTACGTAGGCCCATTCAGCCAAGGTTGCCAAAATCTGGATGAGTGATGCGATAGCGCCACCGATCGCCACGACGGACCATTGTTGTGATGCCGGAGGCTGGTTGTTCTCACGCTGCTTGTACTTGTCTCCGAGGACAACACTTGGGGCATTATGTGAAGTATAAAACCAAAACATTGTCAAGTGAATGATCCAGATGCGGTTAAAGTTGACGAGAAGATGGAACCATGATCGTGTTTCCTTGTATGTCTTGAAGAAGCACTTCTTCCAAAAGACGTCTTTCAGCTTCAAATAGCGCTCAGCGGGCGGGATGTCAACCAGCCGCGTCTTGTCTTCCATCACAATGCGTTCAATTCCCTCGGGATACCAGAATAGCTGGTTGCAATCATCATATCCAATCGTTTGGTTGTGGTCTCGCTCACGCCGGACATAAACTCCGTCCAGGATCTCGTAGCCTTGATCTCGGATATACTGGTAGAGTGGTGTGATGACGTTGTTGAGATACGTGAATTCTTCCACAGGTTCAACGAGGTTCTGACAAGCCGGTGAGTTCAGGTAATCATCGGCGCATTTAAAGATGAAGCAAAGACACTCGGGCATAAATCGGACTTGGTTGGCTTCTCCCCAGCAAAGAAGGTAAAGGGCAACTTGTCGAACGCGATCATGCTGAGACATTCGATTCATCCGTGTTTTCCATCTGAATTCGGCGGCTTCCAGACTGTCATCGCCTTCAAGTCCTTGAAGGATTTCAGCTTCAGTCTGGCCCTCCTCATCATTCTTCTTCTTCTTTTGCGCGACCGCCGCAAGCCTTTTCCCTTCATATTGGCAAAGCCGACAGCGTCATCCAAGTCAAGATGCGCCGCGAAATACCACTTTCTATAATTGGCGTTGTCTCCACCGATATAATCGGCATGGAGAGACAATAGGGCTTGGTTTGGGGTCATCCGTGATGCCCGTGAATCGAGAAGCGTCATAAAATGGTCGTACATGTTCCGCATACTGTCTCGCTGAAAGCCAAATTTCGATGTAAGGTCGATAAAGATATCTTCGATCTCTTCCTTAGACAGTGGAATCTGGGAGTCTGACGTCCAGGCGGGATAAGGCTCTCGTGATCGTTGTCCTGCAGGCATTGCATTCCCGTAATCCATCCCATAATTGGGGGTAGAGGCTCCAGAAGATCGGTTGGCGTATGAGATTTGCGATGAAGGTGGCCGATAGCCGCGAGCTCCCATCTGCCCCTCGTTATAGCCATTATAGTTCTCATCGCCGTGTCCATAATAGTCCATATCGCCACCCCGGGTTGTGAAGTCGCTGAAAGTCTCAGAATCCTCATGTGATGCATGACGGGGGCCGAAGCCCCATAACCTTGCTGATACTCTCCGTCATTGTAGTTGCCATCGTTATAATACTCGTCTTGATACTGTTCATGCCCATCGTAGTAGCCACCATCTTGATGATATGGGTTGTTTGGATCCGCGTTGTAATAACCACTGCAAAGAAAAGAAGAAAGAAAAAAGTCAGCATGCTCCTTGCGTTGATCCTTGACAAACTCACGATTCATCGTAATATCCATCCCCGCCCTGTTGGCCTTGACTATATCCGTTCGAGTCGTAGTATTGTGGGTCTTGCTGGTGTTGGTAATACTGATCCTGCGGCTGGTCACTTGGATGGCCATAGCCATCGTCATAGCCTTGGCGGCTATTGCCCGCGTATCCTGACATGTTGAGCTATCACCAAGCTAGTACGCGATCAAGTCAGCCCATTAAGTACTTCAAAGTAGTCCCATCTCCGCGCCAGTTCCCTGCGGCTAAGAGTAAAACGTACTTGCACAGGCTTTCATCAGCGAATGTCTCGCGTTAAGGCGGTTCGTAACCTTGATTTGGATTCTTATCGCGCCGCGTTTGGATGCTCGATGCACGTATTTACCATTTAGGTATTCACGACGGGCGGCTTGATTCTCTCGTCGCAGACAAACGAAAACCTTACTTCACGTATCGCCAAACACTCGTCAAGCGTCTTGATCGATGTCGATCGAGACAGCAACCTCTCACCTTAACAGAGATCAAGGCCACTCAAAGTCAAGACGACAGAACGCGGCTGGAATGCTGCTCTTGTACCGCACTGTTGGTGTTGCGAAGAAAAGCACCAAAAAGGGCGGAAGAAGAAACCCGAAGGCAAGAAGAAGAAAAATGAGCTGAGCAGAGAAGTAAAAAGAAAGCAAGAGAAGGACGCAAGATAAGATGGAGGTACAGAGACCTCAAATTCGAGCGATCCTCGGAAAAGAAAAAGGAGAAAGGTTTTGCTGAACAAAGCCAACCAAACGAGTGACGAGGCTTTAGTTCTGGTGGGAGCGAGGTTGTTCAGTGCAAATGGGTTTTCTCAAGATGATCAGGGGGAAGGGTTAAAAGGAGAAAAAGGAGAAGGCCCACCCTGGATGGTTGGGGACACCCGTTTCTCCAAAGTCCGATCCATTGCCAAGTCACCCCTGCCTCAAACAGTGTTGCCCAGCTCCGGGAAAAGGAGAAGGGGTGGCTGAGCGTGTGCTCCGCGCCCCACCTGGTTTCCAGAACGAATGTACCAGTGGCACGCTCACTAATTCAATAGAAAAAGTACCTCCTTCATTGTACCAGTACAAGCCCAGGGGTAGCAGGAGACTTTAATTGGCCACGCCCGTCCTGAACAGGTATAACTCAGGAGATGGCACTTGTTCCTAATGGATAAAACATCAACCCGCATCAACCTCCGATGCTGAAAATCATAGGGCATATTACTCGACCTGTTGCGAAGGTGAAGGAACCTCCTCTAATACAGCCCACCTCCATTCTCCTCTTCTCTTGGCGGCCTGATAGATTATGGGGGCCTCCCGAGTCGTTTCTACCTTTTTCTTATTTTTATTTTTTTTTTATAAACCTGCTTTCGTCCCGTTTTCTCACTTATGGGAAATTTTTCTTAAGGCAATAAATTGCAGACAATGAGCCTTTGAATAGTTAGGAAGCTTGAGTGAGCCAACCAAGTTGGCGAGGACGGAAGTACATGTACTATGTACTGTGTTGACGTCAGTATTGCTCAGAAGCAAGGATATGAACCACCAACCCGTCTGCATCGAAACCCAGAAAATCTGGTTTTTGCCACAAGCGGGTGCCGTGCAATTTCACTGTCATATCTCAAGCAAGAAGTCTCTGAATCTGAGAAGATAAACATTAATACCCCTATATTGCACACGAAGAGTCCTGAAATTCAGTGCGGATTGCTCCTGCCGGGCTACCGTTATAAATCATATATGCATTGTATTGGCACGCTTTCAATAGAAATGATGCCTCTGATGGCATGATTTTCGGCAGAGGGTCAATTTATTTCCTTTCCTGAACAAAGAGATCTTGCGTTGAATCCTCAAGCCGAGATAGTAGGACGAAGAGGAAACGTTCAGAAGCCTAGGGAAGATCTTCGGAAGATTTAGACCTGGAGACTTTAGGTTGCCCAGCCAACCGATATCACGGCGATGTCTAACGGCCTGGGGAGCGTACCTGCTCCGTGAATTAATACAATAAGACCACTAAACCCACTTTCTCGCCAAGTTGCTCTTAACATTTGTTGTCAGTAGTGGTTGTATGGAGCAGCCACTTTCACAAGTAGTACCACCATAATTTTCAGAGCCTGACCATGTCTGAGCCTTCTCTCGCTCCGCAGAGCCGACAAGGTGTGCGGCTGCGACAGCAGTCGAACACGACCTGAGGTTAGTTGCTCGGCACTTCGAGGGCCCCTAGGCACGAATCGACAAGGGAAGCCATCGATGAGACCAGCACTGCCAAACAGTATTCCACAGACAGAGGGCCGACAACATGTCAATCTCCAGGATGACTACATGCACAATAATGGAATCTGTCAAAACGAAGAAATAAAGCGCCCAGATTCCGTCAGGAGGCAGCGTTCAGTCCGGGGAGGGGATGAAACGGAAGAAAGCAAAAAGATCAGTGGCGGGATCCCGGCAATTACAGCAGATGCCAACTTTAGTAACGCCCAACGGAGACAGGAGGGATATCCCGTGGAGCGCGCCATAACCGCAACGAAGGTGGAGTTGGAGAAGAAACCACCCTTACGCCCGTTTTCTGGAAAAAGGGCGACGATTTGACCCCTCATCTCAAATCATCGCCATCAAAAAGCAACACGGAAGGCAGGCATTCAACCAACGCAAACGCGAGGTCGCAGACACGTTCCTTCGAGAATTGGATGCAAGGCTCACGGGAGGACAGCTATTCAAACTGACGGGGTCAACCGGAGGTATCAAAATCAATTGGACGAATCGACTCACGACGACAGCTGGAAGGGCGAACTGGAAAGAGAGCTCATAAAAACAACGACAGAGCCCGGTACGGAAGTTCAACACAGCCATTACGCCTCCATAGATTTGGCCGAAAAAGTCATCGATGATGAGCATCGCCTCTTGAATGTTGTCGCTCACGAATTCTGCCATCTTGCGAACTTTATGATCACTGGCGTCACCAAAAATCCACATGGCAAGGAATTCAAAGTATGGGCTAAGCAATGTTCCGAGGCTTTCTGCAATCGGGGAATTAATGTCACAACGAAGCATTCCTACGCAATAAATTCCAAGTACATTTGGACTTGCGTCGAATGCAGCCTCGAGTATAAACGGCATTCTAAGAGCATCGATCCTCTCCGACATCGATGTGGGACTTGCAAAGGCTACCTACAGCAGACCAAGCCATTGCCAAGGGCGACTCTATCAGAGTATCAACTTTTGTGAGAGCTGAGATGAAACTAATAAGACAAGAGCGATCCCAGGGGATTTCGCAACGAGAGATCATGAAGGTGGTAGCTGATCGGTGGGCCATTCTGTGCCAAAGAAAGGAGGAAACCGACAACACGAACCATAGTACGGCTTCGATTACTACCAGTATTGAAAGCGCTTTCAATGCATTGGAGCTATAGCATCTACCCTCCTCCCTGCCACGGTCACTTTAACAGGACAAGAAACGCGCTGAAATTGAGCTACAGCGTTTAAATATGTTCGCATTACTACATGCTAGTGAGTGCATGAGAACCAGTCTGAAGTGACGCACCCCACATTACGTAGCTTCGCTAGGCTGCCTTGAATAGACCCCAATCTTTGACCTTGAAGGTATCCCAAATCCTCCCGGCATACTCGACGGCATCACCGATGAGGACGCCTTGCTTACCCAGTTCAAGATCCACCTCTTCCTCGGCGTACTCGCCCTTAATATGCGGCACATTTATGGTGATAGCGATGTCTGTAGATTCGCGCTCCAGTCGTACTAATGTGAGTATAATCGCTGTAAAATCCGGCACTGATGAGCGCTCAGTTCTGCTGGACTTGGGGGTTTGAGTGGCAATTAGGGTATAAGCAGGAATATCATTGCTAGTGAGTACTGCTATGTTAGTAGGGGAGGGTTACGTCGGTCGCAGTGGCTTTTTTACGGAAAATTACCGTCGATAGGAGAAAAGGGCTTGAGAAGCTTACCCGAGTCTTGAAAACTGCGTTACTGACGAACTCCACACCTTCACCGTTGCGATTTCATCTCCAACGATGTCTTCGAGATGTGTTGTCAGGGCGGTTCCATCAACCTCCGGTCCACGTCCTTCAGGCCCCACTCTCTCCGTGATATCAAATATAATCGACGTAAATCCTTTTCGTCTATCCAAACTTCTTGGTTGTCTGGAACTTGACGGATTTTGCTGGCGGTGGATCAAAACCTCTGCTCTAGGGAAGGAGTAGATAAAGTGACTCACCTAACATCAACGAAATGCGCGGGGAGATCGCAGACCAGGGCACCTCCGTATAGAGCGGTGAATGAAAACGTGGACATATTTGCCAGAGTAAGGTTGCGTAGTTAAAAGAGGGATGTGAGCTGGCAAGAATGAAGAAGCCTTGGAGCAAGGTTTGAGGGGTCAAGTCCATCCGACCCTTGGGCCTATTAGTTATAGATGGATGTGCTCTGTGACGTAGCCGAGCTCTCCCTCATCCCACCCCGCCCTTCCAGGATACCCAAAAACCTTTTTTAAGAAGATATTATATATAATGATATAATTTATAATTATACTACATTATAGTCTTTTCAAAACATAAAGTATAAATTTGATTTCAAAATAGATATATGATTTTGATTTTGAAATTTGATCTAAATAGAAATTTATTTATATTTTTAACAGTTTTAGTATTATAAATCAAGTAGAATATACAAGTATATAGCTATATTATATAAGCCTACATGACTTCACCAACGCATCTTAGCACTTTGACATATGTAGAAATTCAAATGCTAAGCAGCCTGAATTTTCTGCCAATACCTTTATTCTTATATTTACGACTATTCCTTGGGTGTTTGCGCTTCGCCGCCGCTGGGCAAGTAATAAATACAGTGTGGCCGTGTTTGGGGAAAAATATCATTTGGCAAAAATTAAAATTTCGAACCACGAGGTTCTGTTTTTCCCAAAGATTTTCCGAATGGAGTAATTTGGGCCATTGCTACGGTCACATCTGGTAAAAGGCAAGAGGTGAGTTCGCTAGAAGGTCCCACTCCATGACAATGAGCCCCAAGTTTAAGACTATAAAGCCAAGTTGGTGACTGTGAAGCTGAGTCATCTTGCCTCCGAGGTGGGGTTCTGATTATGGTGCCAATCCCTTGCCTGATGCTTCCAAAACCTCCCCTTGCCTCACGACCGACAGCAACCAGTTACTTACGATCTTGAAACGGACTTATGAAAATGACTTCGTGCATCTTCTGTCGCATTATCAAGGGTGCGTCTATTTACTTAGTGGGTTTGGACAGAGAAATAACCTTCAGTATAGGCGAGATCCCTTGTTTCAAGCTCTTTGAGAGTGAAAAAACCTTGGCGTTCATGGATATAAATCCATTAAGTCGCGGGCACGCGGTCAGTGAAAGCCAGAAGACTTGGGATTGATCGCTATTTGCCGATGCTGATACCAATGTGCTAGCTTGTGATCCCTAAGTACCATGGCGCGAAGCTCGGCGACATCCCAGATGATCACCTCAGCGAAATTCTGGTGTGTTTTTACTTGGTGTCCGCCTCACCTCTCCTCTAGCTTCTAACGAGATCTCGATGGCAGCCGGTCGTTAAAAAGCTGGCTGTAGCTACTGAGGCTATCGACTTTAATGTGTTGCAGAATAATGGCTCGATTGCACATCAGCAGGTTCATCACGTAAGTACGCGCGGTGACACAATGACTGGCCGCTCGCACTGACCTCATGTTCGCACACCAAGGTCCACTTTCACATGGTATGTCTGTCTCTGCTAGATTCTGTGCCTGGCGCGGGTTTTGCTAATTAGATGGCACACCAGATCCCGAAGCCGAGTATTGAAGAGGGACTTGGCATTTCTTGGCCTGCGCAGGCAACAGACATGGATAAGTTGAAAGCTCTTTTCGAGCATCTCAAGTCCAAGATGTAACGGTTTGAGATATCCGTCTAAGTTATACCTGAGATAAAGAATACATCCGATGTGTTCAACTTCTGCTAGACTCTCTCTCGCAAGCAAAAACACGAGTCCTCTAGACGAAGAATTCTTGTACATGATAGACGGTAAAGCCCCCAAAAAAAAAAAAAAAAAAGAAGAAAAAGCATACTGCGTTAGTCCACATCATCTGCGGAGGGTTCGTGAGCCACAACGCTAGCGCTAGTGCCCGCTGCAGCTGGGTAAAGATCAATCATACCGCCGCTCTTGATCATTCCAAGTCGATCATAGAGTGAGCGAGCCCTTAGATATGGGTCTAGCTCCCAATAATTTGTCCGAAGCCTCTCAGCGGTTGTTGCCCGCGCCGCTTGGTGGCCTTGGGCTTCGGCAGGAGTGGCGCTCTGTGCCCAACTCTGGGTCGCACGCTCATATTCCTCGACAAGTCCTCGCCTCGTCTCTAGGAGACGATCTCGAGTAGCGGTATCGGCCATCAAGCGATTCTCGCCATCCAATGGTTCAATATATCTATATTCCCAGTCCTCTTTCCCGTCAACTTCCTTCGGAAGACGCTCTAGATCCACATAACTGGCCATCTCGTTTGCACTGTTTAAAAATGAACCTTGCTGGCAACAACAGGATCCAACCACCCTCTGATGATTTTCCAAATCCCTATTCAGATGTGTTAAACACTGTTTGGAGACGCTGAAGGTTCTGGAAATGTACTAAATGCCTACCTTGAAAGACCCATGGTGCTTTATAAACTAGGACTGCCCCGAGCGACTCGGGATAATTTGCTTCAAAACATTTTATCATAAACTTGACTGGTGTGTAATCCTAAGCACGGGGTTTGTAAGAAAAGAAATCTCTCGGTTCTAAAGGCTAAGACACACCATGTTGGCCAGCGAGAAGCCCGTCATGTCGAATATTATCGTCTGCCAAATGTGTTAGAACGTCTCATGGGTGAAGTGGTATGGTAAGCTTTCTTCGAGGATCGCTCGCTGATGGTAGGGGTTACTTTACCGCCGTGTCAATAGGGGGTCGAAGGAGCATACGGGCCGTTTCTATGATATAAACGGTATTCCTTTCCAGGGCTTCCTCGGCGTGCTCGCCCTGTCGGTGGAGTCGAACCCTCACGAAACAAATCGGCCGACCTTCCTTGTCAGAACCGTGCAAGAAGCTTTTACCCATGCGCATCTGTGCTAGAAAACCGTGACCCAGCTTCTTTGAAAACTCATCGCCGCTGGTCTCGGCTTCTACTGCGGCGGCTTCTCCATGTTTCATGATGTCATCATCAACGTGCATCTCCATCGCCCTCCAATTCATGGTGGAGATGAGCATCACCAGTGCCTTCTCCACGTCCCATTTGCGAGCTCTCAAGAATCTCAAAAGTAGGGCATCGGGGTCATCATGCTTCACCATGCTCCATATTGTATCCCGGATAGATTCGGGAGATTGGCGCGCGATGGTTTCATGAAACTGTTTATTTTGTCCGTACTTATCGTCGAAGTCGGGATTTCCAGCAGCCGCTACCTCAGAAATGGGAGAATCAGCCGTCTCATTGTGAGAGGCTATGTTGCCGCGGCGACTAAAGAAAGAAGGCTTCTTCTTCTTAGCCTTTTCAGTTGCCAACTCAGAGGACGCGGAGCGGGCCTGAATATGCGGCAAGTCGTGGTCAAGCTCACCGTCACCGACGTTGCAGATCCGCAATACTAAAGCCCATAGTTTACGAAGACTTTCCTCCTGTTCTGAGGTGAGGTTGCCAGGACGGCCTGGGGGTATATCGCCTGCTGCCATAGTCGCCGTCGAACCTGAGGGTATATCCGGTTCAAAACAAGATCCTTGCAAGCGGCCCGATCCCAACTGATGAAGACCGGCAGCAATGGCGATTGTGATAAGGGCGAATAGAGAAGCGTGTGAAAGGGATATATTGCTGTGTCGGATGCGCCGGAAAGGTTGTGATTGGGTACGGTAAGCACCAGAATGAGCTCTCCGCCGGCAGAAATGTGCGACCCCTCTTGCTGGCCCCCAAACCTGGTGATTCAACTGAAGGCTCCAGTTGATCCTTAAAGAGGGTGGTCTATAGACAAAGATTGAATATACTGGTCTGTGAAGAGAGGGGTAAAAGGCAACCTGATGAGGAAAATGCATGAAGTGGTCCGTGATAGGGGAGTTGGATGGTGAGAGTTATTGTCCACACAACGCCAATGGGTTTGCGACACAAGTGGGTCGGGTCGTAGGGTCGAGCAGAAACTGGTTGGACTCAATATTATTAGTAGAACAAGAGTTTCGGGTGAATCAAAGCTTAGCTCCTGGATTCCGAGAACCTCCAAGTCTTCTCGAGAGATTGTTTAAATATACTCTTTTTTTTTTTTTTTTTCTTTTTCTCTTTTACAATAATTTAATTGGAACCAGCGTCAAATTTCATCACTCGCTTTTGGCCCTTGCTTTGAGGCTGCTGTGAATATTCTGCTTCACGAAATACCAAGGATATCCCCAGACAACCCTTCCCAACACGTGATATCACTCTCCATGGCATTGGATACTTTGAGCCCCACCTTGTTCGCCTCTGGTCGGCTCGCCGTCGACCTTGTTCTAATAACAAAACCTAGATAATCCTCGTCGACATCAAGTTTGTCACCGGACCTGCTAACGGGCCATTTTCAAGCACTATTTTCAAATGGAGGGGTCCTTTCAAACACTGCGAGACCGAGCTCTCGGTCTCAGAACTCTCGGCCAACCACACCTCTTCGCCCTTCATCCCGTTCGTCCTTTCGAGAGTCTGCGAGGAGAAGCGCTCATCATGATGCGCCCTTTCCACTTAACACTTTTGAACCTGCCTTTGCAGAGCTCTCAGATTCCATCGCCGACTTCGAGGCTAATATGATGCATTTTCAGCTCATGCATGAGAGTCTAGCTCGGTTTAGTGAATCATTTGCGAGCTTCATGTACGGACTGAACATGAACGCATTTTGCGTTGATTTTCCCGAGGTAACAAAAATGATAGGAATTATCAAGCTATGTGCTAACAAATGCCGGTTTCAAGGCTCCCATCAACGAATCATTTCGTCGTGTGAAGCAATGTGACATCCCCCAGGTCAGTGTCTGCACATCGCTCCAGCATGATATAAAGATATCCAATCCTGGTTAAACTACGTGCTTATGGTGCTGGCGGGAAGACATATCACACCAAAAGATCCTCTAGAGATGGATTGCGAAACAACCTACATGTGCGTCTCGTCTAGAACTTGGTTTTCGCGGGATAGTGCCTTACCTAGTTGAAACTATAGGACGACGGACATCTCATTCATAGACAACCCTACTTCGCAAGTTCCCCTAATACGATGGGGATGTCGGCCCCAACGGTCACGCAGACCTTGAACACGAGTGCCCAAGACGGTCGTGCTAGTCGTGGACGTAGCGCCAGGGGTAGAGCGAGAGGCACTGGGCCTAGCGGTCTTGCGCAACCTCGGGTTCGGGGATTGCGATAACTCATGCAGTTTACTGCAGGGGCGTCGAGCCTGCGCACCCTTATTGGGATCACCTAGTGAAGGCATCCAGACATCGTGCTAAATCCTTGGCATTCTGGAAGCCAGCCCCAGTGTTGGTCTTATAACTACTTCCCTCAAGTTATCTCTTCTCTCATGAGTCTGTAGGCATCTCATTCAGATGTCTCCATGTCGTTCCCGTCTTGTGTCGTTACAGTCACACAGAACCCAGTGTTATCGGTCCGAAGACCAATCGCCGCATCAGCTTCCTTCTGAGTATACGGGTCTTCCTGTAGTTTCTTTACCCTGTTCGCAAGGTTGGTTAGTAGAAACAAATCAAATGATATTACATTTCCTGTGATGAACAAACCTCCGTTTGTGAAATTTACCCCGCTGATGTATAAGGAGGGTAGCATTATTCTCGAACCACTTTGCACATTCGACACAGTACCAGTCACCGGACCCCGGTAAGTCCTCAGCACGCATGCCTTTCTTGTATCTTTGGAGATGTTCGGGAGAAGCGAGATCTGCCTTGATTTGATCCAGGTCTCTGGTAAAAAGTGTCAGCAAAGCTATCATTTTGCGTTAAACCTCCAAGTTCTGTGCGAGATGCACGTGACTGTTGTACCTTGTTCTCCTTCTCGTCTTCGTTTTTGTCCGCTTACTTCGAACGCCCATTTTGACAAATCTCGGCGAGCGTGGTCCGGATCAATTTTCGTGTGAACTAGTGACGGTAATAGGAAACATGGCTCAGTGCTGCCTGTTGATCAAATTTTCAACTTCCTCGCAAATGTTGGTCAGACCAAATGCTTAGTCATACACCCCTTTGGACCGACGAGTCTCAGGAAGTCGTGGTCATCTTGGAGAGAAAGGCCTTGGCTGTGATTGGCTGTTATTAGTGGGAGCTCATGCACGGAGAAACGCTCGCAAATACGAGCGGCCCGAGTTGCTGCCGAGGATTGATCTGACGGTAACGGGCCCTCGGAGATGGGTCGGCTCCTGGGCAAATCTCTCCGGCGGGATTGTTTAGTCGGCCACGCGCCTCTAAAAGTCACGACCGAGGAGGTGCCTTCGCTTCAGGCATCACATGTGCGGAGGGGTATCCACCGGGGGCTTGAAAAGTCTGTACCACAGAAAGCACAGCCTAAGGCTCTTTTATTTTCTCACACTACGGCGAGGACATTGATGAACACCCTCAAGCAGCATTCGGAAGCCTACCTACATTTTTATTGTCCTTGCCGGTCGAGCAGGGATTTCTATTTGATGTATACATAGTGTCAACGTTGGACTCAGGATCGCTTGGATCGAACGGAGTGATCCATCCAGTATTTTCTCATTTTTTGTTAGTGTTTTGTGCCTGATTGTAACATGACCTCGGCCTTTGAAGGAGCTTTGGAAGTTTTGCCTCGATAATAAATAATCGAACGACGGTGATTGGCCAGATCCTTGACACACCTTTGTCGTCATAGCTTGGGGTCATTTAGGTTTTTGAGGAGAAATGCCACCACCCAGCCGCTTCTCCGATCGTTATCCGCCGCGTGGACGGGTTTCCAATCCTTAGAGCCGACGGCCAGTCTTTTTTCTCTTCTCTTTTTCCCTCTTCTTTTCCTACCTCCCACCACATCCACACCGAATTCTCCCTTTTGCACTTATCTTCATCTCCATTCACCTTCATTGCCCTTGCGCCAGGAGATATTTCGTTTTCAGGTCTAGTGACGGTGACAATTGGTCCCATCTCCGTCTTCAACCGCGAGGCCAATCCGACTTCAGCTGTCTTTGGGCCTCCTAACGTTTGTCAACTATGGCTCTGACAAGGCATCTCTGCTCGGCGGCCCAGCGGGCGGCCGGCTCAGCAATGGGTTTCGGCGTCCGTCGGATGGCCACAGCCTCTTCTGCCTCTTTAGATAGAAAGGTATGTGGTTTACTGGGCAGGCGGCTTCAGCCTATGGACGAGTAGACGCGAAACTCTTTCTCTCAATCTCTAACCATCGATTGAAACATAGGTCAAGCAAAATAACTGGGAGGAGAGCAATTTCATCAATTACAAGAAGATGTCAGAAAATCTGGCCATTGTTCGCGGAAGGCTGCAACGCCCCTGACATATGCCGAAAAGATCCTCTACTCGCATCTTGATGATCCCCACGGGCAAGACATTGAACGTGGAATTTCGTATTTAAAGCTTCGCCCAGATCGTGTGGCCTGTCAGGACGCCACGGCTCAAATGGCTATCCTACAGTTTATGTCCGCTGGCATGCCTTCAGTGGCCAACCCTACTACTGTCCATTGCGATCACTTGATTGAAGCGCAGGTTGGCGGCGAGAAGGATTTGGCTCGGGCTGTCAGCATCAACAGGGAGGTCTACGACTTTTTGTCATCTGCATGCGCCAAATATAACATCGGCTTCTGGAAGCCGGGTTCAGGAATCATCCACCAAATTCTTCTTGAGAACTATGCCTTCCCTGGCGGTCTTCTGATTGGCACTGATTCCCATACACCCAACGCCGGAGGCCTCGGTATGTGTGCCATAGGCGTTGGCGGAGCTGATGCTGTCGACGTTATGGCAAATTTACCTTGGGAGCTGAAGGCTCCCAAGATTATTGGCGTGAAGCTAACTGGAGAGATGTCTGGCTGGACATCACCTAAGGGTAAGTAGGCAGAATAGCCTCCGAGGATGTGTCTTCTACCTTGCCTTCTACACTCACTAATCACGGTAGCAGATATCATTCTCAAGGTAGCCGGTATCCTGACCGTTAAGGGCGGAACTGGTGCTATCGTTGAGTATCACGGGCCAGGTGTCGCCGGCATCTCAGCCACCGGTATGGGAACCATCTGCAATATGGGCGCGGAGATTGGCGCAACAACGTCTGTCTTTCCATTCAACGACCGAATGTACGATTATCTGGCAGCGACCAAGAGGCAAGATATTGGCGACTTCGCCCGCGTTTACGCCAAGGAGCTCCGTGAGGATGAGGGAGCTGAGTATGACCAGCTGATTGAAATCAATCTTTCTGAACTGGAGCCCCACATCAACGGGCCATTCACGCCTGATCTGGCCACTCCAATCTCCAAGTTTAGCCAAGCAGCTAAGGAGAATGGATGGCCGAGTGAATTGAAGGTTGGGTTAATTGGATCCTGCACTAATTCCTCATATGAGGACATGTCTAGGGCAGCCTCCATCGCTCGTGATGCTTTGAACCATGGGCTCAAAGCTAAGGCGCTCTTTACCGTCACTCCGGGATCCGAGCAGATCCGGGCCACGATTGAACGCGATGGTCAGTTACAGACCTTTGAAGAATTCGGTGGTGTTGTCCTTGCCAATGCCTGCGGACCCTGCATTGGGCAGTGGGATCGCCGAGACGTCAAGAAGGGCGACGCCAACTCGATCATTTCGTCATACAACCGAAACTTCACTGGACGTAACGATGGAAACCCAGCAACACACTCTTTCGTCACCTCCCCTGACCTTGTGGTTGCGCTCACAGTCGCTGGTTCGCTCCATTTCAACCCGCTCACCGATAAGTTGAAGGACAAGGATGGAAATGAGTTCCTCTTAGCGCCCCCTACTGGCGATGGTCTCCCTAGCCGTGGCTATGATCCTGGCCAAGACACTTATCAAGCGCCCCCTAAGGATAGGGCCGCCGTCCAGGTCCAAGTTTCACCCACCTCAGACCGTCTCCAGATCCTCTCTCCCTTCTCGACGTGGGATGGAAAAGATGCGCTGGACATTCCTATCTTGATCAAGGCGCAGGGCAAAACTACCACGGATCATATTTCTATGGCTGGCCCCTGGCTCAAGTATCGCGGCCACTTGGACAATATCTCGAATAACATGCTTATCGGTGCCATTAATGAAGAGAATGGAGAGGCTAATAAGATCAAGAACTTCACCACCGGCGAGTATGGCGCTGTACCTGCGGTCGCGAGGGACTACAAGGCCAAGGGTATCAAGTGGGTTGTTGTGGGTGACTGGAATTATGGCGAAGGAAGCTCTCGCGAACATGCTGCTCTCGAACCTCGCCATCTCGGCGGTCTCGCCATTATTACTCGGAGCTTTGCTCGCATTCACGAGACCAACTTGAAGAAGCAAGGCATGCTTCCTCTTACGTTTGCGGACCCCGCTGATTACGATAAGCTCCGGCCTGACGACAAGGTACGAAATTCCTTTCTATCCCTTCCTCTCACAGTATACCATCTTGGTGTAGATTTAGCGCTAACAAGTTTACTCTATAGGTTGACATCATGTGCACTGAACTTGCAGTTGGCAAGCCTATGACAATGCGCGTTCATCCGAGAAGCGGCCCGTCTTTTGATGTTCAATTACAACACACCTACAATGAGGCTCAGATGGAATGGTTCAAAAATGGAAGCGCCCTAAACACGATGGCTAAGAAGAACAAATGAGCGAGCTGCATTTACACATGCCCTCTTAACTGTTTTAGTATTGATGTATAACTGGCACGGATTTGCGGTTCTTTCCTATTTAGGTTTATAAAAGATTTCATCAATTCACTTGATAAGGATATATCTCTATCTATTACCGAGGTGGCGAAATTTGTGAACAAGCCAACCCTGACTATTAGATGTGATGTTGTTCTTTTCAGTAACTTAAAAAGCCCTATTTCATAGTAGTAGGGAGACGGTTTCCGTTGATGGGTGATCCATGCCACCTGGAAGTGCTTCTTTGATCGACTTTCCTCTTGTTTAGAGAAATATTGCTGACAAATCTTGGACTGCTCAACCTCGATTGAATCCTGCTCTATTAGCTTTTGAAACCTTTCCTAAATGTAATATTCCTCAAGATGCATATGATGGCCTTCTTAAGTCGACGACCGAGCCTTTTCTCTCAGTGTGTAATGACGTTGATTATTACATCGTCAATTCTAACAGTTATCACTTCATGGGAAATTGAGCAATGGGGAGCCTTGACACCTAGCAAGGTTAGCTTCATATCTGGTAAGAGAAGAGGCAGTCTATGAAAAGAGAATAATATACCACTATTAACACTATGGACTCGAGCATATCGAACGAATACATACCCATTTATCTACACTAGCAGCCTGCATACCATTGGCAATATTGCTGCCTTGCTACCTCTGATCTCAACCTTTGAAGCTGAACATGGCACACTTCCCTCATTAGCCTTATTCTTTGGACGTGAGCACGGTCTTTCTAATATGCGTTTTTGCTATATCCTTGGTCTGCTAATAGCTAGTTTATAGCTTTCTCAACATTTCCAGCATTTTTATGGGTTTTCATTGATAAGTTCTTCCTAAAGACTGATATATCCATTTCTGGCGCAAGGTAACCTTCCAAAGCTTCTGAGTAGCCTTATTAAAGTTATCATTTGTGTTAACGGCCTCTTGTACTGTATAGCACATGGGTTTTTTGCTCTTAAGCATAGAACTAGCTCGTTCTCGAGAGGCGCGACCCATCGTCGTTCTTGGACCTCTCCGTATCACCACTCCGCTGGGAATATTGGCGATTATGCTTATCAAAGATATTATGCTCCCGAGCTCGGCACCCATTGGTAATATTTGTGGCGCCTTGATTGGCTATGCATGTAAGAAACATACACGCTGGTGCTCTCTTGTCAAGATGATTAACGGATTTCTCTCCTTAGGCGGCCGCGGATTATTGGTTTGGCTTGCGCCTCCCGAAAAGCTTCTGGGCTGGTTAGAAGGCAGACTTCCCCTTCGGCGGCTCCCATTCTATGTGTCAATGGATCGTAGAAGCGGGCGTGGTAGCGGCCTACCTACTAATCGTAATCTAGAAATGTGAACCGATTCTCGCGAAGAGGTCGGGGCAAGATTCGTGGTCTTCTGAGGACCCGGCCAGTGTTCGGATGAATGTCGGGATTCTGATGTGCATAATTATGTAGGAATTAAGTTTTAGCTCAACATGGGAGAGACAAAGACACTGTGTATAAACAGTGCGAATATATGCGATGCGCAAGCGTGGAAGGAGAATTGAGGATGGCCTCTCCAATATCCACCATCGATGCAAGCGACGTGACAAGTAGATCGAATCATTGTCTTCTTCGATCCCAATTTTATACCCATTTGACATCTCGTCTATCCCTTTTCGAGATGCCGCGACTCCTCGGTAAGGTCATTATACACATCCCCCTCCACCCATCTTTCTCCTGCGTTCCCATCTCGGAGGGAAGCAGCACAGGATACAGCTAATGTGCCAACTTAGCCACGGCACTGCAACTCCGTCGCCACCCTAGAGTCTTGAGGCTTCCGCCATACCTCTCGTTTATCTTCATCGTCATTGGCGTTGGCTGGGTACTACTGCTTCCTTTTAATCACTACTCTCGAAGAACTTATATTTCAGAAAATGCCCTTCTCCCAGGCCAGGTGCATACATACTTCAGTGGAAGCGACCAGAATGTCTTTCGAGCTTTCAAGAATGAGGTGGAATCTGTCACGGGACGAGGAAATCACCAGTACGTGCCATCCTTCGTGGCTGAACTACTTGACGTACCGAATTGACATTTGTGCCTAGGATAAACGATAAATTGGAGGATATTTTGAGCAGTATCGGGCTGAAGGTCGCTCGACAAAATTATACGTACCATTCATCTGGTCACCAATATTCAGGGAAAATATATATGCTATTCTACAGGCTCCGCGTGGAGACGCAACTGAGGCCATAGTCCTCGTAGCTGCATGGAAAACTATGGACAACCTGTTGAATAAGCAAGGAGTTCCTCTGGCTTTAACACTGGCTCGCTACTTCAAGAGTGCGTTAACGTATTGAGCGGGGGCCTTGCAAATTGAAACGTGAGCTGACGAGTACGTTAGGATGGTCTCTTTGGTCGAAGGACATCATTTTCCTCTTCCCCCGGACAGCAAAACCGGGACGCAGGCTTGGGTTGATGCATATCATGACTCTCACCCTCAGGCTTGGGTCAGTTCCCTTCCCATCAAGGCAGGCGCTCTTCAAGGGGCCATCGCTATCGATTATCCTCAAGAGTCCCGGTTTAAAGCGGTACATATAGTTTACGATGGTGTCAATGGACAACTTCCGAACCTTGACCTAATTAACTCGATTGTTCACATCGCGGGTGGCCAAATGGGCTTTAGCGCGGCCATTCAAGGAATGTGGAAACATACGGATAGCTACCGAGACCGGTTGCAAACAATGGCGAAAGGTATGGTCAATCAAGGGCTTGGGTGCGCAACTGGCCCTCATAGCAGTTTCATACCATACCACGTGGACGCAGTGACCCTTCAGCCATTTGGTGAAGGATGGCAAGATGAAATGGCGATGGGTAGGCTTGTGGAAGGCTCGTTTCGAAGTTTGAATAACCTCCTCGAACACCTCCACCAGAGCTTCTTTTTCTACCTTCTCATGAACAAGGATAGGTTCGTCAGCATTGGAACCTACCTTCCAAGTGCAATGCTACTTGCCGCAAATTTCACCATCATGGCGATATATCTTTGGGTCCAGAGCGGTCAGGCGTTTCGAATACACTCTCGTTCTGACCATCCTGTACCATCTAACAAACTGGCGAGACCGAAGCCATTATCATCAGTCGTTTCTGAAAGGGAGCTCTTCTTGCCAATGGGGCTTGTCCTCGGTTGCCACTGCTTTGGCATTGTTCCCCTTTATATTTTCAACAACGCCTCTGCTAGTGTAGGTTCCTTCGCTAATTCCTATCCCCGGAAGGTGACTAGTTGTGGAGCGAGAAGTAGCGCATAGACTGACCATCATGTAGTTACTGGTTCCTTTACTGATTGTGTTCGGCATTTTAACTTTCATCCTCCCCCATATCCTTTCCTGGTCTATCTGTCATTATTTCAGCCCAACCCAGCGGCACTATCTTCTTGCCAAATGCCTATCCCTGCTTCTCTTGGGCATGTTCTTGTCGTCACTGGCAACATTGAATTTCTCACTAGCATTCTTTGTTGGGCTTCTAGCAAGTCCCATGTCCTTTACAGTGCCTTCCTCTCGAGGGAGTCTGTTTCGATTAGTTCTCGCGTCTCTGATGAACCTGATCTCGCCCACAACCGTGCTTTATGCGACTGCCTCCGTCTTTGGCGTCGATGCCAAGTCGATGCTGCTTGACGCAGCTTTTAGTTGGAACATATGGGGAAATTACACCCCATTTGTAGTTTGGTGCATCTGGTGGCCTGTATGGTTGGTGGGGTCTGTGGTTGTCCTAGGTTCCTCTCGAGAGCAATAGACGGCTTCTTGCCCTGGGACTTTGTGGAAGGATTATAGATTTAGACCCCTACTCAGCAACTTAGTAGATCGAGTTGTTAGAAGAGTATGTTGATTAGCCTAGCAGCTCCTATTCCCTCGAGCACCTAGCAATGTTTTGTAATAAACTTAGATTCCCCAAACATCTTTATCCCAGCTTCCATCACTACGCGGCCCACACATCCTTCCCTGTATTCTCAATATAGTGGCCCAATTCATTGACGCTTGCGTCCCATTCAAGTAGTCGTAGCCGCATGTTGCCAATTTGCTTCATATCGAGAACCTTTGGCTGAACCCAAGTGATGTGTGCCATTTGGTCAACTTGGTCGATCGTGCCCCGCAGGAGTCTAAACTAAATGCCTTCATGATCAACTGTTCGATTTCATTGGGGCGAACCTTGGTTGATATAGCGATATCCTTAAAGGAAATGGATCTATCGTGGGGAGGTCGCTGGAAAATAGCCTCGGTGAGGGCTGCTAGGTGAATCTTTTGACGAAGACTGGCAGAATGCTGATGAAGAAGTTCATTCCCTTCAACGTGGTTGGAAAGTCGATCGAAACCATCAAGATCTCCTCGATTAAAGGCGAACAGTAACTCCCGTAGCCAAGGATACTCCTTAGAACGTACAAGGACATCAAGGATTGGGTGGAGAAGGAGCTCGCCAAAGTTGTAAATGCTTTCCGAGACGAGCGCTGCAATGCTTAGATGATATGCACGGTTTTGTTTCTCTTCTGGAGAGAGCGTGGTCAAATCTATACAAGCGAGATATAACAGGGTGTTGCGATAGTAAGCGGCAAAATCGGCAATCATCTTCTCTGGTCAGCCATGTCTAGTGGTTCGTATGTGCACGCGTTACGTTGTAATTTACCTGAAAATATGTTGCATTTGCATCATAGAAGGCCGCGTGAACAACCGTTTCAACCGATGCAAAGCTGTCAAGAACCTTCTCACAGGTCAACAAGTCCTTCCGAGCGCCATCACGGTCGTTCAACTCTAGTTTAACCCTTGCAACGGCTACAGAAGCGTAAACCAGCGCATCTTGGGTGTTCTCATTATCGACGTTCCTTACTAATGCTTCAAGAAAATGGAGCTTCTCTTGGAGGGCTATAATGTGAGATGGTCAAGTCAGCCGTCAGCGTCAAGCCAATGCTATTGTTTAACCGCAGATGATAGATACATGGGCATTGAGTGGAGGCAGCGAGAGCAAGCTCCACAAGTTTTAGTTGATTGATCTTATCGGCGAACTTCAAAACGAAAGTTTTGTATAAGGCAAGGCGTTGTGGCTCGCTTCGGGGGTCACGGAAGAACTGAAGCAGGGCTTCCGTTAGCTGGTGCCAGAGCTTCCGCTCCCAGAAATTTTCGAACTCCAATATGAGACCTTGGAGCTCCTCCGGGGCTTCTTCTCTCTGTTCGGCGAGGAAATCGGGAATCGCATCGTAGCTCATGGTGAGCTTCGCGTTGTGAGTGAGCTTGTTCGGTGCTGGCTTTCAATTTGTTGCTCGGATTCTCATACCAGAAAAATGGTACGATGAGAAAGGCTAACGTTGAATAGCAACTCCTGGGTTATGCCACTCCAAGACCAACAGGATTGGAAACGGGTGTTTTGACGGGTAGCCTTGAATTGAATGACCTGGCGAGAATGAGAGACTGCCGGAGTTAGGCAAGCAATGCGTTGAAATCGCGTCGAACGGCAGCCTACAAGCCTCCGGATGATTAATCAAGACGCTTTTGTAGTGGCTGCCATGTGCTCGTGGGGATCTTGAGTATTATGGATTGTCCAATGGAGTAAAGCTACTGAGGTACAGATTTGCATCAATCCAAGAAAAATTCTTGTTAATAATCATAAGGAAATTAGAGCTATCTCTTTAGAATCAACAAATGATTTATATTTTCACACATAGATAGAAGGGACATTTGAAAGAAACATATGTCCTAAGTCATATATATTTGCCTCGACGTTTTGGCCTTCGCATGAACGTTGTCAACGAGCTCCTGGGCCACAACGCGTTCTGTGACTAATCAGAGTCATTCAGCAGGCATTATTGGCCAATTCAACCATCGCTTCCTATGATCACATGACCCCAAAACCACACGGGCCGGCTAGCATCAACAGCGGAAGATGGTGGCTATCGCGGGAACTTTTCTCGCACCTCCGAAGAAATATCCTGTACGTTCGTGTCATTCGACGACAGCTTCCTTACGAGAAGCTCTATTGAAGCTACCCCCGTAATCCATATCTCAGAATGGCGTCCGTTCCAGCTTCCGTGCGGTCGTCCCCTCGACTTGCACAGAGCATTCTTCGACGCCAGCCATTGTCTGATCTTTCGATAACGCGCACCGGCAAACCAATTCTGCGCACGCAGGGTGGGCGGTGAGTGTGCTAACTCTGGGCGCCCTTTCTTGTAGATTTAATGAAGGTTCGGGTAATACTGACAGCCTGGCGACATATAGCTCGTCTCTCGGAGGTAACTGCCTGTGCCTACAGTTTTATGTTAGCAAATTTGGTCTAACCTCGAACGCTAGGCCACACCGCAACTGTGTTTGGAGCAACAGGGCAACTCGGCCGGTATATTGTCAACAGGCTTGGTCTGTCCATATCCACAGCCCATATCTTCATTCTGCAAGACTGACCCCGATCTAGCTCGGCAGGGATGTACGGTCATCGTTCCCTTTCGAGAGGAGATGGCTAAGCGCCACTTAAAGGTTTCTGGTGATCTTGGACGTGTAATTTTTATCGTATGTTACCCTTTGAATTTGCTGAAGAGCAGTGTCTCACTTTGGATATCTGAGTGACCACTAACGGTCATGCATCTAGGAATACGACTTGAGAAACACCCAGTCTATCGAAGAGAGCATTCGTCATTCGGATGTGGTGTATAATCTAATTGGCCGGAACTATCCGACAAAGTATCGCCTCGCTCAATCATCTCCCGCCTCGACGAACGAAAGAAAGGACACTAACGGCCCCTTTAGAAATTTTACACTTGAAGACGTGCATGTCGAAGGGACGGAACGCATTGTGGAGACGGCCGCGAAATACAACGTAGACCGCTATATTCATGTCTCTTCATACAATGCCGAGCCCGTATCTACGTCTGAGTTCTACGCAACCAAGGTAGCCATACCATGAGCGTCCCCAACATATATTAGTACTGACCTTTGCTTGTGAATAGGGCCGCGGAGAGGAAGTGGCACGGTCTATCTTCCCAGAAACTACAATTGTGCGGCCTGCACCCATATTTGGTTTCGAGGATAACCTTTTATTGAAGCTGGCAAGTGTGGTAAATTTCACAGCGAATAACATGCAAGAGCGATATAGGCCTGTCCATGTATGTCTCTTGTCATAAGACCGTCCTCAGCACAGACCTGCTTTCTTACTCAACTCATCTAGGTTATTGATATTGGCCATGCTCTCGAGCTCATGCTTTACGACGATAGCACCGCGGCTCAGACGTTCGAACTCTACGGCCCGAAAGAATACTCAACAGAAGAGATTGCGGCTTTAGTTGACAGGGAAATATTCAAGCAGCGTCGCCACATCAATATTCCGAAGAAGATTCTTAAACCACTCGCCGGGCTCCTCAACAGCGTCACTTGGTGGCCATATCTCTCGGCGGATGAGGTCGAACGCGAGTTCATTGACCAAAAGGTTGACCCAGCTGCGAGAACATTCGAAGATTTGGGCATCAAGCCCGGTAATATCAGTGACTTCACTTATCACTACCTGGTATGTTGTCAAAATTATATTGTACCCATCCTTTGTTACAATACTAAAGGCTTCACAGCAAGGATTCCGAAGTTCGGCGTTTTATGATCTCCCTCCCGCCACCGAGAAGGAAAGGAAGGAAGAGCGCAAATATCTACATGTTCTTGATGACCAGTGATTGTTGGGTCGGGATAGAATAACTCGAGTACCGTTTCAACTGCGGGGCAGCCCCTAGAATGTGTATATATTGTATCATTGGCACTCCCTTGTTTCCCAACTTCATGTGGACTGGGCCAGTGGTGGCCAACTTAGGGTCTGTGTCTTGACTAATAGAATAAGCTCCTCAATGTTGTCCGCTTCTGTCCGCGGCCTTGGCATCTTACACAATATTTGGCCCACCAGTAAATCAACCAAGTACAGGGTCCACAATCCTGTTTTAAAACACTTCAGTCACGACTCACGAAGCACCGGTCTCCCTCCCCCAAATTCCTTGCCCTAGGGTCCGCCAGAATTGAGACGCTCAATGGCAAGCTCTCCTTACGAGCTAGAACGGTTGATGTCCCCATTTCCTCTACTTCTTTTGAAATCGAGTCAAGAACATTCGTATACTCTCCGCCGTCAACAAAATGGCAGACTTACGCCTAGATGGCGATGATGACCCGATGTACGTAGGCAAGGGAGGAATTAGGAAGTGTAAAACTTTAGGCTAACCCACGTTTAGGGTCCTTTCAGACCACGCGCTAGCTGCCCTTGCGGAATTCCATTCTGAACAGGACGCTCAAGTACGCGAATTTGAAAGGGTCAATTCAATCGCCGAGGCAGAAAGGTCTCGAAACGCCCCTTTTGATATTGAGTTGTTTACCGAGAATTGGGGTAGAAGTCAATTTTGGGTAGCAGACTTTCCCTTTTCTGTACTCCTCGATGGGATCGTGTCTAACGAAATCTCAGTATACAAGCGAGACGGCGGAGTTGCTGGCTGGTGAGCTGCTTGCTGGCACGTCTGCCAACATGAATATTGCATTTGTGTCCACGCCAAGCGTTTTTGTTGCGGCCAAAAATATCCTTGCTAAAAGGCCTCTCGAGAAACGGCCCATTCTCCATCTCCTGGAGTTTGATGAAAGATTCAGGGTGTTTCCAGAATTCGTCTACTATGACTATAGGCGCCCTTTTAGACTACCTGGTATGGGCAACTGTCAAAAGCAGTTAAAATATTGTGATGCCGCAAAGCGCATATCGCTAACATCTTCGGTTCCAGTCACCCTGAAGGGCACCGCAGATCGAGTCATATGTGATCCTCCATTTCTCAATGAAGACTGCCACACCAAAGGTTTGTTCAAGAAAATCCGCGAGAAGATGGGCGATATGTCATAATTCATCGCCCTTATTCATGCAATCGGCACCCATTCTAATTCGATTTAGTGGCTCTAACAGTATCATGGGTGACGAAGGCTCCTGATAACGTGAAGGTCCTCATGTGCACTGGAGAGCGAGTCCAGACACTGATTTGGAAACTGTACAAAAGATTTGGCATGAGAACAACGACTTTCACGCCGAGCCATAGTCGAGAGCTTGGTAACGAATTTCTGTGCTATGCCAACTTCGAAAGCAGTAGCTGGAGGTGGGTCCATGACCAAGGAGAAGGCATAGCTAGTTAGTCCATCTAGTCAGCTATACTTGGAAATGCGAAAGTGTAAGAGACGAGGGCAGTCTGCTTAGAGCCCGCTCTTCGTTAAGCAGCTGCGCACCAATCATAAAGGTTGGGGCCATGGTGTTCCTCCTTTTGAGAAAAAGAAAAAAAGAAGAAAAAGAGAAAAGAAGCCTCTTAGGTAGTGATTAGCTGGACTCCGAGCCATGGAGAGTACGTTGGATGGTGGTTAGCTATGAGTGCCTGGTCACAATTCTATACAGATTATCTGCTACGACTCGGTCTTGGTGCTACTCTACTGCTCGAATACAAGACCCAATCCCTAACGAAACCAAGTATACAATAAAGGCCCTTCTTAGTTACGAGAGATACCTTACGCAGTAGAAGAGTAGGTAGGCTTGTGAGCTCAAGACTTCAGATTTTGTGGCCAATATCACCTTGTGGTCATTGAACTGAAACCACTAGAACTTGCGCGTCAGCGAAGCTACCGATTAGCGTGGGCTTGACAATCACGTACCTGATCTCCTACCCGGCAATACGATAGGTAGTGGCCTGAAAAGCGTGAGTGATGAGCTTACAAGTGGTTACGCCGGCCGTACTTACCTGTGTCGATACTACCCACATGTACGACAACGCCTACTAGATCGTATTCGTGGGCTCGAGAAAGTTCAGGGTGGTTGTGTAGCTGGTGGTTCTGTAAGGCAAGATCGCGACCTTTGCTAGTATACGGCAGCATATTTATTTCCAAAGGAAAATTGACAGGGGTCTCGACTTTTGAGGGTGCTGTATCGTGTCTTCCATGCTTGAATTCAAATCGCTACGAACCGTCCAAGTCAGCACTTTAGCCTTTCATGCCTCCCTACGCTTCGGTTCGGGCTTGGGAGAAGAGAGAGAGAGAAGGGGGCGCGAGAGAGTTCGGACTATGGGCATGAATTGGCCGTGATGTGCTCCAGGTGGTATACTTACCTTGAGATGGATAGCAAGAACGTTTGGTAGGCATTTTATACTAGTATACCGTCTGGCCTGCTGGGTGGACTTGCATTCTTGACACCGATACTCGCACTTGTCCGATTTAATGTACTCCGCATCGAGACATTCCTGGAGAGTGAGCGGCCTAGAATCCACCTTTTTTCGTTTTTGCGCCCATGATTCAAGGCCCAGACTAAGATCCAGGAAGGATTGAACAGCATTGGTGGAGGTGCTGCACTTCTGACATGTTGTTGCGGTGAGAATTTTGCCATAGAAGATTTGGTGGATGACGCAGTTGCAGCTATGCTCACTTCCAACTTCAGGCCGCTTTCCATCACCGTTGCGCTCATGGAGCTCTTCGGCTAAAAATTGAAAGAACTCATGAGCATCTTGTTCTTTGGTTGTGACCAGGTTCTCAAAAGCCTTCTTATCAGAGATCCAGAAGCCGGAAAGTATGTTCGCTGCAGTATACCCGTTTGTGCTCTCTACGGCGTAGAAATCCTGGAATATGTCATCCATGGCACAACTTATGCAGTGAGACACATTGCAATTTGTATGTCCATCTCTTAAGTAGAAGTTGCGAAGAAGGGGGTTATGTAGGAGGCACTGCAGAATGACGTTTTGGTAGCAAGTCGCGCCAGCATTGTAAATTCCCCGGAGGCCATTAGCTCGACAGGATGGAGTCGTAGTATTTGCGGTAATGTATTTAGGATCATCTTTCACTGGATCCGAAGGTTCTTCATGCTTCCGCTTTCGATCCCGTTTATCTGGCTGGTGAGTCAGACCACGAACATGCGTCAGGCGTAGGCCACATCTACTATTAAGTGGGTTACAATCACTTACTCCAGAAAGATGATGTGCCCATCTTCCGAATCCTCAATTCCTCAAAGGTTGCATCCCAAATTAAGTCATCACACATCTGGCAGTAGAGATAGCCTGTACGAGAGTCGACATCTACCATACACGGTTAGGGGCAAAAGCTACTTCTCAGGGCCAAACTTAGCAACATACAAAACCGATGAGCCTTCTTCGAGCCATGTTTAATGCGATCCTCTTCGGTTACTATCGTAGGGCATTGAAGGCAAAGGTAGTTTGAGGTTATGTTATAGGAGGCGTTCCCCTCAGTTGTCTTCGTGGCTTGCAGAGGGCCAATCGGACTATCGAAAATTTTGCGAAGCATCAACTTGTAATGACCTAGGCTTTGGTTGAGGTTTTCCTGGCTTGAAGTGAGGAGCCGTCCTAGGTGCTCTAGGAAGAGCATGTTAGCATCTATTTGAAAAAGGCTGTGGGGGTAGGAGGTACGAACCACAACCAAACATTGGTTTCCCAGCCATCGGCAAGTTGATCTTAGCACCCTTCGGTGGTGAGTTTGGAGTTGTCATGGCCGTGAATTTCTGGGGTTTCACTTGGATTTCGAGAAAAGGCGGTATTGCTCTGCCAGCGGCTAAGGTGGCCGAGAGCGTGGGTGGAACCAGGAATGGAGTGCTCTGAGATGGATATGATACTTGGGATGAGCTTAGTATCGTGTGAAGTCGCGGGGCGGGCAAGCGTCACGGTATTGTGAAGGACAATACCTTGGTATGGAATAAGGATGGCAATGTGATTGTTGATCACATAAAAGTATGATAACCGTTCAAGTGGAGGTTAGAATAGAAACTTGAACGATCAATTCCTTTCCACGCTTTCTGTCAGGCGGAAGGAATTCGTCGGTTGAGCTGTGTATATAAGCCACTGTGCGAATATGATTGTGAAGAAAGCACGAAATGCAACTTGACCGACAGAGGAAATTTCGAGATGAATAAAGATAAATGCATTTGCGCCTCTCACCCACATATGGCCATCTTAGAAAAACATTAGTAATTCGAAATAAGCCTAGCTCCCTGAATTTTCATGCATCTATTATAACCAGGAATTAGGGAATTATCAATCGAGAGGTTCAAAGACTATATTGGATGTATTTGTTGTAGGAAGCGAGTCCGAAAACCACTTCTTGCCAAATCGTAAGAGCCTGATGGAGCATTTGGAGTGTGGCTTTATTAACAAGGCAAAGCCCAGGCATGTTCAAGATGTAGTAAGGTGGGTTGGGTTCTATGAAGTATGTTGTCGTGCGTCAATGCACTCATTGATGCACCTTGGGGCTAACGTCATCGGGAATTGACCCTCAAAAGACACCTCGGTTGATTCGATGCAGGACTAGAGGAGTTAAGATACTCGGTTCGTGTTTTGTCAGACCCATCTGCCAAACCCGTCTACAAAAGTAATACAAGGACATCAGTCACAAATCTTGTCATCCTCCCACTTTACTGCTCGAGAATTGAAAGACGCGTACCTCAACCCTTTCCTAATACTCCAGGAGCCCAGAGCCGACGATTGAGACCCTGTTTCATTCCACACCTAGCCCCGACGGCCTAAATTAATCTAGACATGGCATTTCAAATTTCACCACTTCAGGAGGTACAACGTCTAGGCTCCGCTTGCATCCGAATACTAGGCGGCAACCCTGGCAAGTTTACCCTGCAGGGGACCAACACCTACCTCTTAGGTACCGGGCGTCGCCGTCTACTGATTGACACTGGCGAGGGTAGGTCGTCTTGGAAGCAGGCTTTGGAGGAAACACTTATCCAAGAGGGAGCGGTGGTGGAGAGGGTTTTAATCACACATTGGCACCCGGACCATACAAGAGGCATCCCCGATGTCATGGCACTGTGTCCGGAGGCCGCGGTCTTCAAGTTCGATCCCGAGGCTGGCCAGGCTCCAATTGCAGATGGACAAACCTTTACTGTGGACGGTGTTACTCTAGTGGCTTATCATACACCTGGGCACACAGAGGATCACGTAATTTTTGTCTTTACCGAAGAGCGTTCGATGTTCACTGGAGACAACATTCTCGGCCACGGCACCGCTGTTTTCGAAGATTTATCATCATATTTGGGGAGCCTAGAACGTATGAAGGGGCTGTTCACAGGTCGCGCGTATCCGGGGCATGGACCAGTAGTTGAGGATGGACCCCTGAAGATCTTGGAATACCTGCAGCATCGGCAGGATCGTGAGGCCCAGGTTGTGAAACTCTTAACATCAGCAAGACCTGACTCTGGTCTGCCAGGGCCATGGACCATTACCGAGCTTGTTCAAACCATATATAGCGATATTCCTACTGAGCTACACCTGCCAGCCAGTCGTGGGGTGCTACAGATCTTGGCGAAGCTGGAAGGAGAAAGCCGAGTCATCCGTGAGCGCAATATGTGGAGACTATGAGGTGTCTGTCAAGCAGTCTCAGATTACCGAGGTAGTGACTTGTTAGTTGGGATTTATTCTAAAAGAAAACCTAAGGGTGGCTCAGTTCGATGCTGTTCTTCGCTCATCACTTACAATTATAAACCCTACCCTCGAATTGCGAAAGCGGGACAGCATTTTCACTCTCAGGCCCCAAGACCCTTTGCGATCCAGCCCTATCCCAGTTAGGCACTTGAAACAACTCTACATCTAACCTCGCCGCTTCACGGAGTCCCTTGAGAGCAGTATTTTGGACCCAGAGGGCTATTAAACCCCGTCTAGTTTTCGTCCTAACAAGTATTATACGCAGCTAATTTGTCATGAGGAAAGAAAAGAGTGAACATAAAATGAAGGGCATTCTCGGTGTTCATTTGGCGGATATGATTTAGGATGTAGTTTAGCTATTCTAAATCCTTTTGAACATTTCATCATTGGCCTCTCCATCACACCATCCAGGATATTAACGGCGGTTCTGACTAGGACACCGCTTGGGTATATTAGAACAATCTCCCTTCTAGGCACCTTGTCCTCCCTCATCCATATCCAGACTATTCATCCATATCCAGACTATTCATCCATTTCCCACACAATAGCGCCCCCATGATATATTTTGTCGCTCAGTAATATTACGGTGACCGGATCAAATGTGGGTCCCGGTGGCGCCACGGGAAAAACAAGTGGAGACGTCACGGGAGGAGCGGAAGGCTTTCTCAACTGCTGCCGGTCGTCATTGCCAGCCCCTCAGGGCTTGCTCCGCCTAATGGCAACCGAACGCAACTCAAGCTGGCAAGCGACCCAGGAGAGTTAAGAAGAAGGCGAGCGGCCCCATTTCCTCTCTAAGCCGTATCATATGATGAATGGTGATGGACACCGATGAGGCCTGACTCCTTCATTCCTCCCACCACGTCGAGCGCTTGCGGGTGGCTCGGCCATTTGTTCCCCATGATGCGTGGTACTCGCATGACTCCACCTGATCTACAATTGTCTCCCTCTCTCACCTTACCTGGTTCGCTGCAAGGCAAGAAGCGGCCTCATTGAACCCAATCCACACACGCACATCTATCCAGACTTGAATTCCCGTGAAGAGGAAACCTATTCTCGTAGCTATAAGACAGCGCACATTGCGTCACTAGCAAACGCGTGCTTCGGCCGAAAGTACATGTACCTCAGTCCTCGCGATCACATTTCGACAGTCCTGTTTCATTATAGAATCGTCCGAAGCACTACACTCCTCACGCCTGTTTTGCTACATACGCATACACCATGCATATATCGCAAGAAACGCTTGCAGCTGGTGAGGATTTTTGTGTTCGCCAAGACTGGCTGGGATGTGACCTCGAGTCTACCTCGGAAAAAATAGCCATCATAGTCAATAGCACGAAACTGTGCTGCGTGGATAGTATCTCGAGCAGCCATCCTCAAGCCCCGGAAGCTTCGGAAGAACACTCCATCGCCTGCGAGGCTTTCCTAGTTACATAGGCCAATAATATGCTTAATCCTGGCATTGGCGTTTGACTGAAGCCTGTATTCCTCTTGGCTTGGTTACTCATCTGATCTTTTGTCGAACAACAAAGGATCCACCCCTTCAGAACTACTTATCAGAAGGTGTGCAACGATGGGAGCGTATTGAAAGTATAAATAGTTTGGGAAGCCTCGCCTAGATAATAGGCTTCTTTGCTTTATGGCAAATATCTATGGTAATAACCTTGGCGACCTCCTGCCCATACTACTAAGCATCATAATTTCGCAATCCCAGCCCAATCCCTCAATCCTCGCGCCTTTTGCATTCAGAGGCCTACCTTCATCTTCATTTGGGAGCCAACGTCTGTATTGATCTCTTTTGATAACGCTCACAAGGTGAATCACCTAAGCTCGTCTTTTACTTACACAACATCATCTCATCGTGAGCGCTCATAGGTTGCGTGAGGTTCCTGCTAGCTCTAGCATAGCCAATCCAAATATTAAGCGGCGTATTTTGGGTGACTGTGGGATTCTTCCACTCTCAAATGGACTTCAAGAAGCCTGCGATCTTATTCTGTCTAGCAGGCTTTGCTGGCGCCCATGGTAGCAACCATGGTGGGGACGGCATGTCTATGCCCGGGATTGTGTGGGACAGCGAGAGCCACGTCAAGCCTCTCAATTCTACGGAGCTCCCGCCTACGTATTTCAACTATGGCGAAGATAAATTTTCTATCTATTCTCATATAGCTCTAATGATGTTTAGTTGGATAGGTGCCCTTCCAGCTGGTGAGTGCACTGAAGAGCCCTGTCCTCGGACATTTTCGGGTTGGATCCCTCGGACGGGCCAGCTTTGTATGCCGGGGTAACCGAACCAAAAGATAGAGCCAGAGTCTAATGTATTCATAGCCGTCATGCTATCAATGGCAAAATCTAGGCATGCCCTGCCAGCCCAAATCATCTTCCTCGCGAGCCACCTGGTAGGCTTGGTGATGGGCGTCACTTACAATGCCAACACGCCGGACCTCTACCCCAACAACGCCCACCATAAAATCGGGTGGATAGCGACAGTCGTTGTGATCTTCCACGTGTTTATCAGTATGGCGCAAAGAGTAATTGGCTCATGGGCTAAGAGCTCTACTGGACGCTTTAATCAAGACTTCGGGGCGTACATCCCTATTACGCAGTCGGCTCTCGATACGCACCAAAGGCTAGGCATACCCCCATATCATCATAGTAGCCGGAGTTCCTATGATAGCGGGCATGGAACTGATCGAGAAACGGAGTCCTTCCGCAGTAATTTTGTCCTCACGGCAGCGGAGCGGCCTGCGTCGGATCTCTCAGATAGTACAATGAATCTTGGCGAGACAAGCCCTTTGGACCAAGATCCCCTAACTAATAATGGGTGGTCCCGGTATGTCCCCACATTCATAAACAGTGGATGTTTCGCGCGACGGAATGCGGCCTTGAATGTTTGGTATAGCTTTGTCGACTGGATAATCCTACCCTATGGCTTTGTTTCTATATGTACTGGTATCGTTGCGTTCGGGCGATTTTTTGTAAGTTTTCACATCCACGCAGTCCCTTTTATGAGATCTAGACTTCACAGCAGTTGCTCGAGAATTTACCCTTCGGGCAACGGTTTATGCTCCTTCAACCGCGTTGGGGCCCCGAGAGGCATGATATGTCTGTGTACTGATACTATAATAGGAAGGGCCGGCGGTCTTTAGTGGACTGGCGCATTGGATCAAAGGCGGCGTGTTCTTTTGGCTAGGAATAGTTACTCTCGGAAGATGGTCCGGCTGTTTTGCAGAACTAGGATGGGTAAGGGATCATCGACAAACAATTTCCAATCACAGCCGGAAAATAGTATGCTAATACGTTTGGGAGGGCGGGCAGGCCTGGAACGCTCGTACTAGAAACCTGAAACAGAACTGGAGGCCGTCTGCTGAATTTGTGGAGAGCTTGCTAATCTTTGTCTATGGTTCAACTAACATATTCCTCGAACACCTGGGGGTTGGGGTGGTAAATGGAGTGCCCAGGACTTGGAGCATCTTTCAATCACCGTCCTATTCATTGGGGGCGGCCTAGTAAGTTGGTGCTCAAAGGCAATTGACATTTGCCTTCTTCCTTTCCTCCTATTAGCCAGAAGTCCACTAATTATGGGCCGAGAATAGTGTGGTATGCTCATCGAATCCGTCAACATTCGAGAGCTCCTCAACACCACACTCAAGGAAACGGAAGATATTGTTGCCTTAACGCTTCCAGATACCGGAGACGGAGAAAAAGAATCCGAGGTTGCTGCTCCAGACCATTACGAGGTCTCACTAAACCCCATCCCGGCACTTGTCATCCTGCTGCTTGGGATCATGATGAGCTCTCATAACCAGGATTCCGTTATATCAACGATGGTCCATAAGCAGTGGGGCAATCTACTGGCTGGAGCATCATTCGCCCGTGGCTTGACTTACACGATGATATATCTCAAACCACCGCACTCTGTCCTACCATCTAGACCGCCTACAGAATTACTGGCGGCGTTTGGACTCATTGCTGGAGGCATCATTTTTATGGCAAGCGTAAGTCCTGCTATGCTTACCCTGTTCTTCCTCGCGGGACTCCAACAGGGACCCATGATGCTAACGGAGGGTACAGGCAAGCGATATCATCCGAGGCATGGAAAACCATCAGCTAGATGCGATGTTTATGTATACCGTCACCATGGGACTGGTGGCCCTACTTATGGCATGGATATTATTCCTGCTTGCGCTGAAAGGCTGGGCCATTCGTAGAGAAGTACATTGGCGGCGGGCCATGCGGCTTGAACGAGCGTGAAAGGATAGGCTGTATAGATGGCTCGAGGCTAGCCAAATGACCTTCTCCTTCAATATTGCATTAAATCCTGTCCTGTATTTCGATTATACAGCCGCGCTGTCCACATACAGGCTTATATTGTCGCTGATGTTGTTTCTGGAGCGCCCGGCTATGTTAGCGTATCTCTCATAGTACTACCCAGATATTTAACACAACAGTAGACATATTCAGCACAATAGTAGACATCCGTCTGGTGGTAGCCCCCGATCCGGACGAACTGGCCTTATACTATCGAGTTCGCGACGGATACCGGATCGGTCTCTGCTGCTTCTCTCATTTCCATAGCTTCAACCTGCTTACCTCGAAGCGTTCTTATCCGCATTCCTTATTTTTATCAGTATACAACCCTATCCATCTTCTCAGTGGCCACATGTTCTATCGCATATCTAATACGTCCTCTAGCTAATCTGCCAGGGAGTGTCTGCCAATTACCCATTGCATGAGCTGCTAATAGTTTGGCAATGCAATGCTGGCGGTGTTATGCTTTCGTCGGTGACAGTCTGGCAGTGGCCCGGTTGGTTCACCATGGGTCGTCATGTAAGTAGACGATCCGGGAATCACTCGTACCCAATCAACCGCATGTTAAATGGTTTCTTGGTTGGAGAGGGACAGGCGGTTGGCACGCTTGCTCACTTATTCGTCTGGTAGCTTACATGCTTCCCGGCTGGATACTATCTTCCTTACTCCTTCTAACTTGTTCACAGTAGAGACCAAGGTCTACTAATGTATTAATGCAGCCAGGCGCCTCTCTCTTTTACCATAGGGGGTGTCCCCGAAGGTAGCCATCCTCCTTCGAAGTACATAGCCGGAGGATATAAAGATAGAAAAATGGCTATAAAATATCAAGATATTCCTTTTGATATTTAAGGGTATACAGAGGGTGAATGTAGAAATGGAGGGAAGATTAGGTAGTCAGGCGCCTCAAGTGCTACAAGTAGTGTAATTGATAAGATCTGGATGCGTTTATTTTAGCCGTTATTTTAGGGCCTGACGGGTAGGACGAAATCAGTTAGAAAATGTTTTATATTAGTCAGCGGCCACCACGCCAGAACCGCCCGGCATCCTGATGAGGATGTGTGACCCCTATTAGGCTAGGAGGGGACAAGTATTTGCAAAATTTAGTTACCATCTCTGAAGGAGTAAAATCTAGGCAAACTAGGGTAACTCCCTCTTCCTCATTTCCCACTGATGCCTCCAGAATTTCGAAATCTCAAACCATGGCAGCCCAGATTTCCAATGGGAATCATTCGTATTACTTGAAGCGGGCCACCAAGGAGATTGCTGTTGATTTGACAAAGCTTCGAGAAGCTCCCGATTTCAAGTCGGACTCCGTGACCCTCCTCATTCACGCTATTAGCCAAGGCTCAGCTTCACTTTCGTCGAAGGCACCCAGCAAAGATCGCAACCAAATGCTACCTCTACACCATATAATATCAAAGCCTGATCGCTTGCTACCCTACGAACAATAGAGTACAATATTGGCCAGCTTACAATTGGGGGACGTCGAGGAATGCACTCCGGCGTGGGTCGTGAATTGGTACGTTGTTTCCTCACGGCGCTTAGGTCCTCGGGGTTGGTTGTGGAAAAAAGAAGAAGAATTGAGGCGGTTGAGCTACTAGACGACCTTAGCTGACCATAGACGCAAAGATGACGAAAAACATTGCGACAGGCCAAACTCGGTGTTTTTGTGCGTGGTAGTGTGGAAAGACAAATAATCTAAACCCATACCTCTGCTCCTATGGGGAAACGAGGTAGTTACTATTAAGCATCCGCTGATTCCACCACATCTTCGGTGGGCGACACAATTATATAGATCAATTTTAGACTTGTAAGTACCATGTTGCAATGCTGCCTTCTGAAGACCAGTCTCTCATGCCATCCCCAACGTGTCATAACCACGGATGATCTGACCTTTTTTTCTTTTTTTTTCCCCCGAAAGTCGTTGATCGCATCCTCCTATCAAGCGGCTGTTTCGTCGTAGCATTGTGATTTCACGCATAGTCTAAGTCTTAGTTATAGACAGAAAGCGGCGCATCTATCTGTTTTCTGTGATTACCGGCGAAGATCTATGCTGGGGCGATTAGAGTCGATGCTGGGGCGTACAGAACTGCTTGAACTTCTGCGCCTCCGGGCACGTTGCTCAGCTGGATCCGCAGGTTTTAGCCCCGTTGATTTGGCGAAAAGATTTAAAATGTCCGTCAACGATACTACTCCGGTGAGACGACCAGATATATGGGAGCCGGGCAGAGAAGCTCCAGGAACGATGCTGAAGCCTGCACTGGGAGCCGGGGACTGTGGAGTGGAAGCATTGGTAGGAACTAGTACTGCTGGCTGTGACGTGTTGACTGAAGTGGCCGGTGATGGTGAAACAGAGCCCTCCACTACCCACATCCGATGTGATCGTGTAGCTATAAGCTTCGCAACAGTGTGTGCCAAGGATGAGTACTGGTTAACGTGGAATACAGGAAATGCGTCGCGCCCCTTTTCCAATCCCCGCTCGTTCAAGATCACTGATATAAAGTGCATGCAAGACGATTGTAGCAAAGGAGCACTGGTCGCGCTAGTAAGAAGTCTGACGTCGACGGTTGAAATATTGCCGACCACGTTAAGGCCGTTATCAACAACGGCAACGCTAGTAAGACCTTCATTGTACATCAAAGTCAATGCATCTGCCAACTCGCTATCGCAACTGCAGAGTGAATGTTAGCCCCCCGACACAAAAAAAGGCTTGGGATGATACTCGACCGGCGCGTCGTCTTACTTTACTGCGAGGACCTGCTTGGAAGCGATCCCTAGTTCCGAAATATGGGCCGTATATAGCTTTTCGATGGTAGGAAAATGGAGGCCTTCCGACCAGAAAAATTCTATTAGCTTAAGCTGGCTTAATATACCAATGATTGCGCCCGACTCGTCGGAGACCAAGACCCGGTGTACACCGCTACCAAGGATTTCGATCGCCCGGCCAAGTTTGTCGGTAGAGCAAAGGGTAACCAGGGATTGTTTTCGGCACATTGACTGAATATCGCAGAGAGGGATAACGGAACCGTCACGGGCTTTGATCGCAATCTCATCGTACAGGGCTATATTGTTCTCTTCTGGCTTCGCTAGCCCTATGACGACGAGGAGGTATGTGTTAAGATCATTGAAATCGAATGTCGTCACGGGTTGCTGACCCTGATCATGGTCGGCACTGCGCACCAAAACAACGTTTTCAGCATTGTCTTTGACAAGGGCCTACTCTCAAAGGACTCGTTAGATCTGAAAAGGCATTCTTGAATGAAAGCCGTGGTATAAACGGGCCTGGTTCCTTACTAGAGTGGCATCCTCAACGCTCGTATCCGCCGTTACCCATCGCACATCGCTGTGCGACACCAACTCGCCAACGAGTATATCACGCCAGTCACGACCGGCAAAGCGTGGGTCTGCTGACTTACTCGAGGGCGGCATGCTTAGCAAGTCTTGGATAGCGATTGGAGGCACTCCGGTGAAAGACGGATGCCGCTGGGATCGGGGAGATGGGGGCATGTTTCTCAGATTTTCGGCAAAGCTTTGGCGGTGAGAGGATGGTAGATTCTAAAGCGCTTTCCATGAGGAAAATTTCTCGGCGAGGAATTGGAAATCTGGAGACTTACAATGGAGGCGTGGGATGAAGCGACACTGGCTAGACTTGAAGTGCTTGGCTCTCGCCTAGCATGCTGCTCATCTCTCACAGTCGGAGTAGGATCCATTTTAGTGAATGGATACTAACACTCCGCCTTTGTAGTGGTTGTTAATTTTTGCGCCTTGAGTATAAATGGAGAGCCCGATTGTACTGTGGGCGTACTTTCGTCAGTGATTGAGGATGTTATTGATGGAGCATTCGTCCTGGGAAGGCTGAGGAGTAGTGGTCATGATATTGACCCATCAGCTTATAAGGCGGGGTGTGTGTTTGGGCCAGGAAGGTGGGGTGGGGGTGGGGGTATCCGTAGGACAGACTGGGAGGAGCTGGTCAAATACCTCAGTACTTGTGGGGTCGATGCCATCAAGATTGGAGGCGTGCCGGGTTCACAGCGGCGCATAATAGGAGCAAAACAAGAGTTGCTTTGATGTAGACGAGAAGCTGTGGCTGATAGAAGCCATGAGTACTTCGTATTTCAAAGCTAAACCTTCCTCCCTTAGCGCTTTTAACTTTTCAGCGGATTGTTCTTCTGATATTATCAAAACTTGGAGGTGTTTAGTAATACCTTAGTATAGGTTTGCGATATTAAGACGGTTGGGAATAGGGTCCATCAATTGATCAATGTCATGGTGCGTCAAAATGTTCTGAGTGCGTGACTCGCCACCTTGATCCACGAGCACCTATCCAAGATTGAGGCGCAAAGGCTCCCTAGCTGTGGCTGATGCACAAGCCATCGGTGAGCTGACGGCGGGGTTGACCATGCGGGTTTGAATGGGAAAAAGACCCCTCCTCATAAAAAAGAAAACGATGGTTGGGTTAAGAAAATTGTTAAGACAGTCCGCAAAAAGTCAACCCCGCCAGGTTCTTTCCCTTCCCCGCGGTTGAAGAAAGCTGGACATCCTCACTTGTGCTTTTCCCTGCGAACAACCCCTTGAGAGACTTTTAAAGGGATCTGCACTTCGGCTGGCTACGGATTTAGGATACTACTCGTTCGACGCCGCATGGTCCCGGTTCTTTGTTGCCTTCACCCCTCAATCATTAACCCACGCTCAACCAAAGTCAACAATCTGTGGCTTTCCCTATACATCGGTATCAACCTCGAGGTGCAAGTCCTTTAAAACTGGTGTCTCGTACCTATTTATACCACCGGCGGTGCCTGACTCAATAGTTTCCCATTAGGCGCATCGCGAAGCCCACTATGTCGATGCTTCCCGCTGACGTGCATGCGGAGCTAACGCAACTGCTCCAAGCATTGCAATCCTCAGACAACTCGATACGCTCCCAGGCAGAGGAACATCTCCAAAACCACTGGACTATCAATCGGCCAGAACTCTTACTCATGGGCCTTGCTGAACAAATTCAAAACACGCCCGATGTTTCCGTGAGCACTCTGCCTTTACAACCTCACTCAGATGGTTTTGACCTCACAAGCTAACATCTTCTCAAAGACCCGTTCTTTCGCTGCGGTTATATTCCGACGAATCGCTTCGAAATCTCGGAAAAATGAGAAAGGAGACACCGTCGATATATTTGTTTCTCTACCCCAGGAACAGGCGGCCGTCATTCGCCAGAAGCTTTTGGAGATCCTCACGTCAGAGACAGAACGTGCCGTGAGAAATAAGATTAGCGATGCTGTTGCTGAGGTTGCGAGGCAATATACTGAAGGAGGTCAGTCATTTATATTGCAGCGTTTTCCGTCATCCTCTAGTTTGTGGACCTAACAGAGGGCGAGCCTAGACCTGCCGTGGCCCGAGCTACTCGGTGCATTATTCCAGCTGAATCTCGCCGCGGAGCCCGATAAACGCGAGACTGCGTTCCGAGTATTTGCTACCACCCCCGACATCATCGAAAAGCAACATGAGGACGCGGTCCTCCAATCCTTTAACAAGGGATTCAAGGACGATTCTGTTACAGTATGTCGAGGCCCAGAATGTTCACAACGTGCCATAGTTGTTAATATGTCAATTTCGGTATTTAGGTGCGATTAGCAGCTATGGAGGCATTTGCATCATTCTTCAGAGGCCTTTCCAGGAAAGCCCAGCCCAAGTACTATCCTCTGCTCCCGGAAGTCCTCAATATTTTGCCTCCAATCAAGGAATCTCATGATTCTGATGATTTGAGTAAAGCTCTGGTTGCTTTAATCGATCTCGCGGAGACATCACCAAAGATGTTCAAACCTCTTTTTCACAATCTCGTCGTTTTTAGTGTCAGCGTTATCTCTGATAAAGAGCTCGACAATCTTTGCCGTCAGAATGCCCTTGAATTGATGGCGACCTTCGCAGACTATGCACCTTCTATGTGCCGAAAAGACCCATCATATACAGAAGATATGATCACTCAATGTCTAAGCCTGATGACGGATCTTGGTGAGGATGATGATGATGCTGCTGAATGGCTCGCCTCAGACGATGTAAGCACCCTTTGACCTATTTCCCCTTCTTTTTATATCTTACTCCTTGTTTATTCGTGCCTCTAATGGTCTATCAAAGTTGGACCAGGAAGAGAGCGATCAAAATCATGTAGCTGGAGAACAGTGCATGGATAGACTTGCGAACAAACTTGGCGGACAAACGATTCTGCCACCTACATTCAACTGGCTCCCCGAATGATGACATCTATGGCATGGAGAGACCGTCATGCTGCTCTCATGGCCATATCTGCGATCTCTGAGGGCTGCAGAGAGCATATGATTGGAGAGCTGAGTCAAGTTCTTGATCTTGTGGTCCCTGCACTAAAAGATCCCCACCCTCGCGTTCGTTGGGCAGGGTGCAATGCTCTCGGCCAAATGAGTACGGATTTCGCCCCAAAGATGCAGACGGATTTCTACGATAGGGTTTTGAAAGCAATAATTCCGGTTCTAGACTCTCCAGAAGCGCGAGTTAAGTCTCATGCCGCAGCTGCGCTGGTCAATTTCTGTGAAGAAGCTGAAAAAGAAATCCTGGAGCCGTATTTGGATGACCTCCTGTCGCATCTATTCCATCTGCTTCAGAACGAGAAACGTTATGTCCAAGAGCAAGCACTGTCAACAATTGCAACGATAGCGGATGCTGCCGAGGCTGCATTCTCGAAATACTACGACACCTTGATGCCACTCCTTGTCAATGTGTTGAGAACCGAGAATGACAAGGAGTTTAGACGTCTTCGTGCGAAAGCGATGGAATGCGCAACTCTCATCGCGCTCGCTGTGGGCCGCGAGCGCCTTGGTCGAGATGCTATGACCCTCGTGGAGCTCTTGGGAACCATCCAGGCGAACATTGTGGATGCTGACGACCCTCAGACTCAATACCTTATGCACTGTTGGGGGCGCATGTGCAGGGTCCTTGGTGCAGATTTCCTCCCATTCTTGCCGACTGTCATGCCGCCGCTCCTCGAGCAGGCAAGTGCGAAAGCAGACATCCAGCTCCTTGAGGAAGAAGACCATATAGAGCAGATCCAGCAAGAGGAAGGTTGGGAACTCGTACCTATCAAGGGAAAAATGATTGGTATTCGCACCAGCACAATGGACGACAAACGAATGGCCATCGAGCTACTGGTTGTCTATGCCCAGGTATTAGAGGGAAATTTTGCTCCATTCGTCGCAGACGTCATGGAGAAAATTGCAATCCCAGGTCTTGCGTTCTTCTTTCACGACCCTGTCCGTTACATATCAGCGAAACTCGTCCCACAGCTTCTTAACTCGTATAAGAAGGCCTACGGAAACCCGTCCAATGAGCTCACAGGGCTTTGGCTTGGGACGGTCGATAAACTTCTCGAAGTTTTAACAGCAGAGCCGGCCATCGATACACTTGCGGAAATGTATCAGTGCTTTTACGAATCGATAGAGGTCATGGGTAACGGTTGTCTGAGTGAAGTGCACATGGCTAAATTTATTGATGGGGTACATTCTGCCATTGAAGACTACAAGGATCGTGTAGTCCAACGGGCAGAAGACAAAGAAGGGGCCACCGCCGACGATGTAGAGGATGAAGCCCAAGAAACCCTACTTGCCATCGAGGATGATCAAACGCTATTATCGGATATGAACAAGGCTTTCCACTCTATCTTCAAACACCATGGTGCATCGTTCCTACCGAGCTGGGAGCGGCTCATGGCTACATATGAAAGCTTCTTAGTTTCCGAAGACCCTACGCAAAGACAGTGGGGGCTATGCATCATGGACGACGTTCTTGAGTACTGTGGCCCTGAAAGCAGCAGATATGCCAACTTCATCACCCAGCCACTTATCAGCGGATGTCAAGACGCCTCTCCTGCCATCCGACAGGCAGCGGCGTATGGAATTGGCGTTGCTGCTCACCGGGGGCACTCCTGGGCACAATTCCTCGGTGGGGCCATTCCATGTCTATTTCAAGTCACAAGGGTTTCCGACCCTCGAAGTGAAGACAATGTCTACGCTACCGAAAATGCATGTGCCGCCATTGCTAAGATTCTACATTACAACGCCGCCCACGTGTCTGATGCCCAATCGGTCATCACTCAATGGGTCGACACCTTGCCTGTTACGAATGACGAGGAGGCTGCACCTTACGCATATGCGTATCTTGCGGAGCTAATTAGCCAGTAAGTCCACCCTCTTTTCTTTCCATTTCTTTTTAGAGACGTCGCTTTGCCTCCATTAAAAATTACTAAACCCTGATATCTCGGTGATAGGCAACACCCGGTGGTTATCAGCCAGGCCAGCAAGGCGTTTACATTTATCGCCCAAGGCCTGGAGGCTGAGACCCTTCGCGGACAGACAGCCAGTCGAGTGGTAGCAGCAACAAAGACCTTGCTTCAGACAGCTAATCTGGACCCTACACCTCTTCTTCAGCAATTTTCGCCTGAAGCACAAGGCGTTATTGCCAGCTTTTTGCGTAAGAGCTGAAATGTGATGTTTTTGCAAAGGCTTAGTTACATTCCTTAGATTGCTGCGTTGTGGGTACTATGAAATTTAATACCTGAAACTTAAAGTTATCGTTATTACAAAACTCTGCATCCGATTACAGTGTTTCGGAGATGTGGTTCTTGGCTTCTCATGTGAATACTATTAAGCAGAGCGTTACTGCTATTAAGCCTTCTGCTCTTCTCAGGCGCCAACCTCCATACAACTCTCGCATTGTGGGTCTACCTGGAGGTTGAAACGTCAAGGTGGTCAAGAGCTTTGTTATCCACAGCTCGTCAAGACCCTGCCTCTCTCACAGGTCAAGACGGCCCTCTTCGATGGCCCCACATGGACTGGGTCTTAATACCCCAATGGACTCTATTGATCCCTGGCTTGAGAGGGGCAGGCGGGGGAGGAAATAATTGTTAGGCTCAAAGTATTTTCTCCATCTAGAAGAGGGTGATGATACTTGGACCAAATCGCAGTAACTTATGCTCCCCCGGGCCAGTAAGCTTCGGCGGCCAGCAATGACATACGTCAGTCAACCCAAGATTTTTGTATTTCCCTATTTCCTTCCCTCACATCGGAACGGAGAATATCATATCCGACCTCTGCACCCATTATCGATGACCTCCCTACTGATATGGACCACAATTGTTCATCTTCCCACCACTCACTCAGTTCAAAGTCCTTCAAGTTATCGAAACAAAAACCTGGCATACAACTGCACTTCCTTTCCCCTCTCCGACTAAATACTAGATCTATCTTCTAAAAACGGGCGCACGGAAGAAGAAGCGTCTGGCCCCGCCTGCCTGACCAAGGCAACACTGTTGTGGCAAACAGAATATCCTCCACGACCAGAATATTCGAGGCATTTTCTAATGCCCAGCGAATCGCCTCAGGAGACGAGGCTTGTGTAGCGCGCCTCTCTGCCGGCCCATGTTACCAACGGGACTTTCGCTTGAGGACCTAGCATACAAGAAATCTCGCCACGCCGATAGCATTCCTTGCTTGCACGAACTCACCGGCTCCTATCATTACGCTTTCATCCCGTCGGGGTTGATCTTTTCTTAAAATACGGGGACAATCAGGAGCGATTTCTACGACTGCACTCTCGACTAGGAGGTGAGACGTTGGTTTTATCTTTCCTTCTAATGCAGGTGGTGGCATTATGGCCGCCTTTCATGGGAGCGCGTTTAGGCCCGTCAAGGATACTGGCCACAATAACCAGGATATGACGATAGAATCTCCAGACAACGGCCCGATCGCCTCCCCGGTGATATTGAGATGACTGCAAATGGGGATCCATCCGGTCCACCGATGCAAATTAATCCCGAAGAGGCTCTTACGCAAGGCCACCGTCGTCGCCAGAGCTTTCCGCCACCTATCGGTGCCTCTCAGTCTCCTCCATATCATGTGGCATCGCGAAGGCTATCCCTCATGGATTTTGGAAGAAGTGGCAATGGCCACGAGGCTTTCCCAATATCTCGTAGCCAAACTGGAACCGATTTTCTTGATCCAGAATTGGCCCAATCCTCAGGCGCCTTTGATCAACCAGATGATATTCTTGCCTTAGAAGGAATTTCTCCAGATTTGATGAGCAATATGATGCCGGCTAGCTTCGCGAGTATGACTGTAACCTCTTTAGTTTCAAATTCTGGAACCCTGGGGTTGTTAGGATCACAGGTTACATCAAACTATCCGCATGGGTCTATTCGCACTTCGAGAAATGGGGTCGGTGCCGGAATGGATATCCAAGAAATGTCTCTGGATTCTAAGAGCGCCACGAGTTCCGATGATATACACAGGGACTGTACACGCTTGCAGACCCTAGGGCCATCTATATCTGGCGTTGACCCCCAAGGTGCGCAAACCCGGCTAGCCCAAGGTGACGATAATCATGCGCATGATCGGATTAGCTATGAGAATAGCCACACGGCGCTGCGTACGGCACTGAGGCCGCATCTTCCTCAGCCATCTGGCCCACTTCGCCAGCCGAATTTGCCGAAAGCGTTAATGGAAGAGACTACATCGGCCAGCAGGACGCTGCCCCGAGCGATCGGTAGAAAGGAAAGGCCGGTCTACTCCAAAAGTGGGTTCGACATGCTGCGTGCCCTGTGGTATGTGGCAACGCGGAAGGACCCGGAGATACACATCGGGGCTGTTGATATGTCTTGCGCATTTGTTGTGTGCGACGTTACTATGAACGACTGCCCTATAGTGTACGTGTCTGATAGTTTTCAGAACCTCACGGGTTATAGTTGTCACGAGATCGTTGGGCAAAATTGTCGATTCTTGCAGGCACCGGATGGGAAGGTTGAGGCGGGCGTGAAGCGAGAGTTTGTCGATGATTCCGCCGTTTATACTCTGAAGCAAAAATTTCCGCCCGTCGGGAGGTGCAACAGAGTCTCATAAATTACCGCAAAGGAGGCAAGCCTTTCCTAAACCTCCTTACCATGATACCTATCCCTTGGGACACCGAAGAGACTCGCTATTTTGTCGGCTTTCAAATTGATCTCGTGGAATGTCCGGAAGCGATCTCTTCTGCCCCAGAAACCGGTGGGGTACAGGTGGATTATAAGCATAGCGAAATTGGGCAGTATATCTGGGAACCTCCAAGATCAAGTCACTGGGCCCCCGACCACGGCCAAACCTTGGGAATCGATGACGTCTCCACTCTTCTCCAACAATATATCTCAAAGGGTGAGCTGGCGTCGGACTGGCATCGGCAGTCGTGGCATAAGATGCTCCTTGAGAATGTTGACGATGTTATTCACGTCATATCATTGAAAGGTGTGTTTCAATACGTCTCACCATCAGCCAAGCGCGTACTCGAATATGATGGAACGGAGCTGGTTGGCTCTCCGTTGTCGTCTGTCTGCCATCCATCTGACATAGTTCCTGTAACTCGGGAACTAAAGGATGCTACTGTTGATATGCCCGTAAACCTTGTGTTTCGGATTAGGCGGAAAAGGAGCGGGTATATGTGGTTTGAAAGCCATGGATCACTCTTTTCTGAACAAGGCAAAGGCCGAAAATGCATCATACTTGTGGGGAGAAGGCGACCGGTATATTCTCTTAAACGATCCGATGTTCAGGCCCATGGTGGTGGCATAGGCGACAGCGAACTTTGGGCCAAAGTCTCGACTTCCGGAATGTTTCTTTTCGTTTCTTCTAATGCTAAGGCCCTTCTTGACCTTCAACCAGAGGTCCTTTTAGGCACGAGTATCCACGATTTGATGCGCAAGGAATCGCGAGCCGAGTTTGGCCGTACAATCGAGAAGGCTCGGAGAGGGAAAATTGTGTCATGTAAACACGAGGTTCATAACCGGCGCGGTCAGGTTCTGCGGGCCCAAACCTTCCTCTACCCCGAAGAAACTATCGATAACAGACCGTCCTTCTTACTTGCGCAGATCCGACTCATCAAAGCTTCCTCTAGGGCGTTGGGGCATATGGGGGATTCGGACGCCTCTGTCGAGCGCAGCATACCCTCTCTACCCGGCGGGGCTGATGCTGGTAGCCATAGTACCGATTCTCACTCACCAGCTAGTGGAACGTCGATCGTGGATGATATTATGTTCTCCGAGCTTGGGACAACGAAGTGTTCTAGCTGGCAGTTTGAGTTGCGGCAAATGGAAAAGGTTAACCGGATCCTTGCTGAGGAACTTAGTATGTTGTTAACGAACAAAAAACGAAAGAGGCGAAAGGGAGCGGGAAATGGAGCTCGAGATTGTGCCAACTGTCACACGCGGAATACCCCAGAGTGGCGCCGGGGTCCTAGTGGGCAGCGAGATCTTTGCAACAGTTGCGGTCTTCGCTGGGCTAAGCAGGTAAGCCATACCCTACGTCCGACGTTCCTAATTTCAACCCCAAACCGGCCTGATTGAGATTTATGAATCGCGGCTAACCAGTATCGTTTTGGGGGATAGATGGGCCGTGTTTCACCACGCAATTCCTCTAGGGCCGGTAGTGTGGGTAATGGTGACACCCAGAGTAAGCTTTCGAACTCAAGCGTTCGTTCCTCCCCTCTATTGCAGGAGGTAACAAATGATGTGGCGGGGGATGAGGTCGACGACTCAAATGAGGACCTGGGACAGGCCCCTGGGAGCCCAGGGCCAGCCCGTGGGCGATCGAGCGGGTCGCCTTCGGGGAACAAATTCAGCCATTACCTCCCGCAAGCCAGCCGTTGCTCGAAGGAGGAAGTGGAGTTGAGTTCGAAATGACCTCGATTCGTGAAGAGTAGGATCGATGCATTGTCAAGGGCCAGCAACACATCCACCGTTGTTTTCGGGAATCTTCTGAAAGTTTTGCCATCAACGTCCGTTTTGCTAATGCTAGAAGTACACGACTGAAATGAGATACACGCACATATTTTGCTTTATATCTACTTTGAAGCTCTTCATATACGCGCGATGATCTGAAATCCATAGGCGCGTGTACATAATTAACAATGAGGTACTAGCGAAACATTAGATGGAGTTCTACCTCGGTTTACCTGGTAATTGATCTAGTATCGTCTTGGTGCTGTTCGACTCAGTTTAGTTCGTATAGAGTCCCCACTCAATATAGGTACTGCCTCCAAGCCGAGCAAGTGCTGTACATAATACACCAGGCTCCGCCAATTATATGAGCCTCTTAAGATTTTCAAAGCCACCTTCTAGGTCAGTGGCCAACACCTGCTTTAGTGATGTGATGATAGGCTGACATAACTGGTCAATCATCCCGGTGCGCACCTCTGAGGCTCTCACTAAACCTAGTGACGATGAGTCATCGTAGTTTAAATAGTAGCATTGTCATTATCCTCCCCATTTCACACTGGTTAGGTATTAGACGCCTGAATGTTAACAATTCATTGATTAACCCCTATCATCACTTCACCATAACGACCAACATTAGATATTCTTGCTATTAGGCGTACATTTTTCCTTCTTTTCTTTCTTGATTCTCCTTGTCGAACTAAGATACTTGTCCTTTGCTAGGTTATCTTCTCATCCTGTGGTATTATTGTTAGGCCGCGATCGAGCCAGCATACAACTTCCAAACTTCCCCACTAAGCTCTTTAAACATATCCATCTCTTCGCCTCAAGAGGGAAATATCATTTCTTGGTTCCCCTTACCTTTGTTTATATGTTCTGCGTTCTATAAGAATACTGATTATCTACCTGTGCCTTGTGTCTATCAGCAACCTAACAACTCGGGTGAAAGTAGCCTTGCGGTCATGGGCCACGTTTCGGGTGGTGGCAACATTCCCATACACTTCCACGACGAGATGCAAAAGGGCCAAACAACGGCCTTCGCCATCGCAGAACCCCCAGTCTCGCCTAAGCTCGGCGACTTCAACCTGATTTACAGCTTCCTGGGATGTCGGGGAGGCCGATCGCTAGGAGGGTTCGTTCACCATGACTCCGCCTCGCCACACTTTTATAGCCCGCAGAGGCCTGATACAACGACTAAACTTAATATTGATGAGTTCATTCGTGTCAATGACGGAGGTACCACGAACTGTATCGGCGGGGCTCCTGGAGGGAACGATATGGCCCCAACACACGCTGAACCGGGTCTGTCGACTGCCTTGGCCGAGCTGGAAGATTTCAAAGGCGATCGTATCTTGCGAGTACAAGCTGAGCCAAGCCCCGAGAGACCTCTAATCCTTGGTGACCTGCCAATCGCGAACTCCCCGAACCACCTATTCTGGAAACTGGAGCGAGAGCGGCGGATTGATAAGCGAATTATCAACCGTCTTTATCCGGACCTCGAGTTAACGACTCACGTATTCATTGACATGTCAAATATATATATCGGGTTTAATGATACGTTCAAGTTCTTGAGGGGCATCCCGGACTGTGATAGAACTCCACTCCCGCCGATCAACTTTGACGCCCTTTCACGGGTTCTTGAACGGGACCGGATGATCGGTGCCAGAGAACTTGTCGGTTCCGCGGCCGATCCTGATAACTTGACTGATCTACCCAACTATTTTGGAGATGCAAGGAAACTGGGGTACAAAACCAGCATCTTACGACGAGTGCTCAAGCCGAAACGAATATACCGCCGCCCCCTCCCTCGGGTGACACCCCCACCCACGGGGTTCTCCTCGTCGGAGAGTGGTGAGTTTTATGGCATCGCAGGACGAAAAATGTCCTACAGAGAGCAAGGGGTGGATGAAATTTTGCAGTTGAAGATGGCGAATACAGTGATGGAATTCTTAGGAGAACCTGGAATTATGGTTCTTGCTACAGGAGATGCTGAGAAAGCAGAATATTCTGACGGCTTCCAAAAACAGGCTGAGCGCATACTCAGTGTTGGTTGGCTTATTGAGGTCGTGTCGTGGAAGAAGGGCCTTAGTCAGGCATGGAGGCGACAGTCTTGGACCCAGAAATGGGGTAAGCAATTTAGGATCATTCTCCTTGATGATTACATTGACGATGTACAAGATGCTTAGGCATACGCTTTTACGAGATAGTGAAATCATATACTTGGCGTCAGCTCTACATCCCAAGGAATAGCCTTTAATGAAGCCCAAGTTGCCTTGGGCTGAAGGGGCGCTCGTGAGAGAGCGCAGTTGGATTGATGCATATTACCGAGTAGACCTATTTGCTATCTGACAAGATTACCCAAACCCATTTCGACGTATCTCGTGCCCCCTCCTTTTCCCCCGGCGAAGGAAAAAAAGATAGTTGGAGACGGTTTTAGTGTACAAAAGAGATGGCTCTTCGTAGTGACAGGGCTGTTGAGATCAGTGTATGTGGTTATTGCGGCCGTTTGGCTGAGTACGAAGTAGTTCCCTCGCCTTTTCTTTTTCCGGGAAGGGGAAGGAAGAGAGACCTGCCTAATTAGGAAAGTACCTCGTGTTTGGCCTAAATTGTCCACGCTGGCACTTATTCTTCTCCTGGGTTTGGTATTGTTGTCTCGAACAGACGCCAACGCCCTCTCCGACTTCCTCTCCTTTGGCGCACAATTGCACCCACAGTTTCAACTAGCCATCCTCTAAATGTGAATTGACCTTACCTGCATCTCTATCATGGTATTTTCCCAGACTGGAATTTCCCTCTAACTTGTGGTGCCTAAGAGCTACTCATTACAGCAAAAGCTGTTCGAAGGCTTTCACACCCCTCTGAAGGCCGATTTAAGACACAACCAACTCGTTAAGCCAGGATGAAGCACCGCAGGCTGCTGGCAAGCCTTGCGGGCCTCCTACTAGCATTTGCGTCTACGCCTGTCCTTGGGCTTCCGAAAATCTCGGCTTCGATGCGAGCAGCCTTCGGTGCTGGGCCATATCTGTTAGAGCTGATGTATGTAACTAGCATTTCTAGGCATTGTATGTCAAATACAGGCTTTTGTGATGCTTATTCTAATAAAATTAAAGAGAAACCGCAGCTACTGAGAATACCACTTCTTTCTTTCCGCTCCTCGACCATGTCGCAGCTGGCTATTTTGCGGATGCGGCAACCGAGAAGGAGTTGTACGAGAGGTTCCTCGCGCTCCTCAGGGAACATGATTATCTCTCTGACCCCGAGTCGCTATCTACATTTAAACTTGGCCTCTCAATGAGATCAGCCGCTCCGAGAATTGAGGCACACTATCAGTACTACGCCACTAGCGTTGAACTGGAACACCCCGATGATGACACCCCTGCGATACCTGGGTGCTTCTGGGCACATCGCGATACTGCAATCATGGCTCCTTTGAGTCGCGTCTTTCTGCTAGTTCGCCCTTTACCTTGCCATCTCTGCCCTTTGATCGAACTCTTGGGTGGTCTGGGCCCTCTGCGATCCTGTACACCGACCTCACCTCACCGACCTTCCCGGCCCTTCATAGATCGCTTGCAGAAAGAGCCCTGCGCGGCGACCTAATCTACTCTGTCCGGTATCGCCGTGAGAGACACCTTCGAAAAGAAAACTCCCCGCTTCCAATCAGCGGGTATGGGGTTGAACTTGCGTTGAAGAAGACCGATTATATTGTGATCGACGATAGAGAGGCGACTGGCAGCGAAGGTTCCGGTCTTCATTCCAAGTACGGCGCGGAGGCCCAGCTCGTTTTAGGTGACGAGGAAGCTGTGTCTGATTTGAAGCCCTGTCCAAAGCCGAGGTTTCCACCCTCGGCTTAAATACCGCGTCTCTTATTCTCAAGCATGAAAGGCCATTCGAAGCCCTGGTGAAAATTACGCAAGATTTTCCTAAGTACTCATCATGGATCGCCGCTCACAATTCCTCCGAGGAGTTCGCTAAGAAGCAACGCGAAAACCTCGGAGGCGTAGTCCCCCAGGTGTCAACATTCTTTGGATGAATGGCGCACAGCTGATAGAGCGCCAGGTCGAACCCTTTACCCTTTTGGATCTACTTAGACGAGAGCGAAGGCTGATTGCGGAGGCAAAGAGTGCTGGCTTGACGGGCTCGGAGTCGATTGCATTGCTTGGTCACCCTAATGTGACATCCGCTAAGGTTGATGGTGGTTTACCCAGATTTGACTGGACGGATAATCTCGAGGGTGGGAAAGTCATCATCTGGCTTAACGACCTCGAATCTGATGCGCAATATGAAGAGTTCCCCTCAGCTCTAACGGCGGTACGTCTACTCTACCACACCTTGGCCCGTGATAGCCCGATAACTTTGAGCTAACCCTCCCCTCCCTTGTAACCAGCTTCTTCAGCGCACATACCCTGGCCAAGTCCCTCGAGTACGACGTAACTGTTTCAATGCCGTTCTGCCCGTTGATGTTTCTAAGACCGACGATTTGAGGGTCGCACTGCAAGCACTGGCCTTTGTGAATCGATTGTTACCCGTTCGGTTTGGCATCGTGCCTTTTTCGTCCAGTGTTGAATCTGCTAATCTTGTCAAAATCTTTTACCATCTGCATGAAAATCATGGGCTTGATGGCCTTTTTACGTACATAGAGCCGGCTGCGCAAGGCGAGCACGTGGTAGCGGATGTTGAAATCTATGATGAGGCAATTGGTGTTCGTCCGCCAACTGACGGATTAAAGGTGCAATCGCTCGAAGAGGTGGTAGGTTCGAAATCCTTGGGAGATCGGGCTCTTCTCTCTGAAAATTGGATTAAGAGGCTGAGTGTGGCTTCAGGCACGACACCCATTTTTGTCAATGGGGTGGTGGTACCTCGCACAGAGAATTGGCTCCAAGGAATGGGTATGAGGGTTAACTCAGATCTTCAGATTCTCCGGGAAGGGCTGCAGTTGGGGGAAATTGATGAAGATGCGTTGGTTCAACAAATTTTCCTGAAGGAGGCTTTGGAGGTGCGGAATCTTCGTATCTTTGCCGATGAAGAGAAGGAGCTACAGCTCATAGATTTGGGGAAACTGTATCGCGAGCATGCCTCGCTCCTCGGGAAAGCACCCGTTGCGGGCGCGCACGCGAGTTCAGCAAAGGAAGACTGGGTTGCTATTACGGTCATTGCCGATCTCAGCTCCGAGGACGGCTTGGCGCTCCTCCTCTCGGCTGCTCAGTTCAAGACTGGCAATCCTGGGGCCCGTTTGGAAATAGTGCACAACCCAAGGGCGGGGCGAGCCCCGGGGATGGCTTGGAGGCTGCGCTGGCAGGTCATCTTGACAAAGTCCTCAAAGCTGGCACTGTTGAAGAGATTAGGTCCCTCCTCATTGAAGAGCCGCCCTCATGGACAAACGTAAGGCGTTGCTCAACGCCTATCTCGCATCGGTCAGCTTTGAACCAGGCTCTAATGGCTTGCTCCTGAATGGCCGCGTTATCGGGCCCCTATCGAAGAACGAGGTCCTTGGTCAGACTGAGCTCCAGCAGGTTCTAGATTTGGAGCGGAAAGCTCGTATCCATCCTGTGTATTCGGCCTTGTCTGATTTGAAACTATGGAAGGCAGTCAAAGACCCACTCACTGCAGCTAAACTCACGTCTATTGTGGCTCTCTACAATATCAGACCTACCGGAGGGTATTTTCGAGTCCGCGCCACCACTCCGAACCTCCATATTCAACAGCTGGGAGAGCAAGCACACAACTATCGAGGTTGGTAACGCCGGGTCGGCTAGTGTGCATATAGTCGGCTTGCTTAACCCAGCGAGTGAGCAAGGGCAGCGCTGGGCACCCATCCTCAAAGTGCTCTCAGAAGTTGACGGCGTATATATCAAATTGTTCCTAAACCCAGATGAGAAACTTGAGGAGCTCCCAGTCAAGCGATTTTATCGCTACGTTCTAGAGTCAGGACCGACCTTTGATGAGACGGGAACGGTAAAACCGTCTGGAGCCTGCTTTAAAGGTGTACCGTCGGACGCCCTTCTTACCTTAGGGATGGATGTTCCGCCTGCCTGGCTCGTGGCTGCAAAATCTTCTGTGCACGACCCGGACAATATCAAGCTTAGTCTTGTTAAAGGCGACGTCGATGCTGTGTATGAACTACGAAACATTCTGATCGAGGGCCACTCACGCATGACTACCAAGAATGCTGCCCCTCCAAGCGGTGCGCAGCTTGTGCTCGGGACAGAAAAGAACCCACACTCAGCGGATACCATCATAATGGCCAATCTCGGTTATTTCCAGTTCAAGGCAAACCCTGGGATCTACAATATTCGTCTTCAGAACGGGAGAAGTTCGGAAATCTTCGAAATTGAAAGCGTGGGTGCCTACGGTTATGAAGCGTCGCCAGGGGATGAAGGTACTTCCATCGCGCTGATGGATTTCAAAGGCACTACACTGTATCCACGCCTGCAACGTAAGGTCGGTATGGAATCAGCTGACGTCCTGTCACACGGCTTGGAAGAAGCAGAACTGGGCTCGACACCCTTTTATCGCGCGGCCTTAAGGCTGCAGCCGGCATATTGGGGGTATTGATTCGACCGCTGCCGCTAAAGCACAGGGGTCGGCGTTTGACGAACAGGCCGAGATTAACATATTCTCCGTTGCTAGTGGCCACTTATATGAGCGCATGCTCAACATCATGATGCTTAGCGTTATGAAGCACACTGATCACACCGTCAAATTTTGGTTTATCGAGCAGTTCCTGTCGCCATCTTTCAAGGACTCTATTCCTCACTTAGCCCAGGAGTATGGGTTTAGGTACGAGATGGTAACCTACAAGTGGCCGCATTGGTTAAGACAGCAGAGGGAAAAGCAAAGGGAGATTTGGGGCTACAAGATTCTCTTTCTTGACGTCCTATTTCCACTTTCTCTGGACAAAGTTATTTTTGTAGATGCCGACCAGATCGTCCGCGCTGATATGATGGATCTCGTCAATCTAGACCTTGGAGGTGCCCCTTACGGATTCACCCCCATGTGCGATTCCCGTACGGAAATGGAAGGATTCCGGTTCTGGAAGCAGGGTTACTGGGCGAATTATCTTCGCGGACTCCCTTACCATATCTCGGCGCTCTACGTTGTGGATTTGAGGCGCTTCAGGGAGTTGGCCGCTGGCGATAGACTTCGTCAGCAATACCACACTCTCAGTGCGGACCCTAACTCCCTTGCCAACCTCGATCAAGACCTGCCTAACCACATGCAGTTTATGATTCCCATACATAGCCTCCCCAGGAGTGGCTTTGGTGTGAGACGTGGTGCAGTGACGAGAGCCTCCGAGACGCGAAAACGATTGACCTTTGCAACAACCCAATGACGAAGGAACCTAAACTTGACAGGGCTAGGCGGCAGGTCCCCGAGTGGACGGTGTATGACGATGAGATAGCCCTTTGGAAAAGAAGCGGAAGGCGTTGCCGGCGACCGAGGACCGGGACGGCGGCTCATTAACTCAAGAGCGGGAGCAAATTAGAGAAAGAGGGGAGGCGACCGAAGGGCAGGATACGTCTATTGTTATCGAGAGAAATACCAAGAGTCGTAAATGGGAGGAGGAACCAGCATCTCGGGCAAGGGATGAGCTGTGATATCACGATATTTTGATATTTCGATCACTCGAACTTGAAACTTGGAGGGCTTATCACGCAAGGTAGACGCTAGGAACACGATTCGGTAGGGCCTAGGCTCTCAGGTTTGAACTCTTTGGATATCATGATCGTCGCCATTGTTCTAGCGTTGTCCCGTAAAAAGATGTACGATTGGTTTATCCTCCCTTATAGGTAAGCACAAAAATAACTTCATGGTCTCTCCTACTTGCCAATGGCGAGATCAGGCCTCTACCCACAAGGTTGATGAGTTTGTGAAGGCTCTTCACACCCCGCGATCAAACTATGGGAGCAGCAAAGACAGGGGGAACGTTAAAGGGGACGTTAAAGGGGAGGAGCCCTATTCCATCAACCAACCCACAGTATGAACCTTCTCAAAAGTTCCATGGTTTTTTTAAACATAGTGGATGCCGAACGAGAGGTGATAGGACAAGGGGTCGTCGGTCACAGGCGAAAGATTGACTCGCTTGAAACCCATGCCGAAAATGGGTGAAGGATCTAGGGTGGAGTAGCCGTTTGAGACGAAGGACCATCCACGATCAGTTCTTCTACGAAGAAGGGCTATCTCCGAAGAGAATCTTGGATACGTGAATGATACGATGACTACAGAAGCGGCGCCCGTCACAACTAAAAAAAAAAAATAAAATAAAGGCAAACAAGGAAAGAGTTGACGGGTATGTTTGTTGGGGGAGGAGCGCTATCAAAGCTGGAGGCAGGGAGGTAAGGGGAGAAGGTCTAGGGAATCCAATGAGGACCAGAAAAGTCCCCCTTCCTCCCTCATAAAACTGCGCAATTCTTAGGCATTAGGGCCACACCAGATTTCAGATAAGTTAGGTGGGAAGGGGCATGCAATAGATAACATTGTGGCCCTGTGACGAGAGAGGGAGGCTGGAAGGGAAAAGAAGGTAAATGCTACATAGCGCACAGCCTACATAACGACCTATTTGTATTTATCAAGTCAGCATACTGGTGCTCTCATTCCCCGAAACTTCGTGAACGCGGCTAAAGCATGAGCAGTAGTGGAAGTGAAGGCATAGGGAAGAAGAGAAGAAAAAGAAAAAAAAAAAAGGGGGGTTCAAAGAGGTGATTCATGATTCACCGTTCACCATTATACTTACGCAATCACCGTCACCCTTTCCTTGTGGAATACCCATTTCCTCAAAGGTCGAAGGTCCTTGGCCGTTCGGACGTGGGGGCGCAGATACGGTCGAAGCGGCTGAAGGTGAGGCTGGCTTTTGCTGCGGGCGTTGTTGAGTCGGCGGCGCGCTGCCGATTCGACCGGGGCCATCGTCTAGGGGCCGTGGTCTGTCAATATGGCTGACGGGTCGGGGACCGGGATGGCCATGCGGCGAAGGGTGAGCAGGCAGGGAGTCAAAGCGGTCAGGCCTTGCGGCGTTCGGGGCGCCCCTTCCGTACGACTCCGAGACGGGGCGATGAGGTGGCTGTTGCTGGCCAAGTTGATTAGGGCGAGAGGATGTCCGGGGCCCGTAATCTCTACCAGCCAGGGCGGGCTCACGGGGACCCTGGGGCCCCGGGTACTGACCGCCTGCAATTGAGCTAACGGGACGCTGTCCATGAGGATTAGGCTTTTGCAGGCGGCCCTGGCCGGGATTTTGTGTGGGGCCGCCTTGACGGCCGTCATAAGGTTGGACGGTGGCCGGCCGTGGCGGGTCTTGACGGTAAGGATCTCGCCTGAAATCACCCCCGTTGCTGGGCTAGGGCTTGCCTGCCTATAGTCGTTCGACACCGGTGGCTCCCACCCCGCGGCATTGACCCGACCGCGCTGGTCTCCGGGCCCTAAGTTCCCTTGCGGTGGTCTCCCCGAGGACCCAGCGCTGAGAGGTCGAATTCCAAACGCGCTCATGGGCCGATCTGCGGCGGGTCCCTGAGACGCCCGGATTTTGGGGTCGAAATGGGGGACAAGGGCGGTCGAATGGCGTCATCCTCTGGGTAGGGCGCTGTGGACTGTGCTCTGGGTAGATTCAAGGGCGCAGGCCGATCATCCACCGGGTAGGGGGCCGCCGGCTTAGGTTGACCGGGGGCGCCGTCCACGTTGAGTGCAAAGGCTGGTGCCCGCGAGTCCTTCAGGGATAGGCGTGATATATCGGGTACATCGGACGCACCTTGATTGGCGCCGATTGGCGGCATGTGAGGGGAGATGCGAGGCGAGATACGGGGTGCTCCGCATCTCCCTCAGACACGACAGGCATGGCAGCCGGCTTTTGGGTGAACCGGTCGGGACGCTTTCCGCGCATAGAGCCATGCTGGGATTTAATCCTTGTCAGAGTGGTCGTTTCATGATCGTGCTTGGTAAGAGTCTTTTGCTCATTGATTGATTCAAGGCGGCCAATGGCGTCTTTATTTCCGTGTTCGGCGGCAAGTTCGTACCATTTTTTAGCCTCGCGAAGATCCTTGGATACGTGGATGCCGATCTCATGATAATAGCCCATGGCGAATTCACCGGTGGCGAGCTTTCCGTCAGCAGCCTGCTTCGCGTACCTGTAGGCCAGTTGCTCGTTCTTGTTGAAGAACCCTTCATAGCCGAATAGAAACCAGCGACTAACTCCTAGCGCGGCCTCGGCCTGGCCTTGCTTGGCGGCAAGGCCATAGTAATGGAGCGAAAAGGACGGATTGAAATCGCATCCTAGTTGACAGAGCTCGTAGGCCTGACCGAGCTTCAACTGGGCCTTGGCGAAGCCGAGGAGAGCGGACTTCTCAATATAACGTTTTGCTAGGGGAGCTGATAGGGCAGAAGACCTTCGGGTATGGTGATGTCGGGCAACTCCCGCGCAATTAGGAGCCCATAGACGTAGGCTCCCTGGGGTGCATCCTCATCGGCGGAGTCAGCAGCAGCCTCAATCAGGCTCAAGCCGTGATGGTAGTCTTTAATCTGACCGTGCTGGCCCATCAGGCTCATCATTCCGAGGCGGTAGGATGCCGCGGAATCTCCGGTCTCCAAGCCACGCTGGTAGTGTTGTATTGCATTTCTCATATCGTTCGAAGCCTCGAAGAGCATGCCCATACGATATTCGGCCCGCCCCGTACCGAGCTCGGCAGCTTTCTTGTAGCCGTTGTAAGCCTCTCTTTTGTCCATTCGGTGGCCGAACTTGCCGAATTCGAGCCACTTGGATCTTAAGAATAGGGCATCGGGATGCTCTTGGCTGGCAAGGTGATTGATGATGGTGAGGAATCGACCCGCATCTGATGTTCGGCATTGGGGGTCGGAGGTCGGGGCTTGCCATCGAGTTCCCTATCGAGATCCTCCATGATGACTTCGACCCATGCAAGGACCTGTTTCGCCCAAGCTAGCTGCATGGGCACGTTGTTGGAATGTAGCGTCTGCTCCCGGTTGTCCCAGAGGGTTTGCTCAATCTCTTCAAAGCTAGGAGGTATACCATCACCTTTGACTTTAGGAAACGGTGAAAACGTGGGCGCATCGTTTGACACATGGGCAGGCTTCAAGATCCCGGGGCTGGGTTCGCTCGGAGCTGTGAAGGAACCTGGCCTCGTAGGGTTTAGGGTGTTCGGGGCGGCTGGAGGGGACGTGAAGCCCGCGGAGTAAGAGGATTGAGGGGCCGTTCCTCCCCCGGGTGGAACTCGGTAGCTTTCGCGCTCGACTCTAATCGCTGAAGGTCATTCTGCATGTTTTGAGGAACTTCGGGCATGACCCTGCACCAGCGGAAGAGGGGTTAGCAAAGAAAGAACCTTGAGTAGGAAGGGGAGGAGGAACAGATTCCTTGTTCCGATAGCATACCTTTGTGGCAACGGGGCATAAACCTCGGGCATGTAGTAGTCATCGAAGCCGCCTGGCACGAAGGTTGCACCGAGCTGGGGACCTTCAAGTGAGTCTGTTCTTGGTGGATTCACTACATATGTCAGAGGAAGTAGGGTGAAGGGTGGCGGAAAGAGGATGAGAAAAAGCGCGCGGTCTCGGCAGCCTAGCACGGAGCGTATGCCTGCCCGCTAGGAGCCTGGCCCTCTTTGTTCATGGCGAGACTCTTCGCCGGAACGCTGGGGATTCGGAGTTTCAACGCGCGACTGGTCGGGAGCAGGTTTCACGCACCATCCCACAAGACTGGATGAGATCGGCTGCCCCCAGCGTTCCCCAGTTTTTGTAGTGTATGCATGGGAAGCGCCACGAGAAAAAAAGGGCGTAGGGAATAGGGAATAGGGCGACGCGGATCAAGAATGCTGTAAAGGGAGCAACTTACACGTCTGCGCATGCTGCTGCTGCTGAGGTGGGGCTGGCGGCTGCTGCCCATAAGAATTGTAGTAGTTGGCCATTTTCGTTCCGGGTCTTTGGAGAGAATGAAGACGCCCACACACGTCCGCAGAGAAAAAGGGCAATCGGGACCCAAAGGTTCTCTGAACGGTGGGGGAGAAGTAGCAGTGGCAGGATCGACAGGAGGCAGATGTAAAAGGCGTTGATGATGAAAAGGAGAGACAAGAATGCTAGGAAGGAGCTCAGAGAGGCGAAGAAGAAGTGTTAAAAAATGGCGACGAGAAGGGAAAAGAAGGAAGTGGTGAGCTATGGAACAGCCACACCTTGGAAGAGGGGCAAGCTTCGGGCTGAGGTCTAGAGGGTGATGCTGTTTCGGGAAAGGAAACAGAGGGAAGATTTGGTTGGAGTGGGTACATTCATGTACAACAGTCTGGAGGGGGAAGCGCTTTGAGGACAACAGAAATGGGGGTAAGTATAGCGGGGACTAAACGCGTTGGCAATGGATGGAGGGTGGATGGATCAGGAGGGAGGCCGATAATTTCTAGGTAGAGGGATTGCTCAGTTTGATCCATCAAGTAATCATAAATCCTTTCTCACTCCTCCCAACAGAGAGGGACGGGGAGAGGGACAAGGTCTGAAGCCAGGCAGATCGCGCACCCAGTCCAAGAGAGTGGCCTAACAGCCCCCAAAGCGGCCAATTTCCTATTTATACAATCCTGCCCATCGCGCACCGGAACGCTGGACGCTTCTTCGCTTTCTTACGGGCTTGCGACGAGCGAGGGGCGACACAAAGAGAGACTCGAGCCAGCTGTGCCACGGGCGCACATACATACAATCTTACATTGATCCATTGCAATACAAATGCCCTCGGCAAATTTTTATCTTATTTTAATATTTTTATTCCTGTTATTATGTTCTTTCCAGCGCCGTTTCCTTGATTTATTACACTACTTCGTAGTCTTTGACTGGAACCGCGCCCGCGCCCTCTCCGTCTGCCTGGGCCCACCCAGCAATATTGATGGGGCTGCCATCTCGCCAGCCAATATCCCCTGAAACGGCACTACCAGGAGCAACAATTTGATCCCTCAGGTTGACGGATCCGCGGATAGCATCAGCCGTCTTTTGAGGAGGTGGTTCTCCCTTGGGACGGCAACCTTGCTAATATCCACGAAGCTTATGTACTTTTGTTGACGCCTCCCCATCACTGACTGCATCAAGCTTTCGCCGACCTTGTAAGCCTTAGCCGCCCAGTTCGAGTCTTCATGTTACGAGAATCTACTGGTTTGCTCCCGGGTCTCTGCGTCAACCGCACGGCAAGGTTTGCGCGAAGAGTTATCGACCCTAGATCCTACTATTACATTTTGATTAGGAACAACGGACCTCTCTTCCTATCTCTACACACCTCACCTTCAAAGCCAGTGCTGGTCAATCTTTTGCGCTGGCGTAATAACCTCCATCATTGAGCTTGCCCTCCCTCCAAGCCCAAGGGCTTGAGCTAGGGTTGAGTGACATCCACGCAGGCTTGCTCGGCGGGCCAAGCCACAGGCCGCGCTTCCGAGGCTGGATCCTTTGAGATGATCCGTGGATCGTGTGCGTAATCACGCCGACTCGCCATACGCGGATGTTTACAGTCCCTTTGAAGAAGCTCTGAGCCAAATCATCACATTTTCTCGGAGACGATTATTATAATGCATCTGGAAATCTCAATTTCGCTGCTTCCTCGACTCCGTTCCGTCCCTGAGCACGCGCCTTTTTCATGCAGAAATTACCCACCCCGGGTTTTCTTGAGAGACCCTTTGAGGGGCAAAACTTTGCTTTCAACTAGCAGCCGTGAACCGCCAGCTAACAGGCTTAGGGGTATCTCAGGTCAAAGCCAGCAACGAGTAAGGTTGTTTATATATTTTACCTCTGTGAACGAGAGACTCCCGAACCAAGAGGGAGCATGCAATGTTAGGCTTTTGATTGACGTTAGTGAGCATGCCCTTGAGCTATCCGTTTTTAGATATATTCTGGCTTCCTTCAATTTGAGATAGACGCACGAGGCGACGCGGGAAAAAATGGCTTCAGCGTCGCAATCAACTCCCAGGCTGGAGGGCTTGGACAAGGCTGCCTTGGGTGCCAGGGGACGTGCGACTTCACCACATATTGTGCTATTTTCGGGAGTGGCTATGCCAGCATGGTTGGCGTCCAGCTTTTCAGGGGTCCCGGCAGCTGCGGGAACTGCGGCCCCATCCCCACCATGCTCCAAATCAAGAGCGCTCCTTGAGGCTGTGCTGCTCGGAACCTCTTTGAGGAACTGAGCTGAGAGGGCACACAGGAAGCTGGATCAGCCGCAAGTGGGTGGCATCTGCTCTTGCAAGAAACGCAATGGCTGGTTCAATTCGGAAACATCTACCTTGGTAGGTGAAGGCTTTTGAGCTTTTCATCTTGACTGACCTGCTTCAAGGTCAGGCATGTAGTCAGTCGGGTATCATCCTCACCTAGCCTTTCGGATGGTTGCGAGGGATTCTGCTATTTCGAAAAGGTGGACTTTGCTAGAAATATGCCCTACGAGAAAGCAGAGCCTCCAAACCCCCGCCCTCTGTTGCCTTGGTATTCCCGATCTCTTTACTGATCGTTCGGTCATCTTGGACCCTGCTTCTTGTCTGGGCGTGAACGGAGATAAAATGATTCATGGCTGTGTCACCTCGAGATATGTATAAGGAATGATTTGCTCTCCCCCAAGTTTCTGCCTTGAAGCTGCCGGAATAAAAGAATTCACTGGATGAATTGTCATAAGTTTCATGGAGTTGGGTGCGAGTTCGGTAGGTGGGTGTAAATACTGCTGTCTGGTATTTCGTCGAGTGTTGATTTGATTGCTTAGTCATACCTGGCGTTCTCATACCCAATGGTGAGCATCGACGGATGTGTGCGGACAAGCTCCGACCGCCATCGTCGTCAGTTTGTCTGCCTTGACATTTCCTGAGTTTGCATCTTCTTGCACCCTCCCAACTAACCCGACGTGTATCAGCAACCATCAACCAGCAAGAATCAACCTAAATATTGCCGATAGAAAAACAAGGCAAAGCCTCGTACTTTCACGCGAAATATTACACACCTTTTCTCCGAGCCGAGCGATACCAAGACTTATCACAATGGCGGAGCAAAGCGTGACCCAGATTGTCTCCCAGCTCAAACAATCTCCTCTCCCCTACGAGGAAGCTTCCTCCCTCCTCTCCCGTGCCAAGATACATCTCCTCCATCTCAACGCTCTCACTCCCACCCCGACCACTCCCGCCCACCTACTACCCTCGCTCGATCGCTCTACGAGCAAGGCGCCCTCGCCTCCATTCGTGCTCGCGATGCCGCCGCCTTCTCCCGATATGTTCAGCATCTCCAGCCCTTTTACGAGCTTCCTCCGTCTGTTCTCACACCCGAGACTGCGGAGCGCAACAAGGTGACAGGCCTTTATTTGCTCCTCCTACTTACCCAGGGCAAGTATGGCGCATTCCACACCGAGCTTGAGAGCCTAGCGAGTCGGGAAGGCGGCAGCGACGAGGCGGACAAATATCTCGGTTACCCGATCCGTCTAGAGAGGTGGTTAATGGAGGGAGCTATGATCGTGTCTGGAATGCCATGCAGAGCCGCGAGGTACCCTGCGACGAATACAGCGTGTTCTCCGAGGTTTGTTTACTTTCTACCAAACGCACCCCCGTTCGAGTTTTGGGAGAGCATCGCTTGCTAATTATGCACTCATTCATGAAGATTCTTACCAGCCAAATCCGATCTGAGATCGCTAGTAGCTCTGAGCGGGCCTACCCTAGTCTGCCCTTGAGCTCGACAAAGTCCTTGCTTTTCCTCGAATCCGAGGGCGCCGTAATTGACTTTGCCCGCGAGCGCCGTTGGGTCATACGCGATGGCCACATCTACTTCCCCGATAGTGAAGCTGCCAGCGAGCAGGATTCCGCCGCCCAAGACAAGGATTTCAGCAGGACTATAATCGAAAATACCTTGGGTTATGCCCGTGAGCTTGAGACGATTGTCTAGGCGCGTGCTATGGGGCCATGGCGTTTTCTCTCCCTTTATTCCCCGAGGAGGGCAAGGGGTATTTCTTTTAAGTGAAGAATAGTTTGGGTTATCTCCTTTTATGCCTCCACAGGAGGAAGAGCAAATGAGAAGGACGAGGGGGCCAATAGCAATAGACTTACGGGCCACTACACTGGCCCTGCTCCTTATTAACCTCCCCGTAAGTCCTGTAATCAATTGTTTCAATGTCGAGTGGCATGTCTGGGACTAGGGATGGCGAGCTGCGAAATGCCTAAAGTAGTGTATGAAATGGATGAGCGAATAATATACACTTGAAACGGATACACCCTACATCTTGACAGAGAGTTTCTACAACAAAGACGAGTGCAAGGCGACATGGCATCAGGACGAGAACAGTCCATTCAACCTTGAGGCGACGGTTTCCTGGACACCAAGGGAGGTTTCCTCGGGTGGAGGCGAGCGCGGAGTGAACGATGTACGACCAGCACCCAATACGATGAAGTGATGTTAACGATGAACCAAAAAGGGGTGCCCATTTCGCGACTACTCATACTACATACTATGTCATCAAGCGTTGACGCATCAAGACCCTCCTTCCCCCGCATTCCCCTGTCACTACTTTTTTAATCCCTTCGCCCAGCAACCATTGGGAGGTTGTGCCAATCCGGACCCCCTTCGGTCCTTTGCTTTCTCTAAACCCGAAGCCATATCAACTTTTGCTCTTGTGTTGGTGCTGCATAAGGATAATCTAGGAAGGAAAGAAAAACAAGGGTGGTGAGAAAGCCCAACTTTGGAACAGGGGAGGCTTTGCATCTATATTATATCCCGCCTCCCACCTCGCAAAGTTGTACCGGCATAGACTGGGCTTCAGGCTCGATTTCGCAATGGGGCGCTCAACAGCCCCGGGCGATGCCATTGTTTCTTTCCCCTTCCGCTTGTCTTTCCTGCCTGTTTCTTTAGAAGAAGAGCTTGAGACCACTGCCGTGCTTTCCAATCTCGCAGACCTCGCAGACCTTGCAGACCTGACCCTTGTACTTGGAATGATACTTTGACCCGTCGAACGCGCATTCCTCGAAAGAGGTTCCGCTATAGATGGGGGTGTGGCTAGCTGCGCACACGTCGAACTCCGCGAACTGGTCGAATTCAATCTCGATGGCATCATTCGGGTTGCGTTCGCACTGTTTCTTTGTTTTGGTGGCCTATGTCTCGTTGGTTAGCAAACAAACGGTTGGTTTTAGGTTGATGGCCTATAAAGGCAGACTTACGTTCTCAACGATCCGGCTCGAGCCCCCGTTGGCAAGAATTCTGTTTGCAAAGCTCAATGCTAAGCCAAAGTTCTTGTTGCGGAATGCCTGCTGCATCGCACTCCCCAATACTAGTTGGCGATGAGGAACCTCAATCTTGGGGATGGTAAAGTACGCGGACAGCTCCAAACTGCGCTTGAGCAATTGGGGGTTCTTCGCCACCTCATCAGGAGAACCCAATTTCCTCCTGCTGAGCTCAATTGACATCGCCACGGCGTATTCGCTAGCTGATGAGATGAGCTTCTTCGCTTCCTCGACTTCACTTTCGCTTGAGACCGCATTGATCAAAACGGCGTGGAGAATATCCTTGAAGAAGCGAATACCGTCTTCGAGCTTGTTGGTCTTCATGGCGTCATAGCCCTTTTGCAGTTCATTGGTCGCCAGATGCTCAAGGCTACGAGGAACGATGGGAAGAACCTGCCTGGGGTCGTCTTCCTCAACTGTGCGGCGGACGTAGTTGACAAGGGCGGGCAGGCCCGAGGTGGCGGGGAGATAGGTTTTCGACGCCGAGTATACCTCTAAGAATCTAGGCTTGAGCGGTGCAAAGTTTACAGCACCGACTTGGCGATTGAGGAGCTGCATCGCGGACTCAAACGAGCCACCTGCAACGTGGTCAACTGGGAGAGGAGAGTTGCGAGCCCACATCTCCGCCTCGCTGCTTCCCGCGCCGGCAGCATCGGTGCTTTCCACATTGACAAAATCGCTCTCGAGCTCAGGAACGATGTCGTCGCCCATATCCCAACCTGCGACATCCTCATCATCATCGATATTGGCAGCGGCCCCGTTTCGCTTCTGAGTGGTTTCATCCTCATCTTCGTCCATAGGCTCTCCCTCAACCGGCTCGTCGTCAAGAGAGAGACCCTCAACTTGACCAAGGAGTGCCTTCTCGAAGAAGGACTGCGAAGTTGCCTTCGTAGGCCAGTTTGCTTTGTAAGTGGGGACGACAGGCTGGGGAGGTGTGAGACCCTTGCCAACGCTAGGAATTGCGAGCTCCTCTTCTGTGAGACCCGTGGCCTCAAGAATGGCTTGGCATTCATCTTCGAGGCCATGAGACTTCGCGGTCACATATGCCAAGGGATCTGTCGATATAGGTTAGCTTATTATCCGCTGCTGCCCACTGTAAGACGAGACATAGTGAACCACGGGTGGGAGGGAATGGTTTAATCCTTACAGAGGTCAATTTCCTTGAGCATCTGGATGCGATCCTCCACATCGCCGAGATAAAGGGCATTGTGGAAGCGCGACGTGTAATCGCCACGGTGCTCGGCAATCTTCGCCATTCTAGCGAGCTTAGCACTATCACCGGTGGCAAGGTATAGGAAGGACAATTTGTCAAACTGCTTGAGCTTTTGGTAGCACATCTCAACAATCTGATGAGCGCCGTGTGCCAGGGCCTCGTTGCCTAGCCGAGACCAGAGTTTGGGCTTATCTAGCTCCTTTGCCATTTCGACGGCAACATCCAAATTACCGCACTCGATAGCGAGTTCAAAGCGAGTAGTCGGGTCTTGCACAAACTGGAGGGCAATCTCGGGATATCCCTTCTTCTGCAGGTAGGAGATGATGGACTGGCCAACGAGGCTCGAGGTCCGGATGATATGAAGCATCTCTTCGTAATTGCGCTTGACAAGGGCAAGTTTGAAGCGGTACTCGGTCGGATCAATGTGGAGAACCCTTGGCTTGGCGTATCGATCCAGGCAGTAGACGTTGCGGCCCTGGACGCGGACAAGGTAGACAGTTTGGTCGAGAGTACGAACAATGCCGTTGTCACCGTTGAGGAGTGCATACTTGACGTGGTTCAAAGTGGAATATAGCAGCACGCCTGCATCGTCCCAGGTAGCGCTCTTGATTCGGATGGTCTCGTGTAGGGTGCTGAGCTGCTCGAGCGCTTTGGATACGATGGTGATGTTGTGCTTGCTTAGAAGAGCGGCTATTCTGCCGTCGTTGGACCACACGACATACTTGACGCCGTTGACGGCGAGCTCGGCAACAGTCTTCTTCTGTTGAATATCGTAGAGGTAAACAGCCGTCGGGGCAATAATAAGGAGGTTTCCCGTACCACCAAAATAGATATCGGTGGTGCCGTGAGGAGGCTTGAAAGAGCGAGTCACATTGTTGGAAAGGTCCTTGATGTCAATGGTTTGCGCAGCAGTGTTTAGCACTGCGAATCGGTTGCGAGCGACAAATATGGCCGAGTTGCCATTGCCCCGTTTCGAGTCAGTCGACTCAATGGCACCTGACCCATCGCGAGGAAGCTTGAGAAGCTCGTAAGAGCCTCCGTCGGCCGGAGAGGTCACGAGTATAGACTGATCAGCCGGGTTGTATGACAAGGTTCGGGGAGGAGTCCACGGGTTTCCTAATTTCTTGAGGACCAACATCGTCGGACTCTCTGCATTCTTCTTGAAGTCGTAGGACTTGATGTGCTTGTCTTTGGTGATGTAGAGAAGCGTATTTTGGAAGATGGCTGATGCCGGGCGCTCGCGTTCGAGCTTGAAGACCATCACTCCGTTGTCGTGGCCCGCAGCGAAGAGGTTAATCTCAGGGTGAGCGGCAGCGACCCAGAAGCGATCATTCTCCCTCTTGAAGGATTGAACGGCGGTTCGCTTGTTCAAGTCCCAGACACGTATAGTTTTATCCTCGCCTACGGAGAGGATTAAATCCTGGTGAGGATGGAATAGGCAAGCAGATACGTTCTGGAAATGTCCGCGACACGTATCTACCTCCCAGGCCTTGGTCTCACTCATACGCCAGAGTTTCACAAGCCTATCGTCGCCTGCAGAAACGATAAGGGGCATCGTTGGGTGGAACGCGACCCAGTTCACGCCCCTATCATGGCCCTCTAGAACAAACTTTACTACCGCATCGGTATTCCCAAACATGTCGGCCTGGTTTTGATTCGCACGAGAAACCTGTTCCTCAAAAGACATGGAGGTAGGCGCGGAGTGCTTCTTTCGTAGCCCTGAGATATCCCAAACTCGAACGGACTGATCGAGGGAGGCGGAAACTACAAGATCCTCCTTGGGGTGAAACTGCGCACACATCGCGTAGTGGTTATGGCCAGTCATTGTGCAAACTATAGTTTGTTACGTCAGTACAATAGCTCTAGGTTGATCCTAAACGAGGATCTGGATGAAGGCAAGGGAGCCTGAAGACGTACTCAGAGACCGGTTCTGCCAGTTCCATATCCTGATTGTTTGGTCGTCGGACGCGGAAAGGATCCAAGGCAGTTCATGGTGAAAGAAGACTGTACGAACGTAATCCAAGTGGCCATTCAGTGTAAAGAGACATCGTCGGCTCTGATAGGACCAGACTTTGATCTTGTAGTCGTCACCTCCAGACACGAAAAGCGGCTGGGTGTTGTGGAAGTCGACAGATCGAACAGGACCATCGTGCTCTTCGAACCGATCAATAAGGGTTCCCATGCGGTAATCCCACAGCTGAATGGTAGAGGAATGGAGAGACACTAGAATCCATGGGCTGCATCGCCGCTGTTAGAGGGCGAAAGGACCACGTCGACGGAAGCGGGTCGGTGGAGGAAGAGGGGGAGGGGGAGGGGAAGAGCGCATACCGCTTGGGGTGAAAAGCGATGCCCTTCGCCCGAGAGGACTTGGACTCGAACTATTAAACCAATCGCGATTAGATGGATAAGATCCTTGGGGGAGTACACCGAGCTTGGTGCTAGTTGGGAACGTACCTTGGTGAGCATCCCGGCGGTCGACATCGTGGCCAGCGTAGTGGGGACGGGCCAGAGCTTCAGGCACCTGGAGTGGAGAGGGGATAGCCGACCTGGGGTTTAGATTTTATTTTTGGCTCGAGAGAGACGCACCGTTAGGATAACGACGGCATGAATAGTGTGATAGAGGAAGAAAAGGAGAGAGCGCGGCAACCGGTCTCGATGTGGTGACGCAAGGTGGGCGACCAGAGAGACCAGCTATGCTTTTGGAGGTCCCAGGGCGGTAGGGGAAGTTCAATTCGGTCAGCGTGGCATGTCGCTCAAGTGTGGGATGTGGGCGGTAGGGGTGCTCAGGGGTGTTTAACCAGAATTTATCCTAGCCAGTTGACATCAGCTGGTTGAGCTACCCCGCCATCAAGACGTGTGCCCTGGATGACCACGCAAGCCACTTCAATTGATTGAGGGCTTCAATGTATGTTGTATTACAAGTAGTAACCTCTAGATGACCTAGATGGGCTCGCCTGGTCAACTTGAAGCTAACCCGGGAGCTTTCACAAATGCCTCTCTTCGAGGATAGACAAACAGGGTTTATTTCGAAAAATTCTATAATACTAGATGCCTTTAAGATCAATGTTGAACATTATACATGCAATGCATGTCTAAGAGATATTGTATGACAATTCCGGGGTGTTTCTTCTTTCACTCTTCACGCACACCCATGCTGGGGTGAAGCTTTCCTGATTAGTGGGAAATGTACTGAAAGACTCCCGAGACCTCGTTCTCTCCATGCTCTTGTCGCAGCAGGAGATCCTGTATCGTGCCGAGCCCGGCATTTACAAAATGATTCCAGGTGCTTGTATCGCCGTACAGCATGCCGGGGGCCTTGAGGAACTGTTTCCCATCAGGCCGGCACCTCTTGCACTTAAACGTGTCGTGGGTATCAGAAGTTGTATCTGGCCGGTACTGGAAAAGTTCTCGCAGACTGTCCAGAGAGAAGTGCCGCTCCACGTCCTCGGCGGAGTCGACGACGCAGCTAGAAAGGCTCTGCTTGTGGCTCTGCCGCTGGAAGATTTTTTCCTCAATCGTGCCGGTCGCGATAAATCTATACACGAAGCAGTCCTTTTCTGCCCATCTCTCCAGACTCGAGCGAGAGCCTGCTGGTCAGCGGCCGGATTCCAATCCGGGTCGAAGAGCACTAGTCTGTTAGCGCCGATGAGGTTCAACCCACAGCCACCGGCCTTGCTGCTAAGTAGGAAGACGAATTCATGGCCATCCGGGTCGTTAAACTTGTCGACGAGTTTTTGGCGCTTGTTGACGGACATTGTGCCGTCTAGCCGCAGACTACCATAACCGCGCGCGCGACACAGCCGGTCAAACAGATCCAGGGTCTGGGTATAATTGCTGATGAGCACGATTTTGTCATTTGTATCTTGGCGAATTCTTGCCAGCATGCGGTCCAAGACTTGCATTTTTCCCGAGTACCAAGGCTTGATATCACGATCACGCCCTCTTGACTCCTTTGGTACGTAGTCTTCGGGAAAGCATTCCTCCGAGCCTGGAAGATCATCGGCGAGATTGAGCAGGTCAGGATGGTTGCAGAGCTTTTTCAAAATGTTGATAGCTTTCAGAGGTTGACTTCCCTTGCCTCGAAGAAGAGCTTGGATATTGGGGCTGGTGATGAAGTAGTTGTAGAGGCCGAGCTGGAACGGTGCTAGGTTGCAGAAGACGACGTGTTCGTATTTGATGGGGAGGTATTTTGATAGAATGTCGTTTGTCCTGCGGATGATAAACTTGTTGACAACTCCAAGGAGCTCACTCAGACATTCATCACCTCGCTGTCGCTCAGCTTCAGTGGCGGCTGCGTCACGGCCCCGCAGGATGGCCAGCTCGAATCTTTTTCGAAATTCTAAACGCGAGCCGAGGAGATCCGGATTTGCGAAGCTGATAAGCGAGAAGTATTCAGACAAGTCATTCTGGATGGGCGTGCCCGAGAGGATGACGCGGCGGGTGACGTTCAAGTTGTTGAGGGAGCTGAAGGTTTGACTCTCTCCATTCTTCAAGCGATGGCCTTCATCACAGAGCATGAGCCCGATTTTAGTGTGCTTCAGCTCTTCAACGTTTAGGCGCAGCGTTTCATACGAGACGATGATCACAGGGCGCGTGACGGCACGGCCAGATGCTATCGCCCACTGCCGAAGCTGACGCGTGAGTTCCTCTTTGGAGGCCTTGCCGTCGATAGCGAAGGGGGTAATGGCGTCTTCCCCAGCCACTTGACAAGTTCATTGGCCCAATTCTGGACTAAACTCGAGGGACAGGCAACGATTGCCTTTTGAATGGTAGATTTTCCGGCATCCGGCGATTGCTTTAGCAAAGTCCACAAGAGGGTGATGCATTGCAGGGTTTTGCCGAGACCCATTTCGTCCGCCATGATGCACCCATTCGCCTTTTCGTCGATCATGCCAGTGACGCAGCGGTACATGAATTTGACACCTTCGATCTGGTGGGGCCGCAAGACCTTGGCTAACCGAGGATCGATCACGACAGGCACGCGGGGGTGATCTCCTTCTACTTTCTTCTTGATGCCCAAGATTTCTGCTAGACTCTTGTGAACAAGGGGCTCGTCAAGTTTAGGGCCGACATCTTGCTGAACATTTTCCACGTTGGCTAAGAGCTTGGGCTTGGGTTTATCATCAACAGTCGGATCGTAAAGGACAATAGCAAACTCGCCGCTCGGATCATATAGCGGTTTTGCTACGAAAACAGCACCCTGACGAAGGCCTAGGGTGGGCGGTGGCCGATTCGCGTTGTACCCGCCCGTCTGTTTGTTCAGTAAAGGGATAGCGAAGCGTTTTCTAAACACCGTCTGCTTGTCTTTGACTTGAAAGGTGGGAAATTTGTTGGGATCGCGGTTGGCGAGAGCCAGTCGCTCGATGCTTGTCCAGTCGCTCCCGTTGGAGACATCTCCATCAGCTCCGGAGTAGTCGACCCTCCTCCTTTTGCGAGCGGGCCGATCGGAAACCGGGGTTCGGTTTGCAGCACCCGGGGTTCTGAAAGGTTTTCGAAGTCGATCCATAGAATTCTGAGAAGGCCACCGACCGGCGGGTTTCCCGCCCGTTGGGGAGGTGCCGTGGTTTTGTCCCTATTTTTTGTCAGGTCGAGGGCAGCGTAGCGAAGAAGATACGCTTAACGGAAGGAGGAAACATACATTGAAGTCTATAAACGCTTGGCGTTAGGCTCGAGGTCGACACGGGCGACACAAAAAGACGAAAGAGCGATGCGTTGAGTCCGCTTGTTCACTACTATTAGCGGTCCTCAGGGCTGCCTGATGGTGGCTGAAAGAATCCCCACTCTAGCTGCCACGATGACTCCCAAGAACGCGAGAACGGAACTCAAGTCAAGACGCGTCTTGGTAAATAATAGCAGTGCCTCAAAGGAGCTCGCACAGGGATCAAGTCGCGCTATCACGTGCACGCTAAAGAACTTGAACGCCAGGCCGTACTTGTATTAGTCAGGCCAGGGTCGGCTGAAAACGCCAACCCGAGGTTGGCCGAAGCCTCAGCCCGAACTTCGGACCACTTGGGCTGTCCCCACCCACACACACGAACAGTTGACTTTGCAAAGCCAAAAATTTGCAGGCACTAAGAAATTTCAGGAGGCGAGTACTGTGCCCGAGCCAGAGGGACGCAGCGCTGGGTCTTGAGAATATGTGGCGTTAAGATTCCGACAAAGGTCCGGATTCTTCTGAGAAGCCCTCTGGAATATAGATTCATCTCCCGCTGCCCAGTGAAGACGCGAATTGATCTTAGCCGAACGCCTCAACGCCTGGAGGTGATTCTAGGTGGTTTTAGTGTTTACGAAACTTGGCCGGATATAGTGATTCTTTGCCTCCCGACATTGGTTGCGCTCCTGTTTTAAATGCCCCCTTCCTCCCTGGCCGAAGACCTCCCGTCCATGTGCTCTTTGCTCGCTAGACTTCACTACTTTCAAAGAAGAAGGAGTATAGAAGAGGGTTAAATATCTCGAATTCCTTCGCTGCCCATCTCCCATTCGCGAGCGTTTGTTCTGCTATCTTTTCCTTTTTCTCCCCTCTCTCTTCTTTCTTCTTACATATCGCCCTCACGTTTCCCTCCTTTCTTTCTCTTGGGCCCTAGGTTTTTTTCTGGGTTCGGAAGACCCCCACCCGTTTTCATCCATCTCCCTTCCTGCCGAACCCACAATGTCGGTCCCGACTACTGCCGCCACCCCCGTCGCACTCACAGCGACCCCTCAATTTCAACTCCTTCTTGCCGAATATCGCACATCCATCATCGGCGGCACGGCTCTTGGGCATTTCGCTCACTGGCGCTATTTGACTCGATTTCGGCGACTTGATCCCTCTGTGCTTAGCCATAAGAGCATCTTCCGGTTCTATGGTGCGGCTTGGGGCTGCGTTTACCTCGGCGTGCTATCGGCCTTAACCTATGTGGAACGTAAGGCCTTGCGGACCATCTAATCGACACCCTGATCCCGCACTCCTCTCGGCGATTTAACTGAGACGGCACTTTATCAAACAACCCTTCTGTACAGTTTTGAGAACGAGGGCCTAGAAACGGACCAACGATTCATACGCGGTTTCGATCCTCGTCCCAATCTCGTGGGGCAAAAGGAAGGCTGCCGGCGACCTCGTTCTAGCACGAATCTGGAGTACTGAACGGACGGGTCCGGCCCCAGCACGGAACATGTCGGCTGACTTTTGGGCTGGCTACGTGAGCGGGGCCGTGGGGATCATCATTGGAAATCCTCTGGATGTTATCAAGGTTCGACTACAGGCCAAGGATGTCATGGCCGTCCAGAGCGCATCAGCCTATGCCAGCCAGTTTCAGAGCTCCTCTTCTCTCGTCACAGGTACAGCGGCGCCTATTTTCGGATATGGTGCTCTCAACGCCCTACTTTTCGTCTCGTACAACCGCACAGAGGCAGCACTTAGCACGGCGTTTGGGACGAAGAAGAGCCTTTGGTCAACATGGATTGCCGGCGCCGTCGGAGGCTTGGCGACGTGGGTGGTTAGCACCCCAACCGAGCTGATCAAATGCCGTGCCCAGGCCGCCGCTACCCCGACTTCCAGTCTATCAATCATGAGACAGATATGGAGGACAGAAGGGCCAAAAGGCCTCTACCTTGGCGGTGCGGTCACCGCTTTGCGAGATGCCATCGGCTACGGGTTTTATTTCTGGACATACGAGCTCTGCACCGAGACATTTTCGGGGCTTGACAAGGGCGACCCGACCCTTGCCAAGGAGGCTTCCAAGGTGCTGCTCTGCGGCGGCCTTGCGGGCATCGCCACGTGGGCTAGCATCTTTCCACTTGATGTAATCAAGACGCGGGTGCAAACCCAACCATCCCTCGAAAGGCTTGCAGAGACGTCTCCGCTTTTATCTTCACTTCGCTCCACGACGCCGTCGCCATCTCATGAGGGTCGGAGGGAGGTAAGGTACGGGGCTCTCCACGCGGCGAAATTCGCGTACAGAGAGGGTGGGATCGCGGTTTTCTTCCGCGGCCTGACAGTTTGCTGCATTCGAGCGTTTCTCGTGAATGCTGTGCAATGGGCGGTTTACGAATGGATGATGCATGAGCTTGGACAGGGCCGCAAGCAGCGGAACCTTTGAGCAACTGGTGACGGACGGCCAACGGTGATTGATGCAGGGAACACATCCTCTTCCTTACACCTCCATTACATGCATGTGCATTCTTTTTGCTTCTTGCTCTATAGATCTGTGCCCATAGAATTCGCTTCAGTACATATAATTGCTGATTATGATCCATGATCCATGAGTCTGGCTGGTATTATCGTATCGTTTCCCCAGTTGGCCATACTCCCCCTGTTAAGTGATGATGCCTAGTCCGGTGTTTCTAATGTGCAAATTAGATAATGTCCTGCCATGGGGAAATGCCCCCATATGCCCCAAGACCCGGTAGAAGCAGTACGTGTAGTCTATTTTTCTAGAGGAAAGAAAAGAAAAGTCTCCGGAAAGTAGCCGAACTCGGGCGTCTCCACCCGGTCCTTCAAAAGTCTCCGGCGATTGTCTCCGGGCCCGTGTATAAAACTGCGCCGACGGCACCCGACCGATCGAAATCTGCTAGGCTTGTGTCGCCATAATTCACTCCCATTTTTATTCTTTGAACCACCAGCTTACAGCTTGATCCCAACCAACGCTAAAGGTATTCTTGCAATCTTCAGTTTGCAAAACAACACACCGTCTCTCCATCCGGAGCATAGATCCTAGCCCAACCACATCATGGCCGAGCAAAACACTAACAAGTCCCTTTCCGAGGTGAACAAGTCGTATTGGGAGTATGTCTACATCCCGGCTTTAGCTTTCCATCCCCAGCACTCATTCTTCTTAGCATCTTCCCGAGCGTTTCCATCCCTTTGTTGGGCAAGTACAAGTGAATGCTAACAAGATACAACCTATCCCACAGCGAAAACGCGGACAAGGTATTTGACCAGGAGTGGGTCAAGGTCCTCTCCAAACTCGGGACGCGCGTGCTCCAGCAGCATGTTGGCCATCTTGGCCTCCGCGAAGGGGGACTCGGGACCCGCCAGTAAAGATGTTGGACTACGCATGCGGCAATGGTCTCGCTTCCTGGGTAAGTTGATGGCACCCGGTTGTACATTCTCCCCCTACCGGTTCCCATCCCGCCTTTTCTTCTTCTCCTTCACTGTTCCTTTCCTCCCGTTGTACGTTAAGATTGGGGCAGCGCAGTGAAGCCTCCAAAACTTCACCGCCCACCACCCCTTGACACGAACAAATGAAAATCTAACATGCTATTCGATGTGTCCACTCCCAGGCCTTGGCTCCCTACGTAGATGTCATTCGTGGAATTGACATCGCGCCTGGCATGGTAACTCAGTACAACCAGCGCGCAGCGGAGGCCAACTTTGAACCATCGACCATGTCCGCCGTCGAGGGCGATATCCTCAACCCTCCGAGGCACTGGGCTCGCCCGACATGGCGAATTTCGATGCCGTGGTGACGTGTATGGCGCTGCACCACTTCGAGCACCCGAGAGAGACTGTGCGCGCCCTCGTCGAGAGGCTGCGGCCGGGGGAGCTATTGCCATCACGGACTGGGCACCTACCATGAAGGGCGGGGCGCTCGACGAAGCGGTCAAGGAGCATGAGTCGAGGAAGGAGAAACACGCGGCGCACGGGACCATCAATAAAGAGTTTTTGTCGCCGGAGAATGTATTGGGCATGTTTGAGGAGGCTGGATGCGACATGAGTACGGCCTACTACATCGTCGTGGGTGAAAAGTCGCACATCCCGGAGGAGATCGCCAAAGTCCCCGGTGGCCTCCATCCTACCATGTTCCTAGCGCTAGCGAAACGGAAACTGTAAAAGTTGGAAGTAGGAGGGATTGGGATGGATACTCTCGTATGGGTGACTCTATACTACTTCGCAGGTTAAACAGGCTTGTGGGTTACTCGTTTGGCGAGATGGTCCACCCGATGCCGGAGATAACCTAGCTACCTAGCCAGATACAAGACCGGGGCGATGCATCTGACCTGTCAAAGGCACGCGGCCACGAGTAACATGGAGAAAGAATATATGGATGAATTGAGCAATGACGACGTCTAACAGTGGGGATGCTAGCGGTGATTGCGGCTCCGATATGCGTTGGCCAGAGGTGGACTGTTGTGATATAAGCCGAGCCACAGCCGAGCGAGGTCCCGGTTAACCTACGGTGATCGCCCCACCCGCAGAAACGTGGGGTCTCCATTATTGCAAGTTTTGATTTTTAAAGTGCCCTCTCCACCCCGGAGCCGCGGCGCCGACCCCTTCTAAGAGTAGTAGTTAATCACGGAGAAGAGGACCAGCACTTGACGCTCTGGATGAGGGGTTCGCGTTCCCACCGTGGGTCTCCTCAAGCTGTTATTCTAAGTAGCCTTCTCTCCCTATTTTGTTTTTCTACTTGCAAAACCTAGAACCTAGATATAAGTCCATTGATAATCGATTGATCCATTTGTCGGCAAGACTAAGATGATGTCGGTTTTCACTCTTTAAAAGAGTCCGACCAGTCAATGCCTTTGTGCGTTGGGCGACCATCCCCCCCTTTTCTGTAGCCAAAGTGGGCCATATTTGGCGTTGATTTACGATCTCCACTCTTGACAGAAAGATAAGGGCCTATCAGTGATATGAATACTACCCTTTCTTCCTCTTTTCCCCCTTCTCTTTTCTTTTTCTTTTTGACAGGACGCAACGGCTAACACTTCGATGCTCAAGACCTCGGGAGTGAGATGTAGCCGGCATGTGAGGTTGTGGTGTTTTAGCCAAAGCTCTCCCACCTTATGTTTCTTGTTCCTTGATATAATTGTCCCTAGACAGCGCCAAGGGGGTTTGAGGACCGAAACCGTGAACTTGAGGTTGGGGAGGCCGAAGCGTTGTCGGATCCTTCACCGGGCCGGAAGCTTGGCGGAAAAAAAGGTGTGGCAGCACAAAAGAAGGTCAAAGACTTGAGGGGAGTGGCCGCCACCTTGCCGACTCCCCATGGATGGACATTCATCTTGTGTTACATCCATGGATGGATCAAATGGTGGATGTATCCCCAGAAATGTGAGCAAGGTCGACAGCCGCTAGGCATCGTTCTAATTATGTACGTGCACAACTTCCGCTTCCTGCACACTCGACCCCTACCATTATAGCCTTTCCCCGGGACAACTGATTTAAGTCGGTGGTCGGTGGCAGCTAGGTCTGGGCAGGTCAAGTACTTTAACCATTTTCTCATCAAAGACTCATCCTCCTATAACGGCATGACTAGCTCGAGGGTAACATGTGTGATAGCAAGTTAGCGCGCACTCGTGGGTTGCCACATGGGGTCCTGTGGAGGGGGTTTCCGCACTCGGGTGAGCTGCTCAGTTTTTCTTCCGGCGAAGGAAAAGCTCGACCGGCGAAGCAGGACACCAATTCATATGGTTGGTTCAACTAGCAGGGCATTGGGGATAATGGCGATCGTAGATTTAAGCAAATATCAAGGTTGAAGCGATTTACAAGTGCTCTAGTTATCATTGAAGAGAAACATGGCCCACCATCAATGAACGTTGCCACCAGCGTTGATTAGAAGGCCTGGCCGCTCGCAAACGCCACAAGGAAAACGCAGTGTCACTCCGCGCCCTTCTCCTGACCATCGTTGATCTTCCTAACCAGAAGCTTCTTACTGGACCTCTTCTGTTCCTATTAGCACAGACTCCACGGTTCCCGCTCTCGAGTCTCCCGCCCCACCGCCGGGACTAACCCTTTGAGGGTGTCTTTTTCACCCATGCCGAAAGAGGGGAAAAAAGAACCAACCAAAGACGGGCCAAAGAAGATTTTTGAAAAACAAAAGCCCGGCAATCCCTTCACCCGCCTCGCCCCATGCCTTCAATCTTGCCTCCGATCTCTGGGTCCGCCCTCGGCCGCGCCAGACCTGCGCGAGCGGGGACTGAGTTGCCAGTTTGGGAGGGCCCCATAAATGGGTCCCCCTGCAACTTGACTCTTTCTAATATGAGTAAATGCTCCTTTTTCCTGGTTCCCATGACGAAGGGAATCTTTTTTTTTGTTAACATTTTAGCGGTTGATGACTCCAACAAGCTCGTTCACTCACTTTTCCGAGATCCTCTCCTCGTCTTCCCCGTAGGATTTATGATACATTAGCACTCCATTTCTCCCTCTCTTCCCTCCCTCTCCCCTCCATCCCGTTCCTCATCTAGCTAACAGTTCTATCTCTCTTCTTCCCCTCTTACCCACACGAACACCCCCAGACCTCTTCTTTCACTTCCTTTCTTCCTCTCTTTCTCTCTTCCTCTCCTCTTTTCTTTTCTTTTCCGTCCTCGCTTTACTTTCTTCTCTCTCTTTAATATTCTATATGCGTAATAGGCTTAAACATGCGCTCTTCTAGATGCTAGAGTCTCTCATCGTGATAATTTGTTCCCAAGAACTGCTACCTCCTCCTCCCCAAAAGCGAGCCGCCTTGTGTCCAGATCTTTATGCCATCCAAACATTGATCTAGACTCTTCAAAATTTGCCAAAGTTGAAATTTGTTGAAGTAGGATTTGGTTCAGTTATTCCTGACCTACCTCGTTAGTGATGGAGTTTTCAGACCCGGAAAAAGGGCAGGCCTCGGCAGCGTGATGCCGTCTGACAAATCCATCAATACGCTGGCACACGCCTCCGCCGGCCCCGATCCGGAAAAGGCACACGGCCGAGACGGCTTCGGCTCCGACCACCACCTGGGTCGCCGGCACGCCGACGACGAGGACGGCGATGATGTCGAGGAAACCGACGACGACCACGACTCCGAGTCCACCCGTGCCGGCGAAATCCAGCCCGTGCAGTCGCGCTCACAGAGCATTATCAATCGCGTTCTTTCTACACGTTCTATTGACCCCGGCCCACCGCCTGATGGCGGGTGGTCTGCTTGGATTACAGGTGAGTTTCCACAAAGTCCGCTTTTCCCTCTCGTCTTTCTTCTTTCTTTTTGGAAGGGCAGGGGAGGGAATTGTCACTTAATTACAAAGGATCTAGTCTTGCTAATTGCAATCATGTTTTCCTCTCCCTTAGCCTTATGTGCGCATCTAATTGTAATGAATTCATGGTAAGCCACCCAACCCAGCTTGACCCGGAAAGCATCATCCACTAACAGCCGCACTCCGCACACAGGGGCTTCATCAATTCCTTTGGCATATTCCAAACCTACTACGCCGAGATTCTCGACATGCCCCCGTCCACCATCTCCTGGATCGGCTCCATCCAAGTCTTCCTCCTCTTCTCCATCGGCACCTTGACCGGCCGCATCACCGACGCAGGCTACTTCCGCCCCGTCCTCATAGCCGGTTCCGCTCTCCAGGTTCTCGGCATCTTCTCCGCCTCCTTCGCCTCCACCTACGCCCAATTCTTCCTCGCCCAGGGCGTCTGCATGGGCCTCGCCAACGGCTTCGTCTTTTGCCCCACCATCGCCACCTTGTCCACCTACTTCTCCTCCAAGCGATCCCTCGCCATCGGCATCGGCGCCTGCGGCAGCGCTACCGGTGGCATCATATTCCCCCTCATCGCCCGCTTCCTCATCCCCCGCGCCGGCCTCCTGACCCTCCGCACCATCGGCTTCGTCCAACTTGTCGCCCTCGTCTTTTGCAATTTCTTCCTCAAGCCCCGCGTGCCCCCGCAAGGCCGGGCCCCTGGTTGAGTGGGCTGCCTTCCGTAGCCTCGAGTATTCCTTCTACGCCATCGGCGCCTTTTTCTTCTTCCTTGGCGTTTACTTCCCCTTTTACTATCTCGCCTCCTTCGCCACCTCTCAAATCTCCCCGCCCATGTCCTACACGAGCAGCCTTGACCTTTGCTCATGCTCAACGCCGTCGGTGGGCCCGGCCGCGTCTTACCTAACCACATCGCTGACAAGGTCGGCGTCATAAACATGCTCATCCCTAGCTGCCTCATCGCCGCCGTCATCGTCTTTGGTTGGATTGGGGTTTCAAGCCCCGCAGGTCTCTACGTCTGGACTGCGTTTTACGGCTTGGCCGGTGGGGCCATTCAAGGTCTTTTCCCTGCCGGGCTCAGTTCCCTCATTGACGACCCCAGAAAGCGAGGCACCCGTATCGGCATGATCTTTACCGTCGTCAGCTTCGCCACCTTGACCGGACCGCCCATTGCAGGCGCCCTTATCCAAGCTGCCGACGGCAGCTATGTAGGGGCTCAGTGCTTCGCCGGCGCCTGTTTATTGATAGGCATGTGTTTCATGATCGCTGCCAAAGTAGCGAGGTCTCGAAAGACTGGCGGTGATTGGAAAGAAAAGATATGAAGATGGGACTACATCACCCAGTTGTCGCATGATTAGCGGTCCATGTGGCCTACTGTCTTCAAAATAGGACCTAGCTAATATCTGTGGATCTACGGATCGATCCACTCCATTTTATCCTACATCCAAAGGTGGATGCCATCAAAAATGATGAGCTAGTGGGAGGAGGGGGTGCCTTCACTCCTGATTTATAACTCGGGCTGGATAGCTCTCAATGCATCTAGGATTTGCATAACCGGTGTTTAGCATTTAACAATCAAAATTTATTTCTTCATCCTATCTTCGCTGGTAGAAATATGATACGTAGTCAAATAAGATGTAGAGAGAGTCTATATGCATGGTTCTTTTGAGATCATGACGACATCCCCCGTTGATCCGCCCTGTCGAAACACTCGCCTAGGATGAGCGTGAGGCGTGAATTTAAGGGATACCATTGGGGGTTAAGCTAAGGCCATTGGCCAACTGAAAAGCTAAATAGAATAGATACATACATCCGGATCATCGTATCTGAGGGAATAAGTACGCTTAGTGAGGTAGATTTTAGAGCCCCCGCCTTAGTCGTGATACTCTTCATGGCTTGAATTTTGAGACGGAACGCTATGGGCCGCCGAGCTATCTCGGGTCACGGCGGCAGACTCCTGCTCCTGCAACTCTTCTTCGAACTTGGCGGCAAGCATTGCCGCGCCGGTGGTAGTCGTGAGTAGGAAGAATAGGGAAAATATAGGAATAAACTCTAATATCATGCCTATCGTGCCGAACCAGAGATATTCCCACGATCGGCTGCGGATCTCCGCCTTTGTATGCTTCTTGTCGAGCCCGCGCAGCTTGTACCACCGATAATGCGCTAGTTTGCCGAGTCTGGAGCCAGTGATGAGGATGAAGGCGGGAGTCCCAACCCAGGGGATCAAGTTCAGCGGCAGGAAGAAGATCAGTTCCAACATTTGCTTTAGGCTCCAAGGGGTATATATGGCGGGCGTTATGGGCTTTCCTAGGGCCTTGACGGAGTCCGGCGCGTCGAAGTGACATATCCGGTGAGGGCTAACCAGATAGCTCAGCGAGTGGTTGATCAAGGTCGCCTATGAATATGCGTTAGTATCGAGACGAGGGCTGTATCGTTGGTTAAATTAGATGGTTAGAAGGCTCAACTCACATCGAAAATGTCTACTCTCGCCTCATCAACGAAGAACCCTTCAAACAAAGCCTGATGGAAAAGGATTGTGAGCATGAACCGCGAAGGTCTGGCAAGCTTGTGAGAATGGTGGGAAGGGGAGTTCCAAACCTGAATAATGACAAAGCCTTCACCGAGCACCAGCACGACGGCGTTGATCCACGCACTCCATCCCTGCCAGATAGCCAAAAAGGCAAACTGGGGCAGGAACGCAAACGTGAAGAGGAGAAAGTACACCAAAGTCGAGATGAGTGTCAGGGGAGAAGACGTCCGTACAAGAGCGGGTGAAACTCGCGGTGCTTCAAGAAGTACCAAACGCCGCGCAAGGGATACGATGCCGCTACTGCCGCCCGGCGGACGCGAGAGACTGGCCGGTGGAGCGGTTGGTGGAGCGGCCGGAGGAGGGCCTCGAGGCGGGACGGCGTGAGAGACGACTGGGACCGTGACCAGGACGGCGTCGCAGTCGCATTTTGAGCTTCCATTTTTTTTTCGTGTTCGTGGATGCAAGGGGTGGGACGTGTTTTCGCGATCGCTGGGCCGAGTAGGCTTTCACGCGGGTCTTCCCTGACGTTGACGCTGCCTAATGGGAGGCTGCCCAGAGTTGCGAACGGAAAACCTCCCCACAAGATGACTTCAATGGCTCAGCAACGTCATACATTGAGTAATACACTACATCCACGAGCTCAGCGGGAGAGATGTGGGGCAGTGAGCCCGATTCGGCAGCCCTTTGCAGCCGTTAGCAGCTGGCAATATTTTCTTGCCGCTCGTGGTTTTACAGCCGTTTCTCCCCACCAAAAACCAAAGAATGGCATCCGACCAACGTGGAGCTGGCTTGACAGCTTAGCTTCAATCTAATTCATCCACTTCCATGCACCTTTAGCCTTGTACGTACAGTGAAATCGAGCGCCACGCACAGGGGTAAATCCGCTCAATACTCTAAAGCCGGCTTCCCCATTGGACAAAGCGAGACGGCATGTGGAAATCACGCCATGTTGCCGTTACACCGTCCACTCAGATCCAAGTACACAGTGTATCATGACCACAATCTCGCCGGAGATACATCTTAGTGCCGGGAATGGGCCACCGGTCGCGATCCTCGCGAGCCGCTTCAGGAAGCAAGCTGTGCCTCCGATGGGCGGTGGTTGATCTTGATTGCAGACCCGCTTTGACCGGTTCAAGGCACCGACTCTCTCGGGGTGGGCACACCCGCAATCCTTCCTTCAGCCGCCGGATTCGAGACGACTACCGCTCTCGGGCGCCCGGGGCAGGGGCCCGGCCAACGTGTCGATTCGAGCACACAGTACGGGGCTCAAGGCTCGCTGGCTCAGCCAAAAGCAGTCCCGCACATCCCGCGCGCGCAGACACAGGGTACGAAAAGAGCAGCCCGCCTGGGATGGGGCGCTTTTCCAGCCCTGCCGTTGGTGGTCTTAGGGGCTACCCTCGGGGGCTGCTCTCGAATGAAATCAATTCTTGCGCCCTTGCAGCGCTGCCTCTGTGCTTGCTTTCCTTTTCTCACCTCCTCTCGCTTCCGCTCTGTCTTTCTCACTGTTAACTACTGTCTGCGCTCTCTCTCTCTCTCTCTCTCTCTCCCTCGCCTTGCCCTGTCTCCTTTTTCATGCTTTGCGTAATAATAATCTCCACCCGCACAGGATGGGATGGGGGCCTTTTCTCTGCCGTCAAATCGGGGAATCCTTAAATGATAGGCGAGCAGGGGGCTGTTGGGGCTAAAAGTGTTCCGCTCAAGCAGGAGACAGGTAATATTGCACGATCAAACCCTCCACGGGACCCTCAGGACTCCAGGGACCCCCAGAAGAACGCAAATCGGTATTCCGGCGCCCCCTGGTTAGAAGAGCGTAGTTTCGCAAATTTTTGAAGCCCGTGAGGGGCTGTTGTGTCTCCTCATCTCTCACAGATTTCGTTGTTTTTTGACTTCCCCGCTCTTTGATATCTCCCCTGTCCCGCTCTCCCCTTGCCTCCCATCATCTATTAGGCTTCTCTCCTCGACATTCTTCTCACATCTCCCTTCTTCTTTCCTCCTCGTGTTTGCTTCGATACTTGTTTGCTCTTCTTTTGCGTAACACATTTTTCTCGATTTATTCTCGCCTCCCACCTGACTGGATCGGACAATATCAGCAATGAGTAACCCCGGAGATATGCCCCCGGCCTCGCGCCCAACTCCGGCCAACTTCCTGGTCTTGGTGCTGCTGCTAGGGCTCGAGTGCCTCAGACGGCGAGCGACTCGGGCCCGAAGAAGAGGAACCGGATTCGGTTCTCTTGCACGACGTGCCGTGAAAAAAGTGAGTACGGTTGCGTGGAGCTGCTGCGTCGAAAGAGCCCGAGGGTTCTATCCCGAATGCTATACCCTTTTTCCTTACTTCTCCCATCCTCAACTTTTCTTCTCCTCCTTCTTTGGTCCTTCTTTGGGGAACGAGGGAGAATTCCGGGTTTTCTCCTGGCCCCTGCGTCCATAATCATCCCATGGCTGATTGCGTTGCATTGATCTGAGGCTGACTTCCTGGGTGTTTCAATAGATTGAAATGTAACCGATCGCAACCCTGCGATCAGTGCATCAAACGTAACATCATATCTACTTGCAACTACGTGCCATATTCTTACCCGCGCGATGTCCTTCGGGCGCAGGCGGCTATTTCCCAAAGGGGCGGCCGCTCGCCTCCCATGGACTCCAACGGACAGGAGAGGCTCCGCTACCTGGAGCATCTCGTAACTGTCTTGCGTCGCCAGCTTGCGGAGCGAGGCGGAAGTTCGGAAGATTCCTCGGCGTCCTCCGCCAAAGCAGCAGGAGCCAAGCCGCCGACTGATACTAAGCTGCCAGAGACGCCCGGAGATTTGAGCGGCGTCAAAATTACAACCCCGCCGGGAACTTGGTGGGAGACCTTCGCTTTGTTGATGCTGCGAACTGGGAAGCAATTCTTGATGATGTCAGTCACAATTTCTCCATTGTCATTGGGTTTCGCGCCCCCCTGTTACGCCTTTTCCCTTCTAGATAAAGTGCCTGCTTTCTCTTTCGAAGACTCTTTGCAATCACCGTATGCTACCATAAGGGACGTACTAATGAGTTATTTCTGCAGGTCACGAACCTTACAGACCAACTGAAGACCGCTGATGCCGAGGAGGATGATGGCGAGTACCCGGTCGACTCGCTGGTCACCGCATCGGGGCCAATCCTTCTCTCGGGCTCGTGGCAATCGGCCACCGTGAGTGAAATGGTTGAATATTACATGCCGCCACGGGGCGTAACCGACCGCCTGATTGCGCGATTCTTTCAAGGAAAAGAGCCAGCCTGGCGTAAGTTTTTTTTATACAAGTAGAGCCACGAGGAGATCGCGCAAGGATGCTAACATAGTTTCGCTCTCCACAGTCATGTTCCATGTCCCAACTTTCATGAAGCAGGTAAGTCACTATTGGTTTCTGTCCTGCTCCCTCGTCTCGTTCCCCCTTCTCCGCTGGGCGCGATGTGTGTGCTCCATATCTGCAATTTTTCTAATGTTTCATTCGACGTCTCTTAGTATGAAGAATTCTGGGAAAATCCCCAATCCTACTCTTTGACGTGGGTCGGTCTCCTATTGATCATGATCGCCCACGCCGCGCTCTTTGTCTTCGAGGAGATGAAGAGGTGCCTGGGGGTCTCGGGCAGCCCATGCACGTGTGTGATTTGTACCGCGTGTACTCGGCGCAATGTCTGGCCTTGGACGACGTTACCAAGCCTGGAAAGTACAAGGTGGAAGCCCTCATCCTTTACTTTGGTATCGAGTATCTACGACTGAGCGATGCCTCACGTGGAACCTCGATCCTCATGACCATGACGGTCCGCTTGGCCATGCACATGGGTCTCCATAGGGACCCAAACCACTATAGCAACCTCTCCATCTACGAGACGGAGATGCGTCGCCGTCTCTGGACGCTGCTTATGGAGATTGACCTCCTTGTGGCGTTCCAGTTTGGTCTTCCGGCCAATGTGCAGCCACGGTACTTTGATACTGGCCTCCCTCGTAACTTCTTGGACGAAGACTTTGACGAGACGACAACAGTTGTGCCGCAGGAGCGCCCGCAAACAGAGCGAACCCCGGCACTGTACACAATCGTTAAGTCGCGGCTCGTGGCAGCGTTTGCGGATATCTTGTCGACGGTCACATCCCGTGACCAGCCGACGTACGGTGAGGTGCTCCGGCTCGATAAGAAGCTGGAGAAGGCGCACGACGATATTCCCCCTCTCCTTCGGATGCGGACTTTTAGCCTATCAATCCCGGACCCGGTAGACCTCATCATGCAGCGACTCTGGATCGAGCTCATGTACCAAAAGGCGCGTATCGTCCTGCACCGTCGATACTTCACCGTGGCGCGGTCCGACAACCGCTACAGGTACAGCCACTTTGCATGCATTGATGCTGCGACGCTGATCCTGCAGCACCAGTTCGACATTCACAACGAGATGGTCCCCGGCGGCCGGCTTTCCAAGGAGCGCTGGTTCCTGTCGAGCCTGAGCACGCACGACTTCTTGCTGGCCAACATGATGCTGTGTCTGGAACTTTCGCACCTGCTGCGGAAACGGGATGGGGACTTTGACACGACGCCGGAGCCCATCGACAAGGAGAGGCTGCTCAACATCATCAGCACCTCGCGCACGATTTGGCAGGCTCGGTGCGACGAGAGCGCCGAGGCGACGCGCGCCTTCAAGATCTTGTCGAGGATGTTGACCATCTCCACGGGTGTGCAGTACGATGGTGCGCCCGAGTCGAGCCCCATGGCGGAAATCAGTCCCGCGCAGAGGCCATCCTACCAATTTGCCCAAGGTAAGAGCCCTTTGTTTTTTTGCCGCCGCCCGTCACTTCCGCCACTCCTAGGTGGAATATTTTTCTTAGGAGTGTCTTTTTAATTGCTAACTCAACTTTCTTCCCTCTTAGGTATCAACTTGCGAGACTTTGCCGAACAGCACTCTCATCAGCCGTACATGCACGAGCAGCCGCCGATGGCTCCGTGGCCGATGGCGCAAGTGCCCCGGCGATGGCGCCGGGAATTTGGCAGGAGCAGCCCGTCCCTATTCCCATGGCCGAATCGATGGGAGATGCGGTTCCCGGAATGGATTGGGTGAGTTTTTTTCTTTTCTCTTCTTCTCTTCCTCCTATTTGGCGATGCATGTGCCATTCCTCTTCCCTCATTCACCTTCACTCCCTCCACTCCCTCTTTTTATGTGCCCGAAACACAAGCTAATCAAGGGCCCTTCTTCGGGGGTGATGATAGTCCAACTGGGATTCCCAAATTCTCAACGCCCCGGCGGAATCCATGGAGATTCCGTGGACCAACTTCTTCCGTCCCTCTTAGGATGGGCAGGAGCGCATGGGAGCCAGCCCGGGCGTCAACCTGCTGTTGCTAGGCTCTACCTCAATTTTCTTGTCTCTTTTGTTTGTCTTCCTTTTTCGTTCGGAATATGGTGGTGGTTATGACGAGATAACTAGAATGACTTGCTCTGATGAATCTAATGACCTCAATAATAAACCCAAAAAGCAGAAAACAGGAAAAAAAAAAAAAAAAAAAAAGGACGTCAATGATGGGGGATGGGAGCTGCTTTACAACTCCTCTATATCAGATTAAACACTAAATTCTTGGGTACTTAATTCAAAATGAAAGAACTAGTTCGAGACTCTCCATGTAGAAGGAAAAACGGGTGCAGGGCTCTAGATAGATCCATGATGGCAATGGAACCCATTCCATCTACTTGTTCCATTGCATCATCAACTCCCTTGTTTCGTTTCGCGTGGCGCGAGGCCGGGCCAGTACTCCAATCCTTCAGCCTTGATGCTCGGGTTCAGGACAGTCCGTGGATTTTTCCATGCTCCCAGATAACCCAATACCGAGCTCAGATTGTTCAGGTAAGATAGGCAGCCACTTCCATTACCAATTTTTTTCCCTTTCTCTGTTATCTTTACACATCCACTCTACTAGGGTGCTCGCCTCTTGAATTCTAGTATCCATTATTTGGACTTGTATGTAAGATTGTTGCATTCGTTGGGGTCGACCGTCCGGATTTGTCGCAGGTTTGCCTCTTGCCTCTCTCAGTGTTGACTTGACCCATGGATCGGGTTCTCCAGCACTTTCAAGTTGCTGGCATGGATCATGTGCCTTCCGTCTCAGCTGAATGGGCAGACAGCCACCTGGATCGTGCATTACCCCGGAGTCGGGCCCTTCCCCAGTGGGAAATTCGCCCCGATCCCTCGGAGATGGCGACGCATAGTCTTTCTTCGACGGGCTGAGTATTATTACGCATTGATGCTTTGGTTTATTATAACAGTATTAACGACGCCTGACGCATCGAGTGAATGTCGACGGATTGAGGTTTCGTCGAGCGCAGTCACAAAAGATCTACGCCACAATAGATTTTTGGCTCATCGCCGAGTGACGAAACCTCCGAGATGCATGGCTGGGTCCGTGTCTGTCGAGAATTGTATTTTCCTTCCCTTTTCAAATGTATTCAATTCTCTTTTCTCCCCTTTTCTCTTTTACCTTTGTTCTTCGTCTCCTTCCCCGTTTCCTTTCGACCGCTCGAGACCGAAATCTGACCAAGGCGGAGCAGCCGGCTTGGCAACGCAGACTCAAATCTACATGTTCAAGCGCACGCATACTAATCTAGTTTGCTGCCACATCGCAACTGGGGAGCGAGGGGGAAAAAACGTTGAAAGGAAAAACACAAGGGGGTAGTCAGGCACATGAGCGATAGACAAGGGGATAGAGGCGGGAAGGAGGTATTGCGACGGCTTTACTCGGGGCGTCGACAGGGACGATTATATTAATTATTTTTATTCATGTTGCTCAAGTGGGCGTCCCCATCCGCTTGGGCTCGTTTATTGCGAGAGTCGCTGGGTCGCGCTGTCGCGGCTAAAGTGAAGTGGAGGCAAAGATGGGGGGCGGGGACGGGGATTGGAGAATCTGTGGATACTTCCAAAGGTTGTAGCTGCCTCTCCAAAGAATACGTGAGGCCTGCGCTTTGTTGGTCATGCACCACCGAGTTTGTCTTTTTCCTCCGAGTTGATGAATCCAGATGTCTATGGAACTGAAGATCGCTGCTGGGATTCCCTTCCTAGAAGACGACAAGCCCTAATTTTAGGTGTTGGTCCACGAATCCCGCCGTAAGGAACCCCTGAACAAAGAGGAGATCGACACCATCGCGCCAGCACGAGGCCCGCTCGCGGCATACGTTCTTGCGGGTGTCACAGTGGACATCTCCGCCCCTTGAATCATTTTAGAGAGTTCAATGTTGCCTCGTTGCGTAATCCCCTCGTCGCGATAGCTACTACTTCGAGGTGAGAGGGAGAAGGGGTTAAAGCAAGTCCCCATCTGATAAACAGATCCATTAGCCTTGAACTGGGCACGGGAGAAAGAGTGGAGAGTGGATGCTGGCGGGCGTCTCTGCCTTGAATTACCATCAATCTCATGGTTGATCATGCCCTCTGATCACAAGGAGAGCTTTTAGAAGGCCGAAACACACACAAGTAGCTTGCTTGTGATTAGGGTTCGCAGGTTTGGGGGAGAGAGGTTCAATTCGATCCGAATCCGGGTATTATCCAGGCACTGGGGATGCTCTATCTTGAAATGGATCCATATCCATACAGATCCATTGTTTACATATCGATTAGAGCCCTAGGCTGGAGTCTCCGCCACTCGCTTCTCTCGCTGATCCCGTGTGAGTTGTTAGTCTAACAAGTCGAGCTCTCGTTTCCATACAATCTCGCCCTTTTGCCCTGCCCAAAACTTGCAGCTAGAGAATCCCAAGAGCCTCGCCGAGCCAAAGTGTGAGCCGGAACCAAACAAACATTACCACTAAGGGCCGTCCCCGGTTCGATTCGCCTACATGGATCAATGGTGTTTACTCGGACAAGGGTGGCTCACTCCCTCCACACATTAACCACTGGTGTTCGAGTGCCCGCCCTCCTCCCTTGATCCGATCCGTCCAGTCCCTCAATCGGCGCCGCAAGCGGAAGGCCACCGGCCGTGAGAGGAGACGAGACCAGCGGGAGGGTGGGGTGCAGGTGATTTGGAGTATCCTCTCCTGCAACTTTGTCAAACATCTCTCCTCTCCATTAAATTAGTAAAGTGGCTCTCCAAAAGAATCCCACCATACCAGCCGATCCTGCCCATCCAGAATCCTACCCTTCCCCGGGTTTATTCGCCCTCTCACGATCTGCGGAGTGCGTTGGAGCCCGCCATGGTTGCACTAATCGAATCGTAAAAGGAGAGCTAGAAACAAAAGGGGGGAACTCCTGGTGTAGACGTCACCGGCGTCAACGTCAGCGTCGCGACGCTTTGGGGGCGGGCACCCTATCGTCGTTTCAGCCGGGTAATTTTGCCAACCGCGCCCACCCACCGTCGGCCTTGGATTCGACGCACCACCATTTTGGGCCGGTGGGGGATGGGAGGGGATTTTGTTCCAGAGCCAGGCTATACTAGGCGCGGCGTGAACCAGATTTTCAACCACCGGTGAGGTTCGGCGATCCTCGTCCCAAAGAACGGGTGGGTTGGATCCATTCCTCTCAGCACACGGTGATTTCCCGTCTTGCAAGGCAATGAACCCATAGATCCAACATGATTCTCGCAGCGTAGGTGAGGAAACGGTGCATTAATCCATGGGATCCATTTCCGTCCCTGGATCATTCAAGCTTTTTGGCGGCAGGGCGACTTAAAAATTGCACTGTGCCCACTTACACGCTTCAGGGCCATCCATTTGGTCCATTGTCGACCGCCCGCATTCGACGAAATGTTCCGGCGCCCGGCTAGGCCCTCGACGGATAATACTACTATATACTAAACCCAGCGGGCAAACCCATGTATATAGCAATATTGCCGGGCTACCACAAAAGAAGAGAAAAAACCTGCCCACTTCCAGTGGTTTGTATAAAGATGAATTACAACCGCATGTCTTTTCCCTTTATCCCTTTGTTCTTGGCCTTCTCTTTCTCTTCCTCCCTTTCCCTCTTATCCCTCTCGCCCCACCCGTGACCTCACCTCCTCCTCCTCTCTCCCAAACCTCACCCTTTCTCTCTTTCCCTCCCTTTCTCTCTCTAAAACTCGTTCAAGATGATCGCCAACTCCCTCCTCGGCGCCCTCGCCCTCGCCGGCACCGCGCTAGCCTTCCCCATCGAGAACCCCATCAGCGTCATGAAGCGCGCCCCCGAGGCCGGCATCGTCATCACCAAGTGCGCCAAGCCCGGCGTCATCGCCCTCGCCTACGATGACGGCCCTTACACTTACACCAGCGAGCTCATCGACATCCTCGACGAGGGCGGTGCCAAGGCCACCTTTTTCTGGACCGGTACCCTCTACGGCTGCATCTACGGCCAAGCCGAAGCCGTCAAGAAGGCGTATGCCTCTGGTCATCAGATCGCCTCTCACACCTGGTATGTTTTTGTAACCTCTCAACTCTCCCTCGGCACCCTTTTGGCTCCCTTGTCCCCCGCTCTTCTTGCTAACGAAACACCCACCCCTCCTTCTAGGACCCATCCCCAGTCCTTCGGCAACATGAACGCCCAGCAGCTCACCAGCGAGATGCAGCAGGTCGAGGAGGCTCTCGCGAACCTTGTCGGCATCAAGCCCGCGTACATGCGACCCCTTACCTCGCCACCGGCGGCCAGGTCCTCCCCACCATGCGCCAGCTCGGCTACAAGGTCATCACCGACGACGTCGACTCTCAGGACTGGAACGGTTGGTCCGCCCAGCAGAGCCAGAACGCCTTCTCGCAGGCCGGCTCCGCCGAAACGGCCATATCCCCTCATGCACGAGACCTACGCCAGCACCGTCCAGCAACTCACCCCTGGCTCATTAACTGGGCCAAGCAGAACAACCTCGAGATGGTCACCGTCGCCGAGTGCCTCGACGATCCCGATGGCATGTACCAGCCTGGCAACTTCACTTCCACTGGAAAGAACAGCTGTTAAGCGGCTTATCGAGAAAAAGAAAACCCTTCTCCTACGCCCACTCTGACCTCCCTTCGGATCCGCGCTGGACCGGGCTCCTGCCCTGTGCTCTTTTCTTTCTATGGTGAAGACATCGAGGGCCGGGCGCTTGGGGGAGATGCAATGCAGGGTTGGTGGGGCCCAGGGGTGGTATGGGATGGAGAGAGGGAGGAGGATTGTCCCCGTGATGTTTTCGGCGAACCGAACTCAGAGGCGGAAGAAGGGAAGAGGCATAGCGAGGAAGCATGGAAGGGGTGTACATATATCGAGCCACGGGCGTCCCCTCCCCGCCCGTACTTGGTTTCTTCTTCTTCTAACACATTTATTCCACTCGTCACGCGATCTTCGAGAGCGTGTGGCACATAGCGTATATAACACCCCTTCACACATATATCCACGTCTCTTCACGACTAGCTTGGGAAGATGAGTCCACGAATCAAAATGAGAAAAAGAATGAAAAAAGGCAGGACCAAAGAACAGAAAAATGGCTTTAAAATTGTTTACAATCATCATAGTGCTATTCCTTCTCGTACCTATCTATATGGCTCGTGACGGACTTCCTTGTAATCAGTTGCTGGCAATGGCGAAAAGATCTGGCCCGAGTAGGAGGAGAGAGTGAAGGCATGCAAGACCAGCAAACTAATGAGTAAGCCAGAGCTTTCACAGCAATCCTTCAGTCATGGGCTAGTAGATATCTTTGGTACTCTGTGGGATATGCCCATACTCCGCAAGTAGTCCTCAAGGTCGGGACTCTTCTAGGCGAGATGCTATGACTAGAGATATACTATGCGTGCCGCGAGAGGACGCGAAGAAGGCTTGGGCGCTTCTCTTTTCGGCGCCCTGGCTTCGATGCTTGGCTCCTTAAGCGTGGTGCCGAAATTTGGCCTGGCGGTGTTTGGTGCCCTTGCTGTGCCTCCATATGCTCCAGCGCAAAAGCTCGGATGCCATGAACGGTTTAGACAGCGCTGCAATGGTCTCCAAGTGAACTTGGATTTCGCCCAGTGCCATGGTGGTAAGAACGACCAGAGAGTGATATGCCCAGCAATGTTGGTGACTGCGATGCAGTAATTTTCTCCTTTTGGGTTTACGAAACCCTTGACGTTTCTCCTTATCCTTCTCACTACTCTCATCTCCCGCCAAGATTATTGACGACACTGCCCACCATGACGGCAATCTCACGATCCCACTTGACCTCCTCCCCATCGCCGGCTTTCCTATTCTTCACCGCCAGCAGCGCGCGGGGCGTCTGCGAGCCCTTGATCACGCATTCCCTAATGGCGTCGCCCACGTTAGCCCGGTTGGTCTTGAGCGTGCGAGCCACCACGCCCCCGCGGTTCGAGAGCTCCTGCACGCGCGACACCATGTTGCTGGCCAGGGTGCGCCAGTAGTACGACGCCAGCGAGCCCGTCTCGAGGTACCCGAGCAAGGGCTGCAGCAGATTCTGTTGCGGCTGCTGCTTCTGTAGCTGCGCGGCGACGGCAGCGGCGGCAGCGGGACCGGCAGCGCCGGCGGTAGCCACGGGTGGGGCGGGGAGGAGGCTCTCGAACAAAGGGTGGTTCGGGGCCTTGGTGGTGTCGAGGATGAGCTCCAGTGCGAGCACGTTTTGGCACTTGGCCGCCACCTCGGCGAGAGCTCGGTCCAACGTCGGCAACTGGCCTAGCGCGCGCCAGGGTGGTGGCGCTCGCCTGGAGGCTAGCACGCAGGTAGGCCTCGAGGGACTGGAGGAGGAACTTCGGGGTCCATTTTTCAGGCTTTTCCCAGTTCATGGGCGACAGCAGGTACAGCGTCGACAGCGACGAGAGCAGGCGCGACCTCGCCTCGTCCGCCTGGTTGAACGTGGCGTCGCCGGGGACGTTGAACTCGCGGAGGATGCGCTCGGCCGTCTCGCGGACCGCGCGCTCAATCGGCGCAATCACCGCGTCTTTCAAGCTGCGCACCACGTCCACCTTGTCGAGGCCGTGGCCCTCCTCCCCGGGCTTGTTGCGCTCCAGCACCTCGCGGAGGAGCAGGATGGTGTGCGCGCACCGCACCAGGGCCTTGTGGTCGCCCTTGGCGGGCTTCGCGGCGCTCGACGACGAGGGTGTCCCGCTGGACCCGGACCCCGAGATTTCGGCGTGCTGGACCTCGAGCTGCCGTCCGAGCTGGAGGCAGCGGCTAACGGATCGGGCGAGGCGCAGGGATTCCCATAGGCGCGTCGCTACAACCCTGACCTCCTCCGCCTCGGCGTGCCTATCAATGACCTCCTTCTCGAGCTGGCGATAGCTGTCGTTCAGGCTCTTGATGTGCTGGTCGAGCTCCGAGATGATTCGGCCGCTCGCGTCATTCTGGTCTCGCGTGTATTTGAGGAGGGGCACGGCCGATTTCGTGGTTAGCACATCGATGTGCGAGTCAATCTCTTGGATATCAAAGAGGACTTTCGACAAGGGTGTTGACAAGTCGAGCGGCAGGTCGTTGGCATTGTTGGTGAGCAGGACAAGGGAGTTGGCAAATGTCTTGGGGTTGAAGTCGGGGTCGAGAAAGGTGTCGTAATCAATGTACGACGGCTCCTCTTCGGTCGCCATGCTGGCACGGCTCGACTATTTGGGGTGTCGGAAAGCTTTCAAGAGGAAAGGGAGCGAGACGATGGGATGGGTAGTCAAGAGGTGAGACGCCCAGGGCCTAACATCAATGCTGCGAATGACGCAAGAGGGGCAATTGGGGGAGCAGATTCCTCTTTCACGGATTCACCAGCCAGCGAGTTCGTCAATCGGGTCTGTGCCTCGCACTTGTGTGATGTGGGGCGCTCATCCCACCTGAGCGAGCCCTCAAGCTCGGAAGGAAAATCAAATCGCAGCAGCGTGGGTGTGGGGTAACAATGCTCCACGACCAACCAACGTGTTCTACACCTTGCAATTCCGTATTCGTCGGCTTTTTTCCTTGAGCGGCCTGCACGCATTGATCCATCCGCGGTGATCCATGCTGCCATGGATGGATGCTAGACAACTTGGAGAGGAGTCGCGAGGGGCCCAGCTGTGAGCAGTTGTGGTCTATGATGATCAACCGTGGATCTCTCAAGGAACACGAGCCTGGGAGATTTCTCGCTGATAATATGGAAGAATCAATTGATCCTTCCAACTGGCAGTTGAGTGATTTTGTAAAAATATGTCCGAGACGTTGACGATCAATTACAGTGCGAGAGAAGACACTCCATCTTGTACCTCTCTCTCCTTTGGTGTGTACTCCAAATGTTCGATTATGGGTCCATGAATGGATGGATGATGGATGTCTTGAATCCGAGTTTTTTTTTTTCCTCGAGTACCTGACCTCAATGAGCTTGACATGTTGCCAGCCTCCTTTTGGGAAGCCACTGTGGATACGCCGTTACTTGTAACACCAGAGCATGGTCGCACTGATCTCAAGTAGTATTCCGCACCACCCAGGATAATAGGTACTTGGTTGCGCCTCCCCAAATTTGAACCCACGGCCTGCCCGTTTGTTGCCTCCGCGCAGCGGGTTTCTTTCCTCTCCTGTGGTGCTGTCTCTCTACTTGTACCAGTGGTTGGTGTTGTGGCACCCAAGGACCACCAAACTGGCCGGGCAAGCTTTTTAGCGTCTTCGGCACTGTCGGGTCATCAAAATAGCGCAAATATTGGAGCGCGCTCAATGACCCCCGTTGCTACCTCCCGCTCTGCTCTCTATCGCCTCCACTCCAAGGTCTCCTCCTCCAGCTTGCTCCTCCTCCGCCTTATCCGTGATTGTCCATCCGAGAGGTCCATTGACGAATACCGAGCCTTCGCCATCCGTCAAACTTCCAGGTTCTCACACACACGCACTGGAAGTCTTTTTTTTTGCTTTTCTTCCCCTTCCGCTCCTCTTCCTTTCCTTCTCCCAACCCTTCTCCTTCCCCCAATCCTGTGTTCTGTCCATCCACTTCGCAATTCCATCTTGAGGGCTGCTTCGCATTGAAAGTTGTCGCGTGAAGACAGGATGAGATTTGCCTCGCAGCCTCAGGATTGATTGGACTCACCCGCGCATCCCGCCCCGCCCCTCCCGTGTCTGCTCTCGTCTTTTTCATTCCACCAGTTCAACACCGCAAGCGCCTATCTTGCTACGGTTGCCCTCGTCGCGTGGGAGTTTAATCAGAAACCAAAAACACCGTTTTCTAGGATTTGTCAAGAGTCCTTCCTACGGTTCAAGGCCGTCACCTCACCATGGCGGACTCGGATATCTGGGGCGTGATCCCCTTCCCATCCGGCGCTAATGAGACGGACACTGAGATTGCCGGCGGCCACCTGGACCTCGATACTCTTCGCGAGTTCGAATATCACCTCTTTCAGAATGACACCCTATCCAACGGCACTGACTGCATCCTCGCCTTCCAACCTTATGCCGCTGCCTACGTTTACCCCAACGGCACCTTTGTGAACTCTACCTCTTGCTACCGGTCCTTGTACCCCGTGGGTGCCCGCGGCAAGACCGGCGTCGCCTTTGCAGCTCTCTATGCCTTTGCCCTGGTCCTCATCATTGTCAACCTACGCAAGCATGGCCGTCTGTTCTTGCCCAAGGAGAAACGCTATTTCCCCATCGGCCGCAGGTGGCAGTGGTACTGGGGCTCCATCGTCTGCGCTGCCGCCATCATCGGTCTGTTTACCGGCATCGATGTCGATCGCTACTACGTGATGCAGATCCCCATCATCCTCCAAAGCTTCTTCTGGTATCTTTTGCAAATGGCCTCCATCGCCTTGGTCTGGGAAGCTGTTCGTCATTGGGGAAGCTGGAGCGAACGGCAGATCCTCGATGGCGACATCTATGCTTTCAAGGATGATGACCGGAGATCCAAGTTTGAGTTTTGGTTCCCCTTGTTCTTCTATCTCTGGTGGTGGCTAGTACGTGTCATGAACTCTTTCCCTGTTACTTTTTTCTTTCTTTTTCCCTTGTGGCTACTAACCGTGTTGGCGTCCTTATAGAGCTTTTTCATGGTCATTCCGCGCTCGTGGGGTAGTATCCAGCTCCAGCGTTCTCCAGAACAGACTCTTATCAGAGCCAAACCAGCAGCCACCGACACGAGGTTCAAGGTGGCCGCGTTCTTTTACTTCGTCTGCTGGCTTACCATCGTGGTCTCCCTTTTCCACTCAATCAAGCATTACCGGGCCCGTCGCCATGGCCTGCTAACCGGAACGTACGACTTCATCCGCTCAATTCCCCTTCGATTTGCGCTCATTCTGCCTTTGTCCCTTGCGGGGTTGCCTACCAAGCTCTGTGCGCCTTCGACTTTGATGTTTCTCCTCTCAATGTCAATGGGAATGTCATTGCTATCTACGTTGGCGGTTATCTTCCCACCCTTCTCATCTTGGCGATCCAGGCGGCACACGGGTTTGGTACCCCCAACGAAGACCGAGAGCTCCTGCGGCAACGACGAGCACGCGGAGAAGAGCTTGATCGAGAACTCGGCATTGTTCATAAGCCGTCTTGGTGGCGTCGACTGAACGGGCCTGCCTCTATGAACATGAGGGACATTATCGCTAGAAATGTGAACGAGGTTAATGGCGGCAAGACGACCGACCCAGACCGCAAGAAGCCGGATGGGGATCCTTTTACCGATGATGCCGCTGCGAACGGCCCGGACTCGTCCGCGTCATCCTCATCAGGCACCGTCACCGCACCTGGTTTCGACGCTCGTGCACGCCCCATGTTCTCCCCTTATAGCGGCAAGTCCGAGCAACGCCGCACGGAGAGGACGCTGCACCACGCTGCCAGCCTCCTCTTCCCGAATAGTGAGGATGCTACGACCGCTCGGGAGTCGCGCATTGCGGAGCTGCAAATGGACGGCCCTCCGCCTTCGTATACTGAGACCACCGACCAGGTCTCGAGGACCCAGAGCACCAGCAGCGATAGCACCCTCGCCCTTTCCAATGCGAAGCCCCAGAGGGTCAAGAGCATGTTGGATATCTAGGTGTCGGTGAAAGCATGCGTTGCTTGGTTACGATTAACCTGCCGCAACGTGCGTCGCGATGCTTAGAATCTAGGTCTTCCCTTGCATATAAGGCGAGCTAGAGCCATAAGAAACAAATGGCAAAGAAGAAGTAGTGTGTGTGGGGAGGACAGAGGGACGAATTACAATGGTTATTTATAGATTTGGCCAAAAGAGGCTATCCAGGAAAACTCGCGGTTATCATGATGCGGCGTTGTGGGTCTTTTTCTTCTTATTATATATATCTTTTCTCTCTTTTTGTTTTCTTTCTCTCTTTTAGCATTGGGTGGCTCCTCATCGATGATATCAGTCTCTGTCATTCAGAGATATGCCTCTTCACCCTCTTTTATACTGTATCTTGGAAGGGCCGCATCTTCTGTGTTGCGTCCATTTACACTTGTTAGAATACTCAAATCCTGACTAAATATGAAAAGAAATTGTTCAACGAGATTGCTCCGCGATGCCAGTTTATCTAACCAGCTTTGACTCACTATCACCGCCATATCATGTATGATCGTGAGAGGGGACTTGGGACTTTTGCAATAATACATGTACTGCCCGATATCAAAACTCTTGGAGTGGAGAATTTACTTTCGCCCTCAACAGAGACGAGACGATGGAAGTTTGAGTTCTGGAGCTCCAACCCTTGCGCCTATGAAGCATTCGACTACACTATATTAGATGACTGGGCTGAAACGGGCAGCATGAACATTGAGACGTTCCAGAGCTCTTAAGCTTGCAGACAACGCCCATTCCTTTCCCAAGAGCAACGCGTGGCAAGGTGCGATAGCATAAAAGGAGAGAGAGACAAAAAAAGGCAAGCGGCGCCAGAGCGGCATTTGTGGGCTTTTCGGGAGTCGAAGGATCAAGACAAGACATGCATGCACCTTGTCGCTTTAAGAGCAAGGGAAATCTACAAGTATGTGCCTTGACACCCAGTTCCATAGATGTCGAGTCTGTTCAGGAATAGCGCACAAGCACGCAAAGATCCTAGAAGCTGAGAGAGGCGCCTCTTCTTCCTCGCCTCATAATTAAGTGTCTCTTATGACAAGACAAGGCCAAGATCATTGATATTATTTGCGATTGGGAGGGGGATAATAATAGGTGTGAAGGTGCGCTTGGGTGGTGGGCCAGGCCGAACGGTGATCGGTGGTGACAGGGATTGAGCCATTCCGTCAAAGAAAGCGCCGGGCGCCCTGTTTCTCCAAAACCGGTCTAGCCACCGTGACCAGGCAAGCTTGAGGCAGGCCAAGGCCACCCTCACCGCTCCCACCTCGCAAAAGCTGCACCCCTCCCAAGCCCTTCCGCCCACTGCTGATCGCCCAAAACCGGTCACGCTCACGTCACCGACCGCGGGTGATTCCCCCTCCCACCGCGCCTTTCCTGATTTGCCAGCGTTCCCCCTCCGAGCAAGCATCCGCACGCGACTGGGAGAAACCCCCCACACCTTCTTCTCGTCTTCCCCCAGGACGTGGTGCTGGAGGAGGCGATCCCATTAATCGCGGGGCGCCTGCTGACCCGGAGCCATTTCGTCACTGAACATGGACAATTAGAATACGGGTCAACCCCATGCCATAGAAGAAAACAAATTATTCTTCATTCCAAGGCCTCGGAAACCTTAATACGGATGGATATTGGATTTCGGGCATTCTCGTGTGGCCAAAATTTCTCTTGGCCGACGTAGCGTGCACATGGTAGATCCTCTTTAGAAGATGCGAATGCGTAAAGCGGTGGCTAGGTGGGATCGCAATGCACTTGCCCCCCTTCCCCTCTGCCAGGTTGCCAGGCTATGAATAACTACTCGTTAGTCCTGGTCTAGTGCGATAAACCAACGCACGCAGCAGGACCCTTGTCGGAGTCGCCCATTATTCTGGGGAACGCCTCAGCTTCCCTGGACAAGTGCCCGTCGCACACGGCGATCTCTGATGGGGAGCAGCACGAGAGGTGTGTGGAGGCGTTGTTCTGCCCACCCTTGTGTTATCTGAATCTTGGTCTCTGGTTTGATCTTGGAGCTCCCTCCCATCATACCCCTTGCCCCCTCCGCCGTTCGCTTGCCCGACATGCGCGTGCTGCTCCCTCCTCTTGAAATGACACTGCCACCACAACCTAGCATCACGCAGCCTTATATCTTGCCCTTCTCTCCCTCCCTCCTTTTGACTCTCGTGACTCTTCTCAATCCCCTCCCATGTCTCAGCTGTTCTGCCTAACCGTGAACCCGCGCCGATTTCCCTGACTAGCATTCTGGGGCTCTCCTCGTAAATCTATGCACACTTACACACATACATACCCACTCACTCACACACGCACACACACACACCAACACGCCGAGACACGCCTTCCTTCCCAGACGCCCAAACACACCCACCCACAAGGCACACTCACACGTATTCCTGCGCACCCGCAATTATATAAAACCGTACCTAGCTGGCCCAGCGTGCCTTTTTTGAAAATGGCGCCTTCCAATACCGCACGATCAGATTCTTGGGCCGCCAAAGCGTCTGCCGACGAAATGCAGCTCAAAGCACGAAAAGCACGACATTTCGAAGAGACCGAAGCCGCACTCCCTCTCCTCAAGATCGCCTCCCTCCCCGCCCAGCTCCTCAATGTGACAAACGTCCTCGCGTACCTAGGTCGCCGGAACCCTCGCGCGCCAGGTCACCAAGGATGACGTAGTGTGGATGCTCGACAACGTCGCCTTCAAGCCCGGTCGGTTCAGCGGCTGGCAGGCCGAGTTCGTCACCGCCGTCTTTGAGCGCGAGTCAAGGAACGCCTCGTCGACCTTGTGGGCGTGATTGCCCGCATCATTGGGCTCGCCGACGAGGCGCAGGAGTTTGAGACCCTGGAAGAGAGGCTGTTGCCGTTTGTGTGGGATCTCCGCCCCGGGAGGAAGCTCACCGCCGTCCACAGCGATAAGAGACTTGCGCTTGGGCCTACGGGGCCGAATGGTATTGCCGGTGACGTTGTCAAGCTTCCCGCGGGCGAAGCCGGCGCGCTCGCAAAGACGCACGCTGCCGTTCCTCAGGGGGTCACCGGCATGCTATCGTCGTGGACGTACTTTGCCGAACCGGAGGGCTGGTCCGTGGTTTCAGGTATGTCTTTGACTTGTATATTGCGCCGCGTCGCAGATTCATGTGTGCCGAGGCTCTTGCCTGAGCCTTGTTAACTAACATTGTACGTAGACGTCGACGATACTATCAAAGTCACATTGACTAACGACCCTATCGGGATCCTCCGCGAGACCTTTATTAACACCCCCGACCCATTCGAGGCATGCCCGAGCTGTACGCTACCCTGAAGGACATGCTGCCGCGAGACACGCCGTGGTTCTACCTCTCAGCCTCGCCCTATAACCTGTATCCCTTCCTTCGAGAATTCCGGAATCAATACTACCCCCGGTGCCATTCTCCTCCGAGAAGTCAGCTGGCGCACCGTCGCCGGCCTCCTCACGGCGTTAACAATGGCCACCGAGCAATACAAGGCCGAGCGTCTCGAGAGGATCCACAGCTGGTTCCCGAAGCGAAAGATGATCTTTGTCGGCGATTCCACCCAGTCCGACCCAGAGGCGTACGGAGAGTTGTATAGGTCGTATCCCGGCTGGGTCAAGGGTATCTTGATCCGCAAGGCCACCGACATCTCGTCGGTGGGTATTGAGAGAAGAATGCGCCCGAGAGGTTTGAGGTTGCATTCAAAGGAATTCCAAGGAAATCTGGCACGTGTTTGAAGAGCCTGAAGAGTGCCACCAGTTTCTTCGCGACGTGATCAGCCGAGGGTAAGAGTTTGGGGTAGAGGACTTTCTCGTCTCTCTCTCTCTGTCTTTTGATCGGCTTTTTTATTTCTCCTCGTTCATCGTTTGATTCGGGCTTCTCTTTTTCTTTTTCTTTGGTTTATAGATTGGTGGCTGGCCTGCGGCTGTCTGGCGTCGGCGTTTGCTGGTGTTAGTATGGACGGCTACGGAATACCCTGAGCTTAGATAGACGTGGAGGATTTCCTAGTTTACGAGCACCGCTTCAATAGGTGGAGCGGAGCGGATCATCTCTTGAAGCCGTTGTATGATAGGACGGGCTCTTTTTCGTTCCTTGATTTTTTGACGACGTCGTGTACATCAGCTAGATCCTGAATGAGATAACACCTAGATTGAATAAGAATACGTGTCTGGTCGTTTCCATCTCTGATTCAATGCAAGCCTATGTCACTAAGGCAAAATTCGTTAAGCCATGCCTGAACTATTTGGCTTCTTTTCTTGATGTACACTGTAAATATGTGTGTTCCTTAATTCCTTACATAGTACCCAGGGCCGATTCCCTCCAAAATGTTGCAACGCGCTTTCCTGCCGGTAGCTGTCGGATTAGTCCTGTACCATAGGAGGTGTTTGACCCCTCCTTGGACTCGGCGACTCCGCGAGGACCTTCCCGTTGCGTATCAACAGTTTGTACGACACACAGCCCGGCCAAAACGCGCGCGACCGAGCAGCCCCAGGCTGAGAAGGCTGCACTGTTCAACCTCAACGAATACCAGCGGATATTGGGCAGCAGCCGTCGTTCTCCCACGTGATGTAACCTGGGCCGTGATACTAGGGTCAAGTTCCCCGCCCGCTCCATCTCGGTCTTTCAGTTCCGGCTCTGGCACGGAGCTCCACCTTCAAGTGTCTAGCTGCGTTTGAACTCGGAACCGGACCTCGCGACTCCGGTCCCTCCGACCCCAGCACTAAAAGGGTCCACTAATCCACCATACCTCCCGTGCAACCCGGCCTGTCTCTCCTTCAAAGGTTTGCCGAAATTGGAATTCGGCCGGGCCAAACCATGGGACTCGACATACTTTACCCCACTGCAGGCGATCCTCCCACAACTCCCACGGTTGAGTAAGTCACCAAGCTACAAGGTGAGGCGCCATTACCGACGCTGACACACTGCTTTATAGTCTGATTTTGATCCATGGCCTCCACGGCGATGCGATCAAATCTTGGACAAACCCAGAGACGAAAGCGTTTTGGCCGAGGGATTTTCTTCCTCTGGATATCCCTCAGGCTAGGGTTTTCACCTTTGGTTACGATGCAGATGCCGTGTTTGGGAGCACAACCGCCAACATCGTCGACCATGCGAAAGACCTTCTTAGCAGTCTGGTGGATGAGCGAGAAGAGGAACCGGAAATAACGCGGCCAATCATTTTCATCGCTCATTCACTCGGAGGAATTATCGCAAAACAGGTATGTGTGTGTGTGTGTGTGTGTGTGTGTGTGTGTGGACTACTTCTAGCCTTGATATCCCTCGATGACTTGTGGGTTCTAATCATACTCCTAGGCTCTATTTTCGGCAAGCATAGAGCGCCAATACTACTGTATCAAAGAGTCAACCCTTGGGGTCGTCTTCTTCGGAACCCCACATCGCGGCAGCGACAAGTTGGAATATGGAAAGGTTCTGGCTGATGTTGCTAGCAAGATAATGAATGCTCCTCGTTCGGCACTATTGCAGGCATTGAAGGCAAACAGCCATACACTCCTGCAACTAACGACCGACTTCAGGCACCAGTTGCCACAGTATCATGTCGTGAGCTTCTATGAGACGAAACCCCTTCGGCCTTTGAAAGACTTGGTATGCGTCATATCCAATTCCTTTTCGGGTGTAATACTAATTCCGCTGTGGTAGATCGTTGCCAGAGAGTCGGCATTGTTGAACACTGTTGGCGAAGATCAGCTACCCGTCAACAAAGACCACCGAGCTATCTGCAAATTTGCAAGACGGGATGATGAAACATATAAAAGCTCATCAAGAGAATAGGCAGGATTACAAAGGCACAATCCGCCATTCAGACTTCGATTCAACCAGCCAGTTGTACGTTAAGATTGATATAACGAGAGATAGCTCTGGGAGCTGATAGAGCCCAATTTAACAACTGATAGACAATCTACCATTCTCTGTCCCCTTTCCGAAGAATCTCGATTTTGTTGGCCGCGACGTCGTTCTCAAGGACCTCCAGAGGATACTATTTCACACCCCTGGCCTCCAGCATGCTGCCGTCTTTGGCCTTGGCGGCGTTGGGAAAACACAAGTTGCTCTCCGTATTGCTTACTGGGTGAAAGATAACCGACCAGACCATTCGGTTTTCTGGGTGTCAGCTCTTAGCCATGCGGCGTTTGAGCAGTCATATTGTGGGATAATGAATGAAGCCGGGCTCCAGCGGGACGACGCAGAGGATCCAAAACAGACGGTTCGGCGCCACTTGAACTCGGATAAAGCGGGACCGTGGTTTCTTATCATCGATAACGTCGATGACCAAGATATTGCCTACACTATAAACAACTACCTCCCACATGGGGAGAGCGGCCGGATCCTATTCACAACCCGTGCCAAGACGGTTGCAATCTCGCTCGCCGGGAGCAACTATATAAACCTCCTCGAAATGTCTAGCACGGAATCAAAGTCGTTTTTCAAGAGTGCTATACACCAAAAGGAGTTGCTTGAGAACGAATCAGGAGTAGATGATCTTTTGCAGCACCTCACCCATCTACCATTGGCCATCAGACAAGCCTCAGCATATATCAATGAAAACGAAATAGGTATAGCCGATTACCTCCAGTTGTTCAACAACGATCCAAGGAACAGAGCAGAGCTAATTGGCAGCAATTTCCTTGATAAGACCCGGAAAAGAGAAGATAATGCTCTGTCTATAACATGGCACCTTTCGTTTGATCAAATTTCGAAAACGGATGCTACTGCTATTAGGCTGCTCGAGTTTATTGCGTGCATCGAACCGAAAGCTATACCGCGGTCAATACTTGCCGTTAAAGGGTCCACAGATCCCCAAATTTTGAGGGCGCTTGGAACACTCTGCGGATATAGCTTTCTTAGCAAGCGCGATGGCGACGTATACGATATGCACAGTCTAGTATACACGGCAGTAGAGCTGTGGGTCGGAGAGCGAAGCGATAGAGAGACGCAAGAAATGCTAAGGGGGTAATTGAGCGTTTCGTCGAGGTCCTCCCCGCTTACCACCAGAGTGGCCTCGAGACCTGGAGGCAGTGTGGCCCACACGCGCTGAAAGCGCTTCAGAAATTTGAGGGGCCATACCTCGGAGCATCCTCTGCATTATACCGCGAGGCCGGACACTATTTAGTGGGAGGGTGGAGAATCAAAGAAACAATCATACACCTGACCCGTCTTGTACAGATAGAGGCAAAGACTCTTGCAAAGATCACCCAGATAGGCTTACATCACAGGAACAACTCGCAATTGCCTACCAGTGTAATGGCCAGACTCAAGATGCAATCCAGCTGCTAGAGCATGTTGTGGGGATACGGGCAAAGACTCTTCCAGAGGATCACCCAGATAGGCTTACATCACAGCAACAACTCGCAATTGCCTACCAGCATAATGGCCAGACTCAAGATGCAATCCAGCTGCTAGAGCATGTTGTGGGGATACGGGCAAAAACTCTTCCAGAGGATCACCCACGTAGGTTTATATCACAGCTCCAACTCGAAATTGCCTACCAGCATGCCGGATTTGAGATGGAATCCAGCTGCTAGAGTTCGCTGTGGGGATAGGGGCAAAGACTCTTAGAGAATCACCGAGATATACTTAAATTATAGCAGCAACTCGCAATTACTTACTAGCATAATAGCTACATGTAGGTTTAAGATAGAGTCCAGCTACTAGAGCATATGAGTAAAGACTCTTATAAAAGATGACCCACATAAACTTATACCACAGCCCCAACTCGAAATTACCTACCAGCATAATGGCCAGACTTGAGATAGAATCCAGCTGCTAGAGTATATTATGGGGATATAGATAAAGACTCTTGTAGAGAATTATCTAGATATATATAAATTATGGTATAACCTTATAAATTGCTATATAGAAAATAGCTAGATTCGCGATGCAATCCAGCTACTACAGCATGTTGTGAAGATGAAGGACAAGATTCGTATAGAAACTAACGCAGCTATGCTGCATCACAGTATCAACTTGCAACCGCTTGCATAAAAACGGCCAGAATCGCGATGCGATCCAGCTTGTTGCGAAGATAGAGGCAATGGTTCTTCCCGTGGATCACCCAAAGAAGGGGTTGGCGCAAAGTGCTCTTGAGCGAGCGCGTATGGACATGTAGTCCGAGGGGGTGAAGCGATCTCTGGGGGCTGCCATGATGGCTGAGATGCAGGTTTGTGTGCCATGAAATGATATAGTATATCCGTGGATGGGTCGGTGGACTGGTGCTTGGGGCTTTCCCTGTTGGCAAGAGGTAGTTCTGATCTACTACCAACTAAACATATATATATATATCTGTACATTTAGACATGCGAGAGACTGCATAATCAAATCGATGGATGGCGAGAAGACATTATTGCTGGAGAGCGTTGACATGGCTTGATGCACGACGGTCGCAGCTCTGGTTATTGACTGAAACGCCGGGAAAAGGTCGGCTCATTGTGCGCGTGATGACATGGGTGCCAACCATCCCCATGACCTCTCTGTCCGTGGCTATTCCTCGAATCAACCGGACGTCATCCAAGGTGTAGCACAGCACCTCGAATTGCGCGCCTTTGCATCGAATTTCTCTTCCCTAGAGCGTCCGATGCCTTTTAACAAACGAGCATTGTTCCTGGCTGATATGGTTCCGAGATGACGAGCCGCGCTCTCTCTTCCTCGAGCCTGTTACCGATAATGCCAGGGATGCCGACATCGTCCTGGGCGGGTTATCAGGCCCGCGCAAAGGCGCTCCTCACGCATCCAGGAGCTGCGGTGGTAGTAGCTTTTGGCTCTTCGGTATCTCCATGACCTCTTCTTCCTTTTCTTTCCGAAAGTAATACATGTAGACTAATTTAATGCGGAAATAAAAGGTCTGATCAATAATGTGCTCTACGTCATTATTCTGTCCGCCGCCCAGGACCTCGTGGGAAACGTTCCCAAGGGGGTCGTCCTCCTCGCCGATGTGATGCCGTCTTTTCTCACGAAGCTTGTTGCCCCATACTTTATACACAGAGTGCCATACTGGCTTCGCATCCTTGTGTTTATCGCCCTGTCGACGGGGGCATGCTGTTGGTGGCCATAACCCCCAGCCACAAATCCGTGGCCACTAAGCTGGTGGGTGTGATGCTTGCCTCCCTTAGCAGCGGTGGCGGGGAGCTGAGCTTCCTCGGTCTGACCCATTACTACGGCCACATGAGCCTTGCGGGCTGGGGCAGTGGCACCGGCGCGGCCGGGCTGGTAGGCGCTGGTCTATACGTGATGATGACGGATTGGATTGGCTTTTCTGTCAGGACCACGCTCTTGTTCTCCGCCGCGCTGCCCAGTATCCTGTTTGTCAGCTTCTTCTTTATCCTTCCTCATGGGCCTCTGCGGACAGGCGTACAACCCAAGGACTACGACGCACTACCTGAACGCGACCTAGAGGAGGACGAAGTCGACAACCTACCACAGTCGGCAGCCTCATCCGCACTCCTTGCGCCGGGCCCGTCCGTAGCTGCCACAGCATATTCGACACACTCGCCGCAACAGGGCCTGACGTTCAAGGCGCACCTTCGACGGACTAAGGCGCTTTTCGTCCCATACATGGCCCCACTTCTGCTTGTCTATATCGCTGAATACACCATCAACCAAGGCGTTGCCCCCGTCTTGCTTTTTCCACTGCAAGAGACTCCGTTCAGGAACTCCGCGAGTTCTACCCCTTCTACGGGTTTCTTTACCAGCTCGGCGTCTTCATCTCGCGCTCATCCACCCCTTTCATCCGCATACGCCGTCTCTACCTGCCCTCCTTCTTTCAGCTGGGTAACCTTGTCATCCTCTTCCTGCATGCCATGTTCTTTTTCATCCCCTCGGTCTATATTGTCTTCATTATTATATTTTGGGAGGGTTTGCTCGGCGGCGGGGTTTACGTCAACTGCTTTGCGAATATCCTCGAGGAAGTACCAACTCAAGACAGAGAGTTTAGTTTGGGTGCGACGAGCGTGAGCGACAGCGGGGGCATTTGCATCGCGGGCCTGATCAGCATTTTTATCGAGACTAGATTGTGCGATTGGCAGGTCGGTCAGGGGAGAGATTGGTGCCGGAATATCAAGGTCTCGAGAGATTAGCATCCGTTAAGGACCATTGCCGGAACCAGCCAGTATCCGTTAGTCACTAGCGCATCATGACACCTCAGTTTCTTATCGGCTAGATGCGAAAGGACAAGACGTTCTGTTTCGAAGTAGGCTGATATCAGTGAAATGCCATTGCCAAACCCAAAACCCCATCGTAATCTAGCTCATGAGCCGTGATGGAAGGTTAGCGGTTGATAGCCCACGGGTTCGCTTCCCCTTTGCCGGCTAATCAAGACACGGGGCTAGCATACATTTCTGATGCCACAAGATGTCCCGGGTCGTCTACAAATGTCTGTACCACGCTTGTTGCGAACTCATCCCTTTGCTTGCCACTGTGTACTGTCGAACTACTCTCGCCCCGCGGAATCTCACGTCTCTAAATGCCAACTTAGTCCCAGTTGCGATCATAGTAGGATCTTGGCTTATGCTGGCTGAAACGTAGACTTAGATACGAGCCACGGAAGTATTAAGGAAACGGAGGGCGACGGGGAATGAAAGGCAATCTGGGATTATTATGCTACAAGAATAGAAGAATATGTATGCTGCATGCAAGGATGGATCCATGAACGCTTCCCACCACCTCCCTAAATAAATGCTATTTACACACGAAGAAGTAAATCGCCTGCATGTCACCTTTCTAAAATTCCTGATGAACGAGACACGAGTAATCGGTCAAGTCTAATGAGGCCAATCTCCGCTTACCTCTCGGCAACCACCCTGTAGCTTTCAGGAGGACCGAGCTCGCTGGCGGTGACGCCGCCCAAGTCGATGACGATCTTGGTGGCCACCATGGTGGGCTCGAGAAGCCAGAGCTTGAGCTCATGCTTTCCGGGGCTAAGAGCACCGACTTGCGAGTCCTTGATCCAGGCGTTGCGAGTGACGGCACTATCCCAGCCGGGGGCTCCTGACCGGCGTCGGCGGCCCAGGGGACGGGCTGGACAACGGCGGGGTTACCTCCGTCGACGGAGACGGCGTAGCGGTTGGCATGCTCGGAGTCGGCGTTTTCGGAGGCGGAGAGGTAGACGGTGACCTTGGCGTTGGCGGCTTGGCGGTAGGTCCAGAAGGGGAAGGTGACGGCAGCGCCGGTGGCGGGCTCCTGGCTCGGGGTAGTGACGGGCCAGAGCTTGATGCCGGCAAGAGTGCGGCCGTAGTTGGGGATGACGGCGTACGTGGCGTTATCGGCGCCGTCGGTGACGGCGGCGAAGTGGTTGGCCTCGATGGAGACGACGCCTTCGGACTCGACGTGGCCGAGGAAGTCGGCGGGGGCGCCTCGACCTTGCGCAGGGGCACGATGACGGTGGCGCCGGGGCTGTTGGCCGGGGTAGTGACGGCGACGACGAGCTCGGCGGCCGAGTTGCCTTCGGGGACCTGGTCCCAGTCGACGGTGATGATGGAGCGGGCGCGAGAGGGGGCGGCGTCGGTGCTGATGTCGCCCGACTCGTTGGAGACAGTGACGTAGGAGGCGTTGGAGGTGATGGTGTAGGAGAGGGAGCCCTTTTCGCGCATGAAGATGTCGACGTAGCGCTGCTCGTCGGGGGACATGTACTGGTTCATGGCGGGCACGGTGACGGTCGCGGCGTCGGTACCGGTGTCGGAGTACTGGATGCCGATGCCGAGGAGCTTGCCGCTGCCGCCGCCGCCGCCGCCACCTCCGCCGAAGAAACCGCCACCACCGCCGCCGACGCTGGGAAGAGGGGGCAGGGAGTTTTGGGCGGGTTCCTGCCAGTTGTTGTAGCCGATATGGGTCTGCTCGAACATGCGGTTCCACTTGCCGCCGAGGAGGCCGTGGAAGCGGGCGGTGATGGCCTTGTCCTCTTCGAAAGCGTTCCTAGCCTCCTGGGCCATCTCGTCGGCGCGGTAGCTGTGCTGGTTGGCGTAGCGGGAGCCGATGGCGGCCTTGGAGTAGATTTCGAAGACGGTCTTACCGGCGAGGACGGGGTGGAGGACGATTTCAAAGTAGGAGAACTGGTCGGCCTCGGGGAGGCTGTCGTAGACGGCCTGGGCGCGGACGACGAGGGCCTCCCACTCGGCGTAGTTGCGCTCGGCCTCGTCGTAGTTGGTGGCGTGGAAGGCAAAAGGGGTGATGCTGAGGTCCTCGTACTTGCGGCGGGCGCAGAGCATGCCGTACTTGTTCATGATGGAGGCGGTCTCGGCGGCGACGTCGGGGTTCCACTCGCGGGCGGCCCACTCGAGGGTCCACTTGTCGGTGGAGGCGGGCTGCTGGAACTTGGACATGTCGTAGGCCATGGACATGAAGTGGTAGATGGGGAGCTCCATGGGCTTGAGGTCGCCGACGTTGACGATCCAGATGCGGTCGACGCCGCGCTCGTAGGCGAGGTGCATTTGCTCGTACGTCTTTTGCTGCTGCATGGTGTTGATCCATTTGTAGTTTCGGGGGCGCCGACGTAGTCAAAGTCTATGGGTTGGGGGAAGGAGAAAAACACGCATCCTTGTGTTAGTTGATGTGAAATAAAAAGAAATGACGGTATGGACGAAAAGAGTGTGCAAAGGGAAAGGGGGATGGTGTGGACTTACGGTAGTACATGCCGGAGCCACCGACACGCTGGTTTTCCTTGGCGGTGGGGATGCGGCGGATGTTGCCTCTGTTGTCGTCGGTCCAGCAGAGGGTGACGGTATCGCTGACATCCATGCCCTTTGCCAGTAGCCGGGGACTTCCTTGTACATCATCCAAGAGTGAGGGATATCGGCAAGCTCGCCGCCAATGGTGGTCTGGAGGGTGGACTCCTGGAACTTGATGACCTCCTCCATGGACTTGGAGTTGAGGGTGGCGGACGCGGCGTCGCCGCTGCCGCGCATGCCGACGGTGTAAATGGTGTACCAGTCCTTGGCGCGGGTGACGCCCTCGGACATGAACTTTTGCACGTTGTTGCGGTTGCTGCCCCAGTCCCAGTTTCCCTGGCAGAAGCGGCCCTGCTCCTTGTCGGCGCGCGCCATGGGTTCGTGGTGGGAGGTACCCATGAAGATACCAAAGTCGTTGGCGAGGGGTCCGCTCTTGGGATCGTCGAGGTAGAACATGGAGTTCCACATGGCGGGCCACAAGTAGTTGCCCTTGAGGCGGAGGATGAGCTCAAAGACGCGGGCGTAGAAGTCAGAGTTGAAGGGGTTCCCGTACTGGCTCCGGGGTAGTTTTCGGCAGCCCAGTTCGTCAAGCCGGGCGCCTCGTCGTTGAGGAAGATGCCGCGGAACTTGACCGAGGGGGACCCTGGACCTTGGGCTCCAGCGGGGCGACGATGGACTGGCGCTGGGTAGGGTTCACGTCGGCCCACCAGTAAAGGGAGAGACGCCAATCTGCTCCGAGACGTCGTAGATGCCGAAAATGGTGCCCCGGATATCGGAGCCGGCGATGACGAGCGCGACGGGCTCGTCGGCGTCGTCGGTGACGACCTGGGCGACGTACGACTCCCACTTGCCCTCGATGGCGGACACGTCCACCTTGCCGGCGGCCACGAGCTCGTCGACGAGGGCCGACTTGCCCACGGTGCCGATAACGATGGCGGGGCGCCCGCCGCGGGCAGGGCGGTGCCGTCGGAGACGACGGCCTTGGCGCCGAGCACGCGGTTGAAGTCCTCGGCGAGGTCATTGGTCGCGCGCTTCACGCCGGTGAAGTCGGCGGCGGCGACGAACAGCGCGGGGGCTTGCCCGCGGTGGCGAGCTGCAGGCCCTCGGCCTCGGTGTCGAAGATGAGCCAGTTGGGCACCGTTACGTTTTGTCCTAGTGCGCCGGCCGGGAAGGACGCGACCAGGCCTAGGACCACGGTTGCGGCGAGGCGGAGACCGCCGAGCATGGTTGCGCCGCTGGGAGTAGGTGTTCGGGGACTTGTAGTGTTTTTTTCCTTTTTCTTTTGCTCTCGGCCCCGTGGCTCTTATGGGGTGTAGAAAGGGGGAACGAATGGACACAAATAAAGGAAAGAACGTATAGAGAGAACGAGAGGCTAGAGGTGCACGCGGGGCGTGTTCCTACACTTGGGAAGCGTCCTTGTGAAGTCCCACGCAGAGAAATCACCGACTGTGAAGGGGGCCCAACGCGATGACGATGATGATGATCAAAGTCTCCTACGACCTAGGCAAAAGAAAAGAGGGAGGAAAGGAAAGAACTCAAGAAACCCAAGAAACCCAGGAGCACTTCCCAACAAGGGCGCCGCCGCAATCTCTATTATACGAACCGGCTTGTCCATTTTCTTCTCTCTGTCTCTAAAAGCTCGTGGCACCCTATATTCTAGAGTAGGAGTGGCGGTCACGGTCACAAACGGGCCTTAGTACCGCTCTCCCTCTCTCCCGCCATTCCCCCATAATCATTCTCCATATTGTGAAAAGTGCAAAAAGGAAAAGCAGCGCCCCCGTCCATAAGGATCGGAAGCCGTGAACAGAGCATGTGCCGGTTAAGCTCATATGTCGAGATTAAAAACCAATAGCGGCCCCATTTATCCTTCAAGAACCGCACCGTTCAGCTCAATGCTTGGCTTTGGGGGAAAAGCCCGCAAAGGCGATCCAAGAGTGGTAGTGGTTCTCTCTCCCGTCCCCGGCTCCGCGAGCGTTCCCCTCCCTGCCATGTTCTCCCCCATGGACGGGATGGACAAGGCACCGGACACGGGGCAGGGAGGGAGGAGGAGGGGGAGACAAGGCAGACGGAAAGAAATTTTCCCACGAACGAGAATTGGGATTTTATTAATGCATGCACGAGTTCTCCATTCTTGGTGGGCCTCTTTTCTCTCGTTGGCTGCCTTGTCCACGGGCCGATGTGTCTGGCTGGGCCGGGGAAGAGCACGCGGGGGAGAATAAGTGAGGGCCCCGAGCCAAACAAAAGAGTCATAAGAGGAACAATTGGGACGTGAACACCCTTTTTGCCCAGGGCAGAAGGCAGAGAGACAGAGGACGGAACTGCACTGCACACAGGGGTCTAAAGAAGGAGATGGAGTGATGCCCAAATTATGGCATACTTGGCATGCCCGTGAGCAAATATGGCGGTTATACGAAGACCAATAGGGCGACTCTTTGTTAAAATGGCATCCCGGCAGTAAAGAGGGAATGCCCCAAGGGAGAAAGACAGATTTCGGCCATGGACGGCGCCATCAGAGGCAGCGTGAGAGCCTACTCATCACATCCCGCCAAACACCTCGCTAGATGCAAAATCGCGTGGCTCGTGGAAAATCAATCTCTTCCTAAAGCAACTCGATAAATCGGGTATCGAGGGCATATGGGGATCCGGGAACCCATCACGTCCAATCGGTCGAGAAAGCGAAGAGGAGAGAAAAAGTCTAGAAGGTCATGTTGGCTACCACTAGTAGTTGTTGCGGGTTGTCCAAGCTCCCATGTCGCCTCGATTCGCTCCGGTTATAACAGCCACCAAAACAAACCACCCGCTCCGGCCGATCAGGCGACGCACATTGATTGGCAATATAGCCGGTATATGAAGCCCTGGCCTGACAAGACCGGCGCCACGCTCTATCGCAGACTTGATGGCAGCCAAGGCATGACGGCCCTGATAGATTGAACGCGGTGTATCCATCGCCACAACATTGAATCGGAACCGGAGCGGGGCAGGCTGTGGCTGGAGTCAATGTGTTTCTCAAGGCCCGGACCAAGGCAGCACGACTGTACTTCTTTCCCTACTTCTTCTTCTTTTCTTTCATTGCCTCCCTTCATTTCGACTCGTGATTGAACCACTGATCCCCTCCTTTCAAGTATCATAGAGACTGGTGAGACTGAAACGCCTTCGAGTGCTGCCAAACGCCACTGAGCTGGTACACTCTGGAGGTTCCGTTTCTTCTTGTCCCCGTTGTGATGTTGGAATGCACATTGCATCCCTTTCCCTTCCCAGTCTCATTCTAGTAGCTTAGTATTCATAAACATCTTGAAAAGAGCCATATCATTTAGTTCTGGGATCGCCTAATCTCGGCCTTCAAACAGAACTTGACCGTAAGCTCGTTGTTTTCCATTCCAAGGTAGAGATGATGTGAACCCGAATCAGATAATCCATGGCCCAAAAAGGTGAGATGCCAACCGGAGCACCTTGCGTCCTCCTCGCCAGTGTCCCCCTCGCCCGTGTCATCCTCGCAAGAATAGTGTCCCCGCTCCGAAGTCGTCCCCTCTTCTCGCTTCCCAGACCGAGGGTGTGTCCCGCGGATGTCTGGTCCTTCTGTGGTTCCTTTTCCTTGGTCACCGGAGATCGGATATATAGTCTGTTAATTAAACTAGACGAGCCGGGCTAAAGAACCTCGTTAGATGATCAGATAAGATAAACACTCTTTTTCTTTTTCCCTTTTGTATCTCCAACTCCCTCCTCTTTCCCTCCCCGGTCTCGGAAGTGCCAAGAACATTTCCCGGATCTGCTCGGGACGTCAGAATGCCAGACGGGCCCTCCAGCCTTGTACTGGTGGATGAGAGCCGGTCGCTTCTCTCACCAAGGTTTCTACGAAGCCAAGGGGATGGTTAGATGCGTGTCGGAGACCCTTTTGTTTCTTCTTCTTTCCTTCCACCCTTTCACTTAATCAGGGCAATGACGAGGCACAGAGAGGGTGTCTGGCAAGCTTGTCCGACTCTCGCCCACCAGAAAACCCTCTCAGTCCGTGATGCTATAGCCCGCTTCCTCTTCCTCGTCTCCCAGTTGCTTTCTTCATCTTTCTCTCCTCCATGGAGCGCCTTGCATATTGATTAATAAAAGTCAAGCGCATCCACACATCCTAGGCCCGGTTCTTCAACGCTCACCTAGTTTTACTTGCGCCCCCGCGCCCGGTCGCCGTCCGTGACTATCTGATTGGCCTGGTACCTGACGCGGCCTGCGCACCTTCTGATCACATATTAACGCCTCCTTTCGTTTAGCTGCGCGACGATATTGCTCAAAGATGCAGCTTCCCCCTTTTTCCCTGACATCTCAAGATCCCTTCGCCCTGTAAGGGACCGCCACTTTGGGTCCCCAGGTCCTCTCCTTCTCCGAGAGCAAACTAACGGTGGAGCTCCACCTGCCGGTTGCTAAGTGAGGATGTAGCCAGCGACCCGTCTTCTTCCCTGTGCTCTTATCTCTTGCTCCCTCTCGTCTACCCTTGGCATCGCGCCTATTATCAGCTATCGTTGGCATCATTGCGGTGAAGGCCGATAGGTTGTTGTCATGTTCTCAACCCCTCGGTGGGCGACCTACCGCGTAATACTTTGAACAAACCACCCTCTTTCTCAATAAATGGAATCTTTACCGAGCCTTCCTGGCCACCTCTTCTATCCTTTTCACATGAAGCGAAGGTGCTTTTTACGCGCGCAACAGCGTAAATGAAGTTCCCGTCAAATCTAACCGGGTATCCAGGCAAAAAGCCCCGGCACCTCCCCTTTCCCCCTCCCATGACGTTGGACATACCTAAGCCGAGATCGTCCAATGTCGAGCTCGTAAGAATGGGAAGCGACCGAACCCGGCGCGAGACTTCGCATCGACAAAAAGGTCAGAAGCTATCCGACGTAGGAGTACCGAGCGTAGATTAATGACCCGCGACGGGCCTATATCCTCGCGCATTCTATATCAATCAAACCATCTCCCCTCCCTACTCCTACCTCTCCACCTTGGTCTTTTCGTTCCTTCTTTCTCTTTTCATCTTCACGCGCGTTCAAAGTCTTCATCCTCTCTAGCAACAAGAAAACCAAGTGCCCAGAAACAATGAAGTCCTACAGCATCCTTAGCATCGCCGCCCTCGTCGCGGCCGTCGCAGCCCAAGAGCTGACCGAATGCGCTGTACGAACCACTACCCTCCTCCCTTTCTTTCCGGAAGGAAGCAGTATCCTTGAATAACCCCCTCAAGGAGCCTCGCTACCAACCCAGAAAGAACAAGAAAAATCTGGAAGAAGAAACAGAATAAAACTGACCTTGACTAACACTCGTCATCACAGGACGCTTGTATCCGGGAGGCCATCGCTGCCGGTCGCGAGGAAGGCTGCCGCAACGCGCGCGACCTCGAGTGCCTCTGCGCTAGCGGAGCCGCGGGCGATACTCTGAGGGATTGCGGCTACTCCAAGTGCGAGGCCGAGGATATCGACTCCATCCTCGCCTACGTCGTAGGACTCTGCGAGGGTAAGACCTGTTTCTCTTGCTAGTCAATACTCGCGCCGCGTATCATGATGGATAGTGATGGTTTTTCTTCATTCCCCACCGTTTCATGGCTAACGAAACTGGAATAACAGAGGCCGGTGTCCCCATCACCCATAAGACTGACCGTCCCGAGGTAAGCCCAAGAGGAACAGCGCCCCTTTGCGCTTTTCCTACCAGATATACCGATGGATGACTTGCTCACACACGGTGTATAGGCTACTCCGGCCCCTACCGCTACGGGAGAACCTGAAGCCCCCGCCGAGCCGACTGAGGCTCCCGAGGAGGAAGCTCCTGAAGAGGAAGCCCCTGAGGAAGAGGCTCCTGAGGAAGAAGCTCCCGAGGAAGAAGCCCCCGAGGAAGAAGCTCCCGAGGAAGAGGCCCCTGAAGAGGAGGAGGCTCCCGAGGAGGAAGCCCCTGAAGAGGAAGCTCCTGAAGAGGAGGAGGCCCCTGAAGAGGAAGAGGAAGAGGAAGAGGAGCCTCCTAGGAAGAAGTCCCCGGTGGCCGTCCCGTAAGTACTACTGCATCCAGTATCCGTCCTCTCCAAGAGGTTTCACAATGTCCATTCTGACTCGCGCCAACGACAGCGACCGCGAATGTAATGAGCTCTTTCCTAGCCACCCGAATCACGCCTGACACCTCTGCTTCACCTTCTCTGTCAATACATTCACTTCCCCCACCCCCATTCTCCCACTCTCCCTAGCACGGCGACAGGGTATAGCCTCCTGTGGCTTTCGACTATTGCTATTCTATAGAAAGACATGGCTCTCACGGCGACGGGCTCCGCCTCTCCGTCTCCCCACCGTCCTGCCTATCCCTTGGGGTTAGCTGGGTAAGCCATTCGCGAGCGGCATCACAGGTCTCACTCTCCGACTGTATTGGTGCCTTCGTTCCAAAGGCATCATTCGCTAGGCCGCTTTTGGGTCGTGGAGACGGTCATCTAGATCCTTGTTTTTCTTTCTCTCTTTTTCTTTTCTTATTGTTGTATATATACGTATATATATCCATATCTATATGGTTCTATTGTTCCTCCCACCCTTGCTCGGTCTTCCCGCGCTTGATGACCCGTATCTCTTCCACTCACGGAAACATCCAATGTTAATAAATCGAAACCGGCCCTGATCTTGACTTTGAGCAAAGTTCCAGGACTTAACTAGATCTTATTACCAGAAACCTAGCCTCGCCAACATCTGAATCTCTCGTAAGATAAACTTAGAACAAAGAACCCTTCCCTCCCTGGCGATGTATACCCCAGAGGACAAGAGCAAGGGTTCACCCGGTTGACAAAAGCACACCCCAAAAGAAAAAAGCCAAGGCTTCCCCGTCTCCACCGCCTCCATCCATCCCGGCTTGGCTCTCATTTTAGTGCTACAAGTGTCTAGAGACGCCGTTTGCCGGCAGGCACTCTCGACGGCCGACAGAGAAGGTCAAGACGTACGAAAGATCCCGTCTGAACGTTTCCTCCCCATTCATAATAGTGTCTCTAGGACATCTTCTTCCTTTCTTTTTTCTTTTTTGTTTTTTTTTTGTTTTTTTCTCTTCTTCCCTCCCTTCCCGCTCTTTCGCCTTCTCTGTTCAAGACAGACCAAACCAGTCACCATCACCCCCACCATCGCTGTGGGTCGCCGGCCGAGCACAGCGAGATGCAACCATCTGCAGCCCAAAGGCTCCCTTCCCCTTCGCTAGGAGCGGGATGGGGGCAACGGCGTACACTCTATTTCACGGAAAAACAAAAGCCCATCGCTTTGCCCGCAGGCGTTCCCCCAACCTCGGGGACAGGGAGAGATGATACGTTATTTCAAAATAACTCGTAGAGGTTAAACAAAGGGGGAAAGAGGGCAAAAAGGACGACTCGCGGTGAGGATTCGGCCGACCGGCTCGCTGCAGCGCGCTGCCGAGATTGAGCATCTTGGCGCGTTGTTCAAAACGTCGGTCATGGAAAACAACTTTGAGCTCTTGATAGCACCAAGTCCCTTGTCCAACGGGCGGTAGCACTGTGGTCACGGAGGAGTCCTAATGAGTTCTAGTCAGGAACAAAGCAAACGCCTCTAGAAAGAAAAAGCAAGTTTATTTGTACGTAAAAGGGAGGGGGAATTCTAAGATCTATCCTGAACGTATTATGTGGTGTGGTATGTCTGTGTATGTGGGCGTAGTAGGCAATAGTAGCAAACCGGTGAACAAGCTCCAATACTAAATCTCAGAATAATCCTAAACGCCAAGTGACGTCACGAGCGCGCGAAGGAAGGAGGGGAGGTTCGAAGACATGGCATTGCTTCTTTTGTCTCTTCCCTCTCATTTCCTCCTGTATGTTCCTCCTGCTTTGGGCATCCGTAAGTCCAATCTTTGGTCTGGGCCTAATACCAAACAGATCGCTACGTACTCTTTTTGGAATTACATAGATCAATTGTAATACATGTACACTATTAGCGTCTGGGACGTGTGTGAGTGTGTGGGCGCGAAAAGGAGGGTTTCAGTTGCAATGGATCTGAAGGAATGTCGGTACCAAGTGGGTTGGCAGCGTCGTAAGCGAGAAACGTCTGGCGGCAAGGGTTCGAGAACCCAAGTCGTTCGTCGTGGAGGCGGGATAATACACACGACACCACCACACATCTCAGTTGAGTATTATACCGAGCATAGCACAGTCCCTGGATCACTCGAGACTTTGATATCTAATTTCCTTGCTGGGTTCTGTTTCATTCTGGAGGGGTTTCTTCTTCTTCTTCTTTTTCCTTTCGAGACAAAATCTAGGCCTCTTTTGCATTAAACCTCGCAGGAGCCTTCTACCTCGGTACTTCTCCATGACTGGCAACTCCAGGAACTACACGTGTGCTCGTGGTTTGACTCCGGGGTCGGCTTTTGCTCATGACATTGCCATGGATGTACCCCGTGCCACTTGTCGAACCTACCACCAGCGAAACTCCACTCAAGCACGAGGTTGCCGACTCCGTGAATACTTGCAGACCCCAAAAAAAAAAAAAAAAAAAAAAAAAAAAAAAAAAGAAAGGAAAAGAAAGGAAGAAGAAACATTAAGTATTGAAAGCGCCATGTTTTGTTTCCCCAGGGGTTGACTTCAATCGCGCACGTCAATACCAAGTGCGCCACAAGTTCACCGATTTTTAATTGGAAGACAAAAGAATGATGGCTCTTTTTTTTTCCTTTCTCGCCGCCTGTTTTAGATCGATCCGACAAACGATTCCTTTCCTTCCCATGGTGTCAAAGAGTTTAGATGCAATGGATCTCTCATACTCGTGCCACGCACACCTGTGGCACGAGTATGGTCTCAATCGGACAGGTGGGGAGTGGATTGGAGTTGTCGTGGCGGGCCATTGTTCGAGACTCCATGTACCGTATCCTAGTCAAGGCACCAGTCAGTTACTTGACCTCCTCACTCCCGTCCATTCCTCATAATACCGACAATACGTACGTCTCCACGCCCAAAAGGTGACCGGCTCCGATGCCCGCGTACCGCACCGGTAGCGTGGAGTGGAGGCTGCGTGAGCGCGAGGTGAGCGCGCGGGAAAGCCAGCCAAGCCAGCCATCAAATTGATCATGGTTGCATGGAGGTTCGCAGAGTCGCAGGGTCGGCATGGTTCGGTGAATGCAACGCTAAAGCCAAGGGGATTACGCAAGCAGACGCGGGCGGAAACCCCGTCACAGAGGAGCTCCGCTGCCCCCTTCCGTTTCAGAGCCGACCTTCCCGGTCCTGGCGCGCCACCGGAAGGGCTCTCTCATCGAACCAGACAACAGACAGCCCGTTGGGTGCCGATCCTTACCATATGCCGTAATGCCTCCACTTGTTGTCTTGATGTCTCGATCATGTCCCTAAGCCTACAGCGGCCACTGGACCATCACCATCCGCCTACCAAAACCTCCATCCACCAATACGGAGCGCTTGTCGCGTGACCACTTATCGCGTGAGCAAGAAGAAAAGGAAAAGAGAAGACATGCCATCATCATTTTTTTTTTTTCATAGGCTCTTTCGTGGTAAGCCAGACAACCCATTCGCCCCTTGCAACGACTCCGGGTAGAGAGCACGCACCCCTACGGTACATGGGTATCTCCAGCTTCGAGTAGGCAAAAATATCAATTTCAACAAGTAGACAGGGGAAAGAGAGGGAAAGTCACTATGATGTCGAACGAGCCTCCCTGATGGCAGTTGTTGGGGGTGTATCGAAGTATCGGCGGGAGTGGAAGCATGTCGGATCTGGGCGGGGGTCTTGTCAAACAGAAGCGAGTGGGACCTTGGTCGGAGAGGGAGAAAATCGTTCCCCACCGTAGGAAAAGATCTGACAATTGGCTTGCGTGGCGGTTTCACGAGGCGCGGCGCATCCACACAAACCAAGGAGGGTAAGCAGAGAAAGGGAGAAAATCAAGAGAACAAAGGAAAGAAGCAAGGGAAAGAAAAAAACTATGCTTGGTCGCTGCGCTTCCGCCTTGTCACCTCGTCTCTTTCTGTCATCCCTTTCTGTCATCTCTATTCTGCATCTCTTAGAATCCTCCTCAGGGGGTTTAGAGTTGCTCGGTTCGTTCAGGCCCCGTCTTAGACCTATTTTAAGTAGTCGGGACATTGGCGATCCCAACAACCTCCAACCTTACCTGGTTCTGTGATCGGCGGGCGCCGGAACAATCATTACACTAGGCCAAGGAAACACCATGAAACAGTGCTCATCACCCGTGCCTTGGACCAACTCTCCTTCCACTACCTGTTGACCCCAGAGGAGAGCGTCGACGAGGTTTAGCATACTTGCTAGATGAGCCCGTTGATCACCTTTGTTTTTGGTTTTGATGTGAGACTGATAACGGATTGGTCCGTTCGTCTATTCGCTCGTCAACCCCTCGCACAGCTGTCAGAAGCAAACAATGGCCCTCTGAGGACACGAACACATGAACACACGCGCTGGTGTGACATCGCATATTGGCGAGATGAACGAATCCTGAATCGTGTGTACAAGGCTCGGGGTTCCCACGAAATCGACTAGTTATGTGCTCGAGGTGTTGTAAGGCGTCTGTCAATCTCCTCATACCCTAGCAAAAATGCCGTGAGGGATGCTGCTCTTGTGAAGCCCGCAGACGTGATGTGACCATGGTGGAGTAGCCGGAACTACCCCCAGTTTTCAACGAGAAAAGCTTGCACCGCAACATGACCACGTCGATGTTGTGTTCGCTGCTCTCGGTGGTGGAGAATTCTCGACGGCTTGCGTCCGGCTCTGGCCTGGTCTCTCCTCCACTGTGCCGCCATTCCCACAGTCCGATCACGGTCTCTTCAACAACTCGTGGTGACGTATACACTTGATACCCTCAGACCAAGGCTTGCGCTAGCCCCAACTCCGCATTAGGTTTGGCAAGGGTTGACTACCTACTTGTAGCTAGGGCCGGAAGAGATCCAGGCCTATTGTCGTCGTCAGCAAGTCAATATCTTAAGACGATTGAAATGGCCGGTCCAACGAGTGTTTTATGTGCTCGACACCCCGATGCAAGTGAGTAGGCAATAGAACCTGTGATGACTTGTCTTGCTGGATCCGGTGTGAGTTCTCCCCTTGACTTGCCTCCTCGGGCTTTGTGGGGCCTTGAAGGCGTAGATAGGATGGGATTCCTCCTTGGATAGGACTTAGTTAGATACATGTGTCGAAACGGTTGATCGACGGTGGCGAATTACATGTCTGATGGGGCGGACGGTGTGAGAGGACGTAGTGCAAATGGCGATGTCGTATGCCATCTTTCACACGGCATTCCTTTGAATGATATTCAGAGCGCTCAATGTTTCTTTCCTCGTTCAAGATCTCTAGTTTCAAGGCCATGATGTTTTGGTAATGAACGGGGAGAGAGAGGGGGGGCGCACTAAGAAACTCTTTCTTTTGAGCCGCTGCATCGCTATTGCAAAGATTCACGCACAAATATGAAAGAGCGATACGAGTCCAGTCCGTCGAGGCCGTACAGTCTAACTTGTTCCGCTAAAATTTCGCCGACCAAGACATCCATAGATCAACCCCACAGCCATGCGAGACCACAAAGACAGGCACAAGTTGACCTCCTAGACAAACCTATAATCTGCTATAGAGAGGGTGATGGACAGGCATGGATCCGATTCTCCACCTTGGAGTGCCGCTCTAGAGGCAATTGAACGCGAATGGATGCCTGGTTGAATATTGAATTGGCTGAGGCATACCTCAAAATCAAATGCTCAATTGAGCCAGGAACAGGTTGCCAAGTGGTGGGTTTACCTCAGAAAGAGAAACAAACTAATAGCTTCAACCATTATGCTGGAAAATGATCAGATGGAAATCAATCCAACTGACTTCAATGATTTTGGATGTGGCGCCAGCCAATGCTCCAGTCAGGACCGTGCCTTCCTTAGTGCACCATCCCTTCCTTTCCTATTTCCGTTTTCTTACTCTACCTTGACGGTTCCTTCCCCTGGCAGCGCTCACACTCCGTTGTAGGAAAGGATGGACCTCCGTACCTGCCATCTCATGGGGAGATGTGGGTCTAATCAGCAACCACAGACACAGTACTTGTATCGCATAATACAGCACTGCCATCTACGATCTACATCAAGGGTCGACCTCCACTCCACGCCTCTTCCTCCTTTCTTTATTATTCTTTTAAACAAATCCGACTCCCTCTTCCTCTAATTTCGATTCTGGATTTGGGGATTCCTTGTTCCGGTTGCCTCTCGCTCTCACTTTCGACACCACGTGGGAGAGCTTTTACTAACACCATCAACACCTTATTCACCATCGTCGAGCCGCCGTTCCCGACGTCGCCTCCCCTCCAGCCTTTTCAGCCAAACCACTTGTCACTCGTTGCTACCCACTAGAAGCCCAGGTGCACAGAAAGTAAATCTTTCTGAGAAAAGAGAACTATTCGCTCGAGTCGTATCCTACCATCCATTCTTTCACCATTCTCTCTGTGCCACGACGGAAGGAGTTCCACACGCACCCCAGGACACAGGGGGTTTCGACGCAGCGCACCTACATAACTCTGCCTCAAGATTTGGCGTATGCGACTCAAGCTCGGCTAGAAAGAGTGCCAGTGACACCACTCGATTCATTCCAGTCCTAACTGGCCAACTGGGGCATCTTCTCAGACTTTCTCCCTCACTCTTTTAACTGCTAGCTCTTGGAGGTAGAAAACGTCATCGGGCTTAAACGAAAGCTCTTGATGATATCTTAGGCTGACTAGTCATCGTCATGGTTTCAAAATCAACGGGCCTTCCATTACCCACCACAGCCTCACTTCGAGGCTGGAGGCGCAAGACTCATAAAGCCATTAGTATTGTCTCTGCCCGAGCTCTACGCAACAGGCTTCGATGTATTCTCGGCTTATTCGTGTTGGTCAATGTCATCGCCATTTTCTCTATACCTGGAAGGTTAGCAGTTGTGACCCTCGGAGGTCAGGTGGGCCCTCTTTTGCGTTGGCATGGCGCAAAGGAAGAGGTCGGCGGTCTACGCCTTGTTGTATTTGGAACTCCCGATCTAGGGATGCGCCGGGAAACGGGCGGAGCCCTGGAGATAAGAGCTGGACCGAGCACCTCTGCACCGAAGTGAGTATGGAAGAGCTACTACCCTGTAGCAGTTAAGGGCGATCTGTTTCGGGCGAAGAAAGTGACTGACTCTTTTGCTATAGCTGCGTTGCGCGAGCTACCAATCTCTAGTGCCGGCGATTGACGGAAAGACGTTGGATCCAGCCTTCACATCCAACTCAGCTTATAACACAACTCTGAACTATGTTCACCTGTCGCATGATGCATCCATTCCTGGCTACGACTATACTTTTCTCAATAGTCAATACCCCTCCCGGTTCACGACGACCTAGAGACCCAAGTTAACAAATTCCTTGAGAGCAAACCCCGAGGAACCCACCCAAGGAGACGCTTTGGATTTTCAATTTTGGATTTTGGGACATCTGGGCTTTATCGTCGATGCCACGTGAGATCGCCGAGGTTGCCATTAACCGAACGGTTTCGGACATGTTCCAACAGATTGAGATTCTCTACAAGGCCTCGCTCGTCGAGTCGTCCATCGCCTTTTCCGATTTCTGGGGTTATTCCGACCCAGACATAATCGAAAAACTTGAGAACAACCAGCTCTCTGATGTTCGTGGCGAGCGAGAAATGTTCCGCGTTCTGATCCCTCGCGTTGTCGACCCCTCCATCACTCCAGGTTGGGAATCTATGCGACCCCGTCCCCCTCTCCTCATAGCCTGGCCGTCCATATGACAAACGCCGCCTACCTAACGGAGCGTTGGAACGACGCCCTCTGGCTTCAAATGGATCGCTGGGAGAAGCTCCCTAATCCGGTACCCGCAGAGTCAATTGCAACCGGATCCGAACGAGCCGAGGCGCGCAAGCGAGACGTGGGACCCGGTGACTGGAAAAGGTCAGCTGCGGACACCAGGAACCGTGAGAACAAGCAGCAGCAGCCTAGCTTCGATCTAGAGCCCCTCCTAGCACCCTTTCCCCGCCGGCAGAGCATGGATTTTAATGGCTTCAACTTCGTCCGAGAAGTCCTCATCGAGGGACAATTCCGGGGTGCTGGGTTCACGGACATGCTAGGACGTGGCCAAAGGGCCATGGAAAGCCTCATGTACTACGATGAAGCATGGAGACCTTGTTCCGAGGGCGACCTTGACGCAGCACCGCGCCTCTTTAGCCAGCGCAAATCTAGCAACGAGAACGGGACATGCGCTTCTCCCGACAACTTCTTTTGGGACACACCATTCCTCCTCGGCAACAAGGCGGCGCACACCCTCGCTCGCTTCGCCGCTACCGAAGCCAGCATTCGCCTCTCTTTATAAACTTTTGGAGCCTGCGGGGCGGGGACGTTCCGCCTTCTTTTTTTTTCACTTTTTGGTTTGCACTTTCTTTTGTCTTTTCTATTTTCCACATGTACATTATCTCGTATGTGTGCATGCATCACTCAACTTTAGATGTACACGGCTGCTCCTTGTACCCTTGGACGGATTTCCCTTTCTCTATCATTTCAGGCAGCATTCCGCATGGCGTTTTCTGGGGCTTAAGGGTTTTATATGAATGTTTTTATCGATGCATCCGAGGTGGAGAAAACCACGCGTCCTGACTCACAGCACCGCAGAGGGCTTTTCGGGAATTTCGGTGCCAAAATGGTACACCACATAGATGGACGGAAACATACTATGGAGAAACTGGGATATTAGAATGGCCCTAAAAACCGGCAAATAGGCCATAGGCAATGTTAATGAGACATCGATGATGGCACTTTGCCATATCATCTACAAACACTTGCACGCCATCTCTTCCTGATACTAGATGCCTCTGATATCGTAATCTAGCTCTAGAGGAGTGTATTGTCGAGGGGCGGGGTTTTGTCTACGACTCATTTTGCTTGTGGCCGAAGATGACGGCGTCCGGCCGACGTGGGCGGGGAAAGTGGGTCTTCGGGAATCGAAATTCCGCCGATCGCGGCCACGCCAACATGCAAAGCCGCCAATCTCTCTCAGTTGCACATCGTCCCTCATTACTTTATCCCCGAGTGCCTTTTGATGAGCAACTATCTTCAGATTCGGCAATGGGAGAAGGGAAAAACCTGTTTGTCAAGCACGAATTCAGCTGTGCTCCAGCACGAATGCATTGGAATGTATATATATGGATGCAGATCTAAGATGTGACGAAGAAAAGAAGGAAAGAAAAAGATATATAAACAACGAAGGGAAGCGAAAATATGCAAACGATGAACCTCTACCTTGTTCCATTCCGCGTTTGTTCTTTGAAAGAGATGCATCTGGTAGAAGAGAGCGCGATGGTGGTGCATCCCAGCCTGAACGACGACCAGCTCGAAAAAAAAAACAAGTCCCAAGCAAAATTCGATCAAAATCAATACCAAAAGTAGCGGTAGTATGCATCATGTCATCGTCAAAGTGGCGTGCGTCGTAGGCGGGTCTCATCGGACCTCCGTCTTGAACCGTTCTTCTCGCTCACCTTCCCAGCGGCTTGTTCTTCTTTTTCATGGTTCCTGGCCGAACGCCGTACTGGAAAGTTATCCGAAAATCAACCCGAATTCGGAATATATGCTCCTCAAAAGGCAACCTGTATCGAGAGCTAGAGAATTGGATATCCCGATCCATCCACCTATTTGCCTTCTTCTCAAGGAATAAAAGGGACCGGCGCCATGTGAATGCAGGAATGCCCAGAGTGTTACAAATGAAGCCAACAATCCAAGGCTCGACGGTGAAAATGCACAAGGAGGGTTACAGATGCGATATAGACGTGCGAGTCGGCAGAATCCGGGGCAGGCTTGGATGGTTCTAGTTCCCTCAAGTGTTGGTTGGTTTCCTGCCGTAACAAGCGTGTCTAAATAACGGCGGCAAGTTGGTCAGCACAAGTAGACGGACAGAAGGAGCGAAGCCGAAAGAAAAGAGGCTGGAAACAAGAGCCCTGGGCCGGAAAGACTCACAATAGGAAGTAGGGCATCAGCTTGCTCCGTCGCAACGCTCTTCTCATATTATCCACAAAAGCATCGATGGCTTTGTACTCCCAGCCCATGACCTCTTTCAAAGGTAGAGCGCAAACCCTTCAATCGACCCGTCGATAAACTCAGCCGTGAAAAGACCCAGCTGCTTCATTTTCTTGTCCCTAGGCCATGCGCCAATCGGAATCTTCCAGCACCGGTACACCACGTCTTCGAATCCGGCTCTCTCCATCAGCTCCCTCATGCTGCCCTGGGGAGGCGGGAACTGAAAGCTGCGGCCCGACTTTTCGCTCGCTTCTAAAAGGGTCTCGTACCATCTAGTGTAGATGTGGTCGGGGCCCACGAGGTCGGATTCGGAGCGCGTTTGGATGTCGTAATCACAGCTCTCAAAGTAGCCGCCGGGTTTTAGGCGCGAGAAAGCTTGCCCGTAGAGCCGGGGCCAGTCGTCGATGCAACCTCCCAAGTGGCGGATGTGGATGTAGTCGAAGTAGTTTGGCTGCCAGACCCAATTTAACTGAGCATCGTCTATGAGAAAACGGCAGTTAGGTGGGACCCAACTCGGTTGAATTGGAGAAATATCGGTTCCAATGACTTCCGCGGAGGGAAGCATATCAGCCACGTCGCTAGTGACCAGATGCGGCACAGCGCGCTCATTAGTCAATGCCCGGGGAGTCGCGATAGCAGTAAGACGCTGTCACTCACATTGCCCATATCCCCGTTCCAGTCCCGACATCCAGAATTCGCTGTGGATTGTCGCCGATAGGCGCCAGAAAGAGCTTGTCGTCGAAGAGCAGCGTCATCCAATGGTGTCTACACATTTGGTCAGAAAAGGATCCCGCGGAAGCCTTCGTTTGTCTTGGGACTTTCAACGCCCAAGGGGATGCGCGAGCCGCCACGGTACTTACGTTAGATCAAGGCCCTCCATCTGCTGTCGATCGTTGGGTCCCCTATTCACACAACATGAGCACGCCTACAGAGTGCAGGATAAGTACATCCGGACGATTCTTTGCTTACCAGTACGTTGTCGAGCTTGACCGCTGATAAGTTCGGCCGTGAATACTTCGGTAATCCAAAATGCTTTCGGTGAGAGAAGCTGCCGTAGACATGGGTCCACTAAGGGGCAGGGAATGTTAACAAGGTGAATCATTGCCATTGACTAACAAGGAGAGATTGAGGCACGGTAACGAAAGGCAGGGCGAACATACGTGGCGTCAGCAAAGGCGGAGTCGGCGTCGGTATCATCGTCGTTATCAGCATGGTTGACAAGAGTAGGATCCTTGCACATATGTTAGCCTTGGACTTCTCCTCTCTCTCGAGTGTTCTTCCAGTCGGGGCGGCAGCCTCAAAGAGAATGAAGATCTCAGCACGATGCGACAAGCGATATATCGTTAGCGCCAGTGAAGCGACAAGCGACTCATGGTAAGTGCGATTCAGCGGTGCTCGCTAAATGTCCGTACTGATGCGTCGCAACGCCGTCCGATCACTTGCATCAAGAAAGGAAAACAAGACAGGAAAGAGGGATAGCGCGGTACGTACACCTGGGATCGTGTTGGAACCTAACATCTCGGGGTTCATCTGTTCCATTCCCGGCTCAACATTGGACGGGCCCAGGAAGAAAGTTGGGATGCGGTGGGCGCTGTGGCAAAATGGGTGTCCGCACGATGGCTACGGCCAACAGTGCTAAGCCGACTTGAAGGGGGTAGTAACACGTTTTAATGAATCAAAAGAGAGGTAGGTCAAGGAAAGAAAGAAAACTTATAAAGAGAGAAGAAAAAAAAAGAAGAAGAAGCGTGGGAAGAGAAGCAAGGAGGGACGTCTCCTGGGGAATTCTTCAGAGAACCGGCCGGTTGGGTCGCGGGGCGGGGGACGGAAATTATAGAAGCCCCTTCCCAGAGAACCGGGAACCGACAAGATGGTTCAAGTTTTTGGAGTACCAGACTGGCGGGTGCGTGCTTCCCAATCCTTTCCCGAGGGCCTCGACTTTTGCAGGGCAGATGGACTCGGAGTGGGGAATTTTGCGATTGAGAGGGCGAGAGAGAGGACGATTTCTCTGAGCAGGCTGTGACGAAAAGATGGTGACAAAGAATCGAGATAGGGTATTATTGGGGGCGTGAAGGTGGAAATAGAGAGGCGATGTCCCTGGCTCTCGAGCAACGCAGAGTCTGAAGAAGGTGAGAGAAGCCAAGGGGGGATGCAGGTGATTAAGGAGGATTGAGGATTCGATTTGATGAGACGATGTAGACCTCCTTCACCAATGATTCAAACTTGCAGGAGAAAATGGGGAAACATCGAGGGGGGAACGAGGAAAACAAGAGTGGAGATCTAGCAAGGGTCGAAGGGGGAAAATGAAAACCAAATATTAATATTAAACCACCAAGACGAATCCCAATCTCTCGGGGACGCATGCACGCAAGACGAAGACTGGGGTCGGCGCTGGGGGTTGGAGACTGATGGATACGTGTGGGAGTGGTGTGGGGGACGGAAGCTGCGACCAGGGTACAAGGCTCACAATCTCCCCAAAAAAGTCAAAGTCAAGGCCGGCTGGGCGGATCTGCCAGCGCACTCAACCACCTTCTCGCTTCTTCCCTGTGCCGCTTGCACTTTTGGAAGGAGGTGTGTTATCGGTAATACAGAGAACAATTGGACCCGCATGCCCATCCAAGTGGGGGCTCGGGAGCACCCCGCCAGCTGTGGACGAGTCCTCGGCCAAGATGCAGGACGGGGAGGAGCGACCGAGCTTTCGGGCACGACCAAACTGCTGGGAAGGTGCCGATGAAGGAGAGGAGGAGCGGAAAAAGGAAGAAGGGAAAGACTTGTCGAGTACCTGCAAGCTTGAGTGCCCCATGCGTAGGTAGGTGTCGTTGCTGCTAGCAAATTAGTCTGTCAATTGTCTGTGTAGGTACGAGAGAGAGCACCAGGCATATACCTGGACCTTGCCAAACGCAAGCCAACGCCGGCTCTTGTGTAGGGCTTGATGATCAATTTCAATTCACCAATGAAACTAAATCCTCACGACGCTACTTGGCTAGAAAGCAAGGCAAGGCAAGGTAAACGCCGCCACATTTCCATTCACGGAGTGCTCTTTCTAAATCGTGGATCCTGCGAACCACTCAGCTCACAAGCGTTCTCTTTTCCCGGTTCTTCTCTTGCGTCTGTTTCAACGGTCCGGTCCAATACCTCAAATTTCTCGCCTTATCTACGCTAGCAGTCCTACACCTAAAGAGAGAGTAGGATAAATTCGCAACGGCTCAGTGGTGCATCATCATTGCGCTGCAGTGCAACATCATCTTCTGACCAATCTTTTTCTCGGAAGAAGAGGGGGTAGAGATGTGTTGGGAGAAGCGAGGTTGTGGCAGGGGGCTGAGGGTTGCCAAAGGGTTGGAACGGAACCAGTACCAGGGGGTGGGGATTGTTCTCCTGATCGTACTTTTTGAGGAAATGCATTCATTTGCTCTCCCAATGGATGGGTGTACTGACGAGAAGGCGCCGAAAATCTTTGCCTAGAAAAAAAAAAAAAAAAAAAAGGAACCGCTCGAGGAATCATGGCAGCCTCTTTGGTGGCCTACGAACTGTATTCTAAGTTTCTTAGATTCCCTACACTCTATTCTTCAAGCACCACCTCGCAGCACAGCAACGCGTCAGGCTGCATTTTGAGCCTACACCCATCTACGTATATCCCAGGATTCAGTCACTGTTGGCTTTCGGTTCCCCGAGGGCATCGTGTGGCAATTCGCGTGGCAATAACGATATCGGTTCTTAAGGTCAAGGTGGTGCATGTTCTTTCCACCACCTCCTCTCAAGCGAACAAAGGAAGGGCAACCGATGGCGCTGGTACCGCCAGACCGGGTCTTCTTTCCCTCGGGTCAATCAGCAGCTTTAGTTAGGTAATAGTGTTGAGCCAAGAGCAGATCTAAGCCCAAAGCAGTTCGTTCATCTCTAAATTCTCGCGCTACTCGCAGGATGTGCGGGTGCGGGAAGCAAGCACGGCCAAACGTCGCACCTGGGGTTCGTCATTGGAGGATCCCGAGCCTGACTGTGCTTGGATTCGCAGGCTCCCCACGAGCGTACGGGGAAAGGAGGGAACTAGAAAGAAGGAGGACCTCCCTTGTCGAGTCGTCTCAGAGCAAGAGATAGCTGGGTTGCTCTCTCTTTCCCTCCTCTCAAGATAAAACGAGTGGAAATGCTGATCGCAGGGTATGAAAACCGGAAGAATGATTTTGGGTTCAATTGACCCTAGCCGTACATTACTGAATACATCGCTGGGGCGGGGCGGAACGTCCTAGACCGCAGTTGGACGGCTCGACGAACATGGGGCACATACAAGTACAAAAGCTTGCAAGGTCATAATAGAACAAGGACCATTGTTGCAAGCCAAGCCTTTCAGGCAACATAAACTAAGACGCGGGTGCTGCATGGCTGCTTCCGTGAGTCGAGGTGGTTCAAACTCCCCGAGCCACACTCCTGGCTCGAGTCAGTCTGCCGGATCATGCCATCGATAGGTCACTGCGCTGCGACTAATATTCTTCGCTTCCTGTCAAAAATGTCACAAAAGAAGAGAAGAGGGGGCGGGAGCTGTTGCCCCGGTTTTTCTTTCAGACCTTGAGGGCTATTATACCTGGGTATATATGCATGGGACCAGGCGAATGCCACGAAGCGAAACACACGCCAACCACACATGGGTTCTATTGTTACCCAGATCGTTCCACTCAGTCACTGTCAAGTGGATCCAAAGGCCATGCAGGAATGGACATGGTACGCCGAAAGATCCGGTCAAAGTTGAGGAGATGAGGGGTGAGGGGAGAATTAGATGTCTTGTCTCTCTCGAGGTCAGCTTGGAGGAAGGCTTCCCTTGTAGGGAGTTTCAAAGGGGTTGAGCCAGCAATTACTAGACCAGCCCAGGAGAGGGAAATTCCGCTAGAGTGGGTTGCATGGTGTGGGCCAGCCAGCCGCAAGATGACATCCTGGTCCTTGGGAAGGTTGGCATTAATCATCCACACCTTTCTCGGTCAAGGCCACCGCACCAGTCTCCAGCCCCTTTCGAAAGCGTAGCTCCAAAGTGGTGTCCTCAGGGTGTCCGCTTTATTATTATTCCCTTCTTCCAACCTCGGTAGAGGGCGCACGATGAGATGGACGGTGAGTAAGGCGAAACCTCAGTACTCATATTGGTCCCGGGATAAACGCAACCAAAAAGGCGTTGATTCTCTTTGGATAGTGTTCGAATCACACTCTCAATTAGATGGTGAGCCGAGCGAGTGCGTGGAGTTGTTTGTGATGGTCTTTAGGGGACATTGAAACGGTTGATAGTACCGACCGGGTGGCGCATCCTTCTGTGCCGGAAGATGGCCCCAAATGCGCTTGGAGTCCCGAGACTCTGGCTATCTTGGAATCATGCTAAGAATAGCTCTGACTATCAATTCCTCAACGGGATGCCGGAGGCTAGATCAGCCTGGCTTTCTCCTCTTTGGTGTCTTCCTCTCAATGTCGAACATCACGGATCGTCGCCGAATGGGTCTCCAGCCCATACCCCAAACTCTTGGCCAATATTGCCTGCTCTCGTAGTGCTCACAAGGGATCCGCCGGATTGACAGAACCGAATTTTCTATCTCTCTGTTACCTGAGAGCCGCTGATAACCAAAGGGAAACGGAGGTGAGAGGCTTGAGCAAAAGAACCGGCCGTGGCATGGCTCGTGATCGCCTTTCCAATTTTGCTTCAAGCACACATCAAGGACTTAACGAGACGACTTCGGTAGGAGCCAGATCACGATGCCTTCCGGATGAACTCGATGAGCGTGAGTTGTGTCCCCAATTACTTGCCCGGGGCCACTAGTGTACTGTCAAAAGCGAATCCAGGAGGCATGGACCGTTTCTCTCCCCGTCTCCCGCTTCCCAGCGATATTAAAAAAAAAAAAAAAGGCTGTTGGCATTATCAATGAGTTGGAGGTGTGCACTAGCGTGCACCGGCGGGTTCTTTGCCTCCATCCGACACTCCGACGGAAGGCATCCGAAGAGTCATGTCCGCCCCTCATTACAGCGCTCTCCGCTAGCATCCCGAGAAACATCACCGGGTCTCCCTCCTGCGCGCGCTTCATCCTCCTTGAAAAACGTAGGAAAAATGGAACTAAAGAAACTAACAACTCTGGCGCATCTCGGCCCTGAGACTCCACTCCGCCTTCAACCCAAGAGTGGTGTCCTCCACTGCGCCCTCCCGGATGAGGGTAGATATCATCTTTTATCCAAGAACTCTCACGCGGCCGAGGGCGCAGGCCACAAATAGGTGCACAATGCCCAGGCCCATGTCGATACCCTGCTGAATTCGCTTCGCGCCGCCCCGTGGGGCCGTAGGCACTGATCACGAATCGGTAGAGTGAGCCGGCGCAAGCACCAAGGCCTAGAACTTGACTTGAAAGCTTACCTCCCCTCTTTCGTCCAATACTAGGCGCTTGTAACGAAAAATGATCATCAGAAAGCTGCCCATTCGAGGGAAATGGACTGGATACAGGAGATGAGCTGCCATCTGCCTGCTGTGGGGAAGGGTCAAATAGCTGCACTGGATGTCACCAGGCCGCTTTTCTATTTGGGAGCTCTTCCACCTGGGGGCTCCCTCCCGCCAACCAGGTCTAGGCCTTCCTTTAGGCGAGGGAGGGGTGAACTGGCGAGAAAAGCAAAAGAAGCTGGGTGGGTTGCACCGGGCATCTGCAAGGGAGAGAGGTCTGAAGGAAGTACCGGCTAGCCGGTATCATCATCTGCTTTTCTCGGTGTGAGTTGCATGGAATGTGATGAACTCTATCGGATGTTTCCTTGCCTTGCGGGCGTGGCAAACTCTTATTGATTGGAACTATTTTACGAGGGGCCAAACATGGATCCCCGGGGAAAGCCTATTGAGAAAAAGTGCCTCGCAGCTTCGAGAATAGTGACATGAGGCGCACCTGTCAGATGAATGACAGCAACCCCTGCTGTCAAAACATTCGTCAATGGACGGATCATTGTCAAGCACAAACTATTATGCCAAATCCCCTCTTATCCCAAAAGAAAACATGCCAATCCTAATCTCGGAATAGTCGCACAGGGCGACTATAGTGAGGTCTCTCCTCCAAGATTTCACTTCTCTCTCTCGCCGTCTTGATCTCTGTCCCTATGCACCTCAATTTGTGGGAGGATTCGAACAAAGTATCAATACGGTCCTGCCCGGAATTAGCAGCTTTTGGTGTTTGCCCCCTGTATCCCGAAATGGAGTAGGAGCTGTGGAGGGCAGGCAGAAAGCGGTGAATACTTCGATGGCCTTTTTTTCTCGAGCTGGCCGCTGCTAGCGGGACAGAACCCTCACTCTTCTTTAAACTTCACCACTCAACTTTTCAGTGCCGTGCTCCCACACAACCTCACGACAAGAAATAACCAATCTCAAGTCCAAAAGGGCACCAGTTCATCTTCCAGACATCTTCTAGATTATTACCTCGGTATATGCGATAAAAAATTGCCATTCTATGGGCCCTTCTCCGCCCGTTTCACCAGCGCACCGAACCACTCACCTGCTCACAGAACATTTGAAGACCTGGCAGGGGAGGAGGGCAAAGTGTGGATGATTAGCGAGGCCCCGGTCGCGGCCCAAGATGAGACCGCAGGACCCTTGCGCACACAAACAGACACACAAAACGAAGAGGACTCATGACATCGAGAAATATTGAGGCATCGCTTTTTCTGCCAAGGCCCGCATGTGGAAAGAGAGCGACAAGGTAACAAGAAGATATACACACATTGTTAACTTACACCCGGTACGCGACACATACGTATCACTTTCCACCTATTCTCCATCATACCAACAGAAAAGGGGAAAACAGACAGGTAAAGTGAAAAAAAAAAAAAAAAAAGAACCTCCTACCCCAGCACGCCCTTTTCCTTCCAAAAGACTTAAACATACACTAGAAACGTTGGAGAAAGAAAAAAGATAACAGAAAGAAGCGACATGCCATTTGCAGCCATATCATCCTGGGGTCCCGCTTTTTGCATCCTTGTGATTTCTCTTTATTCATGGGGAGAGGGAGAACGTGGAGGTATCATCTCTCCGCCTCCCTCAGTCCCCTTCCCTAGCCAGGGACTTCCTTTTGGACGGAGGAAGGTGGAAAAAGAAGAAGAAAGAATCAGGACAAGAAAAGAAGAATTAGCACTCCAAAGTTGCAAAACCAACACCTTCTTTCATTCAACTGCTCACGTTCCGGGTATACCACACTTGCGCTTGTCCTCGTGGATCTTTTAGTCATCCTCTGCACACCTCTGCCGTCCTCTCTACATCTCATCGCCCTCCCCTTGCAGCATCGATGACGAATTAGGTCAATGCTGCGTATTAGCCACCGCTCATCACCCTGGGACACACATTTATTCCTCTTCCGAGTCCGACGAGTCGCTGCTGTCGTCGTCCATAGCGGTTGGCGTTAACGCTGTGATAGAGTCGTTCGCCTTGGGAGATGCCGCTTGGCCACCGCCACCTGCTCGGAACTGATCGCGGATGCCCTTCAGCTTGCTGATGCGTTCCTCTTGTTCGCGCGCGTTCATTGGCTTGTTCTTCTTCTTCGTCTTGGGCGCTCGCGAGTTTGCCGTCGCGTCCGCCTGGGGGCTGCTCCCGCGCCCTGCGTCGGCTGTGGCGTCGCGCCCGAAGCCCGTGACAGCCTTGGAACAGAGGTCCCACAGCTTTTGGATCGCCGTTGTGCTCAATTGGTCAATATCTAGCTCCAACACACCGGCATTGTTCTCCTATAAAGCGAAAAAGAGGTTAGAGTCGTTCTTCGGTAAGCCAACGCAGGCACGATATCGTCATTTTCAGACGTCGGACAGGGTAATCCCCGACAGAGATGCCCCGCGGCGCCCAAAAGCTCCGATAAAGGTGGAAATGGACGACTACTTACTGCTTGGCCAGTATCCTTCTTAATGATCGAGATAGCTTGCTCGATGCTGGAGAAAGAGGGATCGCTGAGCGCTGTGGCAATCTGGTTCCTTTCGGCGGCACCCCAGCTCCGCTCCTTCTTGGCCGGCTTCTTCGCCGTCGCCGTCGCCTTCTTGGGTGCTGCGGAGCCCGTCGATTTGCGACCACCGGCATTACCCTTGGCCTTGGCCGTCTTGGTGGCGGCCTTGGCCTTGACGGGCTTGTCCGACTTCATCGCGGCGTACTTTTGCTTCTCCGCGAGCAGACTCTGTTGGACGGTAGACAACACAGTCGACTGGAGCCTGATAAGCGCCTCGTTGGGCAGGTCTTCCATGTACAGTAGGTTCAGCTTGGTCGTCTCCTCCTGAAGCTTCTCCTGCAGCGTTGCAATGGTCGCTGCTAGCACGGCCGCGTCGCCACCGACTGCCACCTCGACTTCCGCCTCGGACTCTTCGTCGCTGTGACCGTCGGACGCCGTCGAGCCGGGCTTGCTCGACGCGTGTTTGGCGAGCCACTGGTCCTTCTTCGCCATCTCGGACTGAAACAGTGACTTGAGCTGCTTACCCTGAACGTGCACTGGTGTCCCGTTGGTGTTGAACTTGAAGCAGTTGTTGAACATGAGTTCCATGTCCTGCTGAAACTGCTTGGGGTGGGTGTACTCTCCCGCGTTGAGCTTCGTCGAGATGGTGCTCAGATCCATCGGCTTCTTGATGACGTTGAAATATGTGGGGATGCCCAGCGCCACGGGATCCACGGGTACAAGGAACGCCGCGTTGAGATGGTAGTTCCTCTCGTCCATTACTTCGCGCAGGACCTCATCGCAGAACTGGATCTCGGGTTTGAGGTGCTTCTTGGCCACCGACGACTTGGACGAGTAGTCAATATCCTTGCTCTTAGGCGGGTGAATAGCCCGCTTCGGTCTGTCTCCGTCCGCATTCGTCGATGCCCTCCTGATCTGAGGAACCCCTCCAGGCGGCAGCGCAAACGTCTGATCCGCTCCATCTGTTGGGCTGACCGCTGTGCTCGAAGCCCGGCGGTTTGCCTGGGACTGCTTAGGCTTCGACGCAGGGCGCTCAACAGGTGCGGGCTTGGGCGCTGGCGCCTCCACCGGGGGCGGCGGCGGCTGCTGTGTTACCGCGCGCTGCTCGTGGTGACGCGAGGGCATTGCCTTGGAGGTGGCCTTGGGCCGGGGGTTCTTCCTCGGGAACGGATAACGCCTTGGTCCACACCGTCTCGACAACGTTGAGACCGGCGAGAGTTATCTCGTGGTACTCGCCGTTGAAGGCTAGAGTGTTGGTGTAGATGAGCGCAAGCCTCTCCTTGAAATCGCCGAGGGTAGCGTATACCTGCTCGCGTAGGGCACGCTCCAACTCGCCGAGATCAGTGGGGTCGTGGATCTTGGCCAGGTAGGCATCCGCTAGCGAAGGCCACATCTTTGAAACGGAATCCTTGAAGTGACCGCCACTCTTGGTCTTCTTCACCCCCGCAATGATGCGCCTGATCTCGCGTACTTGGAAGGGGGTGATCTTACGAGCATCCAGGCCCGTGTTGTTCCAGTTCTCGATGCCCTGCAGGCCCTTGGAGTTCTTTACTCCATCGGCTACACTAGTCGACACCTGAACTTCTTCCTGAGGTTCGGTCCTCGCCCGCTTAGCGAGGGGCTCGTCGCCAGAGTCATCATCACGCTCTCGCGCGAGCTTAGCTGAAGAAGGCGCGTCATCCATCGCCACGTCCCCTTGATCAACAGTAGGGAGTCAACAAGCGCTTCGTCGGTGATGTTCAGTTGAGACAAGCCTTCAGGACCCTGTGTCGGCACGTCTTGCTCTGATGTAGCGGATTCGTCCTTTTGATCAACGGTCATAGACTCCCCTTGTCGGCAGCCTTCTCTTCAGGCTCTCCTTCGGTCGGTTTCGACACAGGCTCCTCAGCGGAGGTATCTGGCTTCTGTTCGTTGGGCGAGGGGGCGGAGGGTTCGGTAGGTTTCGCGTCGGACATGTCAATATCCTCGTCCTGTTTCGACTCAGGCGCAGGAGTAGACCCCTCAGCCTTAGGGGCTGGAGAGGCTGACTTTGCTTCGGGCTTGGGGGCTTCCTCGTCGGCTTTCGATGCAGAAGGGTCGTCGGGCTTGTCGGAAGAGGCTTCGTCGTTGGTCTCGGTTACTCCGTTCGTTCCGTTGCTCTCCGGTTTGCTTGCGCTACCATTAAGTTTGGGCGCCGTGTCGTCGTCGACCGCTTTAGGGCTCGCCGATTTATGCCTACACATCGCGTAATGATAAGTAACAGCTCAGAGGATGGCAGTAGCGACGCCTTTCATTCGTCCCCTTTGGGGCTTCTGTAGCTTTGGTGGGTTTATGTCACCGAATACAACAGTAGGGAAAGAGAACAGCAAAGACAATACAAACTTGCCAACAAGATGCAAGCTATGAAAGAGTGGAGTGCGCATACCCATTGAGCTCAGTCTTTTGTTCCCTAGACACCTCGGGGGACGCAGACTTCTGCTCCAATGTGGGAGCATTGGGTTCTGGTGTCGCCATGGCCGCCATAGATTTGAGGCGGGGCGAGAAAAAGAAAAGGAAAGAAAAAGAGTTTATGGAGACGTCGGCTCGCTCGGAAGTGTCAGGGCGGCGCCGACCGAGATGATGAGAGTTCAACAGGTGCCTCGTCGAACGTGATGCATGCGACAATGTGGAGGAGGTTGTCTAGTGAACAGCTCCAACCAGCAAGTTGCGTGAGGCTCTCGGCAGCTACTTTCTTTGCAATCGCGAAGCAAGAGGCGCTTCAGCGCGTAATGGTTAGTCACGACTAGGTCGGTAGCGCAATGGCGAGGAGAGGTGGAGGAAGTGAGGAAGGCTGCGCGTGGAAGGTTGCAGGTCTGAGTAGCGCGTCACTATGCGATGCGCCGCAGATATCCTGACCTGAAAACGACAAGGGAATATATCGCAATGCGCAATGCGCGTCGCGGGACCTGGGCGGGCGTGAGGGGAGAGGAGACGAGGAATGGAAACGATGGGACAAAGAAGTTCATGTGGGCGCAATGCGCGATGCGCCGGCTCACAACAAGTGCCAACTTACCGAGACTAAGAGTGGCAGGTGCCCGCCTAATTAGGTATTTTCTTCGTAAAGATGAGCGGTTGATCGCGACAATTGCGAAGGCGCAATGGGAGTCAGAGACGATTAATGGATGAAATGTCGCGCGCAAGACCGGATTAGAGCTTGAGGGGAGCACAGGTCGCGATATCGTGAAAAGTCAAGTGTTGTTGCGTTGCGTATTAGGTAAGGAAACGTCGCCAAATCTATCTCTCTCAGGTGGAGGAAAAAGAAGATGGAAGAAAATAAAAGTAGACTAGCCAGGCCTTGATGGTTAGATTGCGAAAAAGAAGAAAGTCCCCAGATGAAGGAATGTCGGGGGTTGAATTGGGGGTGGTCGCGGCTGAGGATTTGGGGAAGAGGTGGATTGAACAGGATTGGATGATGGACGAAGATTGTGGCGGAAGCTTCCTGTTGGATGATTTGAAGCTTTTCGAGAAAAAGCGCGTGCACGTCAGTTGGGTTTTCCCGACTGGCGCGCGACGTGGTATTTATCAGAAATGCGACAAACACACCCCGTACCTTCCTCCCTCTTTTTTTTTTCTTTGGGTCGAGGGTTATACGGAAAACGGGAAATCTGGCTTTTTATCGGGGCATGGGGAATCGGGGAGGCAGAAGGACTGGGTAGAAAATTTTATGGGGCAGAACTCACCACGAAAGGGCGCTGGTTGGTTGGATTGAGGGTGGTCTATGCTTTGTGCACTGAATTGAGGAAGAGGAAGGGGCGCACGGGTGACTTTTGTGCGGGAGAAAGAGGGTCGAAAACACGTGAAGGAGTGGGACGGACTGATGGGAGTGGGAGGGGGTTTTAATAAAATCGGGAGAAGGAGGGAGAAGAAAAGCCTTGCATTGAGGAAATTTTTCTGGTCAAGGCTTTTGGGCGGTTGACAATTTTTATGCATTTAAGGAGGGGGAGGGTGGCTTGTTGTGGAGCGGGCTCGGACCAGAAATTGAGGGTGCCACTGCCCCTCAGATAATACCAGCTTTCTATTGGCTGCCTTGGCCTTCCAGCCACATCAAATTCCACGTAAGCCGCCACATTCACGCACGTGAAAGAGTGGCGTCCCCTTGACACTGACCCGTGATGCGAGATTCCCCGTCCTGCACTGCGCTTTCTCCCTTTGTTTACTCGCTACAGCAGACTACAAGAGCTTCTCGATGATCAGAGTGTGTTGCGGGGTGAGGGGTCTCGAACTCGAATTTGAAGTTGATGGCCCTTCGAGGCCGAGAATTCAGAGTTTAAATCCTCCTTTAAACTAGCCTCGATGCTGAGTTATTACGCCTGGGCCGTTTTCGGGTGGTTCGGGAGATGCAGCAACCTCGGGCTTCGAGAAGCAATTGGTAGGCAGCACAGGCCGAGCAAACAGAATGCTGTCGATACCCGCCGAACCGTCATGCGCCTACCAAACGTAAAATCCTCGAGCTTCCATGGTAGGCAGCACTTTGAGAGGATTTCGCCCCCTTCTCTTTTCTTCTCATCTTCTTCTTTTCTTCCATTTTATCTCATGAGAGCTCTCCTCATTCCCCTTCCTTGGTAGGTTTTGCGACTCCTCAACGAGCCGACGCGGCCATTAGTTGGTGTACCCGAGTCCGGTACCTACAAAAGAACCGGAAGAATGGGAAAGGACTCCCCCGCGCCGGAGTGAAAACTTACATGTAACCTGCTGGCGAAAATGACAGTGTGGAGGTATGCGGTGGCGTTGACAAGAAGAGAGAGCGACATGAGGGCGGGCCGATGAGTGGGACATCGCGCGTGCATGTTGAGCTGTGATAGAACCTGTTTGCTTCTGTTGCATCTCTTCATTCGATCTTCTTTACGGGAGCCAACCCTTAAGCTGCGATGCATTGTCATTCGCAGCACATCCCGATGCGTCAAAATCAACAACCTAAGCATACAGAGGAAGGAGGAGTGAAGAAGAATACAAGGAGAAAAAGAAAAAGGAGAAAAGCAAAGAATTAAACAAAAAAGCTTACGTGAGAACATTGAACACCATAGGACCAGAAGATCAGTAAGAAAATGTGTCCTGTTAAGTGAAACGTAAGCCCGAAAGGAGCGAGCAAGACCACAAACGAAGAAAAGCAAGGCCACCCAACAATCCCGTCCGAGGCCGAAGCAAGACGCTTCGTTGGCGCTCCTCTTGTGAGGGGGTTGAGCTGAGACCTCAAATGCCGGTAAGTGGTTGGTCTGTGTGGATATAAGCTCTTTTCCTCTTCCCTCGCCTCCAAGATAAAGCCTGACGCCATGAGGTATCGATTTCCACTCCACAATTTAAGGCGGTTTGAAGATATTATCCTAGTCGAGTCATGGATGATGATGTTGGTGAGAGCTTCGGCACCTTCCCGTGCAGGCAGAGAGGAAGTCTGTTCCACTCAAGGAGCTTGGACCATTTCCTACCAACTTAGAAGGACCTCCAACAATTACGATATGGAATAAGAGAATATGCGGCAATCCGCAACAAGGATGTGAATGTTCTAGCACCGTTTATCGAATGTCCTACTCCCTGCGCGGCGCCCCCTTGACCCAAGAAAATCCACACCGGGTGTCAACAACCTCACGCGGCCAATCGCCTCGAAGCTCGTCTGGATTCAGTCTAGTCACAGGCAGGGTTGGGAGCAATCATGGACAGGGGGTCTGGGCTGGGAAAGCTGGTTCCCAAAAACAACTTTGAACCAATCAAATAAAAGAAGAGAGTCAATAGCCAATTAAAATAGAGATCTGTTCGTGTTGCGGAACCAGGATCGATGTCTCTGCCCTAAAGGCAATTTCCAGCACAGCCACACTTTGGTTATCCGCACCCCTTCCCCCTCTATCGCATGAACGATTATTACCGATGGAGGTGGTCCTTGCTTTCACCCCGAACGCTACCTGAGGTGTACTTGTGCATTCCTGAACAAGCTCGGTCGGGTTGAGAAGGAAGCTCCTTCCTTCAAGGTTTCGCTCCCAGCTCGTCGCGTCGCGGCTTCCATCTATCAAAGTTTCGAGATCCTTGCACTTTCTCTCCACCTTCCAGCGATGCTCCGATAATCCAAATCAAGAGCAGGAGGAGTTTCGTTTCCCTAAAAGAGAGAGAGAGGATGGTCGCCCCATCGCCTCAGCTCCTTCATCAAGGTAAAGGGTGGCTGCAGACATTAGACTCAAGCCTGGCAGTGACGCTCCACCTATTCACGTGACATTGAACATGCTCTCTCACGTGATTTTGCACCTTCTTCAAGTGCACGGTTCAAGTTGCGACGGACTGGAGGAGCGGTTTGTTCTGCGTATGTAATCTAATCGGTACGTACCAAAATGGCTTGTCTCAAAGAATGAACTTCGATGTTTTGGCGGGGAAGGTGACTTCCCTAAAAGGACGAAAAAAGGTCGAGAAGAACGGCAGAAAAAAGTTTCGGCGAGTGGGAAATTTTCAAGGTCACCATTGCCCAAAGACGATAGACCGCCTCCCCAACATTCCCTACAACAGAAACAACGCCGACTCCCCGTATAATAATCGCTAATATCCTTGCGTTTGCGTGACGGAAGTTTAGGCCCTTGAGGTTTTGCCTGTGTCAATCTTTAGCATTCCGACCACCTCGTGGGCTTCCCTCTGTCCCCCACCTTCACCTCCATCACCGGAACAGACGCACGAGCGAAACATTTACACCACATCAACCCATTCAACCCAAGCAAAGATGTCGGCGAAAAGGAAAGCGCCGTCCAAGCTGGCGGCCCCTAGCATACGACCTAACGCTCGTATCCCCACGAAATTGTCAATTGACGAAAAGAATACGTCTGTCGCCGAGTCGGATGCGCTCGCCCTCTCTAAGACAATCGAGATCTCCTCCGATAGCGAGTCAGAAGAGGATGTCTCCGATGACGAGGAGGATGCCGAAGATGAGGAGATGCAAGATGCTGCTCCTGAAAGCGACGAGGAGCAGCCAGAGGCCGAGGTTTCGGAAGAGCCTACAAGGAAACGGACAAACGGCGGGGGTAAGCGCCCGGCCAACGACGGGGAAGATGACGAGAGCGACTCGGAAGCCGATGCAGCGCCTACATTCGGAGACTTGCTTAGAGAGCAGCAAACCATCGACGTGCATGCCGCCCTCGCTGGCCAGGCGAGTGGCGCCTCGGGTGCCCTCGCCACCCAGAGCACAACCCGCACAATCACAGTACCCTCGGCGTCCTCGCTTGGCACGGTTCTTAACCAAGCACTTCGTACCGACGACACAGAACTCCTCGAGTCGTGTTTCGCCACCACCGATCTCGCCGTTGTTCACAATACTATTGAGCGACTCGATAGCGGTCTCGCCGCGAACCTACTTATGCAGCTGGGCTCGCGGTTACACCAACGCCCCGGCCGCGCCGGAACCCTGATGCATTGGGTGCAGTGGACTCTAGTGGTTCACGGCGGTGCGCTGCGGCGCAGCCCGAGGCACTAAGCAAGCTTGGTAGGCTCCAAAGGTGCTCGCCATGCGAGCGAGGGGGCTCAACAGCCTTCTCGTCCTCAAGGGAAAACTCGACCTCTTGGATGCACAGCTCAAGCTACGCAAGAAGATGCAGGCTCGGCAGGCTCGCAATCCTAGCGGGGACGACGACGATGAGGATGACGAGAACGTGATCTATGTCGAGGGTGAGGATGATATCGATGGCGACGAGGCGGGCGCGCGGAGGAAGAGGACAGTCGTCGAGGACGATGACGAGGTGGACGAACTCCTCCTAGCCAACGGTATCGGCGGAGATTCCGATGACGAGGAGATCGATTTGGATGGCGATGATTCGGATGTGTCGGATGGGGACGAATCCCTTGACGAGGATGAGGTCAACTACGATGATGTGGATGATTCGATGGCGGAGGATGACGACAGCGATGTCGAGGCGGCACCCCCAGCCAAGAGGGCGAACAAGTCACGCTAAAAGGACTCAAGTGAGTAAGCAAGGGGGAGAAGAGGGTCAGGGTAGGGGCACTGGGATGGTAGATTCTGCTCTTTACGATAGAGAAGGGTACATGTAGTTGGCGCACGGCATACTGCAATTGGATTCATTTTTTTCTTTCGCCTCCTCTCCTTTTGCACCATCTCTCGCCTTTACTTTTCTACAATAACTCATTGGCAATCATGCGTTCACGATCTATTATACCATCAGCAGCGAACAGGATCTCGCGATGATCCGGAGCCGACATACTATCCGAACAACGTGCCAATGTCCTGAGTTTGCAGGCACCAAGCCCAAACGCGCGCGCGCGAACGATAGCTCTAGTCTCGGGCATGTTTAGCGACTATCTGCTTCCTCCGTTCTCCTAGCATAGAACAGCAGCCTTTTGATACTTGCGACGCCAAGAATCGTAGGTTCTTCAGCAATTCCACGCCCACGGGCTCGGGACGGCCTCGGGACCGGTCCACAACGGCGGGCGAGCAGAAGCGGGAAAAAACCGGGACTCAAAGGAATGATGCGACTACGAACGAAGCGATGATCAATAAAGCAGCCGCAGTTTAATGACTTTCATGCTCATCCAAAATCTGTAGATAAAGACAGTTGGGAGCGGGAGAAGGAAGAACAAACTAAAGAAAAACGACTGTACAAGAAAAAGAAAAATGTCTAAACTGCGAGGAAGTCAATGGTCAATCCCCCAAGGCATCCACAACAGCGCGAGCGACGGAAGTGAAAAAGCAAAGATAGTCAGTCCATGATCGCATCGAGCAGTAGAATGGTAGCCTTCCATCCAAGTCAGAAGGGGCAACACCCCGGTTTGGGCAGGGCGGAGGACCAAGTTCCACCCTCGGGCAAAATCCCACGCTCGGGCGGACGACAATCCCCGCCAACCACAGGCGAGCGGCCGGGTATTTATGGGACGCAAGAACCATGAAGAGCAGAATCGAATTGGGGCGACCACTCGTCATCCGGGCAGGACCCTCTACGTTTCTTTTTCCGTCTGTTCTCTTTCGGAGACCGATGCGCCGCTAATCCGGTAGTTGGAGGCCGTAGTCACTCTACGGGCTGCCCCAATTCATCTAAAGGCCGCGCTCTCATTCACTCTGCCCCCTCCCCTGGCCTGCCCTTACATTAGGAGCTCTGTTCCGAACCCCGGGACGGGAAAATGGAGAAGAGTAACGTATTTTACAATTTCTGGTTTAAATAGGCGACGCTCCCGTGCGTTTTGTTCTTGGTGAAGGGAAAAGGCTCGAATGACACTCGTCACCTCTTCTTCAATCTCCTTCCGTTGAAGATTATAAGCTCAATTGACTGAAGCGAGTCCTGCGTATAAGTGCAGACTAGCAAGCACTCCGACCCTCCTAGTGAACAACAACACAAAAGGAGTTCACGAGAAAAAAGGGAAGAGCACGGCCGTCCCGGATACGAACCCCAACTTCTTTTTTGGAAAGAAAAAAATGGCCCGCTCTCTACTCTCCCTCTCGGGGCTCGCCCTCCTTGCACCCCTCGTCCACGCCGCCGAACTCAAGCGCATCACGGCCGACTTCGGGCCTAACCCGACCAATGTGACGTTTAACCTGTACGTTCCCGACAAGGTGGCGGCCTCGGCGCCGTTGTTGGTATACCCGCACTGGTGCCACGGAACCGCGGAGCAAGCGTTCGAGTACAAGCCGTGGCGGGGGCTGGCGGACACGCACGGATACATCATCATCTACCCATCGAGCCCGTGGGAGGCAGACAACTGCTGGGACGTGTCCTCGTCCGACACGCTGACGCACGACGCGGGCGGCGACTCGCTAGGCATCGCGAGCATGGTGCGGTGGACGCTCCAAGAGTACGACGTGGACCCGGACCGCGTCTTCGTCACGGGCGTCTCGTCGGGCGGCATGATGACCAACGTGCTGCTCGGGTCGTACCCGGACCTGTTCGCCGCGGGGTCCTCGTTCGCGGGTGTGCCCGCCGGCTGCTACGCCGCGGACGGCTTCGGGGTGTGGAACGCCGACTGCGCCGAGGGCCGCGTGACCCACTCGTCCGCCGAGTGGCTCGCCCTCTCAAGGCCATGTACCCGGGCTACAAGGGCGTGCGCCCCAAGGTGCAGGTCTTCCACGGCGACTCGGACGAGGTCATCCACCCCGTCAATTTCGCGGAGCAGATCAAGCTGTGGTCCGCCGTCCTGGGCACGGGCGCCGAGCCCACCGAGACCGTGGCCGATACCCCGCAGGCGGGTTGGACCAAGACGGTGTACGGCGACAAGGGCCTCCTCGAGGGTTCCTCGCCGCCGGGGTCACGCACGACATCCCTGATCAGGTGGGTGAGGTCATGCGCTTCTTCCAGCTCGACTGCGCGGGCAGCGATTGCTTCTCGAGGAAGACGCTCGAAAAGCTCGAGTCGGGCCCGTCTTGCAAGAAGAGGAAGGCTAGGAAGGCGTAAATGGGCGAGAGAGAGAGAGAGAGAGAGAGAGAGAGAGAGAGAGAGAGAAGATGAGAGGGCTAGAGGGAGGGAGTATGGTACTGGGAAGAAACAAATTGGGGTGGGATATCGGCCACGGAAGTTAAAAGGACAATTCGTACTATGGAAGTTGAGGTAGTTTGCCTTCTTTCTTGTTCTTGGCCTTTTTCGAATTCTTCAAATGTATATATATTTGCGCTTTCAAGTGTGTACCAGACCATCTTGTGAGAATATACAAAACTCCTTTTTCTCAATCGTTAGCACGACTATCAGTCGATCCAAGGTCTTCCGAGGACCGGTTGATCATTCTCGTTTAGATTCTTCCTTGCTTCCCGTTCGAAATGAGATTGGGTATCCAGCTGTCCCATATCATTTCTCTAAATATACATATTTTGCCCTTTCCTGGATTCTCTTACATACCATATCACCTGCCAAGATGAACCGAGAACCGATGTCTGATACCCAAACCCAGGAGAAAGGAAAATCTAGCCCAAAACCGAGGCTGGTGAAGGGTAATGCACAAAAGCGTTCCTTGCCTTCCCTTCCCTTTAAAATATCTCTCCCCATGCCTCTTCTCCTAACAAGTCCTCACACAAACGTCCTACACGCTACCTTCCTTCTTCGTTTCCCACGTCTCATCCATGGGCAGATCCGGGTCGATGGCAGTCCCCAAGTCCCTATCCTCGAGGAACCGCCTACCGACGAGGTCGTTGGGCAGGTACTGCTGGCTGACCTTGCCGTCCCTGTAGTTGGGGGTACTTGTACTCGCCGCCGTAGCCGAGGTCCTGCATCAGGCGGGTGGGGGCGTTGCGCAGGTGGAGGGGCACGGGGAGGGCGGCGACGCCGGGCTCGCGCAGGGCGGAGAGGGCGTTGTTGAAGCCGCGGTAGGCGCGGGTCGATTTGGGCGCGAGGCAGAGGGCGACGGTGCAGTGGGCGAGGGGATACGGGCCTCGGGCATGCCAATCTGCTGGGTGGCGGTGTAGGTGGCGGTCGCGAGGGAGAGCATGGCGTTGTCGGCGAGGCCGACGTCCTCGGAGGCGACGACGACGAGGCGGCGGGCGACGAAGAGGGTCCTCGCCCGACTGCAGCATGCGGGCGAGGTAGTAGAGGGCGGCGTCGGGGTCGTTGCCGCGGATGGATTTGTGAAAGGCGGAGATGGTGTCGTAGTGCTGGTCGCCGGCGCGGTCGTAGACGAGCGTCTTGGTCAGCGAGGCCTTGATGCTCTCCTTGGTGACGCCGCCGCCGCCGCCGCCGCCGGGCTGCCGGGCCAGGGAGAGGGCCATCTCGAGCAGGTTGAGGGCGGTGCGGGCGTCGCCGTCGCTAAAGGCCGCCAGGTAATTGAGCATCTCGTCATCGAGCAGCGCGGACACGGGCGGGCGGGCGTCGTGCTCGGCCTCGGCGGCGAGGGCGCGCTTGAGGATGGCATGGACGTGGGCGACCGTCAGCTTCTCGAGGGTAAACGTGCGGCAGCGGGACAGCAGGGCGGCCTGGACGCGAAAGGAAGGGTTCTCGGTGGTGGCGCCGATGAGGGTGACGGTGCCGGCCTCGACGGGCTTGAGAAAAACGTCTTGCTGGGCCTTGGTGAAGCGGTGGATCTCGTCGCAGAAGATAATGGTCTTGCGGCCCGTCAGCGCCGCCTCGTTTTGCGCGTCCTGGAACATCTTCTTGACCTCGGCCACGCCCGTGCTCGTGGCGTTGGTCTCGACGAAGCGCGACCCCACCATGCGGGCGATGCACCGCGCAATCGTCGTCTTGCCCGTCCCCGACGCGCCCCACAGGATCATGGACGGCAGCTGGTCCGTCTCGATGAGCGACCGCAGCACGCCCCCGGCCCCACCAGATCCTGCCCAAACACGTCGTCCAGCGTGTCGGGCCGCATGCGCTCCGCCAGCGGCGCCGACCGGTGCGTCTTGCTCTTCTTAGCCGCCGTCGGCGTGTGCTGGTGCGCTGTCGGCGAGAGCGCCAGGTTCCCCACGCGGCTCTGCGTCTCGGCGAGCGGCGAGCTGTCGCCCCCGGCCCGTCGTCAAACGTGCGCTTCTGGCCCGCCAGCGGCGCCGGGCTCCCGGGCCGAGGTCGTCGTGGACGAGGACGTGGCCGTGCGCTTCGCCGCCGGGGTCTGGAAGAAGGCGGCGGCGGCGGCGGGCCGCTTTTGCTGAGAGCCCGACGGAGGGAATGCCGGGCCCCGCTGGGCCGGGCGCTGCCGCTGCCGTTTAGGAAGGCATTCGCGCCGTTTTGTGAGGAGGAGGAGGAGGGTTGGCTGGGGTTGGGGGTGGGGGCGTTGGGGTCGTGTATGAATTTCTCGCACTGGGAGTCGAGGTGCTTGTTGATATCGGAGTCTTTAACGGGCTTGTTGCAAGCCGGGCAGTCGATAATCATCTTGCTCTCTTTTTCTCCGTGCTCTTTCTATGCTCGTGTTCCCCTTCTCTTTCACACGCATGCACACGCACACACACTGCCTCTCTCTTCCTAGCCCGTCTTTTCCCGCCCAATCCGTTCTCTTCCACCTCTGATTCCCTTTTCCGTTTCTTCTTCTTCCCCCTTTTTCAGGTGGCTTTCTCTCGGATCGCTAGGTAGATTATCGGTATTACGCACGCTGCATCGACTGGTCTCGTCTTGAAGGTATCGGTCGTCGTGGCGAATTCAGGTGGGAGAAGAGGATTAGGAATGTGGGGAAGGCGAGAGCTAAAGGCGAACAAGAGAGGGTGGCCTTGGTGATGCTTTGGATTTCTTTCCGCTTCTACATTCCGTTCCAGCTCGACGCGCGGGTTGGATTTTTTTGGACAGGGGGTTTTTTGCGTGTGGGCGTGGACGTGTGGTAAATGGCACAGCGCAAATGGAGTGACGCGTGCCGCCAAAAGCCTGGCGCGGACTCAATTCGCCTGCGACGTGCACGCCAAAGAGCTGGCCATTGAGCTCAGGTAAATGTGGGGTGAGCCAATTGGTGGCGGCTGCACTTGTCTTTGGTTTCCAGTGGCTTGGGACGTGGAGAGATGACGGGTCTGTCACTCCATTCATCCAATCCATTCCATTCCAGGTCTGAGAGATGACGCACGTTCATTGGCGTGGAATCGAAGCTTTGCAGGCCTACGAGGATTCTTCGTCCCTTGGGCTTGATACCAGTTTTGTGATGGCATTCTCACATACTCGCTCGGACACTGGACCGAACTGGCCATTCAAGACCTCGACGGTCACTCTCACAACATTGAAGTCGGCAGTTGTGTGTGGCGTATACTCTTGATCCAACTCTCGACATTCAGTCGGGGTGTCTGATCGTCTTCAGAAGATCCGTCAAGCTATAAACTGAGAGTTTTGGCATCCACAGTTCCAACGCATGCTAGCTGTTTGTTTGACAGCAGCATGGAAGAACGTAGAGACTCCTTGTATAGGTATATGGGAAACAAGACTGAAAGAGTGATGGCAGAAACAAACGATGCGTACATCCATCTATTGTAACAAAAATCTCGCCATGCAGATCGGCGAACACCGTGCCCCTGGGCTGAAGCTTCCACTGATACAGAATAGTCCATCCTTTCACTGGTCCCACGCCAGTGTCGTCATTGACCCGTCGACGTCCACGGCATATGCGTGCCTGTCCCTCTCGAGGTTTCTAGAATCCTCGCCGGCCAAACATGTTCAACGCGGTGTACCTAGCAATTCCTCAATCACGCGAAGAACACAGCATTCAAAAACGATTTGGCATAGGGTGAGGTTACCAGTTCCTCTTCACAAGATAAAGGCCGTCTTCAGAACCCTTGATTTTCCTGGCTATTTGCTCCTCGGCAGACATCAACCACGCCAAAGTCGACAAAACTGTATATATGTATAGAGTGAAAAGAGTTGGTCAATTGATTGATGAATGATGTAGTATCTCATCTACACCCGCCCGTTTCGGGCACCCTCTAAACCTGAACGCCTCATGATGCGAGTTCCCACCCAATCCCCTAAGCTGTGGATATAATATATATACAAGGTGACGAAAAAAAAAAGAAGCTCCCAAAAACGAAGGATGCTACAGACAAATCCCCTAGGTTAAAATGTGCGTGGGCGTGGATTCTGGCGTAGGTTTGCTAGCGGTGGTCGTGGGGGCAGAAACCGGACGTCATGTGTTCGAGTGTGTCGTCAGGCCAGGAACCACCATGTACTGTTCGTTGCGCTCGGTTTCCGATGGTCGGCAGACACAAATCAGCCCCTCCACCCGCCGATTCAAACACCAACGGCAGCCTCAGCGAGCTGCGACCGCCTCACCAAGCCCTCATAGAATTTGAAAAAATACATGGAGGAGATTATGTCGACCTTGCGAATTGTAGATTAACGGCTGGGTGCCTTTATACCATAAAGGATTCGCCACATCCGCAGGATTGCTCTGCGCATTCATCCATAATTAGTAAATGGCTTCCACAAGCCCAAAGCAGTCGCAAGAAGAGAAAGGAGGTTAGAAAAAAAACTCACTGATGTTGGGATTCCGAAAGACAAACTTCTTGCTCAGCATGTCCTCTTGCCAATGCATCTCGCTCCCGATGACGCTCATCAGCGCCCGGTTATCAATCACGAGCTTGACCCCATCCTGCTCCACCACCTCGTCCAGCAGGCTGGGCTTATCCACGTACTCGAGGTCGTACGCCAGCCCGCTGCACCCCTTTTGCTTCACGCCCACCTTGATCAGCTTCGGCTCCGGTAGGTCCAGCAGCCGGCGGAGCTCCCGCACCGCGTCCGCCGAGATCGTCATGGCCGCCTTGCGGGCCGCAGCGCCCTAAAGGACCGCCGGGGCTTCTGCTGCGTCTTTCCTTCTGTCGCCGCCTCTGTCTTGTGCGTCGTCGAGGTCGTCGTTTGCGAGGAAGGGGCGGATGAGGAGGAGGGGAAGTGGTGGTGGTGGTGGTTTCTACGACGGGTGTCGGTGTGGGCGCCGAGGCGTTGTGCGACGCCGCAGCCTCGCGTTCCTGCGCAGACGACGAAAGCGGTGCGGGCTGTCTGAGGGGTACGATTGGAGGGGTGCCTTGGGAGGGGCGGTAGCCTCGGCGGCGCTGCTGTACCAGGCGGCGGGGATGTCGTATGCCGCTTGGGAGGGCGTCGTCGCCCTCGACTCTACGAGGAATCGTCGACTCGCTTGCGTCGCCGGCAGCCGTAGCAGGATCCGGGTAGACTGCACCGCCGTCCGCGTAACCGTCTGTCGGGCGAGCATGGCTGTGCGGTAGATTCAAGTTGGGGCGTTGAAAAGAGACCTGGTTGAGGATGCCTCGCTTGGAGAAAAGCGTCTGCTAGGTTTACGGTTTGTATGTAGGATATTGATGGTAGGGACGTCCTGGTCGGGAGAATATTTGGCGCGTTGCGTTCCAAACAGATCCGGGGAGCTTTGAAGAAAAAGAAGAGACAAAGGCGGTTGCTATCGGTGCATGACAGGCTTTGTCTCCGCGGGGGTAACCTTGGGGCGTGTGAAAATGGCCAATGTCGAAAAAATTGATTCGTTGTAGTCGGCTTCGCTTCCTTAAAAGAAACTCTCTGCGTTGCGGAAATCGTCGAGTTTGCCTTGGTGGAGGATGGGTAGTGTGAAAAAGAAGGGGAGAGAAGAAGAAGTAGGAATTGATGGTTTGATTTGTCAAAGGGAAAAATAGGTTGGGGTGTGATGATAATAGGCCAAGGAAACCGGAGATGCTCGTTTTTGGGGCCGACCCTAGTATTTCCCTTGCGTCCGGTGCACTGCAGTCTCTGGCTGTTTGGTTGGGGGTGACAGGAACAGCAGCCGCAAAAACATTCGAGCACACAGAATCGTACCAGACAACGTCGCTCGGAGCCGAGCTCTATTTGATTCTATTGGGGAGGGGGGAAGCAGCAACCCAGGCATTGGCAGGTAATATGACAGTGTCACTGCGCTATGGATACGGTACGAATGGTCAGTTCGAATTTGGTCTGAACTGGCCAATCATAGACTTTCAATTTGTCAAGTTTAGCCCTGCTCGCCGCCAATGTCCTTGCGGGTATTACTTGTACACTATTCTTCCTCGGACAAAGAGGCGGGTCCTCATTGCCACCTTGATGACTCCGAGAAAACACACCTTCAGTCATCAAAGGAAAGGCTCTCGGGCAGGGGGAGCCGTTAGGCAAGAAGAAGAGAAGACGAGGCCAGAGCCAGGTACCGCAGCCTAGCTCCCCTTATTCCATCTGAGGAACAATCCCGATTCAAGCTTAATCGACCCCTGGTCTCTCAGGCTAGTGAAGCTCCATTGATGTTTGCCACCAAAGCCTTCAGCTTGCTGGTAGGAGAATTGGTGACGTAGGACCCCTCATCCGTACTGGTGAGGAGGCCAGGCTGAGGTGTGGTTTTTGTTGTGCTCATAGGAGAGCTCCCCAACCTAGATATAGAGAAGAGCAAATTTTGGTTTCTTACACGCTTTCTTCACAATAAGCCCCGCCTTGGTTCTGCCATTCGAACTATCAAATTAAAATAGTATCTCTCTCTTTTTTACAGTAAAAAGAGACGCTAAAGTATGCGTACTGGTGCTATTTGTAACTGCTATTACCTCGATATATATATATATATATAGATATGTTGATCTCGTGTCATTCAACTTACCCCCTTCCTGATGGGTATACAAAGCTGTGCTCTCTCCCCCACTCCCCACTCCTTCGCTCGTGCTCGCTCCCCAGGCCTCTCTCTCCTCACGAACCCCCAAGATACGTCCTCACATCCCCCACCGCCTCCCTCGCCATCTTCTTGAGCAGCGTCCTCTCGTCCGCCTCCCTAAACTTGTCCCACGTATCCAGGCCCTCCGTCGCCTGTATGCTCAGCGTCTCGTACCCTTGCTTAATCACCTCGGCCACCTGTAGGCTCGTCAGCTGACCGCCCTTGCTCCGCTTGCCGCCCCCTTCCGCCAGCATCTGCTTGTAGTGCGTGCTGACGCTGATGAGCGTGTCAATCGAGTTGCTGTTTCTGCTTCCCAGCCCAAAGTTGGTCTTGAACTTGGTCAGTACCTCCCCGTCTCCACCACCTTGTAGAACAGGTCGTCGTACGCCGCCGGCGTTGGTAGGAACGACTCGCCCGCCGATAGCGCCAGCGCCAAAACGTTGACCACATGGTCTAGAAGCGTCCCCACGTTGGGCAGGTCCTTGACATCCGCCGTGTACGTCGTCAGGAACCGGATGAGTGAGAGCAGCGACCGAAACAGCTCCCCCAATGGTATACCAGCCGCGTCTTGGTCCGCGACATGTACGATATCGCGCGCAGCGTGATGCCCATGCAGAGCGTGTAGAGCCCCACGTCCAAACGCCGCCGCAGGTTGTGGTTGATGCCGTCAATCATCACGTCGAGGAGCGCTGCCACGAGGGCCCGTTCGCCCTTGACCACCGGTAGGTAGGGTTGGCGTTGGCGGCATAGTCGCACCGTCGTCTTGCTCTGGTCGCTGCATAGGCGCTTGCAGATGGCGGCGTCTTCGACCAGGAGTCGGAACACCATGAGGTTGAGGTGCGAGTAATGCGTCGTCCGTGATGAGAGGTAGGCATGGTGGAGGAGGTACGAAGTGAGGGAGAGATAGCTGGCAAATGGCTGTTCGCTCTCCTTTTCCGCGGGGAGTGTTACAAGATTCATGCAAAACAGCTTGTTCGCGTGCGTAAAGTCATACGTGGCAAGCAGAGTCGCAGCCTCCGCACCGGGCCTATATTACGAGCAGGTTAGTCCCCTTGCCCTGCAAGTTGGGTAAAGAAAGGTGAGAGGAAGAAAGATCACAGGCGCGCAACCAACCCTCCCTTGGTACTTACAGATCCGTGAACATCTTCTTCATTGTTTCGGCATCAAACACTGCCTTCTTCTTTTCCACCTTCTTCCCCGGTGCGATGGCCCCCAACCCAATCATGTTGAGGGTGCTGCTCAGGGTCCACGCCTCGGGCAAGTCGTCCTGCACCTCGATATACTGGGCTCTTAGCCCTTGGCAAGTCGTCCCCATGCTATGAATAATCTTCTGTATTGTCGCCTCGTTGACAAAGTCACTCAAGCGCAGCTGGTAGGGATTCTGAAACTCAAATTTGTTGTAGTTGGAGAGGAGACTGAGGAGGAGGAAAGGCTGGATGATGGATTGAGGGGATTCGCAATCGCTGACGAACTGGCCGAGATAATCTCGTTAGCATTGAGGTGGCCTTGGAAAACCCCATTGGCATCGCCATCGATCACTCATACCTTCATTATGGAGGGAAAGAGGTCTCGTTGGATAAGATATGTCAAGAGCGAGGTTTGATGCGCACCAGCCGTGAAGGCCAGCAGGACCTCGACGGCCTTTTGCCTCAACTCAACTGCATTTCCCACCCTCTTGTCAGTACGCGCTCATCGGAAAGAGCTAACCAACGACAATGCACATACAAGGCTTCTTCTTCGAGCGTATGATGCCATCCAAAACCCCGACGAACTCGGTCAGGACGGAATCGACGCTATCGATGCCCGCGAGCAGCGTGATGATATCGGAGCTCGGATGCGCATACTTTTTCGAGAGGACACACGAGAAGAAAAGGGCGAGCGTCTAGATTTGTACCAATAGTTAGAGATCGCTTCTCTTGGAAGAACGCGGGGTGCACCACCGCGGGCCTAAAGCCAAGACAGAAGAGGGAAAGGGAGAAACAAACGTCGAGAGAGTGTATATCCGCATCATTCTTGCCCGTCTTCGCCGCGGCCATGGCCTCGGAAAAGAGCGACCGCGTCTGCCCCTCCAGATGGAGGAGGTCGCCCGGCTTCACCCCATCGAGAATGCGCTTGAGCGCCGGCCTGTCCGGTCGCAAGAGGAAGAATTCACGCCAGAAGCCTTCCGACTTTTCGTAATCGTCATCGTCCTAATTCCGGGGTAAGAAAACAGTCCGTGGTGTCAGCGATTTGTGTATAATGAGGAAAAAAAGGGCCCGTTGCTTCGACTTCGGTGGTGTAGCGTGGCCGCGACAGAGAAAGAGGGCGAGGGGGGTTGAGTTGGCCCTTGATCGCCTCGACTTTAATCGTGAAGCGCGGGGTTTTCGCAAGCGTCTAGACATACCTATGCACGAGGCGAGTAAAAGTTAGCAGCGCATTCCCTTTGTGTTGGTACAGCTGCCCTGTTGACCACCGACAAGTGTGATGACTCTCCGGTCTAGTCGAGAGACTCCGAAGCTCCCATCGACGTGGGCATCCGTACGTGGGGTAAAATGTAAGGGAAAAGGGTACGATATCAAGACCAAGCATACCTTGAACAGAGATTCGTAGAGCTGCACAACCTTGGGCTGGAACACCTCGGGCGGGAGCTGCCTCGTCAGAGGAGACGGCTCCATCGTAGCTCTTTTCCAGCTCTCTCTCGCGGGCGGTTGGTGACCAAGAGCAAGACTAGACCCTCGGAAAACAAACCACTGTCGCGATTGTTTTCTCTTTTTTTCCCACCCGGTATATTAGAGGGTGTGCTCTCTCCTTCCTCCCTTTTCCCGCCCTTGTTTTCTCTTGCTTCCTTCTCTTCCCGTCTCGACGGCACGCGCGCTTCCTGTCGGTTAGGAAAGGGGGAAGGGGGAGGGAAAAAGAGGACGATTGCTCTAGCGGTTTTCCGTCTGCCGAGGTGGTGCTGGTTCAGGGAAGTTGCGAATTTCTGTGCTCAGCCTCGTCCTCCCATATCTTTTTTTTTTTCCTTTCTTTCGCCAAGGGGCTTGAGCTTGCGCTATCGCAGACCACGATTCGACCCCATCATTTCCTAAAGGGGGCGGCGTTCTTTCCAACGGCGGGGCGGGTTCCCCTTGCACTTTACGTCACAGTGTGAGTTTGTCCCTTCTCGAACTCATCACTTCCTTCAACGCTTGAGAGGCTCTTACCTCCGCCATGCAGGTAGCACACGACAATGTCAATATATCAATCAAGGGCAATAATTATAGCTCTTGTTCAAAATATCGGGTAACGCTGGCCAAGAGGTTGAATAATGCCGATATTAAGACTTGGGTCGCCGTGCAATATCAGGTAACCAGGAAATCAGAGATTAAACTAGATAAATTGGTGGGAAAGCTCCCAGTGAAGGCGCCATTGGAGCTGTAATCTTTATTCCCCTCGAAACAATTCCCTTCTCTCAAAGTGAAACCAAGCCTTTGTGGAGGGGGTTCTCGGGGCTTTACGATCTCAACGTATTATCACGGGATATGGTCTCGAGGCTGGAGAGACTATTTTGAAGCGAAGGGTAAAGGACCAGGTTCAACACCAGGACAAACAAACTTCCGCCCCCTTGCGATCTGCGGCTGATCTCTCTTCCCAAAGTCCCGAGACTTGTGTCCAGCCCAGGGCCAACTTTTGATGCTCAGCACCAATTTTTGGTTAGCGTCCCTGGGCCGGCCTCCCCTGTCACTCAGGGGTTTCTCATTCAATTTTGGGATGACAGTTGACAGGACTCGGCGATTGCCGAGAAACATCAACTGGGGTTTATTTCTCCCCATCAAGAACCGAAACAAAAAGATAACGCACGTTCACAAACACTGCACAAAGAATTTGAAGCTCAGAGTAATCTCAACTGGGGCCAAATTGTATCTTGAATCTATAAAGAGAAAGACGAGGAAAAGAGATTGCAACCGATTCCAATAGAACGGTGCTAGCGCTGGCGCTGGCTATACTATAAAATGATAAGTGCGGTAAGTAAAGGAGGAGCTGTCGTATATGCCAAATGGAAGCAAGCCCCTTGGGAGGAAAAATCCGCGACAGAGAGAACAAGAGATCAAGGCTACAGAAAAAAGAACGCCAATCTACCAAAGATCCTTCGTGTCCAGGTTTGCAAAGCGCACGGCCATGCCACAATAAGTGAAGAGGAAAGACGCAAGCAAAACGGAGTCCCAGCCGGATGGAAGCGAAGCCCATCATAGCGGAAACCGGAACATAACCTGTTGGGAAAGATGTCGCACGCTTCAGACCAAACGAAGCAAGTAATAACCAAGAAAATCCATCTAAGCCAGGGCGCCCAATTATCCAAGTCGAGTTGTAAGGAAAAAGAGCCGAGCAAACGCTATGAGATTTGAAATAACAAGACGAGATTGAAGACCCCGGCGCATGGGGAAGAAAAAGGAAAAGGAAAAAGCGGTAAAAGAAGTGGTGCCATGTCGGAAGAGCCATTGCGTTCGGATAGAGGGGACGCGCAGGCTGACTGACAAAAGGTCAAACCTCGCATGTGAGTCGGGTAAAACACCTATGACGCCCCGGTAGGGGAATTCGGCACGGAAAAAGGAAGGCCTTGATCACGGGCCAAGGGAAAAGTAGTGCATTGTCCTCCGGTTCTTAACAAGACGTCTGGATCGGGAGGCGCGGATGAGTGACGAAGACAAGCTCCGAGAAAAAGAAATATGCCCGGGGTACCGAAACCATTGCTGGAATCTCTCAACAAGCAAGGGGTGGTGGTGTACATTCGCCAACCACTCAGCGGGCTTAAGCCATCAAGCTACCCTCCGGCCGGGGCCGGCCCCGAACGCCGGGCGAGAGTTCGTCGAGGTCATCCTGAGCTCTCGCCCAGTTGTGCACGTAAGCCTTGAGGGCCCTCCACCGAGCGCACCTTCCGGGCTCCGGTAGCTTCTCAACCTCGTCGTCCCAGATGAGGCCTTTGGCGAGAATGGCAGCGTCATCGCGACGCATGTCGTCCAGGCCCAGTCCCAGTCCTGTTGTGCCGCTGAGCTCCTCGTCAAACGCCCTTGCTGAGGCGGGATAGCTGAGGAGAGGTAGTTGTAGACCTGCGTGATAAAGTGGTCATCAAACTCAGTAGCGATGCGTCGCTCCTTCTCCTCCACCGACATCCTGCGTCCCACCCGTGACCAATCTACCGATGTTACTGGAGAGGGAGAACGGCAGATGGAGGCGCTTCCGAGGCTTTGAAAGGGGCTGAGTCCCCGGGTCTGGCTCATGGTCGGGGCCCGGCTGGATGCACGGGAAGAGGCCCGGGTGGCGCAGTTGCCCCACAAACCCGCTGTAACTGGGGTAGCGGGGGAGAGAGCACGGCACGCTGCTCAGGCTCGGCAGCTCGACGCTCTCTCTGGACAATAGACAGGTAAGAGCATGAGTCGGTGACGGACTCAAGGGCGAGGGCATGAGGCTGCGACTCGAGAACCGAGGCGCACGTGATGCTCATGGCACCTTCGACCGCTGCTCTCTGCTGCTCTTCAGCCGAGTTGTAGCAATATCCGCCCCAAAGGCCCGACTTCTGTGTCAGGTCTCGGCGGCCCTCCTCAAAGGCGCGGAGTGTATAGGGAAGGTCAGTCGAGAGCCTGCAGGGTTCGGGCGAGTGGCACCGAGGAAAGACAATGTTGTCTCCTAGCAACGGCGGCGAAGCAGCCCTTCGCATAATCTCAAACTCCATATCGACACTCTCATCTTCCTGGGGTTCGGCGCAGATGGCGCGGGCAATCCCTCCTTGTTCCTTGTGGAGCTTGCGGGGCTTGGGGGCAACAATCTGAATGTCGGCGTGCGGCTTGTCCTCGGTAGGGACAGGCACAGACGCGGGCGCGCACTGAAGCTCTTCCTTGGCGGGGACGGCGGTGGCGGCGGGGCGTCTTCGACATGGACCTTTTCCCTATACCAGTCGATGCTCTCGGGCTCAGACTCGACATCCCTGACGTCCGAGACCTCGGAATCGATCGGTTCATGGTGTTGAACTTGCCAAGCTCTCACTTTTGCTCGGCATGCTCCTGCATAACCTTGTGCCACCAGCCGAGGTCAGTGGACCTCCGCCTCAAGCCCGCACCCCTACCGCGCACACGGCGGCGGGTATAGCTGGGCTGAGCCGAAAACCGAGACTCTGAGGCTGTTGTCTCGCTGTCGCTCTCGCGAGAGTAGAAGTGGTTTGCGGCACCCTCACGGGCTCGGTTGCTGGGAAACGCGGCCAGGGCTGCTTCATGGAGCTGACGCTCGGCTCGGCGGGCGGCGAGTTCGAGGAGGAAATCGTCTTCGGATTCGTGCTCATGGTCGTCGGCGGCGAGCGGAGGGGCGGCGGTAGGCACTGTTTCCTCCGGCGGGCCGGCGCTTAGTCTTGGTACCCGACTGCTTGGGCCGGGCGTAGGGGTATCGTCGGCTCGGTCGGTGAGCCGGGGCAGACCCACGTCACCATCCCGGCGGCCTCGTCGCATGGTGTCGAGGGGTTGGGGAGCGTAACGCCTCAGTGGACGGAGGGAGCTGGATTCCAGGGTGTCGGGGAACCGGAGCGGGGAGAGGCGTCGGGGGTGAGTTCCGGCATCGGGAGGAAAGAAGACTTAGAAGTGGTCTTGGCGGCCATGTTGGCGGAAAGGTGGGCGAGGGGGAAAGGTGGAAATAGCGGTTTTGCGAGAACCAGATCGGGAGGTGTCGTTTACGTCGAGATTCGGGGACGAGAGGAACGTGGACTCCATCTAAATCGGGAGAGATTAAAGCGTCCTTGATTAGAGGCGCCGAAGGGCATGGACAATTCTCGCGAGGACCGAGAACCGTTTGAAGCCATAGAACTGCACTTCTGGCAAGCTGGGAATGGGTATAGTCGTGGCGAGGCTAGAGCAGGCAGTGCGGCTGTCGCCTGTTTGCAGCAGGAGGAGGACGGAGTCGTCTTATATTGATGAGCGAGTAGATATGGAGAGTATTCCGCCTCCACGATATCTGGGGTAAGCATGGAACACAAAGAGTTGATCGTGTATAAGATGGTGGTTGCGGAGCAAAGTGGTGATTGCTACTGCTGAAAGAAAGGCTAGTGGTCTGAAAACAGGAGGGGAGGGAAGAAGGATGGAGGATCTTGAAGTTGAGGAGGCGCTTGAAGGATAATATTGGGCAAGCTGGGAAGGTACAAGACGCGGAATGGAGAGACGGCAGCCAAGCGGTGGTCAAGTGCAGAAAGGCGAAGCAATTCAAATCAAAGCGAAGCAAAGTAAACGCAGGGCCCGTCAATTCTAATGGACAGGGAACAAGTATTATCGACCTGCCTAAAAGTCCAAGACCGAACCCAAAAACGACACCAAGACCCAAGAACCCTCCTCTCTCCGCTCCACTCGATTCCAGTACAAAGTACGTGGATCCAGAACAGGCATTTACGAGCGTATTGCAGAAATATCAAAAGGGGCGGCCGTTCGGCTGAGGGTATTACCACAAGCGCACGTACCGGTCTGACAGTGGAGCAGGAGCGATGCCAAGTAGTTCTAGTGTAGTGGATGCGTCGACGGTGTATGACGAAGGTGCGACCGAATTCTCGCCCGGGTACCCGAACACTACATTCCCAGTTTTTTTCTTTCTTTTCTGCTTCTTCAGGAAGTCGCTTCTTCTTTCGGCCTTGGGCGTAGCCTATTGGTTACCTTGGTAGAGGGGAAATGGCTGAAGCCGTGGTACCTGTACCTATACAGTGCGCTGGAAAAAGCACAGCCTCCAGCCAACGCAAGCCGTGCAGACGTCAGCCGAACAGGTCAGCCCGAAGATAACAATGACTTGTGGACATTGCCGGACCCAGGTCAGGACAGGGCCAGCCCCCGTCGCCGGGCAGCTGGGCCAAACAGGAGCCCTGTCAGCAGTGTCAGCAGCTCTCAGGCACAGGCTCTGGACAATATTAACTTGGAGTGGGTTGGGCGTATCTGCGCTGAATGTGGTAACCAATACGATACTGGAGATTGAAATCAGGAGCAAAGACACGGGCTCCCTCCTGATCGCACTGTGACGGTACTTGTACCTCTGAGCCGACCATTCCCCGTTTTTCGTCCTTTTGGTTTTCCTTGGCCATTCCAGACTTTCCACGCACCTTCTCTTCTGGATCCCAACCGGAAAACCAAACCCTGGCCGCTGAAGTCTGTGTGGTCAAATGGATGTAGTCATGTCTCGATCTGTCGAATGTCTCCCAACGTGTTTGGCCAGAGAGGTGGCACAATCGTCTGCCCACTGCCAGCACCTCCTCGCCCGAGAAGAAAGTTCTCGCGCTTGAGGATGTTGTCGCCCTCTTTTGTTTGTCCTTTTCGTCCCCTCTTGTCACAGATTGCTGGTGGGCTTCATTCCTCTCAAAGAAAGAGTACGTGCACTTTGTTGCACCATTGTACGGAATGCCGATGAATCCGCCAACTATTACGAAGCCATCGTTGGGACTAGACCGACTCGAGACCAAGTCGAGACTAGGCAAAGTCAGAAGAGGCCCGCTCCAACACTTGTCGGGAAGGGGCTAATTATGCAGTCGTATCGACGGAAGGATGCGGCGAATATCGGGATGGGCGATTGCAGGGGTTGCGTCGGTTGCTGCATCGAAGAGTCGGCCCCAGCCACTCTCCCTGCCCAACCAGCCCAGACTCGATTCCGGCTGCCCAATCCAGTCGCCGGAAAGCTCGAAAAGCGTCGACCCCGGTTGGCCTTGGAAGGCCCATCGCCCATTCGTCGCCTTTTCCCAACCGTGAGACGGCCTAGAACTGCAGAATGACGAAAGGCGAGGGTTTGGGAGGATTCGGAGAAGGAGATCATGACTACGACGATGTGGCAACAGAAACAGAGTTGGGGTTGGGCTAACACTAGAGTTGCTCCATCTAGATCTTCTGTACGATTGAAGCCGGGAAAAATGGGGTGGTCCCAAAATAAAAAGGAAGAAAAAGGGGTCGAAAAAGTCTTAAAAAGGCCCGCAAAACACGGCACCTTGACATTGGCTGTGATGTCAGGAGACGGTGATGTCGGCTTCGTCTTCCGGTCAGCAAGCAAAAATCCCGCTTCATGTTGATTCCAGCATATGAAATTCACCAGTCTCGGACGGGACCACCCGCGTTCTCTTGCCGTTTGCATTAACACCTCTCTCGTTTTTACATGTCCATCCCGGGCGGCTCTTCCTCAATTCTCTTCTGCTTCTCTCTTCTTTTTTTGTCCTCAAAGATTCTTTTTCCGGTCGGGAGGTATCATTGGGCTTCATTTACAGAAGGGGATCAAGGGTGCCGCTGCGCTGACCATCTGTTTCGAACCCGCTTGTATCAATGTGTCTTGCCACGTCGATCTGGCCTCACTGCTCTGGCCATTTCTCTACGGAATGGCACAAAGGATCCCATTCGCAAAGAGGTAGCAGCAGCATTTGATCCTCGGTTGGGCTGCAATGAAGCTCCCAGTGGACCCACCTTTGGTGCTTGAGACAAGGGGACCAGGTCGAAAAATGCCCTCCATTGTTGACGGTCGAGAGCAGTATCTCGACTTCCCGAACCGAACCGGATCTGGACGGAACCGACGAGTGGGCAACCGAGCAAATAATCGATGCAGAAACGAGAACAGAAGAGAAAATGAAATTACGACTTCATGATGTGGCATTTCCAAGTCATATCACACACGGCGTACTACTGATACGTATCGCGTCAATTTACCTTTTTCGTAGCTTGATCGTGTCCTGAATGACACTGTGATTCGCGCCATTTATTCGTTTAGGTCCTTACTCGCGAAGCCATTAAACTCAGGTCCGGGCCCAATATCGCTCAAGAGGCTTTTGCCAGAGGCCAACTCAGAAGCCACCGTGATGGGCCAAAGACGAAAATACCGCGCGGATGATCCCATGGTATACCGCCCACCCGCTCCCTTGGTTTGTAGCGTCTCCAGCATGGCACATGGAAACCAGAAGTGACTAGTGTAAAAGCAACTTCACTTGTTTGAGAGTGGAAAAAGAAAAAAAGAAAGGGCTGTAGGTAGGTAGAGGCGCTGAATATGCGAGTCAGCCCCGGGTCGAACTTGGACACCACAAGCTTCGCTTGTTCTCCCTCGCATGGGAGGTGCATTCAAGCAAGCAAACCCTCGGAATATGGACACCTAGGGATTGGCCCACGAGTATCATATGGCTCTCCCTTTAGCCCGGTTTGTTTTCTAGTCGCGTCATCTCCGCGATGCACCTCCCCAGCCGAAAGAGAGAAGAAGCAAATTTAGAACCTGGGGACTGTGGAAACAAGAAAACCATGACCATCCATCTTATCCCTCATACCTCATGTCGTCGACCCCAGGTGCCGATCCAAGTGCCCGCGCACCATGTCACCCTCAAACGTTGCTTTATACTTCCTCCGTCCCTCCTTCTCGCATAAGCGCGTGTGAGGATGAGGGGAAGCAGGGAGGATTGGGCTGCCGCTTGGTGTTGCCTCTAGCTAGTGTCATGTATGGCGATAAGAGGGTGGTTAGGCTGGGGCAAGGCGATGCTTTGCCAAGATCTGTATCTGTATCTTGATCATGCTTCACAGTCCCCCGAGGCATGTGAAAGTTTGAAGCACCCGCAGCGCGCACCTCCATCATACCCGATCCTCCCCGCCCCGGGCATCTGCTCCTACATTTTGTACATGACAGGTCGAATCTTGAGTGCGGTCGTGTTGATATCTCATTACCTGCGATGTTTGGCATCTTGCCGTATGTTTTGGCATCTTGTTTTTCTTAGCCTTGCCTAGCCCTTGGAAGTTCCAGGATCAAACTACCGTATCAGGCATGTCCACGCAGCGAATCCAAAGCGGCCTCCTTACTCGCCCACCAGGCAAGGTTTGACGGAAAGTTTTTTTCATCTCTCGAGCTACTAAGAGGAGCATTCAGGTTTGCTGCATCCACTGAAGAATGGAGAGAATTGACAATCTATGAAACCTCATTTCTTGTGTTTTTTTTTGCGGGAGCCTTCAATCCTCTCCCTTGGCCCCCTCCTTGTCTCTCCTCCCACTGCCCTGCCCCGCTGACGGATGACGACGGCGCCAAGACTCGGCGCCCAGGACGCAGGCCAAGACCCCCGACCCCTCCGCCGGTGGGGCCCTTTCTTCCCCGCTCAGAGAAACATCATCTCGTTGCCCCTCCCTTGGGCCCCGAGTACCCAAAAACACACAAAAACAGATATGCACAGGATGTCGCGTGTCGCGAGTGCAGTCCTCGGTCGCTGACCGTTTTGCGTCCGGTGCGTGGCTTGGGAGGAGGCTTTCTCCCGGATCGCTTGGTCGCCTGTTGAAGGCCAGCTGCGAATGAGGGATCTTTGTGGAAGGGAATATGGGTGTGGAAGGGAATATGGGTGTGGGGGTTCGGGGGTGTGGGGACCCTTCCATCGGGCAATGTGTTGAGCGATCGACATCCTGGACGGGGCATTGCTGAACGCCTAGTTATTCTTGCTAGTCGCGAGAGACCCTTGAGAAGACGTCAACTAGTTGAGATGAGGGATGAGGCACCGCACCTACCGGCGTGGTGTGAATGTTTCGATGAACTTCACTCACCAAAGACATCGAGTAGACAAAAGAGAAGAGAGAAACCCATGGGCTCCTTTAAACAGATGTAAAGATGTCGTATTTACATGTGTTCTTGTAGAAACGGTAGTACAAACGCCAATGGAACATCGCCATTCCTTTTCTACGAGGCCTTGCCGTCCTCGGCCGCTCTGATCACACGACGGTTCATCTTGATCACGGTCTCGTTTTCCGTTGCCGATGACTTGAGTGCTTGCGGGGCTCGCGCCCGTTGCTCGCAGCTATCTTGAGAACACTCGAGGTGGCGCAAACCAAAAGACACAACGTCACTGCCGACTCTAGCATCGTAGTTGAGACGCGTATCCCGCGGTATATGGAAAGAAAGGCTAACATGTCGACTCCGTGCCGATTTTCGGCTGTGGCAAGGACCGAACTTTTCCCAAGAGCGTGGCTATCCCACTGTTCTCTCTCAACGGTGCTCGACAGGCTTGTCAATGCCTCCGTCTATCTAACAGCAGTACCGCGATATGGACTCGAGGACCGTCTAGCATTATGAGAGCTCAATGCCGGGTATCTCGAGGAGACTAATTTAAAGCCTTGTTCGAGTTCTTTCCAACGAAGCCCAAATCTCGGTGACTGGTTGTGCCGATCAAGCGAAAAAACGGAGTGAGGGAGGGCCTTGGGGTCTTTGATTCTCGCGGCCTGAGCTGCCGCTACCTCGGCCAAAGGGACTTTGTCTGTCGGCAATCCTCTCGAAAGATGAAAGGCAGGACTTGGAAGAACTTTTTCTCCGTTGCCCGCTCACATCTAGATGTTTGCACCCCTCGACGTGGGTGTCGGAAGTCTCGAGGAAGAAGTAAACGCTCGCCACCACGAGTTTGCCGATATGCAGTGCTCTAGTTCATGCTTGGCCGAGTCGCTGTAGGAGCCCGTGGGCCGTTGGGAATGTGGCTCTGAATATTCCTCGCCCACCACGCCACATTCTGGAAGAAGGAAGTCTTCGAATGGGGCAATCTTGCCTGACTTTGACGAGGTAGCTGAGGCCCTCTAAAGGCTCTATGAAGTTGGGGGCCCCAAATCTAGTTCTTTTGGGTTGACGCACTTGTCTACGGCATCGACGATGAGTGTAATTGAATCGCCATGGCCCGCCAAATCTAGATTACACTGGCTTGTAGTTCGAAAATGACTAGATTGATCCTCCGCAGAAGATCATTGAAGAGGTGAGGATCGTTGATCATGGTAGCCACGATAGATATCTGCCCATGCCCCAGATCATTCAAACAGCTGATGCGGTCAGAGGTGCTCCTCGTGGAAACAGACCTACTTGAGCAGAGACCAGACTGCGGGCGGCGTCACCGATTGCTTCCCGTTCTCACACTCTTATCCAAAGAAGTAGCCATGGCTCAGCCCAATCTGGTTGAGGAGGGAATTGCTCATACGCGCGTGATCAGTAATGGGCGGGATATCGGATATTCACTGGGAAAGCTTGTGGTCCTCGCCGACCGGCGATGCTGGAAAGTCGAATGAGCAAAATATATCTGGCGGTTTGGTTGTTGCGCCGGACATCACGCACCGTAGCACATCCTAGTTGCTTGTTCACCAACTTCAATTGTGCTACGCTTGCTTGCCGTCAGTACGTGGCACCTTTTGGGGCACGGATTTCCCGACAGGCAGACGTGGCTCACGTTCATCGCCGCTGTCCATCTTCCACGGACTCCAATCCATGGCCAATTTGCGCCTAGTTCAAGAGGTTATTTGGCCATTAGTTAGTTGTCTAGTCATCAATTAGTCGTTGCTAGAGGTTTGGAAGTGGGAGAGGCGTACCTTTTGTTATTTATGATCACTCCTGGTCGACTGTTTTGCGGCGATGCTGGCTTGAACCACTCAGCGTCGAATTCACATTACCTTTATCCTTTCGCGATTTGGTGATGGAGGAAACTAACAGCATGGGTGAAGATTGAGCAGTGGAGACTTCTACTGGGAATGGGAGCCCTGGTCCCTAGCAGCGATGATACGGCGGGCTGGGGTAAAGCGTTGGCGTGAAGGTTTCCGGCAGTTTCGTGGACCCGGTCCCCTGCCCCGCGCCGAAGCGCCCCGGAGCATGCTCCGTGCCGAACACCGTAACATGCGCTAGTGGTCTTCAAAAATACCATTCTTAACATCGTCAAGTTAAAAAGTCTAGAATGGTCAAAGGGATGATGGAATGGAGAGATTGCGCCTGCCGCCATTCCTCCTTTCATTTCCCTTTGCGGGGTTGAATCAATCCGCACGCAAGCAGCACTCTCTTCTTTCGTTACTCGGCGTCACGGTTGGCTGCGGATTTCAAGTGCATCGTTGATACCCATGCAACATTGCTTCGTTCTGTCCGGCAAGACAACGCTCGCAGACGAGATGGCCTCTATGACTGGAAATCGAGTCTTGAATCGCGCCGTGTCAGCAAGCGAGACCGAATGACGGACCTAGGACATCGCATCCCCGACTTTGCCAAACGCTTAGACGCTCGTTTTACCAATGAAAAGGATAAAAGAGAAGAAGAACCAAAAAAGCCCGGTTACCTGCATTCGCCGGTCCCTTGCATGACATCGCAAGACAGAAACCGTCCTCTACCCAGGCTCCGCCTCCTGAATCAAGCGCACGCCATCGTCTAACCCCCTCCTCCACACTCAAATTCCCTCCCAATGCCAAAAGAAAGGCCAGCCAGGAACCGAGTTTTACTCCATGCCAGTTCCTCCCTGTCTCTTCCCTCAGATTCGTCCTCCCTGCATGGAATACAGGCAACCGCCATTCTTAGCGCAAGCCACCATGTATCCTCCCGCGACCCCCTCGGCCAAAAAGCCGGATATTTGTGTGGACGCCACATTTGATGGGCTGGTCTTCCCTCCCCCCCGTTCCTGCTCCTTCCACTTCCCACCACCCGCCGGCTCTCCCAACCGATCTATTCATCCTGCCCTTGACCTATTACTAGTTCTCTCCGTCCAAGAGCTCAGGGGATGGTCAAGGAACCGGGGCGCGCGCGCGGTCCCCGCATCGTGCGGTCCGGTAGGCGACCGAGATCGAGGAGCGAGGGGGAATGGGGAATGTGGGACGGGAAATGAGCAAAAAGGAGCACGAGAAGGGAGACGAGAATTTCCCAGAAGGCGGACAAGGAGCAAGATCGTTTGCTCACAGTGTGGACCCTTGAAGAGCAATGTGGCTCGGTAGTTTTTGTTTGGACGCGGGTTGAACCAGCTCGTCTCGAGGGTGTGTCCTCGATCTCCCGCTTCTGTTCACGCACTTGCTTCCTTTCCTGCACCCCTTTACTCCCTCGGTCACCCATTTCGATGAGAAAAATGAGAATGAGAAACGGAAGCGGAGACCCTCATGCCTCTCTGCTTCGAGGTGATGCCAATGCGTCTTGAGGAGCAAAGCCAAGGCTCCTTTGCTCCGCCCTCGTCCTCCCTCGTCCTCCTTGCCTCGAAAGATCCTCTCGCCCCTGGTAGCACATACACCGTCATCACTCGTCACACGTTTCCCCACGCAAAGACTATTCGAGGCCGGATGTCGCATGACAAGTCAAAGAAACCTGCGGGCACGGCAGGAATTATATTGCCCCTCCACTCTGCGCCGCCCCCTCCTTTGGAAACTGTAGACCAACATGGTCAAAGGTAGACACACCTCTCCCCTCTTAAAAAAGGGGAGACCTTATCCACACCCGAGACGGAGGGATTATGCCTCATTGTTTTAATCTTGACGCAGGGAATCGCGCTTCCGCCGTCGCCGCCCCTGCCGAAGCGGCTACTGCTCTGCCTCGGACACCGCCCCTATTGTCATCCCGGGGCTTTCCCCTCCTATCCTTCCCTCACGACCGCTTTGCCCCATCTGTAGGCCGGACAAGAGGCAGAAGCGACAGTACTGGAGAGATGACGGGAAAGGATATAGACACACTACAGGCCAAACAGCATGGTATTATCCAGAAGAGAGCCTAGTACTGTGTGTATCTATTAGTGAGGTCCTCGTGATAGCCTCGATAGAGAGCCTCATATCTCCTTTATATTATCCGGGCCTCCTCCGAATGGTTCATTCCCGCCGGCATGGTGTAGCATTGCATGCAAGGGGTTCGTTCTAGGGTAAGAAAAAGATCGAGCCGAAATAGCGTCCAAGGGTAAACTAAGGCTTGAAAACAAGACAGGGCGGACAAGGTCCGTCCACCTAGGCTCCAGGCCGGCGCTGGTTAGGAATAGTGTTGGATGATATTTGGCAGGGGGCACACAGGTCGAGTCCCGGTTTCCATGATTACGGAGTCACCTTTGAAAATAACAAGAGAAGATGTTGGAGGGGCTATGGCTCTGATCCGGTAGGGTCACGATGACTCAATACCTCTCGAAGGGGCGTGGCCCCAGAAGGGCCCTGATTCACACATGGGATGAGTGCCAAGCAGTTGACCTGATACTTGGGATCTGTGTATCGCGCTCCGCTGGCGCGAAGTGGGCCAAGGCACGGCACACAAAGGGGGCTTCTCGCTTAGTAGATTAAAACTAAGGGGTTGTTTCTATTTTCCACGAGATCGAATGGCGGCAGACGATATTGCGAGTTGGAAGGACTGCCGCTGTCTTTTGGGGATTCAGGCTGAATCGCACGAGGGAAGGGGGAGGGCGAGGGCAGTAGGCTTTCGTTTCTCACCCCTTTTCTACTAGTTCAATGTATTGGTTGTCGAGCATGGCGGTGTCGCCATGTGCAGTGGAATTGACTGGCTGAGAGGCCGGATGGGAAGGCCCTGGGCGCCTGTCCCAATGTCGAGGACTGGCTGTGCCCTGATTCAGGGCGTGCGAGAAAATACAATGCCTTTTTGTGTGTGCAGGCCAAGCGAGGATACAGCTGGAATGATACCGAGGTAGGCCCTGATGTCGTAGACGAGAAATACGATACTGTAGTCGCGATGCACAGCTTCACTCACGGGACTGGGTGCATTCATGGTCCATCGGCATCGAGATGGGCCTCGGAAATAGCAGAGGTGGTAATACAAGTTTGACCCAAAATCTTGGAGTGCGACCAATGGGCGAGCAGGATAGTTTCCTGAAGCTGTGGTAATCGGAGTTGAATCGCTGGTTCGATATCAAGGGAGACCCAGGCCAAATCGTGACCTGGGTCAAGGGACCAAAGAAAGGCGTCCAGGGGGTCAAGATAACGCAAGGATTGGTTCCTTGGTCACTTCTCTGGGATCGACTGGGGGCCGAAAAAAAAAAGGTCGCGTGGCTCAGAGGGCCGCGAGATCTGCCGTCGGAGGATGTTGATCAGGGTTCTCTTGACAGGCAGTCAACTATCCCAAGACGGCGAGGTGCTGCCTCTTCCGACGACACTTGATACCCACTCTGGCAACGGGGGCCATCGTTTTCCCTTTCGGTTCCTTCTGTTCTCTCACGGCTGCAGTGGAAACATCAGAGCAAAATGCGACTGTGTCATCCATAAATAAGCCTTTGGAAGTTGTGAAGAAGGCCAGAGCAACGCCGAGGATCGATAACGATTGCAATTGGAGGTACAGGAGGTTCCAACGTGTATCAAGATGGGATTAAATGTTGGGTGGTATCCCACCGTGGGAGGTGATAAGCGGGCAAAGTGCAACCCACTTCAAGATAGCCGGTTGGAACGTTCTTCTAAGCCCGCACAGATAGGAAGGAGTCGCACACAACACACACACACCGTTGACCTTGCGCCTTCTTTTGTTGACTCGAGTGTGCATGTGGTATCTCCGCCTGATATGGTAGTCACGCCGGGGAAGAAATAAAAACCCTCCCAAAAACAAATATTACCTTGCTGAAGGAAGTTGAAACTAGGCCCGCAAGGCTTGGAGCGCCATCCGCCGCTCCCGCATTTCAATCCAGCCTGTCTTGCTGACCGCGCCAGGATTCTCCGAGATCAATTCAAACGTTTTTAGCGGCTTCACGGATCGGGTCTCCGACTTTGGCCAAGGGCGGGTGGCGCTGGGCGCGGGTGCAGGTCGGTCGAGGACCATGAGCCAGCAAATGAATCGCGCGACAAAGACTGGGCTTGCCTTTGTCGAGAACCCGGGCTCGAATATCGAATAGATTGAGGACAACCAAACCAAATTTTTGTTTGGAACATTGTCACCTCTGGTGACGAATCTGGGGCGACGATGAGGTAGTGCTGGGGGCAAGGTTTGATACAGCAACCCGGGCTCAGATTGATACAAATGACCTTGCACAAGCAAACCACCCATGCGGTCCGCGATGGCCCCTGTAGTTCTGGGTGGGGAGCAACTTGAAAGAAGTGACCACTGGGCCATCACACATGGAGATTGATCAATTGATGCTCGCCCGGTTACCCATACACGGTCAGGCTGTCCGTCTGATGTTACCGCAGTGCAATGTTACCCGACGCAGCAAAAGTTTCGACGTGTTTTGCTTAGCCTTGCGCCATCAATCTTCCTTCAACTCCTTCTGCTGGAGTCCTGGGCTGGCATTGGACGTTATTATTATTACTATTATTATTATTATATTATTATTATTACTTGTATTTGTATTAATGACGTGCGCTTGCCCTTTCTCTTTTTATTTTTATTATTTTTTTATGTTGTTATGATTGTCTAACTCCAGGTTGGTCAGAGTCTTTGGTACCTGAGGAGGGACAAGAGCGAGTCCCCACGGCCACGTTTGCAGTGGTGATGCTGTCAAGGTACCGAGTATATGCAACATGCAATGCAAAGCAGGTTCGAGAGAGAGTGAGAGCGCTTGGGAAGAGGAAGGCAAAACCGATGAAAAAAGAAAACACAAGGAAGCTAAAAGCAAAGAAATAAAACGCTGAGTGGGAACAGACAAAACAAGTTCGTACCCCTCTTCCCAGAATTATGTTCGCATGAAGGGAAATAATGCTTGATGCGGGAGAAAAAAAAAAGGTAATTCGGAGTTTCCAGTGTTTACGTCTCGCTTGGTGAAGAACATGGTCTCACATGTTTCCTCGGGAATTTTGATTCAGCGAGTTCAGCAGAATGGGGAATGGAGTTACCCTCCATTATTGATCCTCGATGAAGGCAAAAGGAAATTACCTTGACCCTTGCTCTTGCCCTCCTTACACGAGGCGCCTGGTCGTGTCTTCCCCAGACAACAGCACTCCGGGTAATAAAGAGCGACCGTCCTACAGAGCAGTTCGAAGGAAAGCACGGGTGAGACCTTGTATTGATGCTTCACGGAATGAAGCAGAGGAGGGGGAAAAAAGGTCAGACATGTATCTCCTTCTCTCCTCCTACCGCGCGGGATCGATGACGGAGGTGCGGAGCACGGAACAACTAAGCCAACATAGTAGATGTTGTGGACGCGAAGAGATCGATTCTTGAGAAAGTGCCGTCTCAAAAGGCATCCGGCTCCCGCGAGTGAAGGGCCAGACTCCCGTGTGCTCTCGCGTAGGCGACGTGTCCCAAGTTGGCCTAGGCGAGTACTCGTCAATGCCTTGTCTGTTGGGGCTGCTGCTAAACTTCTCGGCGCCAAACGGGATTCCTGAGAGGGAGAATGTCGGGCGGCCGACCGGACTCAGGGAGAGGAAGGATCGATCAGTGTAGTGTACCGAGGTAGTGGAGCGGGAATCAGAGACGTTGGCTAACTACCCTTGATCGGCTGAAGCATCTTCCTTTTCCCCTTGGAGAAGGTTCCCATTTGAATAGAGAATATTATTATTAATACTTGGTAGAAAAAGCATTTCGGCGCGCGGGGAACAGCTCTTTGCAGCCTCTGCATGGGGTTGGACAGCAATCCTTGCCCTTGCTCGATGTCTATCGCCATCGCAGCATATGAGATACTAATAGCTAACAACTAACAACGTGGTTCCCCTTGGGCCCGGTCATTGAGGCAAGCCCCCTGGTCCAGCCCCAAGCGTGTGCACCTTCAAAAATCCCTTGACGGGTTTGACGGTTTGATACCCAGGTCATTCCCCCACGAGTGAAAATTCGAACACTGCACAGATCGACCTTTGCTGTGAACGACCTGTCGCACAATTGGGCGAAAACAACCAAAAAGGCGGATTCGCGGAGACCTTTGAACCAGTCGCTGGCCGCTACGCGGGTTTTGCTTCCAGACCGTCCCGCTGATCTCAACCGCTCTGATTCCGTGGTCTCCCTCGCGGGCTATTTCTCCCTCCTTCTCGTCCTCGGCTTTTATCTGATACTATCAAAGCTAGCAGCGACCCGAAAAACATTTTCGGTGGGCCTCGAGAAAGATCCTGCATATATGGAGCCAGCGAAGAACGTTATACACCGCACTTTCAGTTGGCCCTGGCTTTTGGCCTAACCATTATGAGCGTGAGCTGATGATGCTCCTCCAGGGGACTGTTGAAAAGAAAAACTCTGGGACGGCTTCGGATGTGTAGATTGGTCTCTAACCGACAAGGTTACTTCCCGCCCAAAACGAAGCTAATTGCACACATTCCCCTGTCGCTTCCGTCTTCCGTGCCTGAAACGCCTTTGAGATCTTATTGTTGTAGTTCCCCTCGAAGGAGAGAGAGAGGAAAGAAAAACAAAATAAAAAAAGTGCTCGTTTTGCCGGGAATTCAACGACCTCGATGTTAGCTCGGGCCAAGCTCATCTGAAAAGACAAACAACTATCAATTGCCCTTCCCGCTCTCTTCCCCATTTCAGTGCCGAGAGCTAAGCTCAACACCAACCCTTTTTAACCATTCATGTTTGAACTCGGTACCCGTTTGCGCCCCTCTCCGGACCCGCCAGGCACCAAGCAAGACATTTAGACATATTACCATTCGGACTCGTTGACCGGACTCGATTTTCTTTGTATCATTTTTTTTTTTTTTGCAGCGGTTCCCACAAATTATTTGACCCAGCCAACCAGTGCAAGCTGTTGCTTGATGCTGCATGCCAGAGAAACCATTGCTCCATCCCTACATCACCGCGCTTCTGCCGAGCAATCCTTCCTCTATGGCACGCTTGGCGTTCGGTCTCCTCGCCGGATCATCATCTCGATCTCTCCTAAGTCATTCCCTGGCATGAGACGACTCCCCTGCGAGACAACAACACTTGGTTCCAAGATCAAACCGCACCCCACAAACCGGCCAGTCTCATGAACTTTATTTCCTGAAGAATTTTTTTTTTTTTTGCGGTCTCAAATCTCAAAAATATTACCTGTATCATCCTCTCGTTTCCATCTAGCCTCTATCTAGTACGGAGCGTTAGCCCTGTTCAATTTTAGGCTGGGTATGACAAGAGATAGAGGGCGACGATTCCGTTCAGACACACACATACTCACACACACACACACCTGCTTCTCCCACCTCTTCGCGCCTCACCTTTGCGCTATCGTAGCTCGGAGTACGGTTGCAACTTGAATCGGGCAGACTCCGGATGACTAGGCCGCGGTGTAATCACCGTTACCGCATTTTCAGTCCTGTACGACACACCACCCGTACTGTCCTTGCTGTCTGTATCCGTTCTGACAGGCTAGCCCACCGTCTGTCGTCTTTTCTTTTCTTTTCCTGCTTCACAGAACCATTTCCGCCATTTTCAAGGCATCTCTCTGGCCCGCGACATATTACTCGCCCGAGTTGTACCTGGTCCACTTGCAATCCAGACGCACACTCATCTTTCTTATCAACTGGTGTCTCTCCCGCCTTGCAAACACACCCACACCCGCACCCACGCCCACTCCCACTCCCACGCCCCCTTCCCACTTGCCTTCCCTCACCTCGCTACCCTCCATCATTCGCTTACCTCGCCACTGCCCAAGTCATCATTTGAGGAGTGTTAATCCGTTCATTAGTGCGGAGAGCGGCAACCCATATATCCCGGCGCAGCCCTCTTCTGCTTGCCCACACGCACCCTCCACTCCGTTCCAACGGACACTATCGTTCATGTTCCTGCGCCGTTTCGCCCTCCGGCATATGTTTACACAGGCACAGGCTGGTTTGCACGAGGCGAAGGCGTTTGAAGAATAGTACAAGTGACACCTTAGAGACAAGGGACAAGCTCCGAAACTGAGGCACCCACCAGTTTTGGACCGGAAGAGAACAAAAGTTAAATCGGGATCGATCCGGGTTTTCCTTTCTGCACCGGATACAATTCTCCCTCCCCCTCATTCCCCTGTTCACAGCCTACATTTTTGATCTTGTGTCATCGTCGAAAACCTGTGCCATTACAGCGTTGGCAATATCTCTTATCGCTCTCGAGCAGATAACGATCGTTGGTATATCCCTGCGCGATAGGACCGAGAGAAAGTTTCCATGGGCCCAAGGTTTCAAGGTTTCCAACATCTAACGATTACTCCGGCCCTCAAGCATCAACTGGCTTCACATGATTCGGCCCCAAAGGACGCATTGCCTAGGGGGCTGAGAGCACGTTGACGGTTTATGTTTATGGCCGGTTTTTGACAAGAAAGTATAACGCAGTTTCTCAGGGAGAGGCATCTCGTCTTCTTTTCTTCTACGACTCGCCAACCGCACTTTTGCGTGTTGCGGACAAACCCTGGATCTCGGCCAGAGCATCGGAGGCCGGGTTCGAGAACAGGCCTCAAAATCCGAAAACACGGTGAAGGAAGAAGCAAGAAGCATGGCGAACGGGACAAGAATAGCGGAACTTGATCCGCCCCTGCAAACATTATTCGCCATGAGCTCTGGATCACAACAGGATGGTGGCAGGAGGTGTGCCAACGACGAGACCTCGATAACGACAGCTACGACGAAAACGACTGGAGATGGGTATCGGCGAGAAGGTCAACCACGGTCAACCCTGGAAATCGACCAGGCGAGGACAGCCACGTTTGCTCTGGCAAATGAGGATCATGAATGCGGCCACGATCACGAGGGGATCAAGGGATATTTTCCTGCTCGTCGTCCTCAGCAGCCCTCTCGTCAACACGGTCCCCTTCATCGGCGTCAGGTCTCTCGGATTCGCCAGCCCGCCTCCGCCAGTCGTTTGGACAGGCATTTACTCCCCTGTCAATGGGGGATAGCGAGATGGGTGCCGAGGATCGAGAAGCCGCGATCCGAAAATCGAGCGGCGCTGGCCACTTAGAGGCGAGATGCGATGCAGCTTCCCTGGCACGTTCCGAGCAAGGCGATGTGGTGACATCACCAGCACTGGCACAACAGGGCAGCAAACCGTTCCTGGTGGCCCCCTCTGGCGCGACTCCACTGGATCCCACTTTGCGCAATCCACTAAACCCACTCGATTCCAACTCGGCGCTCGCTGAAAATCCTGCTGCGCTCTCGCGCAAAGTTGATGCTGACGACGGTCAGAAAAACCAAAACAGTCAAGCCCCGGTGCTTATTAACGACGACCTGCAATTTTTAACACCCACGACAACATCCTCGCTTCTCTCGCCTCTATTAACACCCACCGAGACCCGATCTCTTGCCTTTTCCGACAACGCTAGTGTATCCAATTCGGACGAGAACAATGACGCTGCTATGGGTAAAAATTCCACCCAGGCCGTTTCTGATGCATCCGGGCTCTGTGAATTAGGGCAGGGCCGAGTCGATGACGCCAGTGCCGGATTTGAGAATGGCCAGTGCTCCTGCACTTCTCACGTCCGAGTTGGTGGGGCGAGGCCCACGGGCAGCCACATGGATCAGTCAGCTGGTTTCACGTGCAAACAGGAGGACATGCAGCAGTCATCTAATTTGCAGGCCCTCAAGTCACCGGACGTGCAGCAGGGCCACCACCAGCGTGGTGATGGTTGTCAGCAGCGGGACTCGGCCACAGCAGCGCCAGCAAGACTCACACCAGCACAATTATTACCTGCCCAACACCATGCATTCACAGCCACAAATTCTACGCACGCGGCGCACGCGGCGAGCGCGGCGACTCCAGACGAAATTGCAAGGTTGCATAGTATTACTGGTGCTGATAAGGGCAGGGGCACGGCTGCTGGTACCGTGGCCATAGGCGCTGGCGCTGGCACTGACACCCGCACTAATAATTCGACCTGGAGCATAAACGACGCCGCCAATGGCGCCCAACCGTCTAATAATTCAGGCCCACTCGGTGCGACATTGATGAGCCAGACGAACACAACCGGGTCCTGCGAGCAGCAGCTCAAAGACGCAGTCGCCGACAACAACGCCACCACTTCTGCAACCCCTGGCGCGCTGAACCCCGCTAGACCCGGAAATTCCAGCTCTGGCGCGCACAACCAACAATATACCCCTGAGGACGGACCTGAACACGATGGCAATCTCGTATCCCCTTTCCCCACTGGATTTTCGCCGCCCTTTTCCAACAACCACTCTGCCTCCTATCCCCAGCAGCAGCATCAGCAGCAGCAGGGCGGACACCCCACGAACCTAACAAAAGCATCTTGCACACGAACCTGACTCCTAAAAATAATTCCTCCATCGACGCGGCGTCCTCGATCCCTGGTGCCATCATCGCCCCGCTTGCTGTCTCACCTGCGGACTCTTATCCCTCGACACCATCGTCGTCATCCCCGTCCACCCAGTCTCTGGTTTCCCAGCAACACTTGAGCCAGGAGACGGGCAATTATCGGCCCCTGGTTCGGACCACTTCAGACAATCTGTCTTTAAAAATTCAGCACCCCACCCCCGACATCAACCCCAAGACTGGGGCCTACTTGGGGAACATTGCTCAGCTCGAGGCCACTGCCGAGCGACTTTCCACCGCTACCAGTTCCATCGAGGACGCGATCCGTGATCTTCATGCCGAATTAAAACGAAGCGACAGCCAACGGTCCGCAGCCGCCCGCGCCCGTGCCGGCCAAAACCTCGAATTTGAGGACGGCCAAGGATTCGAATACGTTGACCAGGAAGACGACGGGAAGCCCCAGCTCCGCCTTCGTCGCCCTGCCCTTCTTAGGCACCTATCGGCTTCGGCCTCCATCGCCTCGCTCAACAGCATCTCGAGAGTCCCTCCATACACCCCTAGCCGCACCCGCTCCAACGCGTCGCTTAAAAGCCTCTACGGTATCGAAACCGGTCTGGTTCCCTCAACACCACTATGCAGTCGCAGCACGATTACATCCGGAACGAAGCGGAGCCCTATCTGTCACGGACGGGGCCCGGCAAGGGTTCCGTACGAAGCATTCGGACTGGGAAGCTGTCTCTTGCCGAGATTGTCGAGTCCGAGCCCATTGCGTTGAGCCAGAACGCGCTCGATAATGCCGACCGCAACCCCTTCCCGGCCGAGGAGGACGATGATACGATCCGGGGACAGGCCGCCTACGATGACATAACCCCTGTAGGCAATTCGTTCCCGCCCCTAGCACGGACGCCTTCCATTCCATGCTTGATGGAGGTGGTCTGGAGTTACCGGGCTCTGATCTTCGCTTTGATCCCGCGCAGTACCATCATGATCAGCCTAGCGCCCCCGGACCCGCATACCATTCTCATGACCAGCACCATGAACACTACCATCAGCACCTGCAGCACCTTCACGAGGAACCGCGTCCCCGGTCCTCCGGTTCTGGTACCAGCTCGATGAATGTAAGGAACGCTTTTGGCGATTTCGACGGTGTACACTTTGAGCCCGAGCTTCATTCCCCCTATCGTGATGCAACCACCGGCCCCACAGCCCCCATCTCCCCGCCCCGCGCCGTTCGCTCCCCGACGAGCCCCTCCATGGCGCGGCCGACATCCTACATGGACCCTCAAACTGGCCAAGAGATGCTTTATTATCCCGCCCGTGTCCCCGCGATGCTCAACCTCCCACCCAAACTGTCGCGAAAGCCAAAGTCGGCCGCGCGCAATGCTAGGCAGTCGGAGCTTCTGAGCGCCATGCCCGAGATATCGAGGAAGTCTGCTGCTTGGTTGCCAGATCCCCTCGAGGGACATGCAAACAAGACTGCTTCCTGGCTGCCGGACCCTCTCGAGGGGCATGCAAACGCGGCCTTTTCTCCGCCCCTGTCCCCGGATGCGTCGACCGGCGACACGCCCGGCGCTCTGCCGCCTCCGGAAAGCCCCTTTGCGGCCACCGGCTTGCCAACCCCTGCGTTTTCGGCGCCCGAAATCCACGTTACTGAGATGGGCGGTTTCGAGCCACGCTACGGTGATGAGTATCCTGGCGTCACGCCCAACATTCTGCCCGCTCCCGCTGATGGTGACGACGAGGTGAAGCCCGCTGTGCCGAGACCACGCAAGGGCCGAGATGCCACAGATGCTGAGGCGACCAAGTCCCGGCTCAGCAAACTGCCTCCACAGCTACGGGCCAGCGTCTTCTTTGACTTACCTTCGACTTCTGCCAAGCTCAAGGTCAAGGATGGCTCGGCAAGCGCCACCCTCGATCACCTACTCAACGCCTCGGCCAACGCACCAGTGAGCGCGTTTACGGATCACCTGATTGTCGGAAAGCTCGGTTCTGAGGTATATGGCCCGGAGAAGAAGAGGAAGTCGGGCATGCCCAAGACCTCTTCCGACTCGGATCCCAAGAAGCGCAACACCTACCTCCGTGACCAGAAGAGCGCAGACACCCTCAACCCCGATAGCCGCTCGAGTGTCCTAAGCCCCGGATCGGGTTCGCACCACGGCTCGAGCACGCTCGATGGCGCCGATGACGAGCCCCTCCCTCCAGGTGCCGTAGGCTATGCTACCCTCAGCCCTGACACGGACGAATTCGACCCGATTGACCGGAGGTCCAACGACAGCCGAGAGAGGGGCGAGGGTGGGGAGGAAGGAGAGGAGGAAGAGGAAGAGGAATACGATGAACTGTATCACGGTCCCCCTACCACCCTCCTCGCCGAGCTGCAGATTCGGAAGCAGCAGCAGAAGAACCGTACCCGGCTGCTGGCCAACCCCAACGGCATGCATTCGACGCTCCTCGAAATGGACGCGGTGGCTGAGGCCCAGCGCCGCAACCGCAAGGACAGGAGGGTGAACCTTGCCTGGGAGGATCCCGTCCAGGATGGCGTCCTCGAGGATGACGACGAGGACGTGCCTCTAGGCGTCCTCTATGCTGCCAAAGCCACCGGGGCCAATAACCTAGCGGCGGCGGCGGCGGAGCTCGACCGCCCTCTTGGCCTCATGGAGCGTCGCGAACTTGAAGAGAATGAACCTCTGAGTCAGCGTAGGGCTCGCCTCCAAGGCGGGGACCCGCACCAATCCGCCATCTTAACCAAGAGGCAGACGCTGATGATGAATGTTGGCTCTAACCGGCTTTCGCAAATGCCGCAGATGAGCATGATGGCCCCCATGGCCGGCCCCTAGCCGAGGAGCAAGAAGTGTCGGACGAGGAAGCCGAGGGCGAGACGCTTGGTGACAGGATGCGCCGTTTGAAGAATAAAGAAGAGGGGACAGCGCCCTCCCCGCGCGCGACCCGTCAGCACCGCGTTCACGTCTGAGCTCCTTGGACAATTTGTCCCTCCCGAGGAGGAGGTAAAGGAAGAAGCGGTCAAGCCCGTTGGTGAAGAGGAGGAGACCCTCGGCCAACGCCGCCGCCGCCTTCAAGCGGAGCGTGAGGCGCGAGCTGCGGAGATGGGCATCCCCGGCGTGCGCACAGTGGGCGGCGCCCCTCCCGGCCACCGCCTAAGCATGGCGGGCATCCTCTCGGCCCACCCTAGGAACGACACATCCCTCCAGGACGCAGAGCGGCGCAGGTTCGACGAGGATCTGCGCATCCAGCGGGAGCAGGACGAGAAGATGGCAGCCATGAGGTCGCAGATGCCGACAACGCTCCTCACGCCCAGCGGGGCAACAGCACGGGCGGGTTCCGCAACGGTCAGTTCAACGACGGCACGGGCGGATTCGGAACACGCCGGGTGCCGAGCCAGGGCAATCTGAGCGCCGAATTCGCTTCGGACTCGTGGAACCGCTCGAGTGTCGCCTTTAACAGCGGTGGCATGATTCAACAGGCGGGCATGACGTCGATGAAGAACACGTACGGCCCAGCCCCAGGAGCTGCACCAGGCTGGTACGGCGGCCAGGCGCCCATGTATATGGGTGGGCCGATGCAGATGGGAGGAGGCATGCCTGGTATGAACGCGCCTAATATGGGCATGCAGATGCCGATGCAGATGCAGATGCCCATGTCGGCGCCCATGCCTATGTCGGCGCCTATGCAGATGCCTATGCAAATGCAGATGGGCCAGCAACCGATGGCGTCGCCCATGGGCATGCCAGGAGCCCTGGGCATGGGTGGGGGTTATCAGGCGAACCCGCAGGGTCAGACTGACATGGTTGATCGGTGGAGGCACGGGGTGATGTGAAGAACTAGCATTGATCTCATGTCCTCCCTCCGCCTCGACCTCTAGAGCATCCATCTACTGAGAGGAGAGGACCGGCCTGCGTGCCTGTACTAATGGTTTCCTTTGTCCTTTTTTTTTTTTTTTTTTTCTTTTTCCTGTTATGTGAGCTTTCAATATTGTTTGTTTTCACATGTGCATTGCGAGCAAAGGGAAAAGAACACAAGCATATACTGGGGGAATTGGGCTGATACAGGATGGTCTGGTTCGGAATACATAATATACACAGACACACATGCACGCATACAAGCAACCTTGGGGCGCGCTTAGCTTACCGCTGCTCCTCTTTATCATTTCCACCATTCTTCTCTTTTGTTCGATACTTTCTCTACCTGTTGCCTACCCTATCATTCCTCTCCCCTTTTCTTATCATGTTTTACTATCTCGAGCCCCGAGTCCCGAGTTTCACCTCTGGGAAATTTGATTTGGAGAAGCTCTTGTCTAATATCTATCTAATGATAAACGATGTACTCTCGAGTATATATGTGTTGTTCCCCCGTGACGAGGTTTTGTTGCTTTTGGAAAGAAATTACGATGTGAGGACGCTATGCGATCGAGCGCCCACGACAATGTAGAGTGATTGTTGTGCTCTATGGGTGTCCGGTTTACGTAGATCACACCTGGCCAAAAGTTGACGCACCAACTGTACCGGACCTTTCTTGACGGCGTGGGCACAAGACGGAGTGGATGGACGTAGGTGAAGCCAAGAACGAGGGTGTTTACGCGCGTGGATATGCCTGGGCACTTTCATTGGGGTGCGTACAATTGTTTCTTTCATATTTATGGTAATCATCAATGTGTATATCAACCTCTTGAATCTTCTTCCGATTCTCGCTTGAATGAAATAACCTCTAGAGACGATATGGGGAAGGGGAGTCCGTATATATGTGGATAGCAGGGGAAGGAAATTGATTCCTGTGAGAAAGAGGGGGAGGGGAGAAAGAGAGATAAGTCCCCATGGCCAAGCTTGGGACGGGAGAGGAAGAAGGCGAGCAGGAAAGATAGCGTTGGACATGGAAGAAAAGGAAATTTGGTTCCTATGAGGAAATCCACACCCTAGTACCACTTATCCTTCGGAACAACGCGAGGGACAGCTAGCAACTCAAGATAGGGTTGGCTTGGGGGACCGTAGATACTGTCGCGGCAGTTGAAGACAATGTAACGGTACGGGCTCTCGGGAACGGGGATGCAAGTGTTCAAGGGAGAGGGGCCGTCGAGCCGATCAAGGCCTCGATGGCGTTGCACTCGTGTCCAATATCGTAGAACTCATCGGTATAGACGAGGGTTTCTAGATTGACAAAAAGAGCTTAGCGAGAAAGATTGGGCTTCGCATCAAGAGATGGCGCAAGGGCTAGAGCGGCTAGGTTATGTGTGTGTGTATGTGTGTTACCTTGGCAGCCGGGGGTATCGACTAAGAGGTGGATGCCTCTCTGGCCCTCGGGGATCTCGTAGCATGCCAAGCCGGAGGCATCGAGGCTGTCGATATACTGGGCGGTAGCAATCATGTCTGCGCACGTCTCCTGCTCGCTGACGAACACGAGGCCGATGAGGCCTGGGATCGCTCGTGACGTGAGCGGTGCCGAGCTCGTGGGGCCTGCGAGGGCGGGGAGAGCGAGAGCTGGGAGGAGGAGAAGGGAGAGGGGCTGCATCGTGGAGTTTGGAGTTTGGAACAAGTGAGGAGAAGAAGGGGAAATGGGATATAGGAACGGATATTGATGGATGGACTTGAGTGGTGGTTCAAGGTTGAAGCTGCTGTGAGAATGAAGACGAGGATGAGATCAATATATATCCAAACATGTTGTACTGAGAAGACTTCACGGGGATGGAGTTGGATTAGAATTTTGCGCAAGGCAGAAGCCTCAACTGGCTTTGCGATGAAGCCAGGAGACTCGTATCACCCATGAGATTGTGATATTACGAAGGATCAGTAAACCAAGCGAAACAACCTAGAATTCAAGCATTCGGTTCACGTAGGATTCGTGAGGCGCAGGGACCAGACCAGCCATGAAGCAGCCTATTGTATTTTGGACGGATTTCGCACAAAAAAGCTTGTGTTTTTCTTGTTTGGGTTCGAAGGAAGCGGCCTTTGTCATCGTCCCAACTCGATTTCACTTGCAATTGCGCAGGCAGCACCCGTCGCACTCGTGCAGCGAGGCGCGACTGTAAAGCTGGTGAACCGAAATTAACACATTGAACCGTTTGTCACACAGAGAGCACGGGCGTTGTGAAGAGGAGCGTAAGCGGGACAGGGATGGGATATCCGCCCGTCATGCTGGAAAACATGGGTCAATTAATGGATTTCATTCACGGACGCGGTAGGCAGCGCGTGCGCAAATCTTCACTCGTAGAAAATAGCTTCGAGCCCCGAGCTGTATGGGTTGTATCGCGTCCACTCGTAGAAAATAGCCATCAGGCCCGGGCTACGGGGTATATCGTTCACGTGCCCGAAGCCATTGCTTCGGAGGCACCAACTAGTTTCTTCCCTTTTGTACCTCTCCGTATTTTGGACTCTCTGGCTGGTGGAAGATGGACATTTGCGAAGAGGGTTAGAAGAACTGTTTGAGAGCTACATTTGTTCTGTAAGTTGTTCGCCGGCTTGGCTTGATTATCAGCTCGGATGCATCTTATATCTCTCCCTGAGTGTTAACCCTAACCCTAATGGCGGAGCTGGCTTCCGTTAGCCCTCCTTGAGGAATTGAGGATCGGGTCTTTCATTGTTACCTTGTACGTTCAAGAATAACTTGTAGAAAGAACCCATCGACTCCATGGTTATCGTAGCTGTAGCTGTCATGCAACCATAATAACTAAGAGCTCACTATAGGCGTCTGAAGCGAGGAATAAGGGCGGTATCACGATGCGTGTTGTGGGGCGTGCAATTGCATAATGAGCATCAATACTGTGTATAGCCCTTTTCAGACCCTATTCTAGTACTGACAAGAAGTATACAGCTGGAGCTTGATCTACTAGAGAATAATCTCCTGATATATAAGTTCGAGGCGGGACCGAAAGTCTAGGGTGAAGCTGCTGCTATATACGTCGTAGGAGGTTGTGTGTCTTTAAATAGAAACTGGAAACAGCAAATCTTTCCACAATAGCATCCACTAATATTCTTAAACTTTGGACGATCCGGGCTATTTCCGGTGTGGAGAAAGAGTGGGTTTCATCTTGCCCTCACTCTCAATAGGCAAAGTATGCGATATGCCAGTTGAAATATCCGAAGTGCACCGCAACGATTCAATCACACTGAACAACAGCAAACCATGAACCTGAAACATTCCAAAGAATGGGAATAGATGTGTGTGGCCTCGTCCTTACGAAAAGACTGGCTAGTCTGTATGGGAGTCCTTGTCTTGCATGGGACCTTCCAGCTTTGACTTTTGGAGGTTTTGGTCAAGTGGCTCGGCGATACTATATGAACAATTTAGTCTCTGGAGAAAGAGAGGGAGCATATGGTGCAAACCGAGAGTCGCAAGCGGTAACCGTTTGAAAAGGCGGATGCTTGATGTAACAAGTCATCTATGGACTTTTGCACCACATCTTACACGTTTGCGGACTCTGCAGCGTCCATGATCTGAGACAATGCAAGCCTCTTCGTGTCACTGGATCAAAGGTGAGAATATCTTGCTTCAAGGGATATCTTGACAAACAGCTGGCGTGGTATAGGAAGAGCGGCGGATTCGCCGTTGGGGACATGCGGAAACCATTCATATACCACCTCTACTCTACGTTCTTGGCTTCTTACACATTCCAAGAGCTGCAATACGGCACCCAACATCCGTGACTGGGGATACCAGTCTCCTCACTCGACAGTCACGGCCGAATCCAGGCCGAGGCCTCCCACTCACGCTGCTACCCTTCTCTTCTCTCTGCCCGGGTTCGGTTATCTGAGGTGAAGTGATTTGAGATCAGATCAGACGATGTCGCACCCGCCCCCACTGATATGGTGACAGCGTATTCAGGCTTACCAAGGGCATGGCTCTGGCGCCTATAGATCATTCCCGTATATGGATAGACTATCATGGAGAGGTGGTTCGGGGCGGTGCATCTTTCCTTGGATCATGTCGGTCAGTCATGAAGGGGGTGTGTGGTGAGTGATACGACTCTTGATTCCTACAAGCAGTCACATGCAGCGATCCAGTCATGCAAAACCCGGGAAGGATAGAGACCGGGCCGCATGTCAAATCAAAGGGACTGCGAGTACGCAAACACAAATTCCATGCGCGGAGCTATTGATTTTTCCTTTGCATTTTTCTCCAAAAGGGAAGAGAGAAAACATGGAAAAGCGGACGAGCACCGGTATACTCTCTGCCGACATGACTCTGATATCCCCTCCGAGTCCAATTTGCCATCTGCCATCGTAGGATCGCGGAAAGGATTCCAGTGGGGTTACGTGGAGACGAACACCCACCGCCTGATAGCTCGTCCTTGCTGACCCATCCGCGTCTCGGCCCCTCCCTTTACCTATCTTTCTTTTTTTTTCCTTTTTCCTCTCCACACGCTCAAGTGAGAGAAGAGAAGGCACAGATGATATCATGGCTATCTGCCCTTTCGAGTGATCATGGAAAGGGCGCCCGCCGGCCTGTGGAGCTTATACGAAAAGTCCACTGCAGTGGAGACCCAACCTCGCCGTGTAAATCTCGGGGTGGGAAGGGGGTTTTCCGCCTGCGGGCATCAATATCCGTAGGGCTAAGCCAGTTTGGGGGAGAGGAGACCTTTTGCTGCAGCGTGAAGCTTCCCGCGCACACGAGAGAGGCAAGCTACCCAACGATGCATGGATGACTGGCGCTCTCGCTGCCCGCTCTGCTTAGAAGAAGAAAGAGGACAAAAGGCCACCGGCTTTCCTTAATTAGGTTGGAATGAGCCGGTTGATGGGGAGAGAGATTGGGTGTTCTTGGCTTGGGAATGCACAATGGACCCACCCTTTTCTTTGTGGGGGAGGAGTTCTTTGGTCTTTTTTCTTTTTTCTTTTTTTTCTTTCTACAGATGCAGGAGCGCACCCCTGGTCCGACATGATTGGGACTTCTTGGCGCGTCGTGCAAAAGATCCCCGTCGCGTGGGTACTTTGTGTGTGGGCTGCGCAGCGATGAAGGAGGGGCGGCCATTCTCGGCCGATAGCCAGAGAGCGTAGTAGAGATCTTTTCCCGAGCAATAGACGGTACCCGTTGCCCGTGCGAACCAAGGCCCAACAGGGCCCCTCTCTCTTCCTAATCCTTGCGCCAACGTGCACTTGCCTTCTTGCCCGCCGGGCTAGGGTCCAAGTGTGGAGAAGAATCCTCTATCATGGAAGAGGGCCCCTGATAAGGGGTTTAGGATCGATCTTGTCGCATGAGTGTATGTGTGTGTGTGCGTGTGTCTTCGACTTCGAAGAGTGGCAAAAAGATGTCAAACCCAACGATAATGTGCCGCTCGCTGGCATAAGTCGCCCCTGCCACTCAATGCCACAGAGCCATACGGGAAAGGCCGTGTGGCAATCACATGTGGAATCGCGTGGTCGGCAACAGCACCTCATGGGTGGGCCGCAAGGCTCGGAATGCAAAGCTTTTCCAGTCTGCATTGCGTCTTGGGTTCCCTCGAGTGCCCCGGATATCAAATCTAAAAGAGCCCGACTCTGTGGGTTGGACCCTTCTCCCTTTGTGAGACTCGGGAAGCAGGTGTTACGCAATCTACCGGGAGAAGCTCCACATCCGCTGTCCCTCGAGTACAAGCAATATCATGTTAAACTAATAAAAAGATGAAAGGGTCGATAGGGGGTGTGTGGCTAAATCCCCTTCCCTCGCCCCTTCAACATTTGGCACATCGTTGAACGGCTCTCTTTCCGAGTTTTTCTGGGGACACATTCTAGGGTGAAACCATTTATGGAAGGAGGTTAAGCTAGTGCGGCGTTTGTCCGTCCCTTGAGGTCTCATGGTCGCGTATGCGCGCGCGCGTGGAGAGACAAGAGGTGAGGTTTCCGGTGGGGGAGTATCTGTCGCCAACATCTAGCTCTCGGTGTGGTTGGGAAGGGGATCTACCTGCCCCGGGCCGGACACGAAGGTGCTATATCAGAAGGGGAAAAGAACGAAGTCGAGGTGGAGACGCATTTGAGGTGGTGGAGGCAAGAGAGATGCTAGATCTCTGGTGGGAAATAATAATACACCTTGTCCAAGAAGAAGTGGTTCTCGTGCAGAGCTAGCTCGATTCCAGGACCTAACAAGGCTGTCGACAAAAGGTTCTGGGTGGGAAAGAACAAATCTCCCCCGATGTCAAGCAAGCCAAGTTCAAATGTTCCATGCCAAGGGGGCCAACCACTTCATCGCTCTCCCAAAAGGTCGAACGGCCACTAACGGGATTGATTCCGTCATGGGGTTAGCGCTATCGTACTTGTCGATGGGGAAGAACCCCCCTTTCCCATGTTGGACAAGGGTTCCTTTGGGGCAGGAGTGGGCACCCATCTCGATCAGTGGGCTCTGTGCGGGTGCCGTTGGCTGGGTCCCTGGGGCTTGGGGTCTTTTTGCTTGACACTAGCAAAGGTTCCAGATTGTCTGGAGCTCAGGGAAATGTCAAAGTTGGGGGACATGCCATGCACCGATGGATCGATGTTCAATCCTATCGCCAAATAGGACGCCATGAGGAACGACTCAAGGCTCTTGCTGTTAATTTCTATTCGTTTTACTTCACTAAAAGGAGAAAAAAAAGGCCTTAGGATGAATATGAGAAAATAAGGTAAAAATATCACTCCTAGTTCAGGTTCCATATGCTCTCTTCAGGTACTAATCTTTTGGAGCATTGATCAATTTCAAAGGTTATGATCTATTAGGGATACCCCGAAATCACGAGTGATGCAGGCCACACGCCAGCGAGATGGTCTTTCAAGTCTGAGACGGGAGGGGAGCTCCGCCAAAAGAGATTTGTACGAAAGAGAAGAAGGGAGCGAGAAAAAAAAAAAAAAGGTAGTGAAAGGGGGTAGGAAAAGGGCAACCACCAAAGAGCGTCAATCGAGCTGGACTAGTCACCAAAGAGAAACTCTTGATGATAGTGGGAAGTGATGTTTGGGGGAAAGGGACCCAAGGAATGGCAAAATGTTACAGTGGTATCGTATCAAAAGGGCGCTCAGGACCAGTGTGGAATGATCCGAGGCCTGGTTGGGGTTGGTCAGGTCGTCTGCAAATGTCCTGCAAACACCCGTGAGGACATGGAGGAGAAGCACTCTGGTGCAGCGAACAAAAGTGCCATGGCTCCGGTGGGAGTGGGAGAGAGAGAGGAGGGTCAGTGACGGGAGGTTCCAAACCCCTCCAAGCCCGACCCGCGAGGGAAGCTAGTGAGGACTGTGGAACATTTGTTTGGACGTCGGTGGCGTCTGGTCTCACGCAAGATTGATGACCTCTCTGGATTGTTGCGCCGAGCAGGAATTGACCAATTTACGCTGGGGGGGCGGAGTTGGAGACCCCCATTCCTCTTTACGGGATTGATGCAAGCGGTAGTTCGCAGCACTGGGAGGCGGCTAGGCGTGCTGAATCGAGATGAGGCACTCTGGATTCTAATCTAACCACCGTCGAGAATCTGGGTTTTTGATATCTGCCGAGCGAGAAGGACGCAGGAGAAATCGCCGAGGAAAATAAATGGCTATTCAGATAATACACCGAAAAGGAACAAGGTGAAAAAGACAAAAAGGAGAAAGAAAAAAAAAGAAGAAGAAGAAGCAACAGGACAGCAGCGCAAGTCTGGTACGATTGCGCAAGTACCGTCCCGTGCTCGGAAGTTAAAAACAGCCAGTTCGGCCAGGTACCGGTCAGGGGAGCGCAAGCCCGACGCTTAGCCAAATCCTCTCTGGCATCAATTGATTGTTGAATGTTCACGGCCTATTATTAGGGACCTGTCATTTCTCACAGAGGTCTCTCAGCACATAAGCTGGCGGTCCGTTCCAGATGTCAGGATTCCTGAATTGTTCGTAACGTGCAGTCAAACAAGGGTGCGTGTTTCTACGGAAGATGCATGCATTATTTTCAAGACCGAGAAAAGCGAAAAGAAGGAATCAATGAGGGTAAGGAGACATTCAAGACAAAGACTTGGGAGAGAGCCCTTCATCTGGGCCATCCTTATCTGCCACACGTGAAAGGGTGGGCTGGCTAATTTGCCGAGCAAGTGTCCATCTCGTCCCGCCCCTCGCGCCCAATCAGCGGCCCCCACTGACTATATCAATCACGAAAGGTAGCACGCAAAGGGTCAATCGCGAGGAAGGTGGTGACGTGAAGCCCGCCACCAAAGGGGCAAGTGCCTCGAGGGGGTTTCGGAAGAAGGAAGGACGCCCAGGAAAAAGAAGCACTGAGCTCCCCTCCCCCTCCCCTCTCCGACAACACCCACGCATAGGGCCCCAATTAAATTGATCTCTTGGCTCCTTCCCCATTATCCAGTATCCGCTATGAACGTACGAAGTATTAGCTGGTCATTCCAAGCAAAGCAATGGCTGGCCCCATCTTTGACGTGCGAAGATTACCCCGGCTCTCGAAGAAGACCTCGCATTTCCATGGTAGGATTGCGCTCGTCGATGTCATCCTCGCAGGCTATTCAGGCCCGTCGGAAGCTTGCTTTCCGCCTTTTACACTTCACGGCGGCCTGCAAGGCCAAAGTCATATCAGTCATTCAAAGCAACTTGGGGGTATCAACTGAGTTCGCCCAGGACGTGAAAGAGAGCTTGAGAGAGAATGGAGTAAAAGCCCCCAAGTGCGGAACAATTTTGGGGCAGCAAATACCCGGCGCCGACATTCGGGTTCCGGTAAATCTTGAAGTGTACGGTATTAAATTCCCCTTGGCAACCAAGGAAAGAAAGCCTCAATACTCTCATGAGGTTGATCACCAGGGGGAAAAGAGCTCTGGAAAGGCCCCCAAAAATTGTTATTCACTTCTAAAATCGCCTGTCGCCACGGTCGCCCGTCAATATCGGCCTTGGCTCGCGTGGGGAGGCTGTCCGAGGAAGGAAGCTGTACCGTGGCCCGCAAGTATCAAAGTGGCGTCGCGGCGTTGCCTTCTTGGCTGGCGCTCTCTTCGGCGGTCTACCCGTTGGAGGCCGGCGCGCAAAAGTGCCCCAGCTTTGCGCGCTTGTTCGCAAGCGTGCTGATTTCTCTTTCGGACTTTAGCTGCATGCTGATTCGCGCAGCCAGATTACCACCTCGGGGGAGCTCACAACCAACCACGCCAGATTGGATGGGGGAGGTCAGGGTAGCACACGACCAACAGGGAAGAGGTGCTGAGTGTATGAAGGGGGTGGCCAGGGAACTTTTGCTGATCCGTCCTTCACTTCCCCCAAAATGGATGATTTACGCAGGATCATCCACCACGATCCCGTTGTTCGATGTGTGGTGTTGGCCGTGCCCTTGGGGTCAGGGACCGAGATAAGCCTCCCTTGCTCAATCGATCCTTTCTTTGTCTTTGTCTTTTTTTCTTCTTTTTTTTTTTCTTCTTCGAAATGGGGTTTCCCCTTCCTTGATAGGACTGCATCGCTCGTGCTGAGTCGGGTGCTGTTCAATGTTGCGCCCCATGGTCATAGACTACCACCCCGAGTGGAGTCTAATCGCTTGGTTTGGCTCATTCACTCCATCGACTGATGCATCAAATTCGCTTCCCCCATCCCCCAAACCACCTGCCAGAAACATGTTGGAGCTAGTCGTGTACCTGGAATAGAACAAGGGCGCAAAAAAGGAAATGTCAAAACTACACTCCTCGAATAGAATCATTCACACTGATTCCGCCCTCGTAGTCACGTTCCGGCCCTCAATGGCGAATAATCGCCCACCCTCTCACCATCGCTGTTCACACACCCCCCCAGTTGCCCCTGCCCGAGGCCGACCGGGGGAGGCGAAAGAACCAGAGATAGGAAGTCGCAAGAGGAGCGCCCTTCCGATACGGTTGGCAGGTGCTTGTGCGGGGTGCACTTTACTTCTTCCGCCTTGTACCATGTACCCTTTCCTCCGTCTCACAGGCTTTTGAACCTGCTGGGAGAGGCCGTGCCGGCATAATACCATTTTCCTGCCGCATGCCGAGCCATATAATATATATTGGGCCAGATGCCTGGGCACGGATTCCCGAGTCAAAAAGAGCTGCGGTTCTCCTGGTTTTCTGTCACCCTTCTTTTTGTTTTTCGTTTCCTACCTCCAATCAACCCCTCCTCCTCTTACACTCCCGCTTCCCTTTTGCAGGAGTAGCAAGAGAGAAGTGTGTGTGTGTGCACGCGTCGCCTACTTGCGTGTGAAACGGAAAGCCGACGTCCTTGCCCAAGGGATCTCGTACGCCTTTGCTTGCATCCGCATACGGAGCCAGAAGAGAGGTCGTTTACCACGACAACACCTCACCCCAGTCCGACACCATGGCGGCTCTCGGTCGTGAGGGCGAGATCCTCGATGAGAAGAATGTGAGGCCTCACACCCCCGAGGAAGATCTTAAGCAGGAGCAGGAGGTAGATGAGTCGATTACGGATCTTTTCTCGCCTTTCCCCTCTCAAGGGAGTACCAGAGGAGGCGAACCCCTGACTGTCCGAGCCGTGGTCGTCGGCATCATCCTCGGATCGTTGGTCAATGCCTCTAATGTCTATCTCGGTAAGGCCCTTTCTTCCCCCTTTTCACTAGCTTTCATCACGACCTAGCTCGTTCAACTACGGGCGGGAAGGATCCCGGCAGCTACAGGCCGATCGAGACAAGCCACAAGCTTCTAACCGTGATATTCGCGCTTTATAGGTCTGAAGACTGGCTTCACATTCTCGGCCAACATGTTTGGCGCCATTTTCGGCTATGCCATCTTGACGATTATGTCCAAGTTGACCACCCCCATCCTCGGTGGCTACTTTGGCCCCCAGGAGAACTCCATCATCCAGGCCGCCGCTACCGGTGCCGGAGGTATGGGTGGTGTTTTCGTCGCTGGTTTCCCCGCCATGTACCAGCTCAACCTCCTCTCCGACGACCCGAAGAAGGACTTTGGTCGTATTCTCACCATTACCATTGTCTGCGCGCTCTTTGGTCTGTTCGCTGCGGTGCCGCTGCGAAAGTTCTTCATCATCAACGTTGCCCGCGAGCTCAACTTGATCTTCCTAGCTGTAAGTTTTCAGTTTTACTCCCCCGCCCTCCGCGGCCACTTCCAGTTCGTCAAGAGTGACAACGCTAACGCGCTAATTCTCCCAAAATAGCCACCGCCACCGCCGTGACCATCAGGTCTATGCATGCCGTGGGCTCTGGCGCCAACGATGCCATCAAGAAGATCAAGGTGCTTGGTGCCACTTTCGTTGGTGCCGTCGTCCACACTGTAACGGCCCAGTACGCCAACGGTATCCTCCGCGAGTGGCATCTCTTCACCTACTTCTACATCTGGAGCGACTACACGAACTGGGCGCAAAACATCGATAACTGGGGCTGGTACATCTTGCTGACCCCCGCCTTCTTCGGCTCCGGTCTTCTCGTCGGTCTCAACACTGCGTTTTCCTGGTTCTTCGGTACTGTTGCTGCGTGGGGCATCATCGGGCCTCTATTGGTTCACTACGGAGAATGTGTTGGATCGCAGCCATACAAGGGTCACCCTAAGTGGGACAGCTACTACAGCTTCAACTCCATGGCGAATATCGGAAAGGAGGGTTGGGTCGCATCTCCCCGATACTGGATGTTGTGGCCCGGTGTCATGGTCCTGGTCGTGTACAGCATGGTCGAGTTCCTCATCCACGGCAAGGTGCTCTGGGATGGTGCCAAATTCGCCTACCGCGAGAGCTGCCGCTCCGTCAACGATATGCTCGCGGCTCGTGGAAAGTCTAGCACCTACCTCGCCCGCCAGGCCAACAAGATTGGAGAGTCTGACGACCTCGTCGAGGACTTTGCCCCTCCGAGCACCAGGTCCCCACCTGGGTGTGGGTGAGCGGCTCTATCGTCATTGCCTGCGCGGCGTGCGTCATTGGCCACTTCCAGTTCCACATGAACGCTGGCCTTGCCTTCCTTGCCTGCATCCTGGGTCTTCTCTTCGCCTTCCTCTCCATCCACGGTGGTGCCATCACTGATGTCACCCTCTCACCGCTTCCGCCAAGGCGTCCCAGCTCGTGTATGGTGGTATTACCCAGCCCATTGCCAAGGTCGATGTTGCGGGTGCTCAGAGGATCAACCTTATTGCGGGTTCCATCGCCTCGGGCACGGCCAACGTTGCCTCGGATCTCGTGTCCGACTTCCGTGTTGGCTTCCTTCTTCGCACTCCTCCCCACCTCCAGTTCTACGCCCAGGGCATTGGTGCCATCGTCTCCATCTTCCTCGCCCCCGGTGTTTTCGTCCTCTTCATGGCCGCCTACCCATGCATCTGGCAGGAGATGCCCGAGGATTTCCAGTGTCCCTTCCGCGCCCCGTCCGTCTTCGCTTGGCGCGCCGTTGCCGAGGCCGTCACCAACCCTAATATTCCCATCCCTCTATCTAGCGCCATCTTCTCGGGCGTCATGGGTTTCATCGCTATCGTCCAGGCGCTCTTCAAGAACTTCTACCTCGTCGGCTCCCGCGAGAAGTATCGGGTGTGGCTCCCCAACTGGATGGCCGTCGGTGTCGCCTGGGTGCTTGGTGCGGACTCTGGCTACGCCAACGCCGTGCTCTTCGGTGCCATCACCGCTTGGTGGTGGACTAAGTGGTTCCCCAAGAACTTTGAGATGTACGGCTTCGCTGCCGCTGCCGGTCTCATCGCTGGTGAGGGTTTCGCTGGCGTCATCAACGCCATTATCGAGCTTCAGGGCAAGGGTGGTGGTGATGTTGGCTCGCAAATCGGCACGCCCGGTGGAGAATGGTAAAAGAGGATATGGAAGAAGGGCTTGCTTCACCCCACATTTCTGGCTTATTTCTATTTTGTCACGTTTGCAAGGGCAGGAAAGTTTTGAGGCATGTGATGATGGGATGAACAACGGCATGGATCTCGAATAGGGAGTGAAGTGCATGCAGGATGAGTGATGTAGGGCCTATTAGGGCGGTGGATTTATTTTATGTCATGGTGCTGTATATCCCAACTCGCCTAATCTTTACTAGTCTTTTGTCAACGACATTTATACCACATCTTTTACGGTTGAAGCTGTTTAGAGAGTCGTGATTCCATGCATCATCTTGACGTGACAATGTCTGGTATCCCTGCCTAGCCCCGATTCTATTTTGAGTGCTAAAATACCCTAGCCTTGAAGGATTCGCCGATTTGGCAGTGCATGGTGTAAAGGGATGGGCGAATTCTGTTGGTATTATGGAAGAGAGCCATACAGGAAACTATGAGGAAGGAAGCAAAACGCACTGAAGGTGTGAAGTTGATTTTGACGTTGGCTTTTAAGCGCGCGTTTGTTGGCGATGGAATAGGCTTAGCTTGTAGATGATGGCGTTGGGCTTCCATCGTATTTGATGCTGGACAATACGAGGCAGGCAGGGGAGGTGTCATTGACGGGATGGGATTGGAAGAAAGGGTGAACAAGGTGGTCAGCCGCACGCAGGCACGGGAATCTTGAAGAATTTGGGATTTTTTCCTGGCAATTTTTGTTTTTTGACTTGCAGGGGGATGTGTTTCGGCTTGGTGCGTGTGAGGGTTCACTATGGCTTTGGGGGCGTGGAGGAAGGCCCAACGCAAAGAAATTAGCATCACGCTGACGATGTAATGGGCTACTGATGGGGGTTTGCCTAGTTTTGGCTACGACATAGTTTGGAGGGAATGAGTTGCTGTTAAATTCTAAGGCACGAGTCAAAGTCGCCGAGCGTAGTTTAATCTCGACTTGAGCTTTCCTTTAGTCCTCACCATATCCCAATAAGCCAAAACGGACATCACAGTGCAGGGTACACTTTAAGGAATATATATAAAAGGTACCGATTCTGGTCGGATTGGTAGATGTAAAATATGTATTGAGAAAAAGGGCACATCCACATGGCTATGGGATGTATATACATGTATCCAATGCAAATGAGGGAAAGCCCGTGTAGCGAATTATAAAAGTGTATGCAGCAGCAACCATCATCTCGCATCTCTTCTCACAAGCCTTTTTCCTCCGGGAAACTACCTTGCTCACACCTCTTCCCACGCACCGTCTTTAGAGCTTCTGCCGCGTGGTCGCACCAATGGCCTGGCCCGAAGCCGGGACCAGGAAATCGCTGGGGACGACCCGTCCGTCGGAGCCCCTGGCGCCCTTGAGGGTAGAGGAATCGGTGCTCTTGAACAAGCTATCGGTCCAAGTAACGCCGAGGTTCCACGAGTTGCCCGAGGCCTTGACGGTGGAGACGAGGGTGGCCTGGCCGTTGACGTTGTTGGAGCCGATGTTGTTCTTGAGGGTAGAGGAAGAGCTGCGCATGACGTAGCCGGTATCGCCGTTCTTCCACGCAGTGTTGCGCTCCATGGCGAGGGCGCCGGGGTTGCCGTTGTCGATGAAGCCCTTTTTGTAGTTTTGAAACGCGATGCAGTTGCGGACGACGTGGTTGGCGGGGGTTATTGGTGATGCCGAGCTTGAAGCCGTTGCCGTCGCCCTCGAAGGGGAGAAGTTCCAGCGGTTGTAGCCGTTGCCCCAGGCGTAGACCTCGTCGAGGGTGACGGGGAGGCGAACATGTAGAGGTCGAGGCCGTCGTCGACGTTGTCCCAGAGGCGGGCGTTGCGCAGGACGTTGCCCTCGCCGGAGCCTTCTTTGCAGGCGAAGCCGTCGGCGCTCTCGCCGTTCTTGCGGGGTCGCGGTTGCGGTAGGAGTCGAGGTTGGCGACGGTGTTGTTGGAGGAGGCGCCTTCGAGCTGGAAGCCGGTTTCGTAGTTGTCGTGCGTGGAGAGGCCGTCGTAGTAGTTGTGGGAGGCGTCGCGGGCGTAGATGCCGTAGGGGCCGTTGATGAGTCTGGATGAAGGTGTGTGGTTTTAGTTTTTTGCGTTCTTTTTCTTCTTTTCACTTTGCTGGCTGTTTTGCGAGGTGCTGTAATATCTTGGGGGTATTGTGATAGACTTACTCTAGCTTGTAAAAGGCCCAGTAGTTTGCGTTTTGGATGTGGAAGATGCCTCGCTCGCTGTTGGGCAAAGACTCGCCAACCGCCTTGGGTGTACTAAGGCGAGGAACAAACGATTTTTAGTATTGGATATTTCGTTGGAAAAGAAGATACAAAGACAATCAGATAGGAACGACGTACCCGGGCATGTTCTCCCCATCGATAATGACCTTTTCGCTCTGGTACGGGCGGACCGAGCTGGGCGACGTCCTCGTCCCGCTCTTGCTGAACTGGATGTTGGCCGAGGGCCGGTACGTGCCGCCGCGGAGGTAAATGGTGTCGCCGGCGACGGCGGCGTTGACGGCGGACTGGATGGATCCGTAGGGCGCGGCAAGAGTGCCGGTGCCGGTGCCGGTAGGCGAGACGTAAATGTCCTTGGCGGCGACGGCGCCGAGAGAGACGAGGATGATAGCTAGGGTGGAAGGCATGATTGCTGGCCGGCTGGGTGCAAGGTATTAAGGTGAGGTGGGCAAGAGAGGGATAGATGACGGTATCACATCACGGTTGAGATTTCTTGACTGCGCATATATATTGATATATATATCTATTGTCATTTGCATGACGTTTTCGGAGTCTGGGGTGTCCAAGTGTTGTATTGCCCCTCACATCGTCCATGGCGATGCTCCTGTCATTAGAGAGCGTGATATGCATCATCCATAGCGTGTCCCATCATCCCAGCTTCCGCTCCACTGGGAAGAATTCGGTCCCCACCAAAGGTGTGGCTCCGCGACAGGGGTCAGGATCAGGGTCGTGCTGACCGAAAGTGGCACCTCGTAGCGCCAAGCAATCTCGAGTTTCAAGAAGAACTGCGTGAGAAGATTCAAGGTTAAGACCTGCTTGGATTTTCTTTTTTTTTCTTAGGGCGACGTTCGTATTGGGGGCTCTGGTAACCCAACGCTCCGTGCTCGCAGCCTAGCGGCGCGGACTACAGAACCTGATTGGGACGGGAGGTGGATGCTTCGGAAGGGAAAAGGGGAAGATCTGGGCTTTGAAGATCGGAGGTTGCTGTTGATTTTTGCGGAGCCGGATTCGAGGAGTTTGCGGGTCCACCAATCGGACGGTCGCAATGGTGGAGAGGGCGGAGAGAGAGCACTGGCGATGGCAGCGCAGATGGGGCCAGGGCAGTGCTAGTGGTGGATATCGAGCTCCGAACAGGGATTAGGGTTAGAGGGGGCCATCTCTTCGTCTCATCTTTTTCTCAGTGCAATGGCCGGGACTGGAGGGGAAAACGTGCTCCTTTTTTTGTTCCTTTTTTTCTTTTTCTCCAAGTGAAGGACGGGATGGGACGTGTTCGTGTTTGTCCTGCACCTCGTGGCAACGAATGCAGCCTCGCATCGACGGGGGCGTGTCAGTCCCATCACCCCGGATGGCGATGCGATGGCAGCACGACGAGAGTCACATCGAATGTTGGTGGGCGCAGACCTACAAGGAGAACAATTGACGGAGATATGTTTACGGGTGTCTTGTCGCTCAAGGACCGTCAAGTTCCATCATCCCGATTCGTGCCGGGGTGCTACACATTCAGCTTCAGCTCCGCAAGATGAACTCGTCGAGCTGTTCATGTTCATACATCACACGCACTCCGCGACGCTGCTTGCATTAGCTTCGTTTTTTCCGCCCCGCTGTTCTGCATTCTCTGATCACGATCTATATTTCGCAATACTGCTAGATTCCTCGATCTCTCCTCCCCCATTAGCGAGGTGTATATCCTTTACTCGTTGATTCTTGCGGGATATGGAGAAATCTCAGCTCGCGCTGTCACTCGTCTTCGTCGAGAGCTGATTCCCTATACCGAGGTAGACAGTCATGGAATGGCCCACACAGAGAGAAACCTTGCCCGTATGTCGATTGCGAGAGTGACGAAAAGCTACTTTCAACTCTTGTCGACCAATAGGAGAAGAGCTTTTGGTGTGTATGTCCAACTATTTCCAGAGTAAAAAGACGCTCCTCTTTGGCTCTTCAAAGTCTAGATAAGCTCGGAGTTTTAGCTTTGACGCGCGTCCAAAGTCTGACGATGGTTTCCAACCGGCTAGAATGGAAATAATAAAAGACTTTTACGGGCTTTAGGTTCCAAATTGCAAGAAACATAAACCTTCGTTCAATAGAGGCCGATGCATCCAACATACCAGCCTCGTTTCGGGAACAAGCCGCCGGCAACCGAGCTTTGGTAGGCTCTCCTTCCCACGGTGAGCCTAGAATATTCGAGAGCATTTCGGTCCGAGATGCTAAAGCATATAGAAACCCAGTGGTTTTGGCGAAGACACACGCTAACACAGATGTCAGATTCGAGGATGCGGGGAAAGTAGTGGGCCACATGTACGCAGAGTATATCACGTTTTTCTTTTGGCCATCGCAGTGTACATGTACTACAGGTATATTCTGTAACCGCGTGGCAGACCAAGCTTAAATATGACCAAAAAGTGGTACTAAGAGGCTATCGTGGGTTGTGAAAACCTGGCCGGGGGAATAAAGTGACGCGGGTTGGAAAAGGCCGAGGTGTTTAATCTTTCATATTCACATTTCGGGATGACAACCAATGAATATTCAACAACTGGACATAGAATCCCACGATAGCATAAGACTGCGGAGAGTTGGTTCCAACGCTTCTTCACATTCACGTTAGACTTTTCGATTCCAAGCCCCAACAAGTGTATGGGCATCCATAGATCCATCTATTGATGGATCCATGGATGGATCTATGTACAGGCATCGAGGTCGCCTAGCGGGACCGGTGAAGATGCACGTCTTTTTCCTGTTCGGATCCAGGTCCAGGCGTCATGCTTGTGTATAAGAGTTTGAGGTAATGAGGGGGTGCGCCCACGAAGGGCACTTTTGGGAGACGAGAAAGAAGGATAGATGGATGAAAACCTTCACCCCCGCAACATCCAAAGTCCCCAGACTTTCCCCCAGACCGGTCCCCCAAACCGGTCTCTGGGGACGGAAAACCTTGCAAGGCCTGGTTCTGTGTTGACGTATGGGCAACGGGACGGAAGGTGCTCACGAACGGCCCCCGCGGCGATGGGGAAAAAGGCTAGTGTCAGGCGATAGAATGTTATTGGTCTTGCCGGCACCGTGTTCCCATGCGCATCGAGCATATTTTTTATAAGGCTGGGTATCGGGGATTGCCCACCCACGCCGTGTTCCTTCTCGCTCATGCCTAACGCATTGCGCCCTCCAATCTCCAATCCTTGCTCTTAGCACAGCCTAGTTCTATCCCCTTCACCGTAACCTGACCCTCCACTATGGAAACAAAGGACGAGGTTCAACTTGTAGAGGAGAGCAGCTCCGATGCACTCAGGCCCACCCTCTCTTCAGTTACCTTGGATCCCGCCGCGGAAGCCGCAGTCCGGAAGAAGTTGGATTGGCGCATCATGCCGATTGTGGTCTTGATTTATCTATTTGCGTTTATAGACAGGACCAATGCGGGCAACGCGCGAGTCCTTGGTAAGGACTTCTACTCCTTTTTATTTCTTTATAGATGGGAATCTATTCCGTTTTCATCGGGCCGTGGTGGTGCCCCTGCTAATGAGTGGGTTGGTGTTTGCAAGGCATGGACGAGGATCTACACCTCGACGGGTTCCGGTTCAACATTTCCTTGACGGCCTTTTATGTCCCTTATATTCTTTTCGAAGTGTGAGTACCGCTAGGTCCCCCATTGGTATTAGTCCAGCCGCGTCTAATCCTTCTTTTCCGCTGACACACGCCCACGTTCATGAGTATAGGCCCGCCAACATGCTGTGCAAAGCTATCGGGCCCAAAATCTGGAGTAAGTTCCGCAAGCAATCGGCAGAATCTTAAAGAGTCGCTAAAATATGTGTGTAGTTCCTGCTTTAACGGCCTCTTTCGGCATCGTCGTCCTCTGCATGTCCATGGTGAGCACGTACGAGGCCTTTATTGCTACACGGGTAGTTCTTGGCTTCACGGAGGCGGGTATGTCAAAACTAGGACCGCGTGACCTGCGCTCTGTCCCATCCTCCCTGCCAATTCTTTTCCTCTTCCATGGACAAATCAAAGTTAACTCATCGCTTTCCGTAGGCATCATGCCGGGAATAACCTATATGCTCTCTTGTTTGTGAGTCTTGGAACGGCACGCACCAAACTGAAGACACAAGGCACTAACAAGCATCAACCAGCTACCGGAGACGTGAGCTAGTCACAAGAATCGGCCTATACGCTAGCGTGACTTCCCTCAGGTACGTTTCTCTTCTTAAAAACGGGCTCGTGAACGAAGCTCCGCATCCCACAGCCACCACGTTTTACTAACCACCCACTCCAAACTCTCCCTAAACAGCGGCGCATTCGGCGGCCTCCTCGCCAGCGCCCTCACCAAAATCCCCCTGGGGCCCCCTCCACACCTGGCGCAACATCTTCTTCTTCGAGGGTCTCCTCTCCCTCATCCTCGGCCTCACCGCCTACTTCCTCCTCCCCGACAGCCCCGCCACAGCCGCCTTCCTCTCCCCCAACGAGCGCGCGCTCGCCGCCGCCCGCATCGCCGACGACCTGGGCAACGGCGGCCGCATCGAGGGCCTCGAGGCGAAATACGTCCGCCGCGCCGTGTGCAACCCCAACACGGCCCTCGTGGCCCTCGCCTCCCTGTGCAGCCTCACGTCCATGAACTCCATGGCGCTCTTCGTGCCCTCTATCCTCCGCGCCATGGGCCACTCGGGCGCCCGCGCCCAGCTCCTGTCCGCGCCGCCCTACGCCTGGGCCGCCGTCGTGTGCGTGTCCGCCAGCGCGCTGTCGGACCGGATGCGCACGCGCGGCTTCTGGGTGCTGGCCGTCATGCCGTTCTCCGTCGTCGGTTTCGGCATCCTCGCGCTGGCGGATCCGGATCGCTTGGGCGGCGCCATGGGACCGGGGCTGCGCTACTTTGCGCTGTTTTTGTGCTTGACGGGCGTGTTTACCGCGTCTCCGGTTTTGCTGGCCTGGGCTGTCGAGAATAGCGCGGGACACACCACCCGCGCTGTCGTCGCCGCCTCTGTCGTGGGCTTTGGTAGCACTGGTGGGGTCGTGGCGGCGTGGACGTACCTGCTCCCCGACGCGCCTGGTTATATCAAGGGCCACGTGGTCAACTTGGCCTCGGCTTGCGTGTGCATCGTCGCCGTGGTTGCGGCCATGTGGCGCCTGGATAAGGAGAATCAGTTTCGGAAGGCGGGGGTAGGGATTATCGCGTGCGTGGGAAGACGCAGGAGGAGATTCAGGACTTGGGACACGAACACCCCGAATTTGTATTCACCTTGTAGGATGGTTAAGGGCGGTGCGTAGTAGGTGTTGAGTCTGAATTAAGCAGAGGGGGAAAAGGGGGTTGTTGTGTTGTTGTGTCTGCTCGCCCATGGAGGTATAAATTCACACACGACAAATTGATAGCAAAGACACAATTCTTGGGCACCCATATACTGGATTTTATGTAAATGCAGTCTATTATTTCTTCGAGGATATCCAGTCCAAAAGTTATTCCCATCTACCAAAAGCGCCACAATAATGAGCATACATAGTTAGCCTCCGCTTGATGAATCATCGACAAAGCCCCTTGTCACTTCTCTTTTTCCCTCTCTCTGGTCTAGTCCATTACAAGTCAGCCTTTGCAGGTTCTCCAGCCCACGCCCTGCGGATAAGCTCCCTCACGGCATCCTCTCGACGGGGCGGGGGTTCCAGTAGGGCTTGGACACGGCAATGTCGGCGGCCTTATCAATATCCTCTTCCTTCATGCCGAGGTCGCGCAGGCCCCTCTTGACCTGCAACTTGTCGAGGAGGGTGTTGAGGCCGCGCACAGCGTCGCCCTCGCTGCCGGGGAGAGCCTCGGCGAGCTTGGCCATGGCGACAGGGATGGCGGGGGCGTTGTAGGCGAGAGCGTGGGGGAGGACGATGGTGTGGGTCTCGGCGTGGGGCAGGTTGAAGCTGCCGCCGATGGCGTGGCAGAGCTTGTGGTGGAGGGACATGCCGACGTTGCCGAGACAGACGCCGCAGAGCCAGGCGCCGTAGAGGGCGGAGGAGCGGGCGTCCGGGTCGGCGGGGTTCCGGATAATAGAGGGCAGGGCGGCGGCGAGGAGCGCACGCCCTCCTGGGCGAACATGGCGATGATGGGGTTGGCGTTTTGGGCGTAGAGGGCCTCGACGGCGTGGGCGATGGCGTTGACGCCGCTGGTGGCGCTGAGCCCGGCGGGCAGCGTCATGGTGAGGTCGACGTCGTAGACGACGGTACCCGGGAGGATGGCGGGGTCGCTGCGCGTGGTCTTGAGCCCGTCGGCGGTCTCGCCGAGGATCGGGGTGACTTCGCTGCCGGCGTAGGTGGTGGGGATGGCGATGTTGTGCAAGCCGGTGCGCACGCTGATGGCTTTGCCTAGGCCAATGGTGCTGCCGCCGCCGAGGGAGACGAGGGAGTCGGCGCCCGAGGATTGGGCAAAAGCTACGGCGCGCTCCGTCACGTCGACGGGGGTGTGCATGGTGGCTTCGCTGAAGAGGCCGGCGACGGCGCCGCCGAGGAGGGTGCGGACCTGCTCTGCTTGGTCGATTTGCTGCGGGGTGGAGAGCAGGAGGGGGCGGGAGAGCTGGAGGGAGGCGAGGATGGCGGGGAGCTTGGCGAGGGCGCCGCTGCCAAAGACCACTTTGGTGGGGTTGGCGGTGTATTCGAAGGCGTCCATGGCGCTGGTGGGTTTTTTGGTGATCTGGAGGTTGGTGACGAGAGAGAGAGAGAGAGAGGGGGAGAGAGAAGGAAAAACGCGATCTAAGGTTATACGGCAGTGTCGAGTAAAGCGTGGGCTTGGTATCAAGCGGGCCAGGAAAGAGGAAATGAGGAGAAAGAGACGAGCAAAAAGAATTGTCGTGGAACTAGATTCAAAGCTACAACGGACCACAAGAAAAAATGACGAGAAATGAACCCCTCCCTCCGTGAAGAAGCTCCGGACGCGGGCGGAAATATACGTGACTCGGGATTATCAAGCCGAGGACCAGTGCGGGAATCGGGTTCGCTGGCGCAAGTCGTAGTCAGGACTGACTAAATGAACTAGCCCTGACTAACATTGTACAAACTAGCTCGAGACGAGGGAATTCAGCCCACTCCTTTGGCCGCCAGCTCTTGAATGACCCCATTTTTTCCTCCACAGACTTGGTCTCCCCGCCCCGAGGAGGAAGGAAGAAAAGGAGGCGTGGCGGCATCGTCGCAGTGCCGGAAACTAAGGTGTGTGGGGGAGGGGAAAGGGGAAGGGCGAAGAAAATAATAGTCCACACGTGAACCTCCCCCACTTACCCGCTTTTTCGAGTGTCCCTCTGCCGGAGCCCCGAGCCGGCACCGGAGGACGCACTGGCTTGTGGGGCTTGTGCGAGCGGAGGAGAGTGGGCAGGTTGTGCAGCCGCAGCGGAAAAGGTGTGGCGGGTGAGAAATATAATGCGGTGGGTTTTGATGGCCAGCACGTACGCACACGACAAAGACTCGAGACACCAATACCGCGAGGTGCCAACAAGATAGTGGTATTGAGGTTTAATTTTATGAATTATTTTTCCTCCTTTGTTATCCTTTTTATTTTACATGCACTTTTAGATGGTATTAACTGCATTGATTCCCAAAGTCTTTTTCTCGGCGACCGCGACCGCGAGGGCCATGGGTGTCTGATAGACTCCCAACCTCCAGTATGCACGAACACCAGGACCGCGACACTCGGCCGGCCCCAGCAAGCGCGTAGAGGAAGAGAAAAGCGTTCTGGCACAAAAGACCAAGTCTTCTGTCAAGGAAGAGCCCTAGGAACCTCCAAAGTATGGGGAGCAGAGCGGCATATAGTCCTGGGTGTCGTGTCTATCCAGATGGTTGCGATTTCAAAGCAAGGTTCACATGGGACACAGGAGGCCCCAACCCTCCAGAGCCGGAGACTAGATGCTCCCCACGGCGAAAAGGATCGAGGCACGGCCCCGACCCTTGCCGAGTCTGTCCGGTATTCCCTTCCGCTGCTCAAAGACCTCCCCATACGTCAGGGTTCTATCCTGTGGGCTTTCAATAAACTGGTGCTTTCTAGTTAGCCCATCATGCAATGGTTGATCCTATCTACATGTGGGAAGCCGTATCCATCCTCACATCGCCCATGCGGGTGCCGTGCGAGACCGCGGACCTTGATCCGGCGGCAACACCCCGCGAGCCCTCAACATCTCCTCCGAGCAACAGAACTAATAATACGACCCAAGACTTCTAGACGTCCTTGACAGCATGCACTAAAGACGTTCCGCTACAACCCTGCGGCGCTTTTCTGCGGCTCCGGTGCAACATGCGACGGGGGTTCTGGTCGGGGAGGACATTTCGAGCACATGCGGCCCAGCCATTTTGCTTGGCTAACGGAGCCATAGCGCAGAAAACAAGAAAAGTTGTAAACAAATCATTCTTTGGCTTCTTCTCTTCTCTTTCCTCATTCGAGCAAATTCGCTAAATTTTACCCGGCGCGGGGGAGGAAGGGGGCGCACCCGCATCCCCGGGGGTTGAATATTTGGTTCGCACTGGGCACTTTGCGCAGGAATGACAGGGGTTTGTGTCTTGTGTTGGTTCTTTTCCTGGCCTGACTGCTGCATCTCTTTTTTTTCTTCGTGCGGAGAAGCGCGCGGGGATCACCAACTCCTGGCAGGTCGTCCGAAGTGTACCGGGGGCTGGAGAGGAGCGTGGGGGGACGGGACGAAAACGAGAGGGAAGAGAAAGCGGCCCGTCGCTAGGCCAAGGAAGTTGCACAAAAACGGGATTTCCGAAGAGTCGACCGCTATAATGGACATGGGAGCCGACGGGGGTGCGGACTTGGCGGCGTGCGGGCAAGGGCGCGTAGTCGAAAGAGAGCTCGTTGGGTTGTGTTATGCGTGCGTATATATATGGTCAGGAAAGCGACGACTCTGCTCCCGAATAAGACGAGGAAACCATTGCATATTCTCTTCTACCTAAGTGGTATAAAATCAATTTCTCCTCGCTTGTTCCTATTCCCCGTCCAGCAAGTTCTCCTCTTAACTCAAAATATACACTCCTCACCAAACATTCCCGACACATCCTAGACGAGGCACAGCATGTCCTCCCTCCGCAAAGCCATCGCCCTCGCGCTCAGCGCCTCCTCCCTCCTCCTCTCCGGCGCGGCCGGCACCCCATCCCCGGCTGCGGCAAGTGCCCCACGCTCACAAACGGGCGCCACGTCGTGACCGTCAACGGCCGCGAACGGCAATTCATCGTCAAGCTCCCCGAGACGTACGACGCGCGCCGGCCCCACCGCCTCATCTTCACCTTCCACCCCATGGGCGGCAGCGCCGAGCTCACCGCGTCCGGCGACGCCAACACGCTGCCGTGGTACGGCCTGCCGCCCTCGCCGACGACAGCGCCATCTTCGTGTCGCCCAACGGCACCCTGGGCGTCTACGACCTGCTGGGCTGGGCCAACACGGACGGCGACGACATCGACTTCGTGGACGCCATGGTCGAGGCCGTCGAGGCCGCGCTCTGCGTGAACCAGGACTTGCGCTTCTCCACGGGGTTCAGCTACGGCGGCGCCATGTCGTATGCTATTGGCTGCGCGCGGCCGGAGCAGTTTAGGGCCCTTGGTATTATTAGCGGGGCGGAGATGTCTGGGTGTGAAGGTGGAGCGCCCTCGAGGCCTATTGCTACGTATCAGCAGCACGGCGTGCAAGACGATGTAAGTATTGACGGTGTAGTTTGAGAAAGTAGTTTGGCGCGACGAGAGACTGTGGAACTTGGCAACTACGTGAACGTGCCCCAGGCCGCAAAAGACAAAAAGAAAAGGTGGCTAACACGTGGTGAATAGCTGCTCCTCTTTGACAACATTCTCCCTATGCGGGACGCCCTCGTGGAGGCCAATGGGTGCACGCCCGTCACGCCCGAACCGATTCCCGTGGGAAACACCGCTGCCAGGGTCGACTACGAGGGTTGTCTCGAAGGGTACCCCATGACCTGGGTGGCCTTTGACGGCGGCCACATCCCCGGCTACGTGGATGAGGGCGATGACGTGCCTCTTTCGACGAAGAATATCTGGGAATTCTTTACCCAATTTGAGTAGACGTAGCGGTGTACTGTATTTCCCTTCTTCTTTTTTTTTTTTTGTTTTCCTTTTCTTTACATCCCTGGGCCATGCCGCCCTTTCTGGTTTTGACACAGGGAGGTTATGACGATGACGGCCGCCTTATATAACTTACTTAACTGTTGATCCTGGGATATATTTAATTTGATTTGACGATACTCCAATCTCCCATCTCGCAAGTTTCTGGCCATGATTACACGTGATGTGACTCGGGTCCAACTTACGTTCAGGGCCGCCCATTCATAGCTGGCTAGAGGTGAAAGGAAGGGTGGTCGCGGAATTCTCAACTCTTCCTTTGGTTGGATCTTCCCAAAAATCATGAGAACAAAAGTTTCGCTGAAGGAACGTATGAGTCTGCCAAGCTGGACGGAGGGAAGGCTAAACAGGTACCAACGTCTTACCCTAAATTTAACCCTAACCCTTAGCCGCGCAACGGTTCAAGATGATACATGTATTCAAATTGGGAAAGATGAGGGTTCTTGAAAGAGTATATTCATAGGCGAGATCAAAACTAACTACGCCAGTCATTAAAAGTGACCGCACCAACTATTTTCATAAACTCGTATCAACCCTATCCGTATATAGCAGAGCATTAATCACCATTACATTATATACAATATTATATGAGGGGACCGATTCCATCGTGCCCCTTACTCTCTCCGTCACCATCATTATCCGTTTTCGCATTCTTCAGCCCGAGACCAAGTGCTCAAGCCAGAAGCCTCACTAGCGCTGGGCGTGTTGGATCCTCCTCCTAACTCGCGAGATGGGCCCGGCTGGCGAAGTAGACCCGGCCGACAAGACCGGCGCCACCTCAATATCCACGCGATGGTACTTTCCAAGATCGTTCTTGTTGAGGGCGGTGGGGAGATACCACCACAGAACCCATCCCCAACTCTCTTCGGCCAACGCCCAGAACGGGGTCTCGGAGGCGCTCTTGCCGGCGACGTCCTGGGGACGCAGGAGCTGGCGGCCGTCGCTATCCGGGACGACGTTCCACTTGTTGAACTCAAAGGAGACGCCCACGTTGGCCGGGGCGGGATACTCGAGGGACACGATGCGGTACTCGGAGCGGGCGGTGGGCCCCATGATGGCGAGGTAGTTTTGCACGCCCTTGGTGCTGGAGGGGCCGCGTTGGGGGTGGGGACGACGAGGAAGCTCATGAAGGGAGGGGCGCGCCGATCTCGGGCGGCGCGCGGCGGAAGAAGAGGGGGATGTGTTCTTGGGGGCCGGGGTCTGGGCGAGGTAGCTGCTTTGCGTCTCGTCCCAGGCGATGAGGGTGCCGTTGAACTGGGGGAGCGCGGGCCTGGAGATGGGTGTTAGCGAAAAGGGTTGAGATCTTTTTGGTGTTATGTGTGCGTGTGTGTATGTGTTGCGAGGGGGGTTGAGAGCAGTGGCACGCTCAATCGGGGATGTCAAAGGCTTCTGGGAGGTTAGAAAGGGGAAGGGGGAAACATACGCATAGACTCGAAGCTGGTAGGTCTGATCATATTCAAGCTGCACCTTCTCCTGGGCCATGACGGACCCTACGAGGAGGAGGAGGAAGGAGAGGGAGGGACGCATGGTTGCGGGTGTGATGGCACGTAGAGACTTCGTTTTCACGAAATGGATAATAGAGGCAACCTTCGTTGTTTGAGCAAGATGGATGGTCCCCGGATGAGAATGAAGAAAGATTCCTTGGAGTCCTTTTGTTGCCAGTCCTTTTGTGTTCCCTGCCACCTTTCCGGCCGCCATGTCATCCCAGCCCGTCCTTTTATACGTTTCCGTACAAGGCGTGAGAGACGTCCTCCCCGGCGCTTACAATGCGCGAATGGATCGTATGCATGTACATGACCGCCTTGCCATGTCGGGTGGTCGGCTGAGGGGCTAGATGACACAATGTCTCGTAACTTTTTGTGTTTGCACATCACATTTTTGGCGTCCTTTGCCTTCTCCTCCGCCTTCTCCACTTCCGTCCTCACTCTTAATACCGCTTTGCTCTTCGGCGAATCGCCTCGCCGCTCATGGATCTAAGACACAAGGGAAAAAACCTTTCTCTGCCCCAACCTTTGTTTCGGGCACGTCCAAAAGGGAAGTGATGGATAAGAAGCCCCGCCTTTTTCTTTTTCTTTTCTCTCTCTCTCCCTCTCTTTTGTTTCTTGTTGGGCCTATCTGTCTCAACTGGAAACCCAACCTCGGGAGAAGGAGAGGGAAAGAAGATGCGCTACGGGGAGGGTTGGAAGAGCGAGCTAGGCTCTTGTTCGGCCACCCCTTGTCTCACGGAGCCATGACGTGGGGTGGTAAGATAAATCGGGGTGCTAGATAAATTCGTTCGTTGCCCCCGAGTGCCGAAAACGGGCTGGAGGCGCGACGATCGACTAGAGGAAAACCAAGCCAAATGCAAACTTTGCGTTGCACTTCCCGAGAGAGGTGCTGGCTTCTGGCGCACATTATCCCTAAAGAAGTTTGAACCAAAGAGCTAGCAGCGCGTGGCCAACAGGCTAATCGGGTCGTGGGCCGTACTAGAAGCGTGACGGACGACTGACGAGATCGAAGAAGTCTCAGTTGAGGTAAGCGACCAGAGAGAGAGAGAGAGAGAGAGAGACTTGCTAGCTCTGATGCTTCCGATCAAGGGTCCCTAATCCCATCTCTCAACCACCCCGATCATCATTGCCTCGTTTGCTTTCCTCGCCACCGGGTGCTCCCACTGCGAGAACTCAATCCACTTTGGAATCTTGCCTCGACGCCGTCGAGACTCGAAGTGGCTAAACTTACTCAAGCTCCCGATCCTCTTCCATGCTTCGAAGCTAAGCTCGATTCTAGCCTTGATGAGCCCGTTAGCTCGCCTTCGACTTACACAACCGGCGGCGATCCAAGAACAGAAGGAGGCTTTTCGTAATCCTTCCTCTCGGGATATGGATCCTTCAATGGACAAATCAAGAACTCTCCCGCACGATGGGACACATGCCTTCGACTGATGGACGTTGAAATCTTTCGCGAAAGAAGAAGAAAGATAAAAAAAAGTGGCAAATAGGAACAAGAAAAGTGCGTTCGAGCTCCGTCTCGGGTAGCTCAGTATGGATTCGAGTCGAGATGCACTTGAATCCACTCCCGCGCGAGATGTTGCAAAGAAGGATAGACCCGACCATGAGGTGTCTCTCTGGTGAAACGGGCCTTTCTCTCAATGCCTACTCCATTAGATCCAGGTGTGGCTGGTTTGCATCCAGAGAGGCCTCTCCTCGCCTTGGGGAACAAACAAGCCACACAATACGAAGCAGCGGGGGAAGGAAAAAGGGCCACGGAGGAGGAAAAAAAGAATAATCAAAATCATTATGTATTACCCCTACTCCAAGAAAAATAACCTTGATTCCGTTTCCCAACCATCCCCCATTGACATCTGAAGGGCAAAAGGTAGGGGAGGGGGCATGGAACGGCGCGTACGTTCTCCAACGTCTCTAGCTCCGCCCACCACCACGCGCCCTATTCTCCCGCTGCCGCCTCTCCTTCTTCGCCGTCTTCCTCCGGCTCATCCACGATTTATTGAGCTCACGCCGGTTCTCGTAGAACCAGCTCTGGAAGTCACCCGTCCCCGCAGCCGGCGCCGTTCCCGACCCAGACTCCTCCTGCGCCTCGGTTCCGAAGCCCGATTGGGTCGTTTCTCGGCTCGGCGGCGGGCGGAGCGGGACGTGGGGCCCTCCTCCCCATCCTCCTCCTCCTCGTTGATGCCATCCTTGTGAGTAGGCTCCCAGAACCCTCGCATGCGGGCCGGATGCGCCGTGTCCGGGGTAGGCGCCGCGCTGCGAACGTGTCTTAGCTCAAGGTCTTGCCGTGTGAAGGGTGTCATAGGTGGTTGGCCCCCGGGCGCGGGGAGATAGCCGCCGTCTTCGTCCGCGTCTTCGTCATCCTCGTCATCGTCGTCGCCGCTTCCTGCGCCGAAGAAGCTAAAAGGCTCGGCAGCGGGCGCGGCGTCCGCGGCGTCTCCGTCTGTCTTGGTGCGTTTGTAGAGGGCCTCGAGGGGATGGACCTTGGCCGGAGTCATGGGCGGCGGCGGGATCTTGATGAAGAGGTTCTTCATCGAGCCCGAGGATCGTGGACGGGCGGATGTGGGTGACTCGTCGACTAGGGGTTTTAGGCTATCGGTATTCGTAGTGTTTGCGGCGGAGGGTATTTGTTCTTCTTTGCTCTCGTCTGTGACTTCTGCAGAGTCTGAATCATCAGACTCCGAGTCGGAGCTAGAATCCTGACTAGAATCAGACTTGGATGATGACTCTTCAGAGGCAGCGGGTTCGACAGTAGCGATTTCAGTCGCGGCCTTGGCATCAGCGACGGGCTCGCTCTCCGATTCGCTCTCGGACTCGCTCTCAGAAGAATCGCTACTGCTGTCATCACTGCTGTCCTGCTCGCTACTTTCCGACCCCTCATCACTCCCCACCTTCTCCTCCGTCTTCGCAGGCAGCTCCTTCTTCGACGCAGTCTTCGTCGCAGCCTCCTTCTTCACCCCCTCCTTGGGCTGCTCCTTTTGCGCCGGCTTCGCCTTGCGCGGAGGTTCAGGCTCGGGTACAGGATCGTCGAACGGCAAGGGTATCGGCCCCGTCTGCGTCGACTCCGTCGCAACGGACGACGATTTAAGAAAGCTCGGGAACTTGGTCGTGTCCTTGAACTCGTGCACCACGACCTCGCGGTGCGCCTTGCCCTTCTTGCGCCTCTTCCTCCGCTCGTCGGGCGTCGCGTCCGCCAGCGCCGGCGCATTCGCCGGCATCACCACCTTCATCAAGCACTCCTCCTTTTCCGTGTACTTGCTCTTCACCACCCTCTTGCTCTTCTTCCCCTTGTCCTTGTCCTTGTCCTTGGCCTCCGCCTTGTCCTTCTTCGACCTCTTCCGGTTCTTCATAGCCTCGCTCCGCACCTCCTCGGGCGTCATCGTCCACCCCGCCGCACCTTGCGACCCTCGGGCAGCATCACCCCTTCCGTCGTGTTCAGGTCCCTCTTGCGCTTCTTCTTGGAGCCCCCATCCTCGCCATCGCCCGCCGAGGACCGGCTCTTCTTGCGCTTCTTGGAGCTCACCTCGGCCTCGAGAGCCTCGTCACCGTCGCCCGGCTGGATCGCCTTCTCCGCCCTCGCCTTCTCCACGCGCATCTTGTGACCTCGGAGCGTCGACCCGCTAAACTTTCTCCGCACCTTCTCCGCGTCCGCCGCCGGCAGCTCTACGAACCCGTACCGGTTCTCGGGAAAGGTCTCGACCGTGTGGAACGAAATGTTGCGCGCCCGCGGTAGGATCGAAGCCGCGGGGATCACCGTCTTGAGAAGGTCCGCGTCGAACGGCGTGATGTGCAGTCGCACGTAGAGCTCCGTCGTCGTCGTCGTCGTCGTCGTCGCTGGGGGCAGCGGCCCCTTCCGTGAGACTCCGGGGATGGGAAGGGACGGTTGAGGGGTGGCTTCTGCGGGCATCACTCGAACCACGAGGATTTTCTTTGCCTCCGACTCTGTTTTGTCGTCTTTGGTTGCGAAAGCCGTTGTCTCGGTGAGCTTTCACGTGCGCAACTGGAAGGGAAAAAAAAATGACCAGTCAATAGAACTGGAAAAAAATAATAAGGGTCCCTCCCCCTTTCGGAAATGGAGAAAAATGGAAAAAAATTATGGTTGGATTTTTGCTTGGGTCCGTACTGTGTGACTGTACCGGCTGGAGCATTGCTTTTGGCAGCTGCGACCGGTGGACAAAAGATCCCATCACGTGTATACTGTACTGTGCGCTTCAAGGCAAGACAGAGCGCCCAGCACTGTCGGAAGTCCAAGCTTCTTCAAAGCTCAATGGACGGACCTGGAGCTCCCCAAGAGCCTCACCACTAATTGAACGACGCATCGCCCTTCATCCAGAAGCACTTTGCAATATCTTGATCAATCACACTATAAGCGAATTGAAAGCCGTGATATAAAAAACAAGATTTTTTTCCTTTTCTAAAAGTTTTAAACTACAAAATCAAAACAAAAAGAAAGAAAACTCGTACTAAACACGAGTGAAAGAAACGAACGTAAAACTACCAGGAATAATCTTAGACCTTCGCAAGGACCGCCATCCCCATCTACCCAGTGCAACCACAACCACCCGTAGATGACTCCGATCGGATCCTCTGATCATCACCATTGCCTCCCAGCGAGACGCCTTGCCCGGGATCCGGTTGCCATTGCTGTTGGCCCGCGTCCGGCTGCTGAACTTGGTCCGGTTGCCACTGTTGCTGGTTCTGGTCCGGCTGCCACTGTTGTTGTCCTTGGTCCGGTTGCCATTGTTGCTGCCCTTGATCAGCCTGCCATTGCTCTTGGCCCTGGCTCTGGTCTGGCTGCCATTGCTGTTGTCCTTGGTCGGCCTGCCCTTGATCGGCCTGTCCTTGCTCTTGTCCTTGATCAGGTTGCCATTGCTCTTGTCCTTGCTCAGGTTGCCACTGTTCCTGTCCCTGCTCCGACTGCCAATCTCCCTGCACCGAGCCATCGCTCTGTCCATCACCACCCTGGTCTTCCTCCTCCTCGGGCTTAGGTAGCTCGTCAGGAGCCGACGGAGCCGATGACGCGCCCTCGCCCAAGGCGGGAAGCTCCGCAGGAGATTCCGATTCCTCCTCACCCTCTCCCTGTCCCTGACCTTGTCCTTGTCCCTCGCCACCACCCTGGCTTCCCTGTCCTTGACCTTGACCTGGCTGCTGCGGGCACCCTGCGTTCGTCTGGGGGCAGCACCCGATCACAACTTGGCACGGCGGCGGCGGCGGCGGCGGCTTCTTACACGCCTCTTTCTCCCCGCCTCGCACCGCGCCGCTTTCTGCCGCTCACTCTCAAACCAATCCTTTGCGCGCTTTACCTCCTCTGGTGAGAATATGCGCTCGTACGCGGTCCAGATGCTTCGACCAGAGCCCGCCTTCGGCCTGTACTCCTGCGGCGGCCTCGGCCGTCGTCGACTGTCCCGCTTACCGTGTCCTAGTTCTTGCTTCTGGATATCGGGTTCGCCGTTCGTGTCCCTCTTTTGATTGTTGCTCGTGTTCTCGCTGTTGCTCTCTGTGCTGTTGTTTCTAGCTGCATCGGATTTGGTCTTCGTATCTTGGGGCTTTTTTCGAAGACCTCAGCTGCCTGTCGATCCATCTCGAAATTGACCAAAGTATGCCCCTTTGCTTCACTGGTGGAGCACGGTCTGGGTTTTGGCCTTTTCCGACTTGGCCAGACTCGAGCGTGACCCCGCTGTGCTCGCCGCTAGCAGCCTGGTTTCCTTCTACATTGTCTGCATCAGATCCATTCCAGTCAGCCGGGTCACGCTCTTGGCCATCGTGGTAGTCGCTATTCATTACCTGTTCGTCGGAGCGCCTTTGCCTCCCGAGGGACTGCTTTCCTCGGGTGCCAAAGCCCTCTCGCTGGCCATAGACCTCGCGTCCCTGCTCCACTTTTCCGCCGTGGCGCACGTATGGAGGACCGTCCTCATTACTGACCTCATCCTCGATGAGTTTCTCGTCCACAAAGACCTCCACCGGCACAGGCGGCGAAGCTCCGGGGCCGGGACCGAGATCAGCTCGTAGGTTGCGGCGAAAAAGTCCCTCAAAGTCACCCTCTGTGGCGTCAGAGTGTTGCTCGCCATCGCCATCGCCATCGCCATCGCCACTCTCAACCTCTGGGCTATCGTCAAGTACCATGTCGAGGGCTTCCTGGACCAACTCTTGAACCCAAGTCTCACCCAACTGGAAAGGTCCAGGGCCCAAACGCTCACCTCCCGACGGCACCTTCTCTGCCTCTGGCAAGCGATCGCGGCGGTTCAGGCCCTCGGTGGTTTGGAATGGGCCAGGGCCGAGACGGGTGCTTCCGGAGAGTTTATCATCCTCATGGCAATCGGTGGTCACTTCCCTGCCGATTTTTCGGGTCTTGGTATTCTTCATACCCTCGGCCTCGGTCTCGTTCTTGTTCTTCCCTGTGCGGAAAAAGCTAACCCCGAAGGCCGGGCCCCGAAGGTGTGAATCCAGGGCATCATACGCGCTGCCGGCCCACCCCTGGGCCGTCTTCGATAGACCACGCGACTCAGGTTCCTCCACGTGCTCGTTGTGGTCAATCTCGTAGCTCAGGATCGTCGCTGAATCGTTTCTTGAGCTTGAAAAGATGCCTCGCTTCTCCACGTTTGAAGAAGAAGAAGAAGAAGAAGGACCCTTGACCATGACTTTAACCTGCTGCGGCCAGCACATGCTCCGCATCGTGCCCCTAACAACACAGTCGAGCCACTTGGAGCCCACATCCGCGCCCCACTCCTCAGCACATTCTTTGGACTTGCACGGGTTCACACGCGCAAGTACGTGAACCCCGTATCCCTTGTCCTCCGGCTTAGCGCCCTCATCAAGCCAAGGCTCCACCATGTAGGTGCGGACCCTCTCCTCTCCAGTCGTAACTAGGACGGCCGCGTCACATGTGTCCTGAATGCCGCGGGCGGCTGTGAATCCCCACTGCTTGGCGTGGTGGTGCTCAGGGGCCTGACCGTTGGGCTCGAGGCGAATCTCAAACTCCCACTGGGCGGGGTTCCAGAGCGTGGAGGGGAGGCCGGCGCTGGCGTGCTGGACCCAGACGGTGGGTTGGCCGTAGGCCGAGAAGTTGCAATGGCGCTCGTAGCTGTTGTAGGTCTGGAAGTCTACGCTCGTGGAGGCATGATCAAGCGGAGCGTAGGCAGATTTGTCGCCGAGGTTGCCTACCTCATAGGCCGGGAGAAACCTGTCAAAGGGGTAGGCGTGGGCGACGGCTGCCATCACGGCGAAGAGAGCTGTGTTGATCTTCATGATGGCGAGGTTGAAGGTGTTTATGAGGGTAGTTCTCGCAGGACGTTAGCAAGTAAGCAGTAAGAGGAAGCCCTGGTGGGAGATACTCACCAATGTGTTTTGATAAAGGGGTTGATAGTAGGTGGCGATCCCTACAAAGTTGATAGGACTCGCTGGTCGTGGTAGGTGACCGTCGAAAGAGATGTTAGGTGTTGATCAAAGTTGAGATGAATCAAGTATAGTTATGGTAGAAGTAGTTGTTGGTGGTAGTAAGTCTTGGTGACAGTAAGTCTTACTGGCACAGAGTGTTAGTATTACTTCAAGCCAAAGTCAGCTGAGCCTTACCAAGGTCACAGAGATCTCGCGAATCGTCGTTCGTAACCATAAAGTAAGAAGGAGGAAAGAGGTGGGAAGGGGGTCAAGGGTGAAGGGACGACATTTTATAGACGTCGGGAGGTGTCCGCAATCACCTCTTCCTCAAAAGAGACGGCGATGGCCTCTATTTTGCACGTGTAAAATCGTTGAGTTGAGGCCCAGCTCAGTGCTTTGAGGGTGGTGTACCTTCTCATACCTTGTCAAGCAGACAGACTGATCTCGTCATATAAAATCTAGCAAGATAAAACGAGGGCTCAACCCGATTCGAGGCCGGCGCCGTATGATCTGGCGAGACTTCGTATGGTACATGGCGGATGTATTCTTTGCTCAAGTATATAAGCATGGGGAAAGTACCCAGAAATTGAGCCCGTAGTTGCGTCTTTTTCTATGGGATTCCTAAAGATCAATACGATCTGCCAGTACTTCGGGCAGACTAGATTGAGTGTCGTTGTGCTATGTAGCATCAAAAAGGAAGAGGGCTCCCCTCAAAAGCGCATCAAACTTCGTTGGGAACGGGCGTGAGAATGAGGTAACGGAAATTAGACCCCCAACAACCATCAGTTCTTTCTTTTTCTTACTTATTTTGTGATTAACCTTTTCGTTGCTGTTCCCTCGTTCTTTCTCGTTATTAGTTGGAAGGGACAGGGTATGATATCGTCATCCAAAGGAGGCCCTAAAAGCAGCCGCATTCGCGCCGGTGGCCAATACCGAAACCTCCCACCTCCGGGACCGCAGTCCGAACTCTCGGGGTCCCACAGGTCAAGCGACTCCTCCGGTTTTCAAGCCAGCGCCACAGGACCCTGCCACATCCCAGGATCGGACGGAAATGCGGGCAGCTGGTCCTGGCCCAAACCCCAAGGAGGCAAGGGAGCTTGAGTGTCGTTGGACGCCACAGCCACAGGTCCCACACCTGGGGAATCTGGGGCCGCAAGTCCCCAGTGGGATTGAGCTAAAATGACCCAGAGGAAAAAGTCCGCCAATAATCGCAAACGGCGGGCAAGAGATGAGATGAGCTTGGCGTGGTCTCGGCGTCGGGTCAAGGGTCCTCCGTTCCTTTGATCTCACGCGCCAAAAAAGAGGCAGGACCGAGCTAATATTCCCCAATCTTCTCGCTGGAGCTTCTGCCTCCGATACGTTGGGTGGCATGGGGTGAGTGGACGGACCTGCCAGATAGTCCTTTCTTCGAGATTCTATATCAAGCAATGCTGGCCCGCTCAGCTTTCTTTTTAACTCCTGAGTCCTTTCGGTCCTTGTCCCTTGCACGCTTTCTTCCTCTGTTAGATTTGCCAATTCCCCTTGATCCAAGCCGACCAAAGCAGAGTGCGGACTCACCCCTTGTGATTTCAAGGTGGATTTCTCGAGCGTGCGCAATCGACACTGCTCCCTTGGACGTAGTCTTGAAACTCGTTGGGTTGCTTTCTCCCTCCTTTCCCGCTTCTCCACCACAAGCGAGAGAAACCCGTCGGTTCAGCACTGGACAATCTGTCCTGCCCCTCCCTCACTCGAGTGTGTCGCATTCACCATCACCAGAATAGGAATTCTTTCCCTTCGGCTCGAACAAAAGCCAAAGGCCACGTGGAAGGATCGCAAGAACTTCCGACCTTAACCATCCGCAGGTCCTCTTGTTAATATTTTTTTCTCCTATCCGACCAAAGAAGAGGATTTCTCAATCAGCGCCCTGCAGTAAGCCGCGTCCGAAAATAAATTTCAATATCTGCAACCCCCAGGTTCCAGTCAGCGTGACACATTTATTCCCCTTTAAACATCGCACTTCACTACTACCGAACGAACCCGCCGTCAATCCCTTTTGATTCACCCTTCTTTTTTCGCTCAATTAATCCCGAGACGGAGAAAGCCCGCGCTGCAGAGCGGGGAACAGAAGTGCGACGTCAGACGACTCTTCTAGCTGCTTCCTTAGCCCGCATCGTCTTGACTGAGAGGAGAGCGAAAGGAACAATACAGCAGGAGCAGGAATTCAGAAGCAGACAAGTGCGGGGAAGCCAAATAACCGAGCAAAATCAACAGGCCATAGCCCCTGCGCAGCGTTCTTTTCTCGTTAGCACGCAAGCCGACGCATTGAAAGCAATTCGGTAGATTATTGCGACCAACAAAAAGAACAGGCCAACACCCAGGTCAACTCACCCCACGCAACGCAACAGGGGCGTCACACACCGCCCGTGAGCCGGCTTTAGTGGGACCAAGGATTTGCTTGTCAACGAACCCCCAACGTAAAGTAGAGAAGGATCTTATTAAAAGAACCCGGTCGCAGCCATGACTTTCCAAGGCGAAATTCTCGGATTCGAGTTCACCATCTTTCAACGGATGTTGATGCTATGGCTGTTTGTCATAGGAGGAATCGTTCTTGCTATCCAAGCATCGCAGTGGAATGAGCAGCAACCTATTCGGTGGACGAGAGTTACCGCGACCTCTAAGTGAGTTTCCCTTTTCTCTTTTTTCTGCTCGTCTTCACCGATCATTCGGGGGTTTTTCACTTTACCGCCGCGATATGCGCAGTCTTCTTTCCTGCCTCTTTTCCCTCGCCGCACACCGACTAACCTGACTATGTAGGCGTTATTGGTATATGCTCTACGTGAGCGAGATCTTCCTCTTCATCACCGCCGCGTACCCCATCCTCCTCGAGAACATGCAGGGATACGCCTTTGGCTATGAGGAGAAGATTCTCAACAGCCTATGGATCGGCCTTCTCGGTATCGAGACCCTCATGGTCCTCGGAGTCGCTGTGCAGAGCCTCCTGAAGAGGTTCCAGTCCGCCCCTAAAGTCAAGACCACTTAGGAGCACCCTCCTGCGGAAGCGGCTACTGGTCTAGGGCGTTTATCCTCTTCATCAGCAATTTTTGCGCGAATATCCAAATCATTGACATCCCCACCATCCTCATCACCCTCATCGTCATGACCCTATCCGGAATTATTTATTCCGTGAGCGAATTCTGGGCACCGCGAGTCGCGAGGACGGTCTTTTTTGTTCCATCATGTACGAATGATGGTGAAGGTTTCTTAGGCTCTCAAGCACTCTATGACGGCGCATGGTTTATTTGTTTGGTATATATTAGTAATAGCATCGACCTGGAAATGGACGAGATGGGACGAGGCTCTGTAGCGATAAATAGCTGCATCTCAAGCATTAGAATGGTTCAATGTTGAATTATGATCATCGTCTGGAACATTGTTTCACGGTATTCGACCCATCTAAAAGGAGCTTGCAGGCTCCATCTTGAGTGCGACATGGGGGGACGGGAATTTCCGATCAGCCCAAGAAGCCGCTAAATTGCGACATCCAAATGTTGAACAAGGGTCGCAGAACATCAGCGTGTAGTGGCATGGTGGGGTCATTGAAGCTGAGACCAGCCATGCTCGACAATCTCGATGTTCAGAGACGAAAGTCGACGGTGTGTAGTATGATACGATGGTGGAATTCGAATTCTGTGCCTTCCTCTTCCAGTCCTCAGGGAGTCGGCGAGAAGAGACCGCCCCAATGTGGTGAGTAAAATGGCAATATAAATTGTCAAAGCGAAAGGGGGAAAATCAAGTTGGCAGAAGGGATGGCTTCCCGTAGGGGCGGGAACAAAAAGAAGGGTCTTGCATGCTTGCCATTCCATGGGCGGCAAGCATCGTCAGGGCGGATGATGGATTGTGCAATGATGATGTTGTTGGGAAGGGGCGTTGTGCATCAGCCAGAGATGGCTCTGCATCACATGCAAATGGGCTGTTCCTTCTCTCTTTGGTCAAAGATAGGTATGAACCGTGTGCGCACTGTGGCGATGGATGAAATCTTCCCTGGCAAAAGTCGGCGCAAAGCCACACCTTACGCGACCTTATTGAGGGCAGCTTGCGGAAAAATAAGCTCAATCGCATGTGAAAGAGCACAAAATCGGGAGGAGCGGGAAAAGAGTCGGAAGGGCGAGCGAGGATCTCTCAACTACAATCCACCGAGGCCGGACGAGCCCTCAAACTTAGCCTAGCCGTCCCGTCGGCGATGGTGTGCCTCTGCCATCATGAGCGTTGAGGAAGATGCACCGCCACCGTCGCTAACATGTGCCGCACTGTTTCGCCTCAGTCGCACGCGGCAGGCGCTCTTGAGACTCGATGGCTATGTTGGAGGGGGAAGAGACAAAGGAAGGGAAAAAAAGTGGAGGTAGGGAGGGAGCTCGACCGGCGAAGGAGGTAGCTCCCCACTTGTCCACACAAGCTGGAGGAGGCGCGGGCAAGTGATTGAGCTGAACGGGGGCGCAGAGAGGACACACAAGAAAGGGAAAGGAAGAGAAAGGAGATGCCTGGAAATCGATGACGTTGCCCAACGCGACAGCCCACCTCGCCCACGTTCCGCCTATCTATTCTCTTTTTTGCCCCTCACTTTCCCTGATTGCGCCAAGTTCCTTGTTAATGACTGAGCTTGAGTCGAAGCTTCTGATTGTCTCGTCTACCGAGGATACTTTAAAAAGCTGATCTGCCCTTTTCTCTGTCCCCCATCGCTTTGCCATCATCGACTATCTGATTCTTCTCCCATTGTCATTATCCCATCCATTATTCTCGATCTTTACACAGATCTCAAGACTACAACATTGCAATTCTTTTACCTATACCCCGCCCCCACCAGCAACACGCGATCACCCAACACTCGAGCCAAAATGACGTCTTCCAACACCGTCGAGGTCAGGAACATTGCGCTCTCGACTCCCGAGAGCGAGATTAAGGACTTTTTCAGCTTTTGGTAAGTGGACAAAAAATAAACTAGAGTCTATCTTGTTTTTGTGAGGTCATATCACCCGCCACCTGTGCGACGCTCTGCCGCTATCAGTTCGGTTCACGAAGGAAAGGAGGGGTTCTGCGATGGAGATGGCCCGATGTCGCATGTACTTTGCATTATCGCGCCTCATCCATCCAGTTCCTTAGCTACGTCCAGGAAGCGACTCTTCTTCTTTCGTGGCCCGTAGTAGCCCACATATTTCTCAAGAAGCGGAATAAATTTTGGTTCAAATTCACTAACAAATCGTGTGTACAGCGGCAAGGTCACCAACATTAGCGTCACCTCCAACGCCGAGAACAAGAGCGCCACGGTGACATTTGAGAAGGAGACGGCCATGAAGACGGCGCTGCTCCTGAACAACACACAACTCGGATCGTCCACCATCACGGTGGCGAGCCAGACAGCGGATTCCGGAGACTCGGACGAGCATCATGAGGCGGACCACCGGGACGCCGATGAGCTCACGCAAGAGATGAAGCCCCGCGCGCGCATCCTAGCTGAGTACCTGGCCCACGGCTACGTCATCGGCGACGCTGCCATCGAGCGCGCCATCGAGCTCGACAACAAGCACCAAGTCACCAACAAGTTTGTCACCACCCTGCAGAACCTTGACGAAAAGTACCACGCGACAGACCGCGCCAAGGCGACGGACCAGTCGTACGGCATCTCGACCAAGGGCAAGAACTTCCTTACCGGTCTCGGCTCTTACTTTGAGAAGGCCAGCACCACCCCGACGGGCAAGAAGCTCGTCAACTTTTACACCGCCGGCTCTAAGCAGGTGCAGGACATCCACACCGAGGCCCTCCGGTTGGCGGAGCTGAAGAAGGAGGCCCACGGTGGTAGTGCGTACAAGGCCGCCGGCCTCGAAAGGTGTTTGGCAAGGAGGCCGAGAAGCAGGAAGGAGAGAAGAAGGCGGACGAGGCCCCCAGGCTAGTTCGGCGGCCGCTCCTCCGAGAAGACGGGATTGTAAGAAGGAAGGTTTCAGTGAGGGTGGTTAGCTAGCGTGGATGAGAAGACGGCAAGATAAGTTGAGAGTGGGGAAGGAGGGGGCCTGAAGGAGTGGCCCCACGACACCCGTTTTTCCAGCTCTGTTCTTTTTTCATGACGAAATGACTTGAATCGAGCAAGGTACGAGGGAGAAGGATACCAAGAAAGAAAGGGAGAAAAAACACAATGAGTGGTAGTTTTTCAATTCTCTTTCTGTACTTTTTTCTTTTGCTTCTTTTTATTTTTCCCGCTCCCAGATAGCCAATGTTTAATACACGAGTATCAAACGATTCCGCTAGTGAACCTATCTATCCCGTATTGAGGACCTTAGGCCCCGAGCTAACAAGCTCCATAGCCCGCACTAAGCGGCAACAGCTCTCAACGAACAGCGGCGCTTCAGTCGCGCAAATCTGGTTCGGTGGTGTAGTTGGTTATCACGCTTGTCTAACATCCACAAGGTGCTGGACACAAGAGGTCCCCGGATCGAGCCCGGGCCGAATCATTTCTTTTTCTTTTTTCCTCTACTTCTTTTTATCTTATTTCCCTTTCGTCTATTTCTTTTTCGTCTTTATCAAGGGGACACCTTGAAACCGCCATGAAGGCACGTCCTCGTCTAGCTGGTGATGATGTGAGGGATATAGCGGGGTTTGCGATTTGTTCGATTGAAGATCTAGATCTATGGCTGTTTCGACACCACGTCAATTGGCAAAACATGCTTCACAAAAATACGAGGCAACAAAGTTTCTATAGTATAGACATTTGAAATTTATATCCTATATACAAAAGCTTCCTTCGTCCATTTCCTCTCCCAAAAGGCAGTAAAACAAGCTAGACTTTGCCGGCCCCGATTCTCCCGTGTCGTAAACTATGCTAGTCATGCCTTGAAAACGCCGCGCTATATATATCCATGATTTGTGTGTGTGTGTGTGTGTGTGATAGAGAAAGATCTTTGGGAGAGATAAAACATGAAATCCTAGTCGTGAACCCGAAAAGCCGCCCCCTCCAATCCAACCTTGTTCTAAGACCTTTTTGTAGGAAATGCCTGATGAAGAGAAGATATGCAAGATATAGAAAAGAAAAAAATGGTGAAAATAAAAACAAAACCGAAATTCACTAAAAAACAAAGAACCAAGTCTAGTTATACAAAAAAAAGCCAAGAGGGGGTATCCTAGGAACCGAGAATGAAAGAAGGATACATGTATGTAGAGGAAGAAGAAAACCAATGATTGTAAGAAAAGAAGAAGAAAAGAAAGTGAAAAAAAAGAAAAACTACCTATCCCACTCATATTCCCCACCGCCCTCATTGATGGACTGATGGGAAACGTGAACGGCCTTCTCATACCGCCCCTCGTACCACTGCCGAAAACGGCTCCGATACAGCTCGCGGGCCTGGCCGAGGAGGCCGACGTGGCCCTTGATCATGCACTCCATGAGCTGGCCCCTCGTAATCTGCGGACACCGGCAAAAGCCACCACCAAACACGAAGCGGTCATTGTGGTCGGCGAAGAGGAGGCTCAGGCGGAGGAGGCCCTTCCACGCGGCGCCGGCGAGGCCGCGAGGCTCGGAGCGACGGGGGCTGGCGAGGAGGAGGATATCCCACTCGCCCGCGGTGGGGAGACGGCGGGCCTCGAGGGGCCGCTCGCCGCCCGTCTGCTCCAGGGCAGTGATCTTGCAGGGCTTGCCGTCGGCGGCGACGCCCTGCTGGCAGGAGCAGGAGCTGGGGTTGGGCATCGTCCTCTCGTCGACGGCGATGACGACGGTGGCGCGCTCGCCCGTTTTGGGGTGGCGCGTGAAGAGCACGAGGAGGGGCTTGAGGGGCTTGGCGTGCACGACGGCGGACTGGGCGCGGCCCCGCTGGAGACGATGGTCACGGTGCCGGTGCCGCCGCCGCCGGCGGTGCCGCCGTTGGAGGCGGAGCTGGACGAGCTCTTGTACGTGACGCTGCTGGCGCCCGTCATGCTGGTGGCGGCGGTGACGGCCGTCATCTTGGAGCTGACGCTGTACCCGCGCTTCTTCTTGGTCTTGCCGCCGCTGCTGCTGAAGAAGGAGAAGACGGAGTTCTTGCGGCTGCTGGCGACCGTGTCTTGGGCGGGGAGGTGCTGAGCGGGGCGTAGAGCGCGTGCGGGGTGAGTAGTGCGCGTTGGGGGCTTGGGCTGGGGCGGGGAAGGGGTGGTTCTGGAAACGCGCGGCCGTGGGGAGCGGGGAGGAGTAGGCTTGGGGGACGGGTTGGGGCTGGGCTTGGGTGTATAGGGCTTGGGGTGCGGGTTGGGGCTGGGCCTGGGCGTATAGGTAGGGTTGTTGTTGGTGCTGTTGTTGCTGCTGCTGCTGCTGCTGCTGGTAGTGGTGGTGGTATTGCTCGTTGCCCATGGTCTGCGAGTGCAGCTGGCCAGGGCTGGAGCTGAGACCCATGCCGGCGAACTCGGCGGAGAAGGAGTCCATGAGCGGGGAAGGGGATCGGAATCCCACGCTGGGAGGGAGCTGCATGGTGGCCGTGGGAGACGTGGCGATAGGGGAGGAAGGGTAGGAGACGGAGGACATGGGCCGGTCGATGGGGCTGGTAAACTCGGCGCTGTCGGCTACGAGCGTGCCGGGGAGGCGGTTAGGGACCCAGATCTGGACAGCGGCGGTTTCGAAGAGGCGCTCTTGTCCGAGGATGACGAAGCTGGCAGTGGTGTTGTTCCTGTGGCGGGTGGGTCAGGTTAGCTTGGATTTGGTTCATTGGTACGTGGATTCACTGGGAAGAAGGGATTGAAGAGAGGAAACATACTGGCAGTATCCGTCTGCTACCTCGTACCCGGTCAGGCTCTGCTGGAAAATCAGGGCATCCGGGAGAGTGCAAAAGGCTAAGGGGTAAATGGTGTTTCCGTTGCGAAGAACAAGCTCAAACGGGGCCTCTAGGGTATCTGCAAGGGCGTAGACGGGATTCACGGTAGCCGTAGTGATGTCAAAGTCCACGGGGTCATCTGCATTTTGATCGAGGGGGTTAGTGTGTCCGTTCTTTTCCATCGCCGTCTCATTTTCTACACCGACGTCTCCTTTGTTCAGGGTTGTGGGTTATACGTACGTTCTTCACGCGGAGGACCCCTGGGCAGTCTTTCCACCGCCGAGATGATGAGGCGGAACCTCTTGTCCTTGGAGTTGATGTCCCTTAGGAGCCTCGCCCTCTTGGACATGGTGGGAGAACTTGTGTACAGAGGCCTGTCGAGAAACAAAAGTTAGTACATTACTCCCCTGTTCTTCGATTAGGGATTTCAAAACTTACGCGTCGAGCAACTCCTCCATCATGATGTTCTTGACGATTTTCTGAATCATGGGCTTTTTCGCCTCCTCGATCCACACCTTGAACATGTCCTCGTCAACAAAATCAAGGCGAGGCTCGAGCATGATCCGGGGAACTTTTCGCACTGCGCTGAAAGTTTCTACCAAAAGAAAAAAAAAGCGTCACGTTAGCACATCTCCAGTATCACAAAGCCAGAAGAAAAAAAAATTAAAAAAGACAACTCACATCCTCAAGCTCCATCACATACGACGGCCAATGCGACAGCGGCGAAGCCTCCCTCAACTCCTCGGACCGACGCAGCTTGCGCACCAAAAGACGCACTTGAGCAAGTTGACGTACTGCTCGGCGGGCGGGGTGCGTTCGCTGACGGTCAAACCGGGCGCGAAGGCGACGGTGCTCCGGTCGAGGTGGTGGATGAAGGCGTCGGCCATGTCGCGCAGGGGGGCCTTGCTGCTGGGGGTGGTCGGTGATCTGGAAGACGGGGTGGAGGGCGAAGGAGGCCTCGAAACCGCGTTCCACGTGGAGGGGATGGAGAGGAAGCGAAGCTGGCGTGAAGCCTGCTCGTCGAGGGCGGACTTGAGATCGGGGACCAGCTCGCCCATGAGCTTGCGGAGATCGGTGCGCATGCCGCGGATGTCGTCGTGCATGGCGCCCATGCGCATGGCGAGGTCTTGGTGGACGCGTGTTAGGAGATCGCTGGGGATATACGAGTTAGCTTTTCCAGGGTTATATAAACTCCCCACCCCCAAAACCAAAGGACAGAGGGCCAGAAAAAGAACTGAAAAGAACAAGGTGGAAGAGAAGACGTACATTTCAAAAGGCTTGACGACGGTCTGAATGCTCAAGTTATGCATCTGGATCCTCGTCCTCAACCGGTCGACCCTGCCCTGGACGAGCATGTTCCACCCGACGCTGAGCAGAGGGTTATGCGTGGCGGCCTCGAACTTGCGGTTGTCGCGCAGCAGCTTGTCGCACTCCTCCAGGGTGGTCCGGTAGTCGCCGACAATCTCGCCGAGGGATTTGGGGTCCCATCGCAGGCGGTCGGAGGCGCGGCCGCCATTGTCGTGGAGGGACCGGTCGGCGCGGCTGATGACGCGGGAGAGGAGGTCGAGGTTCAGGGCGAGGTGGCGGACCTCGGCGCCGAACGAGTTATAGTTTACGCCTGTGGAGAGAGGAAAAGAAAGAGGGTCTTTGGTTAGCGCTCTTGCTTGTTTTAACGACATGATGAGAATGTACATGCACACACACACGCAACACACACAAGCACACACAGGTGGGAATACAGGTAGCTCTCTTTTCTTTCTTTCTTTCTTTTCTTCATTTTGTCTTTGGCTTTAGGAAGAAGAGGAGTGGGCGTATTGCAGTGCAATGACAAAATATGGAGGTGGTACATGTATCAGTCGCAAGTGGGGAACGGGGAGTGTAAGAGGAGGGAAGGAAAATGCAGTATCGTGGAGCAAGGACCATTTCCCGACGGTGCGTCATAGAAAGCGCGACGGTTTTCGGATGGACACGACACAGGGAAGAACCCTGCTCGTGGAGTTTGTGAAGTTTGTGGGGGATTTCTCCCGAGGAGAGGAGGAGAAGAACACAAAAGGGAAGGAACAAGGCAGGGCAGAACAAGAACGCAAAAATCCAAAATAAAAACTCAGGATGATTACGTTTTGGTTTTCTTTCGGGATATCCTTACTCGCATTCAGCTCGGGGGTCCATCCGTAGTTGTACACCTCCCAGGCGACCTTTGCGATGCTGAGCCCATCGCCGAGATCCATCGAGAGGCGAGGATCGTGAACTTGGTCTGTGGTGGGTTGTGCGCTCGCTCAGGAAGATTGTTGCGGGTGCCCCGTTTGCTGTTTCGGGGGCTAGATTCGGGGATGCGTGGGAATTCGTGAAAATGCAGGTCGACGTTTGGTGTCGGGGGTGCGATCCGGGGAGGGAATAAAGTTCTTGGTTTTAATACGTTGCGAAGCTGTTGTCGGTCGAGTGGTGGGGAGAGCAGAGGGGTCTCGGGCGGCGTGGAAGTCCCTTCTTTTGGGGAGTAGAAACGAGGGGAAAAAGAGTCTACTCCAAAAGAAGGGAACAAAGAGAAAGCGAAAAGAGGAGAAAAATAAAAAGAGAGCACAGCACGAGTGGTCCGAGACGGAGAGAGAGTTACCAAAAGAAAAGAAAAGAAAAAAAAGATTCAATAAGGTAGCGAGGAGTGAGGAGAATGAAGAATTGGTGGAGGGGAAGATGGCATATTATAATGACGACGGGGATTTTACATCCCCGTTATCCGCTTCCCGCTGTTCCCCAGCACGTCGTGTCCCTTGACGCAGCCCCCATGTGTGTCCAGCGCCAATGACTAGGCACTACCGGGCGCTGTTGCTGGTGTGCTGGGTACGGGTGGTGGGAAGAGACAGGGGAGCTGCAGTAGTCTAGCCTGGGAGGCAACGAGTTTTGCGTGGGAAAAGAAAGGGTGGGCACGAGTTGCCAGCAACCAGGGTTAGGAGCCCAAGAGGGCGGACATACGAATCCGTCGAGCGTTGCTCCCTTCTTGGCACAAGCACAACCTTTTCCCCTCTCTCCCCGCAACTAAAAATTTTCAGACGTACATCAGTGGATGGGGAAGGGAAGGGGGCGAGTCGGGAAAGACGCCCAGTCTCTCCATGGGGTTGCGCCAGAAAGAGCCTGAGAAAAAAGAACGTCCAACACCGCCAGAGCCACCCAAGTCCTGCGCGCGCAAGGCAATACGGCCCTTTCCGGCTGCAGGCTAGACAGACAGATTTCAGGGCGAGCAAGTCAGTTTGGTTGGAACCTGCAGCATGGTGGCGCTTTCTTTAATTTTTTTCTTTCTACTCTGGTTTGTTGAATTCTCTATGACTGAGGTACTACGACTACGACAGTGCAGTGCTCTTCCTATTACCATCGTCGACGTTCTGCTTTGTTCGGCTGCGCATCCAACCCCCTTGGCCATTCGTGTCCCTCTTCCCACCCTCGTTCTGTCATACTCATACTCTCCTCCGCTCATTCGATCACTACAGAGTGTGTGTATCAGTGCATGGCGATGCGGGTGCGCGGGTGCGCGGGTGCATGGGTGGGTGCGCGAGGGAGCGGGACAACAAGGATACCGGGTCCAAAAAAGCCGTGACAAGCAGTTAACAGTCCTACCAGCTCCGAAACGACAAAGTCCAGGACTTGATAGGCGCCACTATTGGCCATGAAATTGAAAAATTGGATAAAACGAGGCAGCTTTCAAGATGGCAAGAAAGAGTGGACAACACGAAACCGTTTGGTATGAGGAGGTAGGGGTGGCAGGCAAACGAGGGAGCCAAGGCACAGACAGCCTTAAACCTGGTGGCCCGGTGTCGGAACTTGAATCCTCACCAGCTTCAGCTCAGATCAGAATTTTTCTAGGCACCGAGTAAAACGGGGCGCGTGCTGCGCGATGCTCGCCTTGAAAGGGGGAATGAAAATCAATGCCATTATGAACGAAGCCGGGGCCGAGACCGCTTTTTGCTCCGAAGGGAGGGGGCGGGAGTGAAGAATGATAACAGAGAAACAAGAAGAAAAAAATAAGGGACGTCGCCAGCAGATGCCGCAGGCACGGGCAGACAGAAACCAACGGCAGAGTGGAAGCGAGAGACAAGTCTCGGATTCCCAGATCTGTCTTGTTCAGCCCTGCGCCTCTCGACCTGACGTTTCTTGTCTGTCCAGTGGGTCGGCCCCCTCACTATTTTTTTCTTCTTCGCTTCCGTTCCTGCGGAATTAAGGGAAGAAAGAAGCAAGAGAGATGGGGGGCCGATTGTAACCCGTGCGTGTCTGGGCAAGCTCCAGAGAGAAAGGGAGAAAAAGAAATGACGTGGTCATCTTTCGATGCGGCCAAGCCTTTCTTGGTCTCCGAGCATCCTTTGTGTTTGATTTTAAATGCTCATCCTTCGTCGAGGCTAGGAGATAGACCTCGGAAATCGAGTTGCCTGCGCAAAGAGAGAGACACAGAGGGAGAGAGAGCTTGTCGATGCGTGTGTGTGTGAGCGAGTGTATGAGAGAGATAATGGCCATCGCATTGGGATAGCTCCAGGCGTCAGCCGACCATATCGCCCAACTACCATTGGCCACTGTATCCACATTTCAAGAAGGGGTCTGCCATCTTTGTTCATCCTTCTCGCCAGCCTCCTTTCAGCCAAGAAACAAAAACCACACGACAAGAAGACAAGAAGGGGGCAGAGAGGGGAAGCTGGCACGGATCGAAGGTCCCGGAGCTTCCATCGCCTCACATTCCGCGCCGCGCCAGCACCGCCACAATCTCTCTTGATTTTGGTTTGCGTGGGGTTCGGGAGAGCGACGACGGCCAGTGTGGTGCGTGCGTGGCATGAGGGGTCCTGTCCACGCTCTCTCCTTGAGTCCCCTGTGTCCTCTACCTCGCCACTGCCTCCTTGACGACCTCGAGCTAACTGTCCTCGACCTTGTCAAGCTTGTCTCATCCTCTCCGGTTTCCGCCATTGTCTATTACTCGCCTTCCCTCTTCTCAATCGCCAAGGCGTTTGTTCCACAGGAACCTGCTGCTCCACCCTTTGGAAAGCCAAAGTCAGCGACGTGAGTGGATGCAGTGCAAGCGCACTTGGTCTCGGGAGCCGAAGAGTGGAGTGCGAGCCAAAAGAAATTCAAAAATGCGACCCCGGGCCGCCCTGTTTCCTTTGTTTGTCCTTGGCCTCCCCATCTTTTTGGTCTTTTTAATTAGACTACGGAATTAGTGCGTTGTGGTCCTCTACGATGCGATGGGGTAGCGTTGGTTCGCTCCGATGACGAACCTGACGGGAGCCACCGGCTGGAACTGTCAAACAAAGTGTAAAGTGGAGGGAACAGTTCATAAAACATGGCTGTTATAGGGGACCCTGAGTCTCAGCTCTCACTTGATCGAAGGGGAAAACGACGACAGCGTGGAAGCTGTGCCGAAGCGCCGGGAACCTTAAAAGGGCTGTCACAAAAAGTGGCTGGAAACGATGGCGTTTTAATGCGTCGACTTTCATTCGTCGCGTACCTGGGAAGGGGGAGCAAAAATGAGGGACCCTCAACCACGGGCAAGATAAAGAAGAGGGTGAGGGTGCTGGGTGCTCGGCCGTGGACCTGGGGGAGGCAAGACGGAGAGCTGAAGCTGTATCATGACTTGGGCAAGCAAAAGTAGGGCAAGCTGACCCGACGCCGAGATAAAAGCCAAGGCAAGGAATGATCAATGCGCTCATTCGATGCCCGTGCTTTCCGAATTGCTGTTTGTTAATATTATTTCGTTTTTTCGAAATGGACGGAGGCGTCACGGACCAGCGAGCGAGCTGTGTCTCACAAAAAACGACGCGAACCTGTTGGAGAAGGCGAATGTGATCCCATCCATTCCCATCCCTCCTCGTACACTGCGGCATACGGCATACGGCATACACTCGTCCACATTTGATCCAAGTATCGTTACCCACCCCCAGTTTCGACGACCAGGCTGTGAAAATTGGGCCCGATTCAGAAACGGACCATTGGAACTGTGCGCCCACCCACCAGTTTGACCCTTGCTCGCCCTTTGTTCGACACTCCCGAATTGAATGTTGCAGCACACTTGCATTGGGGAGGGGCGGAGCAGCCACACCAAGGATGCACGCACGTCTGCTCCCCGTCGCCCATCCCCCCTCCATTCCAGGTGCTCTCTCTCTCTCTCCCCTCCCTTCCCTTTTTCCCTTGAAAGCCGAGAGTGGCCTTGTAATCACGGAACACTTCCAGCTCCCGGAAACAGAGGCAGTTTGCCCGGCCCTGGAGCCAGCCCAGTCTAACCTAGTCGTCGTCAGTGTGAGTGCGCGGGAAGTGTGAGCCCCGGGAAGAGGCCAGGAGAGCAAGATGACGAAGCAGGACGCAAAAAGCTTGCAATATTGAATCTCTCAGTCATAGTAATTCAAAACAAAGTCCGACGTAGAATACCAAGACGCGAAACGAGGCTGCGCACACAGCTATCAGGTCAAACCACCCATGGAGAACATTGAATGCAATCGAAGAGGGGGCACGCGACGATGCGGCTGGATGGACTAGGGATAGCGCCCGGCAAGGCATTTCTTCCCTTGAACCTCTGGGCTTTTCCCTTTGTAATACCTTTCCCTTTTTCTTGGTCTTCCTTTTTCTTTCCTTTTTCACCTTGCTTCGATCTCGACCGCTCGCTTGCTGGCGTCTTATATGCTCGCCCTGCCGATTGTTTCCTCTTTTTCACGTTCTTTGGAACCTGGGGTTAGATTGTTCCTCTCCAATTCGACGTGATTTATTTTCCCACTCCCACGCCCACTCCCCTGGTCTGACCTGGCCTTGTCCTTGGCTGCCTCTTCAACGTCTACACCAAAGTGCAATTTATCCCTTCACCAAAGAGAGTAAAAGAGAAGAAGAAAAAAGAAAAAGAGAGCAAAGACTCGCTCAAGAAGAAGAGAATATCCCCGAGGCGCAGCGCGGTTCGCGTGCACCCGGCCCCGGTCAGAAGAACCATCTTTCAGCCTTTCTCATCTTATCTTATCCCCCAAGGGGCAAGCAACGGCCAACACGGTCGCGAGCGACTTCGGAGGGCCTCGCGTTTGTCTGTCCGCCTTCCCCCTCGAGAGAGGAAATCGATCAGCAGGCGCTTTTCTTTTCTCTCCTTTCTCAGAGTGAAAGACAGAAAGAGAACATCATTGCCCCTGCTTCGCCAACCGCGCCGCGCACGCGCGCTCCTCACAAGACCATGTCGTCTGCCTATTACGCTTCGGGGCGGTCACAGCATTCGCAGTACCAGCAACAACAACCGCAGTACCAGCAACAACAACCACAGTACCAGCAGCAACCGCCTCCGCAGCTGCCCCAGCTCCACGGCCGCTTATTAGCCCAGTATCAAGAGGGCATTGCTGATCCCGATGAGATCGTCACAGATGCTCCCACCGAGCAGTTCCGGCTAGGTTACCTGGATGTGACCTGCTTGATCCTCAACCGCATCATCGGTAAGCTTACCCTTTTTTCTTATTCTTTTTCTGTCCCTCCACAGCCCCTGCCGGGGCATCGCTCGTGTAGAATCTCCCAGGATATTTCGTCTTCCCTTCCTCCCACTCCCATGCCGTCCTCTCCCCCAGCCCCGAGTTTTCCTTCGTCATCTTCCTCCTTTACGCTGCGCCCCTCTTCTCCCGCCCTTCCACAGCTTCCACTGCATACCATGCCGTGATCCTTCTCCCGAAATCACACCCCCTTCCCCCATTCCTCACCTTCTTCTCACCCCCTCCTCCGACCAAAGAAAGAAAGCCAGATATTAACACGCAACGCGACCAACAGGAACGGGCATCTTCAACAGCCCCAGCCGCGTGGTCAAGGGCACCAATAACGTCGGTGCCTCCCTCTTCTTTGGGCCGCCGGCATCCTTTACGGCCTGTCCGGCGCGCACGTGTACGTCGAGTACGGCCTCAATGTCCCGCGCTACATTATCGATGGCGTGGAACAAAATGTGCCTCGAAGCGGAGGTGATCTCAACTATGTAAGTTTTTTTCACCTTCTTTCTTTCGGGGGCGATCTCGGGGAGAAAAAGGAGTCAAACCAAAAAAGAGGACCATCCCGTTAACACCGTCCACAGCTCCAATACGTATACCGCAAGCCCCGGTACAAGAAAGACACCGTCCTCTACTTTGGCTGCCTCTACGGCATCTCCTTCATCTGCCTCGGCAACATGGCCGGCAACTGCATCAGCTTCGCCGTCCGCGCCCTCCAGGCCGCCAACCCCGGCACCGCCCCCGAGGACTTCAGCTCCCGCTCCGTGAGGGGCATCGCCATCGCCGTCGCCACCGCCACCTGTTTCATCCACACCATCTCCCGCCGCGGCGGCATCTTCATCAACAACGTCCTCGCCCTCATCAAGGTCGGCATGCTCCTCCTCATCATCACCACCGCCATCGCCGTCGCCGCCGGCGGGTTTCACGCCCGCGACGGCAGCGAGGTCCCCAACTACATTAGCTACAACACGGGTCGCGGCTCCTCGTTCAAGAGCGTCTCCGACCTCGGTTCCGGCGAGGCCAATGGCTACGCTCAGGCTTTCTTGTCCATCGTCTTTGCCTTTTCCGGTTTTGATCAGCCAAACTATGTATGTTCCACCTCTTCATTCTCACGCGGTCTTGTGTACATCTTGGCTAACCCCCATTCCAGGTCCTCGGCGAGATCAAAAGCCCACGTAAGACGTTCCCCGGGGAATGATGACAGGCATCTCCATCGTCTCTCTCTTGTACATGGCCGTCAACGTCTGCTACGTAAGTCCCTCTTATATCTATCTAGAAGCGAGTATCCCTCTCGCACTGGGAACAATAGCGCTAATACAACACTGTAGATGGTCGTCGTCCCCAAGGAGAACCAAATCTCCGACAACGTCGCCCAACAATTCTTCCAACGCACGTTCGGCGTCCTCGGCGACGACGACACGGGCGAGCGCGTGCTCAACGCCTTCCTCGCCATCTCCTCCCTCGGCAACATCATCGTGATGACCTACACCGCCTCGCGCATGAAGCAGGAGATTGCCAAGCAGGGCTTCCTCCCCTTTGCCCAGTTCTTCGCCACCGACCGCGACTTCAGCCTGGGCCGCCTCCTGCGGTGGTTCCAGGGCCGCAACTACTTCACCTCCCTACTACAGCACAAGTGGTTCTCCCCCGAAACCCACACGGAAAAGACCCCCGTCGGCGCCCTCTTCCTCCACTTCGTCTCCTGCATGATCCTCATCGCCGCCACCTCGCGCCTCCACCCGGACGACTCGTACGTCATCCTCTCCAGCTCCAGCGCCTACCTCTTCCCCGCCTTCTTCGGCCTCCTCCTCGCCCTCGGCATCCTCATCCTCCGCTTCGGCACCCCGCCCGCCACCGCCCCCGTCTCTACCCCGCTCCACCCTTCCGTCCCCGGCTCCCACCACCACCAGTACGCCGCCAAGCGCACCTGGGCCCAGATGACCGAGGGCACCGTCAACCCCACCCTCAGCGTCGTCTGCGCCTTCATCTACCTCCTCGGCAACGCCTACCCCATCATCACCAACTGGGTGCCCCCACCGTCAACCTCCGCGAGCGCAGCAACGTCGCCTGGTTCGTCGTCCCCACCATCTCCTGCAGCGTCCTCGCTCTCTCCTCCTTTTGGTTCCTCGGCTTCCTCGCCCGCGCCAAGCGCCGGGAACGCAAGCGTCACCAAGAGTTCGTCATCGAGCGCTCGCCCGAGTTCGAGTTCGCCGAGGGCGACGACGGCTTCCACGGCGGCGAGGACGGCAACGACGCCGGTAGACGGGCCGGCGGTCTTATCCTCACCCACGAGACCGTGTCCCACGTGTGGAGGGGCAAGGATACCATGGAGCTGGAGAGGATGGCGGACGCTCCCGTGGCTGAGGTGCAGAAGCCGCCGGCATTTGTGAATAACAATCCGTATGCCGGGACCGACTTTGAGGGTATGGGAAGGTAAACGAACGAGGAAGGGGAGAAAGTAATTACATGTATTTTAATCATTTTTAAAGAAGCTATTTCAAAGAATTTATCTGTTCCAAATACCAGTCAAGAAATCCCGGCAGCCGCCTTCCTTACAACACAACCACCCCTAGCTACGGGGAGGTGTTGAAATATAGCCATGTCATGTGTCCGGAACCATGCGCCATGACAACCACATCACCACAGACCTCCACCCAGCTTGGCTTGTCATGAGTGGACAACCAGACAATCCCCTTTCCATTTCGAGTAATCCATTGGTCTGTCACAAGCAGCGGACATCGGCTCTCCAGTTCCCAGATCTCAGGTACTTCTCGAGTCATCACACGTATTGATCCTTGGTTTGTCTCGATATACCTACCGTCCTGCGAGAAGGCCAACTTACGAGAGGAGAGACCCGGGACCTTCGTCGTCTGTATGAGTGTGCCCATAATCGCATCCCAGACCCGGATAGTCGAGGAGTATAGAGAGCTCGATGCAACCAGCTTACTATCGGGCGAGAACACCACTGCATCAGAGGGCGCTCCAAGGTCGTGTTCGGTAAAGCGATCCCCAAGGATATGTCGACAGCTTGCTGTAGCCACACTCCAGATCCGAACGTTGCGTTGCGTTGAAACCGTTGCTAGCATCTCTCCGTCTGGAGAGAAGGCCACGGCCAGGTGAAGCGGCCAGTGTGGATCAAAATCAACCTGGAAATAAAAATAGGCCCCACCGTTAAAACTGGTCCGCAGAAGGGTTCCTGTAGCCACGTCCCAAAGCGAGATATGTCCCTTTCTCGTCATCGATACAATCATCCTCCCATCAGGCGAGAAAGCCATTGCGGCGATGACCTTTGTATCTCCCACCGGTATCTGCCGGAGCTCCTCGCTAGTTATATTCCAGAGATCGATTAACCCGTCTGAAGCGCACGCAAGTTTTGCGCTATCCAGAGAAAAGGTATGCGGAGGGCCACCGACGATTCTATTTAAACTAAAGTCGTCGTCATCACGATCGTCATACTCAACCCAAGCAGAGGAGAAGCAGTCATCGCCATTGGGCCTACGTCGGGGAAGCCCTGTAGCTGCATCCCAGAGGTAGAGGACACGATCACTCGAAACTGATGCCAACATCTTACCATCAGGTGAGAACGTACAGCTGACGACGTCGGTGCGATGCCCCCTCAGAGTTTGCCTCAATTCACCCGTGCTTACATCCCAGAGTTGAACATTCGTATCATCAGACGTCGAGGCAGCCATCTTTCCATCGGAGGAGAAGATAATTTTTCGAACGGGTGGCTGCGTTCGATTCGCACCCGTCGCCACATCCCAGACCCATGTTGTTTCGTCTGCAGCTGACGCAAGAATCTTACCATCCGGCGAGAAAGCGATGGCCGTCGTGTCGGGGAACCCCGGAAGCTCGCCCAGCGACAGACCTGTGGCAGTATCCCGAAGAAGAAGAGAGTGATTTGAAGCGCAGGCGAGCGTTTTGCCGTCAGGCGAGAACGCCACCGTGCTGAATATAACTCCTTTCTCATGTCGGATATCTCGGTAATCATACGTCATGGTATCCCAAAGCTTGATATGCCCATAAGAACTAGCCGACGCAAGCGTCTTTCCATCTGGCCACAAGGCCATTCTAACGGCCTTATGACCGAACGCCAAGACACTTTTAATGATGCTGCCAGTCTCGATATCGCAGAACGCAATCTTGGTGTGGGTCTCGGGGAAATTCGTGTTACAAAATGCCCTGAGAGACTTGCTGTCGGGTGAGAAGGCTATCTGCGAGACGTCGCCTAGGGTCGACAACAAACGCGGATGTTGAATTGATCCTCTCGCCAGATCCCAAATAAAGGTTTCATCACCTAAAATCGATACGAGCAGCTTTCCATTGGGTGAGAAGGCCACTTCGGGAGTATGTGCTGTTGAGCCTGACCTTACATATAGCGACTGTCGGATCGCGCCCGTCGCTACTTCCCGTAGCTCGATATGGTCGTCGGAAATTGTCGCAAGTAGTTCGCCATCAGGTGAGAAACTTGTTAGCACCCTCCTCATGCACCAGACTCCACCAAGCGACCATAAGCATGCCCCCGTCGCGATATCCAAAACTTGAGTAGATCGATCTTCTAGGATTATCGCGAGTATCTTCCCACACGGCGAGAAAGCAATGGAATCAACCGGCGAACCAAGCCTTTCAAAAGCCCGTATGCACGCTCCCCAGGAATCTCTAAGACCAACAACCTTCCTGATGACGGGTAATCTGCTCTCCCAGCACATCTTCCTAACCTCACTCGAGTCGGGGCTAAAAACTAGCGCAGAGCCGTAAACTTGCAACGGAGCTTTCTCGATAATCGATCCATGAATACCGAGAAATTTGAGGGCGTCCGACAATAGCCTGCAAAGGCGAGGGGAGATGATGGGCTAAGCCAGGAAAATATTAATCATTTGATGGGGCCGCCGCCATTGCTACCAACAGAACGAACACATTGAGTACACATACCTCCGTAGCCTGGCTCAGCCTTTCTAATATTTGTGCACCTTTCGAGACCTTACTCTGGAGAGACAGGCTTTCTAACCATTGGAGCAGATGCTCCGTTAGGAAGCCCCAGACGACGCCGCCATCCGCTAGGTTGGGATTATTTTGGAGGGCCTCGTTGCTAGGAAAACAAAGATGATCGGCCCAGAATTCACAAGGGTATCGCAGCGGTGTCAAGGGATCTGGGTCCGGAGGCGACAATGATACTGGTGAGGAGTCCATGCTAAGCTTATACATGTTAAAGATCAGTCTCGAGGACATAGCCTCAAGCGATCGCCGACCCATGGCCGCATGCTTTCCTGCAAGATCTATCGAATAGATCCGCTCCAAATACTCCTTTGCCGACAAATGGATCAAATTTACAATATCTCCCGTTATCGTAAGAAACGAGCCGCATTTTTCGGTGGCCTCTTTCGCCATATTGGTTGGTAGGTCGGTCAGTAGAGAAAGCTCCGGGAGGGAAAGCGGGCGAAAGGCGAGAAACGCGGCCTCCAACACCCTCATGCAGTCCTCGGGTTGCATAAAACTACCGGCCTGGATCCGTGTCATCATGTGGTCATATAATTCTGATAAACCACTCGGCATTTTGCGAATGCGTTCTACGGCGTAACCCCCATATACCCTCTCGAGGTCTCGAAAGGCGAGGGAAACCCACAGGAAGGTGTTCTCAGACCGCAGGTTGACCTCGCGCGATATTTCGGCCAAGATGCTAGCAGTATAACCTCTCCTATTCCTAAAGGCCTCGAGCTTGTATTGGATGTATGCGCTCACGGGGTCACCCAATCGCTGAGAATTAAGCTCAAGCAATGTTTCGGAAGGGTTCGAGCGGCCCGAATTAAGTAGTTGGAACTCATAAGACAAGTCCACCTCTGGGCGTCCAGAAATCAGCCATTTCACCTTGTGGGTCAAGGTAAAGGTTGTCAAGATAAGCTGTATTAGTTCTACCTGTCCTTCTGCACACTCGTCAATGGCGTCGAGAGCAAAGTAGACGGGCGACAGTCTTGGGTCCCTGAGCATATTCTGAAAGATCTTGGATAATGCGGAGAAGGCATTATGATCAGTAAAGAGACGGGCACCTGAATATTGGTACTGTTCAAGCACGTGTGAGAAGAGTTGTGGCTGCTTAACGGCCAGAAGCCAGATCAGGGACCTGAGGGCGGACACGGCGCTGCTTAAGACCTTGCTGGTGCCCTGGAAGAAGAAGAATGAGATGTCTGGAAAGCGAGACCCGGGTGCTAGATTTGACAGGCTACGGATGGTGCCGATCATAAGCATTGTCTTCCCCGTGCCTGCATGGCCCTTGATCCAAAGCAATCGGTTCCGCGGGAGGTGTAGGGCGCCGTCACTATCCCAAGTCGTGAAGTGGGAATATTCTGGAGTGGAGAAGACCCAGCGATAAGCCTCGTCGAGTAGCTTATCCTTGTTCCCTTCGATCCTCTCCATGTCATCCCGCGGGTCAAGCACGCGGAGATCTACCCAGCATTGCTCCTTCTGATTGACCCCGCTCGAATAGACATTGCCCTGGTGGACTTGAGCATTGCCTCCTATTACGGTATTGCCCCACGTGGCTCTGGCGTCCGGTCCCGAGGGAGGATAAAGAGGAGTCTCCATCAAGGTCTGCGAGTGCCCAAGGGCTTCTTAGGATGTCCTATATATCCTCGAGCCGGGTCAGATATAGATTCTTATTGTGGAACTTCCGGGGACGCTGATAGATGAAGCGTATACCTGGCTAGTCCGATATGGGTCCTGCTGACAGCAAATAAAAGCCCAGTTTCTGAGGATGCGACCCCCAAAAATAAGTGCCATGTCAAGGGTGAGATGTCCTGATAGGCACGGATCTCTGTCTCGTGAGAGTATGCCGAATACGGCGACCGAGACTAACGCGCCTAGATGGAAGTAATAGGTCGTGATAGCAATGCAAAGCCATGGATTTAGAGCCCGAAAGTCGAGGTAGAGGGAGGAGGGGTAATTGCAGGTAGGGGAAGGCTGAGGCTGTTGAGCGCCAAGGTAGCAAATCACATCCCTCGATCATCCTCAGCCGACCGAAACGAAAACTATTGGCCGGCAGGTCTATGAGCAGGTTTAGGATCAAAATTCAGGTGAGTGGCGTTTTTACAGCTTCACCAGGGTGTACTTGCAACAAGCACCGTCCTGTACTCACACATTGAAGCGTCAGGTGCGATGAGCTCGACGTAGAGCTCCCATCTAACTATCGTGTTACCTCCTAGCATCTAATCAATCGGCCATGGCGATTTCCCGAGCCTCGATTCGTCATCTTCTTATCAGGGGACGGATGTCATGTTACTCTCTATGGAGCAGGAAGATGGGAAAGAAAAGGGGATCTCTCTCACTATAGATATATATATATCCAATGGAATAGGTGGGTGTATGTTGTATCCACTCTGTGCACATGGCGAGAGACGCTTCCTCTCCTTCTTAGCTTCGCCTAATAGAACCGGACAGGCCGCCAACTAAGCGAGCGAATTCAAAACAATTCTTGATTACATATATCTATATGTTTGTTCGAGAGATAGACATAATGGATCCAATATATTTGTTGATCCATATGATGAAGAAAAATCAAGAGCAAAACTAGACAAAAAAGAGTGCGGTGAGTCGGGATCGAACCGACGACCTTCAGATAGACTGAACCGAAGTCTTGCTTCAGTCTGACGCTCTCCCAACTGAGCTATCCCCGCTTTGATTTGTGGAAGGAACGGGTTCGCATTGCATCCTTTGGACGAAAGTCAACGGATGGTAGTTGGTCTCCACTGATCTCCACTTGAGTCATGAACGCCGTCTAATAACTGGATCGATCCAAGACGACTTACAAACTACATGTAGTTACGAATGCAGAACAACAGCTCCTTGGTCCGTTCCGACGAGGATAGGGATGGTGTGACGAACGCCTTGCAAGGTGTCAAGGATGAGATGTAGCTAAATATTTAAAGGGGAGATGTAGTTGGTATCTTTAGGCTTGTAACCTAGTGTAAAGACCTCTCGTGTGAGGACCTATTCCCAAACACTTTGCCGGGAAGTTATCTCCGTCAAAGGAAAAGGCCAAGATAGAAGAAAATTAAAAATAAAATGTTACAAAGAAACCCGTCTATGTTGAAAACGCCATGCCGATGCCCTTTCCATATGCAGCTGCAGCAACGCGCACATGCACAAACACACACACACACCCACACCCTAAACTACGGAAGAAGAATATCATAACCGTCTTTGGTGATCCTGACCTCTTCCCTCGTCAAGCCATATTTCTTCCTCACCAGCTCAAAGATGATGAGCCCCGCGCTAGTGCTAGGGACCTGACGGATCGTGTTCCACCAGAACCCGCGGTACAGCCAGCGCCCAACGCTCTTGCTCCCCTCGGCCGCGGCCTCGGCGCGGCACTGCGCCCACGTCTCCTGGTACGCGCGGTAGTAGCTGCGAAACATGCGGGAGCGCAGCCTGCTCAGCAAGGAACCCGTCCTGGGCTGGCCGCGGAGCCGCTGCGCCTTCTCGTCAATGTCCTCCAGGTGGTTCCAGTGCTCGATCTGGATGTGGTTGAGCGGGTGAAGGACGATTTGCTGGGCAAAGGAGGCGCCGACGCCGGCGAGCAGCAGGAAGAGGGGCTCGATGGCGTAGTGGGGCCTGATGATGCGCAGGCCGCCGCCGCCGCCGTCGCCGTCGTGGGGCCGCTTACGGGCAAGGGTATCGATGATGTCCTCGTCGAGGCCCTCGTAGTACCAGCGCACAAACTTGTAGTAGCTCTGCGCCTTGACGTACTCGAACGCGCTAAAGAAGACGGCGGACCCGAAGCTGTCCTTGACGAACGTGAGCCCCCACCCGGCAAAGATGCCCCGGGCGCCAATCTCGCGGAGCTTAGCCGCGCTGAACGCCCACATGCTCGCGGGCTTGCCGCCGTCCTTTCCCGAGGCGAGGAGGTCCCGGTGGTCGTAGCGGGCCTGGATGGCGTCGAGCGGGGCCGCGACGACGCTCTGGATGGAACCCGCGAGGAAGCCGGCGGCGAACGTGTGCGTCGGCTCCGGCGGGGTACACCCGCTTGCTGCTCTTGGCGCTCTCCTCGTGCAGCGCGCCCAGGATCTGCAGGTAGCTCGTGTACAGCACGGCGGCGACGCCCACGTTGGCCACGAGGGGCGGTAGGACCTGTTCGGGGATCACGCCCCACCCGTGGTGCTTCACCGCCGAGGTGAGCACGCCCGGCGTCGTGGCGCCCAGCCAGCCCCGGACCTTGCCGCTCCACGTGGCCGACGAGGCCGCGGCCGCGGCCGCAGCCGCCGCGCCGCCGCTCGCGAGTCGGGAGGCGAGGAGCAGCTCGGTGCGGGTCTGGTGGACGCTGCGGGCGTAGGCGAGGTAGTCGACGCGCGTACGGAAAAAGGACTTGGCCGGGGCGCGAAAGTAAAAGGCGATGGCTTGGCTCGTGATGGCGCGCACCGAGGCGGCCGAGGCGGCGGTCGTCGCATTCGTTCGCGGCTGCTTATCGGGTATGTCGCGCTCGGAGGGCACAACGGGGAGCACGCCTTCCAGCGGGTTCGGCGGTAAGGGGAGGAGGTCTGGGTCGTAGTTGGCGACCCCGTCAGTGCGACGCATGGTGGTTCGCGAGCATGGCCCTCTCTCGTGCGGCGGAGAGACGGGGAATATTTTCTGGAGGGGGAGAGAAAGAGGAACCGATGTATTGGAGAGGGCTCGTGGAGGAAAAAGGCTCTTTGCGGCTTTCGAATCGCGGCCCCTCGCAGAAGCAAGCCCAAAAGCCGCATGGCTGGCTGGCTCCTGCTGGGTGACCCGCCAAGTGCCATCACGTGGGGCCAGTGGACGCAGCTGAGCCATCCGTGCCTGGCCTGGTGACGACAGCGGGGCTCCACCCCTGCCCCGCGCCTATCCACTCATGAAACGCCGACGACGACTGCTTCAAACCCGAGGACCGGAGAATGGTGGAATTCCAGGATTTTGTCCCTGGGTCTAGTTGAACTTTGAACTAGAATTCTAGACTTTACGTATGTTCTTGCTGGAAATCGAGCCCTCCTCTATTTTGGGTGCTCGTCTTTCCGGTTACACCGTATTCTTGTCTTTGAGCGTCGCCATCTACAACTTTTATTTTCTTCAAGGGGGTAACCAACTTATAAGACCTGTGGTTCAACCTCTTCCTTATCGCACCTGCCCCTGCAACCTCGAGTCTCCCGAGTGGCTCCTCTTTCGTAACTAGAGAATTGATGGCTAAGGGTTGGGCTGGGTGGGTCTCGGTGGATAGGTCGTTGCCTTGTTTCCTGGTTTTTAGGAATGACGCTCCCAAGAGTGAAGACGGGAGCTTGAGGCTTTTCTACCTAATTCTAGAAAATACCATGGATGAATGGGAATAAGGCATTCTCTCAAATGCCCCAGGTGCAGCCAAGAACGAATGGGTCACCGTGGCCCTGTCGCTGGGGGAGGGTGCCACCGGTGTGAGCAAGAGCTGCACTCTTACATGGACTGCATACACTGACAGCCGGTCGAGTCATATCTCACGCGAGCAGGCCGAGCTTGTTATTCTTCCTTTTATTTTCCTTTTTCCCCTGTAGCAATCAAAGCCTTCCCCGTGAACCAAGGCCTAAATAATCGAAAGTATCGGGAGTTGACGCCGGAATCGATCCAATTGACGGCGGAACCCGGGAAGACTACCCCCGACCTGGTCTGGGCAAATCATGGCTAGTCTGGTGGGACCGCGCTAGAGACATTCGAGTAAAACTCAAGAAAAGACAGCCTCTAACCTTCAAAGGAGAGACTTGGGCGGACCCATTGAGGCTTTGGTTTTTGATGCATGGCCATGTCCGTCAAGAAGAGCTCGGAGATAGTGCTAGGCTCGCTTGGCGTGGCGCAGTCAGCTGGCTCAGCATTCGGAGAAGTGAGGTGAGACGAAGCGGAGGGGATCGATCTCTGTTCTGCTTCATGGGTGTGTAGCTAGAGGGGAAGAGTCCCGAAAGAGTGCCACTTTCAGATCGGGAAAAAGAAGAGAAAAAAAGATAAAGAATTCGCGAAGCAGAAGAGAGGAAGATACGAAAGATTATCGAAAGGCTCGAGTGATGTCGGGTGCGGTAACCATTGTTGGCGCCCGGCATGAAAGTCGATCTTGATGACTGGACAGCAACCCCAGTTGATCGGGATTCGAGCCCGGTACCTCGAGGTACAAAGCCCCATCAAGGTTTTTTGGAACATTGGTTGTGACAAAACTCGCGCGGACGGGTGACAGTTTTCGGTCACTCGCCACTATTGAAGTCGATTATGCTCTCTGCCGGGAAGGAAAAACAGTGCGGGAAGTAACGCCCCGGGTTTGGCCAATTAATGGGAAAGAACATCCCAGGGCAGTGACTCGCCCGGCCGATCTTTCCCGAGATACAGGAATTTGATGCCGAGGAACTATCGTCGGTTTATCCAGGAAACAAGAGGCGAGTCAATTGGGATCCGTCTTGGGTTTGCATGCCTCATTCTGTTTTGAAGGACTAGGATTCTATTCTACAAAACATGGAGGGTGCCATTGCCATTGAATACCATCTGGAAATGGTGTGAATCGCCAGATCTTCAAGGGCGAAAGACGATTGATCAGCCCAGAGATGAGGGGCGGTAAGAAAGTCGGTCACCCAGAGGCCTACGGTTCTATTCAATTTGGGGACCCTGGCGGGGTCGAGAATGGCGACTTGTACGTGACGGGCTGACATAAACGTTGATTCGTATTGGAGTCATAGCGGGCGCTGTGCCCCGCCCTTGGCCAGCCCTCGAGACGGAAGGGGAAAATTCATAGGGGACGCCCGAACAGTGAGGACAATGCTATTCTTGTGCTGGGTGAATCGACGAAAAAATCATGCGCACTTGGCAAAGGAACATCGAAGGCTGTTTACGTACCCTGCCCCCCTGCCACCACGCAACCACTCCCGTTCCTCGTCGAGTGCCAAGTACCTCAAAGTCACTCCCCATCCAACCCCTTTGGCCCCCTTCCCCAGGAATTTTCGAATAAGGAGAGAGCAAGGAAACTGCGAGTCCCGAGGAGTGTGTGTGTGCACTTGTCCTTACGGGGAAAAAGAAAGAAAGGACACTAGAAATCCTGCTCCTGGCCGTGTCAACGGATGCTTATTTACACCTTTTCAATCCACAATTCTCACGCCAAACCTTCATCCAAGTCGATTGATTCCCTCGTAAAAGCCCTCACCCACGCTCTCCCCGGCACGCCCCCTTTCGAAACCCTTGGACTGTCGGTGTCGAATTACTCTGCTAGATACGATACACCCATCTCGAACCATCGTTTTCTTGGTATAAGCGAGCAATTCGTCCACTTTTTCTATCCGCGCCCGCCCGCCCCCTTGCGCTCCCCGAGGAATCGCAGCAGCAGCCGCTAAGATGAATCGGCCGTCTCGCACAGAGGATGACCTCCTCCATCCCACTTGGAACCAGAACCCGCCGTTTCTCGCCCCTGACCTTACCACTTGCGAGGATCTGAACGGGATTGCCAACTCCCGCATGTTAAAGAAGGCATCGGCAGCCACAGCGGCGGCATTCGGGTTGTTGGATAGACCGGGTTCACTGACCGACACAGACAAGGAGTCGGACGGCCGTACGTGTTTTTCTTTCTCTCCTTTCTTCCTCTTATGTAGCCACAATGCGCTGTATCTCCTCTCCTCCTCCCCAAACTTTCCACCGACCTTTGTTTCGGGGATTGAACAACCGTGATATCCGTCAAACTAGGTGTTTTTGCTAGCATCTAACTCGTTGTATTAGGCGTGTGCCTTCGGCTGGAGATTGTTCCTTTACAGGAACGTCTCCGCCGTTTAACCAGCCACTTTGTTACATCCAAGGCCTGGTCGTGGACTTGGTGGATCTTCTCCGTCCTAGCCACCTCCTTCTTGCTGTCGTCCTTTGGTCTGGTCGCCGGAACCCCCGCGCCCACAGCGACCTCCTCGGCCCGTCCCCCGCGGCCGCAGCAGCAGCACCGTCCCCCAGGCCCCGACAACCAAGGCTACTCTGAGCCTCCGCGCCCTCTCGAGGAGGGACGAGTGCGAAAATGGCGGCGTCAGCCCCGAGGACTACAACGTGCCCCTGCACGTCGGAGCCCTCCTCATCGTGATGTTTGTGTCGTCCCTGGCCTGCGGCTTTCCCATGATTGCCCGGCGCTTCCCGGTCCTCCGCATTCCCGAGGGCTTCTTCTTCGCCGTCCGCCACTTTGGCACCGGCGTGTTGATTGCCACGGCCTTCATCCACCTCTTGCCCACCGCCTTCATCTCTCTCGGCAACCCCTGCCTCTCCGCCTTCTGGGTCCAGGACTACCCAGCCATGCCCGGCGCCATCGCCCTGGGCGGCGTCTTCTTCGTCATCATCATCGAGATGCTGCTCACCAGCCCTTCCCGCCACCACTCCCACTGCGGGCCCCCACTTCCGTCCTCAGGACCGCGGGGGCCGGCGACGCCCCTTTACCCCCGGCAACGACTCGAGCTCCTCCCTCGACGAGATCCAACTCCACCCCCGCACCCCGCTGCTGCCGCCGCCCCCGGCGAGACCCTCGGGGCCCGCGACCGCACTTCGCCCGCCGCCGACAAGGCCGTGCAAGTGCGATCCCCCGACAGCGCTAGCCTCGAGATTGCTAGCGCCGCCCACATGCTCTCTCACGAGCAGCGCCTCAAGAAGGAGGTGCTGCAGTGCGTCTTGCTCGAAATCGGCATCTTGTTTCACAGCGTGTTTATTGGCATGGCGCTTAGCGTGTCTGTTGGAAAGGACTTTATTGTTTTGTTGATTGCTATTGCTTTTCACCGTACGTTTCTATCGCCCCCTTCTTCTTCTCTCCTTCTGTCTCTATCTCTCGTATCGCCCACGGTAGCTACCGAATAGCTTGGCTAATTTTGTTGAACCTACAGAGGCCTTTGAAGGTCTGGCTCTCGGCTCCCGCATCGCCGATATTGACTGGGCCGACAATCCCTACCGCCCCTGGCTCATGGCTCTTGCCTACGGTGTCACGTAAGTAGACGTCACCCCTCTTTTCTTTTTACATCCTATTTTTGGCCCTCGTTCGCTGTGTCTGCGCCCCCTTCTCTCTGCATCGAACATCAAAGGAAACATGACGGAACTGACCAAATGACCACGTACAGCACTCCGATTGGCCAAGCCATCGGCCTCGCTACTCACCACCTCTACAACCCAGGCTCCGCTTTCGGCCTTGTTCTCGTTGGAACTATGAACGCGATCTCTTCGGGCCTTTTGATCTACGCGTCCCTCGTTGAGCTCCTGGCCGTTGATTTCCTGAGCGACGAGAGCTGGGAGGTCCTCCGTGGCAAGAAGCGAGTCATTGCTTGTGTCATTGTCTTTGCTGGTGCCTTTATGATGGGCCTCGTCGGAGCCTGGGCATAATCGCGTCTGAGACGATTGCGGTTACCGTGCCCTGCCTCCCGCCACCGCTCAATCTCCAAGGCTCTTTCAAGGTCTACTTGCTTCTTTTTCTTTGGCTAGAATTCCATGAGCCATTGACGACGATACGCCCAGCGGTGCTTATCTACGGCGAGTACTCTGCCATCTCGTCCTGACAGCCGAACCCCATCTACGATCCGTGTGATCAAAAAAAGAGTGTGGATTGTTTTTTCTTCTGTGTCTCGTTTTGTGCCCTTTGCGTTTTCACCTTGTCGAGTTTGCCGGCTACTGGTAGCGGGCGAGAAGCATTCCGGCTCGGTCCGAGATTACTTTTGCCGACTTGTCACATGGACCTTCAACAGTTCCATGCTGGGGGAGGAGGGTGACGTTGTCTTGTTTTGCCGGAGACAGAGATGTGCTTTTGCTAGCTTCCATGCGTTTTGCTCTTGGGTCTCGCGTGAGGTGTGTGGAAGCATGATCTGAACTCCGTTGTCTATTTTCTTCTCTCCGGGCAGCCCATTCTTTGAGTTGAGCTACCCCAAAAATAAAATCAAAATTTGTCTCGAAATTCCACTCCTTATCGTAAAACAGACGTGATGCTCGTACTCAACTTGTGCCAAACATTGTCTATTGATCCATTCATTTTTTTCGTTACGGAGAGTAAAGTTCTTTATCAAGGCGTTCACTCAATGGCTGCTGTGTATGTCTTTGAAACGAGGAGTGATAAGCTTGAGCTCTGTGCAGCTTGGAACATTGAAGGTTGCAGCTGCCCCTCCCTGGTGGTGGGTACGAAATGGCCGCCCATCTCTATACCAAAACGTCGCAGTCTCGTTGTCGTTAGCGCATGGGGGCGTCGGTAGTGCTGGAGCGCCCAGGGGCACTTTGACCACTAAACGGCTCCCTATTTGTCTCGTGCACGTCCCGACCCCTTGAATTACCCCTCCACTAAGACGACGACAGGATCTAAGATGGAAGCGACACGGTGGATTTGATTGATCAATTGGACTGAATTTTTGATGGCAAGTCAGCGGGCAAGGAAAATAGACGGCGACCAGTAGGAGAGAGAAAGGTGGGTTCATTCATCGTCGGATCGCTCCTGCCAGGCCGCCCGTCCGCGCACACAGACATGTGGGCTAGGCTGAGGCCAGGCTGGGCCGGGCTGGATAGAGCCGAGCTTCCCCGCCATTCCCCCTTATCGCAAACGAAGCCCGCATCACGTCACCTTTGAGGAGCGCAAGTTTCTCTCCCCGCCTTGCTGCCTTTTTTGTTGTCTTTTCACCCCGCCGACCTTTTTTGAGTGTTTTTTCTCAAGCCCTTATTTATTTGTCCAAAATTGTCAGACACATTCGACTCCGCAAGAGGACAACATTTGTCAGAAAGGGTTAAACAGAACAAACCTAAGAGGTGGGGAGGTAGCTTTATCCAACTAGAGTCCGACATTTCGCGAAACAAGCTTCTGGCAATCTGCTCTGTGTTTTCCAAAACACAACCCTCTTGGTCGGTTTAGTCGACTCAAACCGTTTCCGGCAGACAGCCCAAGGCCATCGTTTCGCAATTCACGCGTCCGCATCGGGGCCTTTTTCCGCCTACACTCCCTTCTCTTCGTCTTCCCTGTTCGCGCGGGGTCAACTCACCGCACGATGCCAGATATCAACACCCTCCCGGGCTCCTCCAGCCATTCCCGCATCGCCTCGCGCCGTGCTTCGACGAACCCCATGCCGCCCCCCCGTCCCTAGCTCGCCCTCTGTCAACATCCTACCTTCCAACCAAATGGCTGTCGGCGCCGGCGGAACCGGCGGGGTTCCTGGGCAAATCCCTTCGCCGCTACCTTCTCCTCCCATGTTCCAGCCTACGCCTGCTCCTCTCCCCGTGCCTATTGCGGGGATGGAAGCCGTTTCCGGACCCGGGCCTCTGCGTCATCCGAGACCTTTGACGGCTGCGGAGCTGCATCAGCAGTTGGAGCGTGAACAAGAGGCAGTTGTAAGTTGAGATATCACCCCTTTTTCTCGTCGTTATACCTCCCACTTTTTTCCACGGCCCTTTTGTGCCTTCCTTCCTCCTTGGATAACCCGGAACTAACTAGTTTTCCTCCTAGGTCAACCGTCTTACACGCGAACTCGCCCTCCTCCGCGCCGCCCAAAACGCCTCCGTCGTCTCCAATGCCTCCTCCACCTCTGCCAGCGCCACCGGTGCCGAGAATCCCAACCACAGCACCTCCGACACCCATCTCCTATCAGGCGCCGGCTACACCTTCCCCACGCCCCGCCACCACCGCACCTCGTCCAATACCAGCGCCCTTAGCCAGGGCGGCGCTGCCCTCCTCAGCACGTCGGCCGACGCGCGCCGCGGCCCCTCCTCCCGAACTGTCCCGCCACAGCAGCGCGTCCCACCGGAGCCGGACGAGCTCGCCCGGACCTTCCGCCTCGGCGCACGGCGTCGGGGCCGACAGCTCGCTCCACTATCTGCAGCAGCAGCGCGTGCCTCACGCCTCCGTGTCCGGTAGCTCCGTGGTCGCGACGCCGGGCAGCGTGGGCGGTGGCGCGGCGGGCGGTGGCGCCAGCTTCGGGGAACCGTACTCGCCCGGCCTACTACCCGCCACCGCGCGGTACGAGGAGACGGCGTTTTACCGGTCGGAGCTGGAGGTGGCCAAGAAGGAGAACGACGCCCTGCGCAGGCGCGTGAGGGAGCTCGAGCGCATGGTGAGGGAGAGGAGGGCGAGCGATGCGGGAGCACGCGGGCGAGGAGCGAGAGCGTGAGCACGACGGCGAGCGCTAGCGTCGCGCGCGCCGGGCAGGGTGTCGGGGTATTGCCGGGCCGCGGGAGGGCGGGAGGCCGACGGAGAGGGATAGGGGTGTGAGTATCACTGGTAGTGTTGGGGTGGGTGTGCCCGAGGACGAGGTCAAGGTCGGAGAGAGCGCCGCGAGCGCGGGGCTTCACCGGTGAGCGATGGGGGGATAACGCGGTCTGAAATACGGTGAGAGAAAGTGTGAAGCGATGGTCTGGCAGCCACAGGGTGTGCCACCCATTACTACCCTTCGGGGGATGCCAGTGCTCTGTTTTTTGTTTTACTTTTCTTTCCTTTTCTTAGGCTAGGTTTCCTCGTTATGCGATTTTAGGCGTTTGAGGGGTTTGGTGGGAGGAATAGGGTATGGATACGGAATATGGATTATACTAGCAGTATGCGCTCGCTTGAAAAGGAGAAAACTGGCGAGTCCTCTCTCAATGATATTGAACTTCTCAACTCTGAACTTCTTATTTACAGACGCTCGTAAAAGGGAGGTCTAGATGCGCATGGTAAAGTGCATGTATTCAAGGGAAAGAAGAGGGATTAATATATTGGTCTCGTCTTTTATTTGGGAGTCATTTCATGAAAGGCATACACCATTATACAGCTCATCCCGTACATCTATCGAATCAACAACAAAAAACGAGCCGAGAAAACCTCGAATCGTCAGAAAAAAGCCCAGTCTTGGGCTCTAAGAGGGGAGGTTGGTGGCCATATAAATACAGGAAAGATTAAAAAGAAAATATAGAAAGAAGAAAGGAGTAAAATGTGTTAGAACTGCGCCGGATACCAAACCAAGATAATGTAACTCCCGTAAAAATGCGCTCTTTGTCCGTGGTTCAATGCCAGCTCTACGGTTCCTCTTCTCCTTTTATCCTCAATGCTTGATCTTTCGTCCTAAAAAGACGGTCCGGGGGATTCGTGGAAAAAATGCTTAAGCCTTTCCCTGGGCAGTGGCCTCCCTCACGGCGCCGCCGGAAGCACGCCACCAAACGTCGCTACTCCAGCGGATCAGACGCTCGGCAGCGCCGGTGGGGGTCAGGGCCGGACGGACATCGAGGTAGAAGACGGGTTCGCCGGTGGGTTCGGGAGGGCCGGTGTAGTAGTCGATGACGTAGCGGACTTCTTTGGGTTGGCCGTTGACGTTTCGGGCGACGTACCAGTCGTGGCGATCAAAGGGAGGTTCGGTCCTGATTTTCAACGTGTTAGTCACTCCATATCATCCGGCAGGAAAAAAAGAAGAAAAGAAAAGGGTTAAAAATCTTACTCAAACTTGGAAGGGTAGACACGACCCAGCAGCTGCCAAAACGCAGCCTTGGGCGTCATCTCCTTGGGCCGGCCCTGGAAGCGAATCAAAGTCGGCTCCGTCTCGTAGGCCTCCTTGATCTTGGCGATTTGCTCGGGCCCATTCTCCTCGCCGCGCTTGCACGTCTGCCAGCCCTTGACGAGGCCGTGGGCGAACCGCTGCTCCCAGCCGACGACCTCGGCCCAGGCGCCCTCGTTGAGGAAGTTGTGGACGGCCACCATCTCCTCGACGGCGGTGATGTCGGTGTCCTGGTAGCCCTTGCGCAGGAGGGCGTTGTACATTTGCTGCGGGGACGGGTACTCCCAGTTCTCGTTGGCGTCGGAGCGGGGATGGACGACTCCTCGCGGCTGGTGGGTAGCTTGATGGCCTGGTGGGGGCGGGTTCCTGGGAGAGGTCGGGGAACATGTAGTTGAGGGGTTGAGCTGGGAGAGTAGCGATTTTCTTTGGGTGCGGCGCGCTGGGCGTGGGGGACGGGGCAGGAGGACGGGGCGGCGGCGGAGGAGGCGGCGGCGTCCGGCTTTGGGCGCTTGGTGATGGTGAAGGCGTCTACGGTCGCTTGGTGCATGGGGCAGCCAGCCTAGAGAGGGGAGGTTAGCGATGGGCGCGGGTCATGGTTTTCGTTTCCGATTCTATCCCTTCGCTTGGTTTCCCCACGCATTTCCACCTGTCCGAAAGAACATGGGAAACCCGAATACACGCGGTTGGAATTCAGGGAGGCAAAGGCGACGGGGATGAGGCCTCGTCGCACGACCCCTACGCTTTTTCGTTGATTCCCCGACGTGGAAAGAAACAGGATGCCGGATAAAGGAAACGGGAGAGAAAAGGCGAGCTATTCTTACCGGTGGGGTCTGGCCGTCCTGCACAGTCGGATGAGGAGCCGCAGCAGCGCGAGCAGCGTGAGGGACTGGGCAGCCGGAAGCTGGAGGTGTGTTCGCGGCCGCAGGGGCAGCGGGAGTATCGGCCCAAAACCAACCCATGGTGTGCGTGCTTAACCGGGCAAAAAAGAGGTGTGCCAAAGAGAAAGGGAGTTCAAGAAACCAAGGCTGAGCGTTGCGTGAATCAACAGATTGCCAATAAAGGAATCTACAAAATATAGCTAGCGCTCGATCAAGAAAAACTGGCGAGAATACCAACTCGAGGCGACGACGGTGGAGAGGCGCGCGCGGTTTCGATGGCGACAAGGGAAATTTTTGTCGATGGATGGGATGATCAGGGGAGAATGGAGTCGATTCGATGATGCAACCGGGCAGCGCGAGGCGCGAGTAATTTTTTTCTTTCTTTTTCGCCAAGCGGCTTTTCCCCTGTCCTCTTGCCAATCAGAGCCGTCGCATTATTCGAGCTGATCCCTGTTGACAAGCGGGCCATTTTGCCAGGAATTTTCCGAATTGGATATGACAAACTCGCCCAATTATGCCGTCACCAATTTCAACCTCGGGCCTTCCGCGCCGCTCCGAATAAACCAAGTGCACTCTTCTACCTTTTTTTCTTCTCCGGCTTCATTAGGGGAAAGATAATACGGAAAGAATCGAAGAAATGGCGTCTCAACCCGCAAGGGACAAAAAGACAAATAGGAATAAATATGGCCTTGGGCCAAGGCCGTTTTCGACGCTTGGCCCTGACCCAGCAAAGCCCACGCGCCTCGGCCGCCGACCAACATTCCTGTCGCCGCAGCAGCCTATAGGAGGGCAAGGATCTCGACTGCGACTTGCATCGCCACCCAAACGTGCTATGCTTCGATTCCTTCCATATGGGGTCCCCCAGGACCATAAGCGGTTTTAAATCGGGAATGTTTGGGCGATAATAATAAACCCAGTGGTCAGGAACCAAAAGTAACCCTTTTAAACGCAGGAGTTCGGGACTTGTAATTGCCGCCACTGCGGAGAGGGTAATTGCGGTCGTTTGACAAGGGAGAGAGCTGGAGAGAGAGAGAGAGCGAGCGAGCCGCCGTAGCAATCCGAGCACGGCCTTGTTGTACTACGCCAGGCCTTTTTGCCCATGGCCCGCAAACGCCTCACGTTGTACCCGCAACCAGGGCATTCTCACGGCACGGGGGACTACTTTTGTTCGGTGAAGCGATGTCTCCTAAGCAAGCCGAGTGCTAAATTTCGCGCGGCGGAAGGAATGGGCGAGCGCACGTGGAATTAGGCTGGCTCTAAGCTCCGCCCACCCTTTTTGAGGCTGTTGCTGCGCTTCTTGGTTTCGGTGGGTTTGTGCTGGTGTATTTCTTGGGACGCCTTTCGCTTTTTGCCTTGCCTCTTGGTAGCCGAACCCTGCCCCTCGGGCCCGAAGACGTATTATATCTCTGGGTCCTTTCCCCGTTCGTGAGAATCGTGGACGCATCTCAACAACCCCCAATCTTGTTTCTGTATGTGACGTAACGCCGTCATAAGATAGCCTGTCTTGACTCAAGGCCCTCGCGAGATCTTCTCAGTGGAGCAAACTTACACGCACCCTCAACGAACAACACACACATCCTCCATCACCACATATAAAAAGGAACATACGAAACCAAGGAAAGAAACAACGACTAACAGAGGGAGGAGAAAACAAGGGCACGGCACACACACACACAAAATGGCACCTACATCAAACCTCTTCGTCCGCGGTTCCCCACCCACCAAACGCTCCATGGGCCTCGACGACCCCATCTCCCTCGCCCTCGTCGGCATCAGCGTATCCGCCATCATCATCTCCATCGTCATCCTCCTCGCCGTCGGCCGCAACCGACGCAACAACGCCGTCCTCGCCGAGGAGCTCCAGTTCCGCCCCTACGACAAGCAGCAGCTCATCTCGCGGCGGCCCCGCGCCCCTCGCCCTCCCCTCTTCTCCACCAACACGCCCGGCACGCCAGCACCGGCACTGGCACCAGAAGCAGCAGCAGCAGCAAGCCGCCCTCCTACAGCTTCCACTTTAGCGGCGAGACGCCCCGGGGCCGCGCCCCCGACTTTTGCTCCCCGACGACCTACGAGGCCGCGCAGCACAACCTGCCCCTCCTCCTCGCCGAGCCCTCGCCCCCGACCCCGGGCCTCTACCCGCCCCCGGCCGCGAGCCCTCCTCTGCGGTCGATGGGCCGGTCGGACGGAGACCAGTCGCCGGCTCCGCCTTGCTACTGGCAGCCTTCCTCCCGGCGTCGAGCTGGGTCGAGGGAGCCTTCGCCCATGGGTAGGCGTTGGTAAGGAGCTGCCCCTTTCACCATCTCATGTTGTATAATACTATGCTGTTTCGGCGGGCTAGAGGGGAACTAGCCAGAGCTGCTTGCTGTTTTGTTAGCCTGTCTTTTAACTCCTCTTTTATTCCTTTTCCTTGGGTTCCCAGTTTCCCGCATTCTAGGAGTTTTGGTTATAGCGCAATGGTGTGATTTAGGATTCGGATTAAGCATTTGGGCGGACTTGCATGGTCGGATTTCCTTTGCTGGGTTTTTTTCTGTTTTGGCATTATTATTTTGGGAAGCATTGATGGAAATACCCCAACCAACATTGGATTCAACGTTATCTTTTTTGTTTTTCTGTTTTAGAAGCATTCATAGCCACAATATTAGACAGCAATCACCCATACATTCTCATCTTCCATCTGTACGTCCTCACGCAGTGGATCCAGACCCAATCCATGTCCGTCAAAGCAAAGACAACGCCCACAAATCCTTCCCTCTCGCCATGCATTCCCGACCGCCGTTCCTATCCCCCGCATACATCATCCCATCATCGCAGGTCCCCTTTTCCCACAGATATTTTTATTTGACCAAAGACAAAGAAAAAAAAAAAAAACAAGGCCGTAGACTCACCTCCATTCACCTGTCCCCGACCCCGGAACATATCGGAGGCGGTCGGCTCGGCTTCTATATCCCGGCTGGCTGCCCTTCCCCACCCCCTCCCAGAGCGCGCTCGCGCACACGCGGGCTTCACCCTCCCCCTTTTTTCCCTCTTCCCCCTCGGCCACACCCGCCTCGGCTGCCGACGCAACAAGGACCCTGCAACACGTTGTCTCCCGACCGGAAACCCACTTGCCTTTTTTGCGATTCCTCGCCCACTCACCAAACGCACCCCGCTCCCCAATTGCTCCCGAACCAAAACTAAAAGGAAACAAGGGTGACACGCTAGCCTGGCGAGGGAGGGTGCACGAGGTAATTCAGGGAATCCTGTAGAGGAAATAGGAAAGATAAAGTAGCGGTCAACTCCTTCTTCGATTCCTAGGCCTTGCCCCTTTTTGATTTAACGTCGTTGTCATGCGTCATTATCCTTGCAGGGCCCCCAGAGAGTCCAAAGATGCCGTGTCGTGTCTATATGGAGGAAGAGGGGAGGAGAAAGATTGGAAATGCAGATGCTACAGCAAACGAAAGCATAGCAAAGACAGGCATCGCACTTTCGTGAAGAATTATAGTCAAGATTTCGTAGTCTTTATTCATCTATCATCTCTAGCCAAGACCTCATATCCTCTTAGATCTGTAATGTCGTCCTCATTCTCTTATCATCCTCATGCAAGTGGTATAACCCGCTTTCCCAAATGCTTCAAGATATGCTTATTCTCGCGTCCGTTCCCCTAAAGCACATCTACCAAGTGTAAGATAGGGCAGCTGTGAGGGGAAAAGGAACGCGAGGTGGTGGGGAGGGAAAAGAAACAGACGTATAAACCGTCTTTTCTCTTCGTACAATAAACAAAGGAAACAAAGATAATAATAGATAAAGACCAAAAAAACAACTGTCCCGGTATACGATGAGTTCCTCGGGCTCGAAGTTCGAATGAATCCCTGGTGATCTGCGTCCTCCTATATCTGTGGAAATGACGAATATGTGAACCCTCCTCGGAAACGAGGGGGCAGAAAAGTAATTATACTCCCGAATATGCGAGCTGGTAATGAAGAAAATTCGATTGGGTATGAAACGCCAGGTAAATGATTCCGTTTTTCTGCTGCTGTGAAAAATATGTGTTGTTTGCTCCGAAAAGAAAAGAAAAGAAAAAAAGATATGCAAGCTCGCGGGAAATGCTGCCTTCGTGCTGCGAGTGAGTGCGGTTATCCCTGGTGGAGTGTGGTTGGGGGCTTCACGCCGCCGTCTTGCGAGCCCAAGAGAACCACTTGCGCTTTCCCGACTTTTCGGCGACGTGGGCCATGTCCGCGTCATCGAGCTCTAGCCGATACCGTCGCACACTGCCGGTGTCGTCGTCAAAGTCTAGGTGACCTCCGTCCTTGGGGGCCATGCAGTCGGGCACGAGATTCCTCCGCACCCATCCCCGGACACCCCTCCTCGCCGCGTCTATAGCGGCGTACTCGAGGCGGCGGGTGTGGTCGCTGGTCCAGTAGTGAGTGGTGGGCGGCGGCATAGGAGGGCGTGCGGCGACGGCCGTCTCGGTCTCGGGGGCGGCGATATCGGGTTCGGGGAACTGGAAGAGCGTCGCTTGGGGTACGGCCCTACTTTGGGTGGGGTACAGCGACGATGAGGCTGCTGTGCTGAATCTGCGACTACTAGACCCCGCGGTGGAAGAGCGGGAAACCGGCTTGGAACCAGAGGAGAGTGCGTGTACACCCGAGTCGGAGCTCAGCTTGCGGGCTTGCGTCGCCTTGGCAGAGACCAGGGACTCGTACCCCGAGTCTTGACGTTGCATGGTGAAGGGGCCCGGGGCAGCAACTGGACTGATTTCGGTTTTGCTTGAAAGTTGTACTACTTGAATCGTGTCGTCGAAGCTATGGGCGGACTTGGGAAGGATGGTGACGGAAGCAAAAGTTTGGCCTTTAGAGAGACGGCGTCCCCGCGTTACTGGGGTTGGTGTGGTGGTAGTAGTAGTGGTGGTGGTGGCGGTGGTGGTGGTGGCTACTGTCGAAGACATGGTCGACATCAAGTCAAGTACGGTTTGTTGGGTATGATACGATGTAGGTAAGGGAAATACAAGCTTTCGACCGAGGATACGTGCCCATGGAAAGGGTTTGGCCGGAGGAGGTTCAAGACGAGGAACAAAACAGGAGAGGCGCTTGTTGGCGAATGGGATGGGCAAGGGATGGTTTTAAACATGCAAGACCAAGGCCGGGTTGGGTAGCTTGGACGGGCCGGAGCAGATCGCCTGTGTGGGACGGACAAGGATCGAGGGTGGAAGGGGGAAAGAGGAAGAAAAGAGGAAAGGAAGAAAAAGTAAATAAAACTGGATCCACGATGCAAGCCGTCGAGCGGCGGAAGGGGATGCAAAAAAGGATAGCTTGGCCGCGTGCAGGGAATCGTGCAGATTAAGATATCCTTCGTCTATCAAAAGGGGGCGGCGAAACTTGCGGTCAGGACGTGTTATTCAGAGAGCTTGAGGGTTTGAGGGCGGAACTTTGGTCGACCTGGAGACAATGCACGGCGGTGGGGTTCTGATATTTCCTTTGGCCAGCAAGGTTTATTGCATTCGTTTCATGAAATCCAACTCGAGGGAAGCTTCTCGGCGGCTATCGGAAGAGACCCAAACTATGCTGTGGTAAGGAAGAGGAGAGAGAGAGGTGTTGGAGATGAGGAACAAAAACAAGCAATGTGGGCGTACTGCCGTGTTAAGACTCTTTTGTCGGTTTGATGTGTGGGTGGGCGGGCGTGTGAACGTGGACGTGGGCGTTCTTCGTCTTTCCTCGCCGGAATACACTTTTCTTTTCGGATGTGTGCGTGTGCAGGCAGGAGACCTTTTAATTCGGCGAAAATCAGGGTCCCCCTCTCTTTCTCCGGTCGCTTGTCCTATCTGCCCTCAAATGGGGTTGTCTACTATTATCCCTGTGCGTGTGCCCGCTTGACCCCCTTGTTTGAACAAAGCCGCTGGCGGGTACCGTTGCAGCAAGCGTCGCTTCGGATGCAAGGAGGGGATGGCGGGTGGATTGGTTGAGAGCGGGGGTTGGAACCAAGGCCGGTGACGGGCACGAGCCAGCGCAAGCAGGGCCCTGTGACTATGAGGATGGAAGGGGTTTAGCCAGGGCTGGAAGTGGATAAGACACGCAACTCCTGCCTGTGAGTATTGTGGAGGGGTGGCAAGCGGTTTCTCTTTTGAGACGGCGTGTCGCTCTCTCTGGGGTCTGCCTGAGTCGACCCTTGGGGCTTTGCTTTGGGGGTGGCGGCGGTGGGTCAAATAGCTAAACTCAGCGCAGCGAACAAAGCACGCCAACAGGGAGGGAGAGGAGCCCGAACTTGGCTTTTTTCTAGTTTTGTTTTTCTAGCTCGGGGAACGGGGAAATTGTAGGACCTGGAGGCTAGATCCGTGTTCGATCTGATAATAGCGTGAAGACGGCAAATGGAATCTAGCAGGCTGGGCGCAAAGCAAAGGGCATGCCGAGCCGCGGCGATGCGATTCGACGAGGTGAGGGCGTAAAGTGGGTAGGGGCGAGCTGGACGAGGAGGAAAGTGGGAAGGTGGGGGCTCCGTCTTCACGGAGCACGGCAGCTGGTCTCCACTGGAAGAGGTACGATGCTACCTTGACTCTGGATGTGCGTGTGTTTTTTTCTCTTTCTTTTTTCTTGTTCTTGACTCTTATTATTGCTTTCTTTTTTGGTTGTTTTCCCTCTTCGTTCGATGGAGCCCAAAAAGCCCAAGGATCGATTGCGTCTTATTATTAGTGGGCGGGTGTGGGGTTTGGTGGATAGGCGGTAAACAACAACCACTGGTCAATATCGAAGGGACGCCACAAAGGCACAGCAGCTTGCCCTGACCGGGGTCGCTGTGTTATGGATCCTGTTTGACTGGACAATGGCTCTCCTCGAGGTTCGATGTACTCTGCGTGTTGTGCTGCACGTTGTGGTGGCAGACACAGAGCAACAGAGCAACAGGGCAAAAGAGAGCAAAGGACAAAAAGAAAAAGATACACAAAGGGTCACTTGGATTTGGTGCGTGTTCGTGCAGGGTGTATCTGGGCCTGGGTCTGGAAGAGTGATCGGACGGCGATCTTGTTGCCACAGCAGACGGCGCTGATCGATAACTTGTATTTAAACCCGAGGATGGTTCGTATCAATAGGCTGCTACGTCAAGGGGGCAGCCGTTCCCCTTTCCTTGATTCGGTGCCATATGGAGTTCAGATCGTGGAGCTCGGCGATGCTCCTGAGCTATGGAAGTCAAAAAGCATGGGAAGCGGAGATGCTGCCAGAGACGACTGCCCACCCCACCAGCTAAAGCCAGCCAAGCAAAGTTCAGGGCTTTGAGGCGCAGGGCAGGCGGTGGGACCACCTTGACCGCAAGTGAGGTACGTGCTCGAGGTACCAATCATTAAAAGTGTTGCTTCTTTGCCTGCCCTGTTGTCGTTCAGCCTGCCGAGGCTCGGTGGGGAGCCCTCTTTGGTCCTGCTTGATCGCTGTTGCACCCGTGATCCACACTTTCCCGACTGAGGTTACGTGAGAACCTTGAACTACTTGAGTACCTCTTCGCCGGCCAAGTGGCGGATGCTACATTTGGGCCAATCCAGAGAAAAGTATTACGAGGGCCGCCCACAGAAACTTTTGTGAAGAAGTCTGTTGCTGCCAAAGTGGCATGCTCTCGCTGTCTTCGAGAGTTTCCGATGAAGAAAAAGTCCCGTTGTAAATCGTAGGTTTGAGTGAAGGGGTTGAGCTATTGTCTTCTCCACTGTGCTTCTTCGATTCTTTTTTTTTTTTTTTTTCCCTCACTTCTTCTGGGTTCTCATTCCCGTCCTTTTTCTTCTCTTTCCCCTTCATTGTCTCGTCCACTTTGAAGAGAAGCAACGCGGTATCAACGAGTTGGTGGTACCTACTCGGGAAGGAATAACCAGGGTAGGTTGGACCTGTCCCACCTCAAGCCCTCTCGGTGCGTTTTTTATGTACACCATATGCAAGCGTGAACTGGCGGGTGTGCGGAACAAATCGAGCGTTTTCAAGGTTTCCACCTTCAAAGAGCCACCAACTATTATTGACAGGCGTCTTCTCCTAATCTAACCGGCCCTGCATTGATTGTCCCTCGGACTGTGGTTTGGGTTCGTCCACCCAGCGTCATGCCATCAAAAGTGATCGAGGTCCCGGACAATTCCGTTTAGGGAGAAGGCATGATGGAAATGCAGCCATCCTCCTCAAAGTGGGCGAGCCAAAGGCCCCTAACAAACCGGAATCAAAGACAAACTTCCCCCTCACTTATCCCTTCTGTGTTTGCCGCCTCATCGAAAGCTTCTTCTGGCGGTGGAGAAGCCCCGTCTCCACCTCCCATTTGTTGGGGGTGAGCTAACCCGTTCTTGCCACAGCACTAATGAGGGTGCCTGTGTACCAAGAATCCTGCCAGAGGAGCGGTCACGATGCACGGAGCACTAGGTCAATACAATAATAGCGAGCGAGCACACAGACACAGACAGGAGGCAGGTGGCGTCGTCGGGATGCGGTTGGCAGGGACAGAGAATAGAATGGAGGGTTCAGGTAATTACAGCAATTGCATCACACAACTCTCCTTGCTCTTCACCTCTGGCTGAAACGATATTCTTTTCTTTTGCTTGATCAAGGCTAGAGCCTTGCCTTCGGTGACACAGAGGATAAGAATGCTCATGGCCTAGCCAGAATGCCTTCGTCGAGCAAGCATCATGCGATGAATTCTACCGTCACGGAAGAAGGAGCACAAACGCAAGCATAATGCTTCAGCAGGAGGGGTTGGGTTGGTCCAGGGCATCAAAATGCACCCCACTTTTCACCATATGGGAGCCCCTGGCGATGGCTACGGAGCTGAGGAGCGCTGCCATCGTCAGTGGCTGATCACAGCCACGATCTGCACCACACACAACACGCCGAATCGCAGGCCGAGATTTGGCCCTCGCCTGCCTGTGACCTGGCGATGGGACTCCTACTTTCTCAGCGTGAGGCTAAATAGAGCACGCAGTGAGTCCGGCAGTTACACGCCGTCTCGCGAGGTGGTATCAATGTGTTAATTGACCACGAGAGAAGACAAGAAAAAAAGAAAGAAAACGAAAAAGTGAACATAACCCCCACAAGGCACAGAAAGTCGCACCATGTTACGAAGCGGGGAGGCATGACGAAAATGGCCGATGTCGCACTCGGGGCTCAGGCCTGAAAAAGAGGGGTTCCACAAACGTTGCGTCGGGATGCCCTGTAGCGAATGGCAAGCCCGCTCGATATTGCTTCCAGGCGACGCGAGTATCTGGTTCAGAATAGCAATAGCGAAGCAGTGATCTCATCATCCCACGTCCAACCAAAGGTTCATTGAAAATGAAGAGCATCGAACGGGAGTCATGTCAACCATGGACCTATTTACTCTTTGTTGCTTCTTTTGTCTCTCTTGTTTGTCATTAGGTGGGGGACTATCATGATGTGCAAGAGTCGGACACCAGGAAAGCGACAGAGATGGACGCCTCCGAGACCTCCTCCTACCCTTGATTTTCACATCGTTTTACTTAGCCCGGGAGAGGGTGCCTTTCCGCGCAGATCTTCAAGATTTTTGCCGAATGACCTCTTTTTCCTCCCAAACGAGTAACTATTGACATGGGGAAGTGACGAATGCCTAGAGCGGGAATGTCATGGTGTTCCTTGTCACCGTGCTGAAACCTTTGCGCTTCACTTCCCGACATCGTGGAGAGACATCAGACTAGTGCCCAATCTCATGATGGTAAAAGGTGCTAGGCCAAGGACCCTGCATCTGGAACTCCTCCATGGTTTCCCCTCCGTCCTGCGACGAATCGTTTGTTCGCGTGGACTGGCTTGGCTTTGTCCGATGGGCAAGGGAAGGATGCACCAGCCTAACTTGGCAAAGAGGGAAATTATGGGCGGTCCGTCCGTCTGTCAGTCCAAACGGACACTGACGGGCACTCCCCTGAGGTCTGACCTTGTTTGCCCGCTCCCGCTCGACCGTCCGGGCCAGACAACCTGGTCGGTCGGGTTGTGGTGTGCTGTGGCGCCCTAGGCGGAGGTCACGATGGCTCGATGGTGACATCGCGAAATTCATTCTTGGAAAGGAGATGCTTATTACACCCATCCCTCGCCCGTACCTTGTTTCTTTCTCAAGTGGGATTACCTCACCACGAAATTCCGAGGAATTTTGGACGGGATGTGCAGCTCTCGCCCACTTGGCTTTGCTTCCCTTCGGTATCTTCCCCTGCCTCTTGTTTTGAGAACAAGCCCGGAGGGCGGGCTGGCATGAATGGAGCGTGCCCCAGTCAGACTTTCGGGCCGGACCTAGGGGTCATCCTCTAGGACTTTAGGCTTCATTTTGCCCGATGACTACACGAGAATGCTGGCCCGAGTCGTTATTTCGTAAATATGTGAGGCTTAGGCTGGGGGTGAGCCAGCTTCAGCTCCGTTCAGACTCCAAGGCTGCAATGGGTGGATGGATGGATGGCTGTCGATCCCGCAGGCGCAGGCGGGAGACTGTCCCAGCTTCGGGTGTCCGTGCCCATGCCCAGCCAACGACACGCGCCTCCTGGCGCTTTCACATGTCAAAATCCCAAGTTGGCTTCACCTTCGGCCAGCCAGGCAGGAATTGGGGGTGTAATATTGGGGGAAAAAGAAGAGGAAAAAGGAAAAGGAGAGAAAAAAAGAAAGAGGCCGAAAGGTGGTGTGCTCAAGGTCTCGGTAATTCCCTAAATACAAACCTCCCCGAGTGTGGTAACACGGGCGGGGGCGGCAGGTTGATTCGCCTGGCTGGATGGACAGCGAGTAGGCCTTGCTTCCTGACTCGACACGTTGCGCTGTTGCATTTCGCGGGCATTTGTCGATGCAATTGCGACTAGGTCATTCCTGGTTTTGATCTCGCTCGACGACGGAGCTCGGGGAAGTTGGATGGAGGAATCTATGCATGTGAATCATCCGGCGTCACATGTACTCGGTTGGAAAGCACCATCGATCAACTGCTCGCCTTATCTTTTTTCTCTCTCTGGTTCACATGCTTTCCTTGTCTAGTTATTGATAGATTCTGAGGGCATTTCTTCCTGTCGACCGAATCGCCTGATACAGGTGAGAGGGGAGCGTGAGAGGGGCTCAGGAGGTCGGCCGTCACGGATTTCGCCCGGTTGCGGATGTTGGGGGTGATGCGCAGGCCACAAGCTCCCGGACGGGCTGGTTGGATGCAAGGGCTGCACCGGACCATGCTATCGGGGAGAACAATAGGACCAGAAGGAACAAGGGGAAAAAAAGGAAATGCAAGAGTTGTATGGGCTATGTGAGGCAAGTGAGATCTCAAATCAGCTGCTCCCACATGTCTCGAACTCACTGCCTCCCATGTGCATCCACCTGGTTTTTTTTTCATCGCTCGCTTCTTTTCTATGGCTGGAATCTACGGTATCGGCCAGTGAGGTTTGCGGGAAAGCGAAAGGGGGAGCTTGGTACCCCCATTGCATACAAATGCATGTCAACTCTTGGAAAACGCGGCAAGGTGTCTGGGACTTGCAGGCCCACGCGGTTCGATATCGATATTTTCGAATAAGCAAACTTGGGCAAATGCTGAATACTTTGGGGCTGAAAGAGGTCAACTGTGTGTCGCGGTTTTTCCATTTTAATACTGCCGGGAAGAAACAGCTAGCCGCATGGTGCTTCTCTAGCGGACGGGTGGGCGTGGACTGCGCGTCATGTACCTTGAGCTTTGTATATTCAGAATGTGCAGGGCGTGTTGGAAAGGAAGGTTATTTACAAATGGGTAACGTAGGCAAGCCAAAATAACGTTTTATACATGCAGCACCCTCTCCGCACCAAGCTCGTCTCAGGATATCGGTAAGAGGAAACAAGAACAAAGGGCCCCAAAGATCTTCCGTTTCCCTGATCACGCCGTTGCACCCGTCAAGGTCAGCGTGTAATCCAGGGCCTGCCTCTCCACATCCGTCAGCTTGAACGGGTCAAAGTTGAGGATCTCGGCCGGGGTGTTGACGACGACCAGCATGGCTTCGCTACCCGCGTCGACCGTGGCCTCGGCCGCGCCGTCGACAAGCTCGACGTACTGCACCGTCTTTTTGTCGGCGGCGCGGATGGCCAGGGTCGCGGAGAAGGGCGCCGAGGCGGTGATCTTGGCGGAGACCGGCCCACCGCCGGTGCCCTTGAGGGGAATGATGTTGGCGCCCATGTACTGCGGCCGACGGGCAGCCTTGGGGCGGTACGTGCCCGCGGCGCCGGCGGGGTCGAGGTTTTGGTAGTTGAGGCGGGCGCGGTCCCTCTCGAAGAGAGCCTGGGCCTTGGGGTGGGCGATGTCGAGGAAGGCCATGCGGGCCCAGTACTTGGCGACGACGTCCTGAACCCGGGTGGTGCCGGCGAGCTTCTGGATGACGTGCAGCGGGGTGACTTGGCTGTTGGGCTCGTACTGGGTCCACACGCCGGGGAAGGTGGCTCGTCCGAGGCCGGGGAACTCGTCCGGGTTAGCGTAGATGTAGTAGAGGAACGGCCACGCCTGGTAGTAGTTGCCCGTGTTGGGGTACCGTCGACGATGACCTGGAACGAGTCGCCAATGACTTTGCCCAGCTCGATGAGGAGTCGCCGCCGGGCTGGTCGTAGCGGGCGCGCGCGTCGGCGCACAGGTCCGACGTGAGCCACAGGTCGGCGACGAAATTCGCCACGCTCTCCCACCACGCGCCCGTGTTCCACTGCTCGATCCAGGCGCCCGCCGCGTAGGTGAGGCAGTGGCCGTACTCGTGGACCGTCACGCTCGGGGTGGTGAGGTAGGCGGCCTCGACGTTGATAAAGGACATGCCGAAGCCTTCGTCCGTGCCCGTGTTGGCGGCGGCGCCGAGCCCCGTCCCGACGTTGTACACGTTGACCTTGGTCCAGGGCCCCGCGTCCGCCGCGTCGCGGAAGGAGAGGCCCGTGGAGCGCCAGCCGAGGTCCTCGACGAAGCAGGCGTAGGCGGACTCGAGGGAGCGGATCATGGCGTCGGCGACGTCGGGGGAGGGCGCGGCGAAGATGCGGAAGTGGGGGAGTCGCGGTACTGCGTGCCGCCGGGGCCGATGGCGCTGTTGCCTTGGTATTCGGTGGGTGGGGAGGGCGCGGCTTGGGGTTGGGGGAGGGCGGAGGCGCCGAGGGCGAGGGCGCCGAGGATGAGGGAGGTCCGCATGGTGAAGGGAAGGGAACGGAGAGGTAGGGGCGGCCGGAGGAGGTTTCTTTCTCGTTCCTTTTCTCCTCCCTGGTCTTGGGGAGGATGACTCTGAACTGTCTTATACCCTCTAGTAACCGACGTGCTTAGGCTGTGGTCGTATAAGGACGAAGAGATGCTTCAATCCTTCTTCATTCAGCTTTCTCGCACATACCCTTTGCTTCCCTTTCTTTTCTCTTCATTCTCCGATTCTCCATTTTTGAGCCTTTTGGGGGATCGCGAATTGTTTATAGCTGGGTATGGGGAGGCGGGGGCGGGAGAGCATTTGTGGGGATTTTGCCTAATATCGGACAGCGTTCTTTCAATCTCACAGGGTTCTCTTATTGCTAATTAATATGGTCAATCCCTTTTGAGCGTGGACCCGGGGGATAGATTAAGGCCTCTTCCTTTTTTCTTCTTCATCTGTTTTCCTCTGGAAATCGTGGGTCAAAGAGGGTGGGGCGGGGCGAGTTTCCTAACCCGTGCATGGTTGCGAAGTAATCTATCTGGGATGCTGGAGATGTTTCGGTCAGTCAACGGCGGGGAAGATGCTGGGCTGGGGTTGGTGCGGGTGCCGAGGGACGATTCTTGAATTGTGCTGCAAGATTTGGATGAGGTGAGGGGGTGAGGGAGATTGATTATATTAATGCTGAGCTGTGACCGGGTTGTCAGGGATGAGAGCCTCGGGTGCACATGGAGTCCTTGCTCGAATCACGCAGGATCTTTTGGTTCCTGTGCTAGACTCGGTGGGTGGGCGCCAACCCGGCCGGAAAATGGGAGATGGGAACAGGGCAGGGTCGTTGAGGTGGGATCGGTATGGAACCGGGGTTCGTAGAGCGCGGTCGTAGGTAAGCCGGGACCGGCCCGGATGAGGACCCGGCGCCGATCGGGAGGGGCTCGCCTGACGCCGGGAGCAATAGAAATTTGCGGTCGTGGCGACCTCCATGCTAGCGCCCCTTTTTGGCACGAAATCACATACCTCTGGGAACCGACACTCAAGTACAATAAAAAACATCACAGACTCCTTGGATTGGTTACAAAGGCAACAGCCAAAGGTCTCAGCAAGCGGTTGACATGGGAGGCGGACATGAAATATTTCCCTAGCCGGCACTCCTCGGAGAGCCCATCCCTTGTCCAAAGGGTGGCCTGCATTCACATGCTTGAAAACCTGCGGATCAGAAGCTGGCCGATTTACGACAACCTCCGGGAGCAACGAGGAGACAACAAACAAATCTTGGCAGGGGAGAGCCGGGGAGGACCTATCCCTTGGCGCATTCGCCTCCGCGTCTTCCCTCCCCTCTTCGAAGCCATCCCCAGACGCCGCCTTGTGCGCGAACGTGCTGTCCCAGATACCCGGTCCTTGTCAAGGCGTCCGAGCGGGAGAGGCGGCTTCACTTCCGCTCGCAGGCAAAAAAAAATAGCTGCAGCTGAAGATGATATTGTGCTGGGGAGGCCACGGCGAGGCTGAAGGGTGGTGGGCAGGGGAACACGACCTGCCCGGAATGGAATAGGGGCACTCGACACTATCACAAGCCACGAATCAACTTGAGAACGACCAAGCCCTGGAGGTCCCAGCGTTCGTCATGAGCTGGTGGAGATAACCTCATCGGTTTCCTGGCCTCACCCTTTGACGCTAAGGAATTAAGTTTGTGCCGGCTTTGGATCATCCGTCATCCAGCCGCATTGGGACGAGGCCGTGAGCCACCATATCGTTACCTGCGCTTCTTAGGAATTTTGCCCGCTTGTTCGTCGCCTCTTTCTTGTTTCATTGGGTATTTTATATTTCTTTGCATACGAGCATTGCAAGCAATGCCTTGCGACGCCCCTGTCTCTCTAGCTTTCGCCAAAGCTGACGACAAAGTTAAGAAAACGGGCAAAAATAGGTCTAAATTTTGTTTCCCCTGCGATAATGTATTGAGGAAAAGGGGAGAGGCTAAAGAAGCTCAGAAGACGGGGGCTGCCGCTTCGACCTCTCGCCACATCCCAGCGGACGCGAAGGAGGGCTCCATACTTCTACATGCACATGTACGAATCGACTTCATGGGCATGGATGGATTACGTGGTGCCCATCAGTCACTTTCTTATTAGGTTTCTGGCCGGGCGGCTAGCCTCCTTGGTGCCCGCCTTCATTTACATGTACACGGTTCTAGTTGCTCACCTCACTTACGCACGCTTGGCCGAGATATGCGGTGGCCGCCCTCCTCCTCCTCATTGTAGTCTACAGTGTTGGTGTGGCGCCTGGGTCTCATAGCTGAGACACACAGAAAAGGGTTCTTGGTTTTTCCAGATCGACCTTCCCGCCCTACCCCCCTTTTCTCTGCTGTGTGCTAGGCGTGGTCTAGGCCCTAGGGAAGAACGAGTGCGAGAGAGAGAGAGAGAGAGAGGTTTCTGGAATGAGGAGTGGGATAGGTTCGTTTGCTAAAGGGGGCAACTTCTAGAGGGACCGCAGAGGGAAAGTCAAGTTTTCGTGGCGTGTAGACTTCAACCTTGGATCTGGAAATCGCTGGGATGGCTCTTGTCGTGTTGGTCAGCCCGACCAGCGCTTGCGCATGGGGCAGCTCGATTGCGTTCCGGGACTCCTTGTCTGATTACTTCTCGTAGCTTCAAATCTGTGCGCGCGTAGTAATCGAATTAAAGTTGATCGAATTCGCCAGCTCCCATCCTCGCTTTTCCCGTCTATTCCCATCAGGGAAAGTCTACTTGGCTATTTGCGTGATAGATCGAGCATTAGAGCCGTTTCCCCCAGACACCATTTAGGGATCCCCATGCCTAGCCATGGCTTCCCCTCTTCCCGTCCGCCTGCCTTTCCCAGTTGATCCTTCGGTCCTCTTGGCCAAGTGTGCTTTTGGAGACACTATATCTCCTGGGGTCGTTTAAAGAAACAGCAATAGCAACAAAGCTTCGACCTCGTTATTTTCTCTTTTATATCGGGGTCCCCTTCCTCCCTCTTTTTCCATACCTGACCCCAAGCCGACAACGAAAGGAAGACAGGATCCCCAACTTTTGATACCCCTGCCTATAAGCCTCTCCTCCTTACCATCGGCGACACGAGGGAGCTCCGGAGAGGACCTCTATTTGGGAACGTGATCATACGCCATGGAGAGACCCGAGGGCTTCGACCCGGCCAGGGACAATGAGTCGAGGGTGGGCTCCGTAATCGCCGTGGCGGTCGTCTTCGCGAGCCTTTCGACAATATTCACGGCCCTGAGAATTTTCACGAGGGCCAAGCTTCTGCACATGATCTGTGCCGACGACTGGGCCATTATCGTGGCTCAGTTTATATCCATCTCCGTGTCTGTCCTGACAGGCGTGGAGACGCGGTATGCCCTGGGCAGGCACATGTGGTCGGTGCCGGCGGAAGATGTCCTGATGCAGATCAAGGTAGGTGTGAAGAAAACATCGAAGCAGAAGATGAAAAGGCGGAAGATGGGGGATAAGGGAAGCCTCTAAAGGGGAAAATTATACAAGATGAAGGAAACACTTGGACTAACAAATGGGCTTCTCCCCTTGTTACAGATTCTCTACGGAGTCATCCTCGGATACAACCTCGGCCTCAACGTCGTCAAAATCAGCTTCCTGCTTTTCTACCTCCGCATTTTCCAGAGCAGCTTTATCCGCCGCCTAAGCGCCTGGTTCCTCGCCGCGGTTGCTCTATGGACGGTCACCCAGGTCATCCTCCTCGCCCTCACCTGCATGCCGCTGACCTTCATCGCCCCCTCCATGGAGGGCCGCTGCCTCAACACCTATCCCGTGTGGTTGGCCTCGTCCATCACCTCCACGGTGACTGATTTTGTCATATTTACGCTGCCTCTGCGTACGGTGGCGAAGCTGAAGCTAAGGCCGAGGCAAAAGATTGTCACGATTCTCATGTTCAGTCTCGGGTTCTTGTGAGTAATAACTCGGACTCATAGTCGGGGAGGGGGATATGGAAAAAGAAAATAGCTGACTGAAAGTGAACCTCTAGCACCTGCATCATCTCTATTCTTCGCATCTTCACCCTCTCCGACGCCGTCAACGCCACCGATCCCACCTGGGATAACGTCGGAACGGGCTGCTGGTCCATCGTCGAGCTCAACTGCGCCATTCTATGCTCTAACCTCCCCACCCTGCGCCCGCTCGTCGTCAAATACCTGCCTTCCTTCGGCCTCTCCTCCGCCCATGCTTCCGTGGGAAGCAACAGCACCTACGGGCGGTTCGGGCGCGACGGCGAGTACATCCGCGGCGGCAAAGACTCCCGACACGGGACGACTGTGGTTGCCACCCGTGCGAGGGGACCCCCTTCTTCCAAGATTGCCACCACGTCTGATTTCGTGCTCGATCCGGAAGAGGACACGGCTCCGATTTGTGCGGACGGCACGGAAGGCTTCGAGATGGTGGAGACAACGTGTTATTCCGGGCCGAGAGAGGGTGATGACAGCGGCGACGGCAGAGAGGACGGGGCAGGTTTGAATGGGGATGACCCTTCCCTGGAGTTGGGGCCGAGAAATGGTATACTTGTGACGAGGGAAACGAATATTATAACTAATCCTGCGCCGGTGCTGGTCCAGCAGGGCCAGAAAGCAGCTGCACTAGAAGAGAAGGCTTGAAATCGGAATTAATTACACATTTTTGGTGTTTGGGACTTTTCTAATTCTTTTCTTTCTCAACATTACCCTCGGGTTTCTCATTCGTCTTTTCATATTACCTCCCTGCATGAGAAGAAAGCAGCTCGCCAAAAGAGCTAGTTACACGCCGGGCTGTTTTCCATATTGCCATTGTTGAATGACCGTCGACTTATAGCCAAGCAGGATCACTTTTTCAAGCCTGGGTTCGCGGGCTGCCTTCATCCGAGGGCCATGTGTACATCAACTGAAGGCCTTTAAGTACTTGAAGATAGTCTATACTACGAGGAAGAGAGGCTTACTCCAAGACTTGAGCCTAGCATTGATTCCGGGGTCATCACGTTCCGGACGGGCTCCTCGTCCGAGGAAGATCAAAAACGACTTCCCCCATCAACGCCGTGCTCGAGTCTTGATCAATACGACTAAAAAGGAAAAAAGGTTCAGCACTCTCCCGTCACATATCATCATCTGAGTCTCAATCGAGAGGCTTTTGGATCTATAGCGTTATTACCCCAACACACATGAGCAGACTAAGCTGTTCTTTTCTGATCTACTCGGTACCGCTGATTTCTTTTTCTCTCCAACTCGGGCCCCACTTCTTTAGAGCTGTAGCTAATGGAGCCGTTGCCAGCATAACAAGACCGAAGATGCCAAAGCACCATCCCAGGCCGACGGCGTCCGTCAGGGGTTGCTGGGATGCGATGACGGCCCCCGCACCTAAACACCGCACGAGGTTGTAAGACGCCTGGACTGTGGCAGACGCATGGGGATTCAAATCGGTGAGGAGAGTCCCGCAGAGCTACGTCCCAGTTATCAACTCTCCGGAAATTTTGATGTACTCGCAAAAGAAGTGGGAGCGTCTTACAGTGAATATGGCGGAGGTCGCGGCCCCGCTGACAAACTGCATAACGAGCGGGACGGCAATGTGCTGCCTTGGGTATGAGATCTCCAGACTCGTAGCCTCGGGGCCTCAGCCATTTTCTTTTATAAGATGGGGCGACTTACGGTACGCTTCATGAGAGTGACCCCGTAACCAACGGTTCCTGCCGCACTAAGGAGAGCTAACGTATATATTCCGACCAGCCGCGCCTCTTCAATCGGAAAATCAGAGATGTCATCCCCTCGTTGATATGGACCTTCTCTCCTGTATCGCCGAGTGAAATCTTTGATATTTCTGTCAAGATATTTGCCTGGTCGGGCGGGTATTAATAGAGCAGCGCCCCGGGATCTATTCTTACATGGACATGCGCTCACTTACCTGCAGCATAGGAGGCTATGGCTCCGCCTATTCCAGACGGTAGGTAAATAAGGCCTGCTTGGAGGTAGTCTAGGCCGTACACGTCAATACACTGAGTTGCCAAGGATGCCTGCAGCGTCATCTTGACCATGTAGGTGATAGAACCGATCATAATCACGGTAAAGTTCCCCTTGGAGAAAAGTATCATAATGCACTTAAACGGATTGGGGATATGATGTTTCCGGTCCCTGCGGGGTTCCTGCCCCCGGTCGAACCTTTCCTTGCGATCCCTAGTCAATGTGTCGAACAGACTTTTATGGACACCCGTGGTCGGTATGCTGCCGTTTCCAACGATTTTCCTCTGGGTTTCCGGAAGCATAAGGGCAACGACGACAAAATAGGTGCCCGTTAGGATGACGAGGAACCAGAAGATCCATCTCCAACCCAGCTTCTGGGTGAGAACCCCGGCAATGACGGGGCCAAAACTCGGGGCTGCATTAGTGCTACACTTCGTCAGGAATAAGTCAAAAGGGGGACGGTCTTCTGCGAGCTACACACGTACAGCACGATCAAGGACCCAACATAAGACCCGCGCTCTGCGACGGTGGTGATGTCGGCGAGTACCCCGTACGCCGCGCCATACGAGCCTACAACTCCTTTATCAGCCCTAAAAACTGGAGAGGCAGTAGGAAATACGAGCCTACCTGATGCACCCGCGCTCTGCACCATGCGAAGGACGAATAGCACAGGATACGAGCTTTGCAGCGCTAGGCCAACGTTGGATCCGACCACCAGAGAAAACATTAAGATGTACGCGGGTCTTCGGCCGCCCTGATCCGCAATGTCTCCCATGAAGGCTGGAGCGATGCCGGCGACTATCAGGTAGGATGTCACGGTCAGATTGATGAGTGTGATGGACACGCCGAGATCCGCGGCCATTGGCACCAAGGCCGGGAAGTAAATGTAGCTGCTGAGCGTGGAGAACATGGCACCAAACGAAGCGATGAAGGCGATCCACTTTCTCTCACGCGTGGTATATATCGAAAACGGTGTCTCCGCTTCCGTTTCGCGAGGTTCCTCAGCGGTTGATTGCGCTGCGCGGCCTTCTGGCTGGGTGGGTGGGCTGGCCTTGACCGCCTCGACGTCTTTGCGGAAATCGGGTGAAGGGCCACATGGCGAAGCCATTGGAGAAGGGGATGCCTGCACAGGGAGGAGTCTAAGTGAATGGCTTGCCTCTGGTTATAGGAGGTCTAAGAGACACCCTGCCGCCCGTTGAACGCGGCCGGTAGCGATGATGAGGGTTGTGATGATACATAGAGCCACTTCATGTTGCCACACTCGGATTACAAGGATAGGAAGCCACAGTGGAGGGGTCAAGTGACTTATGGAACAAGATACAAGGGAATCGATAAATCCAATGGGTGCTTGCAGCTGCATCAGCGACCTAAAATGTTACCCCAGACTCGTTGCAGGATTCTTCTAGATTTCTAGGTATCAACACCGATGGGGTAGAACAAATTCTTCGCCTTGCGACTCCAAACAACTATCCCTAGAAATACATTGCCTTTCGTATAATCCATTCTCTACAACACCTAGCTATACATGTAAATCATGAGACTGCCGCTGCCTTGGCCATCCACTTTATATCTACATGTACCATTAATACCACAGTCCGTCTGGCTGACCTCAAAACGCCACTGCCTCTTCCAACTCCAAGAACCCGTGAAGAATTATCAACTGCTCCCCTCTTCCAAATGCCACCGCGGTCTTGGAAATTGCCTTGATTACGATACCGCCTCCTGCGCGCCAAGTGAGGGGGATAAAGAAGTGGCGGGTGTATTGAGTCGCTTTGCTCAAGTTCTTAAGACCAACTGAGCACACCCACCCGTTCGTATCGAGGATGAATAATTTGGATCTTGTGCACCCAAGCACGGCTTGTACGTTCAAGGATCCGGTGCGGAGCATCTGCAGCGATATATCTTGGGTTTCGCTCGTGATCTTGGACGTTTCCAGTGCGAAGATTGTGCTTGTCCGGGCCGATGACTGGAAAACGCATTGCGCAACATAGCCGGAACCCGCACCGCCAATCCAAGGGTGGCTTGAAGCTTGCGTAGGGAACTCGGAGGCAAGAAGTGAGACTCCGTTGGTTTGGAGGGGCCGCTTTAGAGAGTCCCATTCGAAAAGGTGGACGGCATTTTCTTGAATGGCAATCAAGTGGGAGGTGTTGGTTGGGTGTCTCATCCACCACCTCCCGGGAGGGCAGTCTCCTCTACTATAACACTGCCATCAAGCCCAATGATCTTGGCGCTCGATTCCGTGCAGATGAGCAGTGATTCGGATCTGGGCCCAATCAATGCCTGCCGGATGGAGGCTGGCTCTCGGCAGTCGAGCAGACACGAGGTCTGCACTTTAGTGCTACCCTGTCCGACCACTGACAACCGTGTAAGGATATAGCGGCCAGTCGTATCGACGCTGAGAAGTGACCTCGTCTCGTCATCCCAATCTATGTGTTCTATTTCAGTGAACGAGTCGTGTAATTTCAACTTGTCTAGAACGGCGCCCGTGCTCACTTCGCATATGTCGATCGTGCCGTCCTGCCGTCCCACCATCACAAAGTTGCCAGAGGCTGCGTGTTCGATGACTGTGATTGCCCTCCCCCATTCAAACACGTGCGCGCGAGAGACGGGCGACTCTAGGGTAATGACCTCTTCGCTTTGCGCCTCCGAGGAATTGTCGTCCGACTCATCTTTTGGTACCAGGATGAACGGTTCCCAGACGGTGCAGCATTGTCCCCGGATATCGAAAAACCGTAGGTTGTCGGCTGAGAATACCATATCATGGATTCGAAGATTATTGTCAGATCTACCGATTTGATAAATTGGCTGCAGCGTTTCAAATAGGAAGAGATAGATTCCTCCGTCATCTGTCGCGCCCGCCAGAACCCGACCGTCTGACGTGGCGGCCAGGGCTATCAGATAAACTTGGAGATGGCACTTATTGACCTGCTCCAAAGTCCACGGGTTGCACGTCACTATGTCTCCATCTTTGTATGTGATGGCAAGGAGCTCTAGCTCGGGGACTGGGTTGAAGATCATGTCTAGGGTTTGCGGGCTGGCGTAGACATCCTCGAACCCTTCTTTTTCGAATTTACCAATTTGTTCAACGGAGCTCAGATCCCAGATCAACACAGACGCATTTCTGTAAGCCAGCGCAGCCAATCTGTGGCCGGGATCTAGTCGGATCCACTCGGACGGTAACCACGCGGCCGGCTGTCGGTCACTCTCATCGGAGGAATCCGAATCTAACAATGCGTGAAGGAGAACGGGCTCTTTTTATGGCCATCGGCAGCTTGAAGGCGACGGTCGCGCTGTGCTGCGGGTTGGTGAGCACGATGGACTTCCCATCCGGATGAAACGTCATGTAGGATGCGGTGAAGTCGATGGTCCTTGACCAGAGGCACGGGAACGAAGACCCTCGGGAGGTCTGGATGTCCCACAGTACTAGCTTTCGGGCGCTACAGGAGGCTAGGAGCGAAGATGACTGGTTGAAGGCGAGGAGTCGGACTTTTTGCCGTGGGTTAACGTCCCCGCCGAATTGAACGTACCGGAGCCGGCGACGTGGTAGATTTTGATGCCACCGTCCGCAAGGCCGACCGCGAGGAACCGCGTGCAACAGGCGACGGCGGATGCCTCCTCTGGGAATAAATAGCACGCCAGCCTATCGTTCCAGTCTTCCTCCAACGGGCCCGCGATTCTCAGTTGCCGGGTTGGCTTGGCGAAAAGCTCCTGGATAATCGACTTGGGAGGGCAAAAGTGGGGGATGAGGAAGTAAATCGAAGACGGCGAAGTAAGCAAGCTGGAGTGAAACGCCGCCACTATATGGTAGATATCGGCAGCCCACCGCGCAACAGTCTGCGATTCGACGCTGGCCAGCGACTGATACTTTGCCCGCCGGCCCAGATACGCCTTGAGTCTTTGCGCGGTGAGCTGCAGGGTCCAGAGATTCCTGGTGCTCGCCGTCTTCTCGATCCACGTCAGCACATTGGACCGGAGAAATTTGTTGAGCAGGATGAGGGGCCCGTCGGCGGCCGAGGAGCCGTGCATGAGATGGTACGAGAAGTTGAGGGCGGCGTAGTCGGCGAGGGCAGAGAAAACGGTGTTCTTGGCCGTCATGCCCTTTCGCCGCATCCTGGGCGGCGCAAATTCGGTGCCGCAGAGGACGGAAAGGCAAACCTCGGCGAGCCTGGAGTGGGCGGCGGCGCGGTCGATCCACAGGCTCTCGCCCTTTGGGTCAGGAAGGCCGACGTTGTCTGGTGGGTGATGTGAATGCGGGACTGGTTGTCCACGTATACGAGATGGCCCGTCATGGTTTCGAGCTGGCCGCCGGATGCCGTCAAGGTTCTGCCGATGTCGAGCTTTACAGCCTCGGCAAGTTCCTCGAAATGGAGGGGTTCGGGCGAACAAATGGCCCATTTTAGGATGCATTTGGCAAGCTCGAAGCTCGGCGATTCGACAATCGTTGCGATGATGCGGGAGTAGAACATGTCCATCTCGGGGGATCTGCCGGAGAACGTCTTGCTTATCTTCGACGCTGTAGGCATCTTCCAGCTTAGATACTGTCAGCGAAGCCCACAGGAAGATGCCGTTGCACTTGGCCAGGACATCGGTGACTAGGTCATGGTAATGCCCGGCGTCGCTCGCTCCAGGGCACCTAGCCCTCACCAAGAGCTCAATGTCCCGCAAGGATCCTTCTTGGCCGGTGGTCATCTCGGTGAATTCCGTTCTCTCTAGTGAGAGAAGCCGGCCTAGTTGTCCACCAGGTCGGCTGGTCATGAAGACTCGGACGGGAGACTTGTAATCTAGATTCGACAACATGGACACGAGAGCCGGCATGCCTTTACTCGAGCACTCATCAACTGCATCTATTACCCAGTATTGCGGCCGAGTGTGCTCCACTTTCAAGATTCGCTCCGTGAAGAGGCTGGTCCAAAGCATATGGTGGTCGTCGTGATTGATTCTAATGTCGTCCTCTGCCATGGACACGACGGCACGGCGGATCTCGAAATTAGATTCTGCCATTTGAAATGCCAGGGATCGAAGGAATGCCGCTATTGTAGAACCGCTCTTGTTCTTGTGCTCAAAGAAATAGAAGCTACAGTCGAGATTGCACGATTGCAAATAGCGGATGACGTGGCCGGCTGCGACTGACTTGCCGGTCCCGGGTCGGCCGTCGAGCCACAAAATCTTTGGTCTCTTTTCACCCTCGAGAGGGTCTTCCAATGGACCAAGTTCTTCCCAACCATCCACCGGATTATCTACCCATTCTTGGAACGCTTGGCTTTCGGTCAGCCACTGACAGGATCCGGGATGCTGCTTCTCGTTGGTAGCTAGGAGGACCGCATCTGGTCTCTGGTCGACTCGCAGGAGCGCGGCAACTTTCTTCATCTGAGACCTGTATTCGTCCCGCCGTCGGAACGAAACTGTGAGAGTCAGAACACATTCCCAGTGCACTTCTTGGAAGCCAACAACTTACGATCAGACGCCATATCTTCGATGGTAGCCAGGAACGCTCTCTGGAGCACCATGTAATTGGGATTTATCGGGGTGTCAAACTTGCAAATATTGCGGTGATCGGCCTCAATATATTGGACATGTTCTTTGGGCAGACCTACAAAGATGAATGATTTAGTCGCTAGGTCGCCAAAAAAAAAAGGACAGAACGCTTGAAAGACCTCTCACCTATAACTGAGGATCCTTTATCCACGATCAAGGACGATGTCATACCGACCTTGGTTGGAATGGCCTCGGTGAAGGACCAAATGTGAATGTTTTCGCAGACATGCCTGAATTCATCATTGATTTGCTACGAGAAGGCGTTAGAGCCTTTGTCCGAGATAATTGATCCCCACAAAGAAATGTTTGACTGACGTCGAGGGTACCGGAACCTGGTACAAGTTCATTCAGGAACTCCTTTGTCCCAAAGCCAGCCGATTGGCGTACCACCTTTGCAGTGTGCGCCGAATCGGCTCCGCGATGTGGAGTGCCGAGAAAGAACATGGTGTGAATTCGTCGCGCAATATCCTTGTAGATCGGGTCCCGGGTGGCTAGGAGGTAAGCCTAAGGGTGCTATCAGCGCTGTCCCCGAGGCTCATCGTGCTCAGATAAACTCGACCTACCTTCTTGGCGACCAAGCCGCCCATGCTATGGGCCACAAACACGATCGGAGTCTAGGCCAATATCAGTCAACAGCAACCGCGGGAACCGTGGTCAAGGTGGCTTACATCACCATTCTTGCGGAGGTAAGGGGAATTGTAAAGGTCGGCGAGCAGCGCCTGTCCAAAATCGTGGATAGTCAAGGGGCTGGCCTTCTTCGTCGTCCAGTCCGAGTTGTACCCGTAGCTGTGAAGACGAACGTGCCTGAACCCGACCTCGTTCGGCAGCCAGTCCTTGGGCCAGAACATGCCCGGCTCCGACGAATAGCTCCATGTCTTTTGAGATCCTCCACCCAAACCGTGTATCTGCGCCGTCGCAGCTTAGTTTAGCAATCGCCCTTTCAAACGGTATCCAAGGCCGGGGTGCAAACGTACAAAGACGAAGTCGACGCGGGGCTCGGAGGGCTCGTAAAGGAGATTCAAGCCAAGCGGCCCGTGTACGTCGGGTTTAGGTTCGACGTGGTTGTGAGAATGGAAGGATAATCGGGTTGAAATCGCGCTCAATCTACGAAATCTGTTTTGGCGAAAGCTGAGAGACGATGCGCGCGCTGGGGAGTGGTCATCTTCGACATGTTGTAGACGCCCCGGAGCGCTGGCCTACAAGAACGACGCCGACGCCGACACGAGTTAGCTCGGCGAGAGACTTGAACAAACGGGGTTCACGGTGACGAAGGCAATCTCCTCTTACCAGCGGATCTCCAACCATTCTCGTCGCTCCTCCTCCTCGGCGGAATGGCGCGGAGCGAGAGAATCTGATCCGAGGACTCCAGTTTTCGGTGGTCTAGTGCTCGTTCTCTCGTCGCGGTATAAGTCAGCATCATCTTCTCTCGCGCTTGTGTGCTCAAGGCATAGACCGTCGTCTCCTGTCGATCGGTGTTCTTAGATGTCACATCGTGCGTCCTGAGAAGCCTTGATTACCGAGGCGGGAGGCGATAATACACGGGAACGGAGCGGGGTAAACATTGCCTCGTTGTACGAGAAACGGATGGCAGGGCTGTGAAAGGTTACGGGCGCTTATGCGCATACATCCATGCATCCAATACTTGGGGACGTTAACCGCTGCGTAGTATTTTTAAAGCGGGCTGGAGGGAAATTAAATCGTGGAGGCCGTTGTCGAATTAACTTGGATTCCTGTGAACATCACTCTTGAGACATTACCTTCACGGCAAGGGTATGTGTGACAGGTTCAAGCGCTTAAAAGACGGCGTCTCTTGGCCCAGGCCCCGTCTCTGAGCAGAGAGTTAAGGCGGCCGGGATTCTACCTCTTCCATGTACTCACTTCCCACCTTCCCAAGGCCTCTGTTTCCTAGCTATCCTCCTCGATAAGTAACGCCGAAGATGTAGAGTTGTATCTGGCCACGTTCAAATCGGCCAGGCTGCCGGCATCCATCCATTCGTCGAGTCTCATCCGAGGCCACTGCAGGTCGCTTCACACGTGACCCATAATGAAGGCTCGGGCCTTCCTGCAAGCGCGGAGGAGCGGGAAGGGCGGGCCATCCCTTTGTCCCGCATTAGCGCCAAAACATGAGGCATCCGCCCGATTCGGGTGCGGGCAGGCTGAGGACAGAGGAGAGAGGAGAGTGATCAAGAGGGGGCACCGCGCCCTCGTTGAGGTATTAAAGTAGCTCTAGTGGCGGACACTAGTGCCCTCCCTAATGTGTCATTTCCTTGTTTGCAGCTAGTGTCCAATTTACAATTAACAATTTACAAACAAAGCCATTGTTATATAGCCTCTTTGTCAAAAACCTCGTTCCCGTCAGCCTTGCCATGGAGAAGAGAAAGCCGAAGCAAGCCGACCCTATCGGCGAGAATGTACAGCTCGACGCGGCTGTGATGGCAAGTACGTCCATCTTAACTAATCTTCCCAAAGCGATCAAAATGCGCAAAAAGGGTCCTTTGTTCCTCTTTTTATATCAAGTTGTCATGCGTGGGACTAATAGCCAATTGTTCTAGAGCTCCCGAAAGGCTGCAAGGTCCTGTCGGTAACGCCATCTGGACAAAGCTTGTGGGTAGCTACTGTGAAAATTGTAGTCCAACTTGAAGGTGGACAAACCGCGGAATTCTTCAAAAGGTCTAGACCCATCGCCATGATCTATCAATAAACTCTAACACTAGATAGGGTGCATCCGGGCCAGTCGGGGAAAACATGATGAAGGGCACATTCGAAGCCGAAAATGCCCTCCACAGCTTCATCCCTACCCGCGCGCCGAAGCCCGTCGGGTGGGGAAGGTATGCCGGCGATCCGGACACGTACTTTTACCTCTGCCAGTTTGTGGAGATGTACGACGATCTCCCGAGCCCGCGCGAGTGGGCTGCTGCCGTGTCGACGCTCCATCTGAATAGCATGGGAAAATCGCCAAACGGGCAGTTCGGGTTCCATGTGCCTACTCACCTCGCCAACGTACCGGTAGATAATACCTGGAAATCTTCCTGGCAGGCGCTTTGGGCGCAGCAGATGAAGAGCCTCTTCGCCCAGGACGAAAAGATCCACGGGCCAGACGGCGAACTGAGAGCCCTTCGAGCCGATTACTTCGACAAGGCGATACCAAGATACCTCGGGCCACTAGAGAGTGATGGGAGATCTATCCAGCCCACCTTGATTCACTCGGATCTGTGGCCTGGAAACATCAAGCCCATGACGTCGTCGGACGAGCTTTGCATGTTCGATGCCTGCGCGTACTGGGGACACAATGAAGGTCCGTGAAATTTTTCTTTGGACTGAGCAATATAGCGTGAGTTTCGTCGCTAACATCTCCTAAAGCCGACTTGGGTATCTGCCGAAATCCCAGGTACAAACTCGGCCCGCCATGCATCCACGAATATTTCAAGCGAGTACCCATTTCCGAGCCCTCGGCAGACTTCGATGGTAGGAATGCTGTATATGCCATGAAGTTTCACGTCCTCTTGTCGATCATGTATTTCAAGGACCGACGGTTTAGGCAGACCCTCATCGATGAGTTGAAGGCTCTGATGGAAAAGTTGGGTAACCCCGTGCGGAGAATGGCCACGCTGTGCGACTATGAAACGTGATAAATCCCCTTGACGAGTAGATATTGATATCATCGTCGGCACCAAGGAACAGATATAGTGCTGCGTAATCCTTTGTACTCTTTGTTTGCCCTTTCCTTTTTTTCTCTTTTTGTTCTTTTTTGTACCTTACTTATGTTGTACCCTGACGAAATAGTCTAGCGATGTATCTTAGCTGCAGTAGCCTTTAGCGATTTAGCGTAACGTTTTGTCTACACTACACTTCCTAGGATGTGAGTAACGAGGGGGGCCAAAAATGCCTCTCTTCAGGTGAATGTTGAATGTCTGCTCGTAAGCGACAGCAGGGCACCATCTCGCACAGATAAAAATGATCAATGCATGGATCTTTGGGCGATTCACTCCTGGCGGCCGATGATGGCACATACACTGATTAGTTATCTTTAGTATTTATTCTACCCCAAGTCTTGTCCCTTTGGGATGGACTAATGCTGTCCGGCGCTGAAAGGGATCCGCTCGCCGGAGAGCCGGATGTGGGGACAGGCGGCATCACCGCGGGAAGCCGAAAAACATCGCCGAGGGGCTCGGGAAACAGGCATACCGTTCTGGTTTCATTCCCCTCTTCCTGTGGCTTACAATCTATTTTCCCCAAGCTAATGCAGAGTTATATTAAGTAGCGTAGCGAGTGTCTGGTTGATGCATCGGCACCTGCAAGCCTAGTTCGCAGGTCCCACACCTGTCACTACGTCACCATTTATCATCCGATTTTCCAGTCCCGCGCCGAGATCCCCGCGCATCGAGGCCCCGCGTCTCAAAGCTCCTCCCTAAACTCACATAGCTTTCACATGTCGCACCAAAAAAAAAAGTTTCCAACATTGAGCCACCAACATCCATCTACGTAGCAAAAAAGCTGTACCGTACCTGCCCAGCTGAAATTTCCATCAAAAGTTTCTCCCCTCCCCTCCCTCGAGAATGGCCTCCGTCGACACCTCCATCCATCCCCACGCCTCCGGCGCAGCGGCCGAGTTCGCCGCCCGCCACTCCGCCCCTCACGATCTCCGACTCTACGGCGGGTGGTTCTGCCCCTTTGTGCAGCGCGCCTGGATCGTGCTGCACGAGAAGTCCATTCCGCACCAGTACATCGAGGTGAACCCATACCAAAAGGGCGCCGAGCTGCTGGCTCTCAACCCGCGCGGCCTGGTCCCCACCCTGCGTGTACCGCCCGCGCGGGGAGGAACGGAACCGCGAGCGCTCTACGAGAGCCTCGTCGTATGCGAGTACCTAGACGAAGCGTACGGCGGCAACGACGAGGACGGACGACTACTGCCAGCGGCGGAAGCGGACCCTTTTGAGCGCGCGAGGTGCCGGTTGTGGATCGACCACGTATCGTCGCGCATCGTTCCCGCCTTCTACAAGCTTCTGCAGCATACCCCCGAAAAGACGTACTCGATCAACGAAGCGCGCGACGCCCTCCTCGACCACATCCAAGACTTTGCGCGCGCCATGGCGCCCGTGGAGGAAGGGGGCGGGCCGTGGTTTCTCGGCGCGCGGTTCAGCTTGGTGGACGTGGCGTTGGCGCCGTGGGCTGCGCGCCTGTTCCTCATCGATCACTACAAGCCGGGCGGGCTGGAGGTACCGGACCCGGGGACGTGCAGGACGAGGAGAAGAGGCGGGTGTGGGCGCGGTGGTGGGCCTGGTACGATGCCGTGCGGGAGAGGGAGAGCGTTAGGGATACGCTGAGCGAGAGGATCCGATACGTGGAGGTGTATAAGCGGTATGCGGAGGATAAAACGCAGTCGCTTGTGGGGAAGGCGACGAGGGAGGGGGCTCGGCTGCCGTAGAAGGTCATTCACCCCTTGATGAGATAGTAGTAGTAGCCACAGTTTGGGGCCGTGTATGTGGAGAGGATAGCATCAACTTTGGCCTATTGATACGATTTGTCTTATTTACATGCGCGATAGCTCTCTATATTTCTTTTCTACGGAAATGATCAAGGCTTGTTTTAACGCCGACTGCTTGATGAAGCGGAGCTTAGGCGGGTGAAGATATGCACCGGCTGCCGCAAATGCCTCCAATCATACATGTATCGTCTCCATGTGAGCTAACAGCCCTCGGTCAAAAGTAACAAAAAAAGAAAAATCAGGAAGTGGTAATGCTTCCATGCTCCCAACATCCCAGTCGAATACGAGGAAATGAAAATAAGAATGAAAAAAGAATTCTCTATCCAACGCCGCCCTTGCGATGAAAAAAGGAACAGAAGGAATGGAAGGGAAAGTGGTCCCATCCTACGACGTTTTATTCGATGAGGCTTTTGTTTGGATTCCTCTCCAGTAAACGTACAGCTTACCAGCTCTTGACCTTCTTCATGCTACCTTGCTCCTGGAGGGCCTTGTGCATATCAAACGAGTTAAAGAGGAGGTGAGGCTCATGGCCCATGCCCTTCCTGAGGCACTCGTACTCGGCCTTGTCGAGATAGGCATTGAGGATCGGCTGGTACTCGGGGTGGGCGCACTTGTTGATGATGACGCGGGCGCGCTCGCGGGGGCTGAGGCCCCTCACGTCGGCGAGACCGTTCTCGGTGACGACGACGTCGAGGTCGTGCTCGGTCTGATCGACGTGGGTGCACATGGGGACAATGCAAGAGACGCCATCGGGATCGGTTTTGGAGGGGCGAGTCGAGGGAGTGTGCATGATGGAGTACTTTGCGCTGCGGAGGAAATCGGCGGAGCCACCGAGGCCGTTGAGCATACGGGAGCCCATGACGCAGGTGGAGTTGGCGTGGGCGTAGATATCGACCTCGACGGGGGTGTTCATGCCGATGACACCGAGGCGGCGGATGATTTCGGGCGAGTTGGACACCTGCTGGGAGCGGAGCAGGAGCTTGTTGTGGTACTTTTCCCAGTTATCGTAGAAGCGCGTAAACGCCTCGGGAGAGAAGCGGATCGAGGTCGCGGTGGCGAAGTCGAGCTTGCCCGAGTCGAAGAGGTCGAGAAACGTGTCCTGGATGACCTCGGTCCACACCTTGAGGTTGGAGAAGTTGGACTTGTTGAGGCCGCCGATGATGGCGTTGGCGACGTTGCCGATGCCCGACTGCAGCGGGAGCAAAGACTTGGGCAGGCGGCCGTGCGCGACCTCGTGCTCCAAGAACTCGATGAGGTGTCCGGCGATGGCCTCGGACTTGGCGTCGGCGGGGGTGTTGGGCGAGGTCGCGTCCGGGTAGTCGGACTCGATGATGCCGACGACCTTTTCCGGGTCCACGGGGATGGAGGTGCGGCCGATGCGGTCCTCGACGCCCATGATGAGGTAGGGCTTGCGGTGGGGGCACGTCGGTCATGGTGATGTCGTGGAGGCCTTCGAAGGAGGGGATGGAGGTGTTGACCTCGATGATGATCTGGGTGGTGAACACCTGTGTGAGTGAAATTCGCATAGAAGGATGGGGGTTGTATCAAGTCAACGTACCTTGTCAGCCATTTGCACGAGTTCGGGAGTGGCGCCGACAGAGGCACCGGGTACGATGCTACCATCCTCGAGGATATCCGTGGCCTCGACGACCACGACGTCAATGTTCTTGTTTGGCCTGTCCCTCGTGTAGAACCCCTACAAAACGGAGAAGAAAGAAACACACGCATTAGTCCCAGCTTCCTTGTACATTCTCAAGCCAGCGTTTTCGAACTTACATAGACTAGATCAACGGGGAACATGGACAAGTGCTTGTCGAAAAAGTTGATCTCGCCGTTGTTGATGCCCTTGGAAATGGCCTTGCCGACCTGATGGGGGCTCCTGCGCTCAATCATCTTGAGGCCGGCCCACCTGTTTTCCGTCTCCGCGCCGGACGAGGCGCCCACGAAAAGGCTGTACCGGAGCTTGCCCTGGAGGTTGTTCTTCTCGACGTGGTCGGCCAGGAAGGTGGGGATTTTCCTTTTGCGCGGCGTGCGTTAGTTGAAGAAAAGGAGGTAAGGGTAGCTTCGATATTTTGGGGGAAGCTTCTTACTTGGGGTATCCCACACCGGTGAAACCGGACCAGCCGATGTAGGCGCCGTTGGGGAAGTGGTGGAGCATTTCTTCGGGGTGGCAGACCTTGTTCAACATGGTTGGCCTCCGGACGCGGGCCTTGAGGGCTGCCGAGGCGCGGGCTGGGGTCGACATTGTGTATGGGGAGGGAAGGGAGAAGTGGGAGGAGGAGTGGTAGGGTGCGTCGGTGCGCGTGGGAGGAGGAGGCTTTCTTGTGGAAGAAAAGAAAGCCTATGGAAGGACCCGGGCCAAGCTCAAAGACAGGTTCAATGAGGAACTGGCGAGGTGAGACACTTGGGAGAAACGAGATGAGAGGGATGGATTCCTGAGAGACTCAAAGGGGCAGGAAAGAGAGGGAGAGAGGAAGGGGAGAGGAAAAGAAAGCAGAGGAGGAGAATTGGAAAACGGAAAAGAGGGAGCAAGAGGAGAAAAAAGCTGGAGAAAGCTAATTGATCAGGGAAGTGGGCAACATATACTCGGGGGCCGAGAACCCACTGCGGCCGGTGGGGTCAAAGTGCCTGATCATGGGTCCGAAGGGGGAGCGAGACCCTGGCGAACGATTTCCAGCTTGAAGCCACTGTCTCAAGAGAGTTTACGTTGGGCCCTGTGTGGAAGAAAAAGGGCAAGAAGAAGAAGAGCTGGATACCTTTGAAAGATGTCCGCTTGGAAGAATAAACCATGATAGCTGCCTTTTCAATTGACGATGAAAACATAGCTCCCCTCGTGCCCTTCTCCCTCCTCTCCCTCTTTTTTGCCTGCGATTTTGCGATTTTGCGCTGCAAATTACGTCACAAAGCTGTCGCGACTCGACAATCGTGAGAGAGCAAGACAAGGCGCAAGTGAAATGCGTGCCAGCCCCCACGCCCTTGCTCCATTGGCTGGAAAACCACGCTGGCGGGCCGGTATGATGACCCAACAGCTGGCCGACAGTTCCGGATCTGGCGGGTCCTCGACTTTTTTCTTTGCTCTTTTTGCTCCGTCAGTCCGTGAAAGCTTCAACCGAGTTTACCGACGCACGGGGACCCACACAGTAGACCGCCGAGTGCGAAAAAGGCCTGCTTGGCTGCGCTTTCTCCCTTTGACGCTCTCGCGTCCGCACTGTGTCGTCCCTCAGGGTCCGGTTGAAGACGCCCTATGGATCGCAATTGGTGACTATTGGCGGGGAGATATCTCGGTGTTTTTTCTACTCGCTGGTTTCCCATTTGCGTGTCTTTTTCTATTGAGTAAAAGGGTCCACATCGATAGTGAAATCCTTCCAAGCCTAGCAATGCGAGGGAAATTCTTTGACTTGAAGCCCTTGGCATTTTTTCGTACTTGTTGTCAGTTTCAGCAGTGTCGTGGTCATGGCCAAGCCAAAAAAAAAGCGAATGACTTGGCGAGAATACGTGCGCTCACGTGATTTTAGCGATCATGTCGCTGCCATTCCCGAAGGCTTCTTATCCGTGGCGGGTGATATGCGTTTTTATATTACCCTCCATAGTTTCATGCTGTTGGTTCTGTTCGTCACCTCCGACTTTATGCCTTGCCCTGTATCTTCCCGCGCAATCATGCTGCGCCGCAATCTCGCCGTCCCGTCTACGGATCTGCCATATTAGATTGCCAACGGCCCGCATGCTGTGGCCCCCTCACTCATTGGCGCACCGAGGATAGCCTCGCGACGAGGACACAAAGCCGGGTCTAAGGCCGGACAGCCGCGGCGGTTTTTTTCTTATTTCTTTTTCTCTTCTTCTGTTGTCTCCTCTCTTCTGCCTTTTCCGACTTTAGCTCAACTTTGTTTCATTTACCCTGGAGAATACGCCCGGTCTTCCCATTGCTCTTCATAACGATTCGACCCGAGACGACCACCGGATGCGCGCGCGTGTGATTGTGATCGAGGACGTGGCTTAGCCCCTTTTGCGTGTCTACGAAATAGTTTACCCTGGTCTCCTTTTCCGTATTTCCCATCTCCTCTCGCAGTCTTTTTGGTTCTTTTTCTGCCTTAATATCAGCGATACGTATTCATCCGCAAAGACAAGCTCTAGTATTGGCCTAGAAGAAGTTTGCCTTTCTCGTGGCTTGTCCCACCTATGCATTATCACATCGCTTAGAGAGGGGCGGCATTTGTGAAGAATACTCGGATAGCTTAAAGACGTTCTTTTATTCTCTCTTATAACCCCGCAGACAAACCGATTGGACCATGTAGTTATGTTCTTAAAGCAGAGCCCGCAGTGCAGTCCCCAATGGGAGGAGCGAGACTGGCGCCTGCCTCCGTGTCGTGCGGGAGAGGACACGAAAACAGCGCTGCAAGTAAAAGAAAGGAAAAGAGCCATTGGAGTAGGCCAGCTCCCGTATATAGTCCGTCCCCTTGCCGGGTCTCTAGCACGCCGTGTTCTTTGGCCCCCTTTCCCGTACGTTTGCTCCGTCTTGACGAATCGATATTATCGTACAACAGGGGATCCATGGATCTACTGATAACATCTAGCAACGGATAGTCTAGCAAGAACACCTTGTACCGATTGCCCTACAAGCCCTCGGCAGACGCCAGGAAGGGTAAGGTAGAGGACGGACAGGGGGCGAAAAGTGCGTGTTCGGTGGATGCGGCCACGCGCCCCAATCATTTCCTTCTCTCTTTGCAATGGCCGACGCCTCGACGACGCAGGCGGCCCTCCCGCCGCAGGCGAACAGCGCCGACTGCGGCACAGCATGCGTGCCCCGCAGCGCCGAGACCACCTCTTCGTCCAACCCGCGGTGGGAAGAATTAGAAGAGGAATTCTATCGGGGCCCCATGACGACAATGTGGAATCCGCCCCTGAGCATCTTGGACGAGGACATTGACAGGGCCGACCTGTATTTCTACTCTCCCGCCATCTGCCCCTTGGGCTGGTACCCCGCGTACCCGGCTTTTCCGTTCCTCAACCGCACCGAAGGTGTCACCTCCACGTTGTGTTGCCCTTTTAGCTACCTCCCTGTTACGGCGGGGGTCGCTGTGGCACCGCGGCATACTGCCTTTCTCTCCACACTCTGCGCTCTGTCGACACAGTTGGAGTAGGCCATGTCAGGGATGGTGGAGCCTACGAACACCCCATTCAGGTTCGATGGGCCGAGTCAGACCTTGCCGCTCTCGAAACCGACCCCTGGTCAACACGGTTTGGTCGTGGACCGTCGCCCACTCGCTGCTGCCGCTCGAATCATTGGTGACAGCCACGGATGGGTGGCTCGTTGTTTCGGAAGGCATGCCGGGACCTCCGACTCCCGATGCTTTGATACCACGCCACCTAGAGCAGCAGCCCGATAGCATCCACATCACCGGCCGCGACGCGATCCCTACCTTTGCACCGGGCTCCCCGATCAGAGTGCCCGAGGTCGCTTATACCGAATACGCCCTGCCCTCCCCAGAAGGGCAGCAAGTCGCCAGCATCATCATGTGCATGATCCCCGTCGTGGTCGGCCTCGTCGCCAGCGCGCTCGGTTTCGCGTGCATGACCACCCGACCCGCGCCGCTCGGAAACGCTCCAACCGCCACAACAGCCACCGCGATCCAGCGTATACTCCGCGGATCATGACCTGGCCGTCCCTCGTGTTGCTCGCCAGCATCCTGATCGCGGCCATCGGGCTCATCCGCGTCGCCCAGGACGTGCTGCGCCTCGACGACCGTGGCGTCTCCGACCTCGTCACGGGGATTCGCCGCCTGCGCAGACGAGAGGTGGAGTTCCGTCCGGGCCCGGTCCGGTGGGAGGGTCCCCGCGTGGTCAGTACCCCTCCTTCCTGGCCACCCAGTCAGCCAACGATGCGAGACCCACCGGTGGTCGGGGTCCAAGTCCGCCCCACCGAGGTCTACGCGAGCGTCGAAACCTCGCCGGTCGACCAAAAAGCGTATTTCGACGAGCTTGTGGGAGACGGCGGAAACGGTTGGCACCTTGCCTGCCCGGGTGACATTGACGACAGATTCTTTACCGAGATCCGATCGGAATGGCTGCGCTTTCCCGACTATGTTTACATTTCTGTTGTGCATATCGATCATGCTGATGATGGCGTTATGAGATTCGACCTCGTGTTGGAACTGGGCGAGGGCGAAGACTGGAACAGAGAGCCATCGGGGCCTGGTAAAGCCGGTCAAGCCTCCAAATCTTATGATCAATCCCTAATCAAAGATTTCGAGGAGTACCTGGCCCTGTTCGGTGAAGACGTAGACTTGGAGATATTGCTTGCATTCTTCTCTTTTGACGACGACGTCGAGCCCTCCGGCGTTGCTCATGGAGCGGAGAATGACGCGGGCGAAAAGGCACACGCCCCCGAGGGTATTCAGGGCGCTGGAAGCGGCGGCCAAGGTGTCGGGGAACTCGTGGTGGCCTCTGGGGGCTCTGGGGGCAGGCTGGTCGCTGTCGGCAGTGCTGGGACTGGCAGGTTGGTTGCTGGCGGCGGTCGATTGATCGCCGTTGAGAGTGTGGGGGCAAACTGGTCCCCGTCGGTGGCGGCGGCGGTAGCGACAGCGGTAGCGGTGGTGTTAGTAGTGATGGAGAGAATGTCGACGGAGCTGAGGTAGCCGGAAGTGCGGGGAATAGCGGCGCTGGCGGTGCTGGTGAAGCTAACGGTGTTGCGGGAGGCCTTGCTCCCACTAGCGGTGCCGGCAGGGACGAAAGGAAATCATCTCCCTCCGGTCCCCGACCTGGAAGACCAGCAGCGGGCGACACCGAGAGCGGCGAGACCTCTTCGCCACTGTACATCCTCAACATCTTCACAGAGGCCGACTACTTCTTCGCCTACTTCTTCCCGAACCTGCTCACCGTCCTCTTCACGGTCCCCTGGCGAATCGTCCACCACCAAGTCGTGTCCATGGAGCCCTTCTTCCACCTCGCCAAGGAGCAAGGCACGACCATCAGCCACCTCTCCCGCCTGCGCTACAGACTTCTTTCCGGCCTGTTGCCCCCATCCTACCCCTCATCAACCGCGACTGGGCCGTCGTGTGGGCCGCCACCCTTGAGTACATCTGCGCCATCCTGGCCCCGGTCGCCGCCGAGGCGGTGGGCATGGGCGTCATGGGGCCTTGCGACGACTTTGACGCCGCGAACTGCCTCATCGTCGTCGAGGTGCTGCCAAAAGTTGCCGTCATCGCCCAGTGTCTCTTGGGCGCCATGGTCTTCGCCATCATAGCTTTGCTGTACACCTTGTCGGGCCGCACGAGCGCGCTCCGCAACGACCCTCGCAGCATTGTCGGCATCACCGCGCTTCTACGCAATGAAGAGACGCGCCGGAAACTCAAGAGTATACCCGAGAAGGATCTTCAAAGTATCAAGGCTATTTGCGAACAACTTGGCCAAGAGAGATTTAAGACGGGTAATTTTCTACCCCCTCTCGGCCTCTCCGAGTACGGAATCATTCCAGTGAATCCAACATCGGCGAGGGGCCCTGATCCCGCACAACTCGAGCCAGGTCCAAACGTGCAAGGCCCAACCATGTCCCGTACCGATACGGGGAGCACAGATGCTAGCGAGGATGCGGATGGCGGCGATGTCCTGAAGCCGCTGGACGTGAGGTGGAGCTGCTGGACTCTTCTAGGTTTCGCAGCCCTGCACCTCGGCCTCGTCGCCATGATTCTTTATTGGCGCCTGACGTCTCGCGGCGATTCGTACGCGGAGAACAAAACAGCGTTTAGCAAGTTTATGATGAGCCAGCGGTTTGGCGTGAGGTTTCTATTTGCGGCTCTGGGCGTTGCCATCAACTTTTGTTGGATGGCCGTATTCAATGGTGAGTTTCGTTGGAAAGGATCCTGTTTCTTTCGCGTCACTAGATTAGTTTCTTGTGCATTTTGAGGATTTCGTGTCTCAAAAGTACTAACCGCGAGTCTCCAGATGCCCTCGTCCTCATACCCATATGGAACCTCTCCCAAGGCTACCGCAACGCAGAAAGCACCATCCTCCGCCACTACACAACCGACCCTTACTCCGAGCTCGTGCGTAGCCTCCGCGCCCGCCGCTTCTTCACAGCCTTTCTCAGCTTCGTCGTCGTGCTCAGCGACTTTCTCCCCGTGATCCTCACCAACGTGCCGTACAGCCGACTCCTCACCAACATGGCCAACTGGGTCAACGTGGGTCTATCTATGGCCATCCTGAGCCTCATGGCCACCGCCCTCGTGGCCCTGGCCTTCCTCATGTGGAGGTACCGGCCCAAGTTCTTCATCCCGCTGGACGTATTGCGCAAGAACCCGCTGCTGGGCATCATGATGCTGGCCTGCAGCTCCGAGACCACGGCGGCCGCGGTGGGCGGCCTGTCCATCATGACGACGGGCGAGCAGGCGGCCGCGGTGAAAAAGGTGGGCGCGTATTATAAGCTCGTCGGAGCGGCGGAACGAGGGCAAAGGGCGAGGATAGAGATGATTGATGGAGACGCGTCGGCTGTGGAGGAAAAGGCAGAGGAGGAGAGAAAGGGCGCGACGGGTCAACCGACATCAGACGCGTCTTGACAGGACCGGCTCTGGCTGCACCACCGTTTTTCTAGATTTTTCCAGCCCCTTTGTTAGCATATATACCATGTTCTCCAGTAAAAGAAACTCTTAAACACCCAAAAATGGCCCCATCTCAAAGCTTACCTTGCTGGACAAAGAGGCCATGAAATGTTGGTAGGCATGCACATGAAGCTAGAGGCTTCCAGCCCTATGCGGCCCCACACCTAAATTCTAGACCCACCTCCGACCACAACGCCGGGATCCTGGCCGGGATTGCCGGCACTGGTGGTGAACTGCACTTTGATTATCAAATAAATCAATTTTTAATATGTGATTCACACCATTTTTTTATTTTCAAAAAGAAAATAGCTCCAGTACCTTGGAGGGAGAAAGGGAAGGTACCTAGCCATGCCCCCAATCACCCAGCCCTTTCCTTGGCTATAAATTGAGCCTTTCTTCCCCCTCTTCCCTCCTCACTTCTTTCTCTCCTCACCCACCACCATCTCTTTACTAGAGAGCCATCCATCCCTTGGATTTCAAGAAACCTTTCATGAAGCCTTGACCTCTTTGCTACTGGTAAGTTTCATCATCTTGTTTTACTCTTGTCTTCCCTCCCCTCGGCTCTCCATCCTCATCCCCTCCCCTTGGCTCTTCATCCTCATCTGCCTCCCCGAGGCGAGCCCATTTCTGCTTTCCCTACAGTTTTCTTTGGACGCGAGCTCATCTTGGGACGTTGAGTTTCCTTGCATAGAAACAACGGCTCCATGGGCAGAAAAACGCGTTTCCCTTTTCTTCGGTCGACCTCCTCGGTCATCCTCTTTCTGTCCCTTTCTCTACTCGACGCGTTACTGATTCCACCATCCCGACCATCTCAGAGACCCAGAAAATCCCAGCAACTGCTTCGCACGCCTCGTGCGGAGCATTCTCATCTCAAGTTCAAGGTCAGTACCCCTCCCTCCTTCCGTCTCTTCTCATCATCACAGGCTAACTCAACGGCACCCCCAGAAACTTTGGAACCCAAGCACCTTCATCAATAAGTTCATTGCCCAGGCATCCGCCAAGTACACCCCATCGGCAAGCCTCCCTCCTTTCTCCTCCCCTGAACAGCCACCTCAGCTTCTAACACCCACCTGCTTCCAGACCAGCTCACCCACAATGTCCGATTCTTCATCCTCCAGCTCCTCACCCGAGGCCTGGTCCACTCCCATCGGCTCCCCTGTGTTGGGCGACACCCCCGTCCTCGCAGTCCTCGCACTCAACCGACGACATGGACGATATGCCCGACATCCCTGATGACTGGTCCACTCCAATCGGCTCCCCGTGTTGAGCGACAGCCCCACGCCCTCGCAGGCCTCGCACACGGCCGCCACCGTGGGAAATGTGCCCGCGGTTACCCAGGCCGAGCTGCTTCCCTTCGTCCTGGGTCCCATCCCTTTCTCGTTTGAGGATATGTAGGACATACCCTTCTCGAACAACTACCCCCGACATGTGGGGGCCAGGGTCCTCCTCCTCGGAGATTGACGACTGGGACCTCATCTATACCTTGATCGAAATGGCGGCTCAGAACTCGGACTCGGACCCCAACTCCAACTCCTCGGCTTCCTCGACCTCAGACTCGGATTCTGACGACGATGAAGCCTCAGACTCGGACTCCTCCGACTCGGATTCTGACCATGACGAAGACTCGGATTCAGACTCCGACTCGAGCTCCGACTCCGACTCCGACTCAGACGAGGACGTAGACGAGGAATATGTACAGAATCCCACCCTCCCAAGCCAGCACCGCCTCAGAGCAATCCATCGCCTCCAGCCCCACCACCCTCGACGGCTACGTCTTCGTCACCCGCCTCGACAACATCCAGTTCCCCGCCAACTTCATCCTCAAAATCGAGGACGAGCTCGAGCCCGCCCCCGCCGTCTGCCAAATCATCGTCCGCGACGCCACCCACCAGACCTTTGTCGGTCCCAGCTGGGGCGTCTCCTCCGCCGACCGCGACCTCGGCATGGCCGTCACCTACCCCGTCGTCGCCTTCCTCTCCTACGGCATCCCCAAGCAGACCGCCTTCCCCGACGCCATCTACGTCGACGAGGCCTCCATCATGCCCCACGTCGCCCCCGCCGACCCCGCCAACCCCCTGCAGTCGTGCACAGCATCGTCGGCGTCTTCAGCATGGAAATGGAAGCCCCCGCCACCCCTGCCCCTGCCCCCATCGTCACCGTCAACACCCTCAGCCCCCAGCGCAACCCACTCCACCACGGGCGTGATCCTCCCCGACATGGTGCCCCCCGTCCCCCACATCCCCGGCTTCACCCGCGGCACCGGCCCCCACCACAACCACAACCACCTAAACTTCCCCTACCCCCGCGACACCTCGGACGACTCCGACTCCGACTCCAACTCCACCGACACCGACCCCGACGACGCCTACGCCCGCCTCCTCGTCGCCCTACAGCGCCGCGATTCCCTCCGCCGCCTCTCCAACGCCGACACCCGCGCCGCCGACTTCCCCGCCCTCGAAGCCACCCCCATCTAGAACCTGCGCGTCCTCGAGCGCCGCGAAGTCCTCGCCATGTCCCCCGCCACATGTACCTCGTCCAGCGCGCCTTCGCCCTCCCCGGCTTCGCCCTCGACATCGCCAAGACCGACACCTACGTCGACGCCTGGGGTATCCCCGCGCCTTCGCCCTCTACGTTCCCCCGTCCGCCACTGGCGTCTCTTCGTCGCCCTTTTTCGCGACGAGCACCCCGAACCCTACGACCCCGCCCGGGCTGGCTCTGCAGCGCCGACGACATCGGCGCCGACGACGAAAACCACCGCGCCATCTCCCCGCCGAGGTCCTCGCCCAGCGCATCGACTTCATCTTCGACACCGCCTGCGACGTCTTCCGCCCCATCGCCATCGCCAACATGGGGCCCCGCTACTTCGCCAAGGCTCTCGTCCGCGAGCTCGTCAGCCGCGACCCCGAAACCGGCCCCTGGTACCTCACCGCCGACATCGCCTTCGTCCTCGACTTGTATAGCCAGGCCCGCGCCCGCTACACCGCCGCTCTCCGCGCCCAGGCCGCCGAGGGCGTCTTGTCCCCCGAGCTCTACGGCCCCGTCGACACCCCCTGCACCCGCAGCGTCGACGCCTTTATCGCCCGCTCCAGCGAGGCCGTTCAAAAGTGGCACGGGCGCGACGTCGGCTCCGGCTTCTTCGACACCGAGGACGCCATCGCCGAGTGGATCCCTCGCACCGTCATGGAGGAGGACGAGGGCATGACGATGCTCGGCCGGCTCGCGCCTGGTGTTTCGCCTACTGAGTTTTTGACGTTTTACCACAATGCCAAGCTCCAAGGGTTTGTTTCCAAGGCGGCTGCCGGTCCCTGGGATTGAAGATGCTGTTGTTCCTTTTGTCTTGTCTTCTTTCTTTTTACCCCTTTTGTTTCAATGGTTATCACCCCTATCCAGCCAGTGCGGCCAGTCGGGGTCGGAGTTGGTTTTCCTTCTTGCTTCTTGCTTGTTGGAGACATGAATTGGAGAATTGTGGAACAAATTAGAGTATCGATATGGAAAAGAAACAAGCAGAGAAAAAGTGTTCGACGAATTAAAATAAAATTGAGGAGAGAGAAAAACACAAGGGGTATATATAGCTTAGCTCTAGACTATTGTAGTGCTAATTCTAAATCCCGTTGTTAAAAACTCGCTGCCTTCTGTGAACTGCCGATTCCTCTCTGTCGTGTTGTCGGCCCTAGTCGAACAATTTGTATTGGTCTAACTTGACCTCACCTTGTCGGATACACATCACAGGACGCAGGGGAACACGATGCTATACCAAGAAACATAGATTCAATTGCGCCAGTAGGCCTCCCATACGTAGAGAGAGATATATACCCAAAACCATGAAATATTCACACAAGAAGAGACATAAATCGTAGCCCAACTATCCTGTCATTCCTCCTTTCCATCCCCTCTTCCCCGTTCATCATGGGCTGCCTCCCTGAACAATCTTGGAAGAATAATCCCCGTAGCACATACCAAACGAACCGCCCGAGTCCTTGCCCGACCTCTTCGTCTCTTCGTACTTGTTCACGTTCCAGTGCGCCCGCTTCAGGCCGCGGTAGCCCGGCACGTCCCTCCACTCGACACCCTGGCCCGTGACCAGCCCGCCCGAGGGAAGGCCATCCATGCTATCCTGGGTGGGGGACCACAGTATGAAGCCGTAGGCTCCGGACCAGGCCCACGTCGTCTCTCCCTCGAGGAGGGTGGAGTTATCCGGGGTGAAGCCGATGGGGTCGACGGCCCCGCGGGCAGCGTTGATGTAGAGCTTGTCCTTGAACTGGGTGTAGGTGTGGGGATCCTTGTCGGACTGCTTGAGCAGGTGAATGCTCTTATCATCGGTCCATAGGACTAGAGGCTCGTGTTAGTGACGAAGAGAGGAGAATAGGTCTATCAGAGCAGTAGGCTAGAGGAAAAAAAAAAAAAAGGTCTCGACTTACTTTGAAGGTCCCACTTGTTCTTGGCTGGGAAATCTCCAAGGTCGGTGATGCACGCGCCAACCGAGTTCTCGCGGCAGTAGATACCGCCTAAGGAAAAGTAAGCTGTCAGCTACTACGCGTCTATGATTTTGCGTGAAGCTCCCCCAAACCGGCTAAATTGCCCGTTCGGGGATGGCCCAGGCAAAAGAGTAAATGAGGCAACTCACCATCAGCATACGCCATGGACATGCACAAACCCACGGTGCCCTGGCCAGCAGTGGCGACAGACGCGCCGGCGAGGACGACAGACGCAACCGTATTCGCAGAGGGCTTCATGACGACGGTGGGGATAACAGTAGCAGCTAATGGGATCTGCATATTGAAAGGAAATCCGCTCCCGGTGGAGGGGAACAAGCCGGGTATTTAAGCACTATGGGGAAAAACCAATATGGAAGCAGGAAGCAAGGGTCGTTGTGTGAACCCCCGATGGCAAGATGGGGCTCTGTCTCTCTCTCTCTCTTTTTTTTTCTTTTGCTGCGGGTATGTCGCGTTTGCCTCGATAGTGACGTACCGTCCCGATGCACAAGATTCAATATCCGTTGATGGCCCCCTGCGTGCCCCTCTGCCGACTCAACCGTGGACGAGCAGGAGTGATTGGATTTATTTTTGTGACAGACAACCTGGTTCCCTTTGCCCCACGACGATTAGAAATGTCTTCGTCAGGGTATGAGGCGGGGAAAAGCAGAGAATCGCCCGCAAGCAGTAAAAGTCCTAGTTCGAAAGCCCGCCAAGAACGAGGGTGGCGGTTCAGAGACACTTGACCGATGTAAGGCGTTGGTGGAAACCAGGAGGACACACACGATCCGATGGACACTTTCTCTTCTGTGACAACCACGTCGTTAAGTTCCCTTGTTTCCCCCACGTGCAGATCGACAAAACCAAACGCTACTGCAGGAAGGTGACGGCCAACGATAGGCGGAGTTTCCTCCTATTTAGGTCAAATGTGACCACCCTCTCCAAAGGAAAGGAAAAGCCTTTGGCGACTCGGAGACAATGAACCCTTGTTGCGGCAGCGAGAGATGGGCCGAAGTCGCAAATGGGAGCGCGAGAGCGCTAGCCAGAGAGAGCGAGGAAAGGCGGGGAGGTGTGACACGGTCAAGGGGGTGCCCTTTTTTTTTCCTTCCCTGACCAAAGGGCGGATTCAGGAAAATGGATATCAATTTCCCCGAATTAAAAAGGAGCGTGACGGATAGAAGCGTCCTTTCGTCCTTGCCAGTGCAAAGGCAAAGAGAGGGCGGTGGAACAGAGGAGGTGGAGAAAATCAGAGGTTCAATCTAAGCAAGCTTGGAGCCGAAACTCATGACCTGGGCGGGAAGAGATTGAGAGAGCAAATGACATGGACACCCAAAAAATCAACTAAGGAGGAGGGGGTGCCGGCCACTTTGATTAAATCTGGGGAAGCGAGCGGGCGAGAGAGAGAGGGAGAGAGCGAGAGAGGGATCAGCACAGCTGTCTGCTTCACGTGCGCGGCAGCGGCCGCGAAAGCGCACAAAGGGTTCGCTCAATGTTCCTTTTACTCATGCGTCCCGTCCTGCTCGTTGCCCGTCGAACCCGAGAAAAGCTGATGGGCGATGAGTAGGCACGCAACTGGGGGAGACGGACGGGAAGAGGGCGAGGTGGATGACGAGAGGCAAGCACAGCAGAAGCTGGGTAAGAGGGGAGGCTCACTCAGGGAATCTGGGGAATCCTTTCTCTTTCCCTCAGCATTGCTCAGCATCCCCCCTCTCCCGCCGAGTGCTCCTTCTCCGTTTGTTTGGTTGCGCTCCTTCCAAGTTGGAGGTGCTGACGTCGCCCTTGGGACGTGGAACGTGGACTGAGTAAGCACCGCCTAATCATCCACCGCCAATTCCACATAATCTGCGTCGTCCAGTTTCCAGTTGAAATGTCACATTCGTCCATTGGCTTTGCAGAATCCCGCCGCGCACGTACTTCTTTGCCAATCCTTTGGGCCACCAACCTCGTTCGTTGCAGGCTTCCCGCCATTATCACTTTATACGCTGAAATACTACAGACTTGGGCCAAGGACTCGACCCCCTCAGCCAGTGTTGAGTGAAGTACAAGAGCCAAGACCAAGCGGTCGTCGAGGGCGGGGAATATCCAATGTGCGTAACAAGGTAACAGACGCTAACCAAGCAAAGCAACCTGCCTTGCCGGAAAATCCCTGCACGGAGTTGCATTCGTGGAATTGATCCTTGAACGCCGGTTTTCGGTAGCCGGCAGCATCCAACCCTCTCGAATTTTATACACTAATCGTAAACCCCCATCGCACCTATTAGTCTTTTGTATAGAATTTGAGCTTCCCCGAGCTCCGAGGAGAATTATGTGTTTCCCCTCCCAAGGCAGACGCGTGGAGGAGAGGGAGGGAGGAGGGAGGGCGTCGCTGCACGTCGCCAAGAAGAGCTTTTTCTCCACGCAGCCAGTCTCCTTGTCCAAAGATAATCTTTTTGTCAAGGGTCTAATGTAAAAGATTATCTCGCTGGATGAGGCCCATCGGGAGCTTTGCTCAAATAGGAAGAAATAAAACCTTGAACAAGAAACCTCCCCGGGAAACGCCACCGGCTATCGGTTCAACTCAAAGCTCCGATGCGGTTCGACTTGCCATCAAACCCCAAAGGTTCAAGCGTGTCCTGCCAGCGGCTGCAGGTCATCCTCTCCAAGGCTCGAGCTAAAGACCGGGCTAGGGAGGAGAGAAAGAAAGAGCCGCAGGAGGGGATGTCGAAATTAGAGAGAGAGAGAGAGAGAGAGAGAGAGAGAAAAGGGTGCCCCTTTCTCTCCCAGCAGCCAGCAGGATCGAGAACCACCTAAAGACCAACGGACCAAGTCTCAAATGAAGTGTCATTAATCTATCGAGGATGCGTCGAGAAAAACCTTCCCAAAAGGACCCATTGTGTACATGTAGTAGCTTTATTAGTCCAACCATTCCTTTGCTGCATACGGGCCGACAAATCAGAGCCGCGAGCTGGGACATCACCAAAAGAACCTCGACGAGCGCAATTAACACCCCAACGAGTTGAATCCATCAGGAAGCGTCCTGAGCCCTGTGTATTGGTGCGAATGATACCGAGTTAAAGGTCCGTAGTCGGTGCCCTTCGCCGAGGATCTGGCCGTTCGGTATCTCGCGCTACGACGCGATGATACCGTCGTGCTCGAAACCAGCGTTAAGATGTCGTCTGATGGAAAATAATGACCAAGCATCAGTCTATAGTAGTAGGTAGGCACACCCATCTTGACCTGCGGGTACTCCCCACCAACTTTTCGTCCTCCATCGAGCCATCGTCGTGGGCTCGAGTCGCATGCGTCTGTCTGGGAAGGCGAGTAGACTTCCCAGCTCGACAAACCCCTTCGTAGGCTAGTAGCCGTCACCTCTACACCCGTATGCCCTTTGCCAAAGACATCTCAAGCAAATCACTATTCCAGTTCTCACAGCCGCGCTCTTGCTCGTGGGGCCCAGTAAACCTTTTCAACTGCCTTGCGGGTCAATACCCTTGCCTTCGATTACTTCAACAACTCTGCTAAACCTCTCATCAACAACAAACACTATATACCAAGAAAGAAACCTCTGCAAACCCTCCTCTCCCTCCTCTCCCTCCTCTCCCTCCTCTCCCTCCTCTCCCTCCTCTCCCTCCTCTCCCTCCTCTCCCTCCTCTCCCTCCTCTCCGCCCCCTACTTCTTCCTCACAATCACCCACAAAAATCCACATCCACATTCTCCTCCTCCAACGCCTCCACCACAACCTCGAACCCCGCCGCCCCCAACCTCTCCAACGTCCCCTCCCGCCCCCACCCGCTCCAAAACATCCAATCCTCCTCCCGGAGCCATTTCTCCATCACCACCGCCTCCGCCGCCGCCCCGGAAAACGTCGCCAACAGTAAACCCCCGGGCCGCAACCACTCCACCGTCCGCGCCATCATCGCCGTCTGCTCTTCCCGCGGTAGGTGGAACAGGCTGTACAGCGCCACCACCCCGTCCAAGCTCCCCGGCGCGAAATCCAGCACCGCCGCGTCCGCCATGTCCCCCTCGGCAAACTCCACCGACGACCCGGCGCCCAGCGTCCACTCCGTCGCCGCGTGCGCCCGCGCCAGCGCAATCTGCGCGCTCGAGAGGTCGTTGCCGATGACGTGCGTGTTGGGCCGCGCCGCGAGCGTGCGCGTCGACGGCTCGCCTGCGCCGCATCCTAGCTCGAGGATGCGTGTCGGTGCCGGGGTGCCTGTTTCGGCGGTGGCGGCGGCGGCGGCGGCGGGCAGGTGCTCGATGAATTGTGCTAGGTAGCGCGAGCGCAGGTCCGAGTGCTTCTTCGTCCACTCGTTATACACATCGGCAATGGCATCGTAGGATGTCTTGATGCGGGCCTTGAGGTCGGCCGGAGGAGCGTCGCCCGACATGATGACGTTGATAAGACAGAGGGATAAATCTCGAGGTAAGGCTATACAGTAGATGCTCAACAGCGCTTTGCAGACGGTGAAGGTGTATGTTTGGAAGCGCACACGTAGTTTCTATCTCGTGGTAAAAGAAGAACGTCAAGGTTGTCTCTTCTTGTTCATATGATTATTTCCATTGAAGGAAATCAACCGCCATTTTAAAGGATCAGCTTCAATCGACAACCACCCCAGAAAAATAAAATCTAACCCCCCTCCCCCGCACCGCACCGCCCGCCCGATCCGCCCTCGAAGCCACCAAAAGCTCGCCGTACAAGCAATGGATCTTCAATCGTAACAATAAACTCTGGCGGAGAGCCTGCCCTGGGTCGCCCGGAGCTTTTGCCCCTCCCCCACTGCCACCCATCTCCGATCCGCGATGACTCTACCCTTGTTTTCCCCTGTTTTTCCCCTGTTAACCTCATAAGCTTTCCCCAAAACACACTAGAGCGAGAAGCCCAAAAAGAAATGTTGGCAAACGCCTGCTATCTCAAGCACGCAATATCTTGCCAAAGGCTAGGATTCCTAGCTCCCCAGGGACTTTTATACCTCGATGGAAGCTTATGAGTCAGATTCCTCTTCTATCGCAATGCACGCCGTATGACAGTGTCGGGGCTATCGACATCCCCGCAACGTCGCTGGCAGCGACATGATCTAGCCAAGACATCAAGTCCACGTCCGGCAATCGAACAACCTGGCCGGTCATCTCGCAGAGATCTAACACGATATCGCAATGCCGTAATGGAAATTACATCGTGCGATTGCCCTGATACCGTCGAGCTGATATTGCCTTGGGTGACTCCCGTCGCAAACTCTGCTCGAGATCGTGACCAAACTCACCGCCCATGTTAGGGATCATCATTTCGAGTCTGCCTGCACTACCTCGATTCCTTCGAACCCAAGAGACGATTAGGGGATACAAGCTTCAAAATCATAACTCATAAGTATATTCTCTAACGTGACTAATTAGTATCCCGTAGTCCATGCCCCAGGGTAAACCGTATATTACAATCTCTCTCTCTCTCTCTCTCTCTCTCTCTCTTCCAAAGGGTTCATTCATACACACGCCACGTCTTTCCTTCTCTCATCGTTCGATTCTCTCTAGTCCGGGCTTCGTTGGTGGCATCTCGCCCTCTTACTCAAGGGACATGCGCGCCTCGTCCCCGATACCCCAGGACCCCTTGCCCTCATCATGGATCGCAATGTCCACCGCGGTGCCTAGCCCCGACACCTCTTCTTCGCCCCGCGTCTCGCTGCGCGCCTCGCTTGGCCGTCTCGCCCGCTGCTGGGTCCGACCATCCCGGCCGGCCGAGTGCGCGCCGGGGGCGGGTGGGGCCGACGACGAGGAAGTCACCGTAGTGGAAGAGACGGCCGAGGTTGATGATCGATCCGTGATTTTACGGCGCAGGGAACCCGGGCGGAAAAAGGACCGCGAAGACGACGACGTTGAGTGTAGGGAAGACGTGTCGCTGGTTTCTTTGCCGTCCTCGCCCCCGCGTTTGGCATTGCCGCCATGCGCGATGGAGATGCCGTTGGCGTGGTGTGCTTCTCCGTTGGCGGTGGCGGTGGCGTCGCTCTCAGCGTCGGCGGCACCATCCGTCTCTTGAACGGGGGTTAGCGTAGCGGCAGTGGAGGTGAAGGAAGACGAGGATGCTTTGCCAAACTCGCTGGCCATTGGCGACACCATCATCTCCCCGTAGTGCTGTAGGCCTGGATCTTTGGTGGTTTGGCCGGTGCCGTTGTTGTCGTAGTCGTCGGCGGGGTTGTCGTTGTTGTCGCTGGCGGGGTGGTGGGAGGGCTGCTGGAGGTGGTAACCTTGGCCGGTTCTGAGGGCAGGTCGCCCTGCTCCTCGTCACCAACCTCGACAAGCTCGGCATCGCGGTACCACTTTCTCCGTCTCGTCCAACGACCCCAACCGTCTTGTCCACGTCTACCATTTTGCCACTAAAAGACGAGGTAAACTAACGTTAGCTCCGCGTTGTCCTTGGTGCTTGGGAAAAGAAAAGGAAACCCGAAAATTGAAAAAGTACTGGGGAGGAAATTGGAACCCACCTTGTTATCGTAATACACCCACCCATTCTTCCCTTCATCGCCGTCGTAATCAACGGCTTCCTTGCCCTCGTCCGGCACGCCATCCACCTTCCACTTGCTACCGCGCACCCACCGCCAGTGCATGAGGCTACCCTCATCCGTCTCGGGCAGCTCAAAGGAGTCTCGCGAGGGTACCGAGTTGTTGTGCTCGTCGGTCCACGCGCTGCGCTCGTAGGCGAACAGGCTCGTGGTCCAGCCGAGGCCGACCCAACGGCGCTGGTTCTCGAAAATGATAAAGGTAAACTTGACGCCCGCGTCCTTGCCTGACCGCCGGCGCCACCGTCCACGCCGTGCTTGTGACCGTGGTGGTGCGACTGCTGGCGCAGCGCCTTGGTCAGCTCGGACTCGCGTCGCTTAGTCGCCGTCTTGGCTAGATTCTCGGGGTCCGAGGCAGCGGGGAGAAGGAGGGCATGGGGCGCATGGGGCACTCAAACGTAAGACCCGTGAGGAGCGCGGCGAGCCGCCGGACCATGGAGCTTCTCCACAAGACTTCGCGGGCCACTCGCATAAACCGGGCATGCCAGCTGAGGATAAGCGTGCCAAAGACGAGCATCACCCGCCTCGTCGTGATAATGCGTAGAGGCGGTAGGGTAAGGGCGATCCAAAAGGGGGTGCAGAACAGAATTCGGATGAACATAGTGGTGAGGGCGGGCCTCGTAGTCGCCGAGGTAGGCGTCTGCTGAGTGCTGAGAAAGTCCGTCATTTCGATCATGGGCTCCAACAGCATGTTGCACCGGCCGGTAAACTCCTTGAGTGTCTCGACAATCTCGTCCAACGTCTTTTGGTGCCGCGTATTCGTGACTTCCGAGTTTCCCCTGGTGTGTCCCAGCTTGGCGGCGCCACCGTTCGCGGCCGGCTTGCCGCCATTCTTCTGCAGCCGGCCAGTAGGCGCAGCGGATCCCGCGGCAGCAGATGAGTCCTTTTGCGCGGGCTCATTCCACCCGCTGGTGCTCAGCGGGCTGAACCTGCGGCCGTACATGCCTAGGATCAGGGCCACGACAACGACGATGGGACCGGCCATGCGGATGACGGTGTCGCCATAGAGCACGACGGCCCAGAACACGAGCAACATGACGAAGCTCTCCCAGGGGTCTCCGGTCGTCCATGTCAACAGGCCCGCGAATTTATTGAGAGGAAGGAGAAAAGGATGCGAGTAGGCGAGGGCGCGGGTGATCTGAGGCGGGGTCGCGAGGAGCAGGGGGATTTTTGGTGGACGAGGATGGTGGAGCGGCGCTTGGAGGAGGACTTGGCCGCGGGGTTCGAGGACAGGGTAGCGGGAGAAAAGGCTGCGTAGGTAGGAGGAGCATTCGGAAGAGGCGACGCGATGTCGTCTGGAGTTGCTGGGCCGAGGCCGCCGTCGGCATCGGGCCCTCGCTTGGGGGACGTCATTTGAACTAGCCACGGAGGCTCCTATTTGGGGAACATTTATTAACGATGCAGTCGACGGAGGAGACTTGGCGATTAGGTGGAGATAAAAATGGATAATCAATAATGAAAAGATACAAAAAGAGAGACGGCGAAGAGGAGGCGGTATATTTTTGTCTGGTTCTTGGGAGGTCTGATCAATCGACCAAGGGTTGAGTCGGGGTTTGTGCTGAGGAAGGAGACTAGGACGATTGGGTCGACGCAGGGAAAGACAATGGGGGAAGGTGCTGGCCAGCGCAGGATGACGTCGCGAGTGGCCCGGGCTGTGGCACCCCAGACCAACGCCGACGGAAACCACGATTTAACGAGCGGCACTTCGTCACCCACCCAAGAAACCTTCAATGTTGGCTGACAGCTCCCAATGGGAAATGCCAACGAAGCAATTGATGATTTTCGGAACCACAACGCCCCATCGTCGAAATAATAAAGAATGGGGTCAAAACCTCCATCCCCGTCTCACAGATGCAGATATCGATATTCCACAAGGCAAAAAGAGAACAAAACAAACAAACGAGAAAAAATATCAAAAAGGGAAACTTACAAAAGCTGCCATTTATCACCGCGACCGGAATCCGCCCTACGCTTTATGCCGTCCAGCCAGGTTTCGGATAAACCCAACCGATCAGGAAAGTCCACGCAAAAGGGGAAAAAGGAAGGAACAGAAGGCCCAAGAAAAAGTAAAATAAAAAGAAAGGGCAGTTCGGGGTGCCGCAGGTGTCGTGCAATCACAGGACTGGCATCAAAAGGGCAAGGACTGGACAAGCCAGGCAGGGCGCGCAAGGGTGGCCTCTAGGCGGTGACGAGAGTTTGCTTGTGCTTTTGTCTAGCGGGTGTCTGCCCCTTGAGAGCTCGAGGTGTGTGCGCGCGCAGTTCGTTCAAATCGTATACTACTGCGAGGCCGATGCGTGGCGTAGCGGGGAGCACGGCCAAAAGCAGCGAACCAAGCCAGAACTCGAATCGTCCCCCAAGAAGCGGAAAAGCACGGTGCAAGATTGAGAGCTTGTGGAAAGTTTGAAAACCGTAAACCATGAGACCAAGATGCGATGCACGTAAATTTTGCTCGACACAGCCGAAAAGAGAGAGGGGGAGCGGGATGATTGCGAGCTGCCACAAACTCAATCTGGCGCGCAACGCACAATCAGCTCAGCGTCGCTGCGACTTCTCTGGTGAGGCCCTGGTCGCCGCAGCTCTCTCAATCTCGTGATCCGAGTGTCCCGGATGACTGCCTGGTATTAATTGTCGTTCTCCAAGGACGCGCGACGCGAGGTGTCGTCAAGAGGGGGAAACAGCACAAAAAGAAAAAAGAGGCGAACGGGAAACTGAAACGATAAAATAAAAAATATGAAAGAGAAAGAAAAGGTTGAAAATCGGATTGGACCGGAAAGTTGGTGATCAGGTTTCCATCAAGGAGGAATACATCAGACATCAGACGAGGTTGGGGGTTGTGTGGTTTGGCCCGAAAAGTCACCCTCCCTTGTCCCCGCGGGGTTCAAGACCAACATTGAACCCAAAGCAACGGAAAATACACGCTGACACCAGCTCCACAAGGCTCGGCCGACAGCGACATCAATCGATTCTTTCCAGGCTGGCATGTGCCTGTCCCCCTCTACTTTTCCATTCCACACCAAGGTCTTTTACCACGACCAAGGACGACCCAACGCTCCCCATTATGATACCCACCCACACGACAAGTAGTTACCTAGCTATTCTTTTCTAGGTCAGACTAGTTGCCGAATGTACACTATTACTCCCCGTTCCAAGCGTGACATTGCGCTTGCATGATCTGGAAGGAGTGACCACCCCGCGACCTGGCGCTAAAAACCAACAACTGAACCCCAGCCAAAGCACGTGAGGGCCTGGCCATCTTCGAGCGATCATGGATGCAAGCACGAGCTTGGGAACTCGACAGCTTCCAGTTGCGCTCTGCGTTTGACCACACCCCACGACGTAAATCGTCCATTTGCATCCTGCCCCGTCATGCCGGCCAACATGTCGGGCCCTACCTACCACTCCCAATACATTCCATTCAATCCCTTTGCGGGGTCTTTCGAGACTACCCTCCAATTAGACCCCCGCCAACTTTCCCCTCGCCATTGACGGGTACTTGAAGATGAGGTGCTAGGTGCTAGAGTTGTACAAAGTACCTCTTGAAGAACCCATAATCACATGCTAAAAACGTCTTGTCGCCAATCTTTTGGGTGGTCCCAGCCCCGCACCAGCTCGCTTGCTATGATGCTTCTCCCGTTTTCAAGTGGGGATTGGAAGAACTATCTGGTGCCAGCGGTCGGTCGGTGCCGGATACCATGTGCTGCCGACCCAATGTAGTAAACTACCCTGTGCGTAGTGTAGTGTGATGTGCTTCGTAGCTGTGATTGATTTCTACTTCACTATTTACTTGAAGGGAAGCCGACATCTCGTAAGAAACGAGATTGGAAAAGAAAAGGAAAAAAAAAGAAAAACAGACGGAAATTAAAAGGATAGAGACGAGAAGTGAAAACGAAGAAATGGAAAGAAAAATAGAAACGAAAAAAGGGAAGAAAAGGAACGAAAGAAGTTGAGCAAGAAAACGAAATCTAGCTAAGGATTGTATTGTACCGCCTTCTGGTCCTCCATCCACTCGAACAATTTCACCCCGCCGTGTATGCCATCTACTGTACCGAAGGGCACTCTCTCGTGTTTAGTCCCCTCTTCTCAGTCCCCAGAACCGGCAAACCCTGTACCAAGGTCCTATTATTAGTTATGTTGGCTGCCATTAAGGCTTACCCACAGCCAAAACTCTCTCGCGAGTAGCCTTCCCGTTTTACCACGGGCGGATCCAAAAGCGAGCACGACTTCGGGACCCTCAGGGCTGTGGAGGATCAGCCTCAGCTTCACGTATTCCGCGCCGGGCTCTCCATCATCTTCGATTCGCTCATACGAGATGACGTGTCTTGGATCAAGCGCCGCGTCAATAGCCGACTTCAACGTCGTGCTTAACACCCCTGAAATCGGATCGACTTCCAATATCAACCTCTCCGCAGAACCCGGTGGCGCCTCCCAAGAAACGACATGGTCCGAGTAGCCTGCTAAATAAAAGACCTTGGGTTGAGCAGACTCAACATGGCTAGTGCGCCCAATTGTCATGTGGCCCGGAGAGCGACTGTCGTGGGGAGGACTACTCTGCAACCTGTCGATCGCCCAGCTCGAGAACCCCTTTTAATAGCTAGGTTTATTGCCTTCCTGCCCCCGAGGCGGCAAGACCAAAGCTATCAGGAGTCGCATTTACCTCCGTACTTGGTTCCGTCTCCTGAGCAGCGTATCCACCCTCTTGAATGTCGTCCGTGGTCACTTCCACTCGTTGCGTTTGCTCGCTCGCGCTCTCGCACAAGGCTCCAACTTCCAAACTGGTTGCTCCTCCTTGCGCTTCGGGGTCATCCCCCAGATCATCTGCCAAGAGCTCCCGCAGAGGTGTTCCGGAAGAATACTTTCCAGTCGAAACCTTGGCGGGAATCTCACACGAATCGTCGACTCTATCGTCCGAGGCGTCTGTGGAGTCCGTGGCGTCCGACTTGGCGTTGAGGTCACCATCGAGGGCAAACGTTGGTGATGTAAGGGCAAAAGAATCTTCAAGTCCGGCAGGCCACTCGCCCTTAATCGGAGCGCCGCCTAGAGCTTGACTATCGATCACATGTCCCACGGCACCTGCTGGCGTTGTTGTCAGTCAAAAGTCAACGTCCTCGATATCCTTACTTTGAATAGTGCCTACTATCTTGTCCCAATTCTAGGCTTCTTGGCCTGGTAATTTCGTCATCCGTCTCGGTAGTGTCGCCTGAGCCGACTTCTGACCCCTCTTCAGCATCGCCGTATTTAAACAAGTGGTCGCTTTCTTCATACTCCATATCTTCTTCCCCTTGCCCGTCTCGTTCTGATCACGAGCGAGTGCGCTCTGCTCCACCATATGCTCCACCAGATCGAGAGGGCTTCCGGGGAATGGGTCTAGTTCCCCTGTGTCGATTAACCTATAATCTTCCACCGTGTTACAGACTTCATGGCTCCTCTCAGCCCTCATTGTTTTAAATGACGAAAAGCCATTGATCCGGGCGTGGGCCTCAAGCGCCACCTCGATATTGCTGCGGGAGACGGCAAACCGGGCATCGACGTCCTCGGAAATTGGGCTGTCAGGATCAAAATGTGCGAGGAGACTCGTTCCGACCCAGCCACCTAGGTTTTGCCTAGTTTATATTGTCAGCTCCCATTCAGTACTACAACAATGGAGGAGGTGGCGTGGGGACAAGGAAAATACTTACTTTTCATCGAAAAATAGAACGGGGAACTCTCGATCATCTTCCAAGTGGCGACCATCCTGGAAACCCTCCGCCCAACCTTGGATGCGCCTCTCCATCCAATTGATATCGTAGCAGTACGGAATCTGGACCTTCTTCCCGTCCAAGAGGCCTAGGCTGTCTAAGCCTCCGGCTGCTTCTGGAAGCCCGCAGTCTGGTGAGCCGTCCCATCCAAGAACCATGGCCAAGAAGAATTTCTGATCGGCGGGCCAAAAGACGTAGTACAGCCCGCCAATATCGGGCCTCGTAATCAATCGGTTATGAAACACATCCCTAAATTCGTTCCGCCAAGTTAAATCGGCCTCATCGTCCGCGGGTAATTCGTTAGCGGGCGGTCCGTTAGTGGATGGCTCGTTAGTGAGTGGCTCGTTAGCGGGCCGGTCATTGTTGAGTGGTGGCCCGGCTTCGCAAAGTGTGTTGAGCGGCTTATATCCCTTGGCAAGAGCTTGCTCTAAAGCGCGGTTGTTCTTCTCAGCCAAAGCCTCATTGCAGTCTACGACACGCCAACCCAGTTGCTCTAGGGCAACTCCGTGTTTACGACCCAACCCATGTTTATTGCCAAGGTGTTGGGCTGCACTGCGGAGAGCCCCTCTATGACCCCCAAAGTGAAAGATGTGGTGAGCGCTTTCGCACTTCAGAATATACCAGTGTCGATCACCCTCTTTCTCGCGGATGATGGCGTGTTTATACTTCGCCTTGCCATCTTGGAACACCTCGTTGAATGTGATTGTCCGCATCTCTTTGGGCGGGTTCCCAGTCAAAGTAGTATCTCCCTTCTGGGTAATTGCCGACTCCACGCCCTCTCTAGCGCGCTTGGGACTAGGTAAGTCTTCGTCTGATGACGATGAATCAGAGATACGACGCTTGCGGGACTAGACAGGTTAAACATGGATGTCAGCGGTGGTTGAAAAAGAGGGGATAGGTACTAAATTCCATCTAACCTTTCTTGCGGATTCTTGCGCTGTTGAACATTGCACCGAGTTACACTCACTGTTGCGGGAAGCTTCCGACTCGGGGGCCGCTGTTTTACTTTTGCTATACTGGTCAGGCCCTGTGCTCATATCTGAAGTCGTGGTATACTGTCGATCCTGCTCTCCATAGGGGCCGTCGACAGTAGATACAAAGGAAGCAGTCCTAGTCTCAGTCCTACTTGAAAGGGGTGGGCGGAAACTGCTTGTTGACCTAGAAATCCTAGAGTCTTCATTTTCGTGGCTAATCTGATAGCGACACGTTCGTTAGTCCATTGTGCTCACGAGCCTGTATATATTTACATAGATCAGTTGCCTTCGAAGAAGAGAGAGTAAGCACTCACCAAGGCCTCGGGAGCAGCACAGGGCATTCCCACTCCGCTGATACGCTTCACCTTCCTGTTCAAATCCTGCTTACTCGCATAAATACGCATCAATGTAAACTCCTCGAGCTGATTATAGTCTTGCTCCATGGTGCGGAGCTTCGATATGAGCTGCGAGATATCCCACGTATCATTGCCAATCACACGCATAATTTCCACCTTGGCGCGGGCTCGAAGCACCATTTGCTGTTCGTGAAGGTTCTCTAGCTCCGCCTTTTTCTTGGCTTCAAAGCGGGCTAGGGAATCCTCGATATGAGGCGTGAGGTCGTCCACCTCCTCCATCACCAGGTCCCCACAGGAAGACCTGGCCATGGCTGGCGTGGATGAACTTTTATTCTTTCTTGCAAGACCGCTAAGGAAGAGGGCGGACGAAAACAAAGGTAGGGATTGTCGGGTAGGTTTCTAGTATAGGCAGGGAAGCTGTCAGATCGGGGGCGCTCGGGAGACAATGAGCCAGGAACGGAAATTGATGGAATGAAGAAAGCCACAAACCCTTTGTCAAAAAGACCCTGGAACAGGATCCTCTGGCTGATGCCGCTCGCCCAAGGCAAGGCTCGGAATTGCTAGTAGGAGAGAAAAAAGGAAGTGAGGTGAGAAAGACAAAAGGGAAATGAAGAAGAATGAGGAAACCAGAGAGTAGAGAAGAGACAGAGTTTGATGCAATCTGTGAGGTCACTAGGTTTCGGTTGGTTTGGTGTTAGCAAAAGTGTGCAATGCTGTGAAGTCAGTTTCACCAAGTCCAGCGATGAAATGCAAGCAATAAACCCTTCATCCCCAAGCAGTCAGAAACATGTTTGGCAAGAGAGGAAAACTTTTCCAGAGCCTAGGGCATGAGGGAAGGAGCAACAACTGGAGCAGCATCATATTGGTCAATGAGGATGTTGAACATGGAGAGCAAAAAAGAAAAAGGGCAGCAGTGGGACTTGTGGAACGGTCCTTCCCCTTTTCCCACTTCCTTCTGTTTGCGGAAATGCCATCTCGAGCAACTCATGTTTAGTGTGGGAAGGCGCAGCCCCCATCTCGACTATTTCGGTCGTGTCCATGGAATGCATGCTTCGCGTGCTCTTTGTGTGCAGCGCCATGGGCGGAGGAAACAAGCGCGAGAAGGGAAGCCAAGGCTCGTTGGAATGTTGGGATGGTTTTTCTGGAGAGGTGGACGGAAACGCTGCTGGCTGCCCGGCAGAGGCTGCTTCTGGATTGGACTTAGACGCGAGCGCGGGTACATGCATCGTGATACAAACTGACGCCCTTAATGCGAGACTCTTGATACCGCGCGTCCGGTGGGGGATGGCTATCCATGGGTTCAATTTATCGCGACGCAAAGGCGCACAACTAAAACACGCAGTCTTCATAGCTTACATCAAGTTTTTAACATTCAACAGACTCCTTCGAGCGTGATTTGTTTACTGGTCGTGTTGTGAACACAGGAAATGAGAAACGGAAACCCATGGATATATAGAATACGTAAACTAGACATTGAAGAATGAGAGAGGAAACGGGGAGACGCCAACGCCGCCAACCATGCCAGACAGATCCGATCCATTCTCTCTCTTCGCCAACACTTCATCGACATGATGTGGTCTAGAAAAGAAGAAGGGTGGAATACATGAGGTGGGGGAAAGAAAAAAAAAAGAGTACAAAATCACCCTCACACCTTTCAAACAGGTGAGCATGAGGCAACAAGTTGGAGGAAAGGAGAACAGCCAACAACCCCCAATACAAAAGGTGGAAAAAGAATAAGAGAACAGGCAAGGAGCCCTTAGGGAGAAGAAAGAAAAATCAACCTCCGAAAAACTCAACAAATGCGCAGAGGCATCCTACACCTCCGCCTCATCGTCCACTACCAGAAACTACACCAACCAATGTAATGTTGACACAGGTTCTCCAGCTTGGTCGCCTCGACAATCAACTTGCTAACTTGGTTCACAACATCAAGCTCCTCAACGTTCTTGAAGTCACGCCCCGTTAGCTTCTGCTGGACGCGGTCCAACACCTCGAGAGCGCGCGCGTTCTGTACTTCGACCACGTCTGTATGGCCGTGGCCATTACCATTTCCATTGACCGCTGCCGGTCCATCACGCGCTGCCACTGAAGAGTTGGTCCTGGCACGAGCGCGAGCACTAGGCATCGGACCAGTGGGCATCCCATCCATGCCCGCTTGCGCAGCCATGAGATCCTGAGGACGTCCGTCCAGGACCGAGGGTCGTCGGTTGCGGCCACCGTGGGGGCCCGCAAGCGCGGCTTCGCGCTCAGACTGGAAGGGCGCTGCCGGGCTTTGCACGTTGGTAAGTCGCCAGGTTAGGAGAGGATCGTGAATAAACTGTGAGGAAAAGTGGTTAGTATCTGTATGCAAAGTAAAGAAATGGCAGTAGTAAGGAAATATCAGAAAAGAAAAGACTTACAGCTTCCAGGACAGCCATGACACTCTCCTTATTGTCTCGAAGAACCCTCATAACGTGCTCGCAGGTGATCCTGAAGCTACCTTCGATATTGCTGACTTCCATGGCATATGTGAGCATACGCGTGAGACGGAAAGGCACCCTCTCTGGGTACTTCTCTCGCTTCATGGCAACCTCGAAACAGTCACCAAAGTCGATGTGGATAATCTTGCCCGTGATGCGGTCAAGCATGAGGTTAGACGGGTGGCGATCTCCAAGACCGAGAATGTAGCCCACCATGGACATGACGCCGAGGGAGCGCGTGTAGTTGGTACGGCGCTCGAGCCACGCCTCGGAGCTCTTGCTCTTGAGCCAGAGGACGCGGTACAAGTCCTGCCCAGTAGTGTTGTCCAGTGCGTAGCCAAATACCTCCACCTTTTGCATCAGCGTCAGGTTATCATAGTCGGGCGCCATCTGCAACATGATGCGGTGTTCTATATTGAGGAGGATCTTGCGGCTCTCGCGGTATTCGCGGATCAGGACGTGCAAAGTATCGCTGTTGGGCACCCAGCCCAGGAGACCCGAGTTCTGGGAAAGCGGGATTGCGGGGTAGCGCTGGATGTTGAGGTGGCGCTTGTAGCACTCGGAGTCGTTGGCGAGGAGCGTGTTGCACAGACCAAACAGCTGCATGACTCTTTCGTCCTGGCGGATATCTTCATGACCCTTGAGCAGGAATGCGTACGAAATACCGTCGCTGCCGCTGATGTTGAGCTTGCGGGGCCTCTGCTTGGAGTTGATGACGGTAAAGGTCGAGTCGAAGCCTTGGATCCGGACCACGGGCGCACCGCTGCGGTATGTTCCGGGGACCGCGAGGTCAAGATCCTTGGCAGCAAGCAGCTTAGGCGAGCAGTAGGTGAGCTCCAGAGTCGTCACCTGGGGCAGTTGCCTCGAGATTCGCCTGAACACCTGGTAGTAGAGATCCCATGCTTGATTCAGGTCATTAACGTCACGCGTTGACTGGTACTGACGGCACCACTCCCGTGCCTCGGTCAAGTCGCGGCCAAAGGCCTGAACGAAGGAAATCTCCCGCAGAGTTTCGGGGCCGCGTTCTAAAAGATCGTGGAGCGGACCAAGGACCGCAAACATGCCCTCGATGTTGTGGTCGCCAAAGTAGAGCCGAGACGCCTCCTCGAGAGCCTCGTGCCATAATTCGTGCCACAACACGGCAACCCTGATCAGTTCTTGGCTGACAATTTCGGCCTGCGTCACGAGGTTGGCGCTATGCTGCCTCATGCTGTCCATGATCTGGGCCGCCGACTTAGAGCGCACTGAGCTTTGCGCCGACTTCATCGCAACGGTGAGAGGATACACCAGCGCCTGGGGATGCGCGCGACCTACGTCGGCGAGCAAATTGTGGACCGACTGCTGCACACGCCTGTTGGGTTGATTGATGCGGGCGATGAGCTGGGGAATTACCTCCAGCCACGTGTCGACGCTGATGTTGGTAAATCCTTCGGTCACGGCATTGTTCACATCCGTACTGCCACCATGAGTGAACCAGAGGGTCAGCAGACGCAGGGTATCCTGCAGGGAGCTGCCCGCAGAGAGAGCAATCGACTTGAAGAAGCCGCGAATGGCGGGGACGACATAGTCGAGAATAACAGCGGGATCCACGCTAACATGCTCGCGATCGGCTCGCGAGGTGATTTGGTTGACAATCTCAAAGTTGGCAAGAGCCCAGCCGTGCCAGGCCTTGTACCAGCGAGGGTTGTACTTGGTGGCCGCTGAGTACGCGGACAATACTTCCTGGACCTGGTGGTGGTGCCACGTATCGCGATGGAGGGCCCGAATCCACTCTCCCTGGCGTAGATAGCACTTGGCAAGGAGGATAGTCTGGTCCTGCAGCGCCTTGTGCGTCTGCGGACTGAGGACCGCGGGGTCCAGGGGGTGTTGGAAGTTGAAGTCGCTCGAGATCTCGAAGCCGTTGGGCACTTGTGCGGTGAGCTGATCTTTGATGTGCTCCAACCTAGCAGCCGTATCGTGCGTGAACTTTCGGAGCGAGTATAACGCCATGGGTGGCAGGTCGTTGTTCTTAAAACCGCCCGACTGGATACCGAGATCCCACTGGTACTTGAGAATGCCGTAGATGACCTGCGCAGGAATATTCCGATTATGAACCGGCTGCTGTCGGTCGCCCCAATATGGAAGTACCGTCTCCAACGAGCCATCGATGCCGACGAGCTGCTTGAGCGATTTATCTGCGAGGCCCATCCGACCAGACTTGCGGCAAAGGTTCGCAAACTTGATCCACATGTGCATGTTCTCACCGGGTGAGATAACCAGAGCTCGCAGTCGCAGCATGCGGTGCCAAACCTCGACGTTGCGCTGGCAGCCCTTAAGTCTTGCCTCCCACGTACGCCGCATGGTTGCCTGCTTGCGCTCATCGCACTGCTTGTATACTATAAGTTCCTCCAGTTCCGCCAACATCTGGACACGCACGACAACCTGGTAGGCCCGGTTGTATGATTCGCTGACGAGCGCGCTCAGCTCCGTGTCGAGGCCCTCGCGGGCATGCTGGACACAGCTGAGCGCCTCAGGGAATTGGTTGCGGTGAAGGGCCAGGATGGCGCTGAAGAAGGAACGGTCAGGAGATGAGCGTCGCATAGACTGCAGGTACTTGTCCATCGAATCCCACTTGCCCAGGCCCCATGCTGCGGCAGTGGCGAGGGTGCGATCAGTCGCCTGAGGTCGGAGGAGGACGCCTGCCACTTTTCGCTAGCAAGCGTAGCCAGAGTGTCCCATTCGCCCAAGGCGTGTAGACAGCGCATCTTGCCCATGATCACTTCGACGGGTACAGCTTCACGGTTGTTCTCCGCATCTTCTAGTCTCTTGTCGTAAAAGGCAAGTGCTTCCTCCCACCTTTCCAGCTTTTCGAACCACGTCTCCCGCAGCGTGATGCCGTCCTTATAGAGTTGGGCGCGGCGGAGAATACCGATAGCGGCATCAGACTGCTGGAGTTGGTTGTTGATGACGATGAGTGCCTCGACGGCGCCGCTACTCTGATCCTGCAAGAACTCCAGCTCCTTGTAATGGAGTGCCTTAGCGTAGGCGTGGCAGCGGGCGGCTTCGCGACCGAGGACACGGATGTCGATGGGGAGCGCCTTATCGTCGTGTTCCATAAACTCCGCGAGATTGAGAAGAAGGGCCAGAAGATCCGGGGGCACGTTTTCAGACTTGATTGCACTCTCGATATTTTGAATCAGCTCGTCCTGGAACTGCTCGTAGAGCTCTCCCAGCACGAGACAAAGGCCGAGTTAAACAGTTCGCGGGCCAGAGGCAGGTAAACGCTGGCGAGGCTGGCGCAAGCCCTCAGGGCGTGGTTGGGCGATTCGCTGAGAAGGGTGGTGCTGAATCTGCGCAGCCACTCTTGCCAATCCTCCTTGGTGGATTTGCCCTTCGTATCCCAAGCAGCCTTGAGGTGGACAGGGTTCATCTCCAGCTTCTTCGACGCGAGGTCGCCAAACATGGGCTCGTCAACCTGGTTTTCCAGTCGTTCAGAGCTCAAATGCTGGGGTAGAGGTTCTCCCTTTTGCAGCTTGCTAACCAGAAGCTCGTAGTTTTGATGCTGGATTTGGCTACTTGCTAGGATCTTGTTGACGGAGCTCATGAAAGGAGTGTATTCTTTGCCAAGCTGTTGGATAAGGGCACACAGTGTATCGAGAGCAGCAATCCTCAGCGAACTCTCACCCATGGTCAAGACTCTTGTGAGGGGGTGGATGATTCTCGAAGCAAAATCGTTGAGGTTGACTTCCCGAGAAAGCTTACCAATCGTCTCGATGGCGAGCTTACGGATGTAGATTGGTTGACCTTGCTTCTCAAAAGTCCGGACAATGACGGGGATGATCAGGTGCATGTACTCCTCGCTGCTAGAGCCAAAGACAAGGAAGGCGTGAAGAACCCTCTCAGAGGGGATTCGCTTCGCCGTGACATCTCTCTCGAGGGCACCGAGCATGAGAGGCAAAAGGCCAGCAAGATAAACCTTGAACTCGCCCTCCAGGGACCTCGAGATAGCTTCGATGAGCTGGAGAATCGTGGTTTGGAGGGAGGAGGATGTGTTCCAGTATTCCTCGAGGATCTCGATGATATCCGGGAGGTAATTGCGGATATGCTGACGAACAATGCTGACCAAAGTTGCCAGCTGGTTAAAGTACGACTCGAGCCGTTGGGCGGCGGACGAGCGAATAACGTGGAGGAAGGCGGGGATGATTCGATCAAGGAACTGCACACACTCGAGGCCTAGAGTTCGGAAGATGTTCATGATCGCCTCAATGACGGCGGCGTGGTGCTGCACGAGGGAGGGATCGTTCAAAATCTGAAGTAGACCATTGATCACCACTGTAGAAAAGTACTCCTTGTTAGAAGGCATAAGACCCGTCATCATGAGCGAAATGTCCGTCATCTGTGTCGCTTCAACCCGGCGCTGCATTTCCGGCGTGCGCTCTTCGACTTGCTAAGATTGTAGAGCATGGTTAGCATTGCAGTGTGTTGTAGACTCTCGCTCCCCGTGGGTGGCGAGGTCAGTGTAGATGCTGGGGGAGGGGGCTTGGATTTTGGGAATCTAAGCGAGGCAAAGTGGGTGGGAGTTGACAACTCGTCAAGCTCCTCGTCATCATCTGAAACTTCAGTCTGCGATTGCATAATGGCACCCAAATCTGCATACGCGGTGCACCAAGCGCCCTTTCTGGGCAGCGCGAGGTATTCTGAATTTACCTGGTGCTTGTACGGGTCCAAGGCGCCGAGGATACCCATGAGCTTGATGGTTTCCTGTCTTAGGGGTCCGCGGTGGCCTTCGGATCGGATAATACCCTGCAGCAACTCCAGAAGCTGAGGATATTCGAGGTAGGGCTGGATGACGTATCCCGAGTTGCTGGCAAGTTGGCCGAGGGCGTGGAGGGCAGCTTCGCGTTTCGCATTCGAGCTCTGGTCTTGAAGGGCGGCGATGATGAGGGGCATCAACTGGTCCTTGTAGGGGAGAATATCTTCGCCTCCAACAGCGGCCAACTCGCCGATCGCGTTCAGAATGGTCGCCGCAACGGATGCGGTGGGATCGTTGGCTTTTGGAAGAAGGACAGCAATCATAGGCTGAACGTAGGGCCGGATCAAACCCTGGGCATTTTGGATTAGTAGGCTCAGCAGCCTTGCGCTTTCCTCCTTGTTTCGCGCAACGTCAGAAAACTCGAGCTCAGTAAGCATCTGGAGGAGGTTCTTCCGCAACGACGGAACAATGTAAGCCGGGTTATACTTGGCAAGACGACCAATAATTGAGATGGCCACCTCGCGGATAGCAAAGACCTCATCGTTTAAGGCGAGAAGAAGGATCCTAATATTCTCCGCCTTGGCCAGATGTCGATCGAAGCGTTCGTCGAGGGCGGCGAGAACCGTTCGTCGAATGGTGGGTTCGGGGTCTGAGATTCCCACCGTAAGTAGCCTCCCAATCACCTCACCTACAACTTGCAGCGCGTGCTGGCTCGTCTGGCTGACGATGATGTCTTCGACGTAAAGCTGACAGCACGTCAGGGCAGCGGCTTCTCGAATTTCGGTGTCATCGTCGTCGACGTACTTGATCGCGACGTCCCGGACAAACTCGTTGAGCACGTGGCCTTGGTCTTCCGTTAGCTTGCCCTTGACAATTGGGCGGGATGGCAGGAAACCCGGAACTGCAGTAGTCACAGCTCCTTTGCGGGCAAGAATTTGAGGCTTAGGGGGCGAAAAGGCACGCGGCGGGGTAGTGTCCCACTAGGACGCCGGGGAATCGCGCCCTGCGACTGGCAATCGGATGAGGGCAGACAAGCGGGAGCTCAACGAAGGCGCGAGCTCAGCCAACTGCGTCGTCTTCCTCTTCACTGAAGAGAACGGCGAGAAGCCATACTTATGGCTTTGAGTGTCGGAGCCCGGATTCGAGGCTCGTGATTGGGCCTCCAAGAGCCTTTGTGACGGACGGCTTGCTAACCGGCTCGCTGAGGGGAGTAGGGCATCTGTACCTGAAAAGTCAAAGCTTCCTAGAGTGTTAAGCGCAAGCTTAATCTCTGCCTTGCGGTGCTCGTAAGCCTGAGGGTCTTTGGAATCCTTGGCGACAACGGGTAAGGAGTTGAGGGTGTTGGGCTGAGGCGCGCCGAGAGGCTTAAATGGCTCGCCACAGAGCACGATACTCAGCATGTCCAAGAGTCTCTCTTGGATGGTGGCTTTGACAGGCGGGATATAGAAAGCGATGTCGACGAGGGCTTGGGTCAGTTTTGGCGTGAGCTCGCAGGCGAAGATTGGGTCAAGCAGCGCCTCCATGTATTTGCTCAGCGTCTGGCCCACGGCTACGGCCAGACGGCTAATACAGTCAAAGACAGGATCAACGGACCCCCTCTTTCGAGAGGAAAGGCTAAGACCTTCGCAGACGTAGATAATGACACCGTCTAGATAGGGTGCGATGGCGCTCTTTACCGAGTTTGCGATGTTACCAATCGCAAGGAAGGCATCGTTGCGATCCTTGTCACGCTTAAGCATGCCCGTTAGGTAGAGCATGAACTGGTGGAGGTATCGGCTAGTAAAAGCGGTTGGGTCGTAGCTCGCCAAGTCAGGAATCAGCAAGACTATGGTTTTTCGAATAGTAGGATCGCGATGCTCCTTGTGCTTGAAAACAATTTCGCATGCGTCATCATATTGGCCCTGCATATACATGCCACCTTGCTCGAGAAGTTCCTTGAGAACGAGGAGCGAACCGTGGATAGACTCCACAGTGTTTACCTTGAGGCCTTGGTTCATCTCCGTGTACATCTTATTCATCCAAGTCTGCTTGAGCTCCTGATCTCGCTCTCGGATGATTCTAAAACAGGCGCTAACTGTCTCAGCGGCGGTGGTGCGGATGAGCTGGCGCTGGTCGCGCAGACCGACCCAGATAAGATCGAAGATGAGGCCGACATAGCCGTACATCAAAGTAGGCGCATTCCGCGCAAGCTCCCGCAGCTCCAGGACAGCGCTGTATCGACGCTCCTCAATACGTTCAGACTGTAGCCACTCGAGGGCCGTCTTCACTTCGGACTCGACGAGTTCGGACGTGAGGGAGCCGCCGGGTCGACATAATTTACCGAGGGCCGCGGCAGCTGCTTGCATGGGGGTGATGTCCTTTCCGCGGAGGATAGTCTTGAGGTTCTGGGTGAACCTCGTATATTTTAAAGAGGCATCGACGCCTTCAAAGTCGATGAGAGCGTCGAGGGCATAGATGCCACCCAGTCTCTCGGACGAGTCGCTACCGTGGGTGATGAGTTGCGTGATTCGGTTATTGACGGTGGTATAGAAGGCATGGAAATGGTCGGGTGAGAGATCTACGAAGAGGGTAGGAAAGAGAAACGAGTCAGTACTTGAAGCCATGCCGGGAAGGGGAGGTATGGGCTAGGGCGGGCAGGCAGGCGTGGCGACCAACCTCGATGGCACACGGCTACCAGCTCCCTAAGCTGGGCCGCGGCGCGTCGGCGGACATCGTCGGAAGTTCTACGGCGGGGGTGACGTTAGTTTATTGGGACAGTCACTCGCGAGAGGAGCAAGGCTGGCTCAAGTATGTGGAGCGGCGTTACCTAGATCGAAGCTCCCTCGAGATGATGTCCAGCCGCTCGAGCGCAACCTGCTGCTGTTGCGTGAGCTGCTGCGGCGACATGGCCTCTGGAGCGACTCAGCGGAGATGGAATGGGCTCGAGTTCAAGACGACATGGAAAAGGGACGAAAACAACACAAGTTGCTCGCCAGCTAGGCTATCGATTCGGTTCGTGGGAATGTGACGATGGACAATATGCGTTCGCAGTGTTTAGATAGAGAACTCGACAGTGGTTGAGGTGGGGACCCAAAGGAGAAGGGAGGGCCAAATTCCGTCCAACCGCGAGAGCAGTTGGTCTGCCAAGTTAAAAGAAAGAATTGATCAAAGAAATCAAAGCACAATAGAGGCTCTCTAGAATCCTCAACTGCACAGAGCAGCCAGGAAACAAGCCGGGTTAGTTGGTCATCAGAAGGGACACAAAGAAGTGCACTGGTGGGTGTTGGGGGAGGATGGAAGCATCAAGTTGAGGGAAAGAGCAATGAGGTTTTGGCTTGGGCGGGCCAAGGTTTCAAGGAAACACGCTAAAATGGGAATTTAGGAATCAATCAACCATGGAGCTGCGGGTAGGTGCTGCTGGAGCTCGACAACTACTCGCACAGGGTTCTCGGCCAATGTCATGCGCCCGGAGCACCGCTTATGTGACGCCTCCCAGGGGTGGGGGAAGGAACATGAGGCCAGGCGCGGTCCCCAATTCCCGGTAAGTCACGTGGGCGTCGGCCTAAGGGTGCAGTCCAAGGTCCTCCAGCATCTCCAGGAGAGGCTAGCAAACCCCCTGTCAGCGCTGGCTGTTGGCGAACAGGAGCCACTGTTTTAAAGTACAGGCACAGGCGGTCGTATCGAGTGAGACAGATTCAGAGACACAGTCGCATCTCATAAGCTCTCGGCAACGCATCCCGCATCCACCAGCCAAACCTATTCCTTGTACCAAGTACCACGCAATTCACCTCTTCGCGATCCGCCACCCTAACTTGAATCCCGTTTTTTCCTTTCTGCCCCCTCCACGACCACCTCTCAACATCCCATTCTCAACGCCTACTCCCACTCTCGAATAACCTCCCCATCTCTCCTAAGCCAGCCGCCTCCGTTTTCCCCTCCCCTTCCCACCCACAGCCATGGGTAACGACGGCGGCTCCATCCCCACCCGCCGCGAGCTCGTCAAGAACGCCGCCCGCAACCCCACCGTCTCCGAGCTCAAGGCCACCGCCCACGAATCCCTCACCCACGCTTGGTCCCACTGCCCCTAACCGGCGACAAGCTCGATCTCGAAACCGCCGTCTCCGATTGGCGCGGCCGCCTCTACAATTACGAATCCATCCTCAAGGCCCTCATGCCCTCGGCCGGCCCCGGCGGCGACGACGACGACGATGCCGAAGCCGCGGCTGCCAAGAACGAGGAAGTCATCGGCGCCGCCGAGTTCTCCTTTGCCTCCACGGGCATCAAATCTCTGCGCGACATCGTCAAGATCAAGTTCAAGCGCTATGCGCCCCCGAGGGCAAGCCCCGGTGGGCGTGTCCCATCTCGCTCAAGGAATTCGGCGCGGGCACCAAAGCGCTGTACATTGTCCCGTGCGGGCACGCCTTCTCCGAGATCGCCATGAAGGAGGTGCAGGAAAAGACTTGCCCCGAGTGCAACGAGCCGTTTGAGGATGTCAACGTCATCCCCATACTGCCCGCCACCGAGGCGGAGATGACGAAGCTTGCTGAGAGGATCGAAAAGCTTCACGAGCAGGGACTGGCGCACAGTTTAAAAGGGATAAGAAGGGTAGCAAGAAGAAGAGGAAGCGGGTGGATGGTGACAAGAACGAAACCGAGGTGGACGGCGAGGCTAAGGGCGAGAGGGTGCACAAATCCGCCAAAAAGGATGGCAGGTTAAACGGCATCAACAACCCAATGGCATCCTCCCTCACCGCCAAGGTGCTTGCGGAGCAGGACGAGCTCAACAGGAGGCGTAAGTTGGCCGGGATTGTCAATAAATAGTTCGAGTTATGTACAGAAGGGCGCTCAGGCGTTTTACAATTGGGGGAATATGGGAAATGTGCATAGTTCAAAATCAAGGATAGATACCCCGGCTTGTATGAATAGACCCGACAATATAGGTTCTTTTTTTTGGTTCTTTTTCTGGGCTCGTTTCTTTCATTCAAATCGCTATTCTCATGGATATCGCAAACGAACAAAAAGGGACCAAGAGACTACTTGCTTGTATACACTGGGATGAATCGAGGGCCACACACACAGTCGGGCACCTCGCCTTCTCCCGTTTTCTGATTTCATTCATGTACTGTTCGACCGTTCCCTTCAACTTACAGCTCATCCTTTTGCTTGCCCTTCTCGGCGGGTCCCTGAGGGTCGCAAGCGGCCGGTGTGCCAACCTCCATCTTATACACGCACTTCTCCGACTCGGAGACGCGCCACAGCTCCTCCTTCTCGGCGCAGGCAAGCCAGACATCGGTGCGCCTCCTAGGGCCGTTCCAGCAGCTCTGGCCGTTCTCGTATCGGAGGACCATGCGCTCGCCAGTGCCGAGGCCCTTGCCATCCAAGCGGTCTTCTTCGTCAGAGAACTCACGGTCGATACGGGCATAGTCACCCATGTTGGTGTTGCCGTGGCCCTTCTTGCTCTTCTGCATCGTCTTCTTGAACCAGCAGAGCTCATAAGTGTACTCGCCAGCCTCAGTGCTGACGCACTTGTCCTTGAGAGCCCTGAAGATTTCCTCCGGGCCGTAGTCTTTGGCGAGGTCGTCCTCCTCGTTCTTGAGGGAGGAGATTTTGGAGGTCAGGTCGCGCTCGGCGGCATTGAGGGCATCTCGGGCCGCGGTGACGGCGGGGATTCCTTGTTGGAAGTTCCCGAGTTGGCAACCATGCCATTGGCGACGAGCCACTGCCGCAGGTTATCCATCTGCTTGTAGAATAGATCCAAGACAAACGTAGGCACGTAGGCCTGGAAATTGTAGACTACAGAGGGCATGGTCAGCGGGGGCGCAAAGCAGAAGAGCCAAAAGAGCGCAGTAAAGGGAAAAGGCTACAGGGGATAAACTTACTGATATCCGTTTCATCGGCCTCCTCTTCGGAAGGCTCGAAATCCTTCCAGTTCACGCCGTTCAGCTCGCCATCCTCTAGGAGGACATCACGGACCTCCGCATCGCTGATGAGCTGGCTGCCCTCGTTGGCAAGCTTGGCAGCATAGTCCTCCCATGACTTGACAGCCTGCTTGACACCCTCGTCATTGAAGTTGGGGTTGTACTCCTCCTTGAAGCGCTTCAGAATCCTCCAGGTCGCCCACCTTGGTGCGGAGCTCGTTGCGCTGGTCGACAACAAGCTGAAGGGTATCGCGCAGCTCCTCAACGCGCATCCTGGACTGCTCAAGGAGCTCGCCGAGCTTGCCGCTGGCGGCCGAAGAGGCCTTGACGACCTTGCGGCGCTCCACGCGCTCGATCTCGTCAAACTTGGCCTGGAGCTCAATCTTCTTGCGCTCGGCCTGGGCCACGTCGTTCTTCAGGTTGGCAATGGTGGTCTCGATGTTCCTGCGGACCTGCTTGGCCTGGCGGATGAGCTCGACACGGGCGGCGATGGCCTTTTCCATAGCCTTACGCCTCTCATCCTCGATACGGCGGTATTCCTTGCCGATCTCGGCGCACTTGTTGGGACACTTGACGCCGCCGACGCCCGAGTACTCCTCACTGCCATCGCAGCATAGATCGTAGTCACAAACGCCGTCGTTGACGTAGGTGAAAGGGATGTAGCCGCCGATGTGACCCTTGTTCTCGCACCAAAAGCCAGGCAGTGCGTTTGTGGTGTTGGTCGAGCCGGTCGTCGAGCCGGGGAGGGGCTGAGGAGGCGACAAGGAATCGAGTTTCGCGCAGGCGGCGGTTCCAGGTTCGTCGGAGCCGTCGGGGCAATCGCATGAGTTGTCGTTGACCTTGCTCGCATCTATCTTGATTGACGGGTTTGTGATGCATGTAAAGCTATCCTTTGAGCCATAGTGCTTGACAACTGCGAACCAGGATTGCAGTCAGTAAACAATCGTTTTAACCCAACCATCGCCTCAGAAGGGGGTAGCTGTCTCAGTAGGAATCCCAAAACCCTCTCCCATGCCAGCATGACAACTGAAGTCACGCCAAAACGAAATTAATCTCATTCCGCAAGAATACAAGAAAACCAATTGGGTAAGAGAGGCAAACTCACACTGAGGTCCAACGCCCCGAGGCACGTTCCCACCAGCAGCACCCAGGGAGGCAAAGGTGCTGACAGCCAGCACGGGAACAAGTAATTGGTGCATCTTTTTGTGTAAATCTCCGAGCTCACGGGCGGCAAATATTCATCGAAACAAGAAGGAAAACAACCCGTCCAAGCAGGTGTGTGTCCGAGTACGTAGGAAAAGAAAAAGAATTGAGCGTGCTGTTATGCTTGGAACACCAACGCCAACTTTTAGGGAAGAAGCAAAGCTATCGTCGGAAGCAAAGCAAGGTTACTTGTCAGCATCCCCAATCCGCGGTGGTGTTACAGCAGGGGGAATGGGTTCCTTGGGCAAGGGAAACGTGGAGCTTGCGGATAAATGTCGGCACTTAATCTGGAGCAGGAGGAAGCACAGGCGTGGCAGGCAGGGGCAACAATGTGATGCGGATGAAGACAGGGACAGACCCACATGCCAATGTACCCTTGTACCCACCTGCACCTCGACGACGAATTCTTTTTTTTTTTTTTGGGTGCAACTATTGCTTGCTAAACGTGGGGTTCAAAACTGCCCCGCGATGCCGCTCACACAGGCAGACATCACCACCTAGGCCTGGCTCATCTCCCAACCTTGACATATTCGCATAGAGACCACATTCAAACTTACGTCTCGAAAAATTTCCACCTAAACCCTACTTTCTTTTCGTACTTCGGAAGAGGAATCAAGACGGAAAGAGAATAAAATGGCCCCCGACGCCCAGCAAGACCCTACCATCACAGAGCTCAACGCTCTCGTCTCCAGCGTAGCCGCCCTACTCACCCAGCTCGAGGCTACCCTCACCGGCCTCACCAAAGAGACGGAAGCCTCCAAGGTCTCCGCCTCCTCCTCCTCCGAACCCGTCGTTGCCGCCGGGACGGGAAATACGCAGATCGACTGCCTGAAGCTCGCCGCGGACTCGGCCGACCTCATCCGGGCGCACACCACCCGGCTCTCTCTTCTCATCATCACCGAGCCCTTCACGCCCACGGCCATAGGCAAAGTCCTCCGCGAGCTCGTGTCGGGCGCGGTGCCCTCCCTCGCCACGGCCGCGGAGCTCTGCGACGGCGAGCGCTTCACCTACTTCTTCAGCCAGGCGATGCGCGTCAAGTGCCACTCCCTCATGCGCGAGCTGCGCGCCTTTGTGCAAAGATCCCCTCGGACGGCAAGGTCCTCACGGAAGAGCAGAAGAATGCGGCGACGGACGGGTCGCAAAGGGCAGCTTAGCCATGACGGGTGTGCTGTGGTCGATCTGCGACGACCTCAAGCGGTTCGCCACCGGCGGCGTTGGCCCGTACCTGGTGAAGAGGATAGAGGAAACGAGGCTCACGCTCAAGGATATTGTCGAGGAGCTCACCGAGTGGCAGGAGGAGTCTGAGGAGCAGGATGACGATGATGACGATGACGATGAAGATGGAGGGAATGCCGCGGACTTCGACTCAGCTGTCGATATCAACGATAGTCGGGCCAACAGCATGCAAGCGCAAGGTCTCCACGATAATGCCCAAGAGCTCCTCGATGACTTGATGGGCTCTGCGAAGACGATCCCCGGGATGATCCCCAAAGGTCCGACCGCGCCTCGCCCAGTTCCTCCGCTCGCTCAAGCTCTGCATGATTATGTGCCAGGCCGTCTCCAAACGGAGGCTCAAGACACTCCCCGCGCTCCCGGCCGAGAATGGCGAGATCACAGCGTCTCTGCAACGGGTGTTTACTTTCCTCAACACCTTGCCGCAGAAGTACGAGGATGTGGTTCTAGCGTTTTACGACCTGGATACGGCCACGGTGGACGAAAACCTCAAAAAGGCGGGCGTTGGGTTGATTGGCGCTATCGAGCCTCTCAAAACGCCATTTAATGAGCAGGACTCAGACGAGTTTACCACGTGGTTTGGGAAATTCAAGACGGAGCTGGAAACGGCCTATTCTTCGCAATATTGATTATCATTATCACGCTGAGTGGGAGGAGAGTAGGTGGCTATTCATCAGAGCAGAATTCGAACAAAATTCTTGGGGGAACGCGAGACAGTTTTGTATATACGCTAAGCAGGCGGTTCGATATAGACCACCACGCTCGTCTCGAAAATTGACAAGTATGTACTTGGTGAAAATAGGGGATTTTGCACGTATAGAGCGTGTGCAACGAAACAAAAGAAGTAGAAGGAAGGTCAAGAACTATGTACAAAGAATAGAGGAGCAACTCCGTTGCAAGATTGGGTGGTGCATCCAAATCACTCAAGCTACCAAGCCACCGTCGACCTCTCAACCAACCTAACCATGGTATGAAAGCTCATTCGGTCCTTTACTTGAAGAGCTCAACAGCGTCCACAATCTACGTTGAATACATGTTAGCAACAATCCGAGAGAGCAATGTGGGAAGGAGGATGAAGAAAACGGGAGAAATAAACAAAAAAAACTCACAAAGTTGGGGCTCAAGTACGTGTCACCGCTGCTTCCAGAGGCAACACTAATGGTGATGGTGTTGGAGCCGGAAACGAGGATGCCCGAAGGAACGGCAAAGTCGTAGACCTCGCCGTAACCCCTGTACGCGCCACGGGTGACGCCGCGGGAGTCAATCTTGACAGGAGCGGCAGGAGTAGCACCGCTCCAGCTGTTCACGGTGACGGACGGACGAGCGCCGGCAAAGGAGAGGGTGGTGGCGATCCTGAGGGTGGCAGCGCCGGGGGCGGAAGAGAGGGTGAACTTGACAGTGGTGGGGTTGTTGACAGACTTGAAGATGGCCATGGGGAAGTCCTTGGTGGCGGAGGAACCGGCGGTGTACGTGAGGGGGCCCCAGCTCTCCATGCGGGAGTCGGAGGGGTGCATGCGGAGGAACTTGTCGGCGTTGCGGAAGCCGGTAGGCTGGCCGTCGAACTCGCCAATCTTGAGCAGGGAAGTGGCGGGGGTAGTGAGGGTGCTGGCGATGTTCTTGGAGACGATGCCGCCGGCGGAAACGGTGACGGAGGTGGTGGCGACCTTGTACTCGGTCTGGTAGAGGACCATGGTGTAGGTGCCGGGCTTCATGAGCGGGGAGGTGAAGGCGCCGGAGGACGAGGCGTAGGTCCAGTACTGGGCGGCGCTGTTGTACCAGTGCACGACGGTCTGGAACTTGGAGGGGACGCCCGAGGCGGTACCGGTGACGCGGCCGCGGCCGGAATCAGCGACATAGCCCTGGAGGCCGAGACCGGAGAAGAAGGAGACGTCAGCGGACTTCTTGGTGGGGATGCCGCTGCGGGAGAACTGGAAGAGGTAAGGGCCGTGGAGGCCGGTGCGGAAGGCTTCGGTCTGGACGTGGCCGCTGTTCATGTAGTTGTAGAGGTTGGTGGAGTCGCCGACGCGGTTGGAGTTGATGTCGCGGAAGAAGGGCCCGCCGGAGGAGGACTCGCGCTGAGGCACGATGACGCAGGCGTGGATCTCCTCGGGGGTGCTAGTGCCGTAGACACACCACGAATCCTCGTCGATGAAGCGCTCGCTCGAGAAGAACTTGGAGCGGGTCTGCCCGTTGACGACGAAGACGTCGGAGCCCTCGACGACGGTGCTGCTGTCGAGGGTGGACGAGACGTCGCCAAAGGGGTACTCGTAGGGCAGCACGTTCTTGTTCAGGCGGGCGATGAAGCGGAGCTCGCCGATGGAGGGCTGGGCGGTGATGTAGGTGGCCATGTAGATGATGGACTCGCCCTGGCGCACGACGAGGTAGTGCGTCAGGGTCGAGGTGGCGCACGTCACCTTGATGACGCGCTGGCCGTTGACGGTGACCTCGGCGGCGGACACGGTCGCGGTGCCGAGACCGGAGCCGATGTGGGTGCCCTTGCCGGAGCTCCCCTGCAGCTCGTTGCCGCGGTACTTGATGGAGGCGATGTCGCAGCTGGACTTGGAGACGGTGAAGATGAGGGGGTTGGCGGACCCGGCGTCGATGACAAAGTTGTTGCCCGAGGTGGTGAAGCCAAAGTCGGCGGCGACAAAGGTGAAGAGGGAGAGGAAGGCGAGGAGGAGCGCGTGGGACAGCATCTTGAACGCCATTGTGGGGGAGAAGGTGAAGAAATCCGGTACTTGGCCGTTCGGCGCGGCCGGGGGCTATCGAAACAGAAACAGGAGAAAAATATATATATATATATCTAGAAGCGAAAGAATGGAAGGCCCTGTGTGGATGAAGGATAGGGAAGCCCGGTTTCCTACACTATCACGACAAAGAGTCGTCGAGGATGGGGTGCCCTCGTTTATTATATCGACGAACCCCGGGTGCGCCGGTTTCCTCCTCATCGTGAAGAACCCGGTCTCTAAGGCTACTTGCCCTCCCTCTCTCCCACCTCGGAACTTACTACTCGACCGGGAAAAGGATCCAGCTCTCCGTCTCCACTTCATGCTCCGTCCCTTTTCCACTTCTCTTCTCGCGCACCCATGAACCCTCCCCTCGCCCATCTTGCTCTCCCTCTTCCTTTTTGCACTACCCACACCCAGAAGGAATGGCCTGGCAAAGGCAGTCAGTCTCCATACGACGTCGAACCCACGGCGAGGGGCCTCCGCGCCCCCTTTCAATTTCCCACCATTCGGCGAGCGCGCCGCAAGGAACCGTGCTGTCGAGGTTTAAAGGAGGGATCGAGGGCCCCACCGCCACTCCCGTTGACTGAAACACTGGCGCCATTGGCGGAAAACGGGAACTTGGACGAGCTCGTCCGAAGCGTCACCACAAAGCACACAGACACGCGCGAACCCCCGCAATTCCCGGCCCAGGACTCTCCGCCCTACGAGGTCGACGAGCTGAGAGCAGAAGATGTCTGGAGCTCGCGAGAAGAGATGGCGTTTTCATGTTGGATCCAAGCGATCGTCATCAAACGCAACCCAAATATTTTTCTAGACTTGCCTTACCTAGCCGAGGTAATTTCATCCATCGAGAAGCGCACACCACTTGCGTCAGCTTGGTCAACACATGATGGATGCATCCAGGAGGAAGGACCTCGAGATGCTTTCGGGGAAAAAAAAGAAGAAGAAGACGAACGAGTCGTGCTTGGAATAGGGGAGAAGGCCTCCAATCTAGCAGAAAACTTCTCGGCCAATTCCATCCGCCAGCTGAGTTTTGTTTGGTGCAAGTCCCCTCGAAATACGTTAAAGAAGCACATGGCTTCATCGTGACTGCGAATCGTCTCCACAAATCAAGATTTCAGGGCGACGCTGTAAATTATGCGAAGCCGCGGTCACTCTTTTTCTCCCTCTTCTCTTCTAGGCGCTCCTGTCAGCGAAGACCATGCCGTTCGTCGGGGGCAAACATCCCTGTCGCGACCTCGAGATGAAAGGGTGGAGGGAGGGGACCCGCGTGTGGGTTGTAACCAAACGCCAGCAAAGGGCACATCAACTGATGGATCTTCGGGAACAGAAGCCAGTGAGAAGGCATTCTTCATCCCCGCAATGCATCAAGCCAGAAGGAGGGTTGCAGAGCAGCAAACTCTCGGTGCATTCGAGCCTTGAGGGAGAGGTATTGCTCGCGAAGCGCGCTGAGTCGGTCGGTTGTTCTCTCGTTCGCATCTTTCTCCTCAAGCTGCCAAATGCCATGGACGATTGTGGGGAAGCGAACCAGGAAATAGACGCATCAGGTGCCAGCATGCGAATGCGTTGTCCGGAGACAAAGTCTGTGTTGGGACGGAGATGCAACGCTCAAGGGGCGGGGGCTAGTGACGAAGGGGCAAATGTCCGTGACAAGCAGTTGAGGTGGTACTACCACTGGGGGCATCACACCAATGAGAGAATGGATTTCTCCTGGCATTGTTCTCTTCATGTCTCTTAAATCCACTCGTAGACATGGGAACTAGTAGCACTGGAGCTTTCTTTCCTTTGCAGCCGCAGCATTAGTTCGGACATTCGGACCCTAGGGCAGGGACATGGATATTATGAGGGTGGAAGACTGGGTTGGAAGCACTGGGGAGCAAGCAATGAGCCCAGCTCGACTCAATTCAACTTCTCGGGACATGTAGACACCGGAGGCTAGCCGCAATGGACTAAAGCTGGCATAAAAAACAACGAGCAAGGATACAGTACAGCCTAGCTTGGACCGCATCGAACGCGCTAGTCCAGCCCAACACCGAACCCGAGGCCTGCCCCGCCTCCGGCCCGGCGCCGCACGCAGATGGACCTACGGAGCTGTGTGCGAAAGGGGAGGAGAGGCAACGCACGCAATCCCCTTCGCTTCGGCCGACCACCGACTCGATCCCCGGTTTTCGGGTTTGGAACGTCTCTCTCGCCTTTTCCGCCTCGACCGTCGCCAAGGCCAGGTCTTGGGAAGAAGAGGAGGGGGCCGAAAATGCGCTCTGCCGCATTTTTCCAATCTATCCATTTCAATGTATTCCGTGCAGGCGGCTAAAAGCTAGGATCGGCAATCTCCTGTTCACATTCTCCTGCTCCTCCCTTTGTCTTTCTGTCCTTTTTTTCCATTTCTTCTTCTTTTTCGCGCTCAATCTAGAGTGCATGAACACGGTACTCAATTTCCCCTGGTCAGGTTCAATGCAAAGAAATCTTCGATGGCTGCTTCCACCATTTCGCTGAATAGCAGCCAGCTCGTAGCCATGTCCTCCATGACTATAGAATAGGGAGCTGCAAGGATAGATGAGGCTCCTTTTCTTCTTGCGGTTCGGTCAAGATGGATGTAAGCACCAGCCGCCGATTGTATCTCTACCGCGTCGTGAGACGGCTGCCTTTTCCCACAGCCCTCCATTCACCGAGCTTACCGTCCACTCCTGGTACGGAAACGAGCGACGGACGGCGAGGAGCCGCTGACCCCAATCTTAATTCCCATCACCCAAGCCCCGCCACGGTCATGATCTCACTCAACCAACAAGGGCAATATATTAGAAGAGCACAAGACCGAAACTCAACTCAAAATGAACGCACCCGCCCTCTTCCGCGAGCGGGACCACATGGTAGTGCCATCGTCCGATAGCGGCAGGGCAAGAAACGAGGGAGAAAGGGCGCGGCAGACGAGCAGGTGGACGGAATGGGTGATGAAGGGGGAAAGCGGCCGTCGGCATGCTTTGGATTCCTTCCCGCGATTCCCAAGCCATGTTTTCCCATCAGCTTACACGGAGCACAAGACGGGACACAGAGCTCGAAAAGACATGCAAAGATGCACGTAAGATGGGTTACACAGACAAGGGCAAAAAAGTGACGGGAAACAACAAAAACCGTCCCGAAATAACACGCTGAGAAGGAGGGAAGGGAGGGTCAGAAAAGAAGCAGCCCTTTCGTCGTCGCGTAAAACGGGAGAAGCAGATCCTTCCCAACTCTTCAATCCTGGATTCCGGGATCAAGGCTGGGAATGTCCTTCGCTCGCTCTATTGCGGGCTCATGTCGTGTTCTGTTGCAAGCGGCAATGATCACCCCAATCCCACCCTGCAGTTCTACCCCATTGGATCAGTGGTCTTTTTGTGCACCGGAGATGCGCTCAGTATGGTCAGCCTGATTACTCCTGTCTATGAACATGGTCGGAATATCACAGGGAGTGGAGTCAATTACACATCAAGAGAAGTGCTACGGCTGTGTGCTGTCAGCCATGCCTCGCAGATATCCGTCAAAAATGAACGAAGAAGGATCTCGCGAGCCCTCCTACAAGCTTTGGGTGAAAAAGGAATAGGGAAAGCAATTGAGACCATACGAACATCACTTAAGGCCCCAAGAAAGGAAAGAGAAAAAGAGAGAATGGAAAATCGTACGAACAAAGACCGGAAATCCGCGTTCCTAATTAGCCGTCAACCAAGATGATGACTGGCGAATGGCACGTTCCGGGCAATATCATAGATTATCTCATTCCCTCCCCACATCCTCCATATTATACCCGGGCCCTGAACCACATGTTCCAAGGCGGCTCTGTTCCTGAATATGAAAGGGGGAAAGACAAAGACTTGATGTACCCCGAAGGAGCCAGCCATGGATGCCACCTTTGAGCACCACACACCGCGGCGCCAGAGGTAATATCGAAACGGCGCACCCCGCCCCCAAGTTCATGCCTAGGTTCATGCTTGCCTAGCTCTTCCTCTTTCTCTCCGTTTTCTGAGTCTCGCTTTCGTACTCTTCCCCTTGTCCATCCCTCCTTGCTCCAATTCGTACCTTATTCGCTCATGACCCCATGTCTGTCTGGTCGGCCTTCTTAGCCGGTCCTGGCAGCAGCTTATTCTGTGCCGCCCGAGTTCCGCCGCACCCATTCTTTTCTTTTTGGGTTTTCTGCGGGTGCACAAGGAGGGCGACCTTGGCGTAGCGTGCGATTCTCGGCGTATATAGTGATAGGCCCACTCGGCGCATCGGATTCTCGAGGTTGCTTGGTTCCGTGGATCGAGGTAGCACATTACAACGAGGCCAATATACCAGACCGTGAGCCAAGAACCATGCCTGATTAGGAAAACCAGTATAGAGGTGGAAGCGGCCGTGGAACATCTCCCTCCCTCCCCCGTTCCTCTGCTCCGTTCCATACGAACGTGAGGAAGGGATCAATGGAGTGGTTTCGTAGAAAATAAAGTTGCAACCCACTTCTCCTTTCCTTCGTTTCTTCCTTCTCCCGTTTTTTTGTTTTCTCCCCATTGACTCTCTTTCGGTGGGAAGATTTTCACTCGTCTTTCGTTTCTTCGTAGTCATCGTCCATCGGCCTAACACTGGGGCGAAACAAGCAGGAGACTGTGTAAGCGGGAAAACCAAAAAGAAAACCGCCCAACATGACGAGCCTTGGCTTCTGGCGACGCGCCCTTGCGCCCATTGCCATTCTTTCTTGGGCTTCCTTTGTCACCGCCTACCCTCTCGTGAGCGAGCAAGTTCTCAAGAGGGCCGAGATCAAGATTGAAGACGTCCGCGACAACTACGACTACGTCATTGTTGGTGGTGGTCAGGCCGGTATCGTCCTGGCCAGCCGCCTCTCTGAGGACCCTGATGGTAAGCTCTCTCGCTCTATCCATTTTCCCTGTATCGGGCGCCTTGTTTGCGCCGGCCAGTTGCCTGTTACCCACGATGGCGAACTAACACTCTACCCCCTCAGTCACCGTCCTCGTCGTCGAGTACGGATACTTCAACAACGCCCCCTCTGTCCTGCAGCCTTCTAGCGCCACCAGCTACCAGCGCAATGTGCAGTTCAACATCACCTCGGTGCCCCAGACCGAGCTCGACGGCTACAAGCAGTCCGTCTTCGCTGCCTGCTGCGTTGGTGGAGGCTCGACCATTGTAAGTTCTGCTCTCCTGCCAAAGACCCCTCGATGTCTGCATCAGATGGACTGACCTGACTATTCTACTAGAATGGTATGCTTCTGAACCGTGGCTCTGCTGCCGATTACGATGCCTGGGAGTCTCTCGGCAACCCTGGCTGGGGCTGGGAGGGTCTCTACCCCTACTTCGTCAAGGTGAGTTCCAGCTCTTCCTATCCTTCAGTCCCAACAAGGAAAACCGGACCGGCATTAACCGCGGAAACTGTAGAGTCAAACTCTTGATGAGCCCAACCCGGCCACCGCCGAGGAGTTTGACATGACCTGGGGACCCGAGTCCTACAGCGACGGCCCCATCCACGTCTCCTTCTCCTCTTTCCAGTGGCCTGGTGTTAGTAAGTATCGCCTTTTATTTCCTAGACGACTTCGCGAGCTCGATGGTTAACCACCCGCACCCCACAGAGATCCAGCGCCAAGCTCTCATCGAAGCCGGTGCCGAGGCCCCAGTCGACGGCTCTGGCGTAAGTTTCCAATTCTTCTACCTTTCTGCTCCAAGTTGCGCTGTTCCCTTGTTCTCCTCTCCCCGGTAACTAACACGGAATATCTCTCCCACCCCACAGGGCGATGCGTACGGTGTCATCTGGTACCCCACCGCCCTCAACAACGCCACAGCCACCCGCTCCTACGCCGTCAACGGCTACTGGGACCCCGCCAAGGACCGCCCCGGTCTCGACCTCCTCGCCGGCTGGCGCGTCGACGAGGTGACCTTCAACGACGACAAGCACGCCACCGGCATCATCATGCGCGAGCGCGGCGTCGAGGACGCCGAGCGCATCACCATCAAGTCGAACCGCGAGGTCGTCATCACCGCCGGCGCTCTGCACAGCCCCCAGGTCCTCCAGAGGAGCGGCATCGGCCCCAAGTGGCTGCTCGACGAGGCCGGCATCGACGTCCGCGTCGACCTTCCCGGCGTCGGGTCTAACTTGCAGGACCACGCCGTTGCTGGCGTTTCTTATCGATGTAAGTGTTATCGCGACACACATCATCTCATCATCATTGTCAAGTGAAGTCATAATCCGCTGACGTTGGGGAAAAACCCAACCTTGAACACAGTCAACTCCAACCTCGAGCTGAATCCCCAAGATTCCATGGCCAACTCCACTTTCGCCCAATGGGCCGCCCGCGAACTCTCCGAGAACCACGCCGGCCCCCTGCGCGTCGCCACCGGCAACATTGGCGGCCTGATCCCCTTCCCCGTCATCGACCCCGAAGGGTACGAGGCCGTCATCGACGAGTACCTCAACCTCGAGCTCGCGCCCCACCTGCCCGCCTCCTACGTGGACGAGAACGTGGCCGGCTACGCCGCCCAGCGCGCCGTCATGGCCGACCTCATGGCCCGCAGCGACAACGCCTTCCTCGAGCTGCCCCTGCAGGCCGCACCCGGTTACTCGGCCGTGCTCATCAAGGTGCTCAGCCGCGGCACCGTCCACCTCGACCCCACCGACATCTACGCCGAGCCCATCGTCGACTACTTCACCTACGGTATTCCCACCGACAAGAGGATGATGAGGAGCATCGTCCGGTGGATCCGCAAGGTGCACGAGACCGAGGCCATGAGCGAGCTCGGCCCCGAGCCCGTCAACCCGCCCGAGGACGTCGTCACCGACGAGGAGATTGACGCTTGGTTGACCAAGGGAACGACCTGCTCCACTGCGCACAATTCTTGCAGCAACCCCATGATGCCCCAGGAGCAGGGCGGTGTCGTTGGCGCTGATCTCCTCGTTCACGGCGTTACTGGCCTGAGTGTGGCGGATTCGTCCATCATGCCCATCATCCCTGTAAGTCTCTTTTATTTTATTTTATCCGGGCTGAAAAGAAAGAAGTTGCTCGGGAGAGTCTTGTGCTAATATCACGCTTTTTTAGGGTGCCCATATTTGCTCGACTGTCTACGCCATTGCTGAAAAGGTAACAAGATATCCCGCTATGTTTTTTATTAAAATTCCACGTGCACTCGCTAACAGCAGCAGGCCGCCGATATCATCAAGGAGCGCCATGCCGGCAAGACCGAGGAGCCTGCCGAGGAGCCTGTCGAGGAAGCTCCCGAGGAGGAGGAACCCGTTGAGGAAGAGCCTGTCGAGGAGGAGCCCGTCGAGGAGGACCCTTGAGATGTTGGCGTCGATGTCGACTTGTATCATGGTCACGAGATTGGATCCAGCAATACGGACTATACCATCCGAAAGGTTCCATCAAGTATCAAGTAGTGCTCGATAGTGAAAACATATGCCCAACCTACTTGTGCCAAGATGTCATGTACAAATCCTTCCCCTCCTCACGACGGTCTCATTCGAATAGTGTAGTTTTGACATGTACGAGTAGAAGGGCCCACTAATCGCCCTATCATTTGCCCTAAACGTTTAGTCTACTCCTGTCGTCTTCGCGTCCAAGTGCCGTTGCTTGTCCTGATGCATCATAACGACCAGGAAGGAGCACTTGGCTCTGCGTAATCCACAAAAAGGGAAAATACTACAAGGAGAGGAAAAAGAGAGAGAATGTGAAGAGAATGAGAAACTCATCAAGCACATCGATTGCAAGGCATGTCATGATGGCTTCTTGCAACGGTTCAATTCGCCCAGCGCCACCGAACCCACAACTACCGACCCAAGGATCCCGACTCTCACTCGGCAGATTCTCCCCATCGCTCATCCCGGCGTAGCGGATTGCGGGGAAACCTGCCACTCCGCCCCTGCCCAAAGTGTCTACCCACCTTGTTCCCATTTTTCCAGCCCTTCCCCGACTCACCCGAAAAAAAGAACAAGGAATGGAAACCAAAAAAGAAGAAAAGAAGAAAAACAGTTTGGCCATGAGGAATACAGGGAATCTAGCGAGGGGAGTCCATTTCCAGGAAATGACCAAGTCGATCGATCATGGATCCGGGAGGATCAGGGCCCCCACCGCTCGTTCGATTCGATGCGCTGCACGGGTGGGCGGCAGAGGTGGGCGGAGTATTCCCCAGACGTGATGGGGGTGAGCTATCTCCGTCTCCCCCGTGAAATCGTAGTAGGCACGGTTTAAGTCAAGTGCTTATATTAAAGCGTCTGGATGGGACGCCCACGCCCTGCCACGATGGTCCCCGTCCCGATAGAAAGCTGGCACTCAATCCTTTTGAATATTTCTAGAGCCTCATCACAGATAACTTGTTAAACATCGAAAGCTCTCTTACAAAGTGATTTCCTCCTTAGGCAAACCCCTTTGCGAAACACAGCGGCAACCATGTCCAAGTACACCCACTTTGAGGCTCTTCCCCTGCACGCCACATTCGGCGCCGAGCTCAAGGGCATCGATTGGCCGCATATCAACGCCGATGTTGTAGCGGAGATCAAGGCCGCAGTCGACGAGGTACAAGGGTCCCTCCATCTAGAAAAAGAACCCCCAAAAGGCTACACAAAGTCTTAAAGAAGAAGAAAAAAAAAAAAAAAAGAAGATAGTTCAACATCTCTCGCTAACACTGGCGCTCCCTTTAGTACGGCGTCTGCGTGCTCCGCAACACCGGCCTCGACGACGCCGCGCACGTCGAGTTCTCCAAGCAACTCGGCGAACTCGACAACATCAAGCGCTTCATCCACCCAGGCCGCAAGATGCGCTACGCCCACTACGAACTCTTTGACGCCTCCAACCTCGACGAGAACAATGAGCTCCTCGACCTGAACTCGCCCCGCGCCCATGCCAACCGCGTGAGTCCCCCTTTATTCTCTGACCTTTCAATTACCCCTGTAAAAACTAACACACAAGGTTCCCCCACCCTAGGGCAACGGCCTCTTCCACAGCGACTCAAGCTACAACCCCGCCGCGCCTCCTACTCCCTCCTCCGCGCCGCCATCCTCCCCCGCCGGCACCGGCGGCGCCACCCAATTCGGCGACTCCCGCACCGCCCTTGCCCAGCTCCCCGAACCCCTCAAGTCCAAGCTCCTCGCCGCCGACTACGTGGGCGGCCACACCTTGCCCAGTCCCGCCGCCTCGGCTCCCCGAGTACTTTGCCGACATCGACCCCTCCACCTTCCCCATGGTGCGCCACCGCATCACCCAGCTCCACGAGCAGTCGGGCCGCATGACCCTCTACGTCGGCGCCCACCTCCACCACATCGAGGGCCTGCCCGAGGAGGAGAGCGCCGCCCTTAGGGACCAGCTCAAGGCCTGGGTCGGCCGCGACGAAAACGTCCTTACCGTCGACTGGGAGCAGCCTGGTGACCTCGTCATCTGGGACAACAGGTCGACCGTTCACAGGGCCTTGGGCGGCGAGTTCGTCGGCAAGTATAAGAGAGATTTGAGGAGGACCACAGTGCACGACGAGGGCAAGGGCGCGTGGGGGCTCAACGAGCTGGCAGAAAACCCTTCGTTTGATATGGGACACAAGACCCTGGCGAGGGCGCAGCCAGCCGCCCCGGCCACCGTGACTGTTTGATAAAGTGGCTCGAAGCCTGCGGAATCAACCGCCAATGTAACAGATGATGTACGAAGTAGGATCATAATTCATGAATCGTAGGGGCCGCTGTTAAGAGACACAAGATTGGAACTGCGCTGTTTGTAAACCTTGACACGAGTAAATTGAATGGGTTCCAATGCGTTTTTCAATTCATTGGGGAAAATTTGTAACACCAAAGCTCATCCAAAGAGGCTCTCAAATCGACTTTTTCTGGAGGGGGCTAGATGACAAAAAGAAAAAGAACAAAAACTCCGAGCGGGAACGATTTACGTCTCCACGCACTCTAATGCAAAACGAAAAAGGAGGGTAAGGCTCAGCCTATATATCAAGGGCTGTTCTTCGCTGCAAGCGCCTCGGCGGCAAGCCTGTCGTGGTCTTCGATATCGATCGCCTCCCAGGGATAGCAAATCCAAACGTCTTTGACAGTACGCGCAGCGACGTACCTGCCCTCGGCCTGCATGTCGGTGGGAAGAGTTCCCTTCTTGGGCTTGTCCTTGTTCTGCATAAAGAGAAAACAGCAACAGTTAGCAAGAGTTTTTGGTACGACTTAGGGTTGGGGGAACACAAGGGATCTGCAGGTATCCGAAAGACATACATGAAGAACAAAGATGCTAAACTTAGTCTGGGGCGCATCAGGGCCCATCCTCTGCCTGGCAGCCTCCACATCCTTCTCGAGCTCCTTCACGGCATAGTCGAGGGTCGTGCGGGTGTCGTCGACCTCATCAACGATCAGAATGTTCTTGCCGACGAGGTTCTCCATCTGGCCCAGGGCGCTGAGGTCGAGCCACTGGGTACGGGTGACCTTGGTGCCGGGAACCTCGACAACGTTGTCGGGACCAAGGGAGGGAGGCTCTCGTAGAGGGAGAGGCCGATGGCCTGGATGGGGATGTTGGGGCCACCTTCGCGCCTGAGGAACGATCGGAGAATACGAGCGGGGATGAAGCCGCCGCCACCAATGGCGATCATGAGCTGGGGCTGGATTTGCTCGAGGATGTGAGGAGCCGACTCCTGGCAGAGCCTGTGGACCTGTAGCACAAAAGAAGGAAAGAATTTGACGTTAAAGACAGGACGTAAACCAAGGCGTAAGCGGAAACAGGGGCGCTTACATCGTTATAAGTGACGTAGAGCTTTTCAACCATCTTGGCGGTAGGACAGAAATTTCAAGATATGTTTAAGTGGGATTGGGATTGGCGGGGTTGATGCGAAGTGGTGGGATGAACTCGACGATGGGTTTGCGCCGAGGTTCAAGTAGGAAATAATAGGAGAGAAACTTGTAGTCGAATATGCTGGAAAAGATTTCTCCTTATCAAGGGCAAAAGAGAGATAGGCAGACGCGGCGGATAGGCAGTCTCGTTTGTCAACTCAAGTGGCGGCGGCGCGGGAGGTCGTGCGTTCGTGCGGTTCGTGCGTGATGCAAGAAGGACTGCGGGGGCGGGGTAGTTTTGACGAGTGATGGCGGGCTCCGAACTGCTTGTTGTCGGAGGAAGCAACTTTGAAGATGAGGGAACCGAAGAAGAGGGTATAGAGGAGTGAAAGAAAAAATAAGCAAGGAAGCTATATTCATAGGGACCGGCGCGATAGGGGAAGAAAAGAAACAGGAAAAAAAAATCTAGAATATGGGTCGAAAATTTTTAGGGTGACGATGTGGAGACTGCTACGATCTTGACTTAGTCGAGACTCTAATTCGTCTGCTCTCAGTTTTTTGTCTCTTCTTCTTGTCGTCGTCCTCACACAGAACACGCATTTCAAAGGGCAAGAACGACCAGGAAGCACACAGCCACTGAATGCGGGGCAAGAGCACAGGACCGAACCTTCCCTCGCGTTGTTGACTTGGTTTGCCAGTGCTGCTCTTGGGGAGGATTTCGGCGATCTCCTACGGCTCTGGATTGGATGAGAGGGGCTCGAATCCTCTTCAATTGATCAATCTCATTTGTACTTGTTCCCCAATGCGCGCCCCCATTCCATCCATGGCGGGACCGCCACTATACCTGCCGTTTTGGAGCAATGGACCGCAAGAGAGCAACGCTCACTCAAGGCGCTCTCCCACGCGACTAGTTGGCCTGTCCAGGTTGACTGCGCTTACAAGACCGTGGATCTGTCCATCTAATCCCCATGGCCTTGTTTCGTACTCCCAAGACAGTTGGCAGGTTCTGCTAGTCACAATCTATCAATTCATCTCCCAGCCAATGTATTCATCAATGCCTGCGCAGCTTTGCGACGTCGGTTTAGCGGCTCATCCATAGGGTGGGACCTCCAGTGCCGAAGTTTGGGGACCGCCCCAAGCCCAAGGGTGCAGGGCTGAAGAAGTGTTCTACAAGTCGGAGAGAGTTTTAGTGTCCAAACTCAAACCGAGGTTAGTCGTACCACCACTTAGTACCAGGCCTTTGGACCCTGAGACAACGTGAAGCATAGAGCCGACACTCCCACACCATTTGTAAAGTGGCAGGTCGAGCTAAGATATATTTCTTTCGTCTACTACTCTTCATCGGGTCTGTCGTTAAAGCCGATGGACGAGGCAGGCTGATGCGGCGTTTTCGTTCCTCCACGCCCCAGTCGCAATATGTGGTCACAATACGTGCAGGTGGCTGGTTTTGGACATATCGCCCGTATCTACGAGTTCATCATCCAATTATTCGAGAAACCAGGGTTCTGCTCCAGCGCTAGCACCTATTTGCTGACCGAGAGAGAAAACATTGGGCGACGGGGGCACGTTTTTTGCTCCTCTTGATCGGGCAGGGGAATCGGATCGGGTGTGCAAGGGTTAGCCTCTCGAAAAGAAAACTCGGGGTCGATCGCATGCCAGAGATTCGTTTAAAAGGGCGTCATGCCCCCGAATATGGGGGAGGTCTCGCGATCCTGTGCCTTGTCCCTGACGAAGATGCATCCGTTTTGTGTCGAAAACGCCTCCCGCTTTATAATGAGTGGTTTTATCACCAACCACCAACCCCATGGCTCTTCAACCTCGGTGATGGAATTCTCAAACGAGGATTGCGGATACGGATGATGACTTTATGAACCCTCTTTGAGCCTTCTGTTTTCTCCTCGGTGCACGCAGTAGCTTTGGGAAAGGGCGCCAAAGGCAAACCCGAGAGTGGATTTGCACGGCCCGCCCGCCGAGCAGAATAGCCGAAGCCACTGACGGGCTGGCTTCAGCTGTTCAGAATTACTAGCGCTAGCTTCCAAAACAGAATGTTGCCATTCCTCTGCCCTTTGCACGACGGCGGTCACGCATGGCGAAAACCTTCGCTTCTGAGGCCGAACGCCTCGGAAATCGACCCCGCCTTCCGTTTCGATCCGCCCCTCCAGAATTTTTTCCTTCTTTGTTTGGCCGGTTTTCTTTTCCCTTTAATCCCGTGATTTCCCCAGACGCAATTGGCACTGGTGCTCATAACCTGAGTTGAAACGTCAACAGTCATCGGCTCAAAGACCTTTTTTTTTTTTTTTTCTCTTTACCTTTAAGCACGCTACCTGCAGTATTCCTCACTCAGCACGGCGCTTCTCTACGCATATTATCCCGATAGCTCCCTTTTGAGAAAAGCGATTTCAACATCCTTACCCTCTAGGCTGCAATTGGCGCATCTCAACGCACAATGTCCACCCCTAATGAGATCAAGCTCATCAGTGGCAGCAGCCACCCCGAGCTCACCGCCCAGGTCGCCCACTGGTAAGCGAAGCCGTCACCACGCTCCCACCCACCGCGGGCTGCTATTTTACCTAGGAGGATTGTTGTCAGGGCGGCGCAATGAGGGAAATCAGAGTCGCTTGTCGATGACGTCGCTGACTTTGATCCAGGCTCGGCATCGAGGTCGCCAAGACCATGAGCATCCCCTACTCAAACCAGGAGACCTCGATTACCATTGGTGAATCCGTTCGTGATGAAGATGGTACGCTCGCTTCCCTCGCCTTTTGTCCCTTCTTTAGTCCCCTCCTTCGAGGACGAGGCCCTTTCCAGCCGAACACTCAGCCCCTCTGCTAAAGACACGACCCCACTAATCCCATGCCATAGTGTTCATTCTGCAAACGACCGCCCCGGCGATGTCAATGACGGTCTCATGGAGATGCTCATCATGATCCACGCCTGCCGAACCGCCAGTGCCCGCCGCATCACCGCCGTTATCCCCAACTTCCCTATGCTCGCCAAGACAAGAAGGATAAGAGCCGTGCCCCCATCTCCGCCCGCCTCGTCGCCAACATGCTCCAGAGCTCCGGCTGCGTACGTTTAACCTCATATATGACATCTGTGAAACCCTGCATCTTGTGGTATAAACTAACACGAGACTCTTTTCTTCTACCTATAGGATCACGTCATCACCGTCGATCTCCACGCTTCTCAAATCCAGGGCTTCTTCAGCGTGCCCGTGGACAACCTCTATGCCGAGCCGTCCGTCATGAAGTGGGTCAAGGAAAACCTCGACATCTCCAATCTTGTCATTGTCTCCCCGACGCCGGCGGTGCCAAGCGAGCCACCTCCATGGCCGACCGACTCGATGTTCCTTTCGCGCTTATCCACAAGGAACGTCCCCGTCCCAACGTTGTCGGTCGCATGGTTCTTGTCGGAAACGTCAAGGACAAGATTGCCATTCTCGTCGACGACATGGCCGATACTTGTGGCACTCTAGACAAGGCCGCCACCACACTTATGGACCACGGCGCCAAGGAGGTTTTGGCTATTGTCACTCAGTACGATCACTCCATCGTTTTGTGTTCTCTCTCCTCTACGCTTCTCCCAGAGCCTCGAGCTAACCTTTTTTCTTGTAGCGGTATCCTTTCTGGCAAGGCCATTGAGATCCTCAACAAGTCCGTTCTCAGCCGACTCGTCGTCACCAACTCCACCCCTCTCGGCGACAAGATTGACCGATGCCCCAAGCTCCGCGTCATCGACATTTCAAGGACGCTGGCCGAGGCAATTCGCCGAACCCACAATGGCGAAAGCGTTAGTTACTTGTTCCACCACGTTCCCATGTAAACCCCGTCGATCGTCCAAGGCACGTTTAGGATTGGTATGGCCCGGGAGGTGTAGACGGGGTTATCGGGTCCCCGTTCGCGATGCAACATCTGAGGACCGCCAGCCCAGCCAACTTTGATCTCCCTCTACTTCGCGGCTACAGATCCAGCGTGGTTCGCATCGTTTGGTTATACCTTGTGTTTCTTTTTATTTCTATTTTTTGGTATTTCTTTTTTCACCGGATTGGGCAGGGCGTTTAATAGGGTCGAGTTTGATAAAAAGAAATCTTGAAATACCTCATTCTCGGGTTGGATCGGTCTGCGGCATACTTTTCTTTATGCATATAGATACTTATTTTACTCCTACACGTCATCACTGCTGCTGTTCCTGCTCTTGCTCGCGTTCTTTGGAAACAAAGGTGCACTCTACTTCCTTGTCTAGGCAGGCGTGCGGATTCTACCTGCGCCTAGTTTCTGGGCAGCGGTTGATTTGTGCCTTTTTGTCGAAAACCATATTATCTTGGCGTCAGCGCGGGTTAGTTGAGCAGGACGTGGGGTTTAGCGCATAAGACCAGGGCAACTTGGCAATTGTCTTTTTGATATCATTTTCTACTTTTTTGGTGTTTATCTATCTTCGGTTTCTCGAAGCTCTTTATACTATCGTATCTGTCTCTCATGGACAGGCTCGAGGGAATGGTGTATACATAGGTGAAGTGACTTTATCGTGCGTGGGGTACATACATTCTGGGGGATTTTGTGCAAGGTTTGTTGGAACAATCTGCGATAACAATCTCGTGTGCAGGGGTTTTATATGCTTACTCGAAGCGAACCGTGGGAAGTGATGTGCAGGGAATCTTAAAAGCAAGGGATGTTTTTCTTCGCAACTATGACGAACAGGGACGACTCAAAAGCAACAATGGAGTGCGGGTGCCTCGCGGGTATGACGGACCTGAGCTGATCGGAAAAGCTCAAAGTCAGATAAAGTTCGACTTTAGATATCGACAAACGCCAGCCTGCCGTCCTCACCGAGCGGCCCGATCTTGGGGCCATCCAGAATGGCGCTGAGGACCGCGTTGCCCATGCAGCTATCGTCTAGGCCCTGAGGCTGGTCATTCTTGACCACTTCCTTACCCTTGCCTTTATCGACCTTGCCGGGGCTGGGTGGAGCGGGCCCAAGGCTGGGTTTAGGAAGAATAAAGTCCATGTCATCGGGGGCGTCGCCCTGGCCGTTGGCACCACAGCGCCATCGGGCTCCCCACCTCCGCGGAACGACTTCCTCGGGGGCAGGGGCTTCGTCCGCCTGCGCGTCGGTCTCCTTCACGGCCTTGTCCATGAGGGTGTCCTTGCGCTCGCGCCATGCGTCGTACGGGCCAGGCAGGTAGGGCCCACTCGGCATAGCGACGCCTGGGTCGCTGCCCTTTGGCTGGGGGTAGATGGTAAAGTCGAGGTGCCGGATAAAGGCAATGGGGAGGACCCAGCGCGTTCGGCGTTCGAAAATCAGCTGCTGCTTCTTGTCGTGGTGGATGATGTACAGGGAGACGTCGAGGTAGACTTTTCGAAAGACGCGCCACATCTTGCCCGCGAAGCCGGTGAGGCTGGGCCGAGGAAACGACCTGTTGGCGTTGAACGCGGGCACGAGGCAGCTGCGGATGTCTTGGATACCGGGACGGATCTTGCGCATCTTACTGAGGCGCGTGAGGTACACGGCGCGGTGGGTGGGGAACAGGCGGGCCCCGATGGCGAAGCGGATGTCGTGGCCGTCGAGCAAGAGGCCCCAGTGAAGCACGGCGAGAGTGAGGCCCATGGTCTCGGCGAGGCGGACGGAGCCCTCGACGCCGATTTCGCCGTGAATCTCCTTGAGGCCCAGGGGCCGGTTGCCGACGCGCCGGACCTTGGGGTTGTTGGCGGCGTCTCTGCCCAGAAACAGCTCGAGGAGGCAGTACGTGTTATCCGGGTCGTCGATGGCGGCGTCCTGGAACTGGGGGCGACGAAGCGCCGGATGATGTGCACGCGAAACGCCTCGTTGGTGGGGCAGATTCGGTCAATGTGCAGGGCCCTGACGGGAGTTTGTGGGGGACGTCGGGATCCCGCATGACCTCGGGGAAGAACCGGACGATTTGGCGGGTCTTGAGGTAGCCGACCGGCTTGGGGACGGAAGGGAGCAGCCGGGCGAGGGCCACGTCCTCGTTGGTGCCGATACGGAACCAGCGGGACCAAAAGCTCATCTCGTCGTACACGGCGGAGATGTGCTCCCATTCCTTGTTGATCTTGGCGAGATTCTAGCCCACCTTGAGGATCTGAGGGCGGCCGTGGGGGCCGGAAATGCCGTACACGCGCGAGACGTCGTCGCCCGCGAGCAGGACGAGGGGCTCGATCAGCTTCGCGATGACCCTGGCCTCGGCGTTGGGGCTCCTGCGATTGGCCTTGGGGTTTTGGGAGGCTTCCTCGGCGGCGACGAGCGAGGCGAAGTCGCCGGGCCGGTGCTGGAACAAGAGCTCGATGGGGTCCGGGGTGGGAGGGGCAAGGGGGCGTAGGCTTCCTTGAGAAAAGCGGTGATTTTGTCCTTGAACTCGTGGAAGATTTCCTTGAAGGTGCGCTTTGCCTTTTGCGCTGGAGATTTTCGGGGTCTTGGCCCTCGAGAGCTTGCTTCTCGAAGTCTTGGCCCTCGGGGACTTGCTTCTCGGCGTCTTTCTGGGCCTGGGCGCCGTCGGCAGGGGGTTCGCTCTTGTCATCTATATTTTTCAAGTCCTCGAGCTGGAAACCATGGTCTCCTTCGTCGTGGATCGGAGAAGGGATGTAAGGGGATAGCCCTCGGTCGATGAGCAGTCGTCGCCGTTGGTATCCATGTCGTGATAAGGATCGTTAGCCTGCTCATCTGGAATTCTGGTTTTGTTCGACGAAATCGTGTTTAGGCTGCTGCCGGGGGAAGTGGGTAGTCTTGCTCGGGCTCGTAGCGATATTGGTAATAGGATGGCCAGACTTCGAAGGGGGCCAACTGCTTCCCTTCGCCGGCGAGGGGAATACCCGCCATTTTTTGTTTTTTTTCGATCGCCACTGGCTACAGCCTTTTATGTTTGTGGGCTAGGTAGAGTGGAAACGCTGAAACGCTTGAGGTTTGTGTTCTGCGCTTGTGAGGGTGATGATATGGGTGTTCGTGAGAAGTGAAGTGAAGAGTGAAAGAAGAAGCTCACATCCGGTTTATATGTGCGTGTAGAGAAAAGGGATTAGGGTAGGGGCGATGATTATTGAGCATGTCAATAACAACACGACTTTCTGAAAGATGATGAATCACTAGCTGGAACAAGGAAGGAGGGTTGGGGCCGAGGGTCGGTGGTTACCCAGCAGGGGATTGAGAAGCCGTTGATATGATTTGGAGATGTGAGAGAAGGAAGGTACAATCAAGTCTAGTGTTGAGTTCTATTCTGCTATGCAATATATGCCCAAGGGTTCCAAGATACATATAGGGAATGAAAAAAGGCTGAAACAGGCAAGAATGGGAAAAGGGTATATCCAAAAGAAAGAAAAAGAATACATGACCAAACTTGGACAAAGAGGCCGGCTACCCTCCCGAGCCCCTTGCGCACCAAGTGTCGTCCATCATCCCGTCGTGCCCTCGCGCTCGTGCCTCTCCTTGAGCTTTTTCTCGACCTTCATAAACTCGCGGATGCCAACGGGGACATTCTTGTACAGCTCCTCGTCCCACAAGTCCTTGGCGATCTTTTGAGGCTCGACGGGCGCCGCCCAGTTGGACTCGGAGCCGCCGCCGTCGTCGTCCATGCTACCAGCGGCGTGGACGTCGACCTTTTCCTTTTGCGCTTCTCGGCGGCCAAACTGGCGTCCTTTCGAGCTTCTTGCGGAGTGGCGGTGGCCGCTGCTGTTCCTGGCCTCTTTTCTTGACGGCGCATCTTCCGCAGAGGACGAGGCAGCGAGACGGCGAGTGGCTTCGGTACTGGCGGCGGCGTACTCTTCCATATCCTCGCGGTACTGGTCCCAGACGCAGTTGACGCAGCCGCTCATGCAGCAGTTGTCAGGTTCCTCCGGCTTAGGGGCACGAGGACACCCGCGACGAGGGTGGCTTGCGCGGCGGGGTCGATGGAGCGCCGGCGAGAAGGTCCGGAGAGGGCGGCGCCGAAGACGACGGCGGCTCGCTCGGCGGGCGTGGGCTCTCGGATGGGCGAGGGCGTCGTAGCCGCGGGTTCTGGCGCGGAGGCGGCGTCGGAGGAGGAGGAAGAGGAGGAGGCCGTGGAAGTAGGTTCAGTGGGAGTGTCCGTGTCCGTGTCGGACTTCTTCTTGCGGCCGCGGGTCTTGGTGGATTTCGCAGCTGGCTTCTTCTCGGGCGTGGCGGGCGATGGGGGTGCCGGTGACGCGGGGGTTCTGGCGCCGGGGGCTGCGGGGGCGGTATGGGCTTGCGGCCGCCGTGAACCTGTGGAGGCAGCTTGTACTCGAGGAGGGCTTCGTAGAAGCCGCCCCGGGGTGGACTTGGGACTGCGAGGTCTTGGGTTTGGCTGCCGTTGCGTACAGGCGGGTGTGGCGGGCGGCGGAGAGGAGGGGCCGCACCCTCGCGGGGAGAGAAGGGTTCATGGTGAAAGGGAGACTGAACCCGTTTGCGAGGGTTTTGGGAAAAGAGAGAGAGAGAGGAGTTTGTGGAGGAGGGACGAGACAAGGGAAGAGAAAAAAAAAAGAGCGAGGCTTTGTCTATGCTATCGTAGAGTCATATCTGATGTTGATCGCGCGGAGGTTGTGTCGGTTCTAAATGGATTTAGATCTGGGCCAATCGTGGGCGTTGACATCATATTCTGCACCTCGGATTTATGCCGCGGGTAACTTTTTTCTTCTTTTTCTTTTTTTTTCTTTTTTGTTCCATTGAAGTGGGGGACGCAATGTTCCTGGACCCAACTTCTGATGGACTCGAATGGGAAGGCGGTGACTGGTCAATTCCCGGCAGAATCTTCATGTGCAGCAGCTTCCATGGGCCTGAAGCTACCCAAGCAAATGTACCTTTTTCGGGTTACGCGATTTCCAAACATCCGCCCACGCGTGCGCAAACTGTCTGATGTAGACCATTTCGTACGACCCGACCACATCGCCACGCCGCCCGCGAAAACAACAATACGATCTCCGAACCCATGACCACTAGCGCATGAGGGAGGTTTCTAAGTTGATCAATTTTTCCCCCGAAAATTATTGAGACAGCGGTGCTTGACAGGACGAAAAATTGCCAATGGCCGACCAGCACCCGGCGAAACGGCGCCGGACCTCGCCGCGCACCTCTGTTGCCATCTCCGCCAGCGGGGAAGAAGGGGCGCAGGCGCGACAGCTACGATGACAACCGTGGCGGCGGCAACAGCCAACGACTCTACGGTAACTGATGCGCCGAATTCGCAGTCCCCGCGCAAGAAGCGCCCCGATTTCGCCAGCCCGACCAAGGCGAGCCTCTCGAGGCACAACCCAGATATCCTAGCGCGGCGGAGGAGGTCACGGCAGCAGCAGCGAGAGGAACAAGAGCAAGAGGAAAGAAGGCAGCAGGCGACAGCTACTTCGAAGCGGCGAGAATCATCCACCAAGCCGCCGCCGCCGCCGGCGGATCAACCCGCCTCCACGCCCGGAAGTCCTGGGAGCGAGGTCAGCCTATCTGAACTTTTGACGGCGCAGCTGGAGACGGTATCCCCGGCGGACGCGTCTGGAAAGCCGCGGCGGTCACCCATCAAGCCGATACCCTTTACGCGACCGTTTCCCGCCGCCGCCCGAGGGGAAGAGGAGCTCGTCGACCCGTTCAAGAGGAGGCCGAGGATCAGGAGGTCCAACGTGCCCGAGGAGCCGGTGGAGGAGCCCGAGCTGCCGCCGACGCCGTCGCAGCTTGGGATGGAGGATCCAACGGTGACGTCGCTGCCGCAGGGGATCCATACTAGCAGCTCGCCGAGTAAGCGGAGGCGGCTTTACAAGGACCGAAAGTCGAACCCCATACCAATGAAACAGTCTCCTCTCAAAAAGCAGTATGCGGTCCCGGAGGAGGCTGCTCAGTCGCCCCCAGTCCAACTCGTCCACATCCCTCCACTACTACGACGACCGCGGCGTTTGAAGAGGAAATTCCTCGGGCCCCCACGCACGACCCTCTAGCCAATCCCCAAGGGAGGACAAAAGGAGACGAGCTCGAGGAGGTGACTACCCACCCGGCCAGAAACGTGGAGCCGGACGAGGAGATTCGCCGGAAGCTAGCTTACCTGGAGGAACTCAAGGCGGAGGAGGAAACCTTGCGCGGCGATTTGAAAACGATTTCGGAACGAGGGAGGGAATGGGCCCTGCAGGCAGAAGCGACCAAACTAGTCGCCTTTATCAAGAAACACCCCAAAATCTTGGAGCTCCCCGAGCCCACTCACGCTACCACGGCACAAGCCGACATCACCTCCATGCTCCAGATGGCTCTAAACCCTTCCTCCCTCCTTCCCTTTTCGAAACCCATCATCCCCTCCCCGCTCGCCGAACCCCCGCCAGCCAAAAGTCCCTCATCCCGTCAATCGACGGCGCGCCGCCGCCCGCCCTCCCCAGCCACCTCCCCGTCTCCATGACGGCCGAGCAGGAGCTTCCCTACCTCCAGATCCTCACCCCCTTCACCTTTACGTCCCACGCCACGCCGCTCACGGATGCAGACGCGGAAGCCTACGTCCAGCGCCACGACATCTCCATCCGCGCCGCCGACGGCCCGCACCTCTTCTCCTCGCGCCTCGCCATGACGGTCGACCTCGCCGACTTCTCCGTCAGCGACCTCAAGGTGACGCGCCTCGAGCCCGCGGCCCGGCGCGAGCTCGGCCCCTTTATCGACGACTTGCTCGCCCGCACGGACCGCGCCCTCGCCAAGAACGTCTCCCTCATCGCCTGGGCCATGGGCGAGTGGTACCGCCTCGCTCTCAAGCGCGCGCAGTTTTGGGGCGTGCTCCGCCGCGAGCTGGGGATGCCCGGCGCGCGCACGCCCACGCCGCGAGGCTGTGGAAGCAGAGGACCGTCCAGTATAACCGCCCGACGGGGTCCACCGTCGACGACGACTTGGCCGCGGAGGACGACGACCTTTCCGTCGGGGACGTTGCGCGGGACATGGGCAGGGCGGCGATGACGTTGGGGTTGAACGTTTGGGGTGAGGATGAGCTGATGATGCGCGTGGGCTGGCGCATTAGCTTTGACTGGGCGGGAGATGCGCGGAGCAAGATTGACGTCGCCATTGGGGTTCCTGGACGCTGTACGTTTTTTTCTTTCCCTTTCCTTCCTCTTTTTCACTCTTTACGCTACCCTGAGACGGTACGGTACGCTGGACTGTTTTTACTAACATAGACGCGGGAAAAATAGGGCATAGGGTGGATCGCAACGGCGCACTTGCCAAGGTGCCTCGCGTTTTCGACGAATACATCAAGGGTACCAATGACGTCGTGGCGGCGGCGCGCAGGGTCATCGCACTGGTGGGTTACGATGCGGATGCGCCTAAGTTACGCAAAGCAATAGAAGCCTAGACAGCCGCCTTGGCACAAGACCAGGCTCAAGTAGAACAAAGGCTGGGTAGGAAATGGCGCAGAGGCCCGAGAGGTCTGCTCGGGCAAAGGGATGAGACTTGGACTCAGGGGGCCTTAGTGACGAACCCGCATGAATAGCTTTGGGAAATGGGGACTTCTTTCTTTGGGACGTTTGGGGGTTTCTGGCAGGGTCCTATGCAGATATCATGGGTTGGGAGGGAGGCCTTGTTTGATTACGGGAGGTTTTTCTTTCTCGCATCCGGAGTTTACCAGGAAGGGGACCGTATACTCTAGGAGGAGAATACATGTACATAACAGAGAAGACGATTCGTCAAGATCACTCATTCTTACAGCTCTATATTTTTGCCCCTCTACCGTGATTAAAAGCGCGTCCTAAAGTATTGAAAAAATGACAAGAACTGTTGTACATGCAGAAGAAATGATGCCCACCCTCCTCCCGCCTTGTTGAAGCACGAGGAAGCAAGATACGGCCGAGGGTCCAAAAGAGAGGATAACCGGCGTCAAGGTCTCATTCCAAATCAAGGGATAGATCATGGGGGAAGGGTCGGCGGTGAAGGGTCCAAAGAATACGAATTTAGTCGACATCAACACCGAGAGTGCGCAGCTCCTTCTTCGCCTGGTCGACTTCGCTCATGAGCTCGCGGTGCGCGGCGGGGACATCGTTGAAGGTGAGGACGCCCCAACCAAGCTTGAAGAGGAGGTAGGCGCCAAAGGAGACGAGGGCCCAGAAGGGAAGCTAGAAAGGAGAGAAGAGGAAACCATGTTAGCAAGACGCGCAGCATGACTCCTGTGAGCAAGACTGGGTAATGTAGACTAGCTTGCGCAGGCCGACTGGCTCGTGCAAAGAGAAGGTCTGGGGGTGGGCGGTTGTCAACGTACGACGGGGACGATCTGCTCCTGGATGACGGCGGGGATGGGAACGAGGTCGAAGAAGAGGGCGAGGTAGAGCTATATCCCACAATAGGTTAGTAAATTAAGAAGAAAGGTGACGTTTGGTCTACACTATTTCACCAGCTGTGCCCCTCTCCGTCCAAGAGAAGGGCGAGCGGCCAGCTTCATAGCAAGGGCGAGGGTGTTCATCTCATACCGAGGTGACCAAAAGGCCAATGGAAATGGTCTGCTGAGCGCGCGTCATTGTGAATGTGTGCTGTTCTCGCTTTCGAGGGCTAGTTTGTGCGATACGTGTTGCGTCCTTGGGCTAGGTTCGCTCGGGTAAATGAATCAGCTGCCGCGTCGAGCTCTACGGATTCGCGCAAGAGCTACAAAGAATAAAGGATGGCGAGCAAGATCAGGCAAAAGGCTCGAAACTAAGTGAGAGATTCCGGTTTCCTCTTCGTTCGAAATCTGTTGTAACGTTTTTTTACGTGTTGCGCTGGCTTCGAGAGGCTGAGACTTGAAGAGGGAGGGTCCTTTTTTCCTTTTGGAAAGCGTGTCACGATGCCTGGACTGGGGGGCCGAATATTGAAATTGGGTGTTTCCCCAAAGCTGAGCTGGGGCGGCCGAGAAAGGGGAAGCGCGCCAGATGACTAATCACACAGCGCCGCCTCGTTTTCTCAATCAATAGCGCGTTTCTTTTTTCGGTCGGATTTTTCGAACAAGATTAAATTCAGTTCTGGTGTAAGCGAAATGTGTCTGTTTCTCGTGGAGCTGGCAATTATTTCATCGAGCTGAACTCCTTGGCACGGCCGAGTCTCATGCTTCAATATTTGAGACTTTTCCCTGCCTTGATCACCTTTAAGCCGTGAACATGGTATTACCAGACAATGTGCACTCTACACCAGTTTCCATCTCTTCTAGAAAGTAAAATAGGCACCAGATGGAACGTTCGACAGTCCAACCCACCCCAGAACTCTCTCCTATTCAAATAAGAAATGGAAGAAAAGATTGAAATAAAATAAAAATCCCAAATTAAAGGCAGGTCATGACGCTGATATACATTCCACACTTCCAGTGTGTTGTCCCATCTAAATCGTTCATCCATCGCCTCTTGGGTACTCGTGCAGCCCCAAAATAACGTTCACTTCGTGTCCATCCTTCGTCCCCTCCCCTCCCCCACTCGACGACTTCTTCTTTACATGAAGCCCCATGCAAATTCTCTCTACACTTGATAACACGCCGGCTATATTGTTCAACCTCTTAGTTCTTCCTCTTAATGTAAACATTGAGACCCTCCTGCACCACGAAAAAGGTCGAGTTCGCCTTGAGGGGCTGGCTGGGGTTCACGAGCTCCAGGTCGTAGTCGCGGATAATTCTAGGGATGACCTTGTTGATTTCCAAGAGGGCCAAGTTCCTGCCGATGCAGACGTGCGCACCACCGCCAAACTAAAAGGGAAAAACAAAAATGCGTTAGTTTCCGAGGACCGACATAAATGGGCGGGGCTGTCGAGGGTTGGTTTTTTCCTCTTATTGTGTTCTTACCTGGAACATGTACCTCTCCATCCTCCGGGCGTTCTCCTCGTCTTCCAGCCACCTCTCGGGCCTGTAAATCTCCGCATCCTCACCAAAGGTAGCCTTATCACGGTGGAGGACCCAACCATTCACAGCGACGACTGTGCCAGCAGGGTAAAATTGACCATCAAGCTCCACGCCCTCGGGGGAACGACACGGGTAATGTTCAGACCAACAGCCGGGCGGACACGCATGGCCTCCTTGAGACAAGCCTGGAAGTAGCTGAGAGACTGCGACTCGACCCAAGAGAGGTTGCCGTCGATGGGGACACGACCTTCGGCAACAGCAGCACGGATCTCTTCGAAAAGGATGCGGCGAACACGGGCGTCAGCGAGGGCGTGCCAGAAGAAGGACTGCATGGTCGAAGCGGTAGAGTCGGATCCGGCAAAGCTACGACCGAGTGAATGACACGTTAGTATATCTTTTCACACAAACACAGATAACCTTTTACGCGCTCGTCTCGAAATAATATCAAACTGGCCAAATGCCATTGCTAGGCTGTGGATCGGCCGGGCCGGCGAAGAAGATGACTTACATAGCACCGTGCGCAACAGCAAAAACGTCACCCTCGGAGAACTTAGAGGGATCCTTGAGGTGACCCTGGATCAAACTGGCCAAAAGATCCTGTCGCCCATCTCCAACACGGTTCTTGCCCATGTTGTCCTTGGTAAAGGGTTGTCGGCGGTCCATCTCGGCGAGGGCGAGGCGGGTCACGAGGGCGTTTCCAGTGCTCATGCCGGGAATGTACTTGCGGAGCGGGTTCCTCCTGAACAGGTGATCGAACTCGGGAATTTGGCCAATGATGCCGTTGTACCATTGGCTGTCGTCAATAGTCTTGATGGCACCCTCGACATCGCGGCCCTCCTCGAGGAAGCCAAACTTGCGGCCAAAGGCGACCTCACCGAGCACGTCAAAGGCAAAGTAGTGGAGCCAGGCCCCGAGGTCGACGCGGCCCTTGGTCGCGCTCTGGCTGCTCGTGGCGAACCCGTCCAGCTTGGACATGAAGAGCTCAATAGACTCGTCGATGAAGGGGCTGAGCTGCTGCATGGCCGCCATGCTGTAGGGCACGTTGGCCACCTTCTTCTTCTGGGCGTGGACGTGCTCGCGGACCTCGGTGAAGATGTCCGGGTTCTCGGGCGGGGGAACACGCCGTAGAACTTGGTCTTGCTAAAGTGCTTGCCGGCGGAGAGGACGGTGCGGGCGGCCTCGGGGAGGCGATGGAGACCTCGTTGGGCGCGATGCGCACAATGGGGCCGTACTTGCGGTGCAGATCGATGTGCTGGAGGTTGGTGCGGCCCGAGGCGGTGGAAATGACCTTCCAGAGGCGCGAGACCGAGGCCAGGGCCGGGCCGGGATACTTGCTCATCGGCATGGCATAGCGCCGGTAGAGGAGGCGAGTCACGAAGAGAGCTGGGAGCAGCACGAACCAGTAGCTGCCGAGGAACGAGATGGAAGCCGCCACGATGGACGTGGAGCCGGCACCACCTAGACCGGCCTCGGTGGAAGGCGTAGACGGCATGGCGAAGGCGAGAGATCGTTGCTCCTGGGGGACGAGGAGGAGGACAAGAGAGGTAGGTGAGGAGGAGGAAGAGGGGAAGGAAAAGAAAAGGGCCAAACGAGTTTAGAGATGTGTTGAGGTAAAGGGGGACGGGGAGGAGGGGGAGGGACAGCAGTTATAAGGGTTGAACCTCGAGGTCTTGCCCACCACTGTTGAAGTTGATGGTTCTGCAAGGACCGGGGACCCTTTGTGGAACTTATATCCCTGCTAGCTAGTCAGACGTCTGACTTCTCCAATGCAAAGCACGTAACTCGCTACAAATCGCACGAGACAAAAAGCCACTTGAGGGGAAAGATGTTGGAGAACGGAGCTAAGAAGGGGAAGGGGAGGAGCGGAGAAGAAAAAAAAAAGGAAGAAGACGGTGGCTTGCCAGCCGTTCCTTATCTAAATACGAACGCTCTCTCGAGACAAGGCAGATGAGAAACAAGGGGGGTAGACAGCCAAAACGTGTGGTGTGGGTTGTGTACGAAGTAGGTGCCGCGGACTATGTATGGCTGGCCAGCCAATGCAGAATCCAGAATTAGAGAAGCCCCAGAGGCGCTTGTAACACATCAGTACAGGGAAATCAATAAAAACGTGCAGATCCGAGAAGGCTGCTTCCAACGGAGAGGTTGATGGGCTGCCGTTTCGCCGCCCCGACTCTGGAATTGTCTTCCTTGTCGTGGGCTACATCGGGCTTCGGCTGTATACTGGCGAAGGTCTCCGCTTCAATATGACATCGCCGGACGGATCTTCACCTAAACAGGTACCTTGGCCCAGTATAAGAAGCCGGAAATGGCCCCATTTCCTTCATCCTCCTGGGGCCCGCCCTTTTGCCCCAGTTTCCACGTCTCCACTTTCCCCAAATCTTGACCATCTCCACCCCCGCAAAACGCTACGGTCTGAGGGTTGCGCGTGGATGTGTGTGTGTGAGCTGGTGTGTCGGGAAGGGGTTGATCAGAGAACGAACTTGGGAGCGCAGACGCATTACCACCACGTCGAGCGTCATTGGGAGGTTCGGTGGCGGATCCTCAATCCTACCCTTCCGAAAAAGTGATTAGCGCCGCTCGCCTCGTGCTGCTTTTGCATGTGTTTACTATTACTCGCCAACTCGCCCCCTCCACTTTTCCACGGAGTTTCGGGGGTCTTTGGCACGCGGTAATCTTTAGGTAGGCGGGTTGGGGTGTGGCACTCCGGGGAAGGTTGTGCCTGAGCTCGTTGGACCAATCACAGAACTGCCGATTGGCAGGAGGAGGGGCGGAAACCTGAGATGTCCATCAATGGCGTTGGAACGGAACCTTCCAAGTATATGTTTGGGTTTCGGCCTTGCTCGCCTCTTGATAAAAGAGTAGGGAGCAGGGCTGATCTTGGTTTCGAGATGTCTGTTGCGATGAACGGTGAATCAGACGGTCGCCCAACTCAGACAGTGAGAGTCAAGCCGATGAAATCAATCCATCGAGGCTGCTTGCGCCTGTTTCCTGCTTGCTCAAGATGTGAATGACGTGGAGACTTATGCGGGGTCCGTGTAACTAGGGGCGGAAGCAGCACGCACTGGGCCAGCACCATGTGGGTTTCTCCGTGGCATTTGCATTGGGTTGATGGTAGTTCACCAAGTGTTCTTTTTCCCGACTTGTAGAGCTATCGCGGAAACGCCCATGGATATACGGATATATTAGATCCCATCTAGCCAGCTTTGTCAATGGAGTTGGGAGAACCATGGGTCGATCTTGGGGATCAATAGCGCGTTCGATTTGACGGTTACTGAGGCTCAAGAGGTGCTCGAATAAATATCATTGCCAATGCAATATTTCCCCGCTCGGTGACGGCGAACTCTCGCCGCAGGGTGATTACCTATTCACTCTACTCACCGAGATTAAGAAACAATTTTATGATTGCTCCCATCGCATCCATGGGCGAGAAGTGGAAGCTCGGCGACCCAAGCACCTGGTTTACGAGCGAGTTATAACGGAAACGTGAGGAATGGAATTGAATTCAATTGAATTTTCGCGATAATACCGCTGCCTTTTGGCGTGTCGGACTTGGTTCGCCACGAACGCGCGCATCTGCTTGACCACCGTCAGAACCCCCATCGGCCGTCGGACATATAGAAACACTACCCCATCGTCGCTCGTTCGATTTCATGCGTAAGCTCTTGCTCAGCTAGAGTTTGCGATGTTTCCCCATTCAATCCTATGCGTAAGCTATTGCTCAGCTCTGTTGCGAAGGGCCTAGGTCTTGGACCTGGCGCTCCTCTTACCTAAAGACCGGGGACGATGCCAGCGTGGACCGGTCCTTGTCCTCTTATTCAATGATTAGCAAATGCGAGGCTAGGACAGAGGGGGTAGCCAGTGTGGGGTCGATGGAGGTTTAGCTGATCCAGGTCGGTTTCGGCAGTTCTAGAGTCCAAGTGCTGTTTTTGAAGTGAGAGAGGGAGGCGGGGTCATCCTTAGCTTGGGGTTGGGGATTCTGGGGAAGGTGGGATGGCTGGCGGCTCCACTGGTGTGGGGTTCAATTCTCCAGTCGTCGATGGCCCGTCCATCATGCCTTCTTTTTTGAATAGACGGGCGGAAAGAGCCTTCGACTTGCGAATGAGCAATGAGTCTATTCGTCGCAGTTCTAGAATGGGCCATAACTATTAAAATTTTCAGAGCTGGCCCCATCGACTGCGCTACCAAGAGAGAGAGAGAGAGAGAGAGAGAGAGAGAGAGGGAGGGTACGGAACTGATGTGTAGCAGAGACGTATCGAAGCATCTCTAGATTGATCAAGAGCCTCTTTATCTCTGCATCTTGTTGTTGTTGGGTAAAATCAGCCCAAAGCTGCTCGTCTTGGTGAGAGCCAGTCGTATTTTGCGTGTATGGGCAAATTTTCTACTTAAATGATTAGAACCTAGGGCTTTGGGGTACTCACCATGGCGCGCCCCCGTTGGAGTCGACATGTAAGATGGAATATTCCGCTCCTAATGTCTCAGTCCATCTCATGCACTCTCGCCAGGACCACGATTCTTAAAAGTCGATTACCATCATCAAGAATTTGCCATGATGATCAACTTATATATCACTGCCATATCACCGTCCTGTGCGCAACGGCTAGAAATACCTTACGTCCAAACCATCGGTGCCCTCGATGACGAAGCTCTTAACTATTACATTCTTCCCTTCAGATTTGAAAGCAAGTGAGCGCCCAAGTCAACTGCGAGGTGACGTCGCCTAAAAATAGCTCAATGATTGACAATGTTACCTAATTACCCAGAACCGACTTTCTGGCTGATGGCCGGCTTTCACTGAATTAAGCTCAATGCCAGGAACTGCGCAAACTGCTATGTTTGTCCTCCAGCACAGCCCCCGAGGCGGCCGCGGCTCCGAGCGAGGCTTCGCAAACCCCCATTCTTCGGCTCTCACTCCTACGTGAGGTCGTCGTTTTAACGAGCCATTAGGACTTGCCACGGCCATTCGGCCGACGCAAGAGATTATCTTAGTTCACATGCAGGGTCTCAGGGTCCTACGAGTTTCTTGGTCGCGTGCCTCCCTGTCCTACGCAAGACTCGGAGGACTTTTACCCTCTTCTTCTTCTGTCTTGCAGAGTGCTCACCCGCCATGATGACGCCAAGACCCGACTCGGGAATTGCAAACGCTCGCATCAGAGCTCTACCCATGGGCCCTCTTGGGCGCAATCTTCAGCCAAAGGGTGCACGCGTAATCAGGAAAGCAGTCGGATGAGGGTATCCCTTTGATCCCAATGTTTTTACCTATGCGGTACGGTATGCATCTAAAAATTCGTGCCAAGACAAGAGTGCAAACCACCCTTCGATCCCTCAAGCTTCTCAGCCTCGTCGACCAGAATAGACGAAGATTCTATGGGCTTCGCCTCTGAGCCTAAATCAAAGTCTTCCTTCTCCCCGCCTCGTCTTGATTCTGCGGTCGGCGCTTAACAAGAAGCGCCCAAAAGGCTTCTCCTGGTGGCATGTTTGGATCTCGCAATGCGGCTATGGCGACGAGAAATACACGCGCGAAGCGATTCCCGGGTGCCGGAGATCTCTGCAAACCAGGCAGAGTTTCTTGATCGTCTCAATATTCTCGATATCGAACCTCGATTCCTAAGTGAAGAGGCGCCGAATGTGACCCTCCCCTAGTCGATATCCATGATGCAAATGTTGATTTATCGTCCTTTTTGCTTTGATAATAAGACTCAAATTACCGTAATAAGCCTGAGTCTTATGCTCTTGTGAGCATTCACGGCTGCTGCTACCCTGAAAGCGGCCGCCGCTTATCTCTTGGCGCGTGGGAAGACCGGACACAGACCTTTTCCGTTCTCTCGAAGCGCGTCCGCGTCCCCAAGCTTGGGCGGTTCGTCGTGTGTCCTCGTCCGCCCCGGCTCCGACCCCAGAGGTCCTCGGTGTTAACTCCGTCGCTTCTCTGCCCTATACATTTTCTCCACCATTGTTGTAGATTCTATCTTTAGCCTACCCACCCTTTTCTTTTCTTTTCTTTTTTCCTTTGTTCTTTTTTTCCCCCATCGTTGTGGTGTTCCGGCGGCCGGGGCGGGTTTTCTTCTGCTAAGCTTCCACCTCACAGCCCACCCATATTTTCTTTGGTGTAAGCTCAGCCTACCTGATCCTAGCTCCGCAAAGCTTTTCATAGCATCGTGATCTATGAATGCCTGTGATTTTTAATCGTCTTTCTTGTCTAAGTGATGATGATGGCGTGGTTTCTTATAAATATCGCTTGCCCGCCCAGAAGGTTTCACGAGAATGAAAGGGAGGCATCAAACACACCAACAATCAAGAGAAGCAACAACAAGAACAACAGCACGACGCAACAACGGCATTATCAGCCGGAGTCATTATAGAAACTAGCAAGAGAGAGCAAGGTCAAGAGTTTATAGCAAGTGCTGAAGTGCAACGAGCTGCCCATCATGGTCAAGCTCGGGTGGTTCGGCACCTGCGCCCTCACCGTGTTATCGGTGACGGTCTCTGCTCTACCAACCGCTCCCATCGTCAACAACAACGGCAACGCTTCATTCGGTGCCGGGATCGATACCTCTGACTTTCACCGTCTCGGTAAGAGAGATGCTCCGGATTGGTACTTCCGCATCTTGCCCTTGGGCGCTTCCATCGTCTGGGGCGAGGGATCTTCTAAGGGAAATGGGTAAGTTTCTATCATCATACGCCCTAGCTCTTGACTACAGGCCGGCTTTGGGATAAATACTGGAAACTTACACCGAGTAATAGATTCCGCAAGCCCCTAAGGGACCAGCTCAGGTATCACGAGTTCAAGGTCAACATGGTGGGCAGCAAGTCCAACGGCAACATGGCCGACAATGTAAGCCCCTCATCTTCCATCCTCTGCCTCTCAACTTCTTCTCTTCGTGTTTCCATGCGCAGCTGCTAACGTGAACCAGAACGTCGAAGCAGTCCGCGGCTACCGCATCGACCAAATCCAGGACCAGCTGCTGCCCCTGTCCGTCGACTACCAGCCCAACATTGTCCTCATCCATGCTGGCACCAACGACTGCGATCAGAATTTCGCCATGGACAAGGCCAAGGAGCGCATGTCCGGCCTCCTTGACCGAATCATTGAAAAGATTCCCGACACCACCATTATCCTGTCCACCTTGATCCAGTCTCGCCGACCCTCCATCGAGGAGCACCGTACCAACTTCAACCAGGACATTCGGAACCTCGTCGAGGAGCGAGCTGGCAGGGGCGACAAGATCGTCCTCGCCGACATGGACAAGCCCGACCGTCTCTTCTTCACCCAGGCTGACCTGAACGGGGGCGACGCGATTCACCCTGGTGACCGCGGCTTCAAGAAGATGGCCACCGTCTGGTATGACGCCATCATGGCCGCCCACAACAGCGGTACCATCTCTGCCCCCAAGGAGTCCGGCAAGGCCAACGACGACGCTAGCGACAACAAGACCTGCGATAAGCAGCCTGGTCAGGCCCGCGGACCCGTACAGACCCAGCTCGGCAGCGGCACCGACGACGGCGAGTACGTCCACACGAGCGAGTACTTGGGCGTCCGCGGACCCTCCATCTCCGCCCGCAAGGGAGCGGCTTTCTTCTTTGCCAAGCTGCGCTCACGCGACCTTGATGACCTCGTGCTCCAAAGCGACGAGGACAAGCACACCTACCAGGTTTGGGACAATAAGGGTGGCGCGGATTGGGGCGAGCTCCTCGACGGCTCCATCATCGACGTGCACGAAGACTGTGAGCCCCACGCCGTTCGCTGGGCTGATATGAACAACGACGGGCGCGATGACTTTGTCTGCATTCGGGACGATGGAAGCATCCGCGTTTCTATCAACCGCGGCGGTGGCAAGTTTGACAACGCCGTCGACTATAGGAAGGGCGAGGGCAAGGGCGTCGACCGCGTGCACCTCGTTGATATTGATGGCGATGGCCGCTTCGACTACTGCATTGCGGAGGACAATGGCGACATCCGCTGCTGGCGCAACAACGGTCAAGGCGACACTTCTGAGTTTTGGCAGCCTCTCGGCATCGTCAACGAAGGAAACTCTGGGTTCGAGGGCCACGGCGGCGACCGCGATGTCGCGGGTATTCGCTTCGTCGACCTCAACGGCGATGGTAGGAGTGACTGGATGTGGGTCAACGGCCGCGGTAGGGTCTGGACCTGGATCAACAACCGCGGCAGCACCAAGGGCCAAGAGGGCGCTGGTCTCCACCCCTCTGGCGCGAGGCCAGCAGCAGCATCGAGGGCAAGGGCGCCACGCACTTGGGCCAGGCTGTTGACGGTGTCCGCAACCAAATCTACTTTGCCAGGGCTGTGGGCGAGACGCAGGACTTTGGTCTCCTGGGCCGCCACGATTACGTCTGGGTCGAGAAGCAGAACCTTGATCGCACCTACGATACTATCAAGATTCACGTGTGGAAGAATGTCGGCTGGGGTGCTACCAAGCTCAAGGGCGACGGTGTGCGCTACTGCAACATGCTGGGTCACGAGGACGGCAGGGACGACTACGTCTGGATCTTGTCCAAGGGCGAGATGACGCTCTACCCCAACGAGGATGACAGGGGTAGTGGTGTTCCCTGGGGCGCTCCTCGCGTGATCTGGGACCCCAAGAAGGACCGTGATATCTACCTCGACAGGCGCGACCTCCACCTCGCTGACTGGAACGGAGACGGCGCCTGCGATATTATTTATGTTAACCCCAAGGATGGCGGCGTCGAAGTGTGGCTGAACCAGATCAAGAACACGGGCGACTTCAACTGGCTCAAGATGGGCGACCCCTCGCCCGGCGCGGATCTCAAGTGCAAGGAGAAGCGCGGCGTTGGCATCTTCGACTTGGCCGTGCGCTTTGCCGATCTTACGGGTAACAAGAAGGCCGATTACCTGTGCATCGAAACCAACGGCCGCGTCACCGGTTTCTTGCACGAGAACGACGGCGGCTTCACCAAGGTCGACCAGATCAAGTTCTCCGTGGGCAAGGACCGCGCCAACCACCGCTTCGCTGACGTCAACGGCGACGGCCTCGCCGACTTCCTCTGGATCGACAAGTTCAACGGTGACACGCACGTCTGGTACAACCAGGGCCGCGAGAAGCGCGAGGGCTCCGATATTGGCTGGCACCCCGTGGGTAAGAAGTACGACGGCCAGGGCCAGGGCGCTTGCCACCACTTCCCCGACATTGATGGTGACGGCCGCGCGGATCTCCACTTTGTCGATCCCATCCTCAACACTGCCAACACCTGGTTCAATGTCTGCCCCGACGCTGGCGGTGACGACGGCGAGAGGTACGGCGACCCGGAGCTGCCGTGGGCCCCGGCCAAGCATTGGAGGGACGCTAGGTGTACCGATGCCTTTATCAACGCGGCCGACGCTGACCCGCTGGCGCGCTGGGCGGCGGCTGGCGCGGACCAGGCTTTCTGGGAGGTGGCCAACGAGTACAAGAGGAACAGGGGCACTTTCCCCTACTTCTCGCAGTATGTCAACAGCTTCTTCAACAGCACCGACTTTTCGTACTGCGGCGACCTCACGCAGACGACCCAGTGCTCCAGGTACACCTGCAACGATGCCGAGCACAACAGGCCCGCACACCAACAGATTGCCAATGCACTCTTCCAGCTCCATGCGGTAAGTCACCTTGCCACTTAAAGATTCTTCTCCCGGGTTGAACGTAGCTAACAGTATCGAACATAGCTCATGAATAACCTTTACGGAAGCATTGACGGCGCCACGCTCGAGATGCAAAGCCAGCTGACCTCCCTCACTGACACTTTTGCGCCTGGTTTCAAAGATGACAGCGAGAAACTTGCCCGCATCCTCAACGGAATCGGTCTCGCTTTCGGTCTCGTTCTCGGCCCGGCTTTCAACTCATGGGCTCGCTTTGGCACTGAGGCCGCGCGGCAGAACATCAAGGACATTGCGCTGGCGACCACATCTTGGGGCGTGACCATTGCCAAGGACGAGTATGAGGTGCCCGGGACGGTGCAGGGAGGCCTCGAGGAGGTTCTCTCCACCATGGTGGGCTCGATGCACAAGTCGGTCAACTCCCTCGCGCAAAGATCTTCCTCGGCCCCGAGTCGCCCGATGCCGATGACCTAGCGCAGCGGGACGAGTCCCTCGACCAGCTGTACAGGACGCTCTCCACCACAACGCTCCTCAGGCCCAACTTGGCGATGCCGAGCACGGAGAAGCTCAAGGAGTTCGTCAGGAAGACCCTGACCGAGTTCATCATTGCGCACGCCTGGGACATTGGCGTGCAGGATCATCACCCTGTCGTCCTTCAGACCAACGAGAAGTGCGGGCAGCCCATTAACTGGCCCGAGCACGACCCTCTCCTCGACCGGGGCGATCTCCAGGCCAGCGAGGTATGCATTGACGGCAACCGGTACCATCTCATCTCTGCGCAGGGTAACTGCGAGCCTGTCGAGGGCTTCGGATGCGGCGGCTAGTGAGTTATTCCCTCTTCTTAACCACCCTTTTTGTTTTCTTCCTTCGTCTTCCTTTGGGCCCCCTCATAGTAAAGACGCTAACCATTTGCTTTTCTTTCCTCTTCATAGCTTCACCCAGCTTCCTGGCTTTGACAAGCTCGGCTCAAACAAGTGGAACGGCGTCACCCGCGACGACTTTGTCCGCGGAGCCCTCGAGAGCTACCGCATCCACGGTAACCACGCGGACACTGCCAAGTATGAGGGTCCCAAGGGCATCGAGTCCTTCTTCGAGAAGGAGTGGGGCGCGGCGGGCACTGTGCCTATCGAGGTGTGCTCGAGGACTGAGGCTCTCAACGGCTTCAAGAACACGAGGAACGGTTCCCCCAAGTGGGTGTGCCCCAGCAAGGGCGGTGTCTAAACGTGCATAGGAGGCAGACTTTCGCTCTTGCCTATTCATCCATCTTTCTTTTCTTTTCCTTTGTTTATTGGGCACTCGGCATTAGGAGGTGTTCGTAGAGAAGGTGGCATTGGCGCATATGGAGTTTTCTTTGGGCATCATTTTAGAGCGGCGTTTGGATAGAAGGTAGCACTAGACGGGCGCAGGCGACGATCATTCCTTGATTTTTTCCTCTTTACTTTGGTTTTAGATTTGCATCGAACAGCTTGCTAGAGTTGCTTACATGAAAGGTTGCCACGAAATCTCATCTCTTCCACTTGTGCAATTATCATTTTTGTTCTTACGATTTGAAGATCCGCTGTTGTTTCCCGGGGCATACCGAGGTAGAGCTCGATGAAATATGGAGGCTGTCAGCTGGAGCTTCGAAGCAAGGTCAGTGAGGTCAGGTTGGCTCCTGAATATGAGACGATCGGTCAATTTGTTTCTCGACTCTTTACTGTTGGGGTCAAGGGTTCGGGATGGGAGAAAAGGGGCGCAAGGCGGTCTTTCCTCCCTGAAAACCGAAGCTGAGAACCCCTGTTCCCGACAATCTGGCAACACCCTGGTTACTTCCTTCCCCCACTAGAGCTCCCCTCTGGTTCCCACTTTCCCTTGGGAAGTTACCAAATTTTTCTCTTTGTTGTATTTTGTTCGCGTCGCGTCGTGAACTGAGCTCTCCCTGTTGCTGGGCAGCATCCCCTTTTTGCTTCATCAAATCAATCTCCAGTGACACCATTCACAGTGAGGCCAGGGCTTACAAATTACCGTCTTTCGTTTCTTTTTCCCCCTCTGAACTTTGCTTGTTCCTTCATCATCCCCCTTTGGTTTTTCCCCAGCAGCTTCAGGCAAACGTGGTCGGTCAACCTATCCTCGCAAACAAGACCCCCAATTCCACTCCTTTTGCCTACCAGGATCCTCTACCTCTACTAGTCAATGCCTTCAAGCACACCACCATTGACTCTAGCCCAACGCTAGGACTCTCACCCTAATCCGTGCGGTGTCTGCATCGAACCCACCTAGGAAAGTCGAGACCTGCCTTGAGAGCACACATAATAATAGCCCAGGGAGAAAGGCGATAATGGAAGACCGGCCGGCTGCGCCCTCGCGGCCCAGCGGGATTCCTCGCATGTCCCGACTCCCCGTTCCTAAGACTGTGCGATCCTCTACCTCAAGGGAGAGCTTGAATGCCGCCCCCGAGCCCGCAATCCCAGCTCCGCGGATTCGACCGGCGCCCTCGCGGGAACGTCTGAGCACCGCAAGCTCCTCGACCACTACTCGGAGACAGAACGCCCCTGCTGCCGCACCCCAGCCGACGTTGAGGCCCCAGACCTCGAGGCCGAGCCTCCGCACATCAGCATCCAATTCTCGGTTGAGTCAGCCGCCGCCGGCGAGGAAGCCCGTCGATCCTGTGAGGCGCCAGAGCGCGAGGGTCGCTCCCGCGCCCGCCCCCACCCGGCCCCCGGTGCAGACTACGGTCCCTAAAGCAGCGCCTAAAGCGGCCCCCAAAAAGAGATTCACTTCTCAACCCCGGCACTCGATGGGCGGGTTCATTTCAGCGGCAACCCTAGCACAAGATGATGTAGCCGAAGCTCTCCTTGACCAGCCGAGCACGTCAGTGTTTGATGATGTGCCGGCATTTGAAACGCCGTCCCGAAATAGGGGACCCCGCCCCTCGCTCTCTGAGCGCACAATTGAGACATTGTCTCAAATCCCCTCGTCCCCGCTTTGAGTAAACGACCCTCATCGTTCTTCGAACAGGGCGGCGCGCCGCGACCCCGATCTAGAGCATCGAGCACGGCCTCGCGGCCCGGGTCGAGTTATAACTCCGATGGTTCGCGGAGGCCCATGTCACGGGGCTCGAACCGCCCGGGTTCAAGCTGTGGCAGCGACGACTTTCTGTCCAGTCGCAGTTCCGCGCCTCGACAAATACCTACGGCGCTCCCCTGCCAACCATTGATGGCACTCCCGTAAGAGGACTGCGAGCCAGGACTAGCTTGCACGGGATGCACAGCCAAGCTCTGCGATCGCCTCAGGCCATGGCCATGAGATCGCCCTCCAGCCCTCTCACCCAGGGCGCCCCGATGCTCGAGTCCCCCGAGCTGCTGAACAGGAAAGGAGCCCTAGTCCCACGAAACACGCCATGCTAGGACAGATGCCCTCTCCCACCGCTACATTGGCTTCGAAGCCGCTGCGGCTCAAGCCCTCGTCCAGCTTACTCGTGAAGAAGTCATCGCCCGCCGGTGCCGCTCGCGGCGCGGGGCTCTCTAGTGCCCCTCGAAAGTCTCCACGACGCCTAACAAGCCCATCATGGCCACGACCGCGCTACCCCCGCCAGGCGAGTTGGAAGAGGCACCTAGTCCGAGCGCCGAGAGAAGTAGGAAGTCGTCGGCCGCTCTGCGGGAGCAGATCGCCAAGGCGAGGGCAGCTGTAAAAAAGCCCATTGCCATGGAACCCGAGGTTGTTGAGGACGAGCCTTGTTCGCCAGTAACGGTTGTGCATGATGGCTTTGACTTTGGCCTTGAGCCTCTTGTCGACGATCCCTTCAACCAAAACAGATCGGACAAGTCTCAAGCCAAGGTCCTCCAGCAGCGCGCCGAAGCCGGCCGCACTAGCGGTAGGCTCAACATTGCCGCCCTGGGCCTCAAGGAAATCCCCAGGAAGTGATGAAGATGTATGACCTTGAAACTGTGGGCAACTATGGAGGCAATTGGGCCGAGAGCATGGATCTGACCCGGCTCGTTGCGGCCGATAACGAGTTCGAGGTGATTGATGACGCGGCATTTCCCGATGTCGACCCGGAGGCTCTCGCCGATAGCGAGGAAGGGGCCGGCAATATTTTTGGCGGCTTAGAAATGATTGACTTCCATGGCAATAAGCTATGTGCCCTCCCTGCAGGCCTCCGGCGCCTAAGAATGCTCACGTCATTAAATCTAGTAGGTAAACCCCTTCCCTTTGAGGACCCATTTCGCATCTCGCTAACAGCTCCTTCCTCCTTGTCATGTAGTCTCAAAACCAACTTTCCGTGGACAGTCTGCAGGTCATTGCGCAGATTTCGGGGTTGCGCGACCTCAAGCTCGCCAACAACTGTCTGAGTGGAGCCCTTCCGTCAGCATTCTTCGAGCTTGAACACTTGGAGACACTGGACCTACGCAGCAACAAAATCACCGAGTTCCCCACCGACGTCGCCAAGCTAACGCGTCTGCGCATCCTTAATATTGGCGACAATGCTTTTGCGGCCCTGCCAGTTGAGGCCTTGGCTAAACTACCCTTGACGGAGCTCGTGGCCCGAAGCAACAAGCTCACCGGCACGCTCATCGATGCCGATGTTACGTCTCTTGCTACGCTGCAGACTCTAGATGTGTCGTCTAATCAACTTACGAGAGTCGTGCCCCCGGCAATTCCATCGCCCTCCCTGCGCTGCACCAGATCACGCTCTCTATGAACCGGTTGCAAGGACTACCCGATGTGAGCTCCTGGACCAGCCTTGTTACACTCTCTGCCGATGAGAACAGCATCCCGGAAATCCCCGACGGGTTCCCTAGGCTCGAGCGGCTCCGTCACGCCGACTTTTCGAGTAACGATATTCGCGTGATCCCCCGAGGTCTCGCGCATGGATAACCTTGTTACGCTTCGCATCGCCGGAAATCCGCTCCGCGACAAGAAATTTAGCTCCATCACGACCGACGAGCTCAAAGACATCTTGGCCTCCAGGCTCGAACCCCCTCCCCCTACCACGCTGGGGAAGAGGAGGGCATGGAGAACCATTTCGAGGAAACCAAGCCCCTGGAACCTGTCGCTACCGCGAACTTGTACTCCGGCGCGGAGGCTATCCAGCCGCGGCGACAAAGCGACGAGGAGAGCCGGTCAGATATGGACGACTTTGCCACGCCGCCCACCTCGGCACCCCACTCGCCGGCAAGGTCCCGTGCCCACACGTTGGCAAGCCAGCCCAGGTCTCGCGCACAGACGCTCTCTAACCAGGTCTGGGTCGTCAAGACGGGCGGGCTTCTCGACCGATCCAACACGAGCTCATCGACGCTGCAACCCGTCATCTGCTCCAAGACTGCGGCGGAAGCGCGGGTGAATGAGGTGCAGCTGCACCACAACCTTTTAGCACCCTACCGGAAGGCCTTTCGTTCTTCGCCGCAACTCTGACGGTCCTCTCCCTCGCGCATAACCAACTGACGGGTGAGGCGTACCTGACGGAATCACTGGAGCTCCCGGCCCTTCGCGAGCTCAACCTATCGAACAATCACATTACCAGCCTGTCTCCCCTATCAACGCACCTTGTAGCGCCCGAGCTCGAAGCTCGACGTCACGCTGAACCGGATAACAGCACTCTCCACGGACCTGCGTGGGCAATTTACCAAGCTCTCCGTCCTCTTGGTCGCCAACAACCACCTACCAGAGCTGGACCCGGAAGCGATTCGAGGGCTACGCATCATAGACGCGAGTAGCAATGACATTGCGCACCTTAACCCGCGTATCGGGCTGCTTGGCGGACCCGGCGGGCTCGAGAGACTCGACGTTACGGGTAATCGGTTCAGGGTTCCTCGCTTCAGCGTGCTAGAGAGAGGCACGGATGCGACTCTGCGATGGCTCCGCGGACGGGTGCCCGCTGGGGAGGCGGCGGCCTGGAGGCAGAAATCGGGAGCAGGTGCCGGGGACGATGATCTAGATGAGCTAGATTAAGCGGCGGTGACGGCGGCGGCGGCAGCACATGGGGGCCCCGGGCAAAATGGAGTGAGGCAACTGGGTTACGCAGTAGCTTGGAGGAGGAAGAGGATGAGCGGCCCCTCCCCTTCCTTCGGCTTCCTTTTTTCCTGCCCTTTTCTTCTTTTCTTGTTTCCCCTTATTCCCCTTTTGTTTCATGTATGATAGATACCTTTGTTCTTTTCTTCGCTCCCTTTTCTGGATTCCTGGCCTCACGTCTTGGATGATAAAGGGGCGGTGTATTAGCTATTATGTTTGAAAAAGTAACATGTTTTAATTCTTGAACACGGACTTATTTTTGTTGCGCTCATGGGAATTGAAGTATACTTTGGATTGCATTAAAACTTGGATTCTTTTCTACTTTTTTGTAGATGCTATTTATTTCTTTTTTGAGTGTCTCTCTTCTTTGATGAGATGCAGTGTGTTTTACAAGCTTGGATATGTAGAAAATAGATTTCGACTTGTCTTCCTCTGGCGCTCTCCGCGACTCTTGTCCATTCCTGTTCTCTCTCTCTCTCTCTCTCTACTGCTTCTGGCCCGGGGCTACGACCTTTTACTCCCTAACAAAGAGACCGGCCATGCCCATACCCGTGCCGATGCACATGCTCACGACACCGACCTCGCTGCCATCCCTGCGCATGCCGTGCATGAGGGTGCTGACCAACCTAGCACCGGTAGCGCCGAGGGGGTGACCGAGGGCGATGGCGCCACCGTCGGGGTTGACCTTGCCATCCTTCCACTGCTCCTCGATGCCGAGGGCCCTGAGGCAGTGGATGCTCTGGCTGGCAAAGGCCTCGTTGAGCTCCCAGCGGCCAATGTCCTTGGTCTCGAGGCCGTAGAGGCCGAGGAGGCGGGGGACGGCAACGGCAGGACCGATGCCCATCTCCTGGGGGCGGCAGCCGACGGAGAGGGCGGAGGCGAACTTACCCATGATGCTACCGGCGAGACCGAGCTCGTGGGCGCGAGCACGCGTCATGAGGAGGACGGCGGCGGCGCCGTCCGAGACCTGGGAGGAGTTACCGGCGGTGGAGGCGCCGTCGGGCTTGAAGGCGGGCTTGAGCTTGGCGAGCTTTTCGAGGTTAACGTCGGCGCGGACGCCGTCGTCGCGGGTGACGGTAATGGTCTGCCTCTCGCCGACGGGCTCGCCCTTGCGGTCAACCTCTTGGAACTCGGTCTCGACGGGGACGATTTCAGCGTCGAAAGCGCCCGACGCCTGGGCGCGGGCGGCGCGGTGGTGGGACTCGACGGCGAAGGCGTCCTGGTCGGCGCGGGAGACGCCGAATTTAGCGGCGACGATCTCGCTGGTGAGGCCCATGGGCATGATGCAGTCGCGGGCGTCCTCGACGGGCGAGGTCTTGAGGGCGGGCCAGACGTCGACGGGGATGGCGCGGCTGCCGTAGTTGCGCGTCATGCTCTCCATGCCGGCGGCGATGCCGCCGGAAATGGTGCCGCCGCGGATTTGGCCGGCGACGGCGGCGACGGCCTGCAGAGAGGAGGCGCAGGCGCGGTTGACGGTGTAGAGGGAGGATTCGTTGGGGAGGCCGGCGTCGCGGAGGGCCATGCGGGCGGCCTTGCTGCCGCCGAGCTCGGAGAGGACGACGCCGACGGCGACGTCTTGGACGGCGGTTAAGGGGTCGACGCCCGGGGTGGCGTCGAGGACGCCGCGGACGGCGGCGGAGAGGAGCTGTTCGGGGTAGGCGTCCTTGAGGTGGCCGCGGGAGGAGCGGCAGACGGGGGTGCGGCGGGCGGCGAGGATGACGACGTCGGTGGGGGCCTTGGCGAGGAGGGAGGAGAGGCCGCGGGTGATGGTCATGGTGGGCGGTGGGTTGGTGTTGCTTTGTCCTTTTTTTAGGTAGGAGAAAAGGCGGTTCGGGAGATTTGGGGGCACGAGGTGTCCGAGAGGAAGCGGCAGGGAACGGCGGGGTTGTGGGTATCTCAATCGGCAAGGAGAAAGGAGCAAGTCAAAAAAGGGACGGACGGTAAAAAAAACAGCTTGCAAAGGGAAAAGCGGAAGGAGCTACGAAGCTATGCGTTGGATCACGGAGGAAGGAAAACCACGAGCTTCGCTTTAAGGTATCCGGGGAGAAAGCGGGACGCAAAGAGAAGAAAATAAAAAGAAGTCAGCAACGAAGAAGAAGAAGACGGCGCCCTTTTACTTTTGTTTCTTTTTTTTTCTAACCCCTTCAAGCTCGGTCATCGGGTCCTCCTTTCTCCCCACTATAAAGAGAGAATCTCCCCCAGATCAACCTTGCCGGTTCAGCAAAACGAAGCCGATTCGGAGAGGGCCAAACGAGTGGGCGAATTGTAGGGGCGAAACCGGGGCCTGGCGCAGGCACTTGATTTCGGCAATCAATTTCCAGACAACGCTCGACTCCTTGGGCCGAGCCGGCACAATGCTTTTCCCCTCCTCCTCCCACTGGCTACCTTTTTGGTTCTGTCTTGGGCCATCAACTTTCCCTCCGTCATTCGCGAGCTTTATTGGCTGGGAATACAATTCCCCCGCCCCTGAAGGGTCCCCTCCCTCTTCTCCAACTTTTTTCCTTCGAGGGAGCGGCACCCGCAAGGTTGGGTTGGGGTAAATGATGTCCTTCACCAACGATGCCGGGCCCCGATTGAGGCCTCACCCAAGGCAAGGATAGAATTGAAAAAGGACTCAATCAGACCCTTCTCGAATTATGTACAAGATAGTTTCAAGACACACATCAGAATGTAGCCCACGAGCGATTGCTCAAGGATAATTGGCATGAGAATACGTAGATCCAACGGTCACCGCAAGAGCAAAAAAGCCAAAAGAGGCAAAGTGAAAGACCAAGTCCCAAAAGCCGAGCTCCCCGAGAAATCATCGCGCCCCTAGCGGATCCGGCCCCTACTCGGGTCAAGGCAACCAAACAGCCGACCGAACGACACCCGAAGATATCGTCACCCGTCCCCTCACCTCCGCTCCCGGAAAAGGGGAGCCAATGGACAAAGTACGGAGAGAATGAGGAATCAATCATCTTAATTAATTGCTTGGAAAAAGACCAATCTATGCCAAAGGTAGTCCGCGTTGTCCAAACCGAAAAGAAACCAAGAAAAAAAGAGACAAGAAGAGCACTCCGACGGATTCCTTCAGGCTGCCTAGTACAAACAAGAAGATCTATCCTGGTCTTATGACAATGCTAATGATAACAAAACACGAAAACTTGTCGTGAAATTCGTAGCCACGCCGCCACCCGTTTAGGTTCCTAGTCGCCTTCTTTTTTGTTTCTTTTTCCCTCCTTTTTCCTTCTTCATCTTTCCTCATCTTCACGGATACTTGATCCCCAGCCCAACCTTGGCCGGATCCGCCAATCCCTCAACCCTCACCTTCTTCGGCGGGCTCCCCGCCAAATCCCGCCTCGCCTCCACCGCCCCGCTCATCCCGCTAAACTTGCGCTTGTCTCCTCCCTTGTCGAGCCCCGCGGGCAGCAGCTTGTCCGCCACCGCTCCCTGCTGGCCACCGCTATCGTGGCGGCGCAGTCCATCCCCGGCGGCCGAGCCAAAGCTCTTGCCCTGGTCGCGACGGAGCATCTGCGACGCCGTAAAACTCGCCTGGCTCTGCGGCACGTCCGACTCTTCGTCCTCCTCGTGCACGGCGATTCGGGATCCCGCGCCGGACAGGCGTGAGAGGGTCGACGTGGCCTTTGCACCGACGCCAGCGCCTGTCGCGCCAGCTCCTCGTTGTCCGGCACCGAGATGGTGCTCTCGCGGCTGCGGCGCGCCACCTCTTCAGGTACGTGATGATCGTGTCGCGGCGAATCGGGCAATAACCTCCTGCCCGTGTATCGACGCGGGGGTTCGGTTTGGGGTGCTAGGCGAACGGAGGGTAGAAGGGCGGCATCCCTCCCGCGGGGTTTCGTGGGCGTCGTCGGCAGGGAAGAGAGCGATTGCACGTTGCGCGTGTGCTTGGGCGGTTGGCGCGGGACCGGGCGGTGCGCCGTGGTGGGTGTGGAGGGCGCGCTGTTGTTCTCTTGGCTCAGGACTTGCAAGAGAGCGTCGAACCGCCTCTGGTCGGGATCTTGCGTCTTGCCTGCCCCGCGTGGCGTCTGCTTGGGCGTGCTCTTGCTCTGCTGCGACTGTGAGTTTGTGGTGCTGGACCCTTTGGGTGTTAGCACTCCGTGAAAGATGCCTCCGGGGCTGCAGAGCATGTTGAAGTGCTCGCGGTTCTCGCGGATCCGTGTCCTGAGCTGCTGGCGGTCCTCGCGTAACCGACAGACTTCGTCCTCCTGTTGCTGAATCACCTTCTTGGCCAGCTTGAGTTTCCTCTCCAGGTGGTCAATTTCTTCCACCGCATCCTCGTAGAGGTTCTTGATTTGTAGGTACTTGGATCTCGTCGACTCCGTCGCCGCACTCAGCTCCCTCCGCGCTTGACGTATATTCTCGGCCTCCCGCAGGGCCTCGACCTCGCGCCTGGCCATGTCGTGTTCCACCACCGCCCGCTTCGCGTCTTCGCCAGCCTGTAGCGACAAAAGGTTAAGCTGCAGCTTGTAGTGAGCCGCCTCCATCTTGAGCCTCGAGTTTTCCGCAATTGACTGCTGCATCATGGCGCGGAGAGTGTCGGCGGACGCATCCCGTACTTCTTGCGGGCTCGGCGCGATGTACTCGGTGGAGCCGGGTCCCACGGACGGGCGATGTATCCTGGCCACCGTCGTGGGCGGCGAGAACAGCGCCGACCGCTGCGACGCGGTGATGTAGCTCGATACCGCGGGATGTGCGTTGGTATTGGCCATGGCCACTGCTTGAGAGGAGGGAGGGGGTGTGAGGGAAGAAGGAATGATGGCTGCATCGGTATCGGTTCGGTCGTCGTTCATTTCCGTCTTGAACGACGCGTTGGGGTCGATCGGCGAGCCGGGGTCTTCGGTCGAGGGTATCGTGACTTGGGACGATGGGAGGAGTGGTATGGGCATCGAGCTCATCTCGGGAGGGTGGCGGGAATGGCCTCGATGGAGTTGAGAGGCGCATCAGCGTCGAGGGTGCCATTGGCATTCGCCCCGACGGGATCTATGCCGGGCGCCATGATGACGGCGTGAAAATGGGCGATGGTGATAAATCGCTGTGAGCGTGTAAGAAGAAATAACCCTGGAATGTTGTGATGCTGTAATGTTGTGCTGTTGGTGTTGTGAGGAGGGCGGAGATGCTGTGCTTATCAGGAACAAGCTCGTGTTTGGGGCCTGAGGAGCAATTTGATGAGGCTTAGGCGACTCGTTTCGAAACAATGGACCAGGCCAGCATGTCCGTTTCGTCGCCAAATCCCAATGTTTAGACGATTTGTCCTTAATTCGGTTGCCTCGCTTCCGTTTGTCAATTCTTTTGATTTCAATCCCACACCAGCCAGAGGCAAAGATAGAAGAAGAAAAAAACAATAGCAGGTTGTTCGACCCAGGCACACTTCAAAGACGGAGTTTTGAGTTTGGCTCTCCCAACGTCAAGGCTCGAGGGAAGTGAACGGGGGTGATATTTCAACCAAGGGAAGCAAGACACAGGTGTCCAAAACTCTCGGATCGTTCAGGAGTCGCACCGGACGCTGCAGCAATTCAAGTTTTAAAATGGGCGTCTCTGCCGTCAATTTCGTCCGTGTCGTGCGTCTGTGCCTTATTTGGGGGTGGGTGGGAAAGGTTGGTAGTGTCGTTGCGCGGCGGCTTTGGCGGTTGATGTTGAGCCGTCCGTGGTACAGATTTGAAGAGAGGGGGCAAAGACGCTTCAACACGGGCTGGGCTGGGCTGGGCTGGGCCGGAATGGAATGGGGGATGAGGAATGCGAGGCACGGGGAGGGAGCTTGGGCTGGGAAAGCTGCACGGGGCTCCTCTATCGTCGTCCGTCCACGTCAGTGCTCTGCGCGTTTGGTGGCGGGTGGGTTTGTATTATTTTTCTTTTTCTTTGTATCCAACGAATGATGCGGGGATTGGGGGTGAGTAGAAAGCGCAGCGCACTACGCGGGTGTGGAGTCGAAAGAATATCGGTGAGAAGCAACAGCGGGCGAAGGGCCGTGAAGAAAACAGAAGGGAAAATAATAAACAAGCAACGGGCGGAGTTTTCAATCGTCAAACCGGCGTCACGATAGGTACGCTTTTTCTTTTTTTGTGGGGAGGGAAGGGGTAAAAGAAGAGGGAAGAAAAGAGTGGAGATTCAAACAGTCGGAAGCGTGGAAGTGGTGAAGTTCGAAAAACAGCGTGAACGGACTATCACGCGCAAAAGACGGGCAAGCTGTGAATGTCTGCACTCAGGTCTCACTCTCCCAGCCTTTTTCCTTTCCCTCCTGAGCATAAGCGTTAAGCACAGGCCTAATGCACGGGAATTTTACATCCATATACTTCCCTAGACAGCCCTGAGGGAGGTTGGTCTCAATTAATTTCTGCTTTGAGGGTCCCTGCCTCCGAGCATCCTCATAATACTGTTTTCCCGTCCGTTCGAATTGAGTGATGGTTGCCAGGTCAGCCTCCTGTGTTTTTCTCTCCTCTTCCTTGTTTCCAAGCTAGCCAAGGTGGCCAGTTTCGGAATCGGAGAAACCTGCCAAGCGGGCACTCTCTCCCAAGGCAAAGTACTGCGCACGGACCCAGGCACCGCTCACCTGCTAACGCACCAATTCTCGAGTCATTGGCACATGTAATTTTAATGACGGAAACCTCAACGACGACAAGCAAGCCCACAGGGCAAGTGGTATTCAAACGTCGGTATCGATAAGTACCCGCCTCGCTTGGGATCATGACATCGCAACGACTTGGTCTCAAATCACGATGCCTTTTTGTTTCAACCACAACTGTGCGCCGCACGTGGCATCCTCCCCCGCGATCGGATGAATGGTTGTAGAATCGATCAGGCCCAAGCGCCGCTTATCACCGAGTGCTTTTGGATCGTCCGCACCGCTCACTTTTGCTTCATATGCTTGTGAGGGTGGCTGAACGACGGGTGAGAGGATGCCTCGACAACGCCTTGCCCAAGCCATAATGTAATATCAAAATTACCGGGCCATGTGGCCTTGTCCCCCAGCCTCGGGGTCCGAACGAGATGTTTCCACCACAGCGAGCTTTAAATCAGCCCTGGACTGCCTGAAGCGGAGTGATTGGTTACCAGGATATCTCGCTTCATCCTCCCGTTAGATCAGTCTTGCCCACTCTAATTTCCCCAGTAATAGGATTAACACCGGATCTGGCACCTTCCGGCCGCCCACCGTGGACAAGGGCGCTTTTGGTCAAAGGCTGGTCTTGCGAGATAGCCTCTACTTACACCACTTTTGCCCCCTCACTGGATCGAGTTTGATTGAATGAAAAGACCAAGAGAAGGATCGCTTGAGCCGTTGAGAGTGATGAGCGGACAAGGCCTTGGGAGATGAAGAGGAAAGTGATGAGGAAAAAGGAACTGAACTGACTCGATACTGAAAGTAGAGGTGAGACGGTATCCGCCCAATCTTCAAGCACTGGCTATATCTGTTCGTTTCCAGCTACGCGCTACCTTAGGCGTGCTATCCTGCAGCTTGAAGGCTTCGTGAAGTCCAACCCCTTTATGGACTTGATCAAGGCGTCCAATACCAGCACGCTCCCTTGTTGGTATAGGCACTAGACAAGGGACGGCGCCTCCAAACTTGGCAGCCGGGAAGAGCAATGAGCCAAGGAGCAAGACACGCCTTTCCCACGTACATGGGCACCCTTTTCGTGCCTTTCTCGTATCGTCGTATGGCGGAATAGGCTCTCGGCACCATCACTGAGTCGGTATGTTGACGAGTCAAGGGTAATCTCTATAACAAACGAGCCGTTCTCAAGCAGAAGAGCAGAGGCCGGCATATCAAAGTTCTCCCATACTACCACCAACTTGTGAATCAACCCTTTTCAGCTTGGCGCCTTGATTCACTTGGTGAGAATCAGCACGGGGCGGTGGCAGGGGTACGCCGTGCTGTCCGTCTGGAGAACAAACATATGGTTCGCATCGCATTCTGTTTGTTCTGCTTGGCGATACAATAGTTTCCCACACACCATAATATGAGATATCAGATGTCGAGACAAGCATGTGGGCATAGAGGTCCGGGCATCCTATAGAGGATATCGAAAGAAATGAAAGATTATAAGGATATCGAAGGAAAGATTCTTGAAGTCTGTGGCGTAGATTCAGTAGGATAAGCCAGTGATAATCAGTGTAAAAGATCAACCTGCGTGTAAAGCCCCCACCCATGTGTGAAATATCTACCTGTGATTTCCAAGGATACATGTAATATGTGATCTAAGCTATTAGAGACCATTCGAAGAAAGCGAAGGAAGCCATTATTATGCCCTAACACATGGGGTTGGGCAGCAGCATCACCCTATGCCTCCTTGGCACTCCCCTAGAAGAACACTTAGACATCTATCAATAGAAAGACGCGCTCGCTGGCTAGGTATTGAAAAGTGCGACCTTTCTAGTTTGGTCCTGACCCTCAACATGTACATCATCACTGGTACGCGAGATCCATCCCGCCGTCACACGGAATTTGTTACCTTGTCACTGCACACTCCTTGGTCCCATAGTTTCCCGAGATGCATAACCCTCCCAGCATAAGAAGTCGCCCCAGCGGGGTGGGTGTCGTCGCAACTGCATCTTGGAAGATCTTATGACCGAATCTGCGCTGCAAAGGCTCAATGTAGAGGTTTTCCCAAGGTCAAGACGCCCTTCCCGAGACCCACCTAACCGTCTATCCCATCCCAACAAATCGCACCGAATAAGGAAAAAGAGTTTCGTGTGCGTGACCGGCCCCGGACCTAGAGTTGGAGGATACTGTAAGTATGATAGAGTAACGGGAATTCGGTATATCCGCGATAGTAGTACCTTGGCAATTCATGTGAATTTAAAAGACAAGACGCAAAGGCAACGAGCAAAACTTCCAAGCGCACAAATAACCTAGACAAGACAGAAACAAAAGAAATATTGAAGAAAGAGGCAAAACCAAGAAACGCATCGGTATATAGGGGTATGCTCCAACACTCGTCATGTCTGCTCGTCGACGTCGACAGCCCTAGCGGGCAAGATCAAACACATTCTGCAGAAACTCGACAACGTCGTCTGCGCCAGCCGGCCAGTTGAGCCAGTGGCCCCCGTCTGGGTATTCCTTCCAAGTCACCTGGCCCCCGTACTCGACCAGCTTGTCCCGGAGAGCCCGCCCCGCCTCCACCAAGACGGTACGATCGTCGGCGCAGTGCTCGAGCAACACGGGCGTGTTCCTCAAAACCTCGGTCTCGTCGTCGTCATCGCCCTCTGCGCCCAGCGTGCGTCTCGTCTCCGCGAGCGTCGGTCTCGGAAACGGCAAACGACACGAAATACCAATCACCGCGCCCAAGCTCGGCCGGATTCGGCCGGCCTCGGCGGCCTCTCCGCCGTCCGGGGTACCCGTGCGCATGGACGACGCTTTCAGGTTGAGCAGGGTATGTATGCTCGTGGCGCCCCCTGGCTGATGCCGGCGAGCACCACCCTGTCCCAGCGGCCGCCGAGGGCGGCGGCCTCCTGCTCGAGCAGCCGGCGCACCGAGTCGACGCTCTTTTTGAGGCCGGGGCTCTGCAGGTCCTCCTGCTCGCTGAAATCCCGAATGTTCCACACGTCAAACCATTGGTGCATCCGATCGTTGGGGAACCCGCTGGGCACGGAGAGGGGAGCCTGGGGAAACACCCAACGAAAGGTGGGGAAGATTTCAAAGAGGGAGCGGTTCCGCGAGTCGGCGAAATAATGCAGACCCTCGGCGAACTTGTGGGCGCTGTCGCCGCGGCCGTGGAGGAAGACGACGGTATGGGTGTGCGGCTGGTTAGCGGGGGATGACGAGGAGTGCGGCTGGCGCTGTCTCCATTTCGTGGGGGAGAAACTGCCTAGGGTGTCTGATAAGGGGTGAGAGAGAGAGGCGCGCGGGTGTGAGACCAAGAACCGCTGGTTTGAACAAGGGCAGGTGCCTAAAATGAGATAATGATAAAAATGTGCGGGCGCGCGGGCGCGGCACAGGCGCCGGAATAGTGTCGCCTGCTGGGTTCAGGGTATATACCAAGGTAGTAGCGGATGGTATTTCTGAGGCACAGACGCCGTACCAAGAGAAGAAGTCAATACTATATGTAATTTCGGCGGGCGGGATGAGACGAAGACGAGAGGAACCTGGTAGCTCGCGAGAAGCTCAAGCGCACGGCAGCGGAAGCGCGGGTGCAAGGAATAATAAAGTGATGTGTCGGTTAAGTCTTATGTAGAGACAGGGGGAGAAGCACTTGAGCAGATATCGGACGGAACGGAGGTTCTAGGACAGAGGGGGCGGATCAGGGACACGGCAAGGAATTATGCTGGGATGGGCTTTCCTACGCCGGGACACCATAGGGGAAAACGGTGGGACGCTTCCGGAAGAGAGAAGAGGAAAGAAAGAAAGAAATAAAAATAAAAAGAAAGAGAAAAACCCGTTCTTTAGACCCTCTTGAAAGGAGTGAGATTGAGAAAGGGGAAAGTGAGAAAGGTAGAAAAGGAAAAAGAAAAAGAAAGAAGAAAAAAGAACCGAAAAAGAAGACCAAAAAGCCCGCCCCAGAACAAACGATCCCCTCCTTTTAGTTGTTCGGGGGCCCTCTCCGTGTGGCAGCCCGACTCAGCTATTTGTCGGATTTATCCATACTATATTTTGGAGAGTCCATGAAGCGCGCCGTCGCCCGTCGCCCTCCGCCCGCGACACCCACCCCCACTTCTCTCGAGCGTTGCTTCCTCTTTCCCCTACACTAACGGAACAGGGCAACGGACTAAGAGTCTTGCGCTACGAGGGACGGATGACGTCGCCTAGTTCTAGGCCCGGTTCAAGGGGGCATAAACGCTAAAATTTCTGACGAGATGGGGACTACGGAACTGAAAAAAAGGCCGACAGTTCTTGTTCTAGACCTGCGAATCGTACTTCGTAGTTGGTTATCGTGTGCGCTAAGAAGAAGGGCAGTTTTGCATTTTTTTGGACCGGGGGCGGTGCGTCTACGGGGACGAGCTAGGGTAGACTACGCCGGACGACGGCCTGCCCGCCCTAATCCCAATCGAGGTTGAAATCGTGAACGGCTTGTCTGTTGACGACTGCCGATGTGACCTTTGGGTTGAAAAGCCGCCGCTTTCATTCCGTCGTTCGAGCCCGTCTTCGTTGCCTGCCTTTTCCTCTTCTTGGTGGTCCTCGAGTGGCCTGTCTTCCTTGCTCTCCCTCAGTCACCATCCCTCATCCCCCGCACCCCCTTACTTCCCTTCGCCCTCTCTCCTCGTCTATCTTTCTTTTCCTTACTCGGTCTGCTGGGCCGCGCTTCCTTCCACACTGCCTCGGGCCAGTGCCGAAAGAACTTGTGTGGATGCCAACATCAACGATTATACCTCGAGGGGGAAAAAGTGATAGTAAGGAACAGAGGAAAGAAGTTTCCCCTTCCCTTCTTTGCCCGGAACAGGTCAAGGACATCAAGACACCAAGATGCAACCAAGACCCTGAGCCAGCCACCTCTCCGCCCCCTTGCAAGTGGGCCTTTCCCCCGGCGCTTGCTCTAGCTTCTCCTGCCTGGGCTAGCCTAGTGTCGTGAGCTCGTTTTGAACAAATATTAATACAACTCTCGATCGCCCGATCCTCAAGTGCCGGCCCCGCCTTCCATTCTTGGTTTCTTCTGTTCTTTTTTTCTTTCTTTTCTTTTTCTTTTCCTTTTTTTTTTTTTTTTTCTTCCTTTTTCCTTTTCTTTTTTTTGGTTGCGTGCTATTAACTGGCTTCTCGAAAGGGGAAAGATCTGTTCAGGACAAGAAAGAACGAATGGGGCCATCTTACCTATCAAAAAAGCACGCCAAACCCTTTTCAGCATCCATTGCCTCACCGTGTACATCGAGATGGTGTGGCAAGAATGCACGCCAGAAAATAATAAATACTGATATCCGGGCGCCCGGCGCTCGTCAACTCTCTACCTTCCCTCTTACACTTTTCGAGTAATACTCAATGAGCCTTAAGAAAGAATATTTGAGGGTAAATTCAATCCTTCCCCTCCGTAGAAACCGAGCACTTTTTAAAGAGTCACCTTTTCTCGCATTTATTACCCTATGTTGGGCGAGGCTTAGCAACTTTCTCCCCTTGCCTCCTCTTTATCCTAATCACGGCACACCCCGATACACAACCTATCGGGCTGTGATGCTGCTTTCCATATTGCATGTGCAAGTCGTCTTAACCTCAGGCGATAATCTGTTTCCACCTTTTCCTTTTTACATGGACGCGGATCCCTGCTGTACCTGCCCGCCTTAAGCTGCTCTGAGGCTCGTAGACATTTGATCGGAAGAGGTCGTCATCAGCGTATGGATCCATCCATGCATGATTTGTTATATACATGTATATACCTATACATACGTGTGCGAGCGTATACGTATGAGATGGTGCATATGCATAAGGCAAACAACATCACTTTAGTCTCCCGTCCTAAGGAGGAAGAAAACGAGAGGCGGGTGCGGTTGGAGGGAGGAAGAGGCTGACACGCTTGTCACAGTCCGTGATGGGGGACGAGGGACTATGAGGGGAGGGGAAGGGAAGAGGGGAAACCCCGACCAAGAAGGTTATGTAGTTTCCATCTTCTACATACTAATGAGCACCGTCCGGCGGTACCGCCAGATTCTTAGTCCACTTGCCCCTCGGAGGTAGAATTGGTGTTTCTGCAAACGTCCCCTTGAAAAGAATCGTCAGAATAAGCGTGGAAAGGTATATAGCAGGAGATACAAGGCGTGAGTTCAATGTTGTAAGCGTGGCTGTGGGTAGGTACCGGGAAGGCCACACAATCTGAAAAGCTGGAGAGATGTCGTGGAATGTCGAGGTGGGCGCCTTTTTCGTCTGCCTGTGGGCGTTTCTTGCGTTCGTTCAAATCTTTCCCACCACCCGTGATGCACAGGAAGTAAATCGAGAAACAGTTAGTTCTAGCCGAGTTAATCGAGTCGCACAAGTTTGACGAGTCTTTTAGACTAGGTCGAGCGGTATAATATTCATGGGCGAGTGAGTATACGGGTTCCTCGAACTCGCGCGCGAGCGCGCGAATGATGCGGGCTAATTTCAACCGGTGAAGACGTATACCTCACCGCAATAGGCCTCGACCTCCAGGACCTACCTCGCGACTATACACTCGGCGCGAGATTGAACGCATTACATTATAATCATCGGGTCACGTCCCACAAAATCGAACTTCAGGGCCAAAAATCGCCCTGCCTTTTATGACCAAAGTTTGCCCCTATCCACCCCGCCACCCCTTCTCTACCAATGCTGACCAAGTGGTGGATGCAAAACGGACGCTTTATGGCTAGGGTATGCAAATAGGGATCCTCTCCGCCCCTGTATCGCTTGTATTGTGCGGTATATCGAAGCTGGAGCAACGGCCTTGAAAGAAGGGGAAGCGGAGCAGACCCTCAATACACGACCTTTTAGACCCTCTCGACCCCCTTGCAATACTGAGTTGGGAATCTTTGCACAGGCCCCTTGGTACTCGGCCTCCAGCTCGCTCGACTTGATTATTTTCATAGTCTCATACATCCCGGGATTGCGCCACGCGCGCCTCACTACCAAACGTTATATACTCTGCTGTTCTGATATGTGAAGGGATCAAGGAGCGCGTTCTGATGCCCCTTTGGTCGTGCTAGGAGGCAACCTAAACCCTTTCAGCGCGGTGTGTGCCTCCGGAACCGTCCGATCGAAAACGGCGCGCCGGGCCTCGACATCGTCCAAGAAGCCCTCAAGATCGTCTGTTTGGTTCGGAAGACTTGGAAGTCTCCGGAGAAGATGGCCCCCTCGAGGCGTGGTGTGGGTGGTGTCTGCGCAACTAGTACTTGCAGGTATACGGAGTAGATGAGTCGGGCGCTGGGATTTGGGCAGAGGTGTCTGTTCCCCTCGAACTCGGAATAGTGGTGACAGCGGGCGGGTGGCAGTAGGCGATACGCTCGGACTGGTCGTCGAAGCCGGAAGCTACCTAGACGGTCTCCCAGGTTGCCGCGCAAAAACGCGTGCTGAGTATGCTGGCTTGATCGTTCATTGCCGTGTACAGCACAAATATATGGGAGTTTAGCCGAGGCCGCGTCTAAAAGTGCGCGGTCTGGAATCGGGGCACCGGACTTGGCGAACTACCTCTTGGACCCCAAAGGCTTCTTTCTCGTAGGGCTCGGGCCCATGGAACGTTATAGATGTCAGAGGTGGGAAAAGAAACGTGGAAAAAAAGAAAAAAAGAAAGCGGCATAGGGAGCGGATTCCATGTGAGGGCGCGAGTTGATCAATGCCTCAGGAAACGTAGGGTGGTCGAAGCTGATCGATATAATACCTGCCACGTACAGTGAGCCAAGGTTCAAACCTATCCTAATATTAGAGGGCGGTATAGGGATAACATTGCCATCTAAGGATGGAAGGGCGGATTTCAATTTACAGACGAGCCGGAGACGGAGCGTGGGTGTGCAGCTGCCAGCGTTGGCTAGAAATGCTAGAAAGTTGTGGAGGCAAGGTGGATGAGGAGGGTAGAACGCAGTAGGCAGGCTCTAGCCGAGAAAGGCAGGCTTTGTTAGGCCCGAGATGGGTGCTGATACCAGATTGTACATTAGGGCTATGGGTGCCACCGTTGGACTCGTAGTTGAGGTAGGGGCGGCGGGGGTCGTGCTTGCTAGCTTGACTGGGTAACAACTCCTACCTTGGTGCTAGAGGTCTTCGAATCGGTGTAACAGGAAGCGAGGAACGTAAGGTGTAGGTAGTGATGAGGCCCTTGTCCTGCATAGGATGTATTGTGATAAGTTAGGAGATAGCCCCTTGCTGTTAATACTATGGGTATGGGTTAAGACCTTGATATTACTTCTGCTAGATATCGAGCTGACGTATACACCATTTCATTACGGTGCTAGACGTTGACGGAGGCGTGTAGTAGGCTGGCACCCAGACAGAGCAATGCCGGTACTTTTGGTAATGCCATCTCTCCTAGGGCCGGATATATCCCACCTGTTACGCCGGCTTGGTATCGCCCAGATGCCACGCCGAGGAAATTTGAGTTTGCATTTGCTACTGCAGACCCGTGTCCCAGAAGGCGTGTCGTACCCTGAGGGGTCCGACGAGGGTTCTCGTGGCACATTGCGGATGGTGCACCGCCGCCTCGAGTCATGGGTAGCAGCGGGAGGCGTCGTTGCCGGGTTCTCGTGGCGCTCGTGATACGCTCAGCCAGCGCCGTACTCGGCAGCAGGAGGCAATAATATACATTACTACTCTTATACATCAGTAGGCGGGGGCGGCGTGTGTAAAGGTGACCCTGGCTGGTAACCTCGACGAGATAAATCTGGTTCGGAGCATGATAAAGCATACATCGAGATCGTTTCTCGAAGAAAGACTTGGTCTACACAAACGCAACGCGTGGCAGGTCTTGGGGCTGGAGGAATCTCTCGAGACGCGAGCCCATGGCGATTTGATCTATATCAAGACTGACGACATGCGTACACCCGACCTAGTGTATGGTGCAAGGTTTATTTCAGTCTGGTTACATGAAAAAGGAATGTTTGGTCGTATTATTGCAACCAAACCTTCGGGCCCCCACTGGCTTTGATATCATTCTGGGTTGCCGGCAACATCTGTCTGCTCATCCTCCCTCGGTGCCTCAAGAGGGGTATATATATACACTCCGAGTGGTGTGGCCAGCGGTAATAATTTCTTCCCTCTAGTTGTCTGTGCGCAAATCCTTGACATCTGTCTTGAAGCACGACTAACTCGTTGGACCCCTTTTTCTAATGGGCACATTACTTCTTCAGCCTTTTTCTTTCTTTTGGGACCCTTCTGTTTCTCCCTTTGGTCACTGTCCCTCTTCGAGCGCACTAGTGTTACTACACTGGAGCCCGTTTTTCTCCGCGAACAAAAACCGTTGACAGGCGGCATCAGTCGGGTCTTGGCGTTTCTTGGCATCCTTTGGGCAGGGGTGGGCAGGGCTGTTCTTATTGAGACGACGTCCACCCCCGCTGCGTGATGGATTTGGGTATTCCCGAGGGCATGCGGCGAGGTTCAAGACATGGCCTCGCATTTGGGGAAAGCTTTGCCGAGCGCATAAATTGGCCCTTATGTACATTTGGGCAGCAATGGATGACCTGTGGTCTAACGGGAGCGACTCCTCACGAGCGCCTCGACGTCTACCCCGGAATGAACGCTCTCGCCCAAAAGCTTTTTCTATGCTTCAGAATTGTGGATCAATTGACCCTATCAGTTGGTGGGTACAATGGCGGGAACCACGTCAAATCAATTGAATCTACAGGTTACCTTGGGGCGGGGAAATACTAGGCCGCGTGCTCGGGGAAGGGGAAGACGGGGTATTGGAAGCTTGTGCACAGCCGTGGATGTCTCCACGTGAAATGAGGACGCCTTATTTTGAATCAGCAATTGATGGATACATGTAGTGTTGGGGGAAAGCTCCCTGTCATCAATGGTATTATACATCTATTGTCTGGCTAGGACCTATCCACATCGCATCCTAGACGAGCGAGTTGCCGAAACGGGTGGCCATGCAAATGACCCATTAAACAAAATGAACCCAAACCAAACTAAGCACCATTTTATTTTTCTCTTTCCTTCTCTTCACGTTGCCGCCTTCTTGAGCTTCCTCGCCACATTGAACACGCCGCCCGTGCCCGCCCCGCAGGCCGCGCAGCTCGGATTCGTCCTGTACCGCTTGAGCGCGCACGATTCGCAAAAGTAGTGCCCGCAGCGCGTCACCACGGGCGACTTGTAAGGCTGCTTGCAGATGACGCACGCAAAGGAATATCGTCCTCCGGGTCGTCGTCGTCGTCTTCGTCGGCATCTCCCAACTTGGTGCGGTCAGCGCTGGCGACGACGGTGCCGCCGACCTGCTTTCCCTTGGTCACGGTTTCCCATTCTTTGTCGAGCTGCCAGCCCTGTTTGTAATCTTCGCGGGAGTGGAGGAATTTACTGTGGGCGCGCAAGAGGCTTTCTGTTAGCATGTATAACTTTCAAAGGAGGTTGAAGAGGAGGCATGGAGAAAATGCAGGGGTGCCTCATGCGTGAGGCGAGGCGCAAGTCCAAAGAAAAGTCTACAAAAGGGGAGAGGGGAGGGGAACATACCAATTGTCGCCAAAACCGCAAAAGCCAGTTTGCTTATAATCCTTGCATACGTCCGGCGCGTAGTCAATCACCGTCACCGTCCGTACATTGGTCGGCGCCTTGACGGGCCCCACGGCCCGCGACGGCGCATTCGGGTTCGTCTGGAAGAACTTGGTCTGGTTCGCTAGGCCCTTGTACGTCCCATCCGGCGCGCTCCCATCGAGCCTCCCTAACCTCCCCGGCCCCGCCGCGGCGCCGTCCACCTCGAGCGTGTTCTCCTTGGTCGCGTCGTTGGATGCCGAGAGCGACTTGGTGCGGTCCGCCGCCGCGATACTGACAAAGAGATCCCTATCCGCGCCGCCCGGCGCTGTCGAAGAGCCTGCGGTGATGCCCGCGCCCTTTGTCTTGCGCCTCTTGACCCGCTGGCCCGTCTCCTCGTCCTCGGATGAGGTCTCGAACTCGCTGTCGCTGGCGGGGAGGCGTCGCCGGCCGCTTTCGGATGCTGGATTCGCCCTTGCCGCGGCGCTTCTTGAAGGCAATGACGGGCGCCTTGGTCTCTGGGGCAGCTGACGCTGTACGTTTGCCCTCTTCTGGGCTCGTCATCGTGTTGGGGTGGAATGGTCCGGCCGGTTGTGGTGTTTCTTGTGCGAGTTGGGGGCTGGGAGCTCGAGCAAGCGAGAATGTTGTATGCATTTCGTCATGGCGGGTGGGTTTCGCGGATTATGTCAGCGGGTGGTGGGGACCTACCATCTCATCTCGACGGTTCGAGCGAGTTCCACTCTGAGAAAAATGCGATTGGTAATGTTAAGAATAGCCCCAGGCCCCGAATCGCTTGCGTTGAGTAACAGCACACAGTCGGGGCGGCAAGGTATAGGGAACCTTTTACCGCACGCCATTTCCTCGGATTGATATCGAGACTTTAAATTCTGGCGGAGATGATGAAATTATCTTCGACATATCAATTTTTATGTAAGCAAAGCAATGCTACACACTGCGCATGTTTCGTTTTCTTCACCATGGTCCCTCATCATATATCTCTCGTCATGTTCTGGGAAACCCAAGGTCAGTGGTGGTAGCTCTCTGTGGATGGTCTTGATGTCCAGGAGCGCCAACCACTGTGGTTGCTGGCCCTATTCTTGTGCTGGCGGGCCCACGCCAGGCAACACCAGACCAGTTTTGTAAGTAGGAGACAAGCGATAATACGGCAAGCAAGACCTAAAAAGGTTTCTTGAGATGGGCGAGATTCTAATTCTATTTTTATTTTTATTTTTTCACTTCTTGTAAACTAATCCTGCTCATAAACGACCCTTCTCATAACGGGCCCAGTTCGAGCACGTTTCTCCCGTTTGTCGTCACTCCAAACGGCAGCAACACGGCGAAAAATCCATGTTAGTGGCCTTAGCTTCTGTTTGATTGGACAGTTGGCCCGGTGGCCCTCCCAGCATCTTTTTCTTTTTCTTTTTCGTTTTCTTTTTCTTCTTTTGTTCTTCTTTTGTGTCTTTATTTCAGTTCTTTTTCTTTTCTTCTTTTTTTCTTTCTTTTCCAAAATAATGGTCCCTTAGCTTGCTCCTCTAGCTTTCCCCAATCCCACCCTGTGGAAACCGGTGTGGAGCAAAGGTCTCGACCGATCGAATACATGTCGATCAGCCCCGAGCGACACATTGTCCGTTCCCCCGGAAGGCCTCCGGGAGGATCCTACACTAGCGGCCGGTATCGTCGGTCCCAACGGGGAATTAGAGGATCGAAATTCTTAGCGCCTCTATTTAGGCTCTCCATATCTTAGACTCGGGATCGGGATCTTTGAAGTCTGCCCTCCTCTCCCATATCCTTCCCCATTCCTCCCCTTTTTCTTCCCTTCTTAGAGTACATGTATTAGTGTTTAGTTGCGGGAAAACAAAAGTTTATTGCTTCTCCATCGTTAAACCTCGGCTAGCACTTTTCTCGAGAACCCATATTTTGTAGCGGGAAGGGAATGCAAACAAGCAGGTTCGTTCGGCCAAGAGAATACCAATACAATATCCATGGATGGAAGAAGCGAGATCGCTCCCCTCGTATCGCTCGTCCGGGGGCCCGGGAACGGACCCACCGAGAAAGCAGCACTGCCGGAGCAAACGTCGCGGACCTCGATAAGCAGCTGCATGTCCAACACGCCGGTTTCCGTTAGAAAGAAAGAAAAGAAAGGGGCGGGGAAAAAAACCTGGGTTTCCCAACCAAGCCACCCGACCTAGAGCATGAAGAGAGAGAGAGAGTGGGGGGCAAGCCCGGGGGATGGAAACAAGGGACAGAAAAATCTCGGCGTATGTGCAGGGAGGCTTCGGCGTGCTCACCGGTTGAAATCCGAGACTAGTGAGAGCGCACAAAAAAATAATGTTGGCCGACTAGTGTAGTCAGTTGAACAAGCGGCCCCGCCGGTCCAGGAACACGCATTCCCCCTCCCCACCCAGCTCGTGCTATCCCCTAACATTCCCCTTCTTCTCTCTCTCTCTCTCTCTCTCTCTCTCGTCTCCACGGTCTCCACTCGATACCCAGCCCTCGTCCAATAACACTGAGTCGATCCGCACGTTATTCCGCAGCTCTTTTCGATCGAGAGGCTTTCCAGAAGCTCATGGTCCGTCGCTACGGGTGGAGAAGCTGGGACTTTCATGCATATCCGTGACCCTTGTACCTGGTTCTTTTTTTTTTTTTCTCGCCCTATCACTCTCGTTCGCCATGTCCGCCAGGACCACGCGCCGGCTATACCTTCCATGGCGCTATCTTGCATGATAGGGCCGCGGCCACGCATGGCTTTTGACCCCTTCTCTACTACCTGAGTGGTAATTCCGCGAACTAACAGGGGGACTATATGCCGCTATAGACGGAAAACCTTCTATTGTCTGTTCATAGTTGTGTCCAATCAAAGTCCCTCCTGACTATGCTGTCTTCATATATGATCCGTATACCTTGATAAGAGTCGCTTGTAGCTTGAGGTGGGTTTGACGATCAGGGGCAGCACGACTTTGACAGTAGCTAGCCTCGGACGTTTGTGGTGGGTGCCGACAGGCATATTTCGCCTCATCTGCCGAGATACTCAGTTAGCTTGCCCTTGTTGTTCACGCCAATGATATCCCTGTCTTGTCTTAGCTTCACTTAAGCAGTCTCTCTCCTATGGGTGCGCCTGTGGATGAGAAGACTTGATGGATATATCAACCATTGAAGGGTCTGTCCGGAGTGGGTTCTCAATACCGAGGTCTTTCTTCGGCCTACCAGCTTACTCTCCATGAATGGTGGCTGTCATTGATAGGACTGGCCAGCTTTCTAGCGTTATCAGGATTTATCAATGATAAGTAGGGGTCCACTCGTTCCACTATACCACTCACTACTTGTGGCTATTGTTTGACATGTGTGCTATATATGATTTACGTTTAGCTCCTCTCCAAGGTAGCATTCAAAGAACCGCCAACACCAGCCCGACCTCGATAATGCACAAAAGACGCTACACATGCTCCGTGAGAACCTCAAGATCTTGGCCAAACAAAGTAAGAGAAATGAAACAAAAGAAAAGGAAATGAAAACAGAAGAGAAATTCAAGAGCTCCGCACCAATGAAAACGAATCCAATATGAAGGATGAAGATGACAAAAAAGAAATCACCAGTTACTTGGCTCCCAGCTTTTCGTATCCTTCGTCCTAACTCGTCTTAACCTGGCCCTAGCCCTAGCCCTTGCTTGGGCGTGGTAGTATTCCCCTACCTCGAGGGATGGAGTTGGGAGGATTCTCAGAACCTTCCTCCAGTCTCCTGCCTCCTCAACTCTTCTTGGAACACGTTCCTTCCCTCAGACCGTGGCGATACTGGCGACTCCTGCAGCCTGATATCGTTATTTTTGGTGCCTACGGCGCCATCCTCGGGCGCGGCACCCTTTGGGTTCGGCTTTTGCTCACGCCGTAGCCTTGGCTGGACCGCCTCCGGATGCGCGAGAGCACAAGCTTGTCCTTGTTCTTCCTCCATAGACAGAAGAATCCTACGCCGAGAGCTAACACGGCTACAACGACGGGTACGGCGATGGCTGCCGGGTGCACTCCCTTTCGACCGGGACGCTTGACAATGTCGACAACCGAGATTTCCTCGGTAGTGGCGTAGATGGTAGGACCTTCCGTCTCTTTGGCTTCGCCGGATTCCTCTGTATAGAACATGACCATGTGCAATGCCTTGTCGTTTTTGCTAGTTCCACGCATAAAGGCCTCGGTCACGAGCATGGGGACGTAGCCATTGCCAGCGCGGACATTGAAGCTCGTGACTGACGTATTAGAAGGAGTCCACCGCACCTCGACCCTGATCTCAGAGTCTTGTTGGTCACCTGCGAAGAATGTTGTGTCCCAGGTGACTATCTCGAGAATTAGCGCCTTAACCACAGAAAGAGGGATAAAATGCATCCGTCGAATGCATAGCTAGACGTCTACGGCTTGGAAACGAGATGGAGTGAGGAAACTAAAAGTCACATACCAAGATATGTCGTTCCGACGCTCAGCCTGCTACCAGCGAAGGGCTGGCAAAGGGCCCGCTCACACCCCATTTTCCGTCACATACGGGGAACTGCCCGCCAGCACCATTCGTGTTTGTGGCTGCCGGGGTGCAGGGCTCCCCGTCACCGTACTGAGGCCAGCAGAGCCCGACACGGTGTAGACGGTTCCAGTCAGGATATATGGTACGCTGACGACGGTCGATACGGCGCCGTTCTTCGTCTTTACCTCGGGGGTGTGGGTGATTGGTGTACCGCCGCTGTCAATGGAAATCCATTCATGGACGAGGGCTCGTTGCTGGATAATCCCGGCGGCCGCGGTCTGCGCGGCGAAGAGGGAAAGGAGAACAGTGAGCACGGCCGCCGTGGGCCACTGCTTTTGACATCATTCTAGATAAACCGGGGAGACAGCTTCGTAACAAAATTCGGGGTGGGTTATGACAGAGCGGGTCTCCACGATGCTAAGATGAAGCGGCGATATGAAGCTCCCTTGGAGCAGGATAGTGATGGGAAGGGTCAGGTCAGGTCGCGAACGCGCAGCCTCAAATCTCTTGGCTATTGTAAAATAAGAGTATTGGCTTTGAAGTCAAGGTGTCAACGAAGAAGAGACACGGGAAGGTTATGGCCAGTGGAAAACCATAAGAGATCTCTCTCGAAGAGGTATTTCTTTTGTCCTTCTTTGGCTTTCTACTTTGGGAATGCGGAGTGATCCTAGGGTGGCGGGGAGATATGAACAAGGACAAGCACAAGAGTTGGAGTCTGCGAGAGATGCCCCTCGCGTCAGCTCGACTTTCAACTTGGGGAAGGCGGGAAAACTGGTCCGTGGCCAACGGGAGGAGACACTCGCTTGAATGCTTGAGCCTTTTTCTTTTCTTTTCCTTTTCTTCTTCTTTTTCTTTTAACTAGAAAATTGCCGATCCATGCGGCTGGGTGGCAGGTTCGACTGAGAACCCCCAAACATGACGAGGAGCGTAGCTGCTTCCCTTGAACTTGGAGAAGGAGGGCATGGGTCGCACTTAATCACCCAGGTCACCCAGAATTGAAGGGTGGGGATGAGGACGGGTATGTACCTGTACCTCGAGCTAGCGGTGCATTTTGGCGATGCACGATGGCAAGAGCTCCCAGCAGGTGGGGGACGAGGAAGGCGTGGAGGGCCAATCCTCATTCGACCCCCTCACACCCCATTCTTCTCTGGGGTTGCAGAGATATTGGGAAGGCGGGATGTAAAAAAGCATGGGTGGCAAGATGAGGAGCCATATCGTGCCGAGACCATCATGCTTGGGAGAGTGCATGCATCCACCAGTACCACGGGGCCTAGAAAAATGGACACCAGGTAATTGACACCAAATATATCGGATTATGAATCCTCGCGTGCGGAATGGAAAAGTCCCCCAGCCGACCGTAGCATTTGGATGTTGTGATCCCCGGATTGATCATTGAGCATTGAGGGGGCTTTCCAGCTTTCTTTAGGCAGGTGTCAAGGTAGGCTAGTCAGAGTATGGCTATGAATCAGGTGTTCTGACAAACGACGATGGGCGAGCCCCGAATGTCCAGTCGCGACTGAAGGTTCCTTTGCTTCCGTGGCAATACATCTTATTCCACGAACGCAGACCATGTATTCTCACCAAAGCAAAGCATGTGAAGGAAGGAGGAGAAGGGGGAGGAACAGACGGGTCTGGGAACGGGAAGAAACGAGAGTTGGGGGCACTCTCGATCTGCCCTGGGCGGCCGAGGGTTTCCTTGGCGAACCTGGAGCGTTTCTGGATCCTGGGTCGAGCTGACGAACTAGCCTAGGATATATATTACTCAACATATATTGGGCTCATATCGAAAGCAATCCGACAACCGAACATCAACGCCACCCCAGGGTCCTTTGTTGAATGGTGACAGCGGTAGGTGCAACAGCGGACGCACATTTCCGCAATCTTGGATGCTCGGTTCCTTGCACCTCGGGGTTCCATGCTGTAGGTTGCTTGGGAAGTTGGATGACGGTCATCTTCAGTCCTGTCCGGCACGACACATTGAGCACTTGATGCACGCACTCCAAGCACGACGCGAATGATTTAAACCTCGTTGTCGGTTCAAGCTCGCGAGTCTAGAAACCCAAGTGGATCTCTTTCCCCTGGTCTTCCTTTTCCCTCTTTTCCCTCTTCTTCCCTCCTTTGTTAGGCCCAGAGAGCCACCCCGCATCGGGAATCGCCAAAAGGGTTTAGTGCGGGGTCGCCCTCTCGATTTTCCCCATCCTTGCCGCACGAGAACTGGGTTCCGTTGTCCGGCGCACAACACCTTTTTTCCTTTCTTTTTTGGTGGGGTTGGGATTGGTGTGGATGGTTCCCATGCTGGCTCGCGTGGGCCAATTGGGTGCTGAGACAACTCCTCGCAGCGCCACTTCACCGCTGTTCCCTGCCGGCCATGCCTACTTCGTAAAATAGTGAGTATTCGAGGAGGGACGGTTCGAGAAAAGCTCGCTCAAGCAAGCCAGGAGGGAGGAGGCAGGCGTGCAGCAAGTTGTGAGTCGCTGTCATCGATTTCCTGTGAGAGGTGAGGTTTGCACAGGGATGCTACTGGACTAAGGCGACAACACCCCATTCGCCTCGGCAGTTGGGTGGCACTACAACTTGGTCAATGAGTGGATTTTCGGCCATGAAATGTCCCGCGACCGGGACAGGGGACAGGGTAGTGGCAAAAACTCAGGGAATGGCAGCTTGGCATTGGAACTTTGCCTCACCCTCCCACGCCAATATCGTGTTGGAATCGCTGGGAAGACACTTGACAGTGGCTGAACAGAACAGCGCAGCCCGACTCACATTCAGCCCTGATCGGTCTTCGAGGAGTTACAAAACTGTTTCTTTATGAGAAGTGGCGCGATGAGGACGTGGCGGGCCCCGACCCCGCCTTTCCGCGCTCCCAATGGCACCCGCCTGGTTCTCCCCCCCCCTCGAGCTCGAGGCTGGAGTTCTGCTTCCCTCGATTACTGCTGAGATCTACTTTTAGGTTTGGAAAGCGCTCTGGTGGCTTCTCTCCGCACACTCGGCAATAGCATACCCGGCAATCTGTCCGCCAAAGCCCCTTTACGCCGCAAGTATGCGCGCTTCTCAAGCCGTTGGTTCTGTCCAGCCCGGCAAGCGCTATACTCTGTCCAAGGCATTGGCAAATGTGAAGCGGTGAAACTTGCGAGCATTGACAGTGAATGAACTAATCCGGAGATCACTTACCTTAGTAGGTCATGTGTGTAGGCCATCGCCGCCTTTCCTCTTTCTTGATGACGGATGGGCCTCGTCGTGGAATTAGCGTGTCTCGGAACCAAGAAGCACACGTGCCATGGCACTATCGCCTGGCTCGACGAGTACTGCAGTCTACGCTCCGCGCGAGACGCCAATGCGGATCCACTGGAGCCCACTTCCCGGCATGAAATGGCTGTCCTAGCCTAGCTATGCTGTCAAAAGTAAAATAAAATCGCCGGCGCCTGCGGAGAAGCAATGACACCAAGCGGGATCCCTAATCGATGGGGCTTCTAGTGTCGGTGGTAGCTTTGCACACCAGCTATACTGTGGACACCAAGGATCGGATATATTTTTGGCCTCACCTTTAGCTTATTTTCCACCGACAAATCTCACATTGAAGAAGACGATTATGAAGGAGAGACTCTTCGCAGAGGACAATCAACGCAGAAATTCTTTGATCCTCGCCCCTCCCTCAGGATATTCTTGGTTTTTTTTTTTTTTTTTTTTGGTTCTTCTTCTTTCGTTTGGGTGGCTCACCTTGCCTCCGGTAACGGTAACGGCTGGCTCAGCTTGACCAACCAATAATCCGCGCTCACGACGTCCGGACCAAAAGAGACGAATGCTGGGTCGGCTTGGCGCTGCAGCCGGCAACCCACGGGTCCGTTGGACAATTTGTTCCCCTCCCCACCACACCTATTTTTGAGCCACCCACTCTCTCCCATGAAAACCACCCCCGGCCGTTTCCCATCGTCCGTTCCCCATATCCCATGGTGTCCTTTCGCTCGGACTCTAGCTTGTATCTGTACTTCGGCGCCTTTTCCATCACTCCTTGTTCGTCTGTCTTTTGGCTGCCAACATACGGCTCGCCATGACTGGCCCCTCTTTCCTTCTCTCTTACCCTTGCCCTCGCATCTGTCTCTCCCAGCGAGTTGGGAGCTCGCCAGCCGGCGGGGCTACTGTTGAGCATGTCCATCCCAGCTTATTGGCATACAATTGGATTAGCTAACACCATCGATTCTCTCGCTCTGAAGTGAAGCCACCCCCAGCTTGGCTTCCAAGCTAAAGAGGGTGTGGGGGAGAAGGAATGATTCCGTAAATGACCCAAGTATCGCTTTTCTTCTGTCCTTTTGGAGAACTATCCCCTTGTTCATGCGAAGGCAGCCCATCTCCTGCATATGCTGTAGTTACTCCTCCTTTCCGCGGGGCAAATACACATCCCCAGCCTTCTTCCTTCGGCTCGGTCTGCTTCGAAGCTTGTCTCTCTCTCCCCTCTTCCCCTTTCCCTGTAAACCTCGGGATCAGATCGGACGCTCATTTTCCTAACTGAGCGACTAATACTGAAGTGTCCCCTTGACTACTTGTCGAGCCTTCTTTTGCTCTGCCTCCCATCTTGAGCCCGCCCTCCTCCATCTCCGGATCTCCCCGTCATTTTCCAAGCACTCTCTGCCCCGCCAAACATCTACATCATGAAGCTCGAGCAGACTATTCTCGCCACGGCTCTCTTCGCCGTCGGCGCCCTGGCCAAGTGCGAGAATGTGATTGTTCCCGCTTACCAGGCTCCTACCCTCGCCAATGGCTGGCAAGGTCAGCTCGTCGGTAACGGGTTCAAGAAGCCGCGCACGCTGCATTTTGACAGCGAGGGAAACCTCATCATCCTCGATGCGGGTGTCGGTGTCCGACGCGTCAAATTCACCGACAACGGCGATACATGTCTTGAGATCTCGGAGAACAAGCTGCTCGTGGACAACAAGGATGTATGTGCTCCGCAGCAACAAAAGAAACCAAGGCCTAATTTGTGAACTAACTCTCTCTCTCTCTCTCTCAGTTGAATCACGGCCTTGCCTTCTCCGGTGACGGTAGCACCCTCTACGCCTCCACCGAGGCGGTTGTGTTGGCCTGGGACTACGACGCCAAGGCCGGTACCGTTTCGTCCTCGCCCCGCACCGTGATCAAGGGCATGTCCAGCAACGACCACCTCACCCGCACCCTGATGATGTCCAAGAAGTCGGACGGCTACCTGACGGTATCCCGCGGCTCGGGCGAGAACTTTGACGTCGACGCCGAGGACCCTTCCACCGGCGTCTCCCAGATCCGCGTCTTTGACCTCAACAAGCTCTCCGACGGGGCCTCGTACGACTTTACCTCGGGCCGGCTGCTGGGCTGGGGCCTGCGCAACTCGGTCGGCGTGGCCGAGGACCCCAACTCGGGCCTCATCTATTCGGTCGAGACCTCGGTCGACTCGGCGACCAGGAACGGCACCAACATCGAGAAGAACAACCCCGGCGAGGAGCTCAACATGCACAGCAGGGCGTCCGATACGAGCACGGGCGGCAACTACGGGTACCCCTACTGCTACCCCATCTGGGACACGGACGTGCCCGACAACGAGGGCCTCCGCACCGGCGACCTCTTCAGCGTCGACGAGAACCACATCACCGATGAGCAGTGCGAGGAGCAGACGGTCGAGCCCCGTCTTGTATTCCCCGCCCATACTTCGCCCTTGAACCTCGTCTTTAACAGCGACGGTACCACCCTCTACGTTTCCTTCCGCGGAAGCTGTAAGTCACCCTGCCCCAACAAGATAATTTTCTTCCCTTCTTCCCACACCCCCCCATCATTATCCTCTTGCCACAAACTCTAACCAAAAGGGAACCACCCCTCAACGCAGTCAACCCCAAGAACCCCGTCGGCTACATGGTCTCCTCCGTCGCCTTCTCCAACGGCCAGCCCAGCGCCTCCGTCTCCGCCAACGACGCCCTCACCGAGATCTTCTCCAACCCCAACCACGACGCCTGCCCCGAGGGCTGCTTCCGCCCCGTCGGCCTCGCCTTCGACGCCCAGGGCCGCCTGTGGGTCTCGGCCGACAGCACCGGCGAGATCTACGTCCTCAAGAAGCTCACCGACGCCACCGCCCCCGGCGCCTTCATCTCAAGCCCGACGAGAGCGGTGCGAGCCACACTACGAGCTTTGGCCTCCAGGGCGCTTTGGTCGGTGTGGCTGCCTTTGCCGTGGCGGCGCTGATTGCTCTGTAAGAAAAAAAAGAAAACACCTTGTTGCGGGGAAGGAAACGGATCCGATGTGCCAACTAGGGTAATTGGGGGAAATCTTTTTGTTTTTTGCGACTTTTCTGTTCATCTTTCATCGACGTGACTGGTCTGGGGAAGTTGGGATGATTTGTTCGTTTTTTATGCTCGCATTTTTTCCTATGAGTATACACTTCTTGTCTGTCATTTCTGGAATATAAAAGAAGGGAGGCTTTTTCATGATATCCATAGCTTGGTTGGGTGTTTGGTGCGATATGGAATTTTTGCGCTGGAGATGTTGTTTGTTCTCTAGTTTAGTATATAATATATATACATGTTCAGTCTTAGTATTACCGTTTCTCTGGCCGCTTTATGTGTAGTCGCGCTGAACCTTGACGGTACCTGAGTCGATGAGGAAGCTTCCGCGGAAAGGAAACTGAGTATAAAGAGCGCGAGGAACTAGACAACGTCTATCGTCGAAGCGTATCTTGGAACCCACGGATGATATCTCCTAAACAACCTATGCATGCTGAGGCAGAGACCAGGGGAATGTGAGCATTGAACTTTTTCTCATTTTCCTTTGTTTATACATCTCTCCATTTTTAACCTTCTTGGGCCAGTATAATGCTCACAAACATGCTCACCGACATGACCTCTCCAATTTTCCCTTTTCCTCCTATCCAGGCTATATCTTCTTCTATTCTCTCCAGGGGCTCTCCCATTTTCAAACTCCCCATCCCTTTTATCATAAAACCGCCTTGGCTCAAACCAAAAGAAACAACTATGAAAAGACATACCCAACCCTAGCGTGCACGTGCGCGCGCATACATACATGAAAAACGGACGCAAAGAAACAAAAACACTTATTTGCCTGCAGCGCGTCCACCAAGGGCAGCCAGAGCTGTGAGCTTCTCTTCGCCAATTTCTAGCGAAGGCAGCTGCCTCTCAGCCTTGCCATCAGCAGGTGGCGAGGGCAGGAAGCCCGTGGCGACGAGGTAGGCGAGGTACCTGCCCGCAACGTCGAGGGTGACGGCACCCGCCGCTAGGGGATCACCTTCCTCGGCCTTTCCGGCGGCGGCAGCGGCGTTGCGCAGCGCAACACCAGCGTTGGAATCGTTGAGCTCGGGGGCGATGGAGTTGGCGGGGAGGTCACCAGCCACGAAATGGAAGAGAGGGAGGAGAGCATGCTCTTCCTTCTCTGGATCGGAGACGTAGTCACGGAGTTTGGCAGACCACTCAGGGTAAGGAATCTGCGGCACAGGGTAGCCGTGCACCTCGAGCACGCCGAGCCACTCGTTCATGGTCAGGCGCGGATGGCTCGTGACCTGGACGACGCCCAGTGGGGAGGTAGGCGGGTAGAGGGCGGCCGCGGTAACGATGCGGGCAACTTGGGTGACGGGAACCTGGTTGACCGTGTTGGTGATATCAGGGCGAGCTCCAACCTGCAAACAACCCTTCCACAAGCGGACAAGGAAATCGTCGGTGATGGAAGTACCCGAAACCGGGTCGCCGGTGACGTACCCGGGTCGCACGACGGCACCAACCAGGCCACGGCGGCCGGCTTCACGAACAATGTATTCGCTGGCCCACTTGGACTGACCATAACCAGTACCGAGGCCCTTGCGGCTGCCCTCAAGGTCGTCATCTTCCTGCACGCCTGTGCCACCTTCGGCAGCGCTCTTCTTGGACAGTTCGACATAGTAGTCCGAGTCGAGCGTCGAGGTGGAGCTCACGAAAGCGAGGCTCTTGGGCTTGCCAGTGTTGGCCAGGGTGATGCACTCGACCGTGCTGAGGACGTTGGCCGACCTCAAACTAGAGTAGGGCAACATCCAGTTGACTTGCGCACCATTGTGAATGATGACGTCGGCCTCGGCAGCAACTCGATCCCAGTCAGCCTTGGAGAGGCCCAGGTTCTGCTTCGAGATGTCACCTGTCACAGCCTCGATACGAGATCGCCAATCCTCGGACCAGTTTCCGTACGCCTTGGAGATGGTCTCGATACGGGCAACGGCAGAGGCGGCGTCCTTGCCTCGGGCGTGCGCGATAACTCGGGTCTCGGGCTGGCTCAGAAGTTCGCGGAGGATATACGAGCCAAGGAAGCCAGTGGCACCCGTCAAGAACACAGTGTTAGAGCCCGAGGCCAGGGCTCCTGCGCTTTGAAGAGTGGCTGGAAGTTCCTTGACGAGGTCACGTGCATCAGCAGCATAGGCCTCGTCCTCAGCATTGCTGCCAAAGTTGGTCAACGGGGGACGTCGAGTCGGAGACCGGTGGGATCGAGGGCGCGGTCAATTTCAGTGGCGAATTCGCCAAGAGTCTGCGACTGGAAGATGACACTCATGGGGACATCAATATCCTTCCACTCCTTGCGGATGTTGAAGAGCATCTGCTGAGCCAGGATAGAGTGGCCACCCTCCTCGAAAAAGTTGGACTCGGGAACAAACATGCGAGCTGTGCGGTTGGGGATGACGGAGGCCCAAATGGCAGCCACCCTCTTCTGTGTCTCCGTCATGGAGTGGTAACCTTGCGAAGGCCGCCTAGCGAGCAGTGCGAGGTCGGTTTCCTTGCTAGGGAAGGGAAGTGCGGGCTTATCAATCTTGCCGTTCGGGTCTATGAGGGGTAGGGCGAGTCAAGTCGATTAGCACGCTGACAACACTTAGGAGGGTTTGCGGTAGGGATATGAAGGGAGGGTTCTCCTAAAAGAATCTAGCAGGAAGCAGACTTACTGAGGGGCATGCGGGTCAAGGGGATAAACATGGTGGGAACGGCGTATTGGGGCACCTTGGTCTTGAGGAAGCTCTTGCAGTCATCCGAAAGAGACCTAAACTTCTTGAACATGCCAATCATTGAATCGTCCTCCGCCTCATTAACGGGCTTGCCGCTCTCCTGGAGATGTTGGAACCAACGCTTGGCTTCGGGGACGATGTAGCTGACGAGCTTGGGCTCCTCGTTTTCATCCCTCCTGACGACGGTGACGTTCTCTCGGATGAAGGGGTGGCGCGAAAGATGGGTATCAATCTCTCCTAGCTCGATACGGAAACCTCGAATCTTGACCTGGTTGTCGACGCGACCGGTGCATTCGACGTTGCCGTCAGGCCGGACGCGACCCAAGTCACCGGACCGGTAAATGCGGTCCCTGGGGCCCTTGTAAAATTCCATCCAGGGCTGCTTGCCGTTAGCGGCAACCTTTTCCTCGTACTTCTTTTGCCAGACATCGTTGTCGACGAACCAGTTCATGAGGAACTTGGACTCGTTGAGGCTCCGGATGGTCTCGTCGTCACCGAGGTAGCCGGTGGCAAGACCGCCAGCCCTGATGAAAAGCTCACCCTGCTCACCAACATCGCACATCCTGCTCTTGTTGTCCCTATCCAGGACGAGGAGCTGCACGTTGTTCATACCCTGGCCGACGGGGATGATGTCGGGAAGGTTGTCGAGGGCTTCGGGATCCTTGGCCTTGCTGGGGATTTCGTAAAAGGATACGCTGCGCTGGGTCTCGGTCGTTCCCCAAAGGTTGGTGATGAAGACGTTTTGGGCAAGGTCCTGAAGCTTCCGGCAGTCCTTCTTGGTCAAGATGTCGCCGACAAAGAAGGCGTGGTGCAGGGTGGGGATCTGGGCCGAGGCACCACCGACGAGGATCTGACCCATGGCCGGGGTCAAATGGGTGACGTTGACCTTGTTCTCCCGCATCCACTCGGCGAGGAGCTCGTGGGCAATCATGTCCTGGGGAGGCACGACGATCTGGGCGCCGAGGAAGAGCGGGGTGAAGATATCGCGCTGGATAGGGTCGTGGGCGATACCCGACAGCATGGTGAAGCGGTCATTCTCAGAAAGACCAAACCTCTCGGCCATCCAGGGAAATAATAGGTTAGGGAGAAATGGCGTCCCTGAACGCCCTTGGGCTTTCCCTCGGAGCCGCTGGTGAAGCTGAGGGTAGGAATGGAATCGGGCCCGACTTGCACACCGGGGAACTGAGTCTTGCGGGCTTCCTGGGCCGCGAAGCAATCCTGGCCATTGACATCACCACCCTCTAGCTCGCCATTGTCTTGGAGTGCAAGTGCGGGGACCTCGGCCTTGATCTTGAGGTTATTCGTGATGAATTCGGCAACGGTATCGGCGAGCTTTCCAGCTTCTTGGGTCGCGCGCTGGATGTGGACGAGGAAGACGGGGTTGGCGACCTCGAGGAGGACCTTTTGGCGGTCGGCGGGGTATTGGGGTCCAGCACGCTGACAGTGGCACCAGCCTTGAGAGCACCCATGTATGCAACGACGAGATCGACACTAGACACAACGAGTCCCGTTAGTCGCGATTAAACAGGTCCCAATCCCCTTTCAAGCTCGGTGACCAAGCTTGGCTTACCTGCGGTGAGCATAGATCATGACGACATCTCCACGCTCGCAGCCATGGTCAAGGAAGTAGTGAGCTAGCTTGTTAGAGCTCTCGTTGATCTGCTTGTAGGTAAAGATGCGCTCGGGATTCCTGGGGCCCTTGGTCTCGACGACGCAATGCCTATCGGGGTGTGCCTCGGCATTGGCGGCAAAGATGTCGTGGATGGCTGCGGAGTGATCGAGAAGCTACGGTCAGCAAAGGGGGTCGAAAGAGAGAAAAAGAAATTATGAGAATAAAATAGAGATAGAAACTAGAGCTGAAGGACAGGTCTATTTTCTGCGGGCAGGTTTGCGGGTGAGAGGTGATGCGCAGAAGGCGGTGGCAGGGAGCGGTGTACTTTACCTCCACGGAAGTCATCCCAGCCCAAATCGACCGTGGGGTCGGGCAAGACGGGGCTCGACGACATGGTCAACGCGCTCAATTGGAATCTCGAGAGGTAGCTCTTCCAAGCAAGCTGGTTGATCTTTTGTGTATGGGGAAAAGGAAACGCAAGAGGAAAAGAAGAAGAGGGGTTCAACAGGGAGAAGAAAGAAGAAAAAGACGCTTGAAACTCTGAGAAGGGTCAGTCCCGTTTTCGGCAAGCGAAAGACGTGATCGGATAGGCGTATCCTACAAGTAGATTATGCTGATGCGTCACAAGGAGGGAAAAAAATTCAAAGTCAATGAACGAATGGTAGGGAAGCAAGGGAAGTCCATCGGCCTGCCCCTTCCCTTTCCCGTTCCCGTCGAGTTTGTCGAGTCACACTTGCCCCTCTACGTACCTTTCGTCTCTGCCCCTCCATACAAATTTTTGGTGGGGTAACGAAAAAATTGCCCCGCCAAAAGAAAAACCAATTGGGTGATGACGATTGGGCTCGGCAGGTACGTACTGGCATCTCCATGGCTTTTCTTCCCCGCATACCGGAGCTCGAGCTTCGGGGAAGTAGGGCAAGGAGCTACGTACTCACCTACCTCGGCCGGTTTCCGCCCCCCAATGCCCTCCTCAACGCTCCCCTTTCATTCCCAATCGAGCTCCGGGGATGAAAGATCAACCTGGCCGGGATATGTTGCTATGTTAGGATGTGGCTCTTCTGAATGGTGCGAAATTGTATTTACAAAAGAGGGCACCTTCATTTGTCCGTACTGTACCCGTCACACTACGCCTAATAACCCCAAAGGTGAATGAGCCAGACAGATTCGGGTGCCCAAAAAGGCTCACTAAGTACGCCTTCTATAGATCTCTGTCTGTATCCGTGATGTCAAACCCCGTTAAATGCCTGCGTCAAGTCTCGAATCACATTGTTCTCTCGATTATCGCTTCTACAATAGCTTCTCTACCGAATATTGATCATTCGTCAACTCGCTCCACTAGGGCTTTCCTATCTATTCCGCCCCCATCAGGGCTCACCCGCCGATGCGGCATGGAATACCGGCATGCGCACGGAGCTTCTTGCCGGGGCTCTTGTGGGGCGGGGCATTGCCGGTCGGTCACGGGTGCATGCCATCCCGATTCCGACTCTGACTCGGTGCATGGGCAGCTTTCTCGCCGAGCAATTCTTTTGTATTATCCAAGCCAGCCCCCTGTCTCCCTCTCACTTTCCCTCGCCGTTTCCCGTGAAACCACTGGCGTGGGAATTTCTTCGAGCACATACACCTTGAAGCCGAAGAAGCAATCATGATACCCTATTCCAAGCTGGACTCAGGCTCGTTCATCCATCCATCCATGGATGAATTCCTCACGACCCCGCCCCGTTTCTCTTTGGACTCTTTTTTGGTCTTCTTTCCGGGAATAGTAATCATAGTCGGCTCAGCGTCACACTACGAACACCCATCCATCACCCCTGCATATCTCACGTATCATTCCCATCGATACGGTAGCGTAATCTCAACTGGTTATTCTCACGATACCCTCCCGTTCAAATCATCAGGATGAAACCAGAAAAATCTGCATGTGCCTCTCCAAAGTACACCAAAGTGCAACGCTGTACAACCCCATCGCTCCCACTGACGCGTAAACCAGCGCATCAAGAAGTGAGAAGGAGGAGAAAATAAAAAAGCACCAAACTTGAGCTCGTAGTTTCAAGCCAAGAAGGAGAGGCCAAAAACGGACGAGAAAAAAAGGGGGAGGTGAAGGATGCAGAAGAAGCAAAGCCAAAATAAGCCGGCAACCATCCGATGTCTCTTTAGCCGGCCCGCCGCGCGCATGTCCCAATTCAGCCCAGAGCTTTGGGAGATCGACACCGAGACGGCCCCGCCTCTGCTTCTATTTTCGGCCTTTGCCATGTGCTTTTTATCGGGAGAAACGGGCATGTTTTACGTTTAGGAGTAGATTCTTTTCCTTTTGCCTCGCTCCTCCTCCCCAAAACGGACGCATGCGAAGCCGGGAAAGTCAAGCCAAAGAGTACCAAGAAATCACAATGGAACCCCATTTTCCCTGAGCAAGGGGGAAGCAACGTGAAGGATGTTGATGACGATAATAGACTGCATCCATGGGACAAGAAGCGGGGAGATGAACGAGAGAACCCCACATTAATATACGCGCACTCTACCGGCCTGTGAGCTGGGTGCGACATGGTCTCAGAAAAGGAAGAAATTCTACAGCACTCGTCCGTCCGCCGGGAAGCCGAGATTGCTGGACCCTAGACTTTACCGGGTATTTTCTCGGTGGCTTGCTCGTACCCACGCTTGACAGGTCTAGGATTTGGATCGGCCCAGAGCATTCAAGTATATAAACAACGTGCTGATCCTTTCAAAGGATTCCAAGACGGTTCATCAACACCTTTTCCACTTATCGAGGCCTCAAAGACTCAAGAATAACAAGTCCCCAGCAAGCCAGGTCAACGAAAGGCGAACAGTTCCACGATAACCTCGTCCTCCCTCGCCCTCCTATCCATCCCGCCGCAACACCCTTGTTCAAAAGAAACACCGCCCAGCATGTTCCCCAGACTAGCCTTGGTTACCCTCCTCCTCGCCCCGGCCCTCGCCGCCGCAGCCACCACCGGCGCCGACCACTCCCTGGACACTTCCACACCAACCCGCTTCCCGGGACACAAGGTCACAGCTCTCCCGCCCCTACCCCCGGCTGACGACGACGACGAAGAGGAGGGAGACCAAAACGGACGTCCCTGCGGCTTCCGCATCGCCCCTTGCCCCGACGGCATGTCCTGTTCCGCCTCTGACCAGTCCTGCCCGGCCACGCGGGTGAGAACTGCGCCGGCGTCTGCGTACAGTCCACCCTTGCCACCCGCACCAACCGTCTCCCTACTCGCACACACGCCATCGAGGTCCCCACCACCACCACAGCTCCTCCCGAAGAGGAAGAGGAGGAGGAGGAGGAAGAAGAAGAGGAGGAGGAAGAGGAGGAGCTACCCATCCCTACCTACGCCCCCTGCGGCGGTGACCGAATCGACGGCCCTCTTAACTGCGAAGAGGGCTACGTCTGCGTCGACGACCCCGCGTTGAAGGGTGCGGCATGGCTTGCGATGCGCCCGGCATATGCGTCGAGAAGAAGGCGTGCGGCGGCTACTTTGGCACCCCTGCGCGCCAGGTCTTATCTGCGTAGATGACCCTCGGACGGATGCGATCCCGGGCTGGGTGCGCAGGATTGCAATGGTGTCTGTGCCTAAGCTGGGGGAGTGTATGATATACTACGAGTCAATGTTGAAAAATTGTATCTAAATAACAATGTTCAAATTTACACATCCACGTTCCTATATACACGCAAGATGCATATCACCTATGTGGTATGCCCCCATCGACATAGATTCTCCTAACTTTAGTTGTGGGCGCTTTGGTATCCATATCCATCAGTCTTCATTGCTTAACCAACAAAAGAAAAGAAGAAAAAAGACAAAGAAAGCCAGTGGGAAAAGAAAATCTCTGCAACCCCCTGCCCCCTTCACGACAAGACACATTACTTCGAATTCAACGCCAAAGCCGCCTTCCTCTCCTTCGTCGCCCGCGCCACCTTGGCATTCACCCTCCGAATCTCCTCCTCGGCCCCCTCCCACGCCTTCCTCTTCCCCGTCTCGAAGAGCCTAAACATGTGCGGGCTATAGATACCACCCATGAGAAGCCCGCACAAGCCCGGATTCGCGAGCCAAAAGGCTAAGCCGCGGGGGCCCCAGCCTAGCTTCTCGTTGACGCCCGTACCCGCAGCGTCGCTCGCCCACGCCATGAACTCGTAGCCGTTGACCCAGCCAGGGTGACGGACTTTTAGGGAGCGCTCGGCCTCGTCGCACGCGGCGTCGTAGGCGGCGTCGGTGACGCGGATCATCTCCTTGCGGGACGGCAGGGGCGCAGCGCTGGCGCCAGCCCACACCTGGGCCAGGGCCATGGACGCGAGGTCGTACAACTGAAAGGCCGGGGAGAGGAACACGGTACACCCCATGAAAGCGAGGGAATCCGGGTAGACGAGGGAAAAATGCCGCGGTACAGGCGGGCAAAGGGACGGCCCTTGGAAGAAGGCGCGGCGCGCCACCGGTGGTCGTCGCGGGTGGGATCGACGGACTTGTCGAGGACGCCAAAGTCGTTGCGGTAGCCGGTGCAGTAGATGACGGTGTCGACGTCCAGCAGGGTGCCGTCGACGAGCTCGACCTCGTTGGGGCCGGTGAACTGCTTGACGCCGCCGACGGACTGGACGGTGCCCGCCTCGAGGGCGTCGATGAAGTGGTCCGAGATGACGGCGATGGTGGTCTTCATCGAGGGCGCGGGGAGGAGCTTCCACTCGGGCCGGATGGTGAAGTTGTTCGTCATGATCTTGACGAGGACTTTATCGATCATGGCGAGGGTTTTGTCGGGGAAGTGCTTGTCCATGACGCCCATGATCTTGTCCATGCGGACGGTGATGGTGTGGTCTATGGGTACCCCTTTGTTGAAGCGCGGCATCTATAGTGGAGGAAAGTTTGCGACTGGTTAGCTTTCTGCTTGGGGAGGGGAGGAGGGCTCCCTCTTTTCTTTCTTCTCCGTTGAACTCACCACTACCACGCCATCTCTATGCGAAGCGTAAATCTTGTCCGCATGTCCCTGCAAAGCCACGACTGTATCCGCGCCGCTATTGCTGATTCCAATCACGAGCACCTTGCGTCCCTTGAAATCCTCACCACTACCGCATCACATACATGTTAGTGCAAGGAAATCGGAGAGAAAAAGGCATAAGAAGTAGCCAACAAAAAAGAAGAAAAAGAAGAGAAAAGATAAGAAAAGAACTGGTACTCTACAAACTTTTTAAACCCTTGCGAATGAAGCGTCTGACCAGTAAACTTCTCAACGCCAGGGAACTCGGGAATCAGGGGACGTTGGCCGATGCCCGTCGCCATGACCACCTTGTCAAAGTACACGACCTCGCCCGTCTTGTCCAGCGTGACAGCCCACTTGTCCCCGTGCTCGGCGCGCGCCACGCGGCGGATGGGGGTGCCGAGGCGGAGGTGGGGGCGGAGGTTGAAGTTGTCGGCGTAGTTTTCTAGGTATTCTTCGACGACGGAGGCGGGTACAAAGGGTTCGCTATCTGCAATGTGACCGGAATCGTAATCGTGAGTTACGTGGTTTTAAACACGGGGCCCGCGAGAATGTTATAAACGGATGTGGAATTGAGCGTACCTGGAGGAAACGGAAAGTCTGTAAAACAACCCTACGGTAAGATGTTAGCCACGCTCGTCCTGTGATTCGTGGAAGCTCTGCCCTCTCTCTCTCTCTCTCTCTCTTCCAAAAGTCGCAGGCTTACCCTCTCAGCAGAGACATTGATGACGGTCGCTATAAAGTGCAGTCTTCGTTTAGCTTCCGTCTCTCGTCCAGACGAGCGCACGATCATCTTGGTCACCAACATTTGAGGACCGACGTGCTATCTTTAGCGACATAATGCCACAGCCCGCCGACGTACTCGTTGCTATCGAAGCCCGTGACGTCGAACCCTTCCTCGAGTAGGTTCTTGACGGTGACGAGCCCCAGCGCGCCTGTTTTCCCGGAGTCAATATTAGGTTGGTTCCAAATGATGTGAAAACGGAGCAGGAACGAGAGGGTGGGCTTTTTTTCTCGAAACTCCATGTAAGCTAAGAACGTTCGACTAACCGAGACCGACGACGGCAATGGTAGGGGCGACCTTGGCGGCCATGATGTAGAAAAGCCGCACAGCTCAATACGCCAAAGAAATCAAGGAGCAGGGTGAAAGAAGTAGAAGGGAGAAAAAGGAACCAAAGTAGAGTCAAGGAACGCTTAAGCTTGGAGATGCTCGCTTCTGGTGAAAAGCATCCAGACCTCAAATATAATCGAGTAAAGCCTTGAGCCTTGGATCGAGCGCGTCGTCTATTAGTTACAGGATAGAGTCAAAAAAGAAAGGGACCCTGAATTGGGGATTGTCGTCATTATGTACATCGTGCCATCATTCTCCGAGCTCCCCTCCCGGGCCGGTGACGGTGCAAAGCCGCATCCTTCAGTTGAGTCGCGACGTATCCCCTCGACAAAAACCCGCACCCGCACGCTGCGCGTCGGATCCGGTGGGCAGAAACAACAGGCAGCCGAACCAGTTCGTTCCATCAAGGTTCTCCGCCCACTCTAGGGTCCTGGCCTGACTGAACCGCCCCCCTTTTGGTGCGGAATCGGCTGGGGTGGGGCCCTGCCCAAGGACAGGGCTGATGGTGGAGACCGCAATTGACGGATGGATCTAGTGCAGGACGGAGATGTAGGCGCTTCGTCATTGAGCCTCCTTGCCGAACACAAGCTGAGACCTGGCCAAGACACTGGTCGGATCCACGGAGGCCCAACTGTAAAAGGAGAGAGGTGCCTCAAGTCGTTCAAGAAACCGTTGTTCCTTTGCCCTTTAAATGGGAGGATCTCCAGTAAACTTACCGGGCGATGCTGGTCGTTGAAGCGGCTTTTGGTTTCTGAATGGAGGAGCTCCAACGCTCTTGCTTTGCCGATCCTCAAGAGCTAGCGCTGTCGGGCTATGTACGAGCTTTTGCCAACAAAAAGATACATGTACTTGCCAGCCGTGAAAACAGCCCAAAATAACAAGCAACGCGCAATAATTCCGAGTGAGCAGGTTTCCCATCTTTTCAAACCTACGTTTTGTTTCTCCTTTGCGTTTCTAGGTGGTAAATCTACATGCCAATCTAGTCATGGGGGCCCGGTTGGTGCAACTGATGGATTAGATCAAATCTGTTCGACTGTTTAACGAGACCCCACATGGTCCCATTCCTTCACCTCTGAACGCGCTGCCGCACCGATTCTCGGCTTCCGCCCCTTTCCACATCGTCGGCGATAAATCTGGTCCGCCGCCGACCCGCCACGAACCCCAAAGGCTTGGCTTCGAGAAGAAAAAGGCAACGAAAATGGAACACACGACAGCACACCTGACAATACCGGGGTCTCGGGAAAACTCTTGCATCGAATTCATCGGACTCGGAAAGATCTTTGAAACAAAAAAGGTAAGAAAGGATGAATGGAAAGACACAACCCGCCCCCTTCTTCTTACACAACTCGCGGTACATGTATGCTTCCACTTGGGGACAGGTCACCTTCCACGGAAGTGTTCCGAACGGCTCGAACAATGGACCCGCAACCCGAAGAGGAACCCTCACTATTATTAAAGCACCGGCACCCAAAGAAAATACGTCACCCGATTGTTGATTCATCCCTCCCCTTTTTCCCCTTCTAGAATGGGCGAGGGACCCTCCGTTGGCGTGTACCACAAGTAAGCTCGGAGCTCGAGTTTCTCCATGGCGGATATCGTCTCGCTCAACGGCATTGTCTTCGCTTTTGCTCCTTGATTCGACCAGCCAGCTCTCTTGCCTCCCATTCTTTCTTATCCTTTCTTTGATGTCCGCGAACTGGGCGCGACCCGTCCCATCAACAAGTAGATGCCTTGCCCCCAAACCTCCTCCCCATATAGAAGAGATCACTATTTCCGTATCCTAGCTCTCACGATCACGGAAGGAACCACCGAGTATCTCCAACTCCGGCACGCTCCTTCCTCCTCACACCGCACAAACAGCCAACCACATGCACGACCCTACATGTATTTCAAGCAAGCAACGCCCCGATAATCATCTCGAACTCGACCCTCTTCCTACTTAAGCCCAAATTGGAACCCTTTACCCCCAGCGAAGTAGCTGAACCCTCACCAGCCCTACAGTACCTTGCATGTTTCTCTGTCAACGAACCGGCTCCCAAGCCTCTCCGCCGAACAAGGGCCTTCGCTTTAACTCTTTTTTCTTCTTTTTGTCTCGAACTTTTTCTCTTTCGTACGCTCTCAAGCTCACCCTCATTCGCCTTTTCAACACCGTCTTCTCTTTTACCTGTCGAATCACTCCTTCAAGTTGATTGTCAGTGGTCTTCTTCCCACGTAGCCCCCGGTTCTCGTCAACATCGTCCCCAGTCCACGAGTCCCTTCCCCTTCCCCGAGGTACAGTGACATTGCCCATAAACATACAAATGGTCAAGCGGTTTGTCTCTTGCCATCGAACAGGTTTTCACAACTCCCACCTCCACCGCGGTGTTCGACCCTTAGCCGTGGCGCCGTATAACGCCTTTTTTCCTCTTCTTCCCATCCTCGGCTTCTAAACCAACTACCAGATCACCACTCTATTGATGAGTCTAGAGGGTTCGTAGCTGGAAATAGCACCTTCCCACTGCAACTCGCTGTCGTTGCTCCCTCCTTCCCACGTTTTACCAAGAGACGCTTCCGTAAGTCAAATTGCCACGACTGCGCGTAACAGGGGCCTTAGCTCGCTTCCCCAGAAACCCCAGCCCTAGCCGCTATGCATGAAGATAGTTTTGTTACTTGATGAATGTGGTACAGGGATGTAGGGGGACGCATTCTTACCTCTCGTGGTCAAAAGCAGGTACATGTAATGTAGACTCTCCTCGTAATATAAAATAGTTCCCGCTTTTCAAGACATCATCACACATAGTTTTCTCGCACACGAACGAAAGAAGAAAGATGTCTGCCAGGCGTGTAGATAAAGTCTCAATTTCCTATTTATCTCGATTGCTCATATGTAGAGTTCTAAAAGAAACCGTCCCCTTTCTGATTGTCCAGCTTACCCAACATACAGCTGACATGGTATCAAAACCCCTCTGCTTCCTCCAGTCGTATTTCCCTGCCTCGAACTGATGAATGGAAAAGAAAAATCCCCCTTCGCCCAAGCCAGCCAACACCTGGATGGAGATACATGGGGGAAGATTGGTCGAGAAAGTGAAGAGAAGATAAAAAGAAAAACGAGACCACGTGGATGGGCAACGTAGAGACCAAGAGTCGAAAGGCAAGTGAAATGGAAAAGGGTGGGAAAAGAAAAGAATAATAGAAGCCGAGAGGCAGGTTGCCAGTGCCCCTTGGATCATTCAAGAGAAACAAAAGGAAAACTTGCGCCTTCTTTCCTTGTCCTGTAGAGAAGAGCGCATGAGAGCAAGGAGGACAAAGGTAGCTGTTTCCCTCCCCTCCTACCCATAAAAGAAATGAAACAAGTCGAAAAGAAAATCGTACACGAGTCGCTCGAATCCTCGTAATCCCTACCAAGGGTAGTGTGAAAAAAATAAAGAAAAAGAAAATGAATATCAGGGGGCATCCTTAGACTTTTTATGCCACTGTGACTCCGGTATGTGTATATAATGTTCGCCACGCTCTGTTCAAGAATAAAGAGCAAAATGCTGACAAGGAAAAACAAAAGGATTGGAAACGAAACTGCTCGAGGCCGTGAAAATCGAGACCGTCCCAGGAAACTACCCGGCACCGCCCTAGCTGTCACCTTGCGTCTTAGATCATGCCGCCAGGCATTCCGTTGGTCGTGACGGGCGGGGGCGGCCCCTGAGAGGCACTATTCATCATGTAAGGCGGGCTCTGGCGCTTAGGGGCCCCGTTTCGAGCCGCTGCGGCGACGTTGGCCTCGCTAGTTGCTTTTCGAAGCCGGTTGCGTCGATCGCGACCAAAGGCGTCGTCCTCATCCGAGAACCCGCTGCGAGCCTCGTCACCCGAGTCGGCTCCATACGAGACGAATGGAAGTTGCGGTGTGCTCAGATTCATATCGTCGTCTCCCTTGCGCCCCATGAGGTTTCCCAAAACGTTTCGTCGTCGGGGGTTGATGGGCGGTACGGGAGGCGCATGTGCCTGCGCGTGCAGATTAGGCGTCGATGCCGCCGATCCCAGCGTCTTGAGCAGACTGCCCGAGCGGGATCGAGAACCGCTTCGAGAGCGCGTCCCGTCCTCGGGCAAGTCAACAACTGGCACACGGGAGGTGGACGAGACAAAAGTCGGTTCCGAAATGTCTCTCTTGCGCACCACGCGCTTCATGCTCTCATCAAGTCGCACATTGCCGTTGCTCGAGTCAGGCCCAGAGGCCATCGCAATAGCTGCGGGTGAGGGAAGTGGGGGTGCCGAGGGGCGCCGAGGGGATGGTGCTGCCGAACCGATCGGGGTGTTCCTTCCTGATGGCGGTCCAAAAGGTGATGGCAGGTCGCCCATGGGCGAGATAGGCGACGGCTGTCCCGAGTGAAGACCCCGCTGGCCGTAAGCTTGCATGGGCACGAGCCGATCGCCGTGAGGTCCATTTTGTCCGTTGCCCGGGTACGGCTGAGGGGGCATGTGCGGCGAGCGGCGAATGTCTGTGCCAGGAAGACCAGGTGAGCGCATCATCGGAGGTCCCGGGCGGGGAGGGCCCTGACGGAAGTCCTCCATCGCTCCAGGCCCATTGGGGCCGTTGGGTCCATTGGGATTCATGAGCCTTGGCGGACGGCTGTGCGACCTGCTACCGTTGCTGGTTTCTGATCCGCTTCGGTCCCTTTCCGTCGTGCGCGAAGAAGGCCGAGAGTTGTTACGCGATCCGGGTCCCGGGTAACCCATTCGGGGCTCGGTGCTGGGGGTCGCTGGAACGAGCTCGGCGGCGGGCGCCTTTCCCGAGACGGGGTCCTGTGTTGTGGCCTCATCGGCTGCTGGGTCGGTGGCGGGCCCCGGTGCGCGGGGCTAGACGGCTCCATCACCTGGCTGGTCATCGGGGGCGGGTTGTTGGTTCTGATGACGCTGCTTGGTCTCCAACTCCTTAAGTCGCTGTAGCTCGCGGCGCGCCTGTCGGAAGTGCTTCAGGCCAGCGTGCATGCTCTCGTCCTTGGCCTCATCTTCCTTCTCGCTTGAGACCCTACGGGGGCGACCGGCGTTCGGGGCTGGGCGGCTCTTCCGCCATGGGCGACAGAGGCTGGTCCTTGTCGTCAAAGGTGAGCGTGTTTGGGCTCGTGGCCATGGTCACATTGCCGAGGCCAAGCATCTTCATGGCCTTGGGGGCGGCGTTGGTGGGCTCCCGACTCTTCTCAATCAGGGATCCGCGACTCGACTTGGGCCTCAAGAGGCTGCCAAGGGGGCTAGACCGGAGCGGGGTCTCGCTAATGGGGGTAGGAATGTCAAAGTCACGGCTACTCGTGTCAGACTCGACGTAGGACGTCAGCCTCTCGCGAACCCTGCGAGCGCCGTCCGCAAGCCGGTCGGCAAACTCGTCCTTCTCGCCACGTGGCTTGGGGTTATCATAAGATTCGCTCGCCTCACTAGAGTGCCGGGCTGACCGAAGTTGAGGCGCAGGAGATGGGTCGCGTGTGATGGGTGTGGCGGCTTCCACGGGGGCCGGCTTTTGCTGATCGCCATAGTAGGAGAGAGCCCAGTCGTTTTCCCGAGGGTTCCAGGGGTTAAAGTCCCCGGAGAAATCACCAAGGGTCTTGGAGTCAAATGGCTCAATGGAGAGTTTCATTTCCTCGTTCTTGATCTGGGGATCGGCGCCATAAACAGAGGAGGCGTTGCTGTCCGATCGTAGGTGCTGGCGCACCATCCCGCTCAGCCCCGCAGGTGGTCCCAAAGTAGGCGAGTCGTGGGACGAAAGGTCGGCCGAGGCAGGAGCAAGACCTGGGGTCGTCACAACACTAGCCGGGTCGTCAGAGATCTTCGAGGTGAAAGACAAAGGTGTAGGTAGAGCAGAGGATCGGAACGCCGGATGGTCCTCATCGGCGGGCCGGGCCTGTGGAGGTGGAAGGCTAGGAAGGTGTCTAGGGGTTGGGAACGTGGGAGGATATCCTCATCCTCGTCGTCATCAAGGAACGTGAGACTTTGCTGACGGGGGAGCATGCTCTGCCTCCCGAAGCGGGAGAGTCTTATCATCCTCGGTGCTACTCCGGGCAGCATCGGGGGAATCAGACCGCCCTGTATGGCGAGAAGCGGCAGATTCGGCTCTGAATTGCCGCGTGGGCGTCTCTCGGCCTTGCTGAAGTTGGATCTGGCGTTGGGCGAAGCGGGACTCGTCATATGGTTGGGCCGGCTTTTGGAATACACCAAGGGCAGTCGCCTTGCCTCTGTCACTTGGGTGGATGGAGAGTACAGATTCCTCATGGTCACTCATGGGTGGGCTTAGGGGAGGTGCTGCCCCAAATGGCTTGCTAGGCTCCGCTAGGTTATTCGTGCGCACACCGAGATCAACGGGGCTCGTCACGGAGCGCGTTCCGGAAAGTGGGTTGGAAGGCGTCAGGTTAGGAGCGCTAGCCTTGGACAGGAGCCTCCGGTCGCCAAAGGAAAAGCTTGTGGGCGAGTTGTTCTGCGAAAGATCGGGTGTTCGCGCAGTGACTTTGCGGGAAAGCGTATCGAGCCTTGAAAAGGCGAGCGACTGGTTGTCCTGTAGTTCTTGTGTAAGGCCAGTCTCGTATAGGCGTCTCGTCCTCGCTACGTGCCTCTCACCCCGGGCACTGGACTCGTCGAGGTAAGTGGACTTCCAGCAGAGAAGTCCTTGAAGGAATTGGTAGGCTGTGATGTAATTGAGGTTGCGGCTGTCGAATTCCGGCTCGCCGATGGCCCTGATGATGTTGTCGAGGCGGTCCCCGCTTTCTATTATAAGCCGTCACAGGCGACTCAGGGCGGGCAACCTCCAGGTCCGAGGTCCTCTGCGCACCCTCGTAGTCTTCGTCGGCCATGGCGGCGCTCCTCTCCTTCTCGGCTTGTTTCCATTTTTGGAAGGCCGAGAGAGACACATCATCCTCGTACAACTGCTTCCCCATGCTTCCCCGTGGCATTCCCACCAGGAGCAATCTTGTATATCTTTTGCCTTCCTCCAAACAAGATATTTCCCTCAGTAGGTCGTGGCCTCGTCATGACGCCGGATGTCGAGTCGCCATCGGATTGTGACTGATAAGAATTGATGCGAGTAAGTGAAGGAGGGGCCCGAATGGACTCAACTTCGGCAATATCACCTAGACCGCCACCAAAGGCATAGTCCATGCGGGATTGCCTCTTGGGGAAGAGAACGCTGTCATCGCTCGCCTTCCCAATCTTGGTGTTGGGATCATCCTGCTCTCGCAACATGGAGAATCGGGCAGACAACCCAGTCATCAGCAAGCTAGTCCTAAAGTCGTCGGAGCTCGGCAGGGCGGCTGTGAGGTCGATCTCCGGTTTGACGGGTTCTTCATGAGATTTCTTGCCCCTGAAGATGCGGAAAGGGTTCGATGATTCGGCCTCAGCAGCAGCCGCCGCGGCCAGGGCGGCCGAGTCGTCCTTGGCTCGGCGTCTCGTCTTGAAGCGATGCATAGTGAGGGCTGTGGTCTAGCAAATTCTATTCAGGTCGACTTCATGAAATATACCACCAAGGATAGGGTACCGTTGTCGATTGTGACAAGGCGAGCACTATCTTAAACCGATGTTCGATGAGGGTGAAATGGGGTCGGCTGTTCGAAGGTCCTACTCGACGTTAGATCCTAAGTACGTGCATGCTCGTCCAAGTAATCGCTTTCTTTCGTAGACATAGGGAGGCTAGAAAAACGTTGCGAAGACTTTTACGTGGACAAGTCTCGGCCAGCCGACAACATAAGATTGCAGAAATCAAAGGATCCCCTGAGTAGGAATAGGCCCCCACGCCTACTATGCACGAGAAGAAACAAGAAACTTGACATACCTCAATCACGACTCCCACACGTTGTGCAGGTTTGATCGCCAGGAAATAAAATAAAATAAAAAACAAAGAAAGGAGAAAAAGCCCGGTCAGTTCAGCTGGGTCCGGCGGCACATCCAAGCGATCGTGGGTGGACAAGCGAGGTTTGCTGATCGACAGCAAGTCGGAACGGTAAGATAATCAAGATTGGAACGAAAGGAGGGCGAGCTATATTTCCCTCGGGCGTTATCGAGACGCCAGTGCACCAGCTCGCGACAAGTCGGACCTGCACGATGGCACTCCCGAGTGAGAGGGTTGTGATATCCTCGCGACGACGGGATGGGCAGCAAAGCGGCGAGGCGTGCGTTTCGAGTGTCGTGGAGAAGACAAGCAGTGCTGGGCTTGGCCGGGGTAAATCAAGTTCTGGAAGCTTGAGCACAGATTCGACTGATTCTCGACCCTGTGGGTGTGGGTGGTGACTCGTCTCAGAAGTGTTTTGAGTCCAAAAGTCTAGGCCAGGATGGACGAGGAAGTGATGTCGGACAGCCTCGGGGAGGGGTGCGTCGTCGAAAGTCGAGAAAAGGGTCGAACGGAATGGAGAAAAGAGCGAAGTGGACGCAAGGCGAAAGGAACGATTCGAAAAGAGCGGCTGACGGAAGGATCTCGTCGGTGATGTTGAGGTGAAAGAGCACGAGGGAAGAGCGAGGTCAACGAGAAAGGGAAAGGAGGCCCAGAGCAGAGGTCATTAAGATTTAGGTCGGGAAAGATGAGCTGGGACGAGGGGGGTTCGAGCAGGGGCTTGACAGAGTGACGGGACTGTGCCTAGTCGAGTGGAAATTCACGTCAGGACTGGAGGTACGAGGTGGCGCCGCGCAGGAGAATGAAATCAATGTACTTTCTCGAGACTCTTTTTCTTTCTCTTCTCTTGTTTCTTTTTTCGCTCGCGCCCTTTCTTCGTCCTTCCCATCCGGCTCTTTTTCTTTTTCTTTTTCTTTTTTTTTCTTCCCTCCTTCGGCAGGTACACATGCAGGCAGAGGCACCAGAAGCACAAGCGCAGGTACGGATGTACTTCGTACAAAGAAAAAAGGAGTTGTAGGCATAGAAGCACAACGAAGCCTGGATGAGGGCATTGGGTGTGCAGAGTGGAACCACGGTTCGAGGACGTGAAGGCTTCGTGCAGGATACTTGATGCTACGGGACGAACCACCCACAATAGGAGGGAATTCGCCCGAGTTTGCTCTTTTCAACTTCGAGCGTACTGTACCCCCATCGTACCTGGACCCATCCATGGACGTACACTGCCTTTGGGAGTGGTGTCGCAGGAACCGCACAGTTCCAGCTCATTGTTGGGTATGGCCCTGTTTGCGTCCATGCATGGGCCTTGGACGACCTTGCCATCCGAGCAAATCGCCCCTTCCCAAGAGAGCGTAAAGACCGGGTGCCCTTGCATATGAGCCAGGCCCCCGTCAAGCGCCCCTTCCCCTTTCACTTGCTGCTTGGGGAAGGGAAAAAGGTGCGTTTCCGCAAGGTACCGCACCGTTTTCCGTACAGTGCGGGACTGCCAGGCCCACCTGAAAGACGAAAGCATGCGAGATGCAGACCGCAGACGACTGGGGTTGGCCTTCGATCTTTTTATTCACACCCCCTTCCTAGTCCGAAATTGGCGAGTCTCTCAGCGGCTCCACCTGCTTCTTTCCCCGTTCGGCCTTTTGTGGTGCTCAAGGATCGACTGACAGCAGCACATCCGTACATTCGTTTCCATCGGGTTGACCTTGACTTCAACGAGCACAGCCATTTCGCCCATGATTGCCGAGAGAGACGGGCAACTCCAGATCCCGAGCAGGAGCCACAAAATGGTACGAAGTATAAAGCCCGCCCGCTCAATATCTATTCCAAAGAATGACAGATATCGACGACTATGGTATATCGAGGCCAATCCTCGTCTGATTGACAATATCGGCGCCATTCTTCTTTTTCTCCCCTTGAGAAATTTCAGGAACGTGCTAGTCATTGGTTGCTCGCACCAACGCAATGGAATGAAGTGTCGGCCAAACATGCGATTGGTGATAAGCTAGGGCTTAATGTGGGCTTGGCCAGACCAAGTACGGATGGATCTCGTTAGCGCCGACAACCTGGCGCACCTGGCTCCATTGACAACCTTTGCTTTGAAAGCGAACATCAGTCACTTTTTCTTCATGAAGCGACACAAGCCACCAGCGTGTGGGACAACTCACGAAGGGGTCCAGACAGGTCGGCAAACGGATAAGGAGAATCAATAGGGAACTGTCGCAGAGATCGAAAAGGACTGAGCATGGGAGAGTGACGATCACAGATGCCTGCCCTTTTTGCTCCCCTATTCTTTTCTTTCTTTTTTAACCTTCCTCAATCTCTTGATCAAGAGATCTATCCATTAAGACACACCATGGGGGTTTCCAAACATCAGTCGGACAAGGGTGTCAAACCCTTGAGGAGGGAAACCACAGATATTCGTCAACCTTCGGGGTGGCTTGCCGTCAATCGATCAATTGATGCATATTGACCCCCTCAAAGTGTCTGGCCTCCGGGGAATGTGTCAAACTTGTAACCAAAGGTCGGTCCAAGACCAAGCCGGTTCAGTATTGACGCCACGCAGCGCCTCATCGTGAGTCGGCAAAGTTGAGGACTCTCTCAAGCAAACCGAGGAAGACTCCAAAAGACACCTAAGGTGCCTTTCTAGCCCGTTGAGGACCAATTTGGTGAGAATACCGAGTAGATAGCTAGAGGGCTCATAGAATCTGAGCCGGCTCCTAGGAAGATCAATTATCCTCTTTGGATTTTGCGGGTTTGGAAAGGGGCGTCACCTTCATCCTTCACGTCATTCTCTCTCCCGCTCAGGACCCCCACCTTTGACTGGAGAAACGAATTCCCACTCCCCCAGCCGCCTTTGAAACAACCATTCGCCACACCCAATGCAAGGTGATGGAGCAGCTGTGCGCTCGACATCTGAGGCAGCTCTTTCAACCTATCCTCATCCCCCATCTTCCCTCCCCCTGCAGGCAAGTAAAATCAAGCCCGTCACCAGGGCGGAGCGGAGCGAAAAAGAAAAAGCAGCTCCGGACCTCAAGAGGTGCGCTCGCTCCCGGATTCCAGCCAGCATTCGTCAATCGGTGGCGGCCAATTCATCGAAGAACTGGCTCTTTGCTTGGCTGGTCCCTAAAGCCTCCAGCACCAGCTCCGTACCAGAGTGCCCCTGAAGCGTACATTGATGATCTCGCGCTGGTGCGATCCGCCTCCTCAAATCCGTAGGATGAGCAGCTGGAACAGAAACCTTCCTTCGCACCTCGATTCGACGACATGCATGCGTCCAGTTGGCTCGTTTCCACCGCTTCCATCAACACGATATGGCTGAAGTCATCAAGCCCATCCTTTTGCCGCCACGTCTCCCGCAACTTGGGGAGATTATTCTTGTGTGCGTGTGAGGTGCAGAGGTATCCCCGCGGGGAAGTCCGGTGACCCTCTCAACTTTGACAAGGGATAGTGATATTTTCAGTTACGCTGCTATCCAGGTATGAACCTGATCGAGAGAGTTCGCCAGATGTTCGTATTCCTGAGCCCGACCGTATCTCCTCGGTGGACAAGAAGCCGCCGTCCCAGGGCCGATTTGTTGGGTATTACGCCGATCACTTTCATACAAGTAGTCGCCTGGTCAGGCGGTCTTATCCGCTCTAGCCTGCCCGGCTCTTTCAAACCGAATACCTCCCTACTTCCCTACCGACATACGCTACCTGACTATACTCCCCACGTTGGCCGAAGCCTTGTCAGGTTGTGCACGCCACATGTCCACCTTAGACATCCTCGAAAGTGGTAAACATGGCCCTTTTCTTTCGTTTCTTTGAACATTCTTTACCCATTCACCATATTCCATTCCTCTCTACTTTCGTGATGAGTCTATGGCCGTAATAGGCCAACGTCATTCATTGTTCCTTGTGAAAGGGTCGGGAGATCAGAAACGGGAAGGTTCGCCCCCAAACGGGCGAGGCCATAGCTCACCGCATTTCTCTGTCGATCTGCAAGTACGTGACCGGTCGGACACATCAAGAACGCCATCGTCCCTCCAAGGACGTGAAGACAGAGCTCTACCTGCCTTGTCCAGCCGGCGTTAAGAGAAGACAAAAGGACGAATAGAAGGCCTTTGTGGCATGTTTCGTACATCTCACTCGCGAGGCCGCTTGGAAATTGAAGCAAGCGAGGGCTTGCACTTCCATCCGCCACATATTGATTTAGAGCCGCCTTTTTGTGGATGGCTTTCTATCACCGTTTGTTCCTCGGCGCCCAACGAGAAAAGAGAAAAAGCCATAGAAAACGAGACAACATGAAGACTGCTAGCTTTGGTGGAGAGAGTGGGACGAGATGAAATTGGAGTGGGAGCCAGTGTCTAACGCCACCGAATTCTCCTAAGAAATCAAGGTGTGGCGGAAGAATTTGACTGTCCAATTTGGCATCACAACCGCCAGCGAAGTGGCTGGTCTGGATGCCTCATATTAGGCTTGGCTCATAATCAAACGACGCGTGGGCGTCCGAGACCTTCGAGTGCTACAAGCACAAGCGCATATTTTCCTCAACTCCGAGAGAGGTAGATTTCTTCAACCTGACATGGAAATTTTCACTTTGACTCACCCAG